GAAGCGAACACCACTGAGGACCGAGGGACGTGGGGGGGGTGTGTTTGGGGCGGAGTCGTGCCTTGTTTTTTTGTATTTTCCCATTTTCCATTTGGAACGTTTGTTTGCGGAGGGGTGCAGAATGCAACAGGGGTGTTTGTTCACATATTGTATGTATATATAAATCTATATATATGCATGTGGATGTTCGTATTGTAGGATTTTCCCCCCCCATCTCACGCCGCCGCAGCGTACTGGTCGATGCCGTGGCTTCTTTGGAAGTTTGAACCGAACCGAATCTGGGGAAAAGGTGTGTGCAACGGCGAACGCACCGACAGGACGACAACGGACGACAAAAGTCTTCTGATTCAGGCGAACGGGGGGCAAGAATTTGTTTTTCTCGTTTCTCGAATTCTAAGAGAACCGTTCGGCGTTTTGTTTGGTTTTTGCTTGATTTGGACTGCAGAGCCGATCAAACACGATCGAAGGCGGGGAGGAGGAAGAAAGCCTCAAGCTATACGATTTGCAGGTGAGTGATTACGCCACGACGAAGCTTCTCTCCCCGTTCCTCCTCGCATGGCGCTGCGACTCGCTGCGCAGAGCGCGCTGCACAACAGACGCGCAAGCGTGGAGCGCACAGCGAAGCCATTGATCGCGCATCTCGAGGCCGGAGGTATGACCCAAAACGAACTGGCACGCGCCGAAGGAGAAGCCGCATGGCCTGCGGTGTCGAGGTGATCGAGGCTCTTTGCATGAGCATCCACACCGTCCGCTCCAAAGGACGCCATCTCTCAGTCAAACAAAAGCTTTGATGCGTGCATGCGCAGCTGACGCCAGCCCACATATGCAGCCACGTACCAGTAGGAGGACGAAAAGAATGACGTTCGCGCAAGAGCTCGCATCTTGGCGAGCTCCTCCCAAAATACCCGTCGCGACGCCACCGACGATAGGTTCTAAGGCGCCGTCCACGCCTGCATTACCGATCCCTGCGGTGGATGGCAGGCCCGTGGTCGTGACCTTTCTCAGGCATTGCGGTTGTCCCTGTGCGTGAACATGCCCCGTTTTTTTGTTCCCCCTTCTTGCTTTCTCTCTATTGCTTGCGCGCCGCGCAGAGATGGGTGACTCATGTCTAGGTCAGTTGCCGAAGCCACCTTTCTAGACTTGCGCGAAGCAGCGTCCAAGAATCCGACGGTCCGCTTCGTGGCCGTGTCCCACAGCGACCAGGCCTCCACGGACAAGTGGCTTAAGGACGTTGGAGGCACTGCGTCCCCGTCGTCCTCGAATGCGGTGGACGTAATCGTTGACCCCGAGCGCAAGACCTACGCCGCCTGGGGCCTGGGCACTTCCTCCTTCGCCCACGTTCTCAGCCCGGCAGGATTGTATGCAGTCTATAAGATCGGCAAGGAGAGGGGGATATGGAATCGTCCAACAGAGAGCGGCAGTCGGTGGCAGACGGCTGGCTCGTGGGCTGTGGATGGAAAGGGTCTTGTTAGGTGGGGATCGGTGGCAAGAAGGGCGGATGTTGTCCCCGACTTTGGAGAGGCGGTTGAAGCCGTCAAAGCGTCCTGAACTATTGTTGCTAGTTCGAGCGCGACGTAACGTAAATGAAGTTTCACGAGTGATGCATCTTCACGATGCTCCGAAGTGCCATCCGTCGAACTCATCTGCATCTTCGGAGTCAGAGCCGCTTCCTTCCTCGTCCTCCGCTTCCAGCACAGTCTCTGGTTTCACAGCTGCTGCGGTGGCGGCAACGATTGGCTTGTCTGCGTCGGCAGACGCCTTGGACGCCCGCCGTAGCGTTTCCCGCTTCTCTTTCAGCCTTCGAATCCTGCCTTCCAGGTCCTCCATCACCTCGAACTCCTCCTCAAGCCTTTCTGCGGCTTCTTCCTTCTCGTCCTCGATCTCCACCTCACGCTTGCTGCGTTGCTGTGTCTCGGCCTGCGCTGCTGCTGCGGCCTCCGCAGCCGTTATGGGAGCTGCAGAGAGCGTCGCGTTCGTGTTCAGGGCATCCAGCGCGGATTTGGTCGGCACGGAGCTGGCGAACTCTTGGAAGGCAGCCCATTCTGCTTCGTCGACCGCGTCCGCTGGCGCTTGTGACGCTGCGTCCTGCTGCGTCGCAGACTTGGCGTCGGCCTTCGTCGCCTCTGCACGCTCGGTCGCCTTCGCAGAAACTGCACTCGGATCACTCTCTCGCGCTGGTACAAATCCTGGAATGGGAGCCTTCTGATCTTCGTTCTCGTCATCATCCCCGGAGGCGCCGTTCTGTCCGTCGAAGAATCCGGCTGCAACGTTCTTGTTGACGTCCTGAGACCGCGCACGCTTTCGCGCATCGCTGCTGGCATCGTCCTCGTCATCTTCGTCAGCCTTTCTCTTCTTGCTTTGGGCCGCCGCTGGCACCGAAGAGGCCTGCGCCTGAGCGGCGGTCTGAGTTCGAGCTTTGGAGAGAGGAGCAGCTCGGGCAGCTCTCTCTGCGCGAAGCATTGCCCGCACGTCCGCCATTGTACGAGTGTGTGTAGACACCGCGCGCCGCGTTCTTGATAGAATAAGTGCTGAGCAAGCTTCAAAGAGGTATACGAATGGTTGCTGGTCGAAGCCGTGGACAGGACTTGTAGGCAGGGATCGTGCAGACGCTCAGCTTTGACAGGAGCAGAAAAAGCTGACCAAATAGAGGGCGCAAGCACCTGACGAAGTCCTGGCAACTGGGGGCCGTTGATGCCTGGCGCCCGACGCGCGTCGTCGCCTCAGGCTGCAAAGCTGAGAGCCAGCTGTGGCGCACGGGCCCGACCGAGCTTTCGCAGATTTTCTACGACTCCACCCGCAGCAGCGCAAAGCACGACCTTTCTTCTCCTCCTCCTGCCTAGCCCTCTTCACCTCACCAACAACACGCCCGACAACCTTCCTGCGCGCGTTATCTCGTGTCGCAAAACAACGTATTCGCGCTTCCGACGTGTGGAAAAGCTTCGCGTCGATCACTACAAGCACGTCGCGTGACCTCACGTCATTCACCCACTGGACCTTTCAGCCGCGCCGTTTGCGCCGGCTGAATTATTGAGCGCAGGCGACGAGGGAGACGGGACACAACACCGACGTCGTCGGCTGGTGCGCTTTGGTGTTGACTCATCACAGCTCCCAGTAGCCCAAAGGCTTTGGTGGAGGCGGTTTCGTAGTCGGGTGTTAATTCAACCATCACGGCCGTATTTGCTCCGTGTCGCATTGCCTACCCTGCTGTTTATAGATGAGAGAGAGGCGTGTGTGCGTGAAAGCAGCGCGCTTGAATCAATAGAGAGCCAACCCCGTTCAACGTGACCTCGCACTCTTGATACTATCATCATCAAAATCACCATCGCATCAACATGGCTGGTAAGCAACCTTCGCGTGTCGCTCTATCTACGTCTTCCATACCATGTACAAAGCCCGCTGAATTGTCCACACCTTCACACATCGTGGAGAGTGTTCCCCCCTCACGTACCTTGGCCCCGTTTCACCCGGTCATACCACGGACTCACTTCAGGGGCGAACAGTCATTCCTTCTATTTGCTCCTATCTAGGGGTTGATACAACGTATACTGACGTGCGCTTTTTCGCAGAGGAACCCCGACGCTCTGGTCGCGCAACCAAAGGCCAACATACCAAGAACGACGATGAGCTGCTGACCGGAGCGAGCGCGGCGTCAACAGCTGCCGCGTCCGGACAAAAGAAAGGCAAGGCTAGCAAGAAGAACAAAGTGGACGAGCCATCAGACCTTGAAGTCAACGAAGAGGATGATTCCATCATCCGTTGCGTGTGCGGAGCCACCGCCGACGAAGATGGCTGGCAAATGATCTGCTGCGAGAAATGCGAAGCTTGGCAGCACAATCTATGCATGGGCGTGACAGAAGTGGAGGAGGAGCAGCCCGAGAAGTACTACTGTGAGCAGTGTCGGCCTAGCAACCATAAGGTTCTCCTGGCGGCGATGAAAAGAGGGGAGAAGCCGTGGGAGGCAAGGATCAAAGCACGCAAGGAGGAAGAGGAAGAAGCGGAAAGAAGGAGAAAGGGGAAAAAGGGAAAGGGCGGCAGTAGGAAGAGCGCTGGTGGGAAAGAGACGCCAGCTAAGGGAACGCCTGTACCGGAAGGGACGAAGAGAAAGGCAGAAGAGGAGGTAGGTGGTCTTATTCGCGATTTGTCTGTGATAGATCCTAATGAGTACACTCAGCACGTTGCTGCCCCGAAATCAGCAAGTCCGGTGGTGGCGGTCACGCCGTCAAACAACCGCCGCAAGTCGTCCACTCAGGTCATACCGCCAGACGCGAAGCGCCGAAAATCTACTGCGGATGGGATCAGCCATTCACGAAAGTCGTCCACCGTGGTGCCTCTTGTGTCGAGCATTGAAGAACTGCCCGGCCCTAGGCAGAACGCGCCCAAGGCGCTGAGCGTAAAGATCAAATCCGTCATCGACCAACTCGTCAAAGATGGCCGGTACCGGATCCCAGACGGCGAGACGGCGTCCTCGCTTGCAACGACAATGTCCCTCCAGATTGAAAATTCGCTCATGACTATCTACGGTGAGCCATCGGCCTACAAGACCCAGTTTCTGGCCATTCACAGTAACATACCGAAAAACACGGAACTGGTTGCACAGCTGCTGTCCGGATCCTTGACGCCGATGGAGATTGCAGACATGTCGTCGGACGATATGGCGAGCGAAGAGGTGCAGAGGGAGAGAGCGCGAGCGAAGGAGGAGGCCGACAAGCAGTCCATTCTCATCACAGAGCAAGTGCCCCGGATGCGAAAGACACACAAGGGTGACGAGATCATCGGAGAAGATATGACCGTAAAGCCGGTCGAAGATGCGTCCTGGGCAACCCAGCCGATCCGAAGGCGGGACACTCACGATGAGAATATGACGGGTGTGGACGGTCAACCGCAAGACAGAGACAGCCCGGATCGTGTCGAGCTGCCGGAGACGGAGAGGCATATTCCACCGCCGTTGAGCGTGGACACGAAAAGTCCGCATCAGAGGAAGCAGTCAGGAGCTTATAACATGGATCGCGTCTGGGGCGCTGCGCACTCCCCTGATCGGCCTCACGATGGCGCCGTGCAGACGCCCAGGATGCCGCAAGCGCCCGCGCAACCCCAGGACGCACAAATGCACGATGCAGATATCGATCGATTGCTCAAGGACGAGGATGATGACGACCAGGCCCCCATTTCGCCTGTGGTCGACGGCTCGCCCGGAAGCCCTGTTTGGAAGGGCCTCATCGACATGGCAGGTGTTGCGTCCTTCAATGCTTCAGCAAGATGGGTCGCCGGCGGAGACGTTGGCCAAAAAGTGCCATACACAGATCTGATTCCTGGCAAGATGGAGATCACTGGCCGCATCGCCATTCCACGCGCTGACGAGTACGTCGCGGGCATGCGTTTCTCACAGTCCAACGACGTGTGTTGCCTTCTCGTGACACCGTCCTCGCGCAGCGTGGATCGAGAGAGCTTCAACAGGATCTTCGATTACTTCCACTCGAAGCAGCGATGGGGTGTTATCAACGGGACCGGTCTTCACGAGGCTGTACGAGATTGCTACCTCGTGACCTTGGAAGCCGGCTCAGGCGGGTGGCCGGACTTCATGAGCATGTTGGAAGAGAGGCATATTGAGGAACCTAGGCCAGAGAATATGCTCGTCCTCACGATGGTGGTGAAGACGAAGTCCCCTCACTCCACGCCTGCGCCTGCGATGTCATCCACTCCTCAGATCCCGCAGCAGAGTCCTGTAGTTCCGCAGAATGGAAGCGCAGGCCCGATCCCACCGCAAGCCCCGACACCCGTCACGTATCCTTGGGCTACGGACACAGTCAAAGCGATTCTGGGGCCCGAGATTCACGCGCCCGCTGTGGTGCAGCTCTTCACGGCGGTTCCGGAGATGAGCGAGATTCAGGTGAGGAATCTGAGGGAGGCGTTAGAGCGCGAACCGAGTGCAAGAGAAGACCTGGGCAGGTTAGGCGAGGTGCTCAGAGCAGGCGTCCAGTGAGCTCAGAGTGTTTGACAACTCTCTGCTGGCCAAGACCATGGGCGGCGGAAAAACCAAGTGAGAAGATTGGCGCTTCATGCTTTACGAGTTGCTTTTGGGAGGGTCCATGATCAAGCGTTTGTTCTTTGAGCGTCGGTCACGTCGACTTACCACGTCTCGCTTTCTAAATGCCTGTGTCGTGGGCAGGATCAAAATCACGTTTAGCGAAAGGTACCTTCACATACCCTTCACATACGGACGGGAGTGTAGGGTCTTCCTTTTTTTTTGAACATATGTTCTTTTCTTATATCTTCCAAATCTCGATTGACATCGAGATTCTTGTATAAGTAGCCGCCTTGCTGCCATTCCGGAATAGGATACGCGTCGATCGTCTTTACGGGAGTAAGGTTTTTACAGAAAGAAACAAACTAAGCACCTTTTTTACGTAAAGTGGTCGCCTTGCTGTGAACTTTCTTCTTTTCCATCTCCCAACTGGACGAGTGGAGACTCGCCACCAACGGGCTAAGTCACCTTCTCGCGACTCTGCGTGCCTTGAGTAATGTGGATGCGGGCCGTCCCTGTGCCTGACCTGCGGTCCTCCTTGCATGCGCAGCAAACCAGCGACGTAGAGTCCAGACTTCCGACTCAACACGCCACATGCAAAAGACGCAGGCCATCTTTCGTTTCTCTCATAGACTAACCGCTTACTACACCTCCTGCGGGCGACTCTCCACGGCTTTAACGAACCTCTGAGCAACACGAACTTAACAAGATCGTACACGAGTCAGGAGCTTCGTTTGTCCCTTTTTTTTTCCTTTGTGAAAAGCAAAGCGAACGTGCAGGGAAACGAGCCGCGGTCTGCATTTGTCGATAGAAAGGCCCGAACGGGGCAGCGTAGTGCACGCTGGAAGGGGAAGAACTGTGTGCGTTTGCAGATGGAAGTATGTTGAGGCGTCGTTTGAACGCCGCGGACCAAGGACGCGGGGGGACAGCTCCTCAGATCCGAGCGATGGTTGCCCGGTCCGTCAGTCCAACCGGATCCGCTGTTGAGGCGAGATTCATGCCGGGATCGAGAGTGCTGTGGTGTGGTGTGCTTTGCCGTCACAAGCTGCGATCTTTTCGCTGAGGTCGGGCTGCTACTACACTTCGATTTCAGCACACGTCGGAGAATGGATGCGGGTGCCTTCAGGGGGAGCCGTCCGTATCCTGTTCTTCACAGAGGTTTGGGAAAAAAAAATATAATAGTCTATGAAAAAAGGGACCATGGGCTCGGCAAAGTCGGCCTCGGCCACATCCTGGCCCTGAAAGCCAACAGATAGAGTAGCAGAGAGTATGGTGGAGTATTACCACCAAGTACCGAGAAGACTCTCTTGATGGAATTGTGCTGAACGCCCGGTCCATAGCATTTCTCGATCGTAGACCACACCGCTTCTAGCACGGCGTCATATGCATGGAGACGAGTCATGTTGTGGCATCGTGGTTTAAACTAGTCAGACAGAGGGGGAGGTGACTTCGTGCAGCGCAGATTCACGACGGTGAAAAGAATGGCCGTGGTAGTCCCCGGTGTTCCGTGCTTGAGTCGACATGTCTTGAACGATGATCCACGCTAGACCCTCGAGTGTGCGCTCCTATTCATAGATGTCATATACGTCGAGCACGGAGTGATTCTGCCGCACATCAAAGGTGTGTCTTAACAGCATTTTGTGCAAGAGTCACCCCCCCCCCCCCCCCATTGCATCCCTACGCGTTCATTCTGGTCCCTTTTCACAAAAGTTCCTGCTTGCTACTTTACAGCAAGAGTTCAGAGTTACTGGTAGTGTTCATGGTGTTGATCCCCAATCCAGCCCGCTCAAAATGCACGCAGTGGTACTGCCCGAGAATAAAGTCCGAGGAGAGTACCAATATAGGTGCGAATCCTTGGACGTGTGCCGTTCATGTAGCACTGTCCTTTTCGTTATCTGCTTTTTTGAGACTGCGGGATGTCCTTGACTTCCAAACCTGCCTGCGTGATGTTGATAATACAGCTAGCAATGAGCTAACCCTAACCCTAGCTCATAGAAATAGGTGTCGCGATTCAAGATTGCTTAACGTTTGTGATGATCGCATGACTGGCTTACCTTTGACTGCAAGCAGAACATGATGAGTCACGGCTGATTCTCTTATCCGTCAATATCCATTTCACTGTATTCTGTCTCGCGATTGAACAACTGTTATTGTGACTAGGCTTCAATGAGGAAACACTTTTCATTTAAGGTACATGTTCTCCTGATCACTCTTAAGGTTAGCACAGCTTAAATCCAAAGTATTATTCAATCAGAACAGATAGTTGTACAAAATCCTATTAATCAAGCTTTGGGTTAACTCAGATCCACAATTTTGATTAAAGCAAGGTATTTATTCCAGCTTGAATTTAGCGTCGATTTCTTTATTTTCACCTGCTTAATTTGCTCGTTTGAACAGCCAGCGCATTATAGCTCGGGGGCCGATTTGACGGGAGATCTACTGAGCAGATTCTAAAGTTGTGGAGATCGAATAGAGGTTGGAATACTCAAGTTGTACTGTCTGTTCGCGAAGACCGATTGCAGCTACGAGAAACACAGTATTATACAAGTTGGAAGATCAAGATGTCGAGATACCGAGCCCTTCCTGCATCAACAACAGGACTACCGTGGCACACAGGCATAGTCCATACAGCCAAGTGCTCCGTGGGTGGTGAGGTGAACAAAGACATGTTTCGTCGATGCACAACGTGCGCGCATCTTGTTTGCTCGAAGTGCTTCAACAGAGCCGGGTTCAAGCACAAATGCACCGAAGGACAAGCATTAGGTCCTTTTCCGACATATAATCAAGAATCAAAGATTATGCAGCTACTCGACGCCAAGATCCCACCACGCGATGCTTCAAAGCCAGAGAAGCCCTACCACAACGAATCCTGGCAGTGGACGCCACCACCTGCAATTTTGAGCCAGTATCCTGGCGTCCATATGGTTGGAGAGAACTTAATTGGCGTTGTGCCAGGTAAAAACACGGCTCTTGGTATTTCTATCCCTATCATCAACGACTCGGCTATTGGCCATTCCGAGTCAAAGAAGCCCACACCGCCTATACGCGAACACTCGCTGACAAGAGTACCAAACGAACAAATAACTGGGGGAGCGGATACTGAGACTGAAAAGTCTCTCCTATACCAGATTGATACACCCGAGTCACCGGCGGTCGCCGCAGATGGTGGACAGACGCAAACTACGATTTTCAGCAGTCACGAAATCACCGACGCCGAGGCTGAGGACGAGGACGAGGAAGAGAGTAACTTTGACAGCCAAGAATATCAGCCAAGCTCGCCAATCCAGAATGAAATCGAAGAGGAAGCGTACACACCATTGAGAAGCAAGTCTTTACATTCAAGACGTGGGTCTGTTTCTCCTTGCCTTGAAATAGACGAGGACAGCGATGTAGAAATCGCCACGCGATCGGATCCTCCACTTTTTTCTAGCTATTCTCGTCTTACGGCCCCTAGCGAGAGAGAAGTGAACGAGTTCAAAGAAGTCATCAAGACCGTGAGTCGTCCTGCAAACCGCATGTGATGATTATGCCCATTCTTGCTGTCGATAGTGGCATAATCAAACATTCATTCGCTAACACGGGAGCAGAAACGAACATTCGATATAGATATGGGGCCTTTAATTCGCATAACCATGTTTCCGGGCTTCTTTCTGAGCGATCCCAACGGTGAGCCTGGCAACATTTTGGACAACAAAGGACCTATTAAACTCCCACTTGCGCTTGGTTATCAGTTTCGAAATTCGGCAACCGACACTCTGGAGCGCCGAACGATTGCAGTTCTCCAAGGCAGAGGAGACAGCGTAGATGCTCCTGCCATTAGCATGGTCGCGTCCAGCCACGACGTAGGTCAACAAGGCATCTCAAGGGAATTGCAAACACTGTTCGAAAGGGCGATCATGGGTGGCAGCTCATTCGGGGATGGCTCTGACATCAATTTCCCCTCTATGGAGCATTAATTACAAACCACAGTCGAAGACGATCGTGAGGAATTGTTGGACTCTCCGTCATGCTTGAAATGGAGACATCCAGAGCGTATGACACAATTTCAATGCCTCATTGAAGCACTTGATGTGGCCTATATCATATTCAGGTTAATGTAGATTTTATGATTATTTTGCATGTACGCATGTGTAGGATATGTCGAGAGCAGACAGGCTCTGGCTGCAACGGTTGTCCCAACACGGCCTAATGGAGATGTGCAACAAATCAAACTATAAATTTTTGACACTGATAAGTTTGCATTTTGGTGGTAATATATTGGAAAGAAACTCTAAATTTGTAGAGTCTCTCCCGTTACTTGCACTTTGGAGGTCCTGATGAAGGTGAACGAAACAACGCTTTACCCAATTAGGGTTTCACGACATTGATTGGAGTAACTTATCCAGCAATTGGCCGTCTTGTGAATAGCGCATCAACGTCTCGCCTTTCGTCCATCACATCGGTGTGGTAAACAATAAATCCATATGCGCAGAGGTACACGAAAGGCCGTGATCAATCTTGGCTTATTTGTTTCCGCCATTATTGTTCTTCTGTACTTGAACAGTGCCCCTCCGAACGGTGGAAACCATTCCCTTGCCTGGACAACGGTCCGCTATCAATCATCAAATGATGTAAAAATCAAACCTCGAGGCAGCTGTCCTGGTCTATCTGAGACAAAGAAACCAGCCCTTGTTGTTGCCAGAACCAGCGATGAAGATACAAACTGGCTTGACGGATTGAAAACAAAGTATCATCTCTGTGTATACACAGTGGATGTTGAAGACACGACGTCCAGCTATCTACAAGTTCCAGCCAACCGAGGTCACGAGTCTATGCCGTATCTTACATTTATCATTGACAACTACGACGATATTCCTGCTGCGGGTGCAGTTTTCGTCCACGGCTCACGCATCGCATGGCACAATGATCATCCTCAGTATGATAACGCGAAGCTGCTCGCCACGCTCAACATTCAGACCGCGCTTGAGACAAATGGCTATCACAACCTGAGGTGCGACTGGTCAGCAAGTACATGTTCACCCAAGGAGGCCCTACCTCAAGGCAGCTACGAGACGCGATCGAGAGCGATGCTGGAGCCCTGGAACGAGCGGGTTGTGTCAGACGCTGCTTTACCTGGAGCTTTTGCCGCGATTTTTGGCGGCCTTGCTCATAGCAACAAGGACCCAAAGGTTCATCTCGGTCGAAACGATCCACTCAGGGCCCAATGCTGTGCGCAGTTCGTGGTGTCGCGCGATTCGATATTGCAGCACTCTCGCGACGAGTACGCAGCAATCCGTCAGTGGCTTTTGGATGGATCTGATGGGACACATAAGTCTGTTCCCGGTGCCTCCTCCCCCGATGATCGAATTGCAGGAAGAGTTTTGTCATATCTTTGGCATGTTCTGTTCATCAAACACGACCCGTCTCAAGAGACATTGGACCTGGAGAAGCTTAATGAGGCCGGATGTCCGACTGCTGCTGAATGCTACTGTAAGCTCTACGGACGATGTGATTTGATATGCAACAAGCCTGGAAATTGTCAAGGACAATACCGGCTTCCCCCAGACTTCAAAGTACCTAAAGATATAGTGGATGCGTCATGATCCCCCAGGATCGCACAGATTTTGTTCTCTAAAATGTGCGCTGGTACAAAATGAACGGCATTTCCTGAATGAAAATTGCTGATCGACTGTGAATGATTCATTCAAATTGGGTCTCAGGTTGAACGATGGCGTAACTAAGATGCAAAAAAGCCGACGGAGTCGCTGTTAGTCTCGACATATGGCCCAAGTTCTGCTGCGATCGACGTGTTTAAGTAGTTAGGACTGAGGCGGATGTTCTTCGATTGGTATCCAATGCATGTACAGCTTCTTGGGCTCGGCATTTGCCATTTGTAAGATTGGAAGGCGACACATCTTGTACGACTTACTGCTAAGGGAACTGGGGAAATTAAATCAAGCGCGCCAACAGTTTTGCGGAAGGCCACGACGTGGTTTGCATGAAAACTATCCAACTTCTCCTCGCAATAGAAATGGACATTATATCTATTCATATTCTCGTCTGGAAGAATACTTTTCTTTTCATTACTTTACATTATTCCATCAGCGTCTAAAATCCGCGATACTTGACAACGATCGTTCTCGTTTTTTATAGACGCAGATTCAGTAGACTGTATCCAAATTTGTATTGTTATTCTGACAGATTTTGAATTTTCCTACCGTGAAGACTTGAAAATCTCAAAACTTTTCTGAAGTCTCAGTAACAAGGACAACCACCCTCACTACCTAGGTAGGTTCGTATTGCAGCATGTCTTTCCCGAAGCGGCAATGCTTCTCTTGACCATAGGCTGACGCAGAAACATCTTTTTGAGATGCCTCAGCACCATTAGGATCATCACTGCATCCTGCCTTATCGAAGATTTGGTTCTGTCTCGTGTAGTAACGCCCCTGTAGTGACTTGTATTGCTGCTTTCGGCATCGCGGCATTCGCGACGAATATGGCGTCTTATGCGAGATTGTATGAAGAATATCAGCCTTCTTTTGTCCTTTTTATTTTATTTCATTTTTGACGGTATTCGTGTTGTTATGCGGACGAGACTAGAAACGAATCGAGCCTGTCGAACCCGTCTGCCTGAAGGCGCCTCTAGACGATTCTCTGGATAATTTGAGAGTGCTGTTTGGAATGCGAAGGGTGTCTGAACGCTTTTTCGAGGAAGCCACTGTCGACGTCGGTGACAGGGGAAAGGAGGGTAAACCCCCAACGATGCTTTCTGTGGCAGACATCGGCGTACTTACACTTCCCGTGGCGTCATCGAGGTCGATAACAGACCCGTCCAGTAAATCTTCTTCTCCATCACGTTCACGCCGATGAGATCGAGTTTCAAGAGGGCTTCGAGCAATCTTCGGGGTCAGGTTTTTTCGTACGGTCATTTCTGTCGTGTCAAGGTCGATGAACGGTCGTTCGAGTGATGCGGCAGATTTTCGTACTTGAGAGAAGGAATGGCGTGGGAAAATGAGTAAATCTGCTCTTCTAAAGTTCGCACGCAGAACTTGGGCATCTGATGGAGGCGGATGCAATGGTCTCGTCGCGTTGAAATGGCGTACTCGCAATGGATCGTCTTTCTCAGCCTGTATATGGTTTATTCTCGGCAGATGCGAAGCATATTCAGCCCCCATTTCTGAACCTTCATTTTGTCTCGGTGCTTGAGACTCAACCGCAGGCTGTTTGTGCATCTGAATGTCTTTTGATGCTCTATGCGACAATATCGAGACAATAGTTGCGATTCGGGGAAGAAAGACTTTCATGACAAAGGCTCGAACAGCGGGTGCACAAGCGCATATCTGAACTCTGCGGATTAGCCATTTCGCCTTCGAGTAATGTTTCGCATGCTACTGACCACTCCAAGATCCAGTTCTATTGTTGCAGCAATATATATGCCGAAGCCATTCCAAGTATCATCGTAAGTTGCTATCAGCGCATACCAACTGTAGTAAGCTCGTACCGCGCCGGCAACGCATACAACCAACCCAAGACTAACCAAAACAATGGCGCCTACGCGTTGACGTGGAGTAAGCTCTAATCCAAGAATCAAGGGGATAGGTAATATAATAACCATTAAATCGACAACAGTATTTGTGATGCCGCCTCCGAGAGTTAATTTTCCGTCATCGAGGCATTTTTGGTTTTCCAATGGAGGGAAGGTCCAGAAGGCGCGAATTGGTCTGCATTGGAATATTGTCAATGACACAAGAGTGACTCCGCAGAGGATTGAAATGACAGTAGATGCGTAGATGCATAGTCTGAAGCCATTTTTCGTACTCTCTTGTGTGACTCGGTAATAAAAGCAAAGAAGCGACAAGCGAGTGAAGCATGCAGCCGTCGAATAAACGATCTTCGTCCACCAGGCGAGGTAGAGGGCTTTGCTGAACTTATCGAAAGGGGTGTCCCATATGTGACGATCCCAACCGTAGTGTTTATAAGCAACCACGGTGCACGTAGTCATGCCGCAGACAGAGATCTTGAAATGGTCAGTCCATACCTCCATTTTTGAAGCTGTTGATCACTCACAAATGCCAGGACGATAAATACATCATCCCATGAGACCCATCGGAGGATAAACATATGAACATACAGCCTCAACAACACAAGAATGGCAACAACGGCAATAAGAGATGCTGCGAGGGTTACTAATCCCGGCCCCCTCCTCAACGGATCATCGAAGTTCGCAGGCGGCCAAGATGCGATGACCGTCATAGGGATCGCTCGAACCATATCGAGATCGAATCAGAGGACTATCTGATCTCTGAAAGGCTTTGAAGGGAGGAAAAGAGCAGGACGAGAAAAGAATGTCACAATTCGTGTGACAACAGCAAAGGTTTGTAACTCATGTGCCATCTAAGGACACTCGGCAAAAGGAAGAAAAGAAAGCAACGCTACAAGGTAGTTACCCAGGAAAGCGGTTCGTCAAATCATAGTGTACACAACAGAGACGTGATCACCAGAAGAAGAGGAGTTGCGCTCATGGATACAAAACTCCACAGAAGAGCGTGTCCACACAACGGCGGGTCGAGCATGAATATGCTGCGCTTAGACGCCTTCACGAAGGTTCTCGTAGAGGTGGCGAAACACCGTGCATTAAACCATCTTCTCAATGCCATAGCCATCACTGCCTGATTCACCTCTACTAGAGGGAACTTTAGTCGAGGCTCGGGCCTAGGGATAAAGTTCTGGAGCAAATACCGTGTGGAAGTCAGACATGTCAGCACGCAACAGTGCGGCGGCGCGACCGCCCGTAGCACCGTCGCCACAGTGTATAGCAATGCGCTATCCGTAGTTCAAACTGCACCCTGTCGAAATGCCGGGCGCGGGTTGGGCGGAAATGGAAAAAAGCTGATCCGCTCACGGAAGCCGTGATTTTGAGTTTTCTCAGCCTTGCTTTTGCAACCAATTGGAAAAGATCGATCTTGTGCCAAGTGTGAGAAAGTCGTTCGATTCTGTAGACGGTGCTTTTCTTTTGCATCTAACCGCCGGGATGCCGTGTGCAGGGCGACGTTCTGTTTCCTTCCAAAACAGCAGCTTTTGTTTGCGCTGATATCGGGCGCTTGGTCGACCGCCTGAACCGAACGCTACGACACCACGAGCGGGCTACGTCAAGAATCAATGCAGCAAAAAGTCCGGTGAATATCGGAGCCTCGATCGATTCTGCAGCAGCCCATGAGCTGTTTGAGCGGGGTTGATCTATGGAGAAAAGGGTTTTCCTCTGTGGCACAGTCCCCCGTAAGCTTCGTGACGCCAGCGTCTCAAAGATAAACCACGGGCGCCATGTTTCACACGCTATCGTCCGCAGCCGGGGGACCGCACCTCTCGCACGCCTTGTTTTCAACTTAGACGAGTCTTCCCATCACAGGGAAAAGTACATCTAGGTTGTGTTCTAGCCTTGCGAAATCACCTTACCCCGGACAAGGCTCATTCACACTTTGGATCTTTGCGGTTCCGTATTGAGCAGCATGAACCGGCAGGAAATTATCGAGACTTGTCTCACGAATTTGATTGGCGAAAAAGAACGGACAACGCTTGGAGAACGTCTTTAGTGAACGGTAGTTCTTGACGAAGATTTAGAAAACCTTTCGGAAAGGTGTGCAATATCCGGCGATTGATAATCGTCCCTCCGAACCTACTAATCTGGGTCCTGGTCATTACCACAACTCGCAAACGGGCTCTTTTTTACACCCAAATGCGTTCAAGAACTCTCTCGAGTTGGCCATCGTCCCCAGAATTCTTGCCCACTTGGGTGCATGAGGATCCGTATAGATCCGTTGTCTCGCAAATTCATCTCTACTCTTTCCGCACCACCAGTTCGCATAGCTTACGAAAAACAACTGATCTTTGGTGAACTTTCCCTGCAGACCGGGCAACATCTGATTAAGTCGTGGGTTCTGCTTTTCCCTGATCTTCCAGGCCTTGAACGCCGCACTTACGCCTCCTGCATCGGCAATGTTCTCGCCGAGGGTGAGCTTGCCGTTCACGTGGAGCGGTCTATCGTCGGGTCCAGGGATAGTAAAGTTCGAATATTGATTTATGAAGCAATCAGCTCGTTTCGTAAACTCCTGGACGGTGGCATCGGTCCACCAGTCAGTGTAGTTGCCGTTTTGGTCATAGTGTCTGCCCGTCGAGTCAAATGCGTGGCTCAGTTCGTGACCGGCAACGCTAGCGAATGCCCCATAGCTCAAATACTGAGGCACGTTGACGTCAAACACAGGAAACTGCATTATTCCAGCTGGGAAAACAATCTAGTTCCGAAAAGTTAGCACCCTTTTATTCGATTCCCATTCCCATGCTTGCGATATACCTCGTTTCCTGGTGGATTATAGTCTACAAACTTTGGTTAGTGTGATTGAACAGACCGGGGTGCTAGCGTGTGATGTGTGAACGCTTGGGCACGAGCTTACAAGCATTGACGGTGGGCACAGACATATCCCACTTCTCCCTGTCGACCGGTTTACCAAGCGCCGACCACATGTTGTTGATCTCCAGTCTACTCATGGCCAACGCGTTTGCGAAATAGGTTGACGGATTTATAGTGACCGTGTGATAGTAGTTTTCCAGCGCTTCCGGGTCCATAATATCTGGACTCTATTTCACCCTCATCAGCCTTCATCATCGACACGACAGCAGCTATTGCAGACAAACCTTTGTCGGATAACCAATCTTCTGGATAATGTTGTGAACCTTATCAATTGCCAGGTTTTGGACTTTCTTTTCCATCCATTTTGTTGCCCGAAGTTTCTTGATGAATTCGTTTTTGATGTCTGTGACAATCTGATCGCCAAATTCTTTAGCCTTGGCTGAGAAGGCCTTCTCGACAAAAAACCGGCTGAGAATCCAACCAAGGCCATCGTCAACGTGCCTGACGCACGTCCGCCATCTTTCAGGAGCAGAATCAGGATCCCTGCCTTGAAGCTCATTAACAAAACGTTTGTATGGAGTCACAGCATCCGAGTCAACATATGGGTACAGAGCTTGGACGGCCTTCCAGACCAGATAATTTTGCAAGACTCTGGAATCGGTATTATCCAGTGTAGCCGCTGTCTTGTTCATGTATGAAGGTGACATATTGATCACACGATCAACCTTGACATCCTTGGGAGCAAGCTTTTCCACGATTGTCGCAAGCCCTACTTGCGGCAGTAGGTCACTGGCCTCCATAAGAGACATTGGGTTGTAGTACTTGGTGACATCATTAGCATCCTCCTCTTTCGGTGCAGCAGCAGCTAGCTTTTTTTCAAACTCAGCAACATCGTCGCCCACAGACTCGATATCGAGCCCTGAGAATAGACCGCTAAAAACATCTGATATGACAGCTTTGTACTTTTCAACAATCTTTTCGTCCTCGTACAGCTCTTTTGCTGGCAGGCCAATTCTACCTGGCGGTGTAATAGCTACAACGACCGTGTCTGGGTCTTTATCATCTGCTCCAGTGTATGGTGCAATGATAGCAGTGATTCCAAGCTCATACAAGTAAGAAATGGCTGTCTGCAGACGCTCGTCCTTCATATTGACATCTGAAATCGACACGGGATAAAGCTCCTTGACATGGTTGATGATCTCAATCAGCGGCTTTGCTCCATCCTTTTGTATTGTTGTTTCGTCCATGCAAGCATCGTAAGCTGCTTTCATCTTGTTGAAGTTGGATTCATCCGGTCCTCTTGCGGTACCCGCCAGCTGCATGGGCGAGAAGTATGAATGCGCTGAGTCCTTTGGATATGGCGCTTCCAAGATATGGCGAAGCAGCATTTGAGAGTTCTCAGCCATGATAGTACCAGTGAATGCATCACCTTGATCGGGACGAAGATCATGACGTTCTTTCCATCCGCCACAGACAAGCTCCTCAAAATCGGTGCATGCGTCAATAGACTCATAGTCTGGTGAAAGATTGTACAGAATCTCGCTGCTGGCGTGGACGCATTCTGGGGTGAGACAGATGTCATGCGAGTGCGGCTGATGTTTCTTTCCCTTTCCTAGCCTTAGAGCGGCAAGGACATCATTGTCTCCAGTAACGAAAGTGTTAAAGACGAGGTAAGCGCATGATAGTGCGGCTACAGCTGTCCAGAGCGACACGACCGTTCGCCTTCTGGACGAGTGAGCCGTAAGGTGCCAGCTGGCTTCGGCTGAATTGACATTCAGCAGCTTGGACTTCTCTGCCATAGATGGCATAAAAGATAAGAAAGAAAACGAAAGGAACAGCGATGGGGTTGCTTGTTGAGCTGGATGCCAGAGAAGTCTGGATGGTGAAACTTTTGCTGCAAAAGTTGGGATGTGAGCGCAGTGGTGTTTGTTATGAGGTGAATGCTATGATGTATTCCAGCTCCGCACTCCGATCGAGGCTAGCCCCAGTCTAGCGCTGCAAGGGACCGGCTGAGCGCGAGGCTGAGAGCTCAGATGATTACGTCAAATGAACAACAAATCTGGTGCCCGAAACGCAAAATAACGCTAAATTTTATGGTTCGTACTGATTTTAGACTCTTTGACTCTTGGTATCGTGTTGCATGTCCGATAAAGAGGTGAATGGAGCTTGTGAGCCGTCTGTTTCGTAAGACTCGTGATTTTCACCCAAAATCGAGGGTGAGTTTATAGATACCATCGAACAGGTAGGAAGGACGATGGCAGAGAAGTTTAAGTGCGACGCGGTTCACAGTGTTTCGAATTTGTCTAACGTCTATGGTTGTGAACGGAAATGTGAGCCTTTGTGATGGCTTGGCACGTGCGCAATTTAGCTGGGCCTTTCGCAATCTGCAGCTGGCGATCAAACGCCAACCCCAAGCGGTCCAAACAACAGTAAACACAGCGCTTATATCGCCAGTTCCCGCCAAAAAAAATCATGACCGACTCATCATTTGGGTTGTACTCCTCCAAGCGCAAATTCTACAGGCTGTTGGATAACCTATCCACCTCAAAAGTCCAGCTCTCTAGCGACAAAAGTGCTTATGCAACAACGGTAGAGCCACCTACCAAGCGTTTCAGACGCTTGACCAAGGACAGCAGACCTACCACTGCCCCCTCGACGCCAGAGCGCCCAAGAACTGCTGGAGCAAGAGACAGGCCAAAGTCTGGCCTGTTCTCTGGGGCAAATTCCAGACCGAAGAGTGTGATTTCTGAAATTGACGTCACCACGGATACACAAAAGAAGACTCCAAATTACGCGCCGTGGAGCCACGATCAGTTTCTTGAACGACTGAAGACTTTCTCCGACGTTAGAAATTGGACACCAAAGCCGGTCGACATCAGTGAGGTCGAGTGGGCGAAGAGAGGGTGGACTCTGGTTGCCAAGGACACGGTGGGATGCAAGGGAGGGTGTGAGAAGAGGCTTGTTGTTAAAATTGCAGAAGATGAGAATAGGCAACCAAGGAACAGCGACAACGATGCTGACAAAGAAGATGACTGGTGGATGGGTGATTTAGAGAAGGAAATGGTGAACAAATATCATGTCTTGATTGTGGACGGGCATGCGGAGGACTGCCTCTGGAGACGTGCTGGCTGCAAAGATGATATATACCGCATAAAGATGGCAGATCCGGCAACATGGCAGACAGAGCTAAGGGAGCGGTATCTGTCACTTCTGGACATTGAGGACTCGCTTCCAATGAGGCTGGACCTCAAGCCGCAAGATGCCAAAGAGGACCAGAACATGTTCGACGTAGTCGAGATAGCGCGTTTGGTACCCCAGGATGTCTTACGGCGACGACGCTCTTCAGCCAACGACGAAAGCTTGTCAGAAATGAACAATGGCACAACCAGGGAATCGTCCGTGACTAATACAAACACGACCGCTTTGGCCATGGCTCTTGTAGGATGGAGTGGGCAATCACAAAACAATGTCAAACTTGCCTATTGTAAGAAATGCTTCCAACGCGCCGGACTTTGGCTCTACACACCGAAACCGCCTGCAAACAGCTCATCAACATCTTTTGTTGACTCGGAGGACCTGGTCTTCAATCCAATTGAGCAGCACCGAGAGCACTGCCCCTGGAAGAACCCAGCCACCCAGTATTCACTTGGCAGACTCGAAGGTCTATCAGGCTGGCAGGTGCTTGTGACCTTGATCAAGGGATACAAAAGGCATGACCGATCACCATCCAAGGCAGCTAGTAGTCGACCTGTAAGCTCATATACAGAAGATGGTGCCGAAGAAGAGGCGAAGTCCAAAGAGGAACAGGAGAAAGAAGACAGAGAGAGGAGGAGTAGGTTGCAGAGGCTTAAACGAGCATTTACGGTAAAAAAGGGGAATACATTGAGCAAATAATGATGAAATAGATGACTTGGAAGCATGCGCATTTAATCGTATCAATTTTTGTGGAGTACGTTCACATCGTAGGATATCAAGCTTGGAGACAGAGCAGAGACAGCACACAAATTCCCAAGACTTTCTTGGATCTTGCGGCATTATTTCGAAACAAATGAGTCAAATTTACTCTCGGATAGTACTCGAATAGTTCGACTAGTGGACATGGTTTTCGTCGTGCTTGCAAAAATTCGTCGTTGGGCTAACCATGCAGAAGGTTCCCGGATCCTGAGATTCAGCTGTCGCCATAACACGGGAGGGATCATGTCTGACTTTCCAATTATATTGGACTACCAAGCTAGTACTGTCATGAGCCAGTTGTGGCTATTTCATCTAGAGCGAAGTCCGAATCCAACGAGTGCGTGGAGAGAGCGAATAATGTAATTTTTCGCCTCTGGACATCGGACCGGGACCGGAAACCATGACGCCAACTCTGCCCTCCGCCACAGACTATCCGCACCTTTTTGTACCGAAGCGCGCTTCACACAGATCATGACTGGCCAGAAACTGCGGCTCGTTCTGCAAGCGGCGGGCAGCCTGCAGCTGCTTTTCATCTTGTCGATAGAGACCAATATTCCTGTGCTCTTAACCATTCGGCGCGCCTGAAGCTAATCCGCGTTGTAAATCCCAATCTGGAATACACATAGGGCGCTCATGATACGCCAAATCCTTTCTGTCGCAGGTTCGCCAAATTTTTACCGAGTCCAATATCAGCTATAGATGCACGGGCAAAATGCTCACCCGGAGGCGGCCTCGCACAAAAGCGCAGACTCAGTTGGCAGTTTGATATCAACTACCTCAACGCTGCGGGATGATGGCGAGTCACCTCGCTGGACGGAGTCGTCTAAGGAGACTTCGTTAGATCAAATTAATGAACAAGACCCTCTTTTAATGCAAGACTCTTCAACCGTTCTACCTCCTGCTCCAGTCAACGAGGAAGAGCAGAGGCCGACCCAAGACAAGCATGTCAAGCCTAAAACAGCGAAATGGAAGGATTTACCGAAGAAAGACCAACTTGCTCTGCTCACCATAGCGAGACTGGCAGAACCTCTGACCCAGACCAGTCTGCAATCCTACATGTTCTACCAGTTGAAATCTTTCGATCCTTCACAACCAGATGACATGATATCGACTCAGGCAGGCATTCTCGGTGCAGCATTCACCGCTGCCCAGTTCATAACTGCTATCCCTTGGGGGCGAGCGTCGGACTCTGACATGTTCGGGCGAAAGGTAGTGATCATTATCGGTCTTCTAGGCACCATGGTATCTGCATTAGGGTTTGGTTTCTCGCGAAGCTTTGCCTCCGCGGTTCTGTTTCGGGTCATCGGTGGCGCATTGAACGGCAACGTGGGAGTCATGAGGACGGCATGTTCCAGTCGCTCACTATCGACACTCTGATGCTAACTACTACTAGATGATATCTGAAATTATCAAGGAGAAGAAGTATCAATCTCGAGCCTTCATGCTCTTGCCGATGACATTCAATATTGGTGTCATCATTGGCCCAATACTAGGTGGTATATTATCAGACCCTGTAACGCAGTATCCTAAACTTTTCGGCAAAGACTCTATCTTTGGTGGGAAGAGTGGCGTCTGGTGGATGGAGAAATGGCCGTATGCACTCCCAAACCTCGTCAGTGCACTTTTTTTGTTCAGTTCAGCCCTCATGTTGTGGCTAGGGCTGGATGAAACCCACGAGGTGGTCCGACATAGACTTGACCGCGGTCGACAGCTTGGTCGCTTTCTTGCAAGATTGATTCTTCGACGAAGACACGACACGACAATGTATACTTCTGTTCCGTTAACAGATGGGACCGAGACTCCAGATGAAGACGTTGAGTTACAGTCGCATGTGGAAGTCGAGCAAGAACAACTTAAGAAACGCAGGATACTGCCCCTACGGAGAATCTGGACAAAGAATGTAATCGTGACGTTATGTGCTCACGGATCTCTCGCATTCCATGTTGGCACGTTCAACGCTTTGTGGTTTATCTTCCTCAGCACGCCGCGATACGACCCGAAGCACCCTCAGCCCCCAGCATTGAAGCATCAATCCTTTCCAATTCATTTCAACGGTGGGCTGGCCTTATCGCCAGCACATATCGGTCTTGCTCTTTCCATCCTAGGTTCCATTGGGATTTGTCTTCAGCTTTTCATTTATCCCTCATGGTCAGGTAGGTTAGGCGTTGTCAGAAGCTATAGGTATAGCTTATTGTTGTTTCCAATATGCTACACATTGGCTCCATACTTGGCATTGCTGCCCTCGACCTCTCAGCCACCCCACGAAGCGACGGGTATCGTGCTCTGGGTAGGCATAATTACAGTCCTTACCATCCAAGTCATGGCTCGGACATTCGCTCTGCCCGGCACCACTATTCTCGTTAACAATAGCTGTCCGCATCCAAGTGTTCTTAGCACCTACCACGGAATCGCCCAAAGTATAAGTAGCGCAGTCCGCACAGTCGGCCCAGCGTCAATGAGCTGGTTGTACGGACGCGGGCTAGTATGGGGAGTCGTGGGCACTGGTTTTTGGGGTTTGGCCTGTGCGGCTATCATCAACAATTGCGTTGGAGCTTTCGTACGTGACTCGGATGGGCATGAGATCAAGCTTGAAGGAGAATGATAAAACGATACGATGCGATGAAATATATGAGGCACGTGGAAATAGAATGAAAAGTACGATTAACAATGCAAGGCCTTTTAACAAGTGAAAAGTCTAGATGAGAAAATAACTTGACTTTTCTTCGCAATGGGAAGCGAAGCAAACAAACAATGGAGCTAATACAGAAAAATCTTATTTGGCGAATGGGTAAAGCTTGATAAATTCAACGATTATCTTAGACAGCATAGCATAAGTTAGCATTCAACCGGGCGAAAAATCACGTGAAAAACCATTATGTAAGCATTTCGACATCGTGGAACATATTACACCCTCCCGATTCGGTATACGCTCACGACCCAGGTTTACAATTGTTTCGACGTTGCGACCCTACATACCGTGGCTCCAACACGCACAACCGTCGAGCTACTCTTCTGCTACGACCCAATTGAAACTCCAAGCCAAACGCTCGCTCTTCTACGCTCTGACGTAAAAGTAGATCTGATTGCCCTCTGACGTCGATACCTTACCAAGCTCAATACCTGAACGCCTGAACAGGCGACGTATTCAGCTACCGTGTTTGGTGCCTTAAATCCTTTCCTGCACCTTTGGTCACGTCGCATCCTCCGCTCCTTTCATACTCTCACACTGCAGCTCGGGTGGCAAAAAGGAACAGCATGTCGCGACGAGCGGTGCCAGAGAGCACGGCGGAGCGGAACCGGAATACGCTCAAACAACTGGTGAAGCTTGAAGCGAATAAGAGTTGCTGCGACTGCAAGAGGAACAAACGTACGGGTCACTTATGTTTCTCGCCTCGTAACTAGAGACTGACGCATGCTATAGACCCGAGGTGGGCTAGCTGGAATCTTGGTATATTTATTTGCATAAGGTGGGCAGCGGCATGGATTACCTGCTATCATCCATTCTGACGTGGTCTCTATCAGGTGCTCCGGTATACATCGTGGCATGGGAACACATATCAGCAGGGTTAAATCTGTGGATCTAGATTCATGGACCGACGAACAATTGCAGAGCATGCTTAAGTGGGGTAATGCAAGGGCAAACAAGTACGCAATCCCACGGCTGCGGAGACGACTTACTAACATGGATAGGTATTGGGAAGCAAAGCTCGCACCTGGTCACATACCTGCAGAAGCCAAAATCGAGAATTTCATCCGGACTAAGTACGAGTCTAAGCGCTGGGTAATGGACGGAGGAATGCCAGATCCATCAACACTAGATGTGGAGGGTGACGACGATGTTGTGAGTAGCAATAGACCGTACAGAAGCGCATAGCTGACGACACTAGCCTCTGAGCGTTGTACAGGAGAAAGCGAAAATTGAGCGATCTACATCACAAAGGGTCGCCTCTTCGAGTGGTAGTGCTGCTGCTATAACTGCCGCTCCACAGGCAGTGCGTCAAACACAGAATGTTGACTTGTTTGGCGACGAGCCTCCAGCGCGACCTAGCACCGGACCACCAGCAAGCGCCGCAGCTCCACCAAAAAGAACTCCGAAGCCAACACAGCCTGGTGACTCTCTACTTGGATTAGATTTTCTGTCGGGACCGACCGCCGCTCCCCCTGCAAGGCCGTCAAGTAACCCATCTCTGGCCGGTAATGCCACATCTAGGCCAGACCTTAAACAGTCAATCCTTTCCCTGTACGCTTCAAAACCTGCTGCGCCGCCTCAGCAACCTCAGCATGCTCCATCAAACTCTGGCTCTTTTGGTGCGCCATCCCCTCCTGGACAATCAGGTCTTGGTGGCATCAATGATGCATTCGCTAGTCTTAGTTTCTCTCAACCAACTCAACAATCGCAGAAGCCATCTCCTTTCGCAGGTCTTGATAGTGGTATGAAAAGTCCGCGATCTTCAGTTTCAAAGCCAGCAACTACCTCGTTTGGAGGTGGAGGCAGCTTTTTCGATACCCCTGCCTCGCCACCTCCACCACAAGCTAAGCCAGCGCATACAAACAAACAGCCTTCCTTTGGCGGGTTCGATGACTTCATATCATCACCAGCTCCGGCAAACAATGGGAATCCACCAGCCAAGAGCAATGACCTTTTCGATCTGATGAGTGGAGATTCAGGTTTCACGACATCCCAAGCTACCACATCCACATCACAGGCAACTGCAACAACACCATCTTATAACAACTCCGCATTCAATTTGTCAAGTCCAGCGCCTGCTGCACAGTCCACTCCGGTCCCAACTACCGCAAAGTCTCCGACCATTAATCTCGCATCCAATTTCGATGCTTGGGGCTCGTCCAATGCATGGAATGATGATAAGCCTACGACGTCCGTCACAACAACAAACGCCTCGGCTTCGGGCGACTTTGGTTGGGGCTCCTCCGCCTCCACCAGCTTCGGCCAAAGCAAAGCCACTCCTCAAGTCAGCGCTGATGAGGATTTTGGTGACTGGGGTCACGCATCGCCCGTAGCGACCACGACTACGAGTACGCAGTCCTTGTCAAAGCCATCTGGAGGCTTCAGTGCGAATACTGACGATCTGTTTTCGAACGTGTGGCAATAAGATGTCAATATGAATGTGCTGGAAGGTAGAGATTGTATGTAGCGTTCTCGCTTGCACAATATAGAAGAAAAATCGACGCTGTGCTTCTTTGTTCTCTAAGAATATCTCTGTAAACCTCGACTTGCATGGTCTAGCGGTTTCGCTTAGTATTCAGATTCGAAACTCAATACTCTCTTAACAACGAAGAGCAGTATAGCCAGTATCCGATATTCCCCCGCACGCATCGAGGAATGCACATCTCCCTGCCTTGATAGAGACACTGAACTCTACACTTGAGATTCATTCCGGGCTGATCGACCACATCGTGTTCAGACTAGTCGTCAAGCCCATCCTCTTCCTCGCCGATGCTCATTCGGCTTTCTGAGTCCCACTCTTCTGGTTCCCTTGCTCGATATCGAGGAAGAAAATGTACATTCTCAGTGGAAGTTGAGACGAGTATTCCTTCGGAATGTGGGTCGAATTGTTGAACGCTGTCGTCCGGCGATAGTAAGAAACTGCTTTGCTGTACACGCTTTGATGAGAAATCATGATGCCCGAAAACACCACTTGATGCAACTTCGACGCTCCGTCATGAACGGAGGCTCAAGGCCCAGGTGGGACGCTGTACTTGTACATAGTAACATGTGGCCGGCTAAAGACGACGTGCGAACCGGATTCCAGCTCTGCAATTCGCACGACGTCTACGACTTCCCGCCGCCAGAGAACAGCCAGCCGAGGACCCAGTACAGCACCAGGACGACGCCGACGATGATGGCGCTCAGTTTCAGAATGGCAACCTTGTTCCCGCTCTGGGCCATGCGAGTGAGCCTGCCGGCAGAGCCGCGCAGATTCTGGCCGAAGCTGGAGAAGGCATCGTTGTTTTGGTCGATGATGTCGTGATTGCGCGCCTGGTCGTAGATGTCGACCGTGACGCCGCGCAGAGCGGAGATTTTCTGGGAGAGGGAGGAGAGGGCGGCGTTGTTCTGGCTCTCGAGAGTGTACGGGTCGGACATGGCTATGGGTGTAGGACGTGGATGGTGGTGGATGGTGGTGATGGAGAAGAGCAGGCGGAGTCAGCCGGGCGGGTAGCGAAGACAGGCTAGGGACAGACGGACTCGCCCTAGGCGATCGAGGCGCAGGCCGAACTGGAGATGATAGAGCACTCAGCTGTCGGGTTGCCGATGGGATCGCCCGGCTTCACCGTTGCATGTGAGTTTGCCAAAGCGGACGCGCTAGTATGGTGCAGCCCGGAGGTTTTGCCAGCGCCCTTCTGGAAGGGCGGGAACACCGGGGAGAGGCTGACAAGAAGGTGTGGAGTGGCCGCGCCGTGTGAGCGATTGACGAACGCAAAACCTGGCGCTGCTTGCAAGTGTGTCGTGATTGTACAGAGGACGCGATGCTGGGCCGCGGCGACGAATGGCGGAGTCGGCCGTCTTCAGGCTCTGGGGAGACGTGAGAGGGTGGGCGACAACCAATCAGAGGGCGGCAAGACACCCAGCACGGCTCATTTGCAAGACGAGCAGAAATGACGTGCTCGAAGCTTTTCTTTCAACTTCATTTAATCGTTCAATATGCCTTCTACACTCTCAGAATGCTGGAGAATGTCGAATTTCGTTTCCTCCCGGTTTTTTTGCGACCCTTCTCGGTCGCTTATGGTGGAATCCTCAACGCCCGGCCACTGCAACCGCCCAGTGCTCGCTGAGCCCTTACCTGCTTTCGCTCTGGCCCCCCAGGATTGCTAAACACGCAAAGGCCTTGTGACAGGATGGACCAGAACCGCTCCCGTTTGACTATCATCATGGAATGCTATCGGAAGACGAGCGGAAGCATCTCCCTCCAGGACTTTACGGTCGGCCTAGTCGCAAAAGGGCAGGACTGAGGCGAGACGACGTCAAACGCGGACAGCGTCGGCTCCCTCACCGTCCGTTGTAGCACTACGCCGCAGAGTTGGCAGCCGTAGGCCCGTCCCGATAATGGAGAAAGCTTTGCGCAGCCGACGACGGACTCTCTTACGGAAGTGATAATCACGAGCATTCCTGCTTTGACACATGCATTCTTGCCATAGGTCACTCATGTGGATGGCGCTGGTTCGTTGGGAACCGTACAGCGGTGTGAGGAGTCATAAGGACAACAGACACATGGTCAGGCAGACCCACGACGAATGGTAAATCACCAAAGCCGCTGGCAACCGAATTATAGGCACTGCGCGGAGGAAGATCTTAGCTACAGCGCACACGCTAAATTGCGGAGCTTCGGTGTCACGCCAGGTCCGATTCAGCCCAACGACATCAACGGTCGCCAAGCAACTGTCCAAACCCAAACGCCTCTTCGCAACTATACATAGACCAAAAAAGACGTACAGAGAGGGTGATGCGAAGAGTTCCTCGTAGTGGATGAATCGTCTCAATACAGGTTAAACCCAGAGCGGGATTAGTCTCGGCTTGCGGCTGAACAACTGGGCTGCATCAAAGTCTCCATAGCCGAGAAAGTTAACTTGCCGCTACGAACGGCCCAATCACCGTACAGCTACGCATGCATGATTTGACGGCGCAGTGCATTATCGCTCTGCTTCCTCGCCCACACCGACGGCAATGCCCTTTGAAGTAGGCGCAAGTCTGGTTGAAGAGAGGAGCAGGTTCCGTGGCGCCATGCATTCGCTACACTCATAGCCAACGAGCTGGATCAGAACTTGGTCGTCCGTATCTCTACGCCGTTCGCCATATATATGCATCCCACCTGTGTGACGTGCCTGTTCCTGTTCATACTGTTGTGACACGCCGCAAACTCCTTACCTTTTCGACTCTTGTAAAGTTCACCTGACTACTGAACCATCTTCCAGTCTGATAAACAGACCAGATCGGCTTCACACTATCCTTTCTCCATTCTATACTCTCGCACTGTTTGCAATTCTGTTCTTGGATGTTCTGCACCGCTCTTTAGTCCCTAGATTATGGTTATGCTTGCGTCCACCTCTCCGCTCGTCCTCGAGCGACATCCTCATATTGCTGGACCAAAAGGTTCATCGACTCACTCCGTGAATACTCTGTACGATGAGAAGGCTCAATCAAACATCCATCTGAACTCTACAACTTCTAGCAGCACACTGTTCCAACCCGTTAAGATCCAAGCTGCAAAGCAAGAGGCTCCTCTTGCCAGAAGGGATGTTATTACACGTATCAAGAAGGCCCTTAAGGGCTCCAATGCCAAAGCCAAAGGATCACTCGATCCGGGTGTGCCCTACAAATTCTCGACTGCCTCCGCATCATCGTCCGTTATCTCCACAGATAATCTAAAGAACAAACTTGAAGGCTACAACATGAAAGTGGAAAAGCTCCGTTCCGTCGAATATCCAGACCTTAAGGGTAAGTAATCTTGCTGAATCCCCCTACAGAGGAAATATTAAGTCCATCATCGCAGGGCGTGCGTATCTAGATAATGCTGGTACTCAGCTCCCTGCCAAATCACTCGTTGATAAGTTCGCAAAAGATCTTGGGGCCCACATATATGGCAATCCACATACACACTCCCTGCCAGCACGCAACTCATCCTCCCGTGTCGCCACCGTTCGTAAACGGGCGCTCGAGTTCTTTCGTGCCAATGCAGATGACTACGACCTTGTCTTTGTAGCTAATGCCTCAGCAGCCATCAAACTTGTTGGCGAGTCCATCAAAGATTACGTTGACTCGATGAATGATGAGCGTAAAGGGATGAATGCATCGAAGTTCTGGTATGGCTATCACAAGGACGCACACAACAGTCTCATCGGCACAAGAGAATTAACGAAGGCAAATTCACACTGTTTCAAAGACGATGATGAGGTTGAGCAGTGGATTCAAGGCTTGTCACAGGAAGCAACTACCTCATCCGATGGTTCTGACTCTGCCATTGTCAGTCTCTTTGCGTACCCAGGGCAGTCGAATATGACAGGCCGTCGGCTACCGCTTCGCTGGCTGAAGGACATCAAGACAAGATCTTCGAACGTATTCACCCTTCTTGACGCCGCTGCACTGGCTACAACCAAGCAGATTAACGTCGACGAATGGCAACCAGATTTCATGGCAATTTCGTTCTACAAAATTTTTGGCTTTCCGGATCTTGGTGGCCTTCTCATCCGTAAATCGGCGGCGCATCTCTTTAGTAAGAAGAAGTATTTTGCTGGCGGTACTGTCGATGGCGTTACGGTTCTGGAGAAGCCGTTCATGGTTCGCAGGACGCCGCTCAATGAGCAACTAGAGGAGGGCACGCTACCCTTTCACAACATCATCGCGCTTGATCACGCGCTAGATGTGCATCGAAAGCTCTTTACGAATATGGACACAATCTCGTCACACGTGGCGGCATTGACAGGCTACTGTTACGCCCAGCTTCGCACACTCAAACACAAAACCGAACAACCGCTCTGCGAGATATACTCAACTTCGTCAATAGGAGATCCCAGCACCCACGGTGGTACTATCTCCTTCAACGTGTATCGAAGCGACGGGTCCAAAGTCGGCTACCGCTCTGTTGAACAAGCTGCTGATAAAGCTAACCTATACGTCCGCTCGGGCGCTATGTGCAACCCCGGCGGCATGGCCACTCATTTGGGATGGAGCCCCGAGGAACTTGAGAATGTCTTCAAAGCAGGTATGCGATGCAGCAAACCCATCGAGGTTTGGCAAGGGAAATGGACCGGTGTCGTGAGAGTCAGCTTCGGTGCCAACAGTACAAGGAGCGATGTGGATATGCTCATTGACTTCTTGAAGAGGGTGTATGTTAACGGAGCCGACGGACATCCTCCGGTTGCTGCCGCTTCGTAGTTGCTCGTCTATTCTGTTGGTAAGGATATGGAATATGGATGTCGCCCTTCCTTGGCTTTTACGGCGGTATTTTTTTTGGCTTTTCGTTTGTTTGCTGCTGGTTATTTCTTCTGTCTAATCAAGGTGCACGTCACCACAGCTGCTTCATCACCCCAACTGATTTTGTATCATTACGCACCCACGGCGCTCAGATTTTTTTTGTCCGTTTTGGGATCCGGATTAGATCCTGCTCATGACCATGTTTTGGAGGCGCCACAAAATGTCTACCTTGGTATCTGTCTTGCCTCTTTGATTGAAGGAGGAGCTGGATCACAAGATCCCAACTTAATTTATCTATAACGCGGGAGTCAAGGCTAAAATTGAGAAGTTATATTTCAAGGCTCCAGAACCTTCGAGTTTAATATCTTACGAAGCCAATTGTCCTGAAATACAAGTCTCCTGTATGCTGCGTTCTCTTTTCTTGGAAACTTCGTCTCTTGGGTACATGTTTACACGGAGTAGAGGAGATCTTTTGAGAGCACGACGTGACAACATGTGCAAGACACTAATAATAATGCCTCATCCTGTATCGTTTTGGGATTTGCGTGCCAAGAAGAATAAACCTTGCCGAGGTCAGAGGCTCGTATTATCGAGCCCGCTAGACTTTGGGGCTGAAGTACTAGAGGCTGCATATGTAGTACAAGTAGAGATTGCGGCAACGATGAGCCAATGGCCAGTGACCAAGCTTTTCATCCTGCAGGATAAGGGCAACACAAGGGAATCGCTTGCATGATCTGCTTCTCCTGGACTCGTAGAGAGATTTCTTTATTCTGGGAGTGGTGCGCAGAATATTTCCGCCCACGGTCGCAGGCTGTAGATCTATCCGTACGATAGACGGGCCTTCTCGTCCCACATTCAATCCTCCCAGCGACAGCAAAAGCACGTTCGTTCTCTGAATCGCTACGCCACGTTCTACACGGGTTCGTTTGAGATGTTGAATCGATCTAGTGCGACTATGATTTTGGAACATGTTCTGATCCTTGGTGAACCAAGCATCGTAGATGTGAATCCTTTGGCAGTAGATATTTTCAGACGGTCATTCAAACCTAGGGGTTCCTCATGACCTAGCCATACTGGGCGCATCCAGAGGATTCCTTTTGTACGACTCATACCAGCAGTTCGTACGTGTGCGACGGGGATGCATTGGTTCAATAACTGCAGGAGGGAACTATGTCATCTCATGACCAAAAATTGCTGCGGCACTAGTGAAGGCGAAAGCTCAAAAATGACGGCCGCACAGTCCTACATCTCGAAGGAACAGAAACCCACATGAGCTATGTTGTTACAGCTATTTGGCATGCTACAGGCTGGCACATCACCTTTCAGCTGCTCGCTAGGCTTTGAATCCAGAACACGAAGATGAACAATCTAACCGTTCTGTGACTTAGCGTCGACGAACACTAAAACGACATGGTTGAAGTTCTCGGAAATAATGCAAGATGCTCGTTACCCTCGTCACGGCGTCTTTTCTGGAGAGAGTGTGTGGCTACGGCTAAAAGCCCTTAACTGCTTCGATACGAACGTGGCGCTAGCCTCCCTGCGTGCCGTGGAGATTTGTTCGGCTCGTTTATGGTCTAAATAGCTTATATAAGTATATGCGTCTTCGGGAGAGAACTGTGATGCTAGCCGTGTCCGCATATCTCCGTTTGGTTGCCTAGAATCCAACCGGGCGCTCTTCGTGCCTTTGTCGTGGAGACTGGCAAAGAGTGTGACGCACATGTTGAATTGGCTGCGCGGCCTGAAATATACGTTCCAACTTCACGTCTCCTTCCAAAGGGCCGCAACATGGATCTCGCGCTTGTAATACTCTTGGGAGCGCTTGGGTCTTGTTGCCTGGCCTTTGAAATTCATTGCTAGCACCGCGACGTCTGGGCATAAGAAGGACCTGAAAACGACGTGGCGAGAACGGCTCTGCAAACCCGCCTGAGAGTGTAGATGCAACACCGAGAATTAGCAGAGAAATTAAGCTAAGCAATACTAAGATATTCCTGTCGCCTTGCCAAAGTTTTGTGGGCGGAAAAGGCTGAGGTAAAGAGGACTGAGTTTACTTGTTGACCAACGCTGAACTGCAGGCAATATGACACCGTTGTTCTATCGTGTACATATATGACGTGACCAGTTAGCTTCCGTTCGAACACTCGATCCGAGCCTCCTGGAGCAGACTGAACGGGGAGACATCGCTAGTTAATCCGGACGCAAGAAGATGTGCAAAAGGCCCAGCTTTGCAATCAGCTGGCCGGCGCCGCCCAGTGTTCGACACATAAGATTTGGGAAGAAGCCGCCTTTCACCCAGCTTGGGCTGATTCTTCACAGCGGCGCCGATGACGTAGCCAGACGTTGCCAAAAAGCATCAGGCGGTGGCGACGGCTGCGCAATCCCCCAGACATCGGCAACGCGTGCCTGAGATGCCGTTCGCGAACGAAAGCAGGGTGCGAACCGCACCTCTGAGCTGGCCCGACAGCTGTAAGACGAGAGGTGAATCAGCGGAGGCGGCGCCCAGCACGCGACGTCGTTCGTCATGGGCTCAGCCTTGGTAATGTCGAGTTGCGCTGCGCCACGATTTTTCTGGTCACCCCGCCATCACCCGGAGCTGCGCAAGGGCACGCTTTTGCTCTTACTCCTACCAGACTCTCCCTCGTCCATTTTTCCTACCATTCAGATCATCAGCCTCGCCGAGTCGATAACCGTCTCGTCCTCTGCTTCCGGTCCCTCTCTTCTGATCGCTTTAACTTGATCTGGGTCTGCCGCACGTGTTTGACAGAAGGTCGTCACGATGCCGTTTTCCATAAACAATCCGCTGCCTAGCAGCATGAAGAGTTCGTTTCGCCTGCCGGCAAACCTCTCGCTTCCCGCCCCTCTGCTGACTTGTTTGGACAGGCGAATGTCGCAAAGCAGGCAAGATTCTGGCTTCGTTCATCGATCCCAACCAAGCCTTCGGGCCCGACAAGATCATTCCTCCTGAAATCCTAAGCCGCGCAAAGGTACCCTCTTGCCTGTGTTCTCCACACATACAACACAGAGACTAAACAAACGTGAAGGGTCTGGCTGTCCTAACAGTGTTTAAAGCTGGCTTCCTTGGCTCTGGTCGTTTTGGCTCCGGCGTCGTCGTCGCCCGTCTTGCGGACGGCTCGTGGTCAGCGCCGTCGGCCATTGGAACGGTTGGCGGCGGCTTTGGCGGACAAATCGGTTTCGAACTTACAGACTTCGTCTTCATCCTGAACGACGCAAGCGCTGTCAAGACATTTGCACAGGCAGGATCAATCACGCTGGGTGGTAATGTCTCTATCGCCGCCGGCCCCGTAGGTCGAAACGCGGAAGCCGCGGGTGCTGCAAGTTTGAAGAGTGTCAGCGGTATCTTTGCCTATAGCAAGACCAAGGGTCTGTTCGCTGGTGTCTCGCTGGAAGGCAGCGTTCTCATTGAAAGAAGAGACGCCAATGAGAAGATGTACAACAGACGAGTCACCGCCAATGCCCTACTCAGCGGACAGGTTCCTGTGCCCCCAGCAGCGGATCCTCTGATGCGAGTACTAAATTCAAGAGTGTTTTCTGGCTTCGGAGGCGGCGATGCAATCTACAACGACATTCCAGTATACGAGGACACACACGACGACGATATATGGCAAGGAAGACGTGGAGCAGGCATGGGCGAAGGTCAACCAAGTGCAAATCTACAGTCACCGCGCTCTCCTACAGGTGGTGGATATGGACGGAACGACGATTACGAGTACCGCGATCGGCCGCAACGATCGTCAACTTGGCAGGACGATGTATACGATCGGGGAGACGTTCACGGCGTGTCACGCTCCAACACGTATAGCTCCCGCGCCAATCCAAACGAGACGTTCGACTCGCTTGCCTCCCGTGGACGCTCCAGCACCGGTTTCGACAGCAACTACAGCGACAAGTCTCGACCAAGTCGTCCGACGGCTCCCAAGCCCAACTTTGTGACGAAGAAGGATCTTGCCTCAAATCAGGCTATTGCGAAGTTCACTTTTGAGGGAGAGCAGGACGGCGATTTGAGCTTTAAGAAGGGTGATATAATCACTATCGTGAAGAGGACGGAGAACGCAACCGATTGGTGGACCGGCAGGATAGGAAATAGGGAAGGCATCTTTCCAAGGTACGCACGCGCCTAACCTCTTTATTTTTGCTTATGCTGACTTACCTTTAGCAACTACGTCGAGACTGTATGAACCTCGGTGATTCAATGCGGAGCCGGGAAATTGAAAGCGCGCTCTTGGGTCAAATCGTTGACGGCAGAAAGGGGTGCCAGTATTTCTTTCGCTAACAGAGCCCTTTTTGACCTTTCCTCCCCCTCGTTCGGCATTTGTGCTATCAACAAGAACATACAGGTGCTGAATTCGGATTTGGGAATTTAGGGACATAGCACGGCGTTCAGGGGAATGCGTTTCATATACAAACATGCGCGCGTCGTCGAATCTAAACTTGCGAATCATTCTTATCTAGCCACAAGCCCTCGGGGTTGAATTTCAATGCTTATGGCAAAATTCCGTACACCGTTTACTACGACATTTCCCATCTTCATCCGACTTCTTTCTCGGTGTAGACCCGGAAAGCTTCCTCTCGTTGATCTGTACTTTTCTCGAAAGCGCTTTCTTAGAAATGAAATCATGGAACGTTCGTTTGCTGATACAAATTTAAGGCAAAGACAGCTTTATCTCCTTCATCGGTAATAGAAGGTAATGAGCCAACTGCTTGACCATGTCGCGCAAATGATGGTGTTTCAAGTCGCTGTCGCTGCATAGAATCTCTCCTGTGCCGCCTTCTGGATAACGATGTAAAAAGGCGGGATTAATTGTGATGTTAATCGCTTCCAAATCGTGTCCAGAAGGAATTCTCACGATGTTGTTATCCTCTTTACAGAGATACCCCAAGACGTTCTTGCACAGACTGCCGCTAGTGATTGAATCAAATCCCAAACGTCCGTCGAAAACATTTGAGAGAGCAAGTACGCGAACTTGATTGATCCCGAAAGAAAGATTTCTTTGTTTAGCAATCCGCTTCCGACAAGGAGACGTTGGTTATTGCGAAGAGTATCAGATCTACCAAGGGCCATATCGCATGACAGGAAGGAGAGCGTCCAAAGAGGCTCTCTTCTTCACGCAGTGCCTAGCTAGGGTAAAGACGACGCAAAACACTGGTTCCTAAGCTATCCAAGGTGGCCAGTAGGATGGAGTGAGAATGCCGTGCCACCTTCGGTCTGGAGCTGGCCAAGCTTTCGGAAAGGAAAGTTACGCAGCGGTACGATCAAGCGGGAGGACAAAGAGAGAACACAAACCATTAAAAAAAAAAAAAAAAAAAAAAAAAAAAAAACTCTCTACTCGGCACAACTCTTTTCGTTCATTTTGACGGTTCATTTTCATTTCGTTCAAAGATTTCTATCTCGGCGCTGAAAGTATTCTCATACACGTGTAGCTATTTCCAGCGTCCCGATTCGTGGTCGTAGCTCATCTTTTCTCTGTTTGGATATCCCGTACGACTCCGCGCAATTATGATCCTCCCGAACTGTCCGTGAATGTAAAGCAGGTGCGAAAGGGGGAAAAAGAAATGATTAGAAAGGACCCAACGCCTTGGCCATGCAGTAGTATATGCAACGATGCGTATGTACGAAACAGCGACCCGCCTCGAGAGCGGGGGGAGGGCGAAGGAAACAACGTGACCGAAATCTTCCTCGTTCCTTCATTATTCCTTTTGTTTATCTCTTCCTTTTTTTTTTCTGGCTCGAGGCCTTCAGCCAGCCGCGCTGCTGACTTCGGATTCTGTGTCTCCTCTCCGCGCTACGCTCATGCGATCTTGGAGCACGAAGATTAAGTAGCCGACGACGGCGATGACGATGAAGAGGATGAGGATAATGAGGAAGATGGCGATGTTCTCCTTCATGATCGCGATGCGAAGAGGTTGTGATGTGACGAGGCGAGGTGAGACGTGATGCTTGCAAAGGCTCCGGGCGTACGTCGGCGACGTATAGCTTGTACACCTCGACTTTCACGTTGGTGTCGGGGGATTAACGTTGTCGAAGTGTGACGGCTGCTCTCTCTTTCAAGAGCACGTGCAAGCGGAGATTTCAATGGCCTGGAGCTATAGATCTGGAGCGAGCAGCTTGCAGGATGTCTGGTGAGACGGTCAGCATCCGTTGCAAACACTGCAGACCTCGTTGGTCATCGTCGTCGCTAACATACCTTTTGAGTGGGATTGGTTCGTGCCTCTATGTCTCCTCTGGCGGACAGTCAATTCCAGGAAATAACACGGTCAATGAGGCAAATCGAAGCCCGTGGCAGCGTGGCGGCTCTTTTGGAGGATGCGCAGGTGAATAGCAAAGAAGATTCACCTGTAGGCAAAGACGTCGGCATCTTAAACATTTATTGCTGGCCCAGCCCGTGCGTTGTCATGGAGGGGCTGGATCCCCGACCTCGTGGCTGGGTAACCACGGCCCGTGCGTCGCTGCGGCGGGATGGCCCGCCCTGGCATGTCTCTCCACCAAAAGTGCCCGTCACTGCATCCTGCCATTGGCTGGGCGTGTCGAACAAATCCGGGAAAAAGCGCAGAGAGAGGAAGAGGCTCTACGTTGTCGAGAGCTAATGCAGGTACGGCTGCTCCTGGATTCCATTACCGGACTCCTTGGAAACCCTGAACGAGCTCCGTGCGGGCGACAAAGCTGGGAGGCTGGGAGCGCAGGCCACGAGCGGTCACTAGGTGGAAGCGTGAAACTTTTTGGGCGGAGTCCGTCAAGGGAAAAAAAAAAAAAAACAAAAAGAAAAGACAAGAACTCTCAGCTTGTCCCATTGAGCATCATGAACACTTGTCAGAATTATCATTCATCAACGTAGGTTTTCTCAAGCTGTCCCGAAGCCCCCCACGACTTTGTGCAATGGTCCTTTCTATCGTCAAACCTTTGCCGCGCCCTCGTCGGCCTTTGATGCCATCTTGTCATCCTCGCTGAACTTCAGAGACACGCTGTTGACACAGTGCCTCTCGTCCGTCGGCGTCGGGAAGCCCTCGCCCTTGAATACGTGTCCCAGATGCCCTCCGCAGTTCGAACATACGATCTCCGTCCTCACCATGCCGAGCGTCCTGTCCTCGTGCCTCGTCACGGCGCCCGGAACCGTGTCAAAGAATGCAGGCCACCCGCATCCCGACTTGAACTTCTGGTCCGCTCTGTAGAGGGGCGCGTTGCACGCCGCGCAGCAGTACACGCCTTTCTCGGGGTAGTGCTTGTCGTATTCGCCGGTGAAGGGGGCCTCCGTGCCCTTTCCACGGATCACGCGGAACTGCTCTGCAGAGGTCAAACAAAAACTGTCAGTCGAACGGGTCTGCGGACAGATTGTAAAGCCGGGGAAGGTTGTCACATGCCTGGAGAAAGCACAGTCCTGTAGTATTCGTCGCCCTTGTCGCCGGGGTAGGACATGTTTCTGGACGAAGCAGAGCTGGAGAAGAGGTTGAAGAGTCCAAAGGGCATAGAAGACTTGAGCACAGCGGTTCGGCTTGCGTGTATAGCGGTGCGGTGAGAAGCCGGACGGGACCTGGCAGATGCAGCAGCTGTGAAGATGCAGATGTTGCGAACGATGTGCGCAAAGGGCTGGACACGCATGAAGATATATGCGGCGACGGTATCAGGGGATAAGAGGCTTGGTCGCTGTGCTGGTCTGTTATTTGGAAGCGTATTTGAGTTTTGCGTCTCGGTTATGTCTCAAAAGTACGGGGCGTTAGCTTAGAGAGGTGCGAGGTCAGTTACATCATCATCAAAGCGCCCAGGGCCAAAAAGGCCTCTTGCACCCCGAGTGGCAACCACAAGCACCTCGAAAACGTCAACGGTGGGCTCCAAGAGTGTGCAAAGACACAAGCACAAATGCAGCACACCCCCCGTTCGTGACTAGGTGGGCGCAAACAGTCATCTCCGTCTTCGCCTGCTTCCAAATCGCGCTCGGTTCGAGACCTTGTCGGGAGCAGCACAGCCTTCGCATTGCAGAACTCCACGCTTGCGGCTGAGTGGATTTAGCACCCTGGCAAAGAAATCAAGCCTCACGACAGCGCATCGCTTTTCAAGTATTAGGAATCAAGGTGAAAAGCGATATGGTACGGAGAGAAGAGTGAAGCAGCGCAGCTTGTACTGTTTTGTAGAGAGATGTGATACCTTGCTGAAGATAGGAGCCCCCAAGACGGGACCTCGAATCATGATCTCGGATGCAAGAACCGGAATTCGTCTGCCTGTCAATGAGCCTGCTGGATGCGTGTTGCAGTAAGCAGCCTTGACTGAGACTGCCCAAGATGAAGGTAGATGTCATCATAGCTCGCATATCGATGGAGGTGACAAATGCTTCCGGCATCCTCTTGTCGAGACTGAAATGCATCATTCAACATTCGTGGGGCTACAAAGCTTCACATATGTACAGAATTTTTCAAGCTCCCGAATACTAGTACTCCATGGCCTCTTCAAACAATCCCCTCAGCTGCTCCCTCTCCACTTCGACGTTCGTCTCGTCCAGTGCCGGTGCCAACATAAGCACTCTCTTCTGAGGCAACGTTCCCTCCACGAGATCATCGATATGATCGTGCGTGAATCCCAATGCCTTCAATCCCCTCGGCTGGTCGCCTAACTTGATCAAAAATTCGGCCAATGCCTCGCTAAGCACTTCTCCAGCGCTCTCCTTCTTGACATTGCTCACGTCGACGCCAAACGCTTCCGCGGCCGCAAGATGCCGTTCTGGATTCGAAGCGCCGGTAAACTTGAACACAGCAGGTGCTGTGACAGCAACGGAGACACCATGTGGAATGATATCGGTGGGAACCTCATACCCAGGATGCTTATAGCCTGGGTTCTGCCCCGAGATCGGATAGCTCATGCCGTGACATAGATGAACGCCAGCATTGCCGAAGCCGACGCCTGCTAGCGTCGCAGCGAGCAGCATCTGGCTCTGGGCCTCGAAGTCATCGGGATCTCTGACGGCGCGGGGGAGATATTCTACGGTGGATCGAAGAGCCTGCAGCGAGAAGATGTCGGAAATTGGATTTGCGCCTTGGTATGCAGGCCGCAAGATCGGATTTGAGGGACGTGGAGTGCGCTCGTTGTACGGGATTGCAGTCCAGGATTCCAGACTGTGACACAGCACGTCAAGACCAGACGACGCATGAACGGCAGATGGCATCGTCCTCGTGTTCATCGGATCGCATATTCCCAACGTCGGCTTCAAGGCTCGATGGGCCACGCCCGTCTTCGCCCTCTTGGACACCAGATCGAAAATGGCCGTCCCAGTCGTCTCCGAGCCCGTTCCCGCGGTCGTCGGGATGGCGATGAGCGGCTTCAGTTTCTTCGTGATTGGCAGACCCTTGCCCAGCGGCGCGTTCACGAAGTCCAGGAAGTCAGCCTCCGGGAAGCATGTGTACAGGTTCATGAGCTTGGCCGTGTCGATCACACTGCCCCCTCCTACGGCGAGGAAAAGGTCCGGCTGGTATGGCTTCGCGACCTCGATTGCTTCTTTGACGCTGGAATCCTTGGGCTCGACGCGCACGTTCGAATAAACCTGGAAATCGATTCCTTCGGCATCCAGAGCCTCCCTCACCTGTTTCATGGCCGTGAGCTTGTCAACGTTTGCGTCCGTGACGACCATGACCCTTTTTGCGCCCAGATTCGTACAATCCATGCCCACTTCCTTCGTCGATCCTGGCCCAAAGCGTATACTTGACGCTGCCATCTCAAAGGCATACTCCTTTTGCTGTGAGCTGTCAATTGGCGTGGCTAGCGACCGAGATATCTGCCTGGGAGAGATCTTGCGGCTCGTCATAGACATGGGTGAAGGTGAGTTGTGGTGGCCCGGATTGCTGTGGCACGGACATGAGGGTGGGTGTGCTTGCAATGTACGAAGCAAGTTGACTGCGCGAGCAGCCTTTGTAGGCGCTACCCGTATAAGAGGAGGCATTTTATGTGTCCTATTTTCATTCAATTGACAGCCGAGTCCCTAGGCCGGTCAGATGTAGATCTTTCGAGCACTCGACTATTTACAATGGTCAGTCTCAAAGCCCAGAGGGAGAGCATGGTGCGTAGTTATGAAACATACTGACTTTGCCAATGCACTCAGATCTGGGGATTTTAGAGCTAAGGGCAGCAAGAAGGCTCCAGTGAAATGAAGGGGAGTTTCGGCCATGTTGGTGCCGAGCAGACTAAGGCCATGTGGGCACTCCGGCGGCGGCGTGAGCAATGGTCACGATCTTTGCGGGGTCGGCGGAGAAGTTCCGCATTGCGGCTTGTCCTGCCGAAAGTCGCTCTCATGTACCACAACTACAACTAAGCGGCATCGTATTGAGATCTCCAGCACACGCGGAGGACACTGCAGCTGCCATGCTGGAATGGATCTCTTGAAGAGGCTCGATCCTGCTTGCTCGCACAGTGCCATAGTCCATCTAAATCCTGACAAGCGGATGCATCTTCGAACTGAAAATGCTAACCTAGTACTTGTCACGCAACCCCACTGGACTCGACCATTTACTATGCTTTGCGGCCTGTAATGGTTTCCAACGACCATGTGGCGAGACTTCCTTGGGACATCGACGCTATGTCGAGAATACGTGATTTAGAGGTGTGCCAGCTTCCGAGCGCAGCATCTTCTTTCTACAAGCCAGGGAAGTCGAACAATTTCGGGTCATCTCTTTATCATGATTACTCTTATATTTCTTGAGGGTGATGCACTCGGTAATAAGAGGACGTTTCTTCTGAGTCCCATCAGAATCACCCAGCGCTGTTGTATAATTGCGTTGGCGATAATAGATCTGCTTATTAGCCCAGTTGCAAACATATCGCATATTCTACTTCTATTAATAAAGCCGCAAGTAGGCTGGAAAACAAGATATCCTAATCTCATATATATATATATGTGTGTGTGTGTGTGAATGAGGCACTGCCTTTCCCAATCGATAACACCCATGCCGTGCACTCAATGATTCCCTAGAACCAACTTTCTGTTTGCTCTCACCAACTTATTGAATCGTTTCTCCCAGTCCGCAGCATCCCTTTTTGCCTCCGCAATCCTCTCTCTCAAGCTCTCCCTCTCCAAGTCCGCCATGCTCATAGCAGCACCTGCTGCTTTGGTACCACCACCCTCCCTTCGTCCTGCCTTCTCAAGCGTAGTATGCAGATTTTTGTGATTACCAGCTGCAGCACCTGTAGCCTTTTCTTTACTCTTTTGAGCTTCCGATGACTTCAACTCTTCATTTGCACCAAGCTTCGCGATTAGACCGGCGGTTGCCATAGCTTCCTTCAGGGTATCCATGGCAGCGGCAGTGTTCGCTTCTGTCACGGATGCTGAAGATGGAACCGAGACATGAGGACTCGGAGAACGTAGGTTATAGTCAGACCTCGATGCCAATCCAGCTGCTGCAGTGGCATCCGCGAGATGCTGAGGGGTCACTTCCAAAGCCTGATCAGAGTGATGGACCGGGAAGCGGCCATTGCTCCAGCCAGCTGTGCTTGGAACGTATTGATCTTCCACGTCGTCTTCACCCGGAGGAACAGCGACAGTGCTCGGGTTCAAGTCTAGGACTCGAGGGACAAATTTGTTCACATATTCCCTTGCGTCCAAGCTGGGGTCTTGTGGGTGCACATCCGCTCGTGCAGCTGAAGCGGCAGTCTGCCCAGCAAGATGCACAGGCGAGGGCCCTGAGAGAGATTCGGCTCTCGCCATCGGATTTGATCCTTTCGTCGCGTCTCTCAGCGCCCCTTCAAGGGACTCTGTGGCGATTGACAAGGCTCGGAGAATATCTTCTTGCGCAAGAGTGCTCTGAAGCTTGCTTTTCTTGGGCTTCAGCGACTGTTTTGTTATGTGGGACACACCTGCACCACCCCACCGGCTTATGCCTTTCTCCGCTATAACTCGCTTTTCAAGCTCTAGGTATCTGTCCTCCTCTTCTTTTGTCAGGCAGCTCAGTCTAGTCCCTGCAGGAGTAACCAGACACCTTCCACTCAGACGTCCATTTTTGGAAATGTGCTCACTGAGATCCTTGCGAACGGCTTGTCCCTGTTTGAGCAATTGTTCATCTGCTTTTGTCAATTCGAAACGCAATTGTTCAATGTGATTCTGTAGATCTGCAGAAGTGAACGGGTCAATTCCTAGCCTTTTGAGCTCCGACTGCGATGAAAGTGGTTTAAGCATATTAAGCGTGCTTAGTGCAAGCTGACGTGTTGATTCGAGCGCCTGCAGAATAGCAGCTGCAGTGAGTGGACTAGAGGACTCTGTTGTCTTCTGGTCATGTGCATTTGAATCCTGACTAGATGGTGGGGACTTATGTTTCGTACTATTTTCATGATTCTCTGCCTTTCCTTTCTCATCAGTCTCTGTCTTTGTTGCTTCGACAGATGTTGTAGCTTGCGGTGAAGATTTAGCAACGGGAGTAGATTCAGTCTTTTCCTCGGCGATGGCTGGTGGCGGCGTCGGTTTGGTCACTGGTGTCGGACCTTCTCGAGCGGCCTTGCTCTTTTTGCTTTTTGTTTTCCGGGCCATAATTGGCGCTACCTCTTCAGCTGGACCTTCCTTGGACGCGATAAGAGCCTCCACTTGTAAAGCCTTCTCCTTTTTCGCCTTCTCCTTCTTCTTGCTCTTTGCCTTAGTAAGTACGGGTGGTGGAGAGTTCGCCCTCGAAGCTGACGTTGAAGTCACAGACATTGTGTCGGTACGTTCTGTGAATGGTGTTCCAGGGGCATTTAGTGATGCAATGCTCGTCCTTCTCGACACCACTTTGCTTGGAACTGTTTGTGCTGCAGCAACTGAAGGCGGAGTTGACACAGCGGCCGTGGCGGTGGTAGTGGTGGTAGCAGGGGCGAGTACTGGTGTTGTCTCAACTTTCGGCGTGTCTGTGATGCGAATGGTTCTCGGCTGAACCGTTCTCTTCAGAGGCGACCCAGTCGCGACTGTGCTTCCAAGCTGAGGAGTGCCAGGCCGTGAGCCTAGAGACGTCGCGCTGACGGATGGTGCTCGTGATAGTCTACCAACAATGTCTGGTTTCGAGCTTGCAGATGGCATAGGCGAGTCCACATCTTTCTCCTTTGCGCTGACTGTAGATGTCTCTATATTTAGCTTGCCTGGATGTGGTCGTTTTGATGTGATAGCTTCCATCTTCTGCTCAGCAATTGCCTTGCGTTCATGTGCTGAGATTGGCGCTGTCTCATCAGCCTTCGCCGAGCCCGCGGTCTTTGAAGGGGTTGACTTCCCTTTCGCATCAGAAGCCAACACTTCTGTTTTGTTCGGCGACTGTGTCGTATTCTTTTTGGGGGTTTCTGATTTTGTAGCAACTCCTGATTTCTCTTTCTTTGATCCCACGCTCTCAGCAGGCGTTGGGTCCTTTGCGGCTGGCCTGACAGGCGTCGCTGGTCGAATGTGCTGTATTTTACTCTTAGCATCAGCCACAGCTTTGTCCCTGGGTGCTCCAGAGGATGGTCTAGATATAAAGTCGCCTTGAACAGTCTCGCGCTCGTTCGCAGACGGGTGTCCCCGTCGTGGTAATTCTATAAATTGAGACTCGAGGTTCGGGAATAGCCCTGGCGGTAAAGTTGGCGTCGCACGCCGGGGTGGCTCAATTAATTGTCCTAGTGCAGGCAGATCATCTAGATATTATACCGTCAGCACATCAGTTTCAACTTGTTCAGTCTCTTTCGATATCTAAGGGCGTATCGTGATAGAGGTATCACCAAAGTACTGCAGACGAATCCTACCTTTCACGAGTGACGAGCGGCGGAGGATTGCGGAAAATTCACAGAATATGAGTACACTAGACCGTCCGTCGTCTTCGTCACAAATCAGAAAGAAAAATGTAAAAAGAGGAAGGGGGGAAAAGCTAGTGTCTAAACTGTTGGAGAAATAAAACCTGTTATGCCGCCCTATAAGAGGAATCTGTATGGCAAAGTATGCATACCCTACATACAATAAGACGGACTGTGACGAAGACGACGGAGGTTTCTGGCGGCCTCTTATGAAGATGTGTATCCCTGTAAAAGAAAAAAAAGGAAAAAGACACCGGCCGTGGCCGGATGACCAGCTTGATAGGGCGTGAAGAGCAAAAAAGCTTGATCGCAATGAAAAAGCTGCCTGTAACCCCCCAGACGCCGTTGTCCCGAGCCTGCTGACTTGCGTAGCGAGGTCATGTTACCCAATGACTTTGGAATAACTCTTTCATGATACAATCGATCCCGTAATGTTATGTGAATTTGCGTGCTAACTCCAATGCAAATGTGCGAAAAGGTAATGTGTAAGCTAAAAGAAAGAAAGGAAGGGAATCTTGGGAATAGAGGCGCCTCCGTCGCTCGTCAAAATCTCGTGAAGAACACACATCGAAGTGAATGTGATGGGAAGCGAATGGATCCTCTACCAACCAGCGCGGCCGTAGTTGCTGTACATTGATGATAGCCCACCTTGACCTGCCTGCCCTGCTCCGTAAAGCCCACTGTTTAAGCCCGGTGCGCCATTTGCATATGGTCGGGCTTGAAGGATGCTAGGATCAGCAGCGGCATCGATCACTCCACCACCAGAAGAAGAGGTGTTGGCGTGTCTATGCTTTTTGCCCTTTTTCTTCTGCTTGTTCTGCGGCTGCTCTTGAGAATAAGGGTATCCTCCCATGTTAGGCGGAGCGGGAGTGGACGAATTCGAGGTGTTGTGACTGAAAGGGAACATAAACTCACGCTTTGCCTCAGCACCGCGTTGTTGACCACCACGCACGTCAAATGGGTCGCGTGATGCTACTGCCGCAGCAGCATATCCGGAAGTGAAATTCTGACCGTGACTGAACATATTTCCACCGTTGACAGGCGGTGTACCCGTTGTCTTTAGTCCCGGAGGCGGACCTTGAACACTACTGTAAAAGGGAATTTGCTGCGCAGGTACACTAAAGCCACCAAGACCCTTTGCTTGTTGAACTCCAGCCCCTGCCTTCAAGCTTCCAATTTCATTGAATGCGAATCTGGAAGGCTGCCTGCCATGTCCTCCAATCTGGTGCTGAGCCGCACTTGCAGATTGCAACTGTCGAAGTAATAATTGATTCTGGTGCTGTTGCGATGGGGTGCTTTGACGTATGCTTAGTCCAGTGAGATCATTGGCGAAAGAGTGCTGCTGATCAAGGTAGCTGGATGGAGGCTGTATCATTGCTTGCTGGTTGAACGTACGGTCGGGTCGTTCTTCCGGTTCGCCACCTAATTGCAGGCTGCCACCTTGCGCCGTCTCAGGCTCTGCGGATTCTGCTTTCGCTGCTTCTTGCAACGCTGCGGCAGCTTCCTCCTGTTTCCGAAGTTCTTCCGCTTCTCTTTCCTTCATTAGTTGTCTCTTGAAACCACCCTGCGGATCCCATAGTGGAGGTAGAGTATTGAGAAGCTTAATGTCGTCGTCGGAGAGGCCGATTGGAGAAAAATTAAACTTGATGGAGGGATCGAAAGCAATTTTCAGAAGGGTTTGAAATGCTGATGGCTCTCGCATCTTCTTTGGTTTTGTTGCTGATGCTGAAGATACCGGTCGTGACGGCGCAACATCAGAATTTGCGTCCTTAGTTGGCTTTGTCAGGGAATCACCACTCGACTTCTGATCATTTGTTTTTGCAGGGACAGTATTCGTAACGACTGGACTTGCAACAGATGACGAAGTTGCGCGACTGCCCCGTCGCGCCCAAGTCGCACCCGCTGGCAAAGCAGTTCCATCTCCAGTCGTGGGACTTGGAGGGGAGTGATCCTGTGTAGCAGCGGCGACAGGCTGTGTGTGTTGAGGAGGAGGCTGCACATGTGCAGAGTCTGCTGCATGACTTGGCTGTTGTGTCGAGCTAGCGTTCATGTTCGAAAGATCTTGTCGAGTAAAACTCTCGGTTGACTCTCCAGGCTCGTGGAGGAACATACAGTTTCGATTGTTGCAGGTCTCGCCACGAAGGTATGCAGAACAATACTTTGTTGTGCCGTGTTGCGCTCTTTAAAGCAAATCAGTTCTAATTCGTAGCTTCAATGACTTTTGTCCAACTTACCGTATCTTACCATCACCTGACTGGGCAGCGGCATTTATGGCTTCAATGCATGCCGCAGCATCCTCTTTTCGCGCAAACGTTACGTAAATGCCCACCGGTTGATTTGGCGTAGCAGAAGCATCTTTAGACTTGCTGACAACAACCTTGATTATCTCGCCATATTGTCCAAAGTAATCCTTCCCTCGCAGTAGCTCTGCGACCCGGTCGCCCTGTATCCTTGGTCGCATACCCGTGACATAAACGAGATTTCGCTGCCGTACGCGTAGACCAGCCAGATGTTTTCGGCTGAGGTTGTCTGCTTCGCGCTTCTGGGCCTCTTTTTGCTTCACAGCCGCCTTCTTTTTTTGCTGGGCAGCTTTGTTCTTTTCGTGCTGCAGAAGCTCTTCCTGCGTTATGTTCTTAAATGAGAAGGGCTTGTCATCGTATGGCCTTCGACACGCAGGGCATAAACCGTTCATTGTCGTCTTAATGTTATTATAACAAAATTGACATATCTTGCTCTCAATTAGTACCCACTCATCGACAGGCTCATAAAGAAACCTCGTTAGCGATGGTTTGAGGCCACTTGGTCGCGTACTGGACATGGTCTGAAGAAGGAACATGATCCAGTATACAAGCAACAGTAAAACGCATCACCATCTCGTCGAGCGAAAGGACAAGTACTGACCTGGTAGCCGCAAGGGCAAGGCTTGAAATATCGGTCACCCAAGTCGAACTCTTCGACGCACAACGGGCAGACTTCTTCTTCCTCATCTTCGTCGATGAACTGATCTTGTTGTATTCGCGACATGTTTGTCTTGTATGTGGTCGATGCTGTGCCCCGGAGTGGCGGTCGATGAAGGGAGATGGATTCAGGAAATGGACGGAAGAGTGCTCAGGGCACAGGCGGATAAGTGAATAAGCAGAAAACGCCGACGTATGTGATCACATGCAGAGACCGTTAGTACGAAGGGAAATTAGAGAGGAAAAGGTAGCTTTGATGTTAAAGATGGATGGATGCAGTTACAGCGCAGCAGGTCTTCCAAGGCTTTCTGGGAGAGTTTGATGCCCCAGGACATAAGGCTAGAAGCGCTAACGTCTCGCCACCAATCACACGCGCAGTCCCGCCGTTGACTCCTCGAAACCAAACGCTCACGATCCACGAGTCATCTCTCACAGAAACTTCATGATGGCAGTGTGCTGAACATAGGAAAGCGTCCCGGAATAACACTGCATAGTGTTTGAGACACGAGCTGTTATTTGAGTTGCTAGACTAATCGCACCTGGTGCGTGCTCAGAAGCACGTTATGTTATCGATTGGTGGGCACACGTCGTATCCAGGACATAAAACTCAGCTACGCTTTCGCAAGTATCATACGCATTTCTTCCAATATATTGTATTTGGCGGAGAAGAATGCGCTAATTGCATGGTCAAGACTGCGTTGCAGCTTCGTGTAAGGCATCCTTGTTTCCTCGAAGCCACAATGTTGCCAACAGCCAATGTCATTTTGTTTGAATGCCCATTCCCCTCTGCCCTGGAAGGTACATTCATGTGAGAATCGCCGACGAGAACAAACGCAGGAAGCTGCTAGCACATGAAGCCATAAGTCTAAAGTGCATCCACATGCTTGGCCATCTAAGAGATTCAGTCTCAAGGCAGGACCCATGCTTTGATTGGTTCACGAAACCTCGACACAGCAATCTTGGTTGCGACGTGTTCTCTACTACGAGTCTCTGTCCAATACTTAGAGTTTGACCCGCTTTCGCATTCAGTTAGCTTGAGTGCTGGTACAACGGTAGTTTGCTTCTTCGCTTCACCTATCAACGTCCAAGCGTTACCCAGGCTCATGGTATTTGGGTACCATATCTCCTGTTGTGTGCTACACGGAAGTTTGAGTGTCTATTTATCTGAGCTTTGCCTTGATCCTACGTTTCGTGTATTTTATTTCTCGGTTTCAATGTATCAGGTTACTTGGTCTAGCAGCGAGAATCTTCGCACTGGTTCGGACGGTCAATGCTTCTTCCACTCACCTATCTCAGATAGTTGCATTTACGAGTTTCGACCGATACATAAACGAGGCTGCTATTTTGAATCATTCGAGTTGTCGTATCACACGAACCGTTGACAAGGCAAATTCACGTGAGCTATCCGTTTCCCCCTCATCAGCCAACCCTCAAGCAGTCAGGGACAAGCAAAGCAAAATGCAGGCCTCAGGCATCACAATATCGGCCAATCAGGAGCTACGACTTTCTCATGAACAAATCGACCTCAAGCGCAGCTTCAATCCCAACTTCCAGCCATTGCCGCCTCATGCAAGCATAAACCAGCCAGCTGAACCCACTCGGCTGCTGTGAACAACACAACGATGGCTCTCCGGATACCAGCGGCGTCGGCGCTCCGCTGTGCTTCTGGCCAGAGTTGCCGGCCAACTGCTGTTCGCGCGTTCTCTGTTTCATCAATGCACCGTGCAGCATGGAATCCACTTAAGACACAGTCTGACGGGAAGGACTCATCTGGCTTGCATAATATGAGGGTATCTTCTTCTCAATGACAGACGATACAACGTGATGGACAACTCTGACAAGTCCCACAGAACGAACCCCGCGAACCGCAGCCTTTGAAGACCGTCCCCATCGTCAACCCAGCCGACAAATTCAAGGAGAAGAGCGAAGCACTGCACAAATACGGACAGTACCTCATGTCCTGCCTTCCCAAATACATACAGCAGTTCAGCGTGTGGAAAGACGAGCTGGCAATCCACATCCCGCCTTCGGGCGTCATTCCTGTCTTCACTTTTTTGAAGTATCACACAGCTGCCGAATACACCCAAGTCAGCGATATCACTGCTGTTGACTACCCAACCAAAGATCAGCGCTTTGAAGTTGTGTACAACCTTCTATCCGTGCGCCACAACTCGCGTATCCGCGTTAAAACCTACGCTGACGAGGCCACGCCCGTGCCTTCCATTTGCGACCTATATGACGGTGCTAACTGGTACGAGAGGGAAGTGTACGATATGTTCGGTGTCTTCTTTGTAGGCCATCCGGATCTTAGACGTATCATGACAGATTATGGATTCGATGGGCATCCATTGAGGAAAGATTTCCCAATGACTGGTTACACGGAGATACGATACGACGAGGAGTTGAAGCGTATTGTTGTCGAGCCATTGGAAATGACCCAGGCGTACCGCAATTTCAGAGGAGGCTCGAGTGTGTGGGAGCCTGTTGGACCAGGTGATGACAACACTCCCGATTCTGTAAGCTCCAACTTTCCCTGAACTTGCTTTACGGCCGTAATGCTAATATGATCAATAGTTCAAACTTCCAACACCTAAGCCAGAACCCCCAAAAGAAGGTGAGCAGAAGAAATAGCTGTGAGAACAAGGAACGCAGAATGCATATTCTTGTAAGGCTTTGTACATAGTATCTGCTACACCTTTAGATGTAAAGTCAAATTCTTTGTTACAAACTTATGGCCAGCCATCTGCGGTCTCGGATTTTATGCTTTTATGCAGAAACAGGCTTTATCATGCCTTCAAAGTGAATCGTAGCTCGAGTGGCATTTAACATACAGGACCGGAAAGATATCGCGTTGAATGAATTTGCTACTGTCTTTCCCTAAGTACCTCCCTTTTCTTCTTTTATGTCTTCCACATCAACTATAAGCTGTACTGTAGACGGGGCCACATTTTATATAGCGGTCTGCATTTAGTGCCGTCAATGACACCATCACAGAAACTAGATGTTGAGTCTATGTGACTGTCAAATATCCCTATTTCCACGATATTCGCAACCCGCAAAGCCGCGAAGTCGAACGCATATGTCCCCAGTCTTCAGATAATTGTTGAAACCCGCTAGGAAACGAACAGCGTAAAAGGATATCCATATTGAGGAATAAACACGTTATATCACACAGGGTATCACTGCACTTTCTTCTCGCTCGACTTCCTCATCTTTCCTAAAAGTCTCTGCGCCGCCGTCCTTAGCTTTCCACGTAGCTGGACAATGGCTAGCGCAATAGGCGCAGGTCCAACTTCATCAGCAGCAACAAGCCTTCTAACAAGCAGGTTGAAAATGCTTCCAAAACCTAGAGCCATAACTGTTGACGTAAGTATGATGACATTGTATGGCATACTGAAATCTGGTGTTGGCAACGGAAGCAGCAGAGTCGTAGTCCGAACATAGACGTCTTTGCGTGATGAGTTTGATGATGGAAGAAGTCGAATGACAGCTGCGGCAACGTCGAAGCCACGATTTGCATCAGGTGGGTACTCTGTGTATCGCAAGATTGCTTTCTCGAAATCGTATGTGAGAGTTAATGTCGATTCTGGAGGAATAGTGAGGAGTAGTTCGAGATGTGTGCCTCGGTGACGGTCGAGAGCTGGACGGTAGAATGTCTCCTTGACGGGCTTAAAGTTCGATGTAGCTGCCGGCCCCGAAATCGATGCACGCAAAGTGTGCAAGTATGGTTTCATGTACCATGGCAAAGACTCAAGGTAGACCAGATCAATCGCTTCAGTGGCCGAAGGATTTGAAATAACAACTTGAACACTACCGCGCTCCTGTCCATATCCGTTGATGGAGCGGGCGGCATATAGTTTAGGTTTTTGCAGACTGGTTTGTTTCTCAAGAGGCTGCTCAGGCAATGCCAAGTCCCAGTCCACATTCTCTGGCAACTCAAAGCATCGCATTTCATCTTCCTGGCTGGACGAAGTTGGGACATCGCTTCGAACCTCGACAATGCGTTCAAGCGGGGCATTGATGCATACTGTTTCACGTTGCTGGCCGTCAACTACCCCAAGCGGACACGAACCTTTGATAGGACGGCCAAAAACCTCTCTAAGGCTCCAAGCTGCTTCGGATGTCTTCTGGATAGGGAAACACGAATCTTCTGCGTGGTAAGGCTTAGAAGTATCGCATTCCAGTTCTTCAATTGGCATGGGCCGAGGAATTGGGTTATCTTGGGACTTTAGCGTTGATGTAACTAGGAGGCACAAAGCAAGATGATGCGCTTACCTCTTGGCCTTTTCGACCTGGAAATATCCAAAACCATATCCACGCTCTGCTCAATTGCAAGGACGCAACCTCTCTGCTCGTCACATAAAGGAAGGACATCGATTGACATGGTCTGCCACGAGGCATCGAACAGTTTGTGACCATCCAGCAGACTTGATATGCCGGCCTTGCCCTTGCATGGCAAAAGTTTGAGAAAAGGTGTCAAGTTTTCGGTACACACAACTTCATGTGGTAATGTTCCATGCAGGAGCTGTAGATTGTCCATCGCGCCCTTCGGATGCACTCCCTCCGGTTCAAATGACATGACAGGCCGTATCGTCCTGGTGGAGTCGATGAAGTTCAAGGACGCGCAGAATAAACCAGACAGCGCATTCGTCAGTGTTAACCATCTTGCGTTGGCCCTGTCTCCACATCAGTACACTCTTACAACGAAGAACAAAGACGGCACAAACTCCGCGTCGTCCCTTGCATCTACCCAGGCCCAGAGTTCTACGCCAGTTCCACCCTCCCTTGCACCACTATGCGGCCTCTCGCCCCAGCTCTCATCGTCCCATCGTCCGGAGCTGAATCGTAAATGTAGTTCCTTTGTGTGCGCATGTTGTAGGATCTGACCCAGCGAGCGGGGGAAATATCTAAAATTCTGGCTTTCAAACGACGAGGAACTGGAGTTACTTTTGAAATTGAAAGAGGCGAGGAGCGCGTTTTGAGGAAGGGGCCTCAGGAGTAATTGCTCGTGATAGTCCGAGGTGGGCGACGATGCGCTGGCATCTGCGAGGCCGGAGAAGATGGAAAGCGCAGAGGCAAGAAGAAAGTGAAAATGCATTTTCGGATGTCAAATGAGTGTAAAGCCTCCTTTTCCGGAGCGTCAAGGGAGCGCAAAATCGAAATTATACCATGCTGTTATGACGTTCGTGAAGTTATTGTACAGTCTGCGAGGTGGCCTCATCGACTTTACGGGTATGGCCTTTTTTCGCCGCAGATCCTGGGGTACCTTTTGTGTTGTCCAGTCACCAGCCGAGAAACTTCAACGCTCAAACACCTACGTTTGCAGCCTTCCGATTTAACCACATCTTGGTGGAAATCTACACCACTATGGCTGCGGAGCAGAGAAAGCTGCTCGGTACGTGCTTCATCAGACACTCCAGAAAACTCGCACTGACGCCGTGACCAGAGCAGCTCATGGGCGAACAAGCCCTCACTGGCGCATCTCACCGCGCACCACAGCTATCGATCACTGACCCAAAAGTTTGCCGCTCCTATCTCGTTGGTACATGTCCGCATGATCTGTTCACAAACACGAAGCAAGACATCGGTCCCTGCCCAAAGCACCATGTCGAAAGCCTCAAAGTCGAATACGAGTCGGCATCAGACGCGCAGAAGGAGAAGTGGGGCTTCAAATTCGATTACCTCAAGGATATGCAGAAATACGTTGATGAGTGCAATAGAAGGATTGATCAGGCCCAACGGAGACTGGAGAAGACGCCGGATGAGATCCGACAGACAAATAATCTGGTTTGTGCGAGCCGAGACTCCCAGTTCACGAGATGCTAACTTGCGAGACAGTTGAAGCAGATTTCGGACTTGGCACAGACCATCGATGTTGGCCTTCAGGAGATACAAATCATGGCTGACGCTGGTGCTGTTAATCTCGCTGTGCAGGAACACTTCAAAGTGCGACAAGCCCTGGTGACTAAACAGGATCGTGAGCGCGAGCTCAAAGCACTATCCGACACATCGGGTCCTTCAGGCCATCAAAAGCTCCAAGTTTGTGATGTATGCGGTGCTTACTTGTCACGACTGGATAATGATCGACGATTGGCTGATCATTTTTACGGCAAAATGCATTTGGGTTATGCACAGATGCGGAAGACGTATGACGTTCTTCGAGAGGAATTAAAGGGCAAGACGGCGCCCGTGAGGCCAGATGAAGGATTACCAACGGGACCGAGTGATGGCGGTTATGACAGAGGCTTTGGCGGAAGGCAAGGCGGGTGGGGCGGCGGTCACGGCGGTGGGCGAGGTGGATATGGAAGAGGAGGCAGGAGAGGAAGATGGTGATCCTCCGTCCATCGATCTTTCATATCATTATAAATGATGCATCATCTTGGCGTTCCGAGGTATGTGCTTCTCGCGTGGGGAAACGGGATAACCTCCAAGGCAGCGACGAATTCGAGTCTCTTTGCGGAAGAACACTTTCTACTTCGTCCAGCGGAGCTTCAATCTCGTTTTAATACAAAATATGGCTCTATAGTGCGTGATCACGGTGTAACTGAAAACCAATTTTATTTATTGACTCATGCTTCAGAGAGAGCAATTCTAGGTTGACCGCACGAATATGAATCCAGATTTGGAGCACGAGTACAAGGTATGTTCTTCACTTTCAATCTCGCGGTGTCATGTATGTTGCTCTTCGTTCTTTCGCTATGATGAAAGTTTGGTCTTTCTTAGCTCAAGGCATCACCAGAGCAGTGATATTTGCGACAGACGACACGAGGCTTCCCCAAGCTCCTTGACTGTGCCAACTATGTGAAATGATTCCAAGATGATTGTTATGTCCTTACATTATACATCACCTCACCGTTATTAATAGAGATAAGGTCATAAGATTGTGTCTTATCAATGAATGTAAAAGCAAATCAAGATCAAACATGTTTTCGATCTCAATCATACTTCACAAAACCGTCGAAGCGATTGGACTGAAAAGCCTCCATAGAGTTCTCTATTTTTGTCGTCCTTGCACACGATTTGCTGTGACTCAGCCATGTCAAATGTTCTTAAGTAGCGTAATGTTACTGGGTATTACGTTGTCCATTTTGAAGAATGTTTCTTGTGAACAGCTTACTGCCATGGACTTCAGATTTACATCATAATTATCTCCACCTTGAAAGAACACACTTTTGCTCATAGAGAACAATTAAACATTATTTGGTTACGCGCAGGGACAGACATTTCTTGCGTCAGCCTGATAATTTGGAAGGTAGTAATGTTCTCTTCATCATCTAAGATTCGCTTGAATGGCGAGCACAAAACCGATGAACCAATCACTTACATCAAATGGTGTTTTAAGCAAAGGGATGCTAATCTATCCTATGAGCTTAGACAAGAAAGAATCTTGAAGTCAGAGGTATCATTCTGATCATATTCTATAGCTACAATCGACGTCAAATCTATACTAGACGCAAAGGCAGTAGCAGGAGCGTTTTGAAAACGCTTAGTAACTTAATGACGCGTAACAAGATTATGTACTTGTCCAAGTCTTTTGCTTGGTTCTCACGTGGATATGGCACGTTTGGAATTGGTGTCCCAAGAAACCTACACAAAGGCTCCCATCCGTCACCCATTCGACAAACGAGTAAGTTCTCTGGTTTCGTCTTGTCCCTAACTACCTGATAATGTTCTTTTAGTATCCTGGGGCCGTTTTGCCTAGCTTCAGAAAGCGAAGTTGCTTGGAAAAAGCCTCCCATAAGAGATCTTGTGTTGTACGTCAAGCGAGATCGTGATAGTGGATCGAGAACGTGGTAGCAAAGGTCCGTCCACCAACCAAATGTCCAAGGAAATAAGACTTTCTCCCAGCTCCGGAACCAGGATTCAAAGTCGCGCTCGAACATAATGACTTTTGCGTCTGGGTAAATTGAAATCAGGACGCCTGGCATAGCGGCAGCAACATCTGTTACGACTTGGTAATTGCCGATGAGTGAATCCCACTTGGCTCGATCGTACGGTTTCGGCTTAAGACCGCAATGCTCAGCAACCCATGGGATATTTGCCCGGGCCGCTTCACCCCAAGCTTCAAAAGCTGCTTCCGCATCGCTTTCCAAGAAGTCGCTCAAATGGTGTATATGAGTATAACCAAGAATTTGGATGGCTTTGGCAAGCGATTTTGTGCCAGTACGAGGGGGTCCTACGCATAAGATGCCCGCCCCTGAAGCCAGAGTTCCCTGTGTCCGTTTCGACATTGAGTGAAACTATAGTTATTGCTAGGAAGGCCTTTAAAAGTGTATAAGACGAAGTACAAAATCTGCGAGACAAGAGTATAATCATTTTACAACAAAATGGGTGCCTAGAGCTTTATCAACTTCACAATTTGCCTTGAAGATGTGTCTAATGTTGTGCAACCATCTTCGGTCCCTTTTGCCTTGGTTATCTTGCAGTTGCCCTAATTTCTATTTGCAGAAAGGCCATCCTCATGAAGAATCTCATGCAGTGATCGGAAACACGAGTCCTAGTGCGAGCTTATCATTTCTCAAGAAAACGAATCACTTGATGAATGGCTGAATGGATTACGCTATCTTGCATTTCCGACCTCTCACATTCCTGCAACCACGTCGGATTTGTCTTAAGAATTTGAACTATGTTTTCCTCATGATATGCTAAAACCACTACGTGATCTAAAATTACAAAATATGAGTAAAAGTATATCCATTCCTACCAAAAGGGGCATCAACACGGTGACATTGTTGCGGAGGGAACTAAACTTCGCCTGTTCTGCTTTCATTCAAAAGGTGCAGACGCGATATGCATGACAATATTTAGCAGATGCTGTGCTTCTCAGCTATTGTAGTCTTCAGCTACTTAGCCCCACTTCTGGAATAAGCTCCGTTTTTGCTTACTTTGAGTTAGCACTCATATTCAGGTTTCTTCATTGCAACACTACTTGGAGATGGTTCCGCGTCAATCTCGTTTATTTTTTCCCTCTGAAAGGGCAACAAAGAACTTGGTCGAAATGTATGTCGTTGAAAGTTCGGACCTTAAAAGCATACCTATTCCGGGTATTCAATCTAAGCAGTCTGCTCGACTGCTGTGCGAGAGGGTAGCATATCTCGACAACGTTGACATACTTTAAACTTGGTGCAGACTTTGCTAACTTAGATTTCAGTTGAGTTGATTCACGTCTGATGATCCTTATTGATTCAACTCATAGTTATGGCTCTGGAGTATGATTCGCCACTGTTTGAACTCGAATTGCAACCATGTTTGTATCACATCAGTCAATATAGCTAGCGTTTTGGCATTTGCTTTTTCTGGTCTTAAAGTCCATCTTCCCGCCTAATATAGCCGACGAAGATGTGCATGTCTTAGAAACGGTTAAGCCGCTACGGCGATCCTATTTTGCTGGAGTCCCAAGAAGACGGGGTTCTGCGCGACTGGCAAAGCGAACAGATCGGTTCATCTTGGAAAGTTCCAATGCCGAGGTGTGAATAGGAATTCCGAACCAACGTCCTATGAATTTCATGCTTTTCGTCTATGGAAATTTTCTAAGGAATGGAAAATCAAGGCTTACGAAAACCGTGATGAAGCCTTTTCTACCTCCATCGATTCATACATTTGATATGTTGCTAGAACCCCAAACACGTTCCAGGAAGCATTGAAGAGAAATGAATCGATGGTCAGGATACCGCTGGTTCATTTCGTCCGAGATGTCCCACGCACCCTTTGAACTACTCAGGAGGATGCCGATAGCAATTTTCTTGCGCATCTCATAAGCCGTGGATGTATCCACTGATCGATGAACTCCTTCTAGACGCCACAAGGTTTCTAAATTTCCAGCCTCAAGATCTTCAATCCTGACTTTCTCAATATCAAGAGGTTGTCCTGGATCAAGCAGTCAATATCAATCGGAAGAAGAGAAACTTGGAACTGAACAATCGCACCCCGAATCTGACTTCCAATTTCAACAACTCGCGAAAATGAGAGTTTGTTGGACTGAATACCGCTAATGATAGGCCACTTGCGCTCATCTTCTACAGCACGAGCGATGATACTCGCGAAATCAGCAACCGCGGTAAGCGTCATTATGGCGTGTTCATGCCCATCAACCAATATAGCTCTATTATTCTGAAAATCAAAAATTGTCTGCAACGGCTCTAGATACTTGCTTGTCTTGAACGGATATGCGAGATATTCTAAAAACAATCCAGGCTGAAATAGGGTATATTCGAAGTCCTGGGAAAGTCTCCCGTCAGAAAGTTGGACGAAGAACATCGATTACGACTTACATTGGCATGCTTGCTCACTTCTTTAAGATATGATCTCACTTTTTCCTTGCCGGCCCACCAAGGCATGTGAATGGTCTCCTTGCTGTTACAATTCAGCATTCCGTTCGGGCGTAACTCAAATGCTGTAAATGTCTCTACCTTCCGAACTCACTAGGGGCAAAACGTTTTACACCGGCAGAGATAGCAGCATCAATTAGATTCTTTTGAGCCTCTTGACCAGAATCCGACAGTACTTGAATAAAGGACAGGACTGTATGAACTCCTTGTAAAGATTGAACCAAAGAGATAGTCTCTTTGTAATTGACGGTCTGTAATTGGATTCGAGTATCGGTTATTGGAACCTGTTTCTAAATGGAACTTAGTGCTATCGTTTATGAGGTCTTCCATTCTGTGGAACATTTCGTACATGTCGACTCAGAATCGTAATCTCATGTTTTTTCGTCATCAACAGCGCATCAATGACCTCTCGTGCAACTTCTGAGAATTGGTCAAATACAAGCAAGCAAAAATTGGAGAGGGTACAGACGTCCGGAGCCGCCAGCGATGGCAATATGGACCATGATGAAAAATGTAACAACTCTCTATGATCGTCAAAAGATTTGAAGGTGTCCAGAGAATAAGCAAAGGACGTAGCATCGCTGACTTGGAAGAACAGGAGCACGGAGCGTAAAATCAATCGTGTTTTATACTATCTCATCACTTGGCAGAACTACAAAAGCGCACGCTGATCGACTTCTTCGCATGCATTAGTCCGCCGCGGCGATTGCCACAATCCCCCTTGCAATATTGTAATCGCAGCTTGGATGAGACTTCGACTTGCAATGATGGACTTCCCACAGCTGACTACGTTGAAGTCCGTGCACAAATCTCATTTCTCCGCCGCGGCGGAAAACTGAGATACTCAAAGAGTTAACGGCATGGATCTTTAGATTCTTCGGTTTGAAATAATGGCATGATGAGGATCCATTACTCCAATTCTCATAATTACATCTTCGATGTAGACTATTGAGACAGCTCTGGGTATAGCTGCGCTTAGCTTCATGTCCGAGACCACATCATCAGCGACTCCACTGCCGAAGAAGCGAAAGCTCCGGAAAGGCACCAAGAGTTGCTGGCAGTGCAAGCGACGTAAAATACGATGCTCATTTGCATCTCCACATAGTGTGTCGTGTGATGGTTGCACGAGTCGCCAACTGGAATGTGTGAGCCAGCATTATGACGAGAGTCAGCAGAATGTGAATTGTAGTACTTCTGAAAGTCTCCAGTCCGAAGTCGAGGTGAGTCCTGAGTTGATAGCAATCGAAAGGTATCTCATTGACCGGTGGCATAAGTTTCAATCCGCATGCAGTCGTCCCAAATCCGCTTTCGTGTCTAGAGGACATGACCTCTCGGTCACGCTAAGTCCAAGTCTAAGTCTTACAACCAACGAGGATTTAGGAGAAGTTTCCCAATTTCTTATTCAAGCGTGGCCGAATTCAGAGGATTTGAACCTTCTCTTGAGCATCCCGGTGAATCCGTTTCTGTTACTCCATGGAGCAACTTGCAAACCATATCACAAATGTGCTACTACGTTAATGAAGGTGCAAAACATGTTCAAGCTTCCTCTTTGCAGGAACGTTCACCCGGTATTGGTGGCGAGAAATTTGCTTGTTTTTGCAATATACCTGAAGGCGGCTACATCTGGTGATGCAGAAAAGCTCACTGCCTTGAGTACTAGCTGTCATATCCTCGCGTCTCGCTTTCTCTCCCTTGTGAGTCGTCTAGTTACGACCAATGACGAGATGGTTTTATCGCTCGAAGGCGTTGAGTGCATTATGCTAGAGAGCATGTTCTGGAACAATGCTGGCAATCTGCGAAAAGCCTGGATAGTGAATCGCCGGGCGATTCTTACAGCTCAAATGATGGGTCTACATGCTGGCAAGATCTCAACCATTCCGATTCTTGAGCCAGAAACCCGTCATAGAGTTGAACCATCCTATATGTGGTTCCGCCTTGTGACGACAGATCGGTATTTATCCTTGATGCTCGGCCTTCCACAGGCTTCCCATGAGGAACCGTTCGCACATTTGGAGCAACCCGTCGAGACGGCTCCTTTAGGGAACATGGAGCAACAGATGACGCAAGTAGCTGGATTCATCATACAGCGTAACAATTCAAGGAAATTTGAGATTTCATCAACATTGGAAAATGATCAATTGCTTCAAGAAGCTGCAGCATTGACGAGTCCTGCATTGTGGTCGATTGGTAATCTACACCGTACAGTGATCGCAAAGAAGGGACCGTCATTTGAGGAAACGATTCAAATCATGATAAAATTTGCATTCTATCATCTTCTCATACAACTTCATTTGCCATTCATGCTACAGCTTTCCGCGGATACCACCGAGAACGATTACAGCAAACTCACAGCTGCAAACGCGAGTCGCAGTGCTTTGACGATGTTTGTCTTATTCCACAAGTCAAATTCTGTGTCAACTTATTGCCGTGGTGTCGACTTCATTGCGCTTGTAGCAAGCACAGCTCTGTGCCTTGCGCACATGCAGCCCCGTGGTCTGGAGCGCGTAAGTCGTGGGAATTTGAGTAGCGCAATCCAGTCTCTGAAGCACCAACGACTTGGTGACCGTGGATTGCTAGAGGAGGTACTCAAAATCATGACGGAGAAAGCGCAGTCCAATGAGGATGCGATAGCTGCCAGGATTTCCGGAATCCTTCAACCAATTTTGGAGGTAGGATTTGAAGCCACGAGTTCTCAATCGAGAGCCTGTACGCTGGACGAAAGTCATAGTCACGAAGATTTTGGGGCAAGTGTTGATCAAGCAGGCGGGTTACATATCCAGATCCCTCACTTAGGTACTATCAAGATTGCCCAAGAAGACAACGATTCGAGACAAGATGGATGGAAAGAGTCTCAGTGCATTGGAACCACAACGACCCAGTTTTATTCTGATGTAAGCATTGCAGCCGAGGACAGTGCGACCTACGACATGAACAACGCGGCATTTCAAAGCGTTGATATATCGGGTCTAGATGGGAATGATCATGGCTGGATCCCGAATAGCGTTGAGATGGCATTGTCCAATCTTTTCACAGGCGAATCTGCGATTGATCTAGAACTAGTGTAAAGCAGAGCCTCAACGCAAAACCAACGTCTTCAAAGCACAACCATCTTCTTCATCAGATGCACCTTTTCTTCTTGCTGTCGCAAATGTCTTCCCGCTGTCGCTCGTGGGATTCTGTATTGCAAATTTTCGAAGGCGACTAAATTGGAAGGCTATTAATAATTCCAATCTCATAAAAAAGGTGATGAAGCCAAGTTCAGACAATCTTGCTATAAGATACAGTGCTATTGCTTCGAAGTCTCCTATATCCATCTCTTGCGAGGAAAGGCGAGTCGTTTGATGATCAAGGTAAAGATAGGAGGCGGCATACTGTAAGAGCAGGGATGCACAAAACAATACTTGAAGAATAGACAGCTCTTGAATTCGTAGTCATCAGCCAATGTTGGCCTGAACTTGGTTAGACAGAATCGTCAACCGGTATGCATTCACATCCCAAACAACACAAGCGCACAATCCCACCCACCCAAAAACCGCAAAAACGCCAATAACAATGCCCATCCCACAAGTATTCATAGGGTAGACAAATCCTAGTCGTAAAATAGTTGCACATCATGGCTGATCACGTTCACAGCCCCTCTGTATCACTGATACCTGGCCATTCACTTTCACTTTCCTCGCCCTCTGCAGTTCCGAAGTCAACCTTCTTCTCCCTCGCCGCCCTTATGCTCTCTAATGTCTTCTCCACATCTTCGGGAAGCTCGCCTGCATTTTCATCACAAGAACGTCCAATCTCGATCTTATGCGCTTCGCACACATCATACAGGGCATAGAGTTGGCCACCCTTGACTTTGATTGCATTGTTCAAACGCTCTATCTTCTTGTGTAGTGTATTGTGAGCACGCTTGCCCAGTGCTGGATCAGCATTCTTAAGTTTTTGGGTGAGGACCACAAATTCGAGCTTGAGGTGATGCAATTCATCACTCAATTCCTTGATGACACGAGAGAGCGCTTGAGAAGGAGGTTGAGAAGGTCGCATCGTGGCATCAACGTCAGTGTTATACTCCTTACGTTCTGAAACAGGGACAGGAGCTGGGATATTAAGTTCGTCAATGTCGACAGGAGACGTAGACAGGATGCGTTGGCAGACCGAGCAGTTCTTGATGTCGTGATCAGCAGAAACAGATTTCAGTACGTCCTGGGTGGTAGCATCTCGTTGGGTATGCAGTGTGATGTCTGGAATGATGAATGCAGACGTCATTTCTGTAAAAGCGGCGCTGGAACGACGGCGGCGGTGAGAAATGCGAGACGCATGACTAACATGAGAATGAACTGTATCTTCGTTGCGAAGACCAGTTGTGGCATCCTCTACAGCAGAATCCTCGTTTGCTGTTATACTTAGGACGGAACGAGCGCGGCTAGAGGCTCGAGATCGAGCAGTCAGATCTTTCTGCGACGAGCGCCGGCGAATACCGTAGCCAGTTACTTCTTCATCGGGCGAAGACTGAGGGACCGTCGTGGACTTGCGCTGGCGGGCTGCAAGATGCTCCTCTTCTAAACGTTTGCGAAGCTTTGCAATCTCATCACCATCAATGTAGCTTAGATAAGTAGTGTCACCAGTGTGAACAGGAACAAATCCAGTGGCACGCTTTCCCTTGGCACCACTCTTCGGAGCACCAGCCAGAATCGCAGGATCGAAGGACATGTCAGAATCCGATTTCTCGCTCGACTCGGATTCATCATGCGCAGCAACAGAAACAGGAGCTGAAACATGACGGTGACGGCGGGATGTTTCGGATCTAGTAATTCGGCGAGATTGGGATTTAGACCTCGAACGCGTCCTTGGGTAATCTCGTGTGGTCTGCTGGTGTAAAGCCTCATGAACACTTGAGGTAATTTGTCCAGTAGATCGACGTTTCCCCTTGCTTTCAGCAACATTCCTCGTCGTCTCTCCATCCCGCGTAGCATCGATTTCGCGGTACAGGTCGTTAACTTGCTTAACATGCTCAAGACGATCTCTGAGACGCGTTTCTTTGCGCTTCCACTGCTCTGTTGCCTCTGCATGCTGATTCATGACCTCTTCAAGACGCCTTCGCAGGGTTTCCTTCGGCGTACCGCTTTCCTCATTTCGCGCTGTAGCTTTCAAACGCGCCAACTCAGCTTTCAAGTTCTGATTCTCCTTACGCAGCTCCTCGTTGATTTCTTCCTGCGGTACTGCAACCCGAAGCTGATGTATGGTCTCATCTCGCTGATCGATATGAGCTTGGAGCTCGGCCTGCTTGCTAGCCCACCGCTTAAGCTCTGCTTCACGGCTCTCTTTCGCCTGTTCGAGCTCCGCCAGCAGTTGTTCTTTCTCTTCGGTAAGTTTAGCGTGCTCGACTTCGGCGGCACGTTCAGCTTCGCGACGTGCCTTCTCCTCGCGTTGTGCTGCTTTTCTCTCAGCGGCCTCCTGTTGCTCGCGAGCGCGAACGAGCTCATCGCGCAGGGTCTGATTTTCATTTAGGATTGCGCGATCATTCGTGTTTGCCTTTCGAGTCAGCGCAGCTTCCTTCTTCTGCCAACGAGTTGTTTCATCCTCGTGGCGTTCGTGGGACAAGTCGAGCTGCATTCGGAGCTCTTCAATCTCAGCAGCCAAAGCACGATTTTCCGCCTGAAGCTCAGCGACTTGATCCTGTAGGAGGCGATTCTCGTTCTGAAGAACCTCGTTCTCGCCCTTGAGCTCTTCGTTACTGTAGTATGCCACGCTAAGTTGGGTCCCGAGGCTGTCGCGCTCTTCCCTCGCCCGTTTTGTGTTTGCCTCCGCTGTCGAGACTTTGCGTTCAGCATGCTCGAGGCGGCGTTTGAGTGACTGCACTGATGATTCGAGTTCTGGGGAGATTTGTTAGACTTTGTAATCTATGACAGCGAAGCTTTCACTTACGAGCCTTCTCTATTTTCCATTTGTTCTTCGAACTGCCAACTGCCTCGCCATCTGAAGATCCCAATGCACTATCACTTCTTCGCAGACTTGCATGAGCGTCTAATTGTGCCTGAAGCTCAGAGACCTGAATCTCGTACTCCTCAATTCTGTGATCCGCCTCGGCCTTCTCTTGCTCAACCTGCTCCAGCCTCTCCTTGAGGATCTGCAACGAATGCAGGATAGCCTTTTCTTCTTCGGGAATCGGGACGCTCGAAACAGGTATATAGTTTCCAGGCCCAGGATTTGCCGGAGTCACTCGGCGATTGGGGAGTCCACGAGAAAGCATAGGTGTGCCCTTGATTGAACCGCCGAAGAGCTCAGTGAGATTGGGCATCTCCGGCAGTAGGAATGATTGTACGGTACTATTTGCAACGCCTCGTGGGGTGCCATTTGCGCGCTGGGGTGTACCAGCCAGTGGTCTCTGATATGTGTCATTATTTGCGGACACGGTTCGGCTGGCAAAACGTGTAGGACGTGAACGCGCATCCTGGTTATCATGTTGTGCCATCACGTTTTCCTTTGTTGACCTGGTGTTGGTTGGAACGCGTGTACTTGAAGCGCGTCGTAGCTGCGCTTCCTTCCTCAGATTGCTCTTTGGTGTTGGTCGTGACCGGGACGGAGGCGTACCCTTGAACTCATAATGGCTGTTACCAATCTCGAGCAAAATCTCGGAGTCAAGGGATTTGTTCGGTTTACTGGGAGTATTGCCGATGCCACGTCCAACTTCTATTGAGTTTTCCTCGTCGTCGGTGCTGTTGCTGTGATCAAAGTCGCCAAATTCACGTCTCACTGCTGACGTTGGTACTTGGGGAGGTAGTTCAGGATTATAATATCTCCTCTGCTGCGCGGTGGTCCGTATCTTAGGTAAAAAATGGGAGTCATCCTCGTCGATATGGTGTTTGGTAGACATGAGCGCGTCGTCGTTGTCTGGATTAAAGGTGGACACGTCGTCAGACGATGCTATTGAGGGCGCGGGCGAAGCGCGCGAACGCCGTCGGCTTGCAGCCAATGCATGAATAGCGCGAGCACTTGTACTTCTCTCGGTGTCAGACATTGTAGCTATGCCTGCATACAATGTTCTGGAGGAATGGTGCGTGGAGAAGATTGTTTTACAAGGAGACGCGTTTTGGGAGTCGGAAAGTGAAGCCCACGATGTTTACATTTCGTGTTTGAGGGCCCAAGCTCGGAGCCACAAGGCTGAGTCCACAGTTTCAAGTAGGCTTGAGTTCCTTTTACGCGTCGTCTCTAATATCACTTGTCACCTACCCGGTGTAAAGCCTTCGTCAAGTTATTCACTTTATGGGAGACTCGTAATCTCTTGTCAGACTTCACCAGGCTTTTGTATGCTATCCGTGGGTGTGTTTTCCAGGCGCATTGCCGTGTCGGATCGTCTTCCGTTGCGACCATTGTCCTTGTATCCTCTTTTCTATGTCATCGGAATAGTCAATAAAGCAAGTTATGTAAACCTCGAACGAGCATTTTTTTGTAAGATTAGAAAATCAGCATTGTCACGACATCCACAAGCAACACGGTACAACGCTCTCTTTAAAGAGTCTGTTAGCGCCGCGGAAACTCTCCGCGCTTAGACTTGCTCGCCGTGGGAGTAGCATAAACATTAATCCTTGGATCTTCTAAGATTCATTTCAAATCCAACTTTATGCCTATTATCTGAATTCAACCCTTCAATATGCACATTCTAATCACTGGGGCGTCTGGCTTCATTGGCCAAGAGCTTGCCACTGCTCTCGTAGCAAAAGATCTGTCCGTTCGTCTCACCCTCACCGATATATGTGAGCCTGCAAAACCAGCAATCGCGGCTCAAGCAAGCATAGATACGTTAGGTCTCGATCTGACTTCTCGTGAAAAAGTCGAATCTCTTCTCTCCACAAGATATGATCTCATTTATCTCCTCCACGGTATCATGTCCGGTGGAGCGGAAGCCAATCTCGACTTCGGACTGAAAGTAAACGTCGATTCCTTCAGAAATATCCTAGATACCCTGCGCATGCGATACCCAGGTACACAGGTTATCTTCCCTTCTTCGCTCGCCGTGTACGGACCGACATCTGAAGGCGAGGTTGTGAGCGAGACCACGTGTCCGATGCCGCAGTCGAGCTACGGAGCAGAGAAACTCATTGTGGAGACGCTTTTAAACGATTATTCGAGACGGGGGCTCATCGATGGACGCATTGCTCGCTTGCCCACTGTCATTGTGAGACCTGGGAAACCATCCGCTGCTGCATCGTCGTTTGCAAGTGGCATAGTTCGCGAGAGTCTCAAGGGGGAGAAGAATGTGCTTCCTGTGGAAGAAGACCTAGAGATGTGGATATGCTCACCACAGGTCGTTGTGGAGAATCTAGTCAAGCTTCGAGATGTGCCCAAGGAGAAATTGGGATCTCATAGGACGGTGTGCTTGCCGGGACAGACCGTCACAGTAGGACAAATTCTAGATGCACTTGAGGCAGTAGGGGGCAGGAAGGCCAGAGACTTGGTGGAGAAAAAAAAGGATGCTGAGAATGAACGGATTGTGAAAAGGTGAGTGTTTGACACACGGAGGCTGAATATTCTTAGGCTGATTTGAAGTAGTTGGCCAGCGCGGTTTGACACAACACGGGCTAAAGATCTAGGTCTCCGTGAAGACATATCATTGACCAAGATAGTAGAGACTTTCGCAGCAACATTGTCAAAGTCATGAATTCACCCCAAGATCAGCAAATTTCGCACTGCTATCACCACAAGTATCTTCATAGCTCCCTTGACGTTCGAAATTGTTCTTACTTACCTCTGATCTGCAAAAAGTGAACAACTGTTCTGAACACTCGAACTGGACATCATCGCACCGTTTCTGCTGTTGAAAAGTCCGTGAAGAGGAGCAGTCGTGCGAGTCGATGCAATTTACCCAAAATGATCCGGTAATCTCATATGAGAAATTTGGCATGAGCCACAAGCTCCCGGAAGACACTGATTTGTTCGTCAAGTAAATGTGAGTGTTACGAGAAGCTGGTCAGCATCAAGGGATAAAATTAGATGACTGTCAGTTCTGGACTCATCCTATCTGAATTGTTACGAATCACAGATGAAGATTCGACACTTTCAAGCATTGGGATGAGTCAATACTGCTTTGGAACCATGTATATTGGAGTTGAATGCGCGGGCTAGAGAAGCACGACGGAGTTCAAGTATTGCACGCGATCTAACAGTGATGCCGATAAAGGAGCACTTAGATATTTTCTTTATTACTTCAAGTTGTCTGCATAACAAGCAACTTTTTTTTCGGTCTATCCTGGATCTAACCAAACGTCTGCATGTGGCTGTGGGACGTGGCGCCACCAGAATTGCGAAGGGAAACTTGCGCATTGAGGCTTTTGATGAAATTCAGGACAGGAAAACTTGTATTCCACGTGCATCTGTAGCGTAGCACAGCTACAGATCTGATTTAACAAGACTTAACCGCGGTCCGGGAGCGAACTCGAACCAAGCTTGAAGATGGACGTAGGACAGAGCAATGACGTCAGAAATGAAACGAAGCATGTGAAAGCCAGCACACCAAAAGTCGACAGATCTTCACGAGAGAATAGTAGCTAGTTCTCTTGGGAAGCGAATAGCTGCAAGCGAAGAAAAATAAAAGTTGCCATTATGGAAGACCCTCGTATGAAATGAATCGTTCAAATTGTTTGGAAGCGAGGGAGTACTGACATGCGTAACAGAGTCTGAAATTGTGGAAGTCATTTCTCTGCTCACTCAATCGCCTCCTAGTACTCAACTTGCTACGCTCGAACGCTACTTTACCCCGACTGCAAAATTCACGCATCCTTTCGTACGCACCGGCAGCTGGGACTTGGGCAATGGCTTCACGAGTCGTTGGGCGATTTCGCAGATTTACCGATGGTACAAGATCATGTCTCCGCGTGTCGTCGGTCACGTTACATCCATAGCGTACGATAAGCCCAACGAAATTCTCTACGCTGGCTTCGAGCAGACTTTCTGGATCTATCCCCTCTCTGTGCTTGGGTATCGAGCAAACGTGGAGCTGACGGTGAAGCTACGTCTGCACCACAACAAACAGGATGGCAAATACTATATCGAGAGCCAAGAGGACTTGTATCAAACCACGGAATTCGCCAAGTTTGCGTGGCTCGGCATATGGAGGCTCGTGTGGATTTGGCAGGCGATATCGACAATTTTTTGCATCTTGTTGGCCTATGTAGGGACACCCGTTTCTTGGGTAGAAGAGCGCTGGCAGATTGGCCAGGTAACGGATTCAACGGAACGCTCTGATCAGACTGTGAAGCAGGATATCAATTCCAAGAGTGTCAAAAACGGCAATGAAAAAGGGGAATAATGGGACTGCGAATTCGAATTTCAAGATGTAAAATAAAGTTTCTATTGCCTAGCTTCTGTATATCTCTAAATCGTACATGCGAACGCGCTTTATGCTCGAAGCCTTTTCAAACAGAGCAGAGTTGCAGAGAGTCAGTACTTGTGGAACAATCCATTGCGTAACTTGTCCTCCTGTCTGACTACGCTCATGGGCAAGGCATCACCGATGCCAAATATGACGAACAGCGCCCATTTCCAACGAAATGGATTGAGCAAAAGGGTTGAAAAGAACCACCAAAGCAATTCGCCATAGGTGAAGAAGTCAAATGCACCACTGCAATCAGATTAGTTTTTGCCTTTGCGTGTGTGTGAGAGGAGTATTGGGAACTAACCCGGGTGCTCTTCGCTTGATCCATCGGACCATGTCGATCCAAAATTTCGTCAGCGGCTCTCTTGGCCTGGCCAATGGATCAACGAGATACATGAGCAGAAATCGGGTGTAAATGCCAATGTGGTAGTTGCCGACGGTTCCGATCGCGTTGACGTAGGTGCAGTTGTTTGCGCAAATCTCGACGTGCTTGGGTGGAAACACCTGCATGTACCAGTTCGGGGGCTCGTACCCGTCCTCGAAACAGTCGTCAGGCAGAAAGCGGAGGCTCGGCCGGGAGTAGCCCGTCGCCATGATCACGATGTCTGCTTCTACAAGCATTTCCTTTCCGGGACCACCCTTTGGGACGCCTTGCGCTCGTTTGTTGAAGACGATGCCGTTTTCGGTGAACTTCTCGACGTCTCCGCGTAGCCACTCAGCTTTCCCCGAGCGCACGAGTTCTAAAACGTCGTCGTTGACCATCGGAGTGTCCGTGAAGATACCCTTACTGCCTGGGGGCGGCGAAAGATCAGAGAGGTCTCGATAGAAAAATACTCGAAGCAATCTCTCTGGGATCCAGCTGAAGGGGGTTTCACCGCCAAACACGTTCATACTGAGGAGAGCATCGATGACGGGGTTTCGCGGAATGATCCATTTCTCGGACTTCCTTGTGTCAGCACGCTGTCCTGTTGAATCACGATTCTCGCACGTACTCTAGCAAGAACAACCGCTTTCTCAGCATTTGCTGATGCAACAAATTCCAAGGCTTCCACTGCGCTCGCGCCTCCGCCTACGATTACTACCTTCTTTCCCTTTGCATCCTTACCGTCAAGCTCAGACGAGTGGTATATCTCGCCCTTGAACTTTTCTTGACCTGGAATGTGAGCCATCTTAGGCTCACCGCACGTGCCCACGGCGACGATGACGCCGTCGAACCGTCCGTTGCTCGGATCGTTCACAATCCACCGGTTTTTGTCATCCTGATACAGCTTAGTGACTTTGGTGTTGAACCTCGTCCGCTCCTTGAGACCGTAGCGTTGCCACAGCTGCTGGATTTGCGAAACGATCTGTTCGCGATCGGGGTATCCCTTTCTCCATCTAATAGAAGGGTGAAAGCGATACATCAGACTATGAATTTGAAGCCCGGATGTGTTGTTCACTTTCTGAGACGCTGTTAGTAGACCAGTGCGCCAGTTGGAGCTCAACGTACCGTCCATATTCCGCCCACGGATTTCTCATCTCCGGCTTCAAATATAACGGTGTCAAACCCGTGTCCCACACAATGTGATGCCGCTGAAACGCCAGTCAAGCCAGCCCCGATGACTGCAATCTTTGGTCTGGACAGCTTAGCATTGGGCGGAGGCGGCTGTGGAGAAAGCAATTTATCGAGAAGGACCTGAAGAGCCAGGTATAGGTAGGTTAGAGGCTCCAGAAGAAGCCACTGAATGAGGGACATTGTCATCCGATTCCGAGATCTGGATCTTAATGAGAGAGGTGACAGAGAAACTTGCAAGTCTTTTTTTTTTTCAATTCAAATACCTTTGTGCTGCACGAACGGACCTTGTTTCCAAGGCAGTTCAGGTACGTGGTTTGACATGCGACTGGCCGGGCTTGCATGTGAAAGTATGACGTACATACGTAGAACTAACGTCGAACGCAAAACTGTCGGGCATTTCATGCACATCCCGGCAGCGCCTTAAGACCACTGCGATCTTTGAGCACTCTACGTGACTTGCATCGGACATGCTGTAAATCCACGTTAAGTCTACGTCGGAGATAAGTTCCCCTCGTACATTGTTGTCTTTACGGCCACTTGACGAACCGACAGTCCAGCAGCAACGCGCTTTGTCATCCGTTGAACAAGGCGCCACTTTTTTTCACGCCGATGCGCTCCCACACGCCTGTCGATACGTAAGTCCAGGATGTTGGATATGCTTTGGATATTTGTAATGGCAACCATGCAATGTTGTATCGTGCACTGGCATGCAGCCTGCGAAATCGGTAGTGCTAGCGGGTCAAACGGTGACATCAAATGGGATGGTTCGGTGACGTTCCGCCCGAATGAAATTTAAGCTTCTGCCAGGGAGAGAACGTTCAAAAAACGAGGTCTTTAAACACTTCAAGTGATACTACTCTATACTGGGACGCATACGGACCGCAATCTCTCTTGCTATGGCGCCGAAAACCATTCGTTGGGGCATCCTTGCTACGGGGGCCATCGCCGTGACATTGTATGTGCTCACATGTACGTGAAATCCAACCTAGCTCACTGACATTTCGCCACAGCACCAAAGATCTGCTTGTTGACCCTACGACCCGCGGGGTTGAGGATGTCAAACACACCGTGGTTGCAGCCGCCTCATCTTCATCTAAGTTACGAGCAGATGCCTTCTTGAAAGAGGTAGGCGCACCATCGGATGCGAAGGGCTATGGATCATACGAGGAGCTCGTCAAGGACCCGAATATCGATATTGTCTACGTTGCAACCCCACATTCGCATCACTACCAGAACTGCATGCTTGCCCTGGAGGCCGGCAAGAATGTCCTGTGCGAGAAAGCATTCACCGTGAACGCCGAACAAGCAAAGATCTTGGTCCAGAAGGCGAGAGAAAAGAACCTGTTTCTGATGGAGGCAGTCTGGACTCGCTACTTTCCGCTGTCGATTTATGTGCGAGACACAATCACCTCAGGCAAGATCGGCCATGTTCAACGTGTGACAGCGGACAACTCCATGCCCTTTGGCGACCCTGACGATCCGAGCAAAGTCGACAACTCTCACAGAATGGTCAACATGAATCTCGCAGGTGGTTCTCTTCTCGACCTGGGAATTTACAGTCTTACCTGGGTATTCCAATGCTTATACACCACACAACCAGTAGAGAAGCGCCAGAAGCCAAAAGTTTTGAGCTTCATTCGACCGTACTCGCAGACTGGAGCTGACGAGCTTACGACCATGATTTTGGAATTTCCCAGAGACGAGAAGCTGGGAGGTCCTGCGCACGCGGTTGCAACCACAGGCTGCATTGTTGCATCGATGCCAGGGGACAATAGGGAGACACCTTCGGTCCGGATTTCCGGTACTAAGGGTGAAATCCAAGTGTTCCCACCTGCTTTCCGACCCACAAAAACGAGACTGATTATGCGAGACGGATCTGTGGAAGAAAGAAATTGGCCGCAGCCCGGCCCAGGCGTTGGCAGCGGTTGGAAGAACGGGTTTCTGGACGAGTTCAACGCAGAGGGAGAAGGCCATGGTATGTTCTGGGAAGCGGACGAAGCTGCAAGAGCGCTTGTAGAAGGACGTAAAGAAGGGAAATACGAAGATTTGAACGAGAGCATCGTGATCATGGAGACAATGGACGAAGTCAGAAGACAAGCAGGGATGAAATACCCTGACGAGATTGAGACGACCAAGTATCCGGTCGACCTGAAAGGAAAATGAATGACCTATGAATCATGCACACGTGATTTCGGTACTTGTGACGACAAAGAGAAGCCAGTGCGATCGCAAGAAGCGAAAATTCTCTATTGGGCTTTCAATTGTTTGTATCAGGGTACAGAAGTCGTCTTACTGACGTGCAGAGCTCCCGTCATGACGACAGATGTCTCTTGCTTCGCAGAATACAATGCGACGCAGGAAGAATGCCTGACACTGCAAATCAAGTGAGGAAGAATGCCTAGTTACTGTGAATCTAGAAAAATGTCAGTAAATTGTCTTCGAAAACGTCACTACTGTAGCTACGGATTTTTGTTTTCATATTCATTGGCCAACAGTAGATGGTATGGCGGCGCGACAAGGTTCATATCTCACGGATTCATCAACAAAGGCATAATGTGTCTTGAGTGAATAAGTCATCAGTTCCGCGTTCCATGCTGCGTGAATTTTCCACATACCGTGGCTTCTTTCCGTTCATCCCTATGGGACTCTTGTATGCGACGGAGAATGCGATGATATTTCAAAGTCGTTCCGAGAGCAATGGTTTAAACGACGATGAGGAAGACCTAGCTGCCGAGTCCTGTCTAGGAGGCGAAAACGCCACAATCGGTACTTTGCATAGTTCCTGGCAAGCACGCATGATGCTTCCCGCGAACCATACGTTAAGGCCGGACCGAGGAGATCCTCATGCCTGAAGCAATCGCGGGAATCTGAGTCTGGATCATGGATTCTCGACAGCTTCGCAGTGTTTCGGTCTAGCCACTGGATCGCATGACTTCCAGCGAAATATGTCGGATTCACTGAATCTGGTCCTAGTAGATTGACATTTCACCTTGGAGAAGCAAGGTGCTGTATTTTTTGGCCTAATTTATTCTGATCACGAGAATAGTCCGTCATTTCTTATATCAGTCCTGCTTTGACAAACAGTAAATACCATACCATTCCAGCAGCTCCAGAAGGCTTTGGCATCGACCATACCTTTTGATTCAATTCAGCTTATTGCACTTGAACTGTTCAAGAGAGCATCATTGGCGAATCGTTTCCTCCTACAGAGATGGTTTAGCTTGACGCCTTATCAAATGCGCAAGTATGGTACCGCAGTCTAATCCACGAAAGCGGCAACGAAACTCCGACGAGCCAACCACAGGTCGTGGCGGTTGTTCTTCCCGCTGTCTATCGGGACGAAGGCTCAACGATCCTACGAGCAAGCAAGGAGCCAAGGAGCGGGACAAGCTGGCTAAGGCAAACTTCCAGCAGCTTGACAATCTTCGACAAAGCTTCTACGCCAGGTTGGTCAGGATGCGTTGGTTATGTGTCTGCTCGTCCGGATTCGGCAACGATCTACACGCACACCACGCGACGACAGAACGGTTGCTTGTTGCCGATCGCTTCTCTCGCGGGGAGCATTGAATTTACCACGGCGATAACAATCTTTGCCTTTTCAGAAATTGGGGGGTTCAAGATGGGCTGCACAAATATCGAGGCTGGTCCCCCCCGGGATAGCTGCGGACAACGCCGCTGCAACAGAAGTTTGGCCCTGCAGTCGTACTGAACGCAGTTGAAGTATCCGCAATCATGCCGAATATGGAGAAAGAGCCCGTCGCTGAAGATGTTGCGGACATTGAAGTGGACGGCTCAGAAAAGGCCCCGGCACAAAAGACGACCAAGGATGGCATTTTGCTGGTTCCTCAGCCCAGCGATGATCCTGAGCAGCCCTTGAACTGGTCCTGGCGGAAGAAGCATCTTGCTCTCGTCGTCCTCATTCTGGAAACGTTCATGGTCAAGTACACGGCAACCTTCATTGCCCCAGGAGCACACACTCTCGCTGCAGATTTCCACACGACCGCAGTCAAGGGCACCTACCTCGCCTCGGCTACGTCAATTGTCCCAGCCGTGGCTCCGTTGATATGGATCCCGCTCTCGCAACGGATTGGACGCCGTCCAGTGCTCTTGATGGGAACGCTGTTCTCTATGCTGTTCAACATCGGCCTGGCGCGATCACAAACCTACGCGCAAGCTCTGATTTGCAGATTGTTTGGCTACGGAACTGCCAGTGCAGGTCTCTGCATCACTCCAGCTGCCATCAGTGACATGTTCTTCTTCCACGAGAAGGGTACTAGGATGGGCTTGAACGCCTATCTCATGGTCGTTGCCCCCTATTTGGGAGGTGTCACAGGCGGATCTATACAATACAACCCACACTTGGGATGGAGATGGGCCATGTACATCGCCGCGATCATGTACGCCTTCCTCTTCGTGGCCATCTTTTTATGCGGTATGTTGAGCCTTGACCCTTTGCGAGATGACAGATTCTGATTCTTGCGTGCAGTGCCAGAGACGATTTGGGAACCAAAAGCACAAGGCTCGTCGCAAGAACCGGAGAAGAAGTCGTTCTACAAGAAGCTCGGCTTCCGCACCCCAAATCCAAAGGAGTCGTGGGCAGCCACGTTTGGCCGTCCCTACCCGATGTTCGCCTACCCTGCCGTCCTCCTTCCCTCGCTGTGGTTCTCCGTCTGTTACATGTCCGAAGTCGCCAATACTGCTGGCTTCCCTCTCCGCTTTGGAAAGGGCTCTAAATACAACTTCAACACGCAGCAAGTTGGGTTCTGTTCGTTTTCCGGCTTCATCGGCTGCTCGCTGGCTGAATGGACCGCCGGACCGGTCTTGGATTTCATCGCAAAGCGTCATCTGCGCAAGGGCAAGGTATGGAGACCCGAAGTGCTGCTCAAGGTGTGCTGGACCGGCGTCGTCACCATTCCCGCGGGCCTGCTGCTCTACGGCCTTATGCTCAACTATTCCGATTCGTGGGTGGGAACGCTAGCTGGCATCTCAATCTACGCCTTCGGCCAAGAAGTCTTGGTGACGGTGATCATGACATACATGTGCGATTGCTATCCTAAACACGCAAGCGAAGTCGCGATCGTGTTCCAGTTCACTCTGAATGTCATGGCTTACCACCCCCCCTTTTACACTCCGCTGTGGATCGAGGCAACCAGTCCTAAAGTTCCATACATTGTTTATGCTGTCTTGCCCTTGGTCCTGTTCCCAGTCTGCATTGGAGTCATCATGTGGAAGGGACCTGAAATCAGACGCAAGGGGCCCTGGGGCAAAGTTATTTACAAGGACGATGAAATGGAAGAGGACAGAGTTCTGCAGTAACTGATGCGCGTGTGGTCCTGTCTTTCAAGAACTCCGACTAATCTGACGTTCATATATTTGGAGGACAACGTAAATGTTTAAGTGTATTTGAAGAAATGAATGTACGATCATCATACAATATCTTCAACTGCAGTAATTGACACTTTTTGATTTGGCGTGTAAGAGCTGCTACTTGTTTCCATAGCACTATTTGGGATCCGTTTATCGCCAGAACATAGTCTGCTTTCCAACCACGACTCCTCCGTCCACGCAAGGAGAGAATTACCATTTTTAACGCCGATTTACCTTCTCCAGAAGTAATGAATACAGTGAAACGCTACATGGCCCGTTCTCTGAACGTAATAGAATTCCGAAGAGAAGAAGAAGAAGATTAACTGGCACTGTGCGATTTTCATGCGACTTAAAGACGTCCCCTTTTTCCGATCATTCTCGACGAAGCCTATACTCTGATAAGAACTAGAATGCAAAGATTGTCTTGCAACGCAGGTATTTTCCACGTTCGTTCGAATGATTTACATGTTCAATGGCCATTCCAAGCAGCATAAGAGCATAGAGTACCAGCTCTTAAAGCCAATGTTACAACGAGCAAGTGCAAAGCCAAAAGCGCAGAAGACCAACGCAACTGCATGTAAAGCGAGCTAGGACGGTTGGTATCGTTGGAAGCATTTATGCTGATAAAATCGAATAACGCCAGTGCAACGAGCGGATACGCAATGTACCATTTCGCCTCGTAAGGCGAGCATGATCCTGTCAGAGTGTATACCTTTAGCATGAAAACAAGCGTGCGTGCGCCAATCGAGATAATTGGATGTCTGACTAGCTGCTGCAATCGGTAATATGTTGAGGGTGGTGGCGGGAGCGCGAGTTGTGGCTTGCGAGGCGATGCTGGCCCAGCTTTATGTGCTTCTGTGGAAGGTCTTCCATGATCAAAGGAGCCGTTTTGACCTCTCTTCGCAGGGCTCGAAGAACGACTGCGACCTTGCTGTGGCGAGCTTTGCCTTAGTCCCGACGGCCCTGGCCGATTGAACTGTGGAGGCGGAGCTGTTAAAGGATTTGATTGCGGGGACAGCCTTCGTGGTGGGCTCGGTGCGGGAGAGTCTAAGTTCGAGATGCGGGATCTCAAGTCATTCAGGACGCTTGGTCGATCCTCGTGTTGATCCAGCTCATCGAGAGTTGTACCTGCTCTGATACCTTGCAAGATCTCCTCCGTGCTAGGCCTGTCGTTGGGATGTAGGCTGAGCAGCCGCTTAAGGAATTTGTACAACTTGTCTGGAAGATCAGCCCGAATCCTCTTGGCGTCATCAAAACCGGCCCAAGTTGAAATCTCTGCACGTAGCTGCTCCAGGTCTTCCTTCTCCTCGTTGATATCGTCGGCGTTGCTATATGGTAATTTCCCAAAGCACATGAAGTACACGATCATGCCCAAAGAAAAGACATCCGATTTGGTAGTAAAATTGCCAAAACTACCTTGGGCATCCTTTATGAGTACCTCAGGCGCGCAGTAGGAAATGGTTCCCGTGGCACCGGTGGACTTGCGTGCCACATTCTCCATCTGAACCTCGCCAAAGTCGCTGACTAGGACACGAAAGCGTTTGCCATCGCCGTGTAGAAGACAATTGTTTGGCTTCAAATCGCGGTGAATGTAACCATGAGAGTGAAGGTGATGAAGGCCAGACGTAATATCTTTGAAGAAAGAGAAAATCTCTTCAAACGCCATTTTTCGTGGGCCCTGCAGGTCTTGTGGGAGCTCTGCTTGTCCTTTTGACTTTCGCCGCATTCGCTCCTTCAGCTGCTCCTTGGACATCTTGGATTTTCCTGACCCAAGAACATAATTATGCAAATCCCCACCATTGCAATACTGTTGCAAGATGAATGCACACGGAACGCTGGGCCCAAAATTTGTGATCTGGTAGTCCTCAAGCCAGACGTGTCTATACGACACCAAATTCTGATGCGACAGGTTTTGCAGCAGCTGTACCTCCACAAGCACTTTTTCTAGCCAGGTATGGTCGTCGCCGACGGGCACTCTCTTACAGGCGAAGTGTCCGAGTGATACACCGTCCAGAACATGCTTGACAAGTAAAACAACTCCTTTGCCTCCCCTGCCCAACTCACCCTCTTCCACGAAGAACGACTTAAAGTAACCCTGCGTGAATGCTTCACTGGATATGCTGCTCGTCTTGGGCGGAAGACTGGGTTCGCTGCCGATAAACTCGGCGCCGGCAGGTGGTCTCAATTGGCTTCGTGAGCGCTGCCTGTTGAGTTGCGCAATCCTCCTGCGAGGCGATGGTGGCTGGGACGGTTCCGGCGTGTTCGCGGCGGAGTTCTGCAGCATGCGAAAGTAGCCTGGATTCATCCAGTGGTGCTCATCAGTATGAGGCGGAGAATCGCCTCGCTGGTGGGTCGACGCGTCCTCGCGGTAAGGGCGGTGGCATGTTGGGCAGCTCGTCGCCTCAAGGGCATCGGTATGTGGATCATGACGGAGGGAAAGCTGTCGTGAGCGTTGGTCGAAGACTACAACGGTGGAATCGTGACGCCTAAGGTGGCTCCGTGAGCTTCTCTCCACACAGCATAGGACGCACGTGGGAATGTCAAACATACAACACAATCTCTCTGGTCTGTTCCGGCACGTACGGCACCAAACTCATGCTATTCTGCCGTGAGCCACTTGCCATGACTGCACGTTTCTAAGGGGGAGATCTGGCAAACAGCGGAGAACGACGTATGGTCAACTCTGCAGACGCATCGGAGCTCGAGGACGGGCTCGACGGTATCATGGTAAGCGAGCGGCGTCGGCTAAGGAGCTGTTATCGATGCTGCGATTTGTGTTGTTGATGGATGCTGCGGCAAGGAAGGACCCGGTCGGACGGTGCCACGGCCGCCACTATCCAATGGTGATTACCCCGCAAGAACCCAACTGCAGCTAGTTAGTCGTAAGGCCTTAAAGCTTGAGCAACCACCTCCAGCAACGCCGCAAGGCTGGCGCAATGTGATCGTCAACCACCGCTGAACGCTGACTTAGACCACATCTGAACGTTGCCGTAGCATGGATCAAAGCGGGCGCTGGCTTTGCGATCATATGACTTGTCGTTCATGACTTCACAGAGCTTCATATGACGCAGTCCAGTCTTCGGGGTAGGCACAATCTTTCTGCTACACCATGATACGCTATACAACAACTGGCCGGCTTACCAAACCTGTGCTTTGGTCGTAGTCTCGTGTCAATCAGTGCTCTCGGCATTCAACCGGGCCTAGTCCACCGCCAATGCAACTCTGTCCGCTCTCCAAAGATCCCTTGTTTCTGCTCCGCTTATGTCCCCGATCCCATCGTTGAAACTTCATGAACCTTCCTGGGGACACTTCCGGCGGCAAACTCTACGTCTCCAAGTATTCGCTCGAACGTCCCAAAGTTCCCTTCTCCCCCTCTGCCCGCGTTGTCGCCATCGCTGCCCTTGTCCAGCACTGCGAACACCACCTTCTCCCACCAGCCTCCCTCAAACTCCTTCTCGGCTAGCACCTCCCTCCAGCAATAAGCAATCTCCTCCGTTGGGTTTTTGAATGCTCCGCAGCCCAGTGCGCCAAGGACAAGGTGTGTGTGTTCGTACTTGCCTGCAATGCGGAGTATCGTGCGCATTTTCGTTTTGGTCAGCTCGCGGTCCCCCTCCCTCGCAAACGTCTCACGCATGGCGATCTCGCCATCGTAGACTTTCTGTGCTTTCATCACCTCGGGGCGTCTGATCGCCGCAACGCTTACCACGGAGATGACATCCAACTCGCTAGGCTCTTTCTGGATGAGTTGGTGGCCAGCGCCAAACGCGTCGCGGACGATGATCACGTCTGGAGTATACACTGCACTCTGCTTTGGGAGCGGATACACGCCCTTGGGCAAACCAAGGTAGAGGCTAGAGCGGTAGCAAATGCTCTCCTCCTGAGCCAGAGAGCCTTTAAGCCAGCCTCCGCCAGGCGTGATGTCGCTCGCTAAATTAAGAACGAGGACACGCGCAGGTGATGTCTTCTCTCTGGTCAAGCGAATCGCGACATCTAACGTGTCGTCGTTGAGAACCTGCGTGACGAAGCCAGCCTTGCCGGAAGGCAGCTTGAAGGCCTCGCTTTGCAATGGTTGTAGCGGTTCCAGCTCATTTGACCGAATGAGGAACCCTTTTCTAGCGTTAATGTTTGGGAGAGCCTTAAGTATGGGAGGCAACGCTCCTAGTGTTTCTTTTGCTGTTTCAGAGAGAATCCGGTGGCGTAAGGACCGGTGATGATGAGCCATGTTTGGAGAGACTACTCCGATTAGTCAACGAGGCTGTATTCTGACCTTGCTCAATGGCCTTCTTGCTGCATAGAGAAGCTTCTGATTTAGCAATATTAAAGGCCAGAGGTGCAATGAAGAGGTATCTTGCAAGTTAAAAGTACTGGATGATTAGAAGCTAACATGACTGCATTAGGCTACCTCTTCGAGGAGGCACCAATGAATTCTAGGTCACCGCAGTGCGACGAGCAACTTTGGTCATTGTGCCAATCATTTCCAAACAATGGTATCTCGAATCGGAACAGCAGCTATAATTTACTGAGAAGCCAAAGCGCCTCTGCTTCAGTTCAATGACTCATGATTTTATATACGCTCAACTCGTAGTCTTAGGTACATACGGATATGACACGGCCTTGGTGCCTCAGCCATAACTTGTGTCGCGCGCGACACGCCTGAATCTTTACACAACACATAAACATGTAGTACACGCTTATCATCTCTATACCCCTGATGCTGTAGTCATGGCACCGCGCGCTGCCCATTATGGTCCTGACTCGGGTGAGAAGGGTCAGTTTTTCATAGCGGCCTAACCACATATGACTGTCATCCAGCTGTACTAAATGGTTATATGCAGAGGAGCAGTGTCCCGTATGCCACTCGACCCGCTACCTAAACCCCCACATCAAGTTTCTGATCAGCACAGAATGCTACCACATGATGTGCGAGGGCTGCGTTGAGCGCCTGCTCTCGAAAGGACCCGGTCCATGCCCAGTCGTCGGTTGCAAGGCCACAATCCGCAGACACAGATTTCGGGTACCTACATTTGCAGATCTGAAGCTGGAGAAAGAGGTGGACATTCGGAGGGAGATGGCGAAGACGTTCAACAGGCGGGAGGAGGACTTTGAGTCTCTACGAGACTACAACGACTACCTAGCTGAGGTAGAGGACATGACGTTCAATCTTGTCAACGGTATTGACGTGGAGGAGACATACCGGAAGATCGAAGAGTACAGGAAAGCTCATCTACGTGCCATCGAACAGAACAAGGAGCTCGAGGAAGAAGGTGCGAAGGCATTCGAATTGGCGCAGAAGGCGGAAAGGGAAGCAGCTCGTCTGAAGCGACAGGCGGCCATTGAGGAGCAAGAGCGGGAGCGAAAGGAACAACACGAGATAGAGCAGGACTACTTACGCAAGCTCCAGGAGGGCGGAGATCCGGAGCAGCTCGCACTCGAGCGCGCGGAACGACTGCAGAATGCTGCTAAGAGGCGTAAGGAAGCCATGGACGCGCTGGCAAACTCAGACAAGCAGAGCTCGCTGCTCAAGGGCCTGGTAAAGAAGAACAAAAAGGACGACGAACTACCGCCAATCGATCCGTTTGGCGGTGCACCTCACGAGGATGGGTACTTCACTCTCTGCCCGGATTATCCAGGCGACCGCACATTTTCCAATTTCGATCGCGATGCGAAGTTCTACGCCGGAGGCTACGAGAAGCAAGAATGGTACAGGTGGGCACTGCTTGATGCATTTGCCGGGCTAGGCGTATCCATTCAGGACGAAATGGCTTCGGGCGGCGATATGAATGTGGTCGTTGTGCCTGACCCTGGTACAACAGTAATTACTTGAGACGTGTTGAAAACTTCATGCGCGTAAACGCAAGGAACGACTTGCAGTATCGCGGCTTGACCAGCCTAATCACCGCGCTTATGCGAGATCCAAGTCCCAGCTCCACGGTCAAGATTTCTGAAATATCGCGGATCTGTGGGGAAACAAGGCTGGATTACCAAAGCCACACTACCTTTCACCCCTCCTTACCAGTCCATTGCGCGATGATACGCTAGAACTGCCTTTGGATACCTGGCAAAAGCGTGAAAGCATATTGTCCGTGACGAGTTGTGTATATCTCTGCTTTCACCGGCTCAAAAGAAATCGACACATCTTCAAGACTGCTCTTTTCTGTAGAACGTCTTGATGTCATTCTCAAGTCTGTCTGATACTGATTCATTAGATTCACGGTTGGGGTCAGACTCAACGGTCTTCTAGCGAGGCCTATGGCAAGGTTCATGGTATAAACGGTCAAAATTTTGAAACACTATCCAATACAGTCAAACTTCTCTCTCCTGCTTCGCTTTACCTCCGCACATTCGGCTGCAAGTATGCGCTCGCGTTCGGAATTTCCACGGTACTTTGGCTTGATTTTTCGTGAATTTGAAATCGTTGAAGTCGAGCAGATTCGTTGTTCGGATTCCTTTAACCGCAAGCCCCGGTCATCATTCCCTGAAGCAGTAATTCAGATGCGATCTCTCCGCGTGCTTGACCTCACGACTCGCGTATTATCCCAAAGGCCTAACTGCAATCAGCTTAAGCCGCTATGCCACCCCATGGGGCGTGCAGCGGACAGGCTAGATCTCCGCAGCACAGGTCTTGGACATCCAGACCGCCGGTTCGGTTATTCTTCCAGGCGAGGCTTATTACTTTAATTGCACCACAGTGACGAACTCAATGGCTGGCTATATATTGCGAATGATCTCGTTGACGTGTCTCGCCGCCCCGTCCTCTCTTCAGGCGAGAAATTTCTGAAGTTAAGACAAGATGGTGAAGACTACAGCGTACAACCTCGGCGTGGGCATAATAGTAGCAGTGGGATCGTTCACCTATGGCTTCGGTACGCGTCAATGGCGCACAGCTAATGTCTCGTCGCGTCAAGCTGATTCGAAATCACAGGTTTTGCCTCATTCGCCACTTCGATCGGCCAGCCTGGTTTTTATGAATATTTCAAGCTCTCAACCACAGGTCCTAAAGCCAGTTATACAAACAGCGTGATCGGTGCGGTGAACGCCCTTTTTTTCTTTGGTGCTGTTGTTGGCGCTCTCACTGGTGGGCCTTTCGCAGATCGATATGGTCGACGTACTTGTCTCTTAACAGCATCAATCATCGCCATTATTGGCGGTGCACTGACTGCTGGTAGCGTGCATATAGCGATGCTCATTGTGGTGCGCATCCTACAAGGTGCGGGGCTGGGTGCTCTAGCAACAGTCACTCCGATATATCTTGCAGAGACAAGTACAGCTTCCAAGCGTGGCCTATTAACTGGTCTGCACGGCTTCTTCCTCGTGTTTGGCTACAACACGTCCGCATGGGTGGGTCTAGGCTGCTTCTTCAGCAAGAACCTCACATTCCAGTGGCGAGGACCTTTGGCATTTACCTGTATTCCGCCACTAATTCTGGCTATTGGATGTCTTTTCGTGCCCGAGTCTCCTAGATGGCTGATCATCCAAGACCGAATTGATGAAGCGTGGACCACGACTCAGCGTTTGCACCACGACCCGAATGACATGAACGACATCGCGGCACGAGAGGAGTTCTACCAGATGCGCAAGCAGATTGAGTATGAGAGCCAGTTTCCAAGCGGCTACTGGGCAATTCTCTCCACTCCGAGCTACATGAAGCGCGCTTTCTTGTCGTGCTTTGTGCAGTGGGCCGCTAACTCGACTGGAGCGCTTGTTATTAACTACTACTCCGTCATCATTTATGCAAATCTGGGTCTAACTGGGTGCCTTCCGCTGTTGATGTACTGCATTTACACCCTTATTGGTGCTTTGGGCAATCTGTTCTCGCTTCTAACCATTGACAAGACTGGAAGACGCCCAGTATGTTCTACATTTTACTCAATCAGGATTGACATCATGCTGACCAGGTCATAGTCACTCATTATTGGCTTCAGTGGCGTTTTAATTGCTCTTGTCATCGAAACTGCCATGATTGCGCAGTACGTCGATGTCGCCGTCCCCAACAAGGCAGGCCAAAAGGTCGCAATCTTTGCTATCATGTTCTTCGTCTTCTTCTACGGACTTTTCATCGACGCCGCCTCTTTCATCTACTCCTCGGAGATATACCCGACGCACATTCGTGCGCGAGGTGTGGCTATGGCCACAGCAACTTACTTCATCGCGTGCATCACATACGTGACGCCGGGCGCGACGGCGATTGCAAAGATAGGATGGCGCTATTTCCTCGTTTTCGTTTGCCTCACGGTGATTACAGTTCTTGTGCTATACTTCATGTACCCGGAGACGAAAGGGAGGAGTTTGGAGGAATTGGCAGAGCTGTTTGGCGATACGGTTGTGGTGCACGTCACGGAGAAATCTGGTGCTACCGAAGAGGAGAGACGAAGGCTGGAGGAGGAGATAAAGACGGAGGTTGTTATGAATGAGAATGCGATGCCAGGGGTTAAAGCATAGACTTGCAATTTCCGTTCTGCCCCTTACTTTGTGATTGACACAGGGGCAAATGTGGAGGTTTTCTGACAGCGAAATTCGAAATTCACGAAACATAGTTCTTCAAGTTTCCTCAACACGGTGCTGCATGCGTAGCGCTAAGTGAGTGACATTGTTGGCGAGGGATAGGAGACTCATGAGTCGCTGGAATATCAAACAAAGTCATCTATGCCTGAGTTAGAAAAACAAGAATTCGGGGCAGCTCGCGTTACCCAAACGGTGCACTGAAGTAGCAATCTATGTATTTCGACTTGCATAAAATCGGGATTAATAATAACACGCGAAGTGCTTTGTGAACAACCCTATGTTGTTTTTATTAACTCTTCTCCCGCATGGCCCTCTCCCCAAAAATCTCACCGGGCGTTTGCCATAGCTCCATATAGTGACGAAACTCTATGGGAGACTGATATGATATTGAGACGGAGCGCAATGTCAGGCAAACCCTGGCACGTTGGGAACACGCGTTCATCTCATACAATGCGGTCTCAATTCGGCGTGTACTCCATGAAGGCGTATTTGTCTTTCTGCGGATCGGCCAGCTTCATACCAAGCTCGCTCTCGTAGAATTTGGGGCCCTTCCCGTGCAGACTCGTCAGGAGGACCGCCCGCCGCAGCGACGGGAAGCCGTCGATGATCTTCTTCATGCAGCTGACCATCCACCGACCGAGGCCTTTGCCTTGATGCTCGGGCGAGAGCCACACGTCCGTGATGTACGCAACCGTGGAGTAATCCGTGATCAGCCGGCCGAATCCAATCTGCTCCGCGACCTGGATCGTGTTGTGCTTGATGTTCCGGTTGGCTTCGACGCGCATGGGCTTCAGCTTGTACAGTCCGAGCACGCACGAATGCTCGACCATGAGCGAGATGGCTTCGTCGGACATGGCGTCGGTCCAGTACACGCTGTCGGATTCAAACGCTTTATTAAAAAGCGACAAGTCAAGTCGGTCTTTGTCGTTGGATATCATGTACTTTTCGCCATCGACTGTGTATTCCCACTGATAGCTTGGAACAGGGCTCCTTTGCTGACGCTGATCTGAGGAGTCGCCAGCTGGATTGTCGACAATGTCTGAAGGCATAGTGAAGATTTTTCTACGATGGCCTTTTCTTTAAGGGGGTGAATTCAACTATTTATGCAGACGTTGAGTCATTCAGTAAAATCCACGACTACATGCCAAGCATTTCGTATTTAGGACGATGTAAAAGTTGCGAGTATCGGCGCCCTTGCAATCGACTAGTGCCGGCTTCAATCTTTTCAGACAAAAAAAAAAAAAGCTTACAAATTACGCTAGACACATACAGCAAAATGAAATTGCGTTCACGCAGTAGTTTTATATGACGGCGGTGAAGTGTTGCAATTAAAAGCCAACTAGGAATGCGTAAAGTCCACATCACTTCAAGACTTTGGAGGGCGTATTTATTGTGGGCAGTGACCATTTTCAACTATTTTACTTGCTCGAATAACGGGGGTTGTTATTCTACCATTCCTGCTGCAACAGTGGACCCCTCGCTTCTCAAGATGATCTTTGCGGGGGCTTCCAGAGGCAATTCGTTCTCCAAAGCGATGACGACTCTCGCAACTTGACCAGGCTGCACCACCTTCGGTTTTTTCCTCGTTACCTCACCATTTGCCTTGTCTAGCAGCGCTACCAACTTCTCAATCCGACCAGCTTGATGAAGTGCACCACGGTGGACGTCGACGTACATTGGCATCACGTGTTCAAAGGTTAGAATTTTTGCAGTAAAGCTTTTCACGTTCTTAACCGGTGACTGAGGGTGAGACGCAATGTCACCGACGCGGATATGAATCGGGTCAATGTCAGTCAGATTCAGAACAGCTATTTGTCCGGCCACTGCCCAATCTGAGGGTGTACCATCTGCTTCCAAGGACTTTATATACGCGGTCTCTCCCGACGGCTGAATGATGAGAGCATCACCAACTTGCAGGCTGCCCGAGTCGAGTTTTCCAGACACTGAAATTGGGTTGTTTATGGAGCTCCGGAAAATTTCGCTGATCGTCATTCGCAACGGCTTGTCAAGTGCTCTTCGAGCAGGTTCTGCATTGTCGAGCTCTTCGACCAGTGTAGAGCCCTTGTACCATGCCGCCTCTGGCAGCTCCGGTGGTTTTGTAATGTTCTCTCCATTAAGTCCAGAACATGGAACAAAGCTCAGCGATTTCGCCGAGAAGTTTGCTGTAGTCAGGAAACTTGTCATTTTCGTCTTGATCTCGTTGAAGCGCTCCTCTGACCAGTTGCACATGTCCATCTTATTTACTGCAACGATGAGTCGCTGAACTCCCATACTACGCACGAGTAGTGCGTGCTCTTTAGTTTGTCCTCGCAAACCAGACTCAAAACTGTTTGTGCTGGAATCAATGACGAGTACCGCAAAATCCGCTTGACTTGCGCCAGCGATCATGTTTGGAATAAAGTCTTGATGCCCTGGAGCATCTAGAATCGTGAATCGGGTCTTTCCGGTTTCGAAGTAATTCGTTGCAATATCCACTGTCACACCGCGCTCTCTCTCGTCGCTTGTGGCGTCCATAACCCAGGCTAGAGCAAATGACGCTTTTCCAATCTTCTTTGAATCTCGCCGTAGCTTTTCGATGTGCTTCTCATCGACTACGCCTAAGTCATACAGCAGGCGGCCCATAAGGGTACTTTTACCATGGTCGACATGTCCAACCACCACAAAGCTGGCTGCATTCTTCATGCTCGATTTTTTATACTCGTCCAACACATTCAGATTTTTTGATTTGGGCTTGGGGGCATCGTTGAGTTTCAATGCCGATACATCCTTTGAAACGCCATTAACATCCGACACAGGTTTTGCTTTGGGGGATGATTTCTTTCCACCTGTACAATCACGTCAGTCGATTGCTCATACATTGTCTTCTATTGCAGTTGTGCCCTGATTCCGTTCAGTTGAATCCTCGCAACACTGGCAAGCGTTTCGTCGATACAATCATCCTAGACGCGACTACTCGCACTCTGAGCTCGTAAGATAACATCGTCTGGACTAGGCTTCGAGAACGGATCGCGATAGTTTGGATCCAGCAGATAAGGAAGTTTGAAGTACTTCGGCTTTTGATTAACAGACGATTTCTCCGGATTCGTTGTCTCTAATGCTACGCCTCCTTGCGGTTCCGGCTGAGCTCCCAAAAGTGTTAAAGCGAATACAGATGGCCTTGCTCTCATATCTACTTTCGGTAAAATCGGTGAGTCCGCTGCCTCTTTCGGAGGTTCGCATACCACAGGTTCTGGACTTGGTTTTCTTCGAGTTGGGAAAACCTTTGGCCTAGGTTGATTGACATTGCTCGATACAGTTGATTTGTCTTTCCCTAGCCGATCCAGAAGTCCTATCGAGCGATGGACATCGGCATCTAAAATGATCGATGCAGCTGAAGAGGCTTTCTCCGCCTCCTTCTTTTTGCGAGCGGCAGCAAGCGCAGCCAGTTTTGATGATCCGCCAAGAAGTCCAGTGGCCTCAGGAGGAAGGGAACTGAAATGAATCATGTTTCCGATTCTAGAAGCTGGAACACGACCCCATGGGACATCTGCAAAGAAATCGATAGCAACCTGTGAACGTACAGATTCCATCATCGCTAAAGAGGAGTCCACACCCTGATGAGCGCGTAGAGGCGGTTGCAACGGATTGGTATGAGGGTCTATACCGCGTCAGACCCTCAAGCGTCCAAACGAGCCCGGGATATTGGCATAGTAGGGAAAGTGGCTGTTGAAGGTAATATGCCGATGATCAAGGCGATGGAGAAGGAAAACTGTCTAGACTTACAGCTGACTGACGATGATTTATTGGAAGTCGCTTTAGCCTTCTGAACAGACTTTGGCTTTTTAAGATTCTTGAGATACGCAACGGATTTCTCGACGTCGTAGTAGTAATGCCACAACGTCTCTTGGATCTCATGCTCGGACACCTGGTATTGTGGGCCGAGAATATTTTTCACCTTGATAGTTCCCTCGCGCAACTGAGCTTTGTCCTCCTCGGTGATATCGTCGGCCCATGTGTCGTAGCCTTCGCCTCCACTGTCCCAGTAATCGGAGTCGACGTCCGAGTCTTCCTCGTAGTCGACAATGTTTTTGACTCTTCGGTTTGACATGGTGAACTGGTCCGTACGTGGTCACAGGCCCAGCTTGTATCCTGGCATCTACAGTGAGTTCGAGGGGACTCAAAAGTGGAAGGAAGAAAACTCTTGCGTCACTGCGAGACTTTGATCGCTTCAAGAATGCCACCAGCCCACCTTCGCTTTGACTCGCCGTCTTATAATTGACGTACCAAGTGGCGTGGGAGCGTTTGCTAGTCCAAAATTGGCTTAGCGCGACATGCCACGTTGGCTACGTGCCTCAACACGCGGTCCAGTCTTTGACACTGCATGCTAGATGACTGTTTCCTCACACGAATTTCGTGTGGATGGATGACGCACAAAGCTTGCTCGAATCCTTCCTCTCTATACGAGAGTTCTGACGTATGCTGCTTGAAAAAGGGCACTTGGTAATACTACATCAGCAATGCCTCACCCCTGGTTGTGTTCACCATGATACTGTTTCTCTGCGATTTACTCATGGCACAATGGAAGGTTCTGTATGCCTGTAGCGGATTTCGATACATGATCATAACTCAATACGTTGATCGTCCTCATTTTGATCCCATATTTGTCGCACATTCAGATTAACCCTCTTACTCGCCATCCAGCCTCGCCAGGCCTGGAATTGATCCCCAGGCCAATCACGCAACCACTCAGGACATGTGTTTGGGATGATCTGAGGCACTCCATGCCAGGCATATCTTGAAGCACCATCCATATACACAGCATCCCCTGACCGTAGGCGCATGGCAACCATTTTGCCCTCCAGTCCTAGCACAAAGATGCCGTCGCATCCAATGCTCAGGCTGATGAGTCCCCGACTGCACTCCTCGGCAACGTCGCGATGAAGACTGAGCGTATCGCCTGGCGAATAGAAGTTGACGATAGCGGCTTGCGGTATCATCTGTGGGAACATTACACGGAGTAATTCAGCAAGGTCTGGGGGAAATTGGGGTGGCTGTTCGGAAGGATAGACTTTGTTCGTCCAGTCATACTGCCCCCCCAAGGTGATCCAGCGTAGCTTTTTGTTCAGCATATGCTGTGTACTGAGTGGTTTGTGCACAGACGGGTCTTTGGGCTCCTGGATACAATCTGCCAGCGAGGGATCGAGAGAGAAAAAGGACGCATGCTGTGCAGGATATTGTACGTTATAGTGGAGATGGAGATTACTCTGATGAGCAGGATTTGAGACATCTCGATGGACGAGCGCATTTAACAAGTCTACCTGCGTGCATTTCGGCAGTAGATTTGGAATGATCTTTAAACCTAAAAATCTGTTTCAGTAAGGAAGCAATGTCGTGTCAAGTGAAGCCATACCTGGCATATCCCTATGTACAAATTCCTGAATGGTTCCCCTACAGTGAGCTCTGAAATTTTCTACCAGTTGACAGCGAGGAAATTGCGAACTATCCTCAGTAACTGACACATCGCCTTTATAGTTAATATCGCGTGATAGCTTCAGTGCATTGTAGCTGTCAATGCGCGTAAGGTCAATCAGAGCATCGTCTTCAGCAAGAGCATTTGCCTTTAATTTCTGATACTTTTTATAAAAACTCTTCAGCTCCTCGGGTGGCCTCGCATGCGCATCCAATTTTTGTTCTCTCGAAGACATTGCGAATTCGACTGGTTCTTGTGTTGCGGAAGTGTGGTGCGGCCTCCCGGACTTCGATCAGCGCTGGATGCGCATCTCGGAAACTTTTTCTGGGCAGGCTTTGGCCAACGCTATTCATCACCAAAACATGGAGGCATCAATGCGAGGAATAGCTAGGAGAGCAGGCTCGCTTGCTGCCGTAGCTGGCAGATCAAGGCAACAACCATACAGATGTTTGTCATGCTCTATGCGAATGGCTCAGCAAGAGCAACGAGCTCACAACGATGCCCCAAAGACGACTCATTTTGGTTTCGAGACCATCGCTGAAGGGTTGAAGCAAGGAAAGGGTCAGTTGAATCAGAATTGGCGTGAGATGAAATTGAGAAATTGAGCCTAACCATACTCCAGTCGCATCCGTCTTCTCCTCCGTCGCGTCATCGTACGACACCATGAATGATCTGATGTCTCTCGGTATCCATCGCCTCTGGAAAGACGACTTCGTTCGTGGTCTCAATCCCGGCATAAACCCCCTCATCTCGTCTTCTGGCGAGCCACAAGGTCTCAACATACTTGACATCGCAGGCGGCACTGGCGACATCGCTTTCCGCCTCCTCGATCATTGCACCAAGGTACACAATGACACGACCTCTCGCGTCACCGTGGCCGATATCAATCCCGACATGCTCGCAGAAGGGATGAAACGAGCTAGGGACAGCGAGTACAGGAACACCGGCAGATTAAATTTCATTGAGGCCAACGCCGAAAAGCTGGATATGATCGAGAGCAATAGTGTTGATCTTTATACAGTCGCTTTCGGTATCAGGAATTTCACGTCCATTCCTAACGCGCTACGTGAAGCCTACCGCGTGCTCAAACCGGGCGGTGTGTTCGCCTGCCTTGAGTTCAGCAAGGTCCAGAACCCTGCATTTGACTACGTGTACAAGAGGTGGAGTTTCTCCGCCATCCCATTAATCGGGCAGATTGTTGCTGGCGACCGAGACAGCTACCAATATCTTGTGGAAAGTATCGAGCGCTTCCCGAGCCAGGAAGAGTTCAGGGATCTGATTAAGGATGCCGGATTTTTGATACCGGGTGAGAAAGAAGGCGGAAAAGGAGAAGGTTGGGAGAATTTGACCAATGGTATCGCTGCTATACATAAAGGCGTGAAGCCTTTGTAGTAGCTCTGTGATGGAGCTGGGCAGTATTCTGCGCCAAGAGTTTGTATAAAAACGTAGATTGTACAACAGTTAATACTGACGAGAAAATCCGGCTTGTAGGGTCGCGCAACAAAATTCTTTGCATTTTATCATCGAGCGCGAAAAAAATAGAGAGCATGCTAGAGGTAATCACGACTTTAGCAAAGTTCGTACTTGCAGAACCTTCCACGTTTGCCAAAGGCAAAAGAGCAGTTGCTCCACCAAGGACCCTCAATTTCAGCTTTCATCGTTTCTTGCAGCCAGAACATGGACATTTTCTTTTCTAACAGCATGTCTCCCGTCAACTGGGACGATCTTTTTCCGTTCGAGAATCATGCGTTCCCTCCAGGCTTTGATAGCAAACTGCTCACCTCCACCGACATCACCGACGACATAGACAGCGTGTTTCCCTGTGCCATTTACGACACGCCAATCCTGTCCACACAGGCCACGCCTCCTGTTCTTGTCAACAGCGCCCTTCGCAATACCATGAGCGGCGTACAGACTCACGCTTCGTATAGCATACCTAGTATGGTCACGTACAGCACACAACCCGTAGCTTCGCGTAGCGACTTTGGAAATACAAGTCTCGACATAATTACAAGTGATTCAGGTAGTTTTGATCCCTATGACATGCACAACACATGGTCCAGCGCGATAAGCGGCACCCACCCGACCTCCATGTGCTTTACATCCCCACACATGCAATTTGGCAACGACATTATGACCACGTACAGTGCGCACGGCATGCATCCGAACATTCCGTTCAACGTGATCCCTTACAGCACGTTCGGCGTTCCTTTGAGAATGGGATACAATGCGTGTCCCGACGCCACGCAGGACACCAACTCGAACTCGGCGCATCCTACGCATTGCGGCTCCGAAACGAGCAAAGTCTCCTCTCGAATGGATGAGATTCCTGGAAACCCGGCGCACAACATGTCTCGTCACGCCATAGACAGCATGTCTCGTCACGCCATAGACAGCATGTCTCGTCACGCCATAGACAGCATGTCTCCACGCAGTGCGGTCAGTTCGGCTCTCTGTGGGACAGACAGTGCGGCCGTTGTTTTGCAAAACGGGGCTGGCAAGTGTGCTGAGGCGTCGGAAGCGCCCGACCTTCTAAACCTGCAGCTTCCAAACAGCAAACCGAGCACCGTCTTCATGAACCTCGAGATCGTGCAGCTGCTTCACCTGATGGCGATGCGAAACGACCCGATCAACACGTGGAGGAAAAAGGCGAAGAGAGCCTGGCTGCCCATCCTTACCGCCCTGTTCCCGCCGTCGGAGGGCTACACCATACCTTCGAACAGGTGCGTCTGGAAAGTGACCACGGAGGAGATCAACGAATACTTCGTCACCCTTCCACAGTTGGTCGTCGAGGCGCCGGCTGCGCACGGCTCCGCCCGTCATGATCTTTTGATGCTTCTTTGCTTGCCGCACGCTGAACTGACGCCAAAGTACATTCGTGACCGGGTCGAAAAGGCGTACGTCGACCAGAAACTGCGCGTCCACGCGGAAGGCCATCCCCAGCAGTTTGTCTTGACGGCGGAGCTAGACGTCATCCGCCTGTGGAAGATCTGCGACGATGCTTATCTGGGCTGCGCGAGCAACCGTCGGTGGGATCTGCTGTTCTTTGAAAATCTGGAGGGCTACAGCAGCTACGAGGAGTTCTTGGGGGTTCTGGATAGAGTTTTCGATTACGTCAAGGGGCGAGGCCAATTGAACGGCGAGATTGAGTGGGGAAGAAGGATTGAGGACGACGGGCCAAGGTGCGAGTTGGACTGGGAGCAAGTTATGAGGGATGATGCAAGGTTCGAGGAGGAACTGAACAAGGCATTCGGTAACGTCTAATGGCACCTTTTAGATGCTGCTGAATTAGCTTGGCATGCGCCACGGGAGAAACACGTCCAACTCTTGAAGAATCAAGTGCCCCGTCATGCTTGTTCAACCTCACAGTCGAAGTCAGGGAACGTTTTACTTAGGCTGCTGAACTCATCGTTCATCGGTGATCCTCTCACGAAGTAAGACCAGTAGTTCGGGCCCCTGTCCGTTCTCATGTTGTGATACACAGTTACGATCAGCCCCTTGCCGTCCGTGTACTCCACCCGAAACTTTGTCGGGCAGCTTCTGCACCGCCAAAAATCACTAGGCACGCGTTCCATGTGCATCTGCATCTCTTCTCTCGCGTACGCAGGTCGGAATTTGCGCCTCGTCAGCGCATCGCTGCACCTTTTGCTCTTCGGGAACGCCTTGTTGATCGCGTACGTTAGCATGGGACTGTTTCCAGTAATCATCCATAACCGCTGAGGGTAAACATCCTCTGTAGAGAGCTTTTTTTCATTCTTTGACCACGGCGGCGTTCTAGTGGTCAAGTGGGGGCATATCGTGAGATCGGAGTCGAGAATGTCTTCCGCGTTCAGGTCCTCGCTGGCGAAACGATGCTCGTGCTTGAAGACCAAGTATGCGCTAACTTGCTGCGCACCACACGTCACTGTGTGCGTTATAAGTCGCTCCATCTTCCTATGCTCTACGGTGTACCTGCGCTCACTTCAGCATGTCAAGCACCTGCTTGGAGAACAAATGGCTTACTCTGCCTCTAGTTTCTTTAAGTAATTGTCCGTACGAAGCGCCCGATCGAAATGCACCGACACAAGAACGTATCTGTTCTTATCATCCATGGGAAGCCAGTCCACCACACCCTCTTCAAGGAAACAAGACCGTTTGTCCTGGTCATCCGGTCGAAACTTGGTTGGTGGAGGCGGGCATGTATGTAGGATTTTGCAGCTAATGCAATAGTACAGATTGTTGCAGTCCCGTAGAAGCAGTTCAAGAAACTCAACACGTGCTGATATTTTCCGGCCCATGTCGGCAACGGCCGCAGCGTCCCAGCTGCTAGTGTGATGGTACAAAAAGTTGCTTTGCCAGCGGACGCCTGGACCAACATGAATCCACGACGAGCATCCAAGAACGTGCAAAAGGTACTTGCACGTTATCGACATTGCCACTTTGGACTTTATCGGTAGGTAGCTCTGGATTTCCTGGAGAAGCTCGACCGGCAGACATAAGAGCGCAGGAGGATTGTTCAACCCCAGAGGCGGCGAGAGCTTTGAAACGACGGCGTCTGGAGAGTAACAATCTGCCCTGGATTTGGTGAACCAAGATGGCTTATCCCAAATATTTTGCGAAACTCGACTTCCTGAAGCGTTTGGCTTCCGCACTGGAGCATGAGGCTCTGGCATCCGACATGGCTGAGAGCGCGGTCCAAAGCAGCGTAAGACGGAATTGAGTAGAAAAGTCATGACGGCGCTGAACAAACTAACCTTTGCCATCCCAGGTCTCCTTTATATTGAAAAATATTTCAAAGGCAATAACTCTCATTGGAGTCGCAGAGAGCAAGATGCAAACGCGGTTACAACAGAAAAGGTTCTCAAGGCTGCAACGATTCGTGCAGACGCAAGGCTGACGGCACTGCCTCCACCAAATCCTGCACAGGATGGCACAGACAGGTCGTCACGGAACGTAATGATCAATATATTGTGATTTTTGAGCGCAGCTGGCCGAAGTGACGAGGGAGCAAGCCGATGTAAGCGGTCGAAAGCGCTCGCATAACAACAGTTAGCCGTGGTCCTTTACCGTAGCGTGAGGATAAGCAGGGCCTCCGATACGGGCTGAACGATGTACTGACGGTTCAGAGACCAAATAAAGATCTCAATAGTCCTAGTTGACTGTTTAGGAGCACTAGCGGCCAGGTTTATCCGCTAAAATTGCCTCAGCGTAATCTACCTTGTTCATCACGAACAAGCTGAGCAGTTAAACTTAACTGAGGTTACCCCAATTGGCTCACGTGACCATTCCATATCGTGGCTTGGACCGTATTTGACCGGTTGCTAACGCACTTTCAGTGCATTGTGCTGCTAGAGCGCAAACTGTTTAATTTTTGGTCACGCGATGTACTTTCTTTGGTCTCAGGTATGCCTCCAGGACGTGAAAGTAGCTCTGGCCCTGTTAGGAAAGACCACTGAATGGTGCTTGCACTTCCAAGCGACGTCATGCGTGCATGATTATACGCTGCTAGAAAAACGAGGTTAAGCACCGTGCTTCCTTCGTCCACTTCCTATGAAGAATCATGTATCTTGAATTCGGCCCTTGCAAGTTGGTTGACGATAATTAAAACAATGTGCTACTCAAAGACTCAAGTTTTCACAGAGGTAGTTCTGACACACGTGATGTTTTCTACCGTATCGTCTTGCTAACTTTCCTAGTGGGGACAAGAGGTTCGGCACCAAAAGCCCTCCGCTCCCGTACAATCAGGTGTCCAATCTTCCGTGCTATTGAAGGACTTACATTGACCATAATGATGGGCGACGTGCGAACAAATTTTTCGACAAGCTAGCAGAAGAGAGACGTGCGGGTAACCCCATACTGACCGACGAAGATTCGTCGCGCCCTGCCTTTCCAAGAGCATGAAGGGGCCAAAGCTTGTTGGCATACTTAGAAACGTAGCGACAGCTTGTTCGGGGTTGTGAAAAGGAGAACGCTGGTTGTCACATCTGGTGGCGCAGAACCTCTATTGTGTCCTAGACCCATCTGATTTTGGAGGTCATGAAGTCTACAGGTCAACCTCGATCGCGAGTGGACGCGAAAAAAAAAAGTGTTGGGGTTTCGTGGACCTTTCGTTCCTAGCGCTGATCGAGATTAGCTTTAGGTCAGGAAAGTATATTCTGCTCTTGAAGAACTTGATACCCAAATTGCAAACTTGCTTCAAGACGTAAAGAGAAAGACACTTGGCGGTGATTCCAATTAGGTGTTAAAAAAGTTGATCAATATCATCGGTCTCCCCTAGCAAAGCGCTCTATCCGCAAAAAAGACCTTCCTCGCGATTTCGCCTGCTAGTCAAGTAATGTACTACACGTGCTGTCTTTGCCTGAGACTTGTATGTAATTCTTTGATTTATATCGTTCGGATAGGCTTTCAGGCGGTGGGCCTCACTCATCAAGCGTAGACCATGGTCCACTCGCGTGGGCCCATTTAACGATGGCTCGATCATATCACGAAATACGGCTCCCGCCAGTGCAATGTGCATCATCTGCGACACGCTCGTCCGTCTAAGCCTTGAGCATAAAGAGCCAAAGCAAAGAGAAGATTTCAAAGCGCTGCGATGCTGTCCATTCGGCGAATTGGGCTTTACGCAGCGGCGAGAGAAGCCGCTGTGTCCGCGCATTCTCTTGCCCGGCTTGTCCTCGGAGACAGTCCGACACGATGGCTACTCGGATGCGCGGCACTATACGCGTTCGGCATGCTCGAACGGCGGACACGGCTAGATCTGCAAGAAATGCATTCGTACTACGTGTCACTGAGTTTAGCTCTTCTGCTGATGGGCGAGGTCGCTGAGGCGGCGAGCGGCACCGTGAACTCGGCACCAGGCAGGCACACCTTCACACATCGGAGCACCGTACATGCAAGCCTGGCGTTCAGCGTCGTGGCTGAAGCCGAATGGTGGAGGGACTCGGTGAGAACACACTCCATTGCTCTTGCTTAATTCCAGTGAAAGCAATGGAGGCTGGATAACGCTGACCTGGTCTTGCAGCGCGCATTGAATTACCATGAGAAGCTTGCGTTGCCCGAACTGGACGCAATTGCGAAGCATTTTGCACGTCGCCATTGGATCAACTGGATGTGCTTGTTCCTCTTCGTCTTCCTATCCGTAACGAATATGGACCACACTGTTTCTCGGCCTGGCATGGCTGCTCGCATTTGCATTGTATCAGGATAGCCGTGGCCTACCGGGGCTGTTCGTTGTCAATAACCCCATGCAGCCCAGCACGCTTTACATTTACGCGTTGCATGCAACCCCATCCTGCTTGTTGCCAAGAAGGTACGTCGAGACCAAGCAGAATCGAAAGGATGCCCAGATGGAGGAAGCAGAAGGCTGATTACATCATGCGCAGATGCATAGCGAAATCGAAGCACGTCTCCTCCCATTGTAGGGGTTGGACGTAAAGGAAGAGCAGTAGGTTAAGGGACTGCCGGGACCCTTGAAGAAGGTGGACAACACCCGGGATCTTCGTACGGACAGGCAAAGTCCGGGAGTGTAGATGGATCGTCTTATTCAAAAGTGAACAAAGCTTGTGGGGTGCGCATGTATGCAAATTTTGCGCGATACCCTCAAATAGAGCCCTCAGGTCCGGCTGCCTGTGTTTGCAATTCCTACCGTAAAAATTAGCAATCATGGGGATAGGAGAGTTGAATGTGGTACGACGTTGGCTCGTATGTTTCCCCTTGGCACTGTTCAGAACCATCTCCACCCGAGGTTGCTCCTCTCCAACTGAGATGTCTCATAAAATACATCCATTGCTGCTATGTCTCTGACTCGACAGTTTCGCGCAGACAAGATCGCTTCCACCAACTGCTTCACCCGAGCTGCCATCCGGCCTAGTTCTGGGAGGTGTGAGTTATCTTCTTCTTTGGCATCTAGTAAAGCACCAAAAGACCAACGGGTCCTAAGGTGGCATGATGGCTATTAATGGTCACGGATCCTTTAAGCACGCAAACCCGGGCATCTCGAGTCTGGCTCAACACTTGACGTTCTCCACGTCTTCTCTCGGTATTCCTTACTCTAAAGGCACTGGTCGATTTCAATGCAGTGCTCTGACCATCTTCTACTTCGTCTCACCCAGTGGCACCATGACAAGCGGGCTTCGATGATCGCTCTCCGAAGATAGCACGGCCTTCTGCACGTTGCCCTGACGGCAAGTCGGCAGAAGAACGTGGCAGACTCGGGCGTGTCCATGGCAAGCGGGGCGCCAAAGCGGTGCAGGGTCGTCATTTTGTCTGGGCTTCGTCATCGATCAAGATTCTTACACATCAACGAAGATCATAAAGGAAAGGAGAAGTGAATCGAGGAGCCGTCTATGCGCTGTCGTTTCGGGGTCTGGCGTAGAGGAGGGCTAAAGGGGTGTCATGTCAAAGGCATTGACGACGCAGATGAGCGGTAATGAAGCTAACGGCGCGACGTCAATGTCCCGCGGCGGAGCGGCAAGGAAGTCCCTTGCGATTAAAGGACCAACGACGTCAGTGCTGAGCATTCGTCCAAGGCAAACGTGAGAAACGCAGGGTCGAGCCAGAGCAGGTGTCAAACAAACGGAACCAAAAAAGAGTTAAACATGTTTCTGTCGATCGGCGGCGTGACAAGTGGTGGGAACCAGACGTCGGAGATCAACCTCGCTAGGCTGAAGAATGTTCCACGCGGAAAGCTCAGTGTGGCGGGATTCTTTGGTGCTTTGTTTTCCACTACGTCCTGTGTGTGCTGGCGCGACTGGGCTCTTTTGTTTGTCGATGGGAGCGGTCCACTTCTTCTGCCGGTTCCGGTGGGGGGCTTCGTTCAATCTGATCAAAATCAAAGGTAACCGCGCTGAGCACCCAGACGACGGGCTGAGAATGACCGAGGCGGATCACAAGGACAGCGGGCGGTAGAGACAAGCGCAGGGGGGCTGTCCGCTGGTGCTAGGCGGGGAGCAGGACTCTACTTCCTGGCGCCGCTGTAAACGGTTCGCGGTTGCAACGGAGACGAGCGGCGTGCGAGAGGAGGCGAGTTTCCTTCCCCCTCGCGGATCGATCAGGCGTTGACGAGGCCGTGCCTGGAAGTTGGAGAGTCCGAACGTGGCGTCGCCGCCGAAGCACGCCACAGGCCGACGGGGCCTGAGCCTGCAGCAGCTAGCGAGCGCTCCGTGACGCTCGCGTGCACCCTCGGGCGGTTGGTCTTGCCCTTCCTCCGGGGATCTGGGCCCCAGTGGTGCCGGGCGCTGTGCAGGCCCGGGTATATCACAGCACAGCCCGGTAAAGGACAGCACAGCACCCGGAAGCCAGCGACGAGGGCCACGACAGTGCCGACGGCGGGTGCAGGCCGACGAAGGGACCGGGCAGTGAAAGGGGCACCCGCTAAACGGGCGGCCCCCGCCCCACCAAAGTTAGGGGCGGTAGGGTTCGCGCCCTCGCTGCCGCCTCATGCTCGCCGAAGGGCGACGCACTGACGCTTGGAACACAGCGAGCAAGCACTGCGTGTTTGTGCGTTTGATGAAGTTTCCTTGCTGGTCGTGCTGTTCCCGTACCTGTGGCATCCGCGCCTCCGTCCGCACGCACGCTCTCCGCGCGCTATACAGATACACAATCCACCACCGTCGAGACGCCCCTTTAACTCCCCTCGTGGCCGCCCATTTTTTGACTTTCTGATCGATGCCCTCCGCGCTGTCACGGCCGTCGTCGTCGCTGCGGAATGCAGGTAAGTGTCGTTATCGCCTTCGTCTCCTCGATCCTCCTCTCTCTCTCGAGACGGCCACGCCCTCCTCGCTCTCTCTCATTCCACCTGTACACACACGCCTCCTCGGCTTGGAGGGATCCCCTAAACAGATCTTGCGCGACGCTCGCCCAAAAATAGCCTTGATCTTCATACACTACTGTACCAAGAAATTCCACCTCCACCACCACAAGCGCCGCCCCCGAAAGCCAGATCGACTCCGCCGCGCCTCGCCTTCGTATTCTTCCTTTTCCCTCTCTTCCCGATCGCTTGGTGCTCATTGATGCTCCCGGTTGCTTGCTTACCCACCCTACGATTGCAACTTCACTTCCGCCGACGACAAAGAACAACCACTGCGATCGACCCTTCAAAGCTTGAAAAGCCTCCTGTGTATCTACAGCACACGCACACATACAGCGAGAGACGCATCCACACAAACACATACAATACATATTCAATCATTTTTCCCCTCGTATCGATTTCGTGTCTGGCCTGGTCGGAGAGAGTGGATGCTTGTACGCTTTTTCTCTGCATGCTAACGTCTCAGGCCTCACAACGGGCGCGAGACCTCGATCGTCTCTACCAGGGCAGACAGCGAGGCCATGCCCCCCAGATCTCTATCTCCGACGACTCGCATCACGTCACAGACGCCATTGGCTCCATGTACGGCGCCAACGATGAGGATGACTACGCCTCCAGCACTTCCTCCACACTCTCGCAGCACAACTACGAACAGAGCCAAGATGGCAGGTCGAGTCGCCCGCTAAGCTTCGTGCCTTCGCCTCTCGGCGAGACAATAACGCCCTACAGCCCGGACAGCCCATCCAGGACGTTCAACGGACAGTCCACGGGCACACATCGGGTGCCCTCACACGAAAAGAATGGGTCGGCGTTCGGATATCATGGGCCATTGTCGCCAACGAGTCCGACCGCAGACTATCCCGGCGGAGCAAGAACCGGAGCTGCCATAAATGGGCGGGCGACGGCGGGAGCAGCCATGAGCAACGCAGCCGCAAGCCCTAGCACATCTCCAACGACTTCGTCGCTGAATAGATCGCCGTCGGGGGCGTCACAGCACTTCCCAATGACCGACCTCGACTCGGAAGCCGCCGTCGCGCAAGAGTTCAGTAATCTGCAGGCCATACGGCGTATGTCCATGGGCGTGGTCGATGCTGGTGCAGACCCTGATCTCCCTTCGTTCAACAGCGGAGGCTTCCACGTCCCTGCCCTGGCGCCCGCACACGATGCCGACGAGCAAGACCCTGCGCGCATGTTCTGGGTACCGGCTAGCGTGCATCCAGAGTTGGCGCCCAAGGCGTTTGAATCCTTCATACAAGACCGCGTCAAAACAATCAAGCGGTCGTCGCTAAGTATGAGCAGCGGGGTCTCGAGCTCACTGTCTCCTTCGTCTGCTGACGGCAACGGTTCCTTGCGACGAAAGAAGTCGATGCTCTCGAGGCAGGTTAAGGATGGCAGTGGGTATCAGGATGGCGCAGAGCGCCTTGAACGCAAGCGCTCCTCTCTACATAGGGACGGTGGAGGGTTGCCAAGCTTGCAAGAGCTGGAGGATCTGGCGCAGGACCCGTCTAGCCTTGTACGGAGGCTTAGTATAGACGGTCAACGCACCTCACTCGAGGCCGCCTCAGATACAGCTGAGGGGCAGCAGGAAGACATGCCCATCCTGCCACCAAAGCCCCTTGGTCAGGGCCTCAAGCGCTCGACTAAGACCACGTACAGGAGGGGGAGCCAGCGTAAGGGTGACCGCCTAGCAGGCAGACGAGGCATGCGAGGCTCGCAGGATGGTGATCACGGCGATGAGCCACCTGTTCCTTCATTGCCCAAGGCTGATGAGGCTCCACAATTGCCTGCCTTCTCCGGTGACTTTGGTAGCTTCGATGACCGACTGTTTGGGAGCAGTCTCCAACGTGTGCAAACCGAGCCCACGCAACCCAAACCTCGCGCTGTGGAGAACTTCTCAAGGCCGGGTCGCAAAGCGCAGACGCCCCCGCTGTCTCAAGATGAGTTCGGATACGACGTCAGGCCCACGTCGCCGGAAGACAGACGGCAGAACTCGCCATCGCCAGAATCTCATATGTTCCCGCCACGAAGCTCCTCGGCACGATCGCCGCCTCCAGCAGTCCAACAGATGCAGGTACCAACCATAGTGGAGACGCCGCCGCCGCCGCAGGAGCATGGACGTCCGTATTCTGCTCCTGGTCTGCAACGGCCGGAGCGTGTGTCTTCGATGGACTCACAGCAACCAAACAACAGGATTGAGCGACCCACACTTAACAGACCTGCGTCGCTGCAACAGGCGCGGGGCCAACAGTCTCAGCAGAAGACGACGTTTGACCAGATTGGTGCCACAGGCAATCAGCAACCACAACCTGCAATACCGAGTCAAAACACACGCACGGATTCATTATCTATAATACCGACATATGAGACGGACAAGAAACCAGAAAAGAAGGGCAAGGACAAGAAGGACGACGGGACACGCAAGTCAAGCTGGAGCTGGCTGACGGGTGGGGAGGACAAGGAGAAGGACAAGGATTCCGGCTCAAAAAAGAGCAAGCAGAAGATGCTGTCCAAGCCAACGGAGCGCACACAACACGATGATACGAGACTCGACGTGCTACAGACGCAGATCGATGGCAATAAGCCTCGCGAGAGTCTGGTGCTAGAGCGCGCTCAGGTTCAGATCGAGCAGCCCAAGACTCCGGGAAAGAAGTCGTCCGACGGCAAGAAAGAGAAGGACTCAGGACTTTTCTCCTCTCTCTTTGGTGGCTCGAAGAAGAAGTCAGACAAAGACTCCTCTTCGCGGTCCAAGTCGTCAGCTTCGCACCGGGGCCTGTCACCAGAACCGCCGCAACGCAAATTACAGCCGGACGTGGATTACAACTGGACGCGTTTCAGCATCCTTGAAGAACGCGCGATCTATCGGATGGCGCATATCAAGCTGGCGAATCCACGCCGCGAGCTGTACTCGCAGGTCCTGCTCAGCAATTTCATGTACAGCTACCTTGCCAAAGTGCAGCAAATGCATCCGCAGATACAGATTCCTCAGAGCGCAGCACAGAAGAAACAGATGCAGCAGGAGAGGAAGAAAGCAGAGCGCGAGGCTGCACAGCAGGGTGCCGGTGGCGGGCAGCAACCCGAGGAGTTCGCGCAGTATCAGCGATATCAGGAGGTAAGTTCTTGTACCCTCTTTAATTTTTTTTGTTTATTTTTCACCGCGTTGTGGGCTCATCTACTCGCAATACACAAGCAAAGGATGTTCCTTGGCGATTTTAAGCAAGAAACTGACCTTGTCATGTGGAAACAGCAACAAGCCCGCGCCGAAGGCTCCCTCTCCTCGAATAGCACCCCGCCACGCACCGGATCCCTTATAGATGGCGCACGCAACGCCCACAGCCTCCATCAAGATCCTCAGCATCAGCAGCAGGCGAACCAGTATTCGCATTACGGACACGTGAACGGCAACAGCGGCTCGTACAATGGCAGCGTAGGCCAGCAGGCGTACGCGAGCCAGCCGTCGCACTACGACTATAGCGGCAATCACTCTCGAGAAGCAGAGAGAAGCGCGACGGGGTGGTGAGAGAGAAATCACCTCGAGCGTACGCGCGCCTCCGTTTAACGACCGGAGAAAGAAAAATGAAAAGGAGGAACGACTTGAACGTGTCCCGTGGGAAGGAAAGAGATGACGAATTCTGCTTTTTATCTTTTGAGCCTCACCAGGACTAGATGAAGCCTTCGCCTCGCCTCTCCTCCCTCCTCGTCTCTTCGTCTTGGTTTCGACCTTCTTTATTTTCGGCACATCTTTCGCCGCTCCCCGCCCCCCTTCCAGATTTCGTCCTTGGGGAAGAAAGCCCATCACACGGCGGAGCCGAACCTTTGTACATTTTTTTTTCACACGAAGCCGCTTTTTTTTTTTCTCTCTTGTTCTGCTTTCCATCTTTGGGCTAACCCTTCCCTCCTTTTGCGTGCCTCACACTTTTCCGAGGCGGGGGAGGCGGTGCGTTCGACGGCGAAAGCGAGCGGCCAGACGGGAACGTTTTCGGGGGCGTTTCGAAAGGGGAAAATCAAAAAGATTATGCGGCGCGGCGGGCCAGCTGGGCGGCCCTTCACTTTCTGGACCGAGGAGAAAGGAGAAGGAGGAGAATGCGGCGACGGGTCACCTGCCACGGCCTCCTTTATTGCTGCCGCTGGTTGGTGCTACCGGTCGACTTATGTTTTCGTCGTTGCTTGTCGGTCGGGTTGAGCTCGAGGGGCACGAATTGCTTAGTACATTATTACCATTACTTCTTAAAACTCGTACACACCTACTTATCACCACGGATGACGATAGGGATGCATAGCGACGGTTTTTGTCACTTTTGTTACCGGAGAAGATGTTTTTGACAGATCTCATTCCTCCATCTTCTTCTTCTTCTTCTTCTTTTCCTTCTTCTTCCTCTTTATTTGGCCAACCCACTTGCAGCTAGAGAAACAAAGAAACTATATGCCCTTCACCTTTTGTTCCCTTCAGATTTTGCTTGCTTACGAACTGCATTCTGCGCGACAAACGCTGCGACTTGGAGCAAACGCGTCCCACGCACACGCACACGTATTGTTTTTGCTTCTAAAGGCGGAAGAGCTGGATTTGGACTGGTTCGACATGGTGACAGAAGGAGGCACAGAAAGCTAAGGAAGAACGGACGAGGACTCGAATGGCAAGAGAAAAGGTTCGCGTTGTCATGATTTTTCGTCGTTAACAAAAAACAATGTAGTAGTCTAGGCCGAGGGACGTAGAAACCCTCGCTCCGATTTTGAACCTCCCGATATGCGGAACGTGGCGCCCGTAAGAGACAAAAGGAAAAAAAAATGATGAAGGAGGAGCAGAAGGAGGAGCAGAAAGAGGAGAGAACAGACGTCTGCAAATGCATTTTACCCAGCGTCGATCGATTCCTGTATTGTGATCCTCTGCCTCGTCGAAGCCAGGAGTCGATTTTGGGCGCGTGCCCCGCTCCGGTTCTTTATTGACAGATGGTCGTTTTGCAGCAGCGTTATGTGAACAAAAAAGAAAAACAATAGCAGTGTGAGAAGGAGAGGCAAAGGGTATATGGTATGATTTCTTCGTCGCCTCCCAAACCAAACAATCTTGTGAATAAAAAGAAAACCCTGAACCCCAACGCCGGCGCAAAGACTGCGTGAGCAATAATTGATAGAGTCCCTCCCCCCTAAAAAAAAATTGCAACAGATAGTGGGTGATGATCAGCCCTCATGCCGCGGACCACCGGGCAGTTTGGGGACAAGTGGCTCGTCAGGGCGTCATCCGTCTCGAGCGAGCGGCCTGCTCCGGGCGTTGAACGGGTCCGTTGGACGAGCCGTTGATAGCGTGGCCATTGCTTAGGTCGAAGTTCCTGATGCTGCCGCTGTCGCTGCTGCCGCTCAGGCTGCTCTGTCTTCTGGGCTCGCCCACGTGGCAGGCTGTGTGGGCCCTGGGTGGCTGGACAGGCAAGTGCTGTGGGCTACTAGGCGTGCTGACGGCGATGTCGTACGTAGGCAGTTCGTAGTACGAGCTTGGCGGTGTGACAACGGGGGTTCGAACCGCGGTAGAGTATGACGGTATCCGCGTGAGGGCGTCCATGTCGTATTCACCCTCGGGAGTGACGACAGAGTGGAAGCAATCGCTGTGATTGGGAGGACTCTGCGAGCTCAGCTGGTTGAGGTTCTGGTGGTAAGAGCCGCGGAAGCTGACGGCGCGCGGGACCCGCGCCGTCTGCCGCGGTGAGTTTCGTGGAGTTGGGTGTGTGAAGTCCTCGTCGATTTGTCCGTCGTGGCCCTGAAGTTCTGCGAGACGTCTTTGGAGCTGAGCGGCGGAGGGGGAAGAGGCCTCGCCTATCAAGCCTGGAGTCCGAGAGCCGGAGTTGATGTACGTGTTGTTTATGGTGGTAGAGTCGAGATTGGTGCGAAGATCTTCGTCAGAGTTGTGCCGACTCAAGGCTCGGTAAGGCGTGTTTGCTCCTGACAGGAAAGCGCTTGGATCGATGTCGTCGTACAGCTGATCAAGCTGATGCAGCTCGTACGTCGGCGGTGCTTCCAATTGGCCATTCTCGTTGTTGTGGGAGACCGAGGCGACCTGAGCGGCGTTGCCTTGAATCGTCTGATCGTCCCCGACCGGCAAGTTCGGCGAGATGAAGATGTGTAGTAGATTTCGTACGAGCAGTTGGCTGATGTGGCCATCGGGGTTGTGCAGGTTGACGTAGACCTTGAGGTTGTGGAAGATTTTGATGTGCTCCGTATCCACCGATTGGCGCATCTTATTCAGACTCTTCGGTAGGGGCAGAGTAACCTTGAAATGATGCGACTGATCCGGTATGCCACTGGTCTCCTCTACTCGCTCGGGCAAGATGTTATCGGGCATGTCCTGCTCATGGCTTGCGACCACCACATCTTTTGAAAAATCCTTGAACCGTCCTGCGTCTGTCTTCAATTGGACTCTTTCCAGGATCTCCATTTTAATCTTTCCAATCGTAACCCCTTTCAACAGCGGACATAATATAAATTCGACCGTAATCGACGTACCAAAGATGTGGTAGCGCGTCGGTATGTATATGTGGTACCAGAGCTTGTCTCTCCAGGTATCTTCGTTGCTGTACGGCAAAGGCACTGTCTCCGTCATATCTCTTCCGAGCGTCCTGATGATCCGCACATGCTTCTCTGTGACCAGTGCCTTGCTCATGTAGCCACGATCAATCTCTGCCTTCAGATCGTAGACGCAGAAGCTGCTTGCCAGACCCTCGACACTCTCCGGGAGGTACGGATCAAGCAAGAACTTGAAGCGCCACTCATGCACTCCGGGTGCAATCTTGTGTGTGACATTGCTGCTGCCAACGCCTTCGGCAGGGTGCAGAGTAAGTTCCTCGCTCAAGTGTGTCCCTTTCTCTCTTATCTGCAGCGAGCTCACCCCGGGCTCAACGTACCACGAAACTTTCCATTTGCCTTCCAATCTTATTTTGATGCTGCGAACGTTCATGTGATCTGAATTGGAGAGCCAGAGCGTGCCGGTGAGCTCGACAGGCTCGGCTTCGTGAGGGTCGCCATGGAAGACTACGAAAGGACTGTCAAGTCTGCGTCCGTCAGCGTCCCGGTCCTCGTCCAGCCAAACTCCCACGTCGACGAAAGCGGCTCGAAGAAAACAAATCCTGGCTGAAGCGGAAGCGGGGAAAAAAAATTTATGACAAAATCGTCACTCACTTGATCTCAAAGTTTTTGGAGGTCTTGGTTTTTCCACCGCCCAATTGTAACATCTCAGCGATCTCTCGGCCTTGAGACCCAGACTTTTTCTTTTGGGTTATGACGAAAGAGAGCCCATTCGTGAGCTCCAACGAGCAGACTCTTGAAACGAACGAAACAGCGAGGTGATTTTTGGGAGACAAAACAGGGCAAGATTCAAGTCGTACGGGAGGAAAAAAAAAAAGGCCCCTTATTTTTATTGTTTTTATCCACGGCGGGTATGGCCTTTGGAGGGATGGGGGGATGAGTAGTATGACAGCGGGTTTAGCGTTGCTTATTCCTTTCCTGCTCAGGTTTGTTGCACCAAGGCTGATCACAGGAACCAATGACACCACTGCAGGAGCAGGGAAGTTGCTGTAGCTGGATACAACGATCGTGTGAGGTCGTGCAGCCAGTTGCCGTTCTTGCCGTGCCTGATGGTCGGCTGTGATTGCACCGGCGCGCCCAAGGACCAAGAAGCAGGCCGATGACGCTCCCAAGGACGGAACCTCGTTTTTGAAGAGACGTGGGTACGACCAACAGCCGAACAGGGAAGACGGGGCGGTGACAGGCGCGAAGCACAGCGGGAGAGTAGAGCAGAAGGGAAAAAAAATTGGAGGTCGATATGACGATTCCAGACGACGAGTCACACTTCGCCTTATGTATATCAGCTACAACCCTATCTCGCCCCAGTTATAACGGAACCCGCCCGTGCAGAGACGATTGGGAGCGAAAAAAAAAAGCCGTTCGTCGGGACCCTAAGAATATGACGCCAGAATCACGAAGAGGACCCGACTTCTTCGATCCGTGGCATGGGTGGAAGCACGCCGAAACGCAGTAGCGCGGGATGACCGTTATCGCCATCGAGTGGCGCTGGTTAGCCCCCGTATCTAAAACTCGATTGACGAGGCCTTTCATGCGATAGCCCGGCCAGCATCCCGAGCCTATCCCGTCGACCGGTCCTTCAGCCCATATCTGATCTGTCATGCGCCGTCCCGATGACAGCGCACCTGCTACGCGTACACGGCGTGACGGGGGCCTCTTCCATCCTCTGCTTGCTTGCTGAGTCGCCCTGCTGCCTGGACAAACACCTCGAAACTTGCAGGGCACGCAGGGACAGCTGTGCCATGATGTACGGCCGAACCGGTCCACGGTCGAACTATCGAGGTTCGACGCCCGCTCGGGATAACTCATCGCGGCAGAATTGAAGGGCCCGGCGCGCACACGACACAGGTCGAGCCTTACGTTAATCCTACAGGCAAGCGAGTCACCAATCTCACGTACGATGCCAGAGATGCGGCCGCACCGGGGATGTGTCGGCCCTTGGGCTGAAGGCCTGCTCGTGCGAGAGCAGAAGCCCCCGTCAGCTTCACAAGCTCCCGTCGTAGAGTAGAGAGAACTAAAGAGCCTAAAAACGGGACGTAGACCATCACCGTCGCGTGCCCGTGGGACCCAGAAACCAAAACGCATGGTCCGCCATCCGTGAGGTGAGGTGAGATAGTGGACCCCACGGGCTGGGAAGAGAGAAAGACAAAGAGTCTTGCTTGCGAAACACTGACGTTATTGTGGGAACGACACCAAAAAAAAAAAATCCCCGAGCCTGCCAGTCCGTCATGCGACGACAATTTCTTGCATATGATTTGCAACAGGCAGGGCAGCATCTGGCATCGTCAAGATTCGTCCGTTTGCCCTGCGGAGCGAATGGCGCAAACATTTCACCGCGGTCCGCTTCCCAGAGGCCTGATGCTCAGCTGGGATACGACGTTTAGCCAGGGCAATTGCCGGTTTTGGAAGCTTATCGCTGAAAGGCCGTCTTTGACGTTTGTAAACAAATGCTGGCATGACCAGAGACTGGCCAAGGAGGACGTTTTGCGAAATTGATTGGAGGTCTGGGGTGGTTGTACGCGACGTGAGGAACTCAACTTCCAAGCCCCAGGTGCTCGCAGAAACGCGGCTTATGTCAGGATGCCATAGGGTCGATTAACTAAAAGTACTTTTAACAGAAGAACTTGTGAGAGTGACGACTCAGCCTCGTCGAGCCTCATCAGGCGGTTTCGCGACTGTTCGGCTCGCTAAATCCTTCGAACCCGATAGAATTTCCTGCGACAATCACCCGCTGCAGGTCGCGACAAGGGGAGCTCAAGTCCATCACAGGCCGGGGAATGAGGAGCTGAAATGTACGTCGCTCCCTCCGTCGCACCAATCATCCCCGGTTCGCTACACAAAATGTATCCAGGTTTTGCCCTCTCCGTCTCAAATGATTTTTTTTGCCATCTCAACATGAAAATAGAGGCATTACTGAATGCAGAGCTATGTCCGCGACATCCCGGGCTACGTCCACCAACCACAGAATCATTTCAGCCGCTCCCGCTAGTTGACGGAAGCTCATGGCTGGCTCCTTCTTTAGGTCGATCCCACGTGCGAACATGTCCTACACCGACGCAGAGTTAGCAATTGTTATTTGACTTGCATCCACCGGAGCAACAGCAGAAACAAAATAACCGGCGAGGACAATGGACCCGCACTGATTGTAGCGACACCTTTGCGAAGCGGTGAGGCCTGTAGCTTGCGTTTGGACTGAAAAAAAAAATCTCAAACTTGATACCCAAAAGACAAAACCCAGCATCGGAAAAAGAACGTGAAAAAGATTGCGTGCTGTGCAGCGCAGATGCCGTGCACCAGCTTAGGCAGGCATACAATTCCAGAACAGCGGGTTCCTGCTTCTAGGCCGAGCCACCATGGTGTGACAAGCGTACGCCGTCTCAAGATGGTGGCCTCTTGCAGAGAGGAAAAAGCGGGTCTCCGGGTTGACGAAGGAGGCAGACTCCATCGAAAGCGCCCCCGCCCGCAGCAGCCCAAGTTTCGGAAATCCATTTTTCCCAACAAGTACGTACCCACCGGCGTAGATATCAACCGATGCGATTGCCTTGCCTGCATCCGGCCCGGTGTGCTCTCCGGCGTCGAATCACTCGGTGCACGTGTTTCTGAGCGGTGATTTTACTGAACCTCGGTGCCTAAGATTTTCGATTGGAGACACCACTGACACTCCCTACCATTACGGCCGCGAGAAGAATTCACACGGGCCGAAGAGCGCTGGCTCAGATAGCCGAAGCGTGTCCTTATGCACGGCTTTGGACATGAAGAGTCGTACGTGCGAGTCATGACCTCGACCCACCAAACCGAGCAAATCCACTTATTCCCGTGCGATAATGGATACGATCGCCGCCCAAAAAAAAAAAAAAAAAAAAAATAACGCGATAAGAAGGAAGAAAATAAAATAAAGGACTAAAATAAGAGAGATGAATTTCGAAAGCGAGAAAAAAAATTTTGAAGAAAAAAAAAGGTGACGAGGACAACGCGAAAATGCAAAGGAAAAAAAAGTAATAACACGTACCGTCTCTGCAAGCCGTGATGATGGCATCTTCCTCGAAGCCAAGCCAGCTCAAGGGATGCTCGTCAATGTTCTTTGCCATAACCGGCGGCAGCACAGCGGTGCGCGCCCGCGGCTCGACCGCATGCACAATCTGCGCGTCTTCCTCCTTCGAATCGACATGCTGCAAGCTCTCTTCCGAGCGTAGTCGCATGGCTGACACGACGCTGCCTCTCTGGCGCACACTCGCGGCTCGCGGCCTGTGTAGCATGCCGACACTGAAATCCCAGAGCAGCAGACGCCCGTCCTCGCCTGCACTTCCAAAGCGGTAGTTACGCTCATCACATCGCCAGGGATCGAATGCAACTGCAGTGACCCAGGAGTTGTGGCCCTGGCAGCGGGCGACGAGGGCGTTGTCGGCGAGACTCCAAATTGAAACCAGGTCGTCCTGGCCGCCAGTGAGGATGTACCGTCCGTCGGGCGACCAGCATGTGCAGGTCAGACCTCCGTAGTAGGACATGTATTGGTCGAGCAGCTGCTCCTTGTGAATGTCGATGACGCGAAGGCACCCGTCTTCACTTGCAACAGCTAGATGCCTTCCGTCCGGGGAGAACGAGAACGCATTGATCTTCTGATTCGATACTTTCCAGAATGCGACCGGATTTGTCTTCTGGTTCCGCGACTGCACCGACTTTAGGACTCGTAAGCGATGTGCATTATGGCCGTTTGCGACGGGATCCGATCCGTTTTCAGGCACGAACGGGGCGTCTTCTTTCTCCTTGTCGTAGATGACGAGTGTGCCGTCCATGCAGGCGGCTAGGAAAAGATTCTCAGAGCCGGGCATCCAGCGTATGTCGGCTACTGCAGCTGCGCTGATGCTGCCATTCTTGTTCAGACGCGAGTACTTTTGTGACATGGGCTCGTACCACATGATATCGCCCGTGTTGAAGCCCATGATGACGTCCAAATGCGTTGCTGATTTCGTGATCTGATTGACATCGTGGCACAGCGTGTGCGCTTTCGTGAACAATATCTTGGTCAGATTTTCAACCTGAACGCCCACGTCAGCGTGGTGTTTTCAGAGCATGAAGCTCATGCGGCAGACCTTTGTAGGGCTCGAAAGATCCAGCCATTGAAATGCGCGATTGATGTTAGCAAAGGCAAAGAGGCCCTCTGGGCTGTGCTCCTGCAGTCTTTTGGTCAAACCCTCGTGCGGTATGACGCGACTGATGAACGTCGAACTGCTCTTGACCATGTTGTTTTTCGGCTTACGCTCCTTCTTCGAGTCCTTGACGCCCTTGCCGTTCACCGTCGCCAGCGCGGGATTCGCATGGCCGAACACCTGGAGGGGGGCCGCTTCGCCAAGACCATTAGGTTTAAAGAGCGAGCCTGGGTTGCTGCCCGCCTTGCTCTGGCCTTCGTGATTGCTGCCCTCGCGAGTGGACGAAGAACCCTCCGAGGCGTGCTGGCTGACTGGCGAGTCCGGACGCGGCGCCCGTGGGTAGGAAGCATGCTTTGGTGCGATGATGGCGAAGGATAGCTTTACGCCCGCGGTCGGAGGCGCAATCACGGTGTTGAGCGGGTTTGGATTGACCGGCGGTCCCTCGGAAGGATGCGGCGGCGGTGTCGCAAGGAGGAGCTCGTCACGTAGGACATATGTTCCTATCATGATGTGTGTGAACGGCAGCGCATCATATCAGGGAAGCTCTAGTGGGTGGGGGGAGAGAGAGCGGGTGGGGGGGGGGGGGGGGGGGGGGGGGGGGGGGGAGGACAGCATGAAAGAGGCAGAGACAGAGGCTGAGGCTAGGGGCCAAAGCAAGTCAGAAGGAGGAGGACAAGAAGCAAGCAGCGGCGAAAGTACGAGTGATCGGGAGGGAGAGTACCTTCACCGACCAGGAACGTGTAGTCAGGCCCCGTCGGATGCGATATCAGGTTGTTGGTCTCGACCGGGGGCAGGTTGCCCTGGGCTTGGGAGTATCGTGGGGGAGGCGGCAGGACGCTGTATGCGCTGCTTGGTAAGCTCTTGAACTACACGCACACGGGGCCGTGAAGGACGACAGCCGAGGGCGAGCAGAAGCGACGGCGCGGTCGGGGCGGGATGTTGAGAGAGGCGCTGCGCAGCACACGAGAGCCCGTCATTGGCGTGCTGGTGGCGGCGCTGGAGCTGCTGGCGGTGCTGGTGGTGCTGGTGGTGCTGGTGCCGGCGCTGCTGGAGCTGCTGGAGCTGGTGCCTCTGCTGCCGCAGCGAGCAGCTTCGCTCGCGTTTCTAGAACGGGCTGCACGATCTCGCACCAAGAAGGCAAACGCCCGTCAAGGAGGAACATGCCGCAACCGTCGCACTCATGCTCTTTCAACGCACGCCTCCCTCCTCTCGGTCCGCGACGGTGCGTGCTGCGATCTGCCCGCTCTCGACGTGAAGGCCCCTCATTGGCCGCAGGACGGCGCTCACGAGGCTCGAACTTACAACATGCTGCAGGCGACAGCGCATTGGACGGCTATGGCGGAAGGGCGATGGAGGGTTGGGGTGCTCCAGTACTGGATTTGGACTGCTCACATGGCAGAGGGGGAAAACGAGCGGGGTGGGCGTGGCTGGAACTTGGCGATCAGCGACAGACGGGGCAGAGAAGGTCACGGAGGAGAGAGGAAAAAGAGAGGTGGTGACACTGGGACCGACGGTGGTTTTCGTAGCCGGAGCAGCCTCTTCTCGAGGGTTACAGTTTCGGCTTTCCAATGCTACACGCGTAACGGCAACCGTAGGATGCTGACTGGACTGGGTTTGGTCTCCACATCTCTCCGCGGCCACCGCAAATAAGCCGGATGCGTGTGGGCGCTGGCCTGTGGATGGAGATTTCAGCCCCGTGCGGTCGCCGTGCCGTTGCTGCTGCACGTGTGGGGGAGCTTCGGGGCATCTGGAGCGAGCCATGCCAAACCAGCCGGGAAAAAACGCTGCAGCCGGGTGTCGCTACGACAGTGCCTGTTGGAAGCGGCCTGTCGCCTGCGACAGTTTGTGACTGCGGCTTCCATCGCGGCGACGGAGAATTTGCCTGCCTGCGAGCCGGCTGCAAGTTCGTTGCCGTCATGGCCGAGCCCCCGCGAGAGGCGGCGGCCCTGCAGCGCGGCAGAACCTTCCACGCTGCCTAGCTACCGCTAGGTCGTCTCTTCGATTCTATGTACGCCTGCAAAACACCATGATTGTAAGAGCGCCGTCGATCCTTATTCGGATAGCGGAGTAGTAGCAGCAGCAGCAGCAGCAGCAGCAGCAGCAGAACTCGAAGGAGATGGCAACTGGTTGGTGATTTCTGTTCCCGACGTGAGTGTGCGACGCACCTAACCACATCCCGCAGTACGCATCGTCGTGTGCGGCGACGAAGGCACCGGCAAGTCCTCCCTCATCACCTCCCTCGTCAAGGACACCTTTATCTCGCATCGCATACAGCCCGTCCTGCCCACCATTACGCTGCCTCCCACGCCGGGCACCCCCGAAAATGTCACAACCGTCATAGTGGACACGTCGGCCCTGCCTCAGGAGCGCGACAACCTACGCAAAGAGCTTCAAAAGGCCAACGTCATCTTGCTCGTTTACTCGGATCACTACAGCTATGAGCGAGTCGCGCTCTTTTGGTTGCCCCAATTCCGCAGTTGGGGCGTCAACGTGCCCGTCGTGCTATGCGCCAACAAGTCGGACCTCGCCAACGGCTCGGCGTCCAGCATGGGAGCCAACAGCGCGTCAACCGCCCATGTCATCAACGATGAGATGCTACCTGTCATGAACGAATTCAAGGAGATTGATAGTTGCATCCGGACCAGCGCAAAGGAACACCACAACATCAACGAGGTCTTCTTTCTGTGCCAGAAGGCCGTCACACACCCGATAGCGCCCTTGTTCGACTCGAAAGAAGGAAACCTCAAGCCGGGGGCAGTGGCAGCGCTGACGCGGATCTTCTACCTGTGTGACAGAGATCAGGACGGCTGGCTTAGCGACGGCGAGATCAACAGCTTCCAACTCAGGGTGTTTGAGCGTCCGCTGGGCGAAGAAGAGCTGGCCAACATCAAGAGAAACATTCAAAAGTACGCTCCCGACAGCGCCGGAGACCGGGGAATAGACCAGCACGGCTTCTTGCTGTTGAACAAGATGTTTGCAGAGAAGGGCAGACACGAGACAATTTGGGTCATCCTGCGTACATTTCATTACACGGACTCTCTCAGCCTCAAGGAGAGCTTTCTGCATCCCAAGCTCGACGTGCCGCAATACGCTAGCGCTGAGCTCAGTCCCATCGGATATCGTTTCTTCATGGATCTATTTCTTCTTCACGATAAGGATAATGATGGTGGTCTAAACGAAAAAGAGCTCCACACCTTGTTCGCACCCACACCAGGAATGCCCGCGTCGTGGGTCGACTCCAACTTCCCCTCGTGTACTGTGCGAAACGAGGCAGGCTACATCACACTACAGGGCTGGCTCGCTCAGTGGAGCATGACTACCTTCGAAGAACCGAGGACGACACTGGAGTACCTTGCCTACTTGGGATTTGAGACAAAGGACCGGGGCGGCACGACGACAGCGATTCGCATCACGAAGCCTCGGAAACACAGAAGGAGACCTGCGCGTGTCGAGCGCAGCGTTTTTCTGTGTTACGTTGTTGGTGCCGCAGGAAGTGGCAAGTCTACCCTGCTGGACACATTCCTGAACAGGCCCTTCTCGCCCACGTACCATCCGACCATCAAGCCGCGCAGTGCGGTGAACAGCGTCGAGCTCCAGGGTGGGAAGCAGTGCTATCTGATCCTCACGGAGCTCGGCGAATTGGAACCGGCCATCCTCGAGAACACGGCCAAGCTTGACGCCTGTGACCTGATCTGTTACACGTACGACTCGTCCGACCCGGACTCTTTTGCGCACATTGTCGAGCTTCGCAAGAAGCACGGCAAGATGCTCGAGGACATGCCCTCCGTGACCGCAGCGCTCAAGGCAGATCTTGACAAGGCCGTCCAGCGATGCGAAATCCAGCCGGACGAGTTTGCCAGGGATGTGCTGGGTCTGGGGCCGCCCATGCACACCAGCGTGCGGTGGAGCAGCATACAGGAGCTGTTCGGCCATCTAGCGGAGTGCGCGAGCATGCCGAGCCAGGCGCTGCCAAAGAGGGGGGATGACGAAGTGGATCGCACGAACGTGTATTTCATGGCCGGTGGAGTGGTCGCCGCAATTGCAGTCGCTGCAGTTATGTGGAAGAAGGGCGGGGGGAGTCTGGCCTGGAGTTAAACAGCGTGTAAGAAGAGCGTTGGCAGTATTTTTGCTCAGTCAACGGCCCTTGCTCCACGTGGGCCAACGTCTAGACGGCCATGTTTGACACAGGAGCAACATCATTCGCTGTTTCTGAGCCCACTTGAGCTTTTGAAACGGCCATGCCGCTCGTACAGGACGGAAGCATCAACGTGAAAAAGTGTACTGACGCAGAACATTGTGCTGTACAATTACGTGTAGCATTACAAATGTGAAACCAAAGCTCGGCTTCAACTGTATTTTTATCAAGAAAGGCGGGGCACTTCCTTCAATTCGGGGAGGCCCCGGATAACAAGAATCCCAACATGACAGACAGGTCATAAAGTCACGGATTTCTGAAAATGAATCCGCAAACACAGAACGGCTCCCACTTAATTTTTTTTTTTTTTTTTTTTGGTTCACCAACGTGATGTCTGTCGTGCCTCAGAGCATAGTCAAGGGAGAGGAAGAAGTGACATTTAGCACGGCAGTTTTATTGGACCAGCAGGTGAGTGGGGGCGGGGGAGGGGGAGGAAGGAATTTCAGACGAATGCTATTGTAAATCAGCGGTTGGGGTATCTACCGTGTATCATCAACGTCTGCAGCGGGCTGGGCTCTAGCAGCGACTCGTTCTCGAGCGGGATGCCCATGTCCTGCACCGGCCCACTCCTGACCGAATGCGAGGTTCGGATCTTCGGGGTTGCGGGGGGAGAGATGGCCTGCGGCGCAGCGGCCGCCGCCGCCGCTGGCGGCGTTACCGCTGCCATTGGCGGCTGGGGGCTCGGGGCAGCCTCGCTCGACGGGGCCAAAAGGCCGTCGTTGCTCTCCGAGGGTGATTCGCGCTGGACGACGGTCGCGCGTTGCTTCCTTCTCCTTCGGACGAGGAAGGCAACGATGCAGGCTAGGATGATGAGGCCGAGCGCGGCGACGACGATGCCGGCTATGGCGCCGGCGCTGAGTTTCGAGGCGGGCATGTTGTTCATGCTGTTCAGCAACGCGGTGGTTGTGGAGCTCGCGCTCGTGGTTGTCGCCGCTCCGGATGCGAACGCGCTGGTGAGCGTGAAGCTTGCGGACTCTGAGGCGGGGATGATGTTGATGCCCGGCACGACCATGTCGACTGTGGAGACCTTCTCGGTCACGGCCGTTGGCACCGTCAGCATGACGCCCGTCTGCGAGGAGGCGATGGCGTCTTTAGCAATCTGTGATGCTACCGAGGCATCTACGTTTGCCAGAGGGTTGTCGAACCTCGCTGCCAAACAAATTTCCGTTTGGCTGCCGTTGCTCGAGCACATCTCCCACAACCTGTTGCAGCACCACGTACTATTCGAAGCCGTGCATTGGATCTGATCCGAGCTTGCCTGCTTCGACCCGCTTCCCAGACATGGCTTCGCGATCGTCCAGCATTGACTGATGGAGAATTAGCTCGGCGAAAAGGAAATAATCCAATGACGACGATGAATACAAAAGCTGAGACGTACTCCTCGCCCGCTGGACATGCCCAAAGCCCTCGCACAGGCGCCTCGTCTATGTACACGCAGAGGTCGCCCAACTCGGTGTTGTTCGGCGCGCTGAACGCAAAGTCGCGCGCAGCGCACAAGTCCTTCTCACTGCTGTAGAAGAAGATGGGACGCGAGCTGTTACTGGCCGCGTTGTCAGCGTCCGACTTGGCCATGGCTTCCCACCGCCGGTCGCATAGAGAGAGATGTCAGGCGTCAACGCAAGACCATGATGAGAGGTGAGAGTTGACAGACAAAGGGCCTGCAATTGAATCGAGGAAGTGAGCAAGGCCAGCTTCGGCAGAGTAAGGCGATCCATCGCAACGACAAGACGTGGCTCTGCTCTTTACGAGGCCCTTCAATGGCTCTAGCCAAAATTAGGAACTTGGACTTGGGATCGATGCAGGTCGTCATGTCGTGCTAGGCCGCAAACGTCGTGGCGTTGTGCCGCTCCCGTGTAAGCATGCGGCTTGGGGGCCGCCTGCGATGGCACGAACTGCAGCCCCAGGCCGAGTCCGACAAGTCCTAATGGCCGAACGCGGTCAGCGCACAGGGAGAACCACTACAGGTTGCATGAGCACACTAGCAACTGCTGTGGAAGCTTGCAAGCGAGGATGCTCTTCAGCAGACGAGTTGTGCTCCCTCAACTCAACGGAGTCCGCACCGCCAGCTCCAGCACGTTCGGGCTGCGGGCTCGGCGATCCCAGCGACCGCTCCAATTGGCGGGTTGGCTGTTGCAGTCACGTGACCGCGCTCACCGTTCGGCCCGTTTCCAGAGGCGTGAGTTTAGTGAAATGTTCCGAGTCCCCATTGAAATTGGGCAAAAGCGTAGGAGGCTTACGCCATCATCGCAGCGTCGACTGGACGAGTTCGTTGCTTTGAGAAGTTCAGTGAGAGCTATGCTTCCTCTCGCGAATATGCGCAAGGCCCTGCAGCTCCCGCAACCAGTCGCTACAACAAGGCTGCCCGTCACGAGGCTTGAAATTCGAGCTTGAAGTGAAGAACACAAGAGGTATGCCCTCGGTGTGCAGACCCCATCATCTCTAGGCCTTTGTGTCCTTACGTCTGTGGGATCCACTGAGTGACTTGTACGTCACTGATCGTGATGCAATGCTAGGACCGACCCACACCGACTCGTCATGTCCATCCCCAGCTTGATCCTTCATGTGAGACCTTAGGTGTATCTCATCCACCAAGGCCAAGTCAACACGAGCACGCAGGATTTTGCACGTCCGATGCATGCTCATTGCCGCGATGACTTGGACGTGTCGCTGCGAAAAGCGTGCGGCGGGGCACTTGACAGCTCGGTTTGACGTTCTTGGATAGCTCCGCACCTCGTGCTCTCACCAACATCCGCCCGTGAAATGGGTTCTACTCCTCGCGCAGGTATAGGGGAGGATGCGCTGCGAGATCAACTCTGCGTGTTACGCTGTTCTACTAGCTCCTTTCTTTTGCACGAGTGGCCAGGTTCGAAGAAAGAAAATAGGACGCTAGCGCCGCGATCAACGAAGCTTTGGGCCGGGAACTTGGCAGCTTTACCTGTGGTGGGAAGCTCCTCCATGCTTGGTAGGAGATAAATGTGGACCCAAATGGACCTCCGCGTAACTCGCCACGAACCGAAGCGAATCATGGCTGCCCACCGCTGGCTCTGCCCGTGTACTTCCGCCTCGTCGACACTTAAATCTGGTCTCATTCCTCATAGGGCCTACAGGGAAAATGTACCCCAATCGACACACAACAATCCGGCAGTACCGTCTGTCGTGAGTATGCTGTGTCCTTTGACTTGATCCGAGCCTGAGAGACGACGATGTTGCGGAGGAAGAGAAAGATCATACACTTCATTCGTCATGCAGAGAGCGATCACAACATTGCGCCTTTCGATACCAGGCTCAGAGATCCGTATCTGTCTCAGAAGGGGCGTATCCAGGCGGAGGCTCTTGGTGAACAATTCCCCCACCTGCAAGATGTCGACTTGATCGTATGCTCGCCAATGAAGAGAGCCATCACTACTGCGCTCCTGGTTTTCAAGAAGCACCTCCTATCCAGCAAAAAACAGCTCATCGCGCTACCGGAATTGCAAGAACTAAGCGGCAAACCTTGTGATACAGGATCTTCGCTCGCAGAGCTGTTGACTGAATTCCGTGAGGAGCCTCTAGACTTGAACCATGTGCCGCACAACTGGGAGTCCAAAGATGGGGCCTGGTCGCCGACAGAACAACGCACTCTTGCCCGAATGACGAGAGCACGTGCATGGCTTCGTTCCAGGCCCGAGACCAACATCGTCGTCGTCGGCCACGCTCATTGCATGCAGCTTCTGGTTAGAGACGCCCCTGAAGAGTACTACAATGACGGTATAGAGGCGATCCGACTTGGATTGCTGCCTGAATGGAAGAATTGCGAATGGCGGTCTTTTAGTGCGGAAGTTCACCAAGATCATGTGCTCTGGTTTGACGAGTTGCGGGCCTCGAAGAAGGCAAAGTCGAGGGGAGAAAACGTTCCCAGGCTGACGAACGGCAAAGAGTCCAGGAAGAGCAGTCAGACCAGTTCGGAAATGCCGGACGAGTTTGACAAGAACCGCTCTAGGTCCGTTTGGAGCTCGAAGAGTTCTCAATTACCCTTCCCACCAGACACCTCGCCTGATACGGTGACGAGAAAAGCACGCACCTGGCCGAATGAAGCAGCCAGTAGCCCGTCGAGTCCTAAACAGACTCGAAAGGTGCGTCAAGCTTGCACATGTCTATTTTTTAGTGCTAACTGCATTAAGCTCTTATCAGCCATTCGCATACGAAAGTAAAGATATGAGGATGATGCTAGTCTCCACGCATATACGACTCAGGAAATAACGAGGACATACGAAAACACAAGTCAAGCGTTGATGTTAGACAAGCGATAATGTAGAACTAGACTACTAGACAGGACTGTTGAGAAAGGAGTTCAAAAAGATTTGCGTTGACGTGTCGAATCTGCCACCTGATGTTGGCTCGTTATATTCTCCCCAATTTACCGTCAATCTTTACCTCTGTAGCTGTGTCAAGGCGTAGACGATGTTCTGATGACTTAGGCCGATTGATCGACAACCTCTGCGGAACGATTTAGACTCGACGTTACAACACATGGCCAAGGGTAGTATGCGTTAGCAGAACCGAGGCGTTTTATTCGTCGTTGACTAGAATGCGGTGATAGATGATCTTTAAGGCCCGACATTTGACCACTCATCGTGCCTCTTTGCTCCCCACCAAGGCCATGTACCTGCAGATCACCACCCCGCAGGTCAATTCAGGTTCTGACGTTATTACCTCCCGTCGCGTCCGAAGAGTGGTTCACCCCGCCCCTCCGTGAGCTGATCTCTACGTCTTTCGGAACTTCTCAGTGCAACGATGGGATTTTCCCAGTCTGCGAAGCGCTGCTGGGCAGCGCGAAAGAGCGTGCGTGCGGGCTATTCTTGCCCCGAAGGGTCGGATGCATCGAAACAAGCCGTCAGGGCGGGCCTATATGAATGCGGAGATGGATCTGGTTGACCTCTGAGCAGGGCAGAGATCGTTCGCCATGTTTTCATACCAGATACCCGTGTTCGGCATCGCTGTTGCGCGCCTCGTGGCCGGCCAACAGAGCAATGCTCCGGTGATTCCTGGAGCAAGTAGCTACAACGGCCTCGCCTTGACCCCGCAGATGGGATGGGACAACTGGAATGCGTTCGGCTGCAACGTCAACGAGTCGATATTGCTGGACACGGCTCAGGCCATGGTGGATTACGGTCTGAGGGACTTGGGTTACAAATACGTCGTGCTCGATGATTGCTGGTCCTCCGGTCGAAACGAAACCGGGCACCTCGTGCCGGACAGCAACAAATTCCCCAATGTCCGTCGGAATGCATTCTTTTGTCGACAGCTTGTTGATGGTGCTGTAGGGAATGGCTCACGTCGCCGATCGAATTCACGCGCTTGGTATGTACTTTGGCATGTACAGCTCCGCCGGCATCTTCACCTGCGGCAGATACCCAGGGTCGCTTGGATACGAGCAAAAGGATGCAGACACTTTTGCGTCTTGGGGCGTTGACTACCTCAAATATGACAACTGCTTTAACCAGGGCCAAAGCGGAACCCCCCAGATCTCTTTCAATCGGTACAATACCATGAGCCAGGCGCTGAACAAGACGGGTCGCCCAATCTTTTACTCCATGTGCAATTGGGGCCAGGTACTTTTCCAGATCCAAAACCGTCCGTTTGCACAAGGGGATGTTAATGTTTGCAGGACATGCCGTACGACTGGGCGTACACTATTGCAAATAGCTATCGTATGAGCGGAGACATTTATGACAGCTTCAACCGTCCAGACAGCCGCTGTCTGTGTGGAGAGGATATCCCGTAGGTCCTTTACTATACTCAATAGGACCGTTTCGCGTGACATGTGAAGTTGCTTCCGAAAGAGTACCCGCATCAAAGAGCATGATCAAGTCCTCTCAATTAGCTCTCATACTGACTTGGGTTTGTTTCTGATAGGTGCAATTTCCCCGGCTTCCACTGTTCAGTCATGGCAATTCTGAACAAGATGGCTCCCATCACCAGCCGCTCTATGTCGGGCGGGTTTGCCGATATGGATATGCTCGAAGTCGGCAACGGCGGTCAAAACGACAACGAATACGTCACTCACTTCTCCATGTGGGCGCTTATGTCTTCGCCCTTGCTCATTGGCACCAACGTTATGTCGCTAAGCCCGGCCAATCTGGCAATATATTCTAACCCAGCGGTAATTGCACTCAATCAGGATCCTTCTGCTAGCTCGGGAATCCGAAAATGGAGATATTATGTGAACGACACAGACGAATATGGGCAAGGCGAAATCGCGCTGTGGACCCGCGTGTTGAAGAACGGAGACACGGTCATTGCCCTCATCAATGGTGGCAACAGTAGCCGGACAATGAACGCCACGGCAAGAGACATCTTCCTCGACCAGGCCACCGCAGGTACTTATGTTCCCGCTCCAGAGCTGAGTGAAAGCTGGGATGTTTACGATTTGTGGGCAAATCGAATGAGCGATGAAGAAGCCAGCACTTTGCTAAAGGGGAACGCGTCAATCGTTGCAAACTCAACCACTCGTTATAATGCAACCGCAACGAGCTACGCGGACGGTTTAAGTCAGAACAACCCCGCTTTATTTGGCTCTCGAGTCGGCACCTTGGCCCCCGGAGGCACGTGGACGGCAGAAATCCCGCGACACTCTGTAGGTTTGTACAGGCTTAGGCGAGCAGGCACTTCGTTGAGAAAAAGAGACGAGCTGTAGAAAGCGGAGAATGTACGTAGAATAGTATTGAACAAAACACAAACGTCGTAAACTTCACACAACCCTGAGCTCGCTCTTCTGAAGGACGTCGCTCTTAAGCGGACCTCCGTTCACGACCCGAGATCAGGTACAACGCGGCACGAAATTCCAAGATGGGATCAGCACTTGGTTCGATGCCGTCTACGCGCGGGATTGGATCGAATATGGTCTTCTTCTGCGTCGCTGCATCATCCGCGACCAAGGATGTCAGCGTGATTGTGCCCAGCTCAACTTTCTTTCTGTCCTCGGGCCACTTCTTCGTGACATCATCCGTCGGGTCTTCTGCTTCCGCTACTTGCGCAAGTAGCTTCAGGCCAACGGACCCTTTGGCGATGCGCTCTTTGATCTCCTCGGACAGATAGTTGGGCGAGAGCGCCTTGGCCTCTTCGTCACTGTAGTGGGCACGGCCGGCCTCGGGGACAATCTCGTAGCGGATGAAGGTCTCCTCTCCTTCCGAATTTACGAACTTGAAAGCGTTCAGAGCATAGTACGACTCGGTCGCCCAGCTGTGTGGGAAAGGCTTTGGGGCGGTTACGAAGGCCAACGCGGCGGGGTGCTCGCTCAGGTACTTTTCGATGGGTGTAGGATGGGGCAGGTCAGGCTGCGAACTGGCACCTATGGCGCGGAACAGATTCGCAAACTCCTGGCCGGTGGGGGCTGGAAAGAAAGGAGTCGAGTGGCCGATGATATCTGTATGCTTTCTCTTTCCATTCTCTTCCGGGAGGTGAAATCTCACGGCAAAGCCTCGAGGCGAAGCATTGGCGTCATTATCTGGGATTGCCGGGATTCCCGTCGAGTCTGAGAATCTCACGGTAACTGGGGTCGAGGCTGAATTGAAATGGTGGGCTTTTGTCAAGCCTTTTGCCTCAGCTGTCGGTTGAAACGTGCCCTCGAGGAGCAAACCTTTCGCATGAGCTAGAAAAAGCTCAGTACTCAAGTTTCTTCTTGTCATTGTAAGCTCAGTCTTACCTGGCCTAAATCCACCTGGTGTCCCAAAGGCTCCTTTAAACATGGCAAGCACATTGTTCGCTGTGTCGAGCGTCGCTTGATCAGATGTGAGAGGCATGGTTAAGCGACGAGTATGCTACGTGCAAAAAATAAAATGCCAAAAGCCAATAGGTATCACAAAGGACGTCCGTCTGTCCATAAGGTCTATTATTATAGCCATTTCTGATCGGAGCGTGGGTAGCTGAATGATTGAAAATTGCATCAATTCATTGGAGACCCTAAGCGATATGATCCCAGACAACGAACGATCGCATAAGACCGGTTGGATTAGTCAACCACTTGCAGCTGAACCCAAGGTTTCTAACCACATTTGGACGCTTAATAATGATAATAAATACCTGGGAGAACGAGAGGCTTATGAAGTTGGTCAGTAGCTGATTTGGAATTCGTTCGACCATTGAGGGATGGTATTGACGGCCAAATCGAGTACAGGAGCTGCAGCAAGGACTTAGCTGCCGCCCAGGACGTGGAAATACAAACTGGAATTATGCACGTCCGCAAGGAAGATACGGCACTGAAAAGAGTCACGTCACCTTTTGCGCCGACGAGCAAAGTCTTGCCGAACACTGCTTTGGCTCAACCACAAAATGGCGCGGTTGATCTGCACAATAGTTTTCGTGTTTTGAACTTCTGTGCGCCGCAACATGAAGTGACAAGTACTACGAACATTGAATGATCACATAGATTCAGCTCATTTGATGCACATTCATTCCTGATGTGTGTGTATCTGAGATGAAGGCCAACCAGCTTTGAAGAAGCGATGGCATTTTCGTGAAATTGTTCAATGCTTTATTATACTCATTATACAACGCGAACTGCGTTTACAGTCATTTGAATTCGTGCACTTTCGTCCGGCTAGTCTGATATTACTCATATGTATTTTTTAAATCAAAGCCGGTCGATGTGACCTAGCAACCACTGTAGATGGCGATATGAGCTCCTTGGTTGGAATTGAGGTTGCCTTTCCTTAAGTTAGTCGCTTTCCAAGAACGTGCAATATGTTACCGAAACGTACATATGCCCACTTTGGAAGGTTTCAGCCCACATAAGCCCACGTTCATAGTGCTGAATTCCCATGATACCCTGTCCAGGCCCGTCATAGCCAGGCATACCTGATGCGTCGAAAGCAGCTTGATACTGCAGATCTGGTAATTTGATGTCTATTGGCGTCTTAGGCTCCTTCTGGAAGCCTAATTTACCGTTCCACGTCATGTTTTCTGCGTACAAAAACTATTAGTCGTTCGACCTTGTCTGATCAACTTTGTAGTTAACGTACGAATAGATAGGAGTGTACCCATTGTGAGGATCTCGAAATCATAATCTCCATTGGCCTTTTTGTCATTGTTTTAGTATGATAAATTCTCACGCTCTGGACACGACTTACCACCAATACCCGATTCGTTTTCTCAATGACCTTTGGAAGAACTGACTGTATCGGGTCAATGCTTGCATCTCCATTGCCATAGCCACCGCCTTCGCCAGCGAACACTGGTCCTGAGCATTCGGACCAGTCTACGTCCAATGGAGCGTGAATTGCGGTTTTGACATCTGTTCTGTTGAAGTAAATCTCTTTCATACCCGAGTACAAATATTCCAGGTCACTCGGATAACCAAGAGGATCGCTTAGAACAGGGCACATTGTGCTGATTTCATAGACATTAAAGCATGGATTCGGTTGCGACGCAGCAGTATACGCGTTCGTCCACACGTCGCAGCTTTGCGATGTTTGATTAAACATACCCTCGAGTGGTGGCTGTAGTCCAGCAGGTGGGAACGTCATATACTTGGCCAAGTAGTCGGCATAACCACAACTTTTGTGGGCGCTTTCCAATTCTGACATGAACGTCTCGTTGAAATTGAAGAACATGGCATATTTTTGAATGTACGGTACTGTCGGTACCGTCTGGCCAATGTACTCATACTGTGTCTGGTTAGAGAGCTTGAACCATAACGGAAGTATGATCATACCTGGCCGATGACGGGATCATACATCAGAGCGCCGGAGACATTGAAATATTCTGTATCATTCTGGTCGATCATTGCAGAAGCAACGTATGGGACATACCTATCAACAGTTAGCATGGTTCGAATAGAGTTCGATGAAAACCACTACCTCCCCGCATAGCTTTCTCCAGTTATGTAGATTTTGTAGTTTTTAATGCCGAAAATATCCTGGAAGTTGCGGAAGAAGCCTATGAAGTCGGCAGCTGTCTCTTCCTCACTTGTCGCTGTGACGTTGCTGGTTGTTGAAAATCCAAGGCCAAGTGGATATTCTACCCAAAGCATGTTCGTCAAGTTAACCTAGAATTCCATCCCAGTTAATGAAATGCACGTAAGACGAGTTCCTCTTGGAAATAGATCCGCATACCCATGAGTACTTGTTGACTTCGGCATTGTACCTGCAAATGCGTCAGTTTGACAGCAGATACGGGATTTATGGGATGGAAAGATATTCTAAAGCGTGCCACTTGATCCTACAAGGAAAGCTAGAACAACAACACTGTAGAAAAGAATATCTCTAAACAGTTTCAGGGTGCACAATTCACTTACATGCCCCAACCCCAGATGAAAAGTCCGTTCTCCTGTAAAAACGCTTCCAAGGACGAACAGCCTGGACCGCCATTGAACCAGATGGTGATCTCGTCAACAGGATCGCCAATCGTTGGCTGGAACATGAAGAACATCTGTTTCGAAGTATCATTGCCGACAGGGATCTGGCCCCCATACATCTCACCTGGGTCATCCGTCACGTCGGGGAGAGAATCGACCTTGAAGGCTTCCGTTTGGTTTGTTAGGTAGCGATACGTTCCCTTATCCCGAGTTTCAAATCGGGACTTTTGGGCCTGGGCCATGGCAGCTCGGCGCTGTCGCACGCTCTGGGCTCTCTCGCCCATGGTCTCTTTGCCATAGCAGGCCTCCCAACATGATGTCAGCATCAGAGCCAACGCGGCTAGACGGCCAATTGAGTAACGAGCCATATTTGAGCAGCACGAGTCCGACAGGAGTCGACTTTGCGCGGGGGAGCCAGACTAAGTATGCTCACACGAACACCATGACAACAGCAGACTACTGGGATTTTATGCTGCAGATCTGCCTTCGGGCGCTAGCTGACATTCGAGCTTCGCACAGTCACAATGCCGGACGACGACCATTTGGAGGTCCGCTGCTTAGAACGAAATCCACCGCGGCTGGTGCTGACTGCGGGCCGGGTGTTCGGAGGCTCAAAGAGGAAGGAGCAAGCACACAGCGCGCGGTGGAAGTCAGGTACCATCGCACAACATCGTCATTTGCCGCAGTAGTTCGCCGGAGCAAGGTCGATGAGAGTTAGCGCGCCCTTATCGATCATGAGACGATAGATAATGATGTCGTATTCGACAGTTCGCGGCCGACAAGTACACGAGACTTGCTGGACGCTATCGCCCCACACGATCTGCACCGCGGTGGTGAGGGACACGCGGTCATGGTAGAAACAAGACGAGCGGCTTCGAGGGGACACGACGTGCCAGGTTTTACTAGGTTCAGAAGGTCGTTCGTTGCTGGCCTTGGAAATGACACATACCATTGTCAAATCGTTCACCAACCTATAGTTAGACCGTGCGGAAGCAGTCTCTTGACCCGCAGACACCACGTTATAAGAATCAGGTTTTTTCTACTTGCGCCTTGAAAGTTGTTTTCGGGCACCAGCAGCGCTTAAAGCACAAGGGCATTGTCACCTGAAACAATGATCGCAGCCACTTCATACAATCACCGTTGTGGCAAATTGACTGAATTTTAAAAGGAGAGCTCATGCCAGTAAGGGTGATTCGACTTCCCACAAAGCTTGCTCTATGGTTAGATGTGAATATTGAGCCAGCTTAAAGCGAAGGTCGGAACGAAGAATGCTATTTACAGCCAAGCTCTTTGTGCACGTGTTCAGCTGTACAGCAGCCAAGTGTTAAAACCGGACAAGGAAAGTCTTCAAAGCATGTTGCGCTGCATTGGAGGTTTTGTTCAATTGCGACTTGGGCGCTTCGTTGACAAAAGTTGTGACTCGTCTCGACAAGCAAAGGACAAGTTGCAACAAATGTGCACGTGTTGAGCTCCCGCGTGTTTGAATACATCTTGAGAAAATGGCGTCTCTAATGGGCCAGAGGTACTTTGCTGTCATGGCTAGGAGCTTCCAGCATTGAACGACGCACAATGCCGGGGCCATCGACTGAACGGACAGAACCTGTCACTCAACCCGAAGTCGAAAGGACTCCGTGATGTGTGCTTTTTGATTTTTGGTCTTGGCAAAACGTTCCCCAATTCTGTACGTCGTGCAGATAGTCAATAACACGGCTGAACTGTCGCGCTTCACAGTGCTGATTCTACGAAGTCGAAAAAAAAATTCGACCGAAGCAAAACTGCCCAACTTGATTCATCAAGGAAACGACGCACTTCGCATGTCTGCTTCGACGCGAGAACCAGGGGAGGATGGTTGTTCCACTGGATTCCACTCCAGAACGTCCCCCCGATTATAGGGTCAAGTTTGTACAATTATCTAAAGAGCCGATTGGTCAAATTCAAGCTCAAATCGACTTACAACTCAGCCTGTCAAAATCGCGATCTCGTGCAAACAGAGGATGGTTTTCGTCGTGCGATTAACTGGTTGTTTGTTGCATTCTCGTCGCGGAGTAATCAACGATAGGATAAGAAGGCTCTCAACTGGACAAGGAACATATACGGCAAAATCCGCAGTGCAACAATCTTGAAGTAAATGCTGATGCTGTGAGAATGAAAAAATTTTTTTTGAAATAAAACAAAAATAAAAAGCTTGGACTGAGCTGTGGCAAAGTCACCATATCGTGGGACGCAATATAATTAGAATTGCGGCGATATGTTCATTCGGCGTCTCTGAAAGTCTCAACAGCAAGAGCTCAGCAGGTGCAAAATTTGCAAGTCAAACATAATGGGGCAAAAACCAAGCGTAAGAAAGGCCAGTTCCCTCCCTTGTCGGCGTTTGCGCTCACACCGCTTGTGGCTCTCGCGGCGTCGAGTTTACGGCTAACCGATGGAGGCCGCGCAAAGGTCGCCGATGTTCTTGGGAACGCGTGCAACGTTGGGAACCGCTCAACTTATTGAACATCCACTTCAACGGCAGGCAGATTCTAGGCCTTCGATGTTCGACCCCGCCAGCTTAAAAAGCTTCAATCCCTTAGGGTGGCGGGTAGGGGGTCCAGCTCGTGAAATTCTGCAGGGACGTTGAGCTTAAAGCCTGTTGATCCAAGGTTAATCTAAGTGCGCCAGCGGACAATTTGCTTGGCAGACTGACTTTATATCTGCAAGGCCAGCATATCCAAATCCTCGGTAGACTACATCTTATCATACGAGTCTTTTCCAACCTTTTGTGGTTCGCAGAAGCAACATATCGTCATCATTGCAGGTTCACAGCCCCTCTTAGACCGCTCTAGCGGATCACGGTGAAATCGATGTCGATGTCAGGGTGTTGGCTCGGTATGAGGCATTTTCCCCCTGCATGCTGATTGGTTGAAGCTTCACCATAATCCTTTCAGGACACCGAGCCGTCGGAGAGAACCTTTCCAAAATTTACCCAGTCGAACCGAAAGCTGTCTGGTCGATAACAGAGATTTCACGATGTCCTACACAGCTCAGTCTCCGAATAGCTGGTGGAGATGTCAGACACGTGGTGCTAGGCCGGCAGAATTCGTTCCGCTGATAGCGCAGAACAATAGTGTATGAAGAACAGGTTTAAGCTTCCGTCCACCACAGAATTTTTTTTTTCCAAAAAATTTCCTGTACTTCACATCGAGCTCTTTCCTCCTGTCTCTACTCTGCGAGTTTGCTGAACTTCGTTGCTGGCCATAATGGCCACGAACATCACTTTTGCGGACGAACTCAAGCCCGTCAAGTCCCATGCCTCGAACGAAGAGGGGTTCGGTGTTGGTGGCGTGTACAACCTTCGTTCGAGACGAGCTTCCAAGTCGTCTCTCGGAGACCGGAGCACGTTTCAAGGAAGCGAAAAAGCCTTTCCAGCAGAAGACGAAGATCCAGGGTTGCGAAATGAAGGCGACTATAGAAGAGCGCAAGTTCGTTCTAACCCCCATAGTCTGCCCCCAACCTTTGCTCAAAAATTAAGTGAGATGAATGTGGCAGGTCTTCTCGAAACGCGAACTCTTCTTGTTGGCATACCAGTCAATTGGTGTGATCTATGGCGACATTGGTACCTCGCCACTCTACGTCTTTTCGTCGACATTCACCACTGCACCAAATAAGGCCGACTTGATGGGCGCGTTGTCTCTAATCCTCTGGACCATTTTTATGATGGTTACTGTCAAATACGTATTGGTAATCTTGCGCGCAGACAATGAGGGCGAAGGAGGTACATTCAGTACCTATGCTTTGTTGTCGCGCTATGTGAGTCAACTCGACTATTCTTCGCGCTCGAATTAACAAAAGCTTGTAGGCAAACATCTCTAATCGGGACCCACGGGAGGCGTCTCTCGTCCGCATGCAGCGCTATAAAACTAGTGAGCTTAGTAGCGCAAGTGTTGGCGTTCGCGCTACCATTGAGAAGAGCAAGTTTCTTCGCGGCCTACTCAAGACCATGGGCGTCCTCGCCGTTTCCATGATTCTGTCCGACGGAGTACTCACCCCAGCGCAGTCAGTCCTTGGTGCTGTACAGGGCCTAAACGTAGCCGTGGAGAATATTTCAAAGTCCACTGTAGTCGGCGTAACTTGCGCCATTCTTATTCTGCTCTTTTTGATACAACCTCTGGGCGTCGGCAGGATATCAATGTGTTTTGCTCCCATCATCATCATCTGGCTTGCCTGGAATGCGGTTTTCGGAATATACAATCTTGCATGCTACGACTACACCGTCCTGAAGGCGTTTAATCCATATTACGCATTTGACTATCTTATCCGCAACGGTGAACACGGTTGGAGAAGCCTGGGAGGCGTCTTGTTGTGTTTCACCGGTGTCGAGGCCCTCTTTGCTGACTTGGGAGCTTTCAGTCGAAAAGCTATTCAACTTAGCTGGCTATGCTACACCTTTCCATGTCTTTTGCTCACTTACATTGGGCAAGCTGCTTACATTTCAGTTCACCCCGAGGCATACAGTAACCCATTCTACAATTGTGCTCCCAAGGGCACAGTCATTCCATCCTTGGTCATTGCAATTTTGGCTGCCATCGTTGCTTCTCAAGCCATCATTACCGCTACATTCCAGGTCAGTCGGTTGGACGTTGCTTACTTTGATCATCACTAATCCTATACAGCTCATGGCGCAAATCATGAAGCTCTCCTATTTTCCTCAGATTGAGGTCAAGCACACGAGCAAAACCCACTACGGACAGGTGTATGTGTGGGTAGTGAATTGGTTCATGATGACGGGCACCGTCCTCGTGGCGGGAATATACAATAACACGACCTCTCTTGGAAATGCATATGGAGTGTGTGTCATGTTCGTTACATTCTTTGACACATGCATGGTCACACTGGCAGCGATCCTTGTATGGAAGCTGAACCCGTACTTCGTCTTCATACCATGGTTGATCATCGCATGCATGGATGGAACATATCTCTCATCGGCGTTGACGAAGGTTCCCGATGGTGCATGGTTCACAATTACATTAGCTGCTGTGCTTGCATCATTGTTCATCTTATGGCGCTTTGGTAAAGAGCAGCAGTGGGCGGCCGAGGCTGAAGATCGCTTCCCGACCTCACACTTTGTCGAGCGACGCAGCGACGGAAAATTGGCATTGACGGAGAAGTATGGCGGCACGACCCTTAGCCAAATCCAGGGAATGGGCATTTTCTTCGACAAAGCCGGCGAAACAACGCCCATAGTTTTCAGTCAATTCGTCCGCAAGTTGACGACAGCACCCGCCGTCATGGTATTTTTCCATCTACGACCGCTGGAGAAGCCAACGGTGGGACCAGAGGACCGGTATAGCGTTTCTAGACTCGCGATTCCGAACTGCTATCGCCTGATTGTGAGGCACGGTTACATGGATGAGGTGATCAGCCCTGATCTCGCGTCTCTCATCTACGAGAAGGTCCGCGACCACATCGTCCGCCGTGCTCTTGAACAAGATCAGTCGAGGTCTGCAGTCGCCAGCGGAGCAAACACCCCGACCGGCGAATCCTCTGCTGTTGCACCGTCCGCCGCCGACGAGAGCCGTGTGGTGACCGAGCCTTCCATAGCTGCCAGCCTGGAAACCTTGGAAAAGGCTTTCAAGCACCAAGTGCTTTACATCATCGGCAAAGAACAGATGCGCGTCAAACCAAAGACGAACATACTCCGCTCGACCTTGTTACATTTTTTCTTGTTCTTGAGAGACAATACGAGGAACAAGATCGCTAGCTTGAAAGTACAACGCGACAGAGTGATTGAGGTCGGTTTCATTAAGGATGTATGACAGCACCGCAGCTGGAGGCTGCATGGCGGAAGCCGGGGCAGGAAGGGGAGAACGAAGGAAAGACTTGAGAAGGGGAAAGACAGCATTCTCTCATTAATGGCCAGCGTGTCTCCAAGACTTAAACATAGAATAGAATGTCAGATGCCTCGCCATTCATGGCTTGAGGCTCCATTCAGATTGATTCGTGAATAATGGGCTTTGCAGTTGTATATTCCTCCACCCACTTTTATGTTTTTTTTTCCTGGCAGGGGACTCTTTGCTCTCGGTCTGCCAAGCCATGCTGGGCAGGGTGTGCGTGCGTGCATGATACAAGTATAACTGAAATGTCCTTCCTCTTTCGATGATTTTGTCCGATCGAGTTTCCCACGTGCTGGAGCTCCGTCCTGAATTCACTTGCCAGACTCTTCTCCCCGGTGTAGATCCCACCGCTTGCAGACAACTCGGACAAGATTCCATTACATGATGAATTGACCAAATGCGAACGCCCCAAGCGCTGTTGCGAAAGAAGCGAATTTGATTTCGTTCTGATTTCCCGCAGAAGTGTGACTGGCTGAGGTGGACGAACTTGTCGATGTTGACGATGCAGATGCACTAGTACTATTTGTTCTACGTACAACGATTTATGTCAAAATGCTATTCATAGAAAGAGGCTCTGGACGTGCCAAGCTCGCGCGCTGTGCTGTTAGTACTTACGGAAGGCATGACAAGATGCTGCTAAGTTTGTCCAGGACGACCTTTTGCGTCGAGGAGTCTACGTCGCTCTTTGTGTCGGCGTTTGCAACGCTGATACTTGCGTAGCAACCGCTGGCACCGATAACTGAGGATTCAGAAGGAAGGGAGGTTCCGCCACAGGTTTCCACGTCGCCACCCAAACCTGGGTATATCCGTGACAAGACAAACTTGAACTCGCTTGTCGAGCTGCACGTGCTCGAGTCAACCTTTGGGAAGTTCACGTTCAGCCAGATGTTATCCGGCAGATATGGCTTTCCGGATTTGATCAGTGTGTCCGTAACGTTTGTAGAAAGATCGGCATAAACTTGCTGATACGTTTGCGTCGCCGTATTCCATGCGACCTGTGAGCCGGTGCTACCGGAGAAGGCAATGGCTGGCACACCCAACTTCGACGCCTCCGTTGCTGCGCCTACTGTGCCGGAGATCAAAACTGTTGCCCCTGCATTCGCTCCTACGTTGAATCCCGCGACAGCCAGATCCGCACTCCCACCAAGCACACTTGTCAGGTTTTGTATCCCGTAGCGCATGGACGTGACGGGGTATGAGTTGACGTAGTTGAAGCGAGGTTCCGAAGAGTTCGAGCCAATGGCGGGTGAGTTCGCGGGGCACGAGTCAAATTCGCAACCGCTGCTGCCAACAGGCGAAGGCGTTGCATCTGAAGAACCTGTAGTCGATTTAGCGGCAAGCTCCAGACATTTTACTTGCTCTGCACACCCACGCACCTGTTCCAGACTTGTTCTCCGCCGGCGCGGAAATGACTACGTTCTGACCAGCTGCCGTGAGCGCATCGAAGAAGACGCGGATGTTCTTTTCTGCCCATCCATCGTCGTTGGAGAGGACGATGTTGACTGCTTGTGCCGCCAACGGCGCGAGCAACAAGGCGAGCACGTAGGAAGTGCGCATGATTGAGCGATATGGCTTGAAGGTTAGTAGCGAGAGTTCACGAGATGCAAACGGAGAAAGCGTTAGGGTACATATAGGTAGGGTCGACAATGCTGGTTTACCAGGAAGTCCGCCGCGAAGCGCCTACGGATGAACACACGTGTTCCGTCGAGCGTAACCATACGACGATCGCTACCAAGGGCCTTGCGCAAAAAGAGTAGGCAAGACCGATGCAAGCAGGTGATGGTCACAGAATGTCGGAACCCGGATGGAGGGGTGGCAGATTAAACAACAGCGACAAAGAACAGTGTCCAGTCGGCACCCATCCGAAGCAGGCGAAGTGATGCTTTTGAGGCTTGCACTTTGTCGTAGGTGGTGCACACGTCGTTTCATTGGACACGGCCACTGCAAGGGACGCGAATGCTGCCCCGACGCCATTGGACGTCTTCTTCAGCAGCAGCTAACCATTGCAGTGAGTAGGGGACGACGGAGGCAAAGACAACGTGAACAGTAAGAGCGGAGGACTACAGCATAAGTTACAGCTTCTTGGTCTGCGCGAAACTAATCTCATGCTTGGCAGGGCAGATCACTGATTTGGAGCCCAAGAAGGTATGGCACGTCTCGGCGGCACGTTCACCAATCCCTTTCGCAACGGAGAAAACACGCTATCCGTCTCAGCTCTGTGTGTGTGATACTCAAATTCACCACCCAGACGTCCTGTTCCACCAAAGCGAAATTCAGAATAGGCCGGCCACGCTCTCGCCAACGCCGAGGGCGGCAGGAAAAACCTCGCAGTCCGCACCTCAGTCGCGTCCAGCATACAGGTCTTCGGGGTACTTCTCGTGGTCTTTGCCATCTGACATGGCCATACGGCCCCTCGCCGTTCTCAAGCGACCTCTCGAGGCGTCCACCAGCGAATTCTGCCACATGACTCCTTTTTCGGTCTTGATGGGGAACGAGGCTGCAGCGTAGCCCAGCGGCTCGGAGTTTATGTAAATGGTTTCCCAATGACCCTTCGGCGACGTGAAAGACTCGTGCCATATGCCTATGTGCGGATGCTGTTTTTCCGTCCTGTTCCACCAGTTCCAGCCGTCTCTATGTAGTTCGTCGTGAGCAAACTTGTGCAGACCCTCGGGCCCCTTGAAGTACAGCACGGTCATGGTTTCGTTGTTTGTGTCGCGTTGGCCCAAAGCTACCCAGCTCTGGGCTCCAAGGAAACCGTATTCGTCTGCTCTCTTACGGAGCTCGTTATTCATCTTGTTGAAGTAGTCGCCCAGTTCCTTCCAGCCCGGCGCGAACATGCCGAGAGGATGGTTCGTCCTCGCTCCGATCAAGAAGACTAGAACCTGTCCGTCGGCAGGTTCCCCAGAAAAGCTTCCGTCCGCTGTAGGGTACTGGCCGGACATTTTTGGGCCAGAAAGAACGCGCTCCATGTGTGGGTTCTTCCTGATGCCATACGTTTGCAATAGGACGTCGAGCACGCGGACTGAGAGCAAAAGTGGTGCGAGTATGAACGCTTTAGGGCCCAGAGCAAGATAAAGGAGAAAGTTTAGGGTGGCGCCAATGGCTAGAATGGACGACAGCGTGAACTGGTCTTTCAGCATCTAGCGATAGAGACTTTAGCATGGACGGCAACCAAGACCGGATCTCACCCTCACGTACGCCTGCTAAGTAACTCTTCTGCTTTAGAGCTTGAATGAATATTGGTTTCGGCTGCTCCCTGGTGGGAGACATAATGGGGGTAAAGGGCTTCATTTTTTTTTTCCCTCGTTCTCGTTTGCAAGCGCCTCAATGACTACGGATACAACTCCCAGGGGGAAGGCTGAGCCGTGGCTAAGTTTGTGCAGGCTCAAGATCCCATTTAAATATGCCAACATGCCCCTGCTAATGCGGAGCAATTCAGAGCAATTAGCGTGATTCATTTTCCTCCAATGCTGTAGATTCGCTGGGTTTGGGATGCAGTCATCAGCACGGGGGCCAAATGTTCGTCCGAATAAGCATGTCGACTGGCGCGCCAGATTTGTGAATGCGAGGAACGTCCATTATCGCTTTTGAACTTTTGCATGCTATTTTGGCCCCATTCACCAAAACCACAGAAATCTTCCTGCAATGATTGGTACGGAAGGAGGGAATCTTTTGACCTATGCCCCGCCTGCTTTATGATCTAATTGACAATGACGCATTCGATGTAACGATTTCGAGGTATTCCAGCAATTATGTCAAACTCGCCGCGCTCTTTGCTTGCGCAACGCCGTATTTATCTGCACGTTATTGACCTACTTGATTTCTGGCCCCAATAGTCCGCACGATTTTTTTTTTCTATGTTTACAGGCCTCGGGAATGAATTGAATCAAGGCAAAAGAGCCACCTTTCTCTTCCAACACTTAAGTTTGTTCAACGTGAAACATGGATGCAAAACATGCGCGACGTGCATCCGTCTAGGGACAATTGAAATCGACGCTGTGAAAACAGCGTGTAAAGATGATGCTGACGCTTTGGTTGCAGCTGCGGGAATCGCCGTACGTCAGCACGGGTTTAGCAGAGCGGAATGTTGTGAAGCCGAACGAAGCTCTTGACACCACAGTTTTAGCATAGTTCTGTACTGCTAGTACAACAATATTGACTAGTCAACAGAGCTTACCAGCTGGAAGCTTGGGTCTGGAACAAGACGATGAGCATTGGGGATTAGCATCGTGGAGCGAGGGATCAAGGTTGTGCAATTTGACTCGCCGGTACACCGATTGGAAGGTTCGGATGGCAAAGACGCTTCTATCTCCAATGAGTCAAGGCCTCCTCGTCCACATAACGCCATGGCGGCAATCTTTGAACGCAAAGCATAGGCAGCTGCCAAGCACAGGCAACTGAAACATCACAATCACGTGAGTATGACTGTTCTTCCGTTCCCACGTCCAGGTGAGTTAGCTACGATCAGATGGTGCGGGACATTGCTGGCCTCCGGCAAGCGACGGAAAATCTTGGGCTTCAATCAGTAATGCTGATCCGGTCACAAGTCGATGCTTTCCAGAGCATGACGCAAGCCAGAAGAGTGTGAGAGTACGCCCTTTGTTAACGCGGTGCATCCGTTTGCAGAACAAACCAGGGTGGCGCCAGTTTGATGGCGCGGGAGAGGTCTGACCACCAGAGCATGCTTAGGAACGGCTTGAAACGCTACAAAACGGGCTTTGCTAAAAATTTCCGACCGGAGTTAAGTTTGGGGCGAAGCGCGAGTGCATGCAATACGAGCGATTCGATGTCAGCAGAGCACTTCGGATGTCAGACGACCAGAAGCCACAGTGCGCGAAGTGCGATCGTATCACGTCAGAACAGCTCGGCGCCGTCATGCAGACCCGCTAAGTCCGGAGGCCGCAGCCCCCCTTGTCCGTATCGATCACGAAGTGCGACGCGAGCAAAGTGAACGAATGTAACGTCGTGCATCTTGCGCATCGATAATGCGCGATTTGCGGCAGGCGGCTGATGCAACCTCTCCTTTTCCCTCCTCAGGAGTGAGTAAACGTGTGCGTAAGCAGATGGATTGCGTCGTGCTGCCATCACTGAGGGCAGACATCCAGCTGGGCTTTGTCGAGCGAAATGTGATCTTGTTAATTGCCAACCAAAGTGGATTTCTGATCCCAGAGATGATTCTGATCGTCGAAGCGAAACGAACACACCGGTGGCCGAAAAAGGCCTAGTGTGCTTGTCTCCATCCGCTGACCGATTTCCACAACGCGTACGGCAGAAGCCAGAGTCTATCCATGCTTCAAGGCCTTGGCCACATCAAGAGATACAGTTCAAAGATTCGCATTGCGCTGCGTAGCCGAGAGCCTGTTCCTTGCTGGTTACATTCCCTCTGAATTTTGCAGACTCTCTATTGGGCAAGCGGAGTATCTCGAGCACCCTAGGAAGGACTCTTTCCGCCAGCAAGGTCGCAGACGCGACGAAGTCAAGATTGGCAGTCAACCACAGGGACGTTTCGTACAGTCATGTGCAGGCCGTTGAGGCAGCCGACAACGACGAGAGGTCTTTCAAACGGAGCTGCGTGTAATCAGCAGCACAAGGGCTTTGGGGGCACGTAGTGCCAAGATGACCAAACTCTAGGCCTGTAGTTGCGCAGAGTGAGATTGGACGCCAGACAGACAAGAGCCTCAGCTAGGATGGAAGTGACGTTGTGTACGGGCTTGCATTGCGTAGGGGGTGCGGTGGTGGTTGTGGATGAGGAGGAGCAGCAGCAGCAGAGCAGCCACATCCATGGCTGTGCAGGGAAGCACGGCGGGAAAGGTGGGGAGACGGTTAGGGCTTAAGGAACAACCAGTGCACAGTCGGTGAAAACGCAACACACGACGACGAATTGTCCACGATGTCCCGGCCACAACTGGCAGCAGTAGACGCATTCCGGTAGACCGCCTTTGTTGCGCACTCAGCAATGTAGCCCATCGATCCCTCGGCCGTCGAGACGCACCTTCGACCGAAGACGATCGGCAACAAGTTCCGGGTGGTCGCTTTGGCTCTCCGCAGCTCGAACAGGAAGTGTGGTGAACGAGGGCTGTGACTCCGCCCTGCTCACCGGACGCAGCCAATGGTCAGACTGCGCCCGCACAAGGCACCGCCCTTCTCAGTCGCACTTCGCGTCCTTGTCTGCGCCGCGACCATCCTGACAAGCTTTACCACCCTGTGTTTGCCTGGACGCCATTCATGCGTTCGGGGCGTCTGCCTTCTTGTATGCCCTTGTCAATCTTGCCTCTGCAAACCCCGGTCAACATGCGCAGGCATCCAAGCCCGTGAGGCCAGTGTATAAAGCTTTCCATGACTCCAGTCGAACTCTGATCTTCGTTCCATTTCACGTCTCAAAGTCACATCGTACTTGCACATTTGCGTTCCAACTGTCTTCCAATTGTTGCTCACTCATCTCACTTGATTCGCAATCTTACCCTCTCGGCTTGGGCATTCACATCCAGATTCGTGCCCAACGCCAATTTGGGACCAATTCTTATACCGCTTCTTGTCTTTGTTATCCACTTCACTCAGACATCACAGCGCGAACACACAACTCACAATGCCGCACCAGAGACACGACTCGCCGCTCGGCGTTGAGCCCGGCAGCCCCAAAGTGGGCTTTGCCGGCGTTACTGGAGTCAGCAGACCTATGGAAAACGATGAGCACTGGACTCTCTATTACTTCGAGGCCCACGCAGCGCTGTGTGAGATGTGCCACAACCCATTGAGGGTCTCTCGCGAAGGCAAGCAGCTCTGCCACATAGGATACGAGCTCGCCATAGACGTCGCAGACATCCTCGTCTACCGCCGCAAAGATGACAAGGTTTACAGCCGCGTCCGAGATGGCGAGCGCGAGGTCCGTGTTGAGATACCGTGCAACTACGAACAGACTCTCTCCCTTCTCAAGGCGATAAACAGAGCCATCCGAGAGGGGGAGAAGTTTCCCACCAGGCCTCGATCAATGGACAAGAACTATCTTGTGGAGCCTCGACTTTCACCTGAACAGACCGAAGCGCCACGTCTGTCTATGCGACGACCATATGACACCAAGTTGGTCGAGCCAAAATCATCACGCCCCAGGGACAAGCTGCGACGACGCGAGCGTGAGTCGTCAGAGAATCTCATTCCTGATTCAAACCGTGGGTCACTGTACAACGATGATATGAGACGGTTGGAAAGGGCCGAGAAACGCGAACAGGACGTCCGATACAACGTTCGGACGTGCGAGCCAAAGCTCAAGCACTCGCGACGACCTATACTCTATCCTTGAGTGTCCACTGGTTGCGACGACGGGGGCAGCTTGCGTAGTTACTCAAAATAGCACCGCTGCGTAACCCCTGTCTACACAACACATTGGTTCACACCACTCGAAACCGACGTACCAAGCTCAACCCCGTTATCGCCGAAACCTAAAAGAGGAGGACCTGTGACGTATGGGGAAAAATAGACCTTGAACCCACATTATTCTGCCTCATTGCGAGGCGAGAAACAGCGGTTCCACACTTTTGCTCTGTCTTGCGCAGCAATTCTGTTTTGGTCGACCATCCGACACCACTCTTCTTACTCTGAATGCTACAAACAGCTCAGACGCAAAGGATAATGCAAGGGGGGCCAATCATGCGAAGGAAGCCTTGACTATCCGCGAATATGTTGGTGGTGGGCTGTCAGAGGGTCGAGCTCGCCACTCTTGCGAGAGTCGGCTGGCAGCTCCCTTCCCTTCGCAAGCTGTAGGATAGTTGTATTTTTCGTGGCGCACTGCAAAGACTGTCGCCTGTTTCTCTCGGTAGAGCAATCCAGATGCTAGTTCTCGAGCGTTCAGCGTTTTGACTCTAATCCCGTCCCTTTCTTTCTGTTTCGTTTCGGCGGCTATCGTGCATGATCAAGAGTCCTGTTGTAAGGGAAGGTTTCAACTTTACGAGTTTAAAAAAAGCTAGCGCGCAATGACGACTTCGAGTCAAGTCTCCCAGTCTTCAGTTCCTTGCAGGGAAAAATCTGTGGCGTTCTCTGCTCGTCATTTAAGCCTCGCTCGTCCGCGTTGGCTCAGCCCACCGTGCAATAGAATCAAAGGCCAGTCAAAAAAAACCTGGAGCATCGCTCGCGGCCCCCAAAACGCTAAAGAACGGAACCAGGACATTTCGAAGGCAGTGCCCCCCTTCAAATCTTTGCACGCTTTCGCATGAAACGGGCCACTTCTTCTTTGATGATGGAGGGCAGCTTCTGCGATCAATTGGAGGCGAGCAAACTTGGAGGTGACTCACCTTACGCCCTGCAGTTAAGGTCCTGACTGAGCTGACACCCTCTCGCCCGTGTTTCCCGCTTGGAGTTGGTCGCATGAATGTAGCGGCCTCGGCTGTTACTCTTTTCAGCCCAGCTGCGCAAATCACACGCACAGAAGGAGTTGGGGGAGGGATGGTCGCAGGGGGAAGAAAAGTTGATCTAGATTCATGCAAAGAAAGGTTGAGACAGTCGAATGAGGCCCTGCGTTGCTCTATGACCCTCGGGACGCATTCCTGTCAACATCGACCCAATCACGACGTTCGAGCTGACGAGAGTACCGCGGCGACGACTCGCTTAGCTTCAAGCGCATCTGTCAAAAGAGTTGGACGACAGAAAGAGATAATGCGACAATAGACAACTCTGGGCTCTCGCACACGACGAGCGTGTCCTCAGGAGAGGGCCAGTTCAGTATCGGCGGGATCCAGACCTGCTCACCCTTTTGGGGGGGGGGGGGGGGGTTCATTTTCAGTTCGTCGAAGGAAATCTGATGCTAGCCAGAGTCCATCTAAAGTGAGAGACACGACTCTTTGGCTCGATCCCCCTCTTCGAACGCCTCGTCATCTCTGTTTTCCGCAGCCAGCACGGTGTCGCCCTCTTATTCCCCCGACCCGCCATGACACCGAAACCGTATGTTCAAGGTGAACTGCGGCCGAAGCACTCGCCTCCGATTTCCTCTGAACACACCGCTTGTACCGGCCTCTGCCACTTGGGAGAGCGACACAGCGCATTGGTTTCCTCCGAGAATGCTGATGAGCAGTTGCCTCGACGCTATCGGACTGCATACCGGATCTTTAACAGAGTAGAGCTGGGCAGTGTCAAGGGTTGTCAGGGATGTGTCTGTCTTCCCGCTGCTTTGGTACCTGAGCGATCGTGGGTCAGACAGACAGTCGAACGAGGAGCTTTTTCAGCTGGTGCTGTGAGCGCCGGTTTCTTTATTGCTTTAACGACGACGGGGAAAAGATGGCATCTCGATTGGGTAAGATGCATTTTTGGTGCGGCGGGATCTTCTCCTTTGAGCCCTTTTTCAAGTGCCAACTCCGAACGGCAGGCTAACTTATGGCATCATGAATTATATAAGCTGCATGACGTGTCTTGATGACAGCCAGTCTTCAGAGAGCTCGTAACTCAGGGTCCCACCTTGCAACTGGACTTATGAAAATCTTACAGACGATACGCTGAATTATTGACTATATTCTCGCAGCGAAGTCCATGAACGCGTGAACAATTGATATCTACAATTTGTCTCGGGCACCAACGCAGCAATGCAGAAAGGCTGAGCTTGACCGTATCATTCTGATTCGTCATCGTCTTCCCATTCGACGTAGACCAGAGGCGTGGAGTAGACCACCGTGTTGCTCTGGTCTCGATCACACTTGGTGTACGTGATGTATATGGCATTTTCATCCTCATCTCTCAGCATGCCGGGGTGCGCCTGTATCGAATACGCAGGCAAAGAAGCCGTACCATTCGCCCCAGAATAAAACTTGAAAGGCTTGATCCACGGCCCTGTAGGTGTCCGCGCCGTGGTGATGTAACAATCTGCGCCGGGAAATATGCTGCCGCCTATCCACACGAAGCTATCCCAAGGTTCGGAGAAGTAGTACGTACCCTGCCCACCAGCATTCGCGTTTGGGATGTCGATGCTGCGATCGTTGATGTTCGGCTTCGTTTTGGTCCATTCGCCGCCGACCCAATACTCGTACATGGACTTGCGCTCCACACGATCCACAAGGACTCGCGCCAACGCCGTCATTCCGTTAATCTGTCCGAACAGATACGCGATCCCGTCCTTTACCACGTTTCCATATGCGCCATACGCAATCTCGTCTTGATTCCAAAAGCTCGCGTCGACCAGTTTGGCGTAGGGCAGCGCGTCTCGATTTTCTGAAGCTGCGTACGTTATGCGGTACAATGTCGTCGCGGGATGCTGTGTGACGGTTGAAAGATCGGGCCTGATGTGCGTTTTCTTGATCCAGGAATAGGCCGTTACACGTCCATTGTCAGATGTGCTAGTCACCATTGGCGGAGAATCAGGCCACAATGCACGTCTCGTGCCATCCTTTTGCCTACTCGACATTAGAGGTCGACATCCGCGTGGTTAAGATTATGGGGGTATGAGACAATTCTATCTAGACGTGACGTCTGCGGATTGTACAACATGCAAACGTCCATGTCATGATTCTCTACAGACGAGAAAAACCGGTAATCACTTACATCCCAGCTCGAGGTTCGGCCCCGTCATGAATGATACGGAAGTACGCTCTCTCTGTACTGTTCTTCCCATACGCTTGCAGCGTAATTGTCCTCAGTGGGTCTGCGTGTGACTGCAGCGGCTCTACGGCCGGTGAGCCATCGTGATTGAGGTCACTCCAGCTGGCCGTGCTAGCAAGAATCGGCAGTTCCTGCACCTTTCCATTGTTGACCAGCTGGGTATCTCGCCACGTCCAGAAGATCCTGTCCCCAAACTTCGCCGAGCCCCCAGAATCACGGTTGTACTGAGGATCGCCGACTAAACCCAGCACACGTGGTTTACCTTTGACTCTGGGCAAAACAGGATGATGAGGCTCAAAGCTGGGACGACCGCAACTCTGCTCATCGGTGCCCTGTGATACGCTTGAGTCCTGGCTGATTCGTGAAGAGAGTCGTGATCTAAAGCGTTTGAAGGGCATCCCTTCGAAATATATTTATATTTCTTGTATTAGCTCGCTCTCAAAACACAGCTGACCTGTTGCACGCAAGGTGTCCACGTCCTCATATCAATCTCGAATCGTTCAAGAGCCGTGTCTCACTGTTGCGTATAGCAACGTCCAATGTTTCAAACAGACGTGATCAACGCCGCGAAAATCGCTATCTTGCTTGTAAAATTGAGGCGCAGCACTCCTGCTAAAGGATGAACATACTACGTCAGGGAAGGTATGCTAGTAGCCGCCACTACGGACCGCAAATCTGAGGCATTTTAAGCTTTAAATGATCTAGGAAAGAGATGGAGGTTTTGTCTTGGAAAACGGTGATTTTCAATCTCACACCCAAGACGACGGCATCATACATCGGCTGAATGACGGCTTTGGATCCCGTCCCATGCTTAGCTTTTCGCCGTGTATCACACCTCCCGCTCGTGATGTACAGGCTTCCCTACCCCGCTGACCAGTGGCAAGGCGCGAACTCACTAGAAACCGCGGTGCTGGGTGTGAGCACATACGCTAAACTCATATCGAATATCTTCATCGCAGAGGGGCGTTTTTACCGAGAGGTCAAGGCTTCCATCCAAGTGCTTTTTTTGTGGATTTCAAAGCTACCGCTCCACCAGGTCTGGCCTCGCTAGGTGGAGCTGCCGAGCATCATGTGAGAGGGTAGTTCTTTCGATCATCAGATCAGCCGCCGCTTTGGGTCCCCATCTTGCATGCGATGAACATCTGCGATAATGTGGTCGTAGATTTCTTCGCGGGGATGACGCTGCGCTGTCAACGGTAGATTGCATTGTCGAGCATCAAGCTTGCCGGCTCCCCACCAATCAGCGCGCCAACTGCATTTGCAACACGCACGCAGAGACAGTCCTCCTTTTCTTATCCGACAAAACCAGATGGAATTTGTGAGATAGGACCGAGACATCGTCCTGTCCGGAGCTTGAGACCGTGGAAACCATTTGGACATCCGCTGGCGGAGGGGCCTCGTGTCCAAGGCAAGGCTGGTGTTTGGGAATCCCATTTCGGCGTCTTTTCGCCAGGGTCTAGAATAACTTAGAAAGTCGCCCACGTATACGCAATGGCGCAGACCGTGTTTGCGGCAGGAATCGCGCACCTCACCGGATTCAACGCTTGAGTGCCGACATTACACCTTTTTTCAAGTTGGATGATCTGTCAAGCGTAATTGCAACTGCTCTTGAACGCGTGTCCTCGAGCATTGGTTTGAATAGGCTGCGGATCTCAGCTCGAGAAAGTGTGTGCTTACACCGGAAAAGCAACCGTCTTAACGCTACCTGTGCATCCCAGAATATGTTCTTTGCATGACAAGGCCACTGGGCGCATCCTCTGAACGCAAGATCGGCCATGGGAACTGTTCAGAAGATCGTGTTATTCGTTCTTCTCGTGTCGTTTTTGACCTTTGTGGCCTTCTTCGGCAGGCTGCCGGTCTTCAGGTAAACCTCGGTCAAGACGACGTACTATATCTTAGCTCACATTTTCTAGGAACACGCCTATAGGCTCTTTACACCGTTTCATATGGGTACGCATACCGAAGATAATTGCAGGAGCTGACCAGCTGGTCACCGGAGGTCGGTTAGGACCATGGATGACACGTTTTGGGAACTACATGTTATACTCTAAGCACCCTGTTGTATTGGTATAGAGTATGGTGCAGAATTGATTTTCAGACGAAACTAACACTGAAAGCAGATCATATTCCTCGGTCTACTCACAGGCTCAGCATCCATGTTCGTCCCAGTTACCTGGCCACACTTATCCGCCTTTCAAAAGTCGCTCGTCGTCCTCCTCCTTCCACCGCCTTACCTATTCACCTACCTATGCGCCAAATCGTCACCGGGTTCCCCACATCTTATTTCGCCTGCCAACATAAATGAGCAGTTGCAGCAATATCCGTACGACCGCATCTTGTACCACCCGAAAATGTGCAAGACATGCAACCTCCCTAAACCTGCACGGTCAAAACACTGCTCCCTGTGCAGAACTTGCGTCGCACGCTGCGATCACCATTGTGTGTGGGTCAACAATTGCGTTGGACGGGGAAACTACAAGTACTTTCTCGCGTTGTTGATGTGTACAACAATCACGCTGATGTATGGCACGTACCTCGCGTACACAACACTCTTGCCCGAGATCTACTGGCACTTTGAGAACTATCCAAGCTGGTACCTGAGCAAGCTTTCTGGGAAGCGCGACTACGTGAGCCGCATGCTCGACGGGTTCACATACGCGCTGGACATATTTCAGGCAGGACTGATGCTCGGCGGTTTGAGACGGGCAGGCGTGGGATTGTTGGCAGCGTTAACTTGGCCGTTGCCACTGGGTCTGCTGGCGTATCATGTGTACTTGGTGTGGGCAGGCACGACTACAAACGAGACGGCTAAGTGGGACGATTGGAAGGAGGACATGGCGGATGGGTATGTGTTCATGGCGGACATGAAGCCCGCGAATGAGCAGGCCAGGGGATCGCTGCATGCAACGGACAGCATAGCAGGTCATCGGTGGCCGCACCAACCGAAGAAGTTGGTCGTCAGAACGAACGACGGACAGCCACCTCGCTTTGTGTCGAATGCCATTGCGGATCTTGTCGTGGAGGATTCGTGGAGGCAGATATGGCGGTTATGCGACGTCGAGAACATCTACGACTTGGGCTTCTGGGGCAATCTGTGGGAGGTGTTGATCAATTGATCAACGCACCCAGAATCCGCACGATACTCTGTGATCCCCCGTTCTTGGTACGCGGCTTTTGTGTCTTCGTTTTCGGCTCTTGGCTCTTGCCCGTCGCTCTCGCGAGCCGTCTCCACATGTGTTTTCCGTCGTCGCCAATACCGCCTTCCGTCCGCAAATTTTGCATGCGCCCAACAAGATGCCGTTATCGCTTTCCCAAGGCCTGAAGCGCTCCTGTCTCAAGTAAAGCCGAAGATGGGCCGTGAAAGCGTCGTCCCAACGTGTTCATCAGTGACCCCCACGTGAGGTTCGCGTGCGGTTTTCGCTGGCCTGCTGTCGCCTCAACGGAGAAAGTCACGGCCGTTCACTCGACCGCGAAGACTCCACCAATCAGCGCAGCGCAAGCCGGACTCGGGCGCCGTCTGTGCTTTCGAGCCGTGTCAGAGGACGACACTTGGACGCGAAGAATTTACCCCGCATCCGTCCTTCGTCTGCGCAGGGGACACGCAACGGTGGCAGCGACGCGCTCTCAGGCAGCGAACAGAGGGTGGCACAGGATCGGGAGAATTCGATTGAAGCGCGCAGGGCAAGGGAACGAGAGCTCCCATCAGCGTCCTGCCAATGCCCGTGCGATGTGCTAGGGCGAGAGAGCCAAAGAGAGAGCGAGAGCGAGGGCTAGGCGGGGCACAAGGCTGGACAAATGGCGTTGTGGTCGCGCCCCTGAGCCTGCGAGCGAAGCGCCGAGGACGTATCCGAGTACAGCGTCGATTTCTTCCCTTTCCAAGGGGGCGTGGACGGATGCGATTGTAAGCCGTTGTCGGTCATTGGTGCAGCGGCAAGTGAAGAACAGCATGGAGCTGGTGGCAGCAGCTGGCGGTGGTGAGGGGTCCTGGAGCGGCCGCTGGTGCTGGGCTGCCCCCCCCCAAAGAGCCAAACAGTACGTCACGCAGGTCTCACGCTCACAAGAGAGAACGAGCCCGGCCTGCAGGAGCTATTTACACTTCTCCGCACAATGGACGGCTCGCCGTTTCTTGCAACCACGCAGCTGCTCTTCTGCCTCCTCCAGAAGACTTGCTGCCTTCTTGCGTCTTCTTCCTCCCGCTCGTCTTTTCCTTTCTTTCTGCTCTCCCTTTCCGCTTGCTCTCCTTTGGTAAGGTCAGCCAGCGAGACCCACTCCACTCACCACAACCGGCCGACACCGGCTCTGCACCGTCCGTGGTCCCGAGATCCGCTCCTGCGACCGCTGATAACCGACCACTCGCGGCTTGTGTGAGCCTCAATAACCGGCTAAACTCCAAGGTACATTCACACTTCCTCTCCTTGCGACATTCACCCATAGTGCGAGTCGTCCCAACGCGTCGTCCCGGCTGGGCTTCGTGCGAGGAAAGGTGGCCCCCATGCAAGCCCGTGGTATCCACACCTTTCCTTTCCTGCACCACGTTGTCCCAGCGTCGGACGCCAGCTGCCTCTGTTCGAGGCCATGTCCGCCAGCGAACATGTTTGCTTTGCAGCCGTGTTGCGGGATTCGACGGGTTGTACGTGCGGCTCGCCGTATCCCAGCGCTGCCTCAAGACTTGTGTTCGGAAAAATTGCTTGGGCAGCAGCCGTCACTCAGCCATCCAGCTGCCGAATGTTTCGCAGGCTGTAAGAGGCGACTGTTGGCTGATGACGCTACCCCCAAAGCTTTCGTATGCTGTCCCCCAGCGGCTTCTCATGTGCCGTTGATATAATATTCCAGGCCTTGGACGCGCCAATTGACGTTGGGACGCCGTGATTGTTGCTAACCAAAAATTTTTCTCCCCTTTGCTAACGTTCCAAGTGCTCAGAGACTTCTAGATTGCATCTCCAGCGCTTCGCTATCCTAGTCTGCGAAACGAGCAGCAGAACTAACTCCTTCTATTGTTGCTCACCCAAGCTAACGGACGCTTAACACGCCCAGCCTTGTTCTGTACAGCTCACCAGCGTCGTCTCGTGCTTTGCAAAACTGAGGCGAATCGAGCAATGTCCACCTCCACTCTTGCAGACGCTGCTAAAACAAAATCAACCAAGGCTTTGAACGCTCTTAAGGAAACACCCAACATGGCGAAGCAAGCGGCGGAAAATCCCAAGCAGGTCAGTCAGGACTTCCTGCACACGCCGTTCATGCGAGCAGCGTTGCCCTTTATAAACGGAGGCATTGCGGGCATGACTGCCACCACTGTGGTTCAACCAATTGATATGATTAAAGTGCGCCTACAACTGGCTGGTGAAGGTGTCAAGACGGGCCCTAAACCGACCCCATTGGGCATTACCAAAGACATTATTGCGCAGGGCAAGGTGCTTGATCTGTACACAGGTCTGAGTGCCGGCTTGCTGAGGCAAGCTGTGTACACGACCGCGCGTTTGGGCTTCTTTGACACCTTTATGAATGCCCTGACCGCGAGGGCCGAGACCAAGGGTAACAAAGTTGGCTTTGCCGAGCGCGCAAGCGCAGGTCTGGCGGCTGGTGGACTCGCAGCCTTTGTTGGCAATCCGGCAGATTTGGCGCTCATCCGCATGCAGTCCGACGGCCTGAAACCGCCGGCAGAGCGAGCAAATTACAAGTCGGTCATCGATGCACTCGTACGGATATCCAAGAATGAGGGCGTGACCGCACTGTGGGCAGGCTGCTACCCGACTGTAGTTCGTGCCATGGCGCTGAACTTTGGTCAACTGGCCTTCTTTTCTGAGGCGAAACAACGACTGGCTGGCTCGAAGCTGAGTGGACAGGCTCAGACATTGACTGCGTCCGCCATAGCCGGCTTCTTCGCGTCCTTCTTCAGCTTACCTTTTGACTTCGTCAAGACGAGGTTGCAGAAGCAAACAAAGCGACCAGACGGCACGCTACCTTACAAGGGCATGATGGATTGTTTTGCAAAAGTTGCACGGGATGAAGGCCTGTTGCGGTTCTACCGTGGATTCTCGACGTACTATGTGCGCATTGCGCCGCATGCGTAAGTTATGCCATGAAGTGAGATGTCTCGTGTCAGTTTTAACGTTGACTACAGAATGGTGACTTTGATCGTCGCCGACTACCTTGGCTTCATTACGAAGTGAGCGAAGTATGCTATTCGTGTTCGCTAAACCGATGGCGTTTCCACCCTACGCAACCTCTGAGCACTTCAACACGGCGTCACTGCTTATACAAGGCATCTCTGGTAACCGTTGGACGCATGCATAAAAAGAACATGCATACTATAAGGCGAGAGACGAAGCTTCTACCACGCATATATATTCCTTCCGAAGACCGCCATTTTACCACCTTTAATGGTCCTAGGAATTTTCCGGTCCCTATCGGTAGATATAAACAGGTATCGTGGGGCAGGCGTTCTGGTGTGGAGGTCAAGTGAGTACCCTAGGAGAGTAGCTAGCTTTTCATTTTTTTTTTTCTGGAATCTGTGTGGTAAGAGCTGCTCCTGCAACGTATACTCGTGAGCCGCGAGAGAACTTGCGAGCAGTGTACATAACTATCTGAATTGACGTGATGACGAATTTGGTATTGGTCAGCTTGGCACGGTGCTCTAAGAATGGTCCACTGAAGCTCATCGTGGATCTCTTTTATTTTCATGCTCTTCAACTTTTATAACCTTGAGGTCACAGAACCGCAACGTGCACGCTTATGCCTAAAACATTGGGGAACTCTTTGAAACTCAACGGGAATGGAATTATTGTCCGTGATTGGGCCTTTTCAGGAGAGATTTTTCACAAGCATGATATTCACTTCCGAAGAATGCTCGTATGTGCACGAAATTCATCCGGAAAACTGTCCAGGGGAGTAGAAAAGGACACACATGGAGGACTCTGTCGCTCTGACTTTCTTTGAGCCCTCGGTAAACGGTTCTGTTGTCAACCTCACTCCGTCAACGTTTCAGAGTTCCAACCAGGATTCCACCAGACCAACTGCCCGATCCTCGCGCATAGCCGTGTTTTCACCCCTCTTGCGGCTGACGTTTGTAGACACAGCACCTCGATCACGGGGGTTTAGACAGTTATAACACTTTAAAGATGGACTGTTTTTCCACGAACGTCGACCTGCTACATGCTGGTTTAAACAGAGAACGTGCCTTTGGGAGAATTTTGCCTTTTTGCCATCCACCAAAGTGTTTTCGAATTGTGCAGTGTTGTTCAACATGAATTTCGTCAAGCTTTGAGACGCGACAGATCGCTACTTTCTTAGGATTCAAATAATGTGCTCATTTATTTTGTTCTTTTTATTTCCTTTTACTCTTTGAAGCTTGGTTTGGTCCTCTCTTTGCCTCGCTCGGCGGCTTCTAGGAGAAATCTGCGAGCTCGGGTTCGTCCCTGGCGCGATACATTGATGAATTAACTGATGATAGACTCAGGATCGAAAATTCTAAGCGACAGAGCCCAGAAGAGCCTCAATGAGGCTGGACCTATCTGTATCTGAGTTTTGCGACGTGTAGCACGACTGACAAAGACTGAATTGAAGAGATGGAATTGGCCGTGGTGCACGCGCTCCAAGTAAAAGCGTTATACTGCCTCAGTTTACTATGGAGAAAACCCGAACAAGCGCACGAGGGCCACAGATTATAGAGAAGAAGAACTTCCGCCTTCTTCATGAACATGAGAGTTGGTTTTGCTCGTGGACCTCCTTGTTACTCGGCAACTTGAAATCATTGCTTAGAACATGAATCAGAGTATGTGAAGCTGAATTGAGGGAAGTTGCTGAATAGATGACATGTGTGCATTGTGAGTATTTCTTTGCCTTACGATGTGAACGCCCAGCTGTTAGAGATGCAGATCCAGTGTTGAGAGCTCAATCCACATTGGCACGATCAGGTTTTATTGACATACTTATTCAACTTTCGTTGCATCCATGCATCGTGTCATCATAAATCAGCCATGCTAAGCGCTGGATTCAGAATGAGGCAGATTTAGCTATGATTTGAATTTGTCGTGCAATAAATTCGCCAGTTCAGCAGAGCCGTCCTCTTTTGTTGGATTCGCTGAGGCAATGAGTCACGTGCTTAGCGTGTCATCTTCGCGCGTCCAACATCCTCTAACGCGTTCTATTATCATTACCTCGACCCAAGACTCTAACGGGATATCGTAACGCAGCTTGCGTCAAAAGACTTGAGTTTAGTCTACGTTGGATCTCGAGGTTTTCGTTTCAACTCAATAAACCTTAAGATACGAGGCTTTGAAACCTCCAAGAGCTGCTGCGATGGCGCCGACAAGAGCACGTTCTGAGCTCCCCTCGGCGTCTCAGAGGCTAGCAGTACGTCCAGAGGCAACGGGTATCTTGTCGCGCCAGCTGCGCAGCGAAATTCCAGAATATGAGCCTCCTAAATATCCACTATCAGACACATCAAGGCGCAAGCTTGAGGTGTTGGCGAAAAAGTACGAGCGGCGAGATTTGGGGAAGAAGCACGCAGCCGCTTTGAAACTGCTAAGTGCTTGCGCGCACGATATCAATGAGGAACTGGCGAACCTGGAGCGCCAGCTTGATAAGCAGCAGAAGAAAGCAGAGAAGGGCGCAGAGAACGCCGACGTAGAATCGTGGCAGCAAAAGCTTGACGACTACAAACCGAAGCACCAGAACTTCCAGAAACGCATCGAAAAGTATGCCAGGACTTGTGTGGACCTGACGCAACGGCATGAAGCTCTGGTCAAAGCGACTCAAAATAGCGCGGAGGCAGCGCCACTGGGGCAGACACCTTCTCAGAGAGTCACAAGGAGCACGCAGGCAGAGAGTATGAGCAGTTTTGAACCAACTCTACCTGGTGGGACGGCAGCAGATGCCGATGGCGATATCGCAATGGCCGAAGCATCAGAAAGCGCCCTGCAAAGATTCAAGACACAAAGGCAAAAAGATGTGGAACATTGGAAATCTTTGAGTTTGTTTGACCGCTATGCCAACAACAGAGACTATGCCAACTATAAAGAAGCGGAACATGAGGGATATTATGGCGACGAACAAGATGTGCCTCCACCAATGCGATGGTTCCAGACTGAAGAACCGGCTCCGGGAACCGCTACTCAGGGGGCTGCGGAGGAGAGTGATGACGATGTCCAGATATCAAGTACCAGAATCAGCACGAAGTGTCCTCTTACACTGAGGGAATTTGTGGATCCTGTAATGAGCACTGTTTGCAAGCACACCTTCGAGAAGGACGCCATCGTAGAATTGATAGGTAATAGACCGCGGACACAGTGTCCTGTTGGCGGTTGTTCAAACGTACGTGAACATAATTCAGACCCACCCTTGCTTTCTGTTAACGAGTGTACAGCATATTACTAAAGCACAGTTGGCACCGAATGAGAAACTATTGCGAAAAATACGTCGGATTCAGCAATCACGCAGCCGCCGTCGCGAGGAGCTGGATGATGAGACCATACCGCGTGGAACCAACGCAAACACGTCAATATTGTTATCTGACGGACCGGATGCAGGAGGCTTCCAATCTCTTGACGCCGATTTTATCCCCAAGAAAGAGGCTATGTCACAGTCACAGCAACGGACCAGGGCTATGGCAACGCAATCCGACGTCACCGATGACGACCTAGGGGGTGAATGACTGTAGTAACCATTTCTACAGACGTTGTCCTAGGGATTTGACAAACCGGAAGCTATAGACGTCTGTATTGTTTGCAAGATTGCTTTTGCGATGAATCAGGCCTCTAGAATGTATCCACGAAAGAAGACCATTGTGTTTCACTTCAATAGCTGCTTCCACCTGTTAACATGAGCTGTGATTTCTCAACCAATTTACTGCATCTGAATTCTTGACACCTGGCCGACGTACTCTTCAAATCTTGTGCGACGTATGTACGCCTACATAAACCTCTGGACTTAGCACGGAACCCATTTCTCGTTGGGGTTAACACTATTCACGCCCAGAAAACAGTCAAATTCAAGAGTACTGCATCGCAAGGGTGCAACTGATCAAATGGCGTCTCCTAACGCGCAATGCTGTCTTAGCTGCGGGCAGCCCACCCATCGGCAGTATAGCATCCTACATCCAGCGCCGGACTGCTTTTGCCGCAAATTCGCCCAACGAGTGACTAGCCCATTCAGGAGCTCCAGTTCCAAAAGGTCGCCGCAGAGTGTCCCGATGTTCCCTCAAAACACGACATTCAATGACATTCGAGCGGAATTGGAAGCTGGAACGGCAGTAACGAGTTCCATACGTAGTGGTAGCAACTACTCCGTGCGAAATCTGCCTCCCGACCCGTCTTTGGATGCATTAAGTCCGAAGTCGACGTCGCCATCGTTGATTGGATTACTTTCATTCCTCAATGAGCGCCCTCGCTCACCTCTATCTACAGTTGAAGAAATATCAAGCACTGAAGAGCGGCACGGCCTCAACCCAAGCTCTAAATATGTCAGTAACTTGTCTGAGATAACGATACCGGGTTCGTCATCTAGTCGACGAGAACAACATCAACTTACGATACCATGCCAAGGGCTTGTTACATCATTTGATTCTACATCGAGCAGCACCCGACTAGGTGAGATTCCACAACACAACCCAGAAACTGGCACAGGCTCCATCTCTAGTAACTCGCACCCCGAGTCTCCTGTAGAAGTCTCCATTTCTTCCGTTGAGTCTGTTAATCACTATGTCGCAAACCAGATGTACCCAGCTTCTTCATCATCATCATCTATGCCGATAGACTACACGATAGTGCTGCGTACAATTAAAAGTGCTGCTGACAACGGATCATTGAAATATCCTCACCTTCTCATTGCGCCCTCCGGGCAGGCCATTGCTATTCGAATTCTCGGCACAGATCATGATCTCTTTTCCGCTGGACTAAGTCTAAGCCGCGGAAATGGTCAGAGTCTCTATGAGGGCGTGTACGATCCATCTCAACGAAGGATTCCGGGAATGTTTCGCGCCAAGTTGCACGGGCGATTTGGCTTTCAATGGCCTGAGCGTGGCAAAGTCACTCCAATTTCAATGTGGAACATGCCTGTACATCAACAAGTTGAAACTCAAGATCTTGGAGCCGTGAGGGGCATTGTGCATATCGTCAACAGCATGGATTTTTATATGGACTGTCGGACGGTTCCGCAAAACGATCTGGCGCTAGAAGGCATGCGATGGCTTGCAATTCATAGACCTGGTTGTAAACATTACATGAATAAGGGCATCTGAACGTCCGCAGCGGGAGCCATTGACATGTGGCCGCTTTCGTTGGACACCAGAATTAACATTCCTCAACTTCTTGCGGTTCCAAACTGCACGAATAAGCATTCTACACTCGTTGATCTTGAAGGAACCTCGGTAGAGTGCATTACAAATGGGAGTATATAGCTTTGGAACTGGTTTGACCGATGTTGGCCTTGTTGGAGGTTAAGCTTCGTCGCCAATTAGGACAAACAATAAAGAAATTGTAACACAGTGGAAATGAGTCACGTGTTTTGTATAAGAAAGATGATCACATGGACAAGCTTAAGCCTCCTCCTTTCTGTACAAATTTGACTTCTTTTTGTTTTGGCAAGAACGCGGTTGCTTGAAACGGGTTCATTTGGAAGGAACAATTGGATTCAATTCATAACAGTCATATATCAATGTTTATCAACTTTTTAAGGTCAAAGAAGAATTACGCCGGTCTGTCTAGATGATATCTCAGATATTTTTTTATTTTTTTTTTTTTTTGATTGCCCATCAATTCGTAGTTGCTAGTGTTACGTACGATGAAAATTGGATCCTGACCAAATGACACTGGATCAACAGCAGCCGGTCCAAAGGCTATCGGAGACCTCAATGAACCCGCAAATTGTCCCAACACCTGTTTCGGCCACCAAAAACTCTCCACGATACTCCGGTCAACGTCGAAGAGCGAATCAACCGGCATTCGCGCCGACTGCTCAGAAGATTCTCGAAGATGCAATGCGAATGCCGTACGTAGATTATCCATAGAACGACCACATAATCCCTCTACTGCTTTTCAAACTTTGGAACGACGTAGGCAGACATGGGTTTACTTGGTGGCAGGCCAACCCACAATTATAGCCCACAAGGATTCAACCTACGCCTCCGGGTTGGCCGCATCGGAAGGACCCTTTCACCTTGAACAAGGAGGAGGCAAAACATCTTGCCGATGACCACACTCCCAATGGACATTGTTTATGGCTGAACAATATCGATGACAACATGCACAGGAGAGTCATGGAAAAGAACGAGTCACGACCTAAAAGGGGACCGCAAACCATGTTAGAAACACCAAACGGTCAAACCCCTATGGGTAGGGTTGAAGACGGCAATATTGAAGCACAAATTCAGCGAGTTTGCCGATTGGATCGAGCATTGAGAAGTCTTACAAAACAAAGCCAATCTCAGAAAGAATATTCTGAACAAGTCCAAATGATGAAAACAGATATTTCGCATGACTGTGCCCTGCCAGCGAAACCAATTATCGAAGAGACCACGAATGATCTCAATACACTGGTAGAAGCCACTAGATTGAGAGCAGCAGATCTTGCTCGAGGACTCGTCAAAGCCTCAGGGATGGAGTCATACAGAGCAAACACGCCGGTCAAGGCGAAGACGAAAGATACTAGTCCAGCTGCGCAGGAGACTGTACTCTCTAGAGAGATTTATGAGAATAGCGAGCATGGCAAAAATAGATTCAAGTTATCATTGATCCCGCCACCTCTAACGCGACATGATCCTCCACTTCGAGACTTTGCGCGTGAAAAAAGATGGGCGGAACTTGAAGACGACCAAATAGCAGACCTAAAACGATCAGACAGGGGAAAATTCGTAGAGGATTCAACACAGAGAGAGAAGAGGGTTGAGGTCGATGATGAATTTGTGACGAAGATGAGGGATGCTAAAGTTGGCATGCGGAAAGAAATTGACGACCATTTATGATTCCAACAATGCAACGTCCGAGAAATATCCAAGCGTATGAAACGCGCTCTGACTCTGTCGTTATAGTTGTCTTTCAGCCTTTTCTTAAATAAAAAGACTGGTCTCCATGGAAGTGAGGTGCCTTGCAAGAGAACGGCCCCATGGTTTTGTCACTGTAGAGGGTAGTGTTGAGAGGCTCATATATCTGAAATCGTGAGCCCTCCTGGATTTTCTTTCATTAAACCACACTCACGGTCACGGCAACAAGCAGCATAGACTTTAATAAAGTTCTGGGTCTTTCCTCGCCCGCTACTGCTGACAAAATCGCCAAAGCTCATAAGGCATTGGCAAAGAAATATCAACCAGATAAAAACAGTGACAAGGACTCCATTGAGAAGTTCCAGAGCATTGGGGAAGCATACGCCACGCTCAGCGATCCAGAAAAGAGGACTGCGTATGATTTGAGAGCATGAGCGCCAGATGCTGACAGGTTCTTGAACAAAGCGACGAGCTTTTCCAGCCATGTACCGCCCGAATTCACCACTGGCAAAGGAATTCCGGAGTCGAACGTTTCAGAAAAGGACACGGGAATTCCACGACCGCATATGGAATTCCAAGACACTACGCTGACTTTCCAATTTCCTCAAACAGTGCACACACCCATGTTCCTTTTTGATCACAACTCGGCCATACACACACCCCTGTTTGGAATGTCCAAGTATTGAGCCCCTCAAGCACAAACAACGAGATTCGTGGCACCACATCTTCAAATCCCTGGAGGCACTAGACCATATTTTCAGTTTTCCCGGACGCGTCGTCGCTCTGTGACTTCAACAGACTGGGTTGCAAATTGAAGTTGAGCGTTCCTAGATCCAAAGCTGGAATCTTCGATTAACGATCAGGAGGCAGTTTCTACTAGTGATCCTGGTTCGAGCCAGGTTGTGATGAGTAAATGCGGTGACAATAAGCACATTGGCCCTCGTTGAACTCTGACACTGAAGGGCATAATTTGCAGTGTTGTGTGAAGCATTAAGACAGAATACCATGAAAATCTATAACGAGCTGTCTGAGCAGGGCTGCGATGATAATTTTAGATTGGCAAAATGGAATTGAGTTTAACAAGAGGTGAATATTTTTCGCAAGGGCATTTCATTTACACTCCCCGGCCGCCTTCCTGATTACTTTTGCTGTCTCTTGAGGTTTGCTAAGAAAAGGAGAATGACCAGAATCCTCGAAGCGGATCACGTTGAACTTCGCGCCCTGCTGCGAAACTAGCATTTCCTGTGCGAACGAAGGGAATGCGTTGTCCCTTTCGCAGATAACGTAGGTTGAGGGGATATGCTTCCACGCCGCGTATGTTGTTGGTGCAACAAACGACTTGGTCGCCTGTTTTCGAAGTTCGGAAATCCAAAGTGCAGCCTCAGAGTCCGAGAGGTCATTGTAAAATACGTCACGGGGATTTTTTGGCGTCATGTATGTGTTTTCGCCCTGGATCGAGGTTATTAGCCCGACTGCTTCGAAAGCGGGAGGGAGAAGGCAAAAGTAGAGTGCAAGTACATGAACTTTGACCCAGGGTGCCAACTGCCCGCCAATTCCATCGATGAGACACAGACCCTCCTCAAGAGCAAACGAGGCTATGTAGATCAGGTGGATTATCCCGCCATTTTCTCCTTTTGCGAGACGTTCTGGTTTGGAAAAACCTTTGGCCGCCGAACTACCTGGGATGCCGCCGTAAGAGTGCATAACAAGGACGATGTCGCCGTCCGTTAGGACGATGTCACTGAGCGTATTCTGGATTGCTTCAACATCTTCGTCGATGCCTTGTATGTAGTTATTACCGTCTGTCGAAGAGGGAAGTTGAACAGCTTTGATGCTGTAGCCATGGGAAGCGAGTTCACTTTGAACAGGTGCGAAGTGTTCACTTGCATGCCACGCGCCGTGAACAAAGAGAACGGTTGGTAGGCCGTCCATTGTACTGTTCTAGGACGTGCAAGAATATGTGATACTCGAGTGTGGAAACTTGGGACTCAGGACGACAGGGAGAAGATTGCACGTTGTGGAAGGATGAGAATTAAAGCCAGAGAGGTAAGATGTGAAACATTGCTGACCATGTCTTCGTCTGTAAGGAACAACTCTCACTGGCTGTGCAAAATCCTGGCATATCCTGGACATGGAAAATTACCATTGTTCATGTCGGGCTCATTGAAGCATGGTTAAGCGGGCGACTGCTTGGTTGCCGCGTACTTCTAAAGCACCGCGGGCTCAGTTCTCGCCGAGCCAGATGCACAATACACTGGATCAGACGCAGTCAACAGAAGTGGGGGACACGGCATATGTGACAGCTTGTGCTTAGGCGTCCAGCAGGCCAGCTCATTCGAGATGCGGCTGCAACCAAGAAGGGAAAAAACCTGGGGTAGCGAGCAGAGGAGGAACATGAAGCCACAGGTGAGCTGCAGAACCTGAATGCCTGAGGCACGAAAGCGCGGATGACAAGGGCTGCGACGGATCGACGTCACCACCAGCTGTTCCTGCACGTCAGCTGCTGCTGCTTGTCGCTGCTTTGTCCTGAAAAGCCCATGCTCGGCAGGAACCGAAAGCAACACAACTCCATCTTCGTCGATCCCCGACCTCTTCTGCCAGGTACATCACTTCTTCCTTCGGGAGTGTTTCAACATCCAGTCTTTTGGTCATCGTCAGTGCCGCCTTATTACAAGAACCACAACGCCCAGCGCTTACAGCGTTGCGTCATACCCGCTCGGTCATGAGGTCTCGCCACTCCTCATATGGCTCGACTCTTGTCCTCCTCGTCCTCGGCTTCTTCTCGTTCCCGCTTCTTGCCGACGATACGGGCCTTCCGCAGAAACATGAAGCCGGGCGATGTGCGCTGCGTGGGCAATGCGGTAGCGACTCCTTTTTCGGCCCACAGTTGCCATGCCCGGACAACGGCAAGGCCAGCGCACCGGACGATCAGCTGAGAAAGAAGCTCGTAGACATCTGTGGAGGCGCGTGGTCAGAAGGCGACGTATGCTGCGAAGAATCACAGCTTGACGCACTGCAGTCGAACCTTAAGAGGGTGGATCAACTTATTTCTACATGCCCGGCATGTAGGGAGAACTTTGTTAATTTGTTCTGCACCTTCACCTGTTCGCCGGACCAATCTATGTTTGTCAATGTTACGCAGACGAAACCCAAGGGCAACTCTTTCCTCGTCACAGAGTTGGATTATCTGGTATCCGATAGCTTTGGCAGCGGTTTCTACGACAGCTGTAAGGAGGTCAAGTTTGGACCGACGAACAGCAGGGCTATGGACTTGATGGGAGGCGGGGCAAAAAACTACACTGACTTTTTGAAGTTCCTGGGACAGAAACGGTTCGGTGGTAGTCCGTTTCAGATGAATTTTCCAGAGCCAAACGAGGAGGACTTTCCGGGCATGGTATCTATGGACAAGAAAGCGCACCCATGCAACAGTGAGGATCCTAAGTACAGGTGTGCTTGTGTGGACTGCCCTGGAACCTGTGAAGAGCTTCCGGAGGTGAAAGAGGAGCAGTATTGTCACGTCGGAGCCTTGCCCTGCTTGTCCTTTTCGATCATCCTGATCTACTCCATCTTCCTGCTCCTGCTCGTCGCCGCTGTGTCAGGACACGTCGCATACCAGAAACACTCGCAAACAAAGAACGAACGACTACGGCTGCTACAAGATACTGCTCCGAGCGATGATGAAGATGAAGGAGACGTGGTCTACAACGCAGGCATGATGGATCGTCCGCAGAAGCATTACTGGCTGAACGAGCTTTGCGATGGCGCTTTTAGCCGTCTTGGCTTTGCATGTGCGAGTTTTCCTGCAATTACCATTGTCACGAGCATAATCATAGTCGCGTTACTCAGCTTAGGCTGGCTCAGATTTGCTGTCGAGACAGACCCGGTCAGATTATGGGTTTCGCCGGACTCCGACGCTGCCAAAGAGAAAGCGTTCTTTGACAACAACTTTGGACCATTTTTCAGGGCGGAACAGGTCTTCTTAGTTGGTGATCAGAGATCATCCTCGCCTTCCGTCATGACGTACGACAATCTCAAGTGGTGGTTTGATGTTGAAGCACGAGTCAATCGCTTGCGCGCTCCAGGTGGAATCACTTTGGATGAAGTATGTTATAAGCCCACTGGCGATGCGTGCGTCGTCCAGTCTTTCACAGGTTACTTTGACGGCATGCATCAGCCATTGACCCCCAGTGGCTGGCAAGACTATCTGCTCGGCTGCGCCAACAATCCACCGGAGTGTTTAGCTCCTTCAGGACAGCCGCTGGATCCAAAGATGCTCTTTGGTGGCTACAAAGAAAACATCCTCGACGCGAAGGCCTTGGTGATCACGTGGGTCGTGAAAAATCATGCGGAAGGCACAGAGGAGCTGGCCAGGGCAATGGCGTTCGAGGAAGAGCTAAAGATGACTCTGATTGACGTGCAGCGAGAAGCTGCTGAGAGAGGACTGCGGCTCTCATTCAACACGGAAATCAGCTTGGAACAGGAGCTCAACAAATCCACAAACACGGACGCGAAAATTGTTGTTGTCAGCTATATCATCATGTTTCTCTACGCATCGCTCGCGCTAGGCTCCACGACGCTCGCTGCTCGCACTATCCTCGGTAACCCAGCAAGTGCTTTGGTTCAAAGCAAGTTTATGCTTGGTATCGTGGGTATCATCATTGTTCTCATGTCTGTCTCGGCGTCTGTAGGACTCTTCTCTGCTGCTGGCATCAAGGTTACACTCATCATCGCCGAGGTAATCCCATTCTTGGTTCTTGCCGTTGGTGTCGACAACATTTTTCTCATAGTGCACGAGTTCGAACGCGTCAACGTTAGTCATCCCGATGGGTCGGTGGCGGAGAGAATGGCGCGAGCACTGGGAAGAATGGGCCCGAGCATTCTACTCTCTGCCACAACTGAGACCGTAGCATTTGCTTTAGGCGCAGCAGTGGGAATGCCCGCGGTGAGAAATTTTGCAGCTTATGCGGCCGGTGCTGTGTTCATCAACGCGCTCTTGCAGGTCACTATGTTCGTATCGGTGCTAGCCCTAAATCAGAAACGTGTGGAAGGCGGCAGAGCAGATTGTGTACCTTGCATCAAGGTGATCAACTCCGATCCACTGATGGGTTCAGACGCATATATGTACGGACAGGACGAGGAAGGGAGTCTTCAACGCTTCATCCGAAAGAAATACGCACCGGCACTACTAGGAAAGAAAGCCAAGGTTGTCATCATAACCATCTTTCTTGGGTTGTTCACTGCTGGTCTAGCTCTTCTCCCAGAAGTCAAACTGGGGCTTGATCAGCGCATCGCCATACCGAGTGACTCCTACCTTATCGATTACTTCAACGATCTCGACCAGTACTTCGGTGTGGGACCGCCAGTTTATTTCGTCACGCGTGAGCTCAATGTTACCCAGCGACAGCATCAACAAGAACTTTGCGGCAGATTTCTTTCATGTCGCCCGTCGTCGTTGGCAAACACCCTTGAAAACGAACGAAAGCGCGCTGAGGTATCCTACATTGCAGATGCAACAGCAAGCTGGGTTGATGACTACTTTACCTGGCTGAATCCGGCATTTGATCAATGCTGCGTAAAAGGAAACGAAGCTTGCTTCGAGCACCGTACCCCGGCCTACAACATTTCGTTGTACGGTATGCCTGAGGGACAGGAGTATGTGGAATATCTTAAAATGTGGCTTGTTTCCCCAACGGACGAGGAATGTCCACTCGGTGGCTCTGCATCGTATGGCGATGCCGTGGTCGTGGACTACAACAGGACGACGATCCTTGCATCAAACTTCCGTACCTCGCACACCCCACTCCGAACGCAGAACGATTTCATATCCGCGTATCGCTCGGCACGCAGGATCGCACACGATATCAGTGTGAAGAACGACATTGATGTTTTCCCATATTCGAAGTTTTACATTTTCTTCGATCAGTATCTGTCCATCGTCAAACTGTCCGCAACGCTACTCGGTTCTGCAATCGCCGTTATATTCATACTCACCACCGTGCTCCTAGGCTCGATTCGAACGGGTCTTGTCGTCACCGCCACAGTCGCTATGACGATCATAGACATCATCGGTGCCATGGCTGTCGCCAACGTGAGCCTCAATGCTGTATCGCTCGTTAATCTGATCATCAGCGTTGGAATAAGTCTTGAATTCTGTGCGCACATTGCACGCGCATTCTCCTTCCCTAGCACGACCGTCATGGAGGATTCAAGGAACAAGTTTAGAGGCAAGGACGCGAGGGCTTGGACCGCGTTAGTCAATGTTGGCGCAAGCGTTTTTAGTGGCATCACTATTACAAAATTACTCGGGGTGGCAGTACTTGCCTTTACCCGCAGTAAGATTTTCGAGATTTACTACTTCAGAGTGTGGGTAGCACTTGTATTGTTTGCTGCGACACACGCGTTAGTATTTCTGCCTGTGGCATTGAGCATTTTCGGCGGGCAAGGTATGTTATGTCCTCATGTATTTGATAAAGCGGAACACACATGATACTAACTTGACGTGCAGGTTATGTCGATCCGGAGTCTGAATCGAGTCTCGAAGCTGATCTGCGATCGAGAAGGTACCCAGCATTGTTGGCTGATGATGATTACGACTCAGACGAGTACTGAGCATGTATAGATAATAGATCCTGGATAAAGGATAGTGTATATCAAATGCTCAATATAGACATTTTTGAATTTTTTTTTCCTTCTCCATCGCTATGCTATTCAGTTACAACATCAACAAGTGTTCCAGAATTATCTAGGAAGAACAAAGTCAACCTCATTCATCGGCGTTGTTGCTCGGCTTAGCGGGCTACCAAAATGTGCCTCACTCAGTGACAACTCTGGCGTGGATGGTTTCTCGGTTCGTGCAGACTGAATCACATTGGAGCGCATCCTCTCTTCGATCCACTTGGTGGCTTGGGCACAAGGCGGTTCCACGTGCCTGTACCACAGATCCGCCAAAACCAGGGTCGCCACCAGGAACAGCGGCAGAGCCCATAGGAACTTTGCACCCGGCGGAATTCCAAACATGGGTACCAGGCCGAGGACTTTCCCCTCCTTGTCAACTTCCTCAACCCACTGGACCTTCTCTCCAGCGAAAAGCACCCAGTTCAAGAAACTTCGCAGCACCGGTCCGTGGACGAGGTAGATGGGAAAGCTCCTGGCACCGAGCCATTGGAACAGACGCAGGTTGAAGAAACGCTGCAAGCTTTGCGAGAAGGTGATAGCCATTATCACGAACGTGACCCCAATCTGGTTATAGTACGCGTGGATGTCACTGTTTTCCGGGAAGGAATTCAAAGCAAAGTTGAGCATGTTATCAGACCACGGCATGCGGTTTGGGAAGCGGTTGGGAAAGGACATGCAGTACCAGCCGAAGAGGAGAGCCATGTAGGGCAGGATACGGAGGGGTATCGAACGCGAGCTCATAAATGCGTGTACTGTGGCTGTTTGAGAGGCTTCTGCGAGCAGGACTCCGGTAAATATAGGCATAAATATGTATGCTGTTGTTGTATGTCAGTTATCCTATGATTTGACTAGGCGCAGGGAATTGTATTTACCATCAAGACCTCGCCAACCATACGCAACCAATCCGGCTGCAAGATACATCCTGTATGTTGCCCTAGTTTTCAGGGTGGCTAGCAGGAAGACATAAACTGCCATCGCGCCTTTGAGAAAGTAGAGCATAGCCCATTGGTTTCTCTCTATCTCGTTGTTGTTCCACGACCAGGTGTCCATTATGGCTCGAAATAGCGTTCCGATGGCTAACCACAAACCACCGCTTGGCTTAGCACATGTCGTAACTAGCCAGTGCGACATCACCATTCGGCCTGTTTGGAACCCTCCCGTCTCGGCAAGGATCCAAGCAAGGAACGTTGCGATGGTACACGGCAGCATAAGTCGTAAAGATCTGCGAAAGCAAGAACTTGCAAGGTCTGAAAGGGCGGCATCCACATGGCCAGCACGTGTCTGCTTGATGGGTTTCAAGGCATTGACGAAACCAGTCAGTACTAGAAAAACGGAAACCCAGGGCGAGCCTTCAAAAATGACTCGAATGAACGGCATGTTGTACCAGCGCGGTGGCTGATTCTTCGAGCGAGCAGCCTCTAAGAAGTCGGCGTATGATAAGGCTAAGTGCGAAGTCATCACAAAGACGGCGGCCATCCCACGAAGACCCTACTGTAAATTGAGCGTCGGATCTTCCAGGTGTCTTGGTGGTCAACATTACCTCTACCCATCTGGTGTCCCGCGAGGCTGATTTTGGGTACTTGGCATCGCTCATTGTTGTGAGACCACAGCGACGGGCATGAAAACCGCTGGAAAGAACAAAAATGGATACTTGCGTATAACGAGTGACCTGAAAACAATAGCATGCGACACGCGGCAAATGAATGTGGGTGGTTTGAGAAACAAACACATACGGGTCAAGATCTGAGCAGAGCCGGCCGACCCGTTTTCTAATCGATCACAAGAAACCGATGGGACTTGGAGCAAGGAATTTGCCTATGCAGTCATAAGGTAACCAGGGTAAGAACGGTGCTCCTGCGGAGACAAACCTCGTATTCTTGGCCGCTTGCAGCCTGGTGGAGCTAGTGTATGCCACATTGGGTAGTGGACGCTGGATGGCGTTCGAAACAACATGACTGCATGACGAGATCTTTGGCGAAAGGAGATGAAGGAGCATCAGATCGCCTTTGCCCCAGCCCTGCCGATGCACTATGCTGGCACTAGGCCTTCACGTTGCCATGAGCTTTTCAACGGATCGAGGGCTTATTTTGCCAGCATCCTGCCTACATAAAAATAGGAGAAGTGGAACACATCATCCAATAGTCTCGGCAGCGTGTGAGCATCGATTTCGAACGCTAGAGCCCAACCACGCGAGTTTGTCAAACGCCACAAGCGGGTTGAGCATGCCGGGTTCCGCGTACAGCAGAGTGGAGAACACATTGTTCTTTCGCTTTGGTGATGCATCTGCACTCCTTGTTGCCGCACTGAAATGTAAGATGTTCGACGTAGTTCACTATCTTCCCATCAAGAATCGACACTTCCAGACGACGGCGTGACCATTGGACGCAACCATCACGTTGTGGGATCGGGTTCTGGTCGTCTTGTTCTGCAAATGGTCTTAGTCTTTCGTAGCACTTCCCATTCGGAAGCGCCACCTTCAGGGATTCTCCAGATTTTGCGCAGACGCCACGGGGTTAATTTCGTTAAGGGGCAGTGAAAATAGCCCTCTTTCCAAAAACCTTGACCGGAGACTCTCGGCTGCTGTGACAGAACTCGGTGCGTTCTCGTGTCTGGCTTTTGGCAACTCGCCAGCGACGCAACTTCGTGACAGACAAGGCCAGCGCGGTTTACAGCGGTTTACATTGAGTGTGAAGAAGGGCAGAAAGAGACTGGGTTGAGACTGCGACTTGAACAATGTTCAGGAGGCTGAAGACCGATCTCGGCACGAGTGCCGGTAACGCGCCACTCGGTCTTCTCGTAAGACGCGTTGACGCGTGTGACACGGCAAAGACATAGATTTCTAAACTTTATTTGACGTCTCCGTTTTCCAGCTCCTTGCATGCGTAGTGTAATATCAAGCCCAGCTGGCGGCCGAACACATCCGAAGTCCTGGAGTGTTTGATCTTGGACACCGTCGTCGCTGCAGAGTTTTGCACCCCCTCATCACAAAGCCATCAGGTCTGTCGAGGTGCTGCTGTCGCAACGAATCGAGATGCAAATGGGTAGCAGGCAGAAAGACTGTCGTAGCGTCTAATCTCCAACGTCAAAGTTGAAAAAAGACATGGCAGGTTCAATATGCCGAACAATGATCCCTCGATAGGGACCCTTGGTTGCGAAGGACTGCCGCTCCTCCGTGGTAGCACTGCTCCATACCTACGTCAGAATCGAGGTGCAGCCTGCGCTTGGGAAGTATGGCATATATTCTAAGTACACGAGGAATTGAGCCACGGCTGGAGGCGGCGGAAAGGATACTATGCGACCAAGCTGGTGCAATAGAAGAGGAAAGCGAGTGCAACTGAGACAGTGAAGAAGAGCCGATGGACAAAAAATGCACGTGCAGTGAAGAAGATGCTGGCTAATCGACATAGAGGTAGTCACCAGGCTCAGTATGTTTAGGCTTTGATAGCATAATGGCCACCATGGTATCTCGTAGTTCTTACATGGGCCACCAAGGTACGTGACTATATATCAGACTCGTCGAACAGATCGTGTAAAACGAAGGGTCCGCTTGGGGTATCAAACAATAGTCAACTATTATGGAAGAGTCTCTGAAATTTGACGACCTTTCCTCTATCCCTATCGTTGACGTTTTGATAATCGGTGCAGGTCCTTGCGGGTTGGCAACGGCAGCCAGGCTGCGCGAGAAGTACCCTTCTGCATTGTTTACAGACGAGGAACAGTCAAGGTATACGTGGATCGCCAGAAACGCTCAGCAAACATCGATAAAGGATCGACGCACTGGCCGAGTTCGACGCATGTCCTGTGTCCCCAGCCGTCCTAACGACCCGTCCATACTCGTGCTTGATTCAACAGGTGATCAATGGATGGAACGCTGGAACAAATTATTTGAGCGCCTAGAGATTGAATATTTGAGAAGCCCAATGTTTTTTCACACTCATCCACAGGATCGAGATGCGCTGCTGTCATTTTGTCATCGTGAAGGATCTTCTAGCGATTGGATTCAGGAGATTGCAGGCTGCGTGGGTAAAGAACTCAGCAAGCACGAGAAGAAGAAAAGGCGGAGAAGCCATCACCAGAGACGGTAAGCCAACTTGGGGCCTTGGAAAAACTGGTGGTACTTGGTGGTAGATCCTTATTCTTCATAGGACCAAATTGTGCCCTTCAGATATTAACGAGCGCGACCGACAAGACTATTTTGCACCCGCCTCACTTGCGTTCAAACGCTTTTGCGAAGAATGCATTGAACATTACCGCTTGAAGGATCTCGTACGAAAAGAGTCTGTTGAGAGCATCGATTATGACTTTATCCCTGGTACTTCCACCATAAAGAAACTGTTCATAGTTCGAGCTTCGGCACGGACATATTTATCGAGAATAGTTGTTCTAGCTGTTGGAGGCGGGGATGCCGTCTCTCCTGTACCTTTCCATGAGAGCACGCACGTGCTAGATTTGGGAAACGCAAACGCTCTGATACCAGATGTTTTAAAACGCAAAGTTGAACTCGGACACGAGACAAATGTCCTGGTAGTTGGCGGTGGCCTCACATCAGCGCAAGCAGCAGACTGCCTGCTTCGCAAAGGGATTGCCAAAGTCTATCTCCTTATGCGAGGTCCTTGGAAAACTAAGCCTTTTGACATCGATCTCGAGTGGATGGGAAGGTATCGTAACGGGAAAAGAGCCGCATTTTGGACCGAAGATGATCTTGACGAGCGACTCGCTATGGCAAAACAAGCAAGGAATGGCGGCAGCATCACCCCAAGGTTCGCAAAGAAACTTAAAAAATACGAACAGGAGGGAAGGTTAAAAGTGTACACGCATACGCAGATTGTGTCTCGACAATACGATGAGAGAAAGATGGTATGGAAGGCGATAACGGAGCCGCGTCAAGAGTTGCCATACTTTGATCACATCATCTTCGCCACAGGCTTAAGTATCGATGTACGGACAATGGACATCTTGAGAACGGTGAATGAGAAGTATCCAATACCCAGCCATGGAGGACATCCGGCTTTGACCGATGATCTCAGATGGAATGCCGAAATGCCTCTTTTTGTAAATGGCAAGTTGGCAATGTTGCAGCTTGGTCCGAGTGCAGGCAATCTTGAAGGTGCGAGGCTTGGTGCTGAAAGAATCGCATGGGGTATCTTCAACGAGCTGAATGAGACTGATGGTTCGGTCGAACAAGCTGGCGTGGCTCAGCAAAACTACGTGCTGGGAATCGGCTCCCGCTATGATAGCTTGATCGAGATCGACACCACAGTCGAGATCTGAGTGACTGTCGAAAGCAATCATAGTATTTCCCAATGCATGACTTTCAACTGTTCTTGAGACCCAGCGTTCTCTCGACGAGGCTGATCTATCTAATTAGGCAGCCTTACATACGGTTTCGCCGGCTCTGCTCGGTTGTACTTCTTTTTTATTTATTTAAAGAGCGTTAGCTTAGTCTGCGGTTCAAGCCTCATGCAATCTTGCGCGCAGTCCATAGCGTCACATAGATAAAGCCCAACAATCCAACTAATTAGCCCATAATCTCAAGTGCTTGCTTAAGAATAATTCTGCTCTAAGCTATTCTATTGTCGCACATTTGTCCTTAGCGACAACTGAAAGTATTGAGTTGTTACCTTTAATGCAGCTAAAGGAAATCGATGAAGTCTCAGCCGTGACGCGCCATGTACTCACCGGAGCATTTTAGTTGTGATTTTACGAATCAGTGCAGCTCCTCATTTAAGATGAAATACGAAGACATGGCTGATTTTTGACTGAGAAAAGCTAAGCAGAGTTCGTATTGCTCGGCTGCTCTTGGCCCACAACACCTTTTGAAGAGCCCTCCCTTCTTTGTACATCTATTCGACTTGCCAAGTGATCTAGACTACGCCATATATCTTAGGTCAATTTTAGTTCAACATCAACTTTTGGCTTATGCGTTGTCGAATGTATGAGGCTGAAAATGGTCACTTATGTTTTCAATCTGCCCCGAAAGAATCTCTGGAAAAGATGCTTGCGGCAGCATTCCCAATTAAGTCATGTTGAAGTTCAACTGTCGACGTGCTGGGTTCGCCTTTCATGTTGTCTTACTCATCTTCAAGTTTCTCTTCTTACCAAGAACCTGGGCTCTAAATGTCGACGCCGCCTTGAAGGGAGCTCCAGTTCCTACAAGTTCTCCTGAGGAGAATGTCCTGCGGGTCCGCAATGATGGTCAACCACCAGCCCTATGCGGATTTGTTGACTATACTTTCTCGTGGGCGTGCGGAGCGCACAGTACCTGTCTGTATAATACAGAAATCTCCGGTGTTGGGTGTTGCGATTCTGCCTCTAATTGTGACTATGCCACGGCGTGCGTGCCTTCGTCGAAATTGACGGGAAATGACATACCCTCAGCGAACGTGCTACACTGGTGTGTAATTCTACTTAATCAACTTGTTAGGAGACGGAATTGGTGGCCTCGTTAGAATCGTTAGGAAGCTGATACGTAATCAGCTCAGATAGCAAGTCGCCGTTCTGCGCGACCGCAACCTTTGACGAAAGTTTCTATTCCTTCACATGTTTCTCTGAAAACTGGAGCTGGTTCGTCTATCTGACGGAAACTCGCAAGGGCGAAACGACGGCAGCACAAGTCATCACCAAAAATATAGCCGGTGCTATCGTGGAGCAAACAAGCGCTGCCACAACAGTTGTTGGTCAAGCTTTCCAACCTACGAAGACGGACGCAGCCTCCACAACATCGCAGCCGGCCAGCGCCGTAGGCTCATTTCAACCTTCGGGAAGTTCTGGCGGAACTGACAATCTGGAATTCGCTGCAAAGCCTACTGGAGGTTCTGTCGAAATAGTCACCAAAGAAGCGACACAGAGCTCTGGACAGACTGATGTAAACAGCACAACCTTCGGTTCGATCGAAGGGTCTAGCAATCAGCAAGTCCAATCCAGTTCTCAAAACAAATCGATCATCGCACCAATAGTAGGAGGTGTCGTGGGTGGGTTAGCATTAATCACCTTTGCTATTCTTGCAGGGTTTTTCATAGGAAGGATGCGCCAGCAATCCTCGACAGCTGTTCTAACTCAGCCAAATGAGAAGCCAGTGGCAACTCTGGAAACAATTCACTCGGGTCTTCATCCTGTGGAGCCTATATATGCAAGCTACACAAATTATGAGCTTGACGGCCGAGCTGTAATGAGAGAATTACCTGCAGAGAAGGTACATAGCAGTCAAGGGCCTTGGAGTCTAGGAAAATAGATAAAAGGCAAATTTAAAGTTTTGTAATGCTGCTCTATGCCTGGGGACTTTGATAGATTAAAATTGTGTACAATTGCAATGTCAAGGTCTGAGTGCAATAAGCCAATTGATGATATGCTCACCAAACTCTGAAAAAAAAAAAAAAAAATTGTAGAACACAGATTCCAGATCGCTGGCTCCATAACACGTAGAGTTCTATGTAAATAATATCCATTATAGTGGCAGAAGAAAGATGACCGCCATTAAATCATCAATGTCTTCATCAAACCTATCGAAAATGCGGGAGACATGAAATTCGACGTAGGTCTCAGACAAATACGCGCATGAGAACGGCCGTCCTTTCCCAGAGTGAATTAACTAGAAATGAGGATCCAAGCTAGGCAGCAGTGCGATAGATGTACTCAAAACTAACGTGGTCTTGTATTTGTATGTGATATGAAATAAGACAGCCTTGATTTGTCAGCTCCTGGATAAATTTGACGTTGATTGCTCGTCACCTGTTGCATCTAGACTGAAAAGGACCACAGAAATAACATCAGAGAAATATGGACCGACTACTGGACGTCAAGATGCTCGTCCAATGTCTACAAGTAAATGTCACTCCGGTCGATCTTAACAGTCGTTCAAGGGAAGATTAGAAAACTAGAATCGATTGCAAGTATCGCATGTCGCGACGTGCTCAAAACTTCCTAGCGTCCATTTCTAAAAGGCCAGTTGTTCTGATTGTAAACAAAGACTTTGGATTTTGTGATAAGAAATTGCTTTGTGTTGCATGAACAGTGTCTGTTTAGTGTACCCCACCACTGGTGTTCCTCTACCCTAATTAGGCAAGTGGCGTCAAGCGTTGCTAGCTGCTCCGATTTCACTCGTCATTCTGTTCTGCCTTAGACAGGACGATCGTATAAGTACAGCGAAACTCATACTTTACGCCTTGAAAAGTGCATTTATTTTGAACAGACCACTGAATTACCACCACTACTTATCCTTTGCAATGTCCGGTTACGATGGTAGGAAAGCTCTGCACAGCTTGCGCGACATTTGTTAACAAAGGGCAGTCGAGCATGGCGTTGACATGGTCGAAGAGAGCAAGCCCCGTCGACGAGGGCGACCAGACCTTTCTTCCTTCTGGTCAATGAAGAAGGAGACCTTTGGCGACGGACCTACACACAACACACATGCACAGCCTACTCCTGGCAACGTCACTGGCATGATGAGGATGTTAGCCGACGTCTACCAGGTTATGCTCAGCGACCACCCGGACAATGAGTTGCTCCCAGAGTTGATCACTGAGCTTGATGCAGCTGCGCAAACAGGGAAAACTGAGGGCATGCCGGAGAGCTTCTTCGCGGACCTTGATCGCATACCTAAAAGTAAGCTGAAGAAGGGTGAAGAGTGCCCGATATGCGCCAACGAATTTCTCGACGGTAACAGCCCAGCTCTTTTACATACCACTACCAAGATCGGCTTCAGTGCTGACTGTTGTCTTTAGACCCGTATCCACTCGTTGTACGACTGCCCTGTCATCCTGACCACAAATTCGACCTCGAATGCATACAGACCTGGTTGACTTTGAGGACAACTTGTCCTCTGGACAGGAAGGTGTTATTGAAAAAGAAAGAGCCACCACCAAAAGTTGACGATGACGAAGAGGATTACGACGATTACTACGCCTGAAACGCTCGAGTAGATGGCGTGATCTGCGTACATCTTTCAGGGGTTCGTAGGGCATTCTCTTCGATCATAATGCCTTGTCCTCGCTAAGTTGGAAGTGGCATTTGTACTTGAAGCATACTGTAGCACCGCCGCTCTCGTCTTCACTACGATACCTTGTTCTTGCGGTGGCTGGATCCGGTGGACATGACTGATCGCCTGGCCACGCGTTTCCGTAAAGCCACGGCTTTTGTCACAGGCCGTTCGACGTCAATATTTGCACTTGCTTGTTTTCAGAGCGAGCCAGTGACAGATGGGCTGCTGTCAAGCTTCCAAACACTCCCGACACCATGTTCATGGGACCACTCTATTGCAGATTGCGCGCAACAGTGTCTAGATGTGCGAAAAAGCCACTGCTCATCCAGCTAGCGATAGAAACGCATCTCCACTTCTTCGGCGCTCTGGCACCAGCTATGCCGTTTTGTCAATTGGATGCATTTCAATGCTGCTCATCAATTGTCCACTTCCATTTCCAAATTTCGCTTGTCACACGCGTTTTGATTTCAAAGAACTATTCGCGTGCGCCGTCTTCGTGAACTGACAGGAGCACTCCTATCATGTTCTTGGCGCATTGAATAAGGCTGCGTTCTGAAACCAATGAAGATGGTGCTGAACGCAAGTGTCTACCAATCCCGCACGACCATTTGCGCTGACTCAGCCTTTGACCACGTCAAACTTGGGTGCACCTCCTTGCGGCTTGGTCAGGGCCACGTTTAGTCCCGAAGATTTGGTGTTCATGGACAAGCCTAGAAGCAGCCCATTGGCCAATGGCAATGGCTAAGAAAAGTGGCGCCGTTACGATGCCGTTGCTTTGCGTATGCCTCTCTAGATTGGAGTTCGTTGCGCTCGACCCGACCCCTTGCGAGCTTTCGCTTTCTCCTTGGACGCATGATATGTATACGTACATCCTTTGGAAGTTGGATGGCTAGTGTTGAAAATAGATCTTCATATATTTCACTTGCTGTCATGGGATCTGAATGCAGCGCCTTGCAGATTGGCAATTGATGCTCATTGTAATGGTCTAATCAAATTCGATATTGCGTGGATCTGATCTGAGAGCCTGACAGCTTTCTTTAGCTTCACCCGTTCTACTTGCTGGATTCTCCTTCTATAAAGAAAACCAACGAGGATGGCCTGGGGAGTATTGGATGACAAGCGGACACCCTTTCCATATGGGACCATAATTCTGGATCGCGTTGATTTGGTAGAACAACAACAGCAGAATCCGGGCAGCAAAGGTACATCGAAGGAGGCTATCAGCACAGTTCTCCACCCTCAGCCATCGACATCACCCAATGATCCTCTAAACTGGTCGCTCACTGTGAAAGCGAGCCTTCTCATGACGCTCATCGTAACCGTCACTGCCATCGGAGGAATTCACGGCATGTTAGGGACGGCAGGACGCATATTGGCCGAGGAATATGACGTGAGCTATGCAAATCTGGTTCGTACATTGCAAGCCCCTTCGATTGCTGCGGGAGCGATTGCCTTGTTTTTTTGGTCCGCTGTCGGTGCAATCTGGGGCAAGAGGCTACCCATCATGGTTGCGGTGATTGTGATCTGGATCACAATGTTCATCGGATACTTTGCAAACTCGCTGGCCTTTTACAGAGCGTTGAGCGTGGCCAGTAGTGTCTTCGGATCCGCACCCGAATTGCTCATCGCGCCAGTCATCACGGATCTGAGCTTCGTGCATCAAAGAGGGAAAATCATGGCAATCGTTTCAGTGGTTACACTTATTGGTATGGACTCTACGTATGCTTTCATTTTCTCTATACCGAACAGGCAGGTAGTTAACGAGCAGACAGTACTGTTATCTCAGGCAACATCATAGAAAATTTGGGTGTCAAGTACCTATACATCGTCAGCTTTGGCGTTATGGGGGTGTTGCTGTTCATGAACCTTTTTCTCCTTCGCGAAACAACTTTTCACCGGGGGAGAAGTGAAACCAACCTCATCAGAAGCTGCGATCGTGTTTATGACAGCGCTGTCAAAAACCCTCTCGTCTGGGGTAAGGTCGGTTCTGATTTCTATACGCCAAAGGAACATTTGCACGGCCAAGTGCCCGAGTCTCCGGCAGCGGAGCCAAAACGTCCCTGGACATGGTATCTTCGTGTCTACTATGGACGAGCTTCGAGCGGAAGTTTCATCAAGACTTTTTTTCAGCCCTTCTCACTGCTCATCTTCCCATCCGTGCTCTTCAGTGCGATGATGAATGGTGTAATACTTACCTGTTCTCTGATCAGTGGCGTAATCTCAGCACAAGTGCTACTCTATCCACCATACGATATTGAGCCCAATAAGCTTGCATATCTGAGCTTACCAGCAAGCGGCGCAGCCTTCATTGCGTCTGTCGTATCCGGCTATTTGAGCGATTGGATGATAAGGTGGATGTCGAAACGGAACGGTGGCGTATATGAACCAGAGTTCAGGCTACTCATGCTCATTCCTGCAGTCATCCTTTCAACTTCGGGTTTCCTGATACTGGGGCCTATGTACAAGCGTTACGCGCCTGTGTGGCAGATTGTGCTTGCAAACTTGCTCTTCAGTGTTGGTATGCCGTTTGGGACTTCAGCTTGCACGACATACATATTGGACACGATGCAAAAGCGGTCGAGTGAAGCATTTGTGGCTGCAACATTGTTCAAGAGCTTGCATGGCTTTCTGGCTACTTATTATGTGCCTGGGTGGTTTGCAAACAACGGTGCAAATGCTACATATCGATCGCTGGCAATCCTAAACATGGCGTTTGCAGCGTTGGCAATTCCGGTGTATTGTCTCGGGAAAAGGTGGAGAGGTGTGGTCAGTCGCAACACGTTTCTAAGAAAACATTTCGACCAGGACTTGTGAAAAAAAGGATACCCCACATGATGCTATAATAGCAACCAATGATGTTATTCACGCCAGTGTCTTTATTATTTGTCACACACGTACTCCACGAAACGACGTAGCATGTACGCGTACTCACAAGGTGCCGCCTGAGCGGACGGTGGAGTTGTGATTCGACGTTGCCGATTTGAAGCGACGTCTTCTAGAACCACGTCGCGTGCACCCCTACAGTTCGATCCGCAGTGTTCCAGGATCAACAGTATGTTCTAGCCGGCGGCGGTGGGCAAGGATCACGTCTATTTGCGGGTTCAACATCTTCGCGATTGCGCAGAAGTGGGGCGTCTTTCGCGATGATAGTAAGGTTGCAACTGGATGGATTGGGGCAACATGATAACGGTGATCGGGAGTAGTTGGAGATTACTCCCGCTTGGCAGGCGCGTCATGTTTGGCGTCCATGTCAAGGAGATGACGAGGCTGGTGTTGCGGCATGGTTGTCCGTTCGTTTATGGAGAAACAGTGGAGTTTGCGCAGATGATTGCGCAGGCTCGCGGCACGGGTCAGAGAGGACATCAGGACATCAACACGGTCGTGATTGTTGTGCGGGAGAAATGAGGTCGCAGCACGAGGTCCAGAGACCGCACATGGATGCCGAGCAAAAGGCGGGATTGAGTGTAACACCACGTTGCCACTTGTCGAGCCTGTTTTGCTTCCTGCGCGGTCAGTCCTGTGTGGTTGTCGGCAAGCCGTGTGGACCTTCTTGAAGCCTTCTAGTGGGCACGCGCGGGTCGAAGCGCGCTGCTATGCAGCGCCATGCACCGTTCCGTACTGCTAAGCCGATCCAAGCAGTCGAAGCATAACAAGATTGCGGTCGGGTGACAGCAAGTGGCCATCACGATTGGCATGCCAAACGCTGCCGAGGTGACGCCCTGGCACGACAAGCCCGCCGAAGCTTTTCTCAGCGTACGCGCCACGACGGGCCAGATCGCCACTGGCTTGGTCAGTTCAGTGGTTCTTTTTCCACAAGTCGGCGTTGAAAGAACGAAATCCTCATCGGCTTTGCACTCCATGCGGGGTTGAGCGTCGGCCCAGAGCGGCAGGTGCAATGAAGCTCTTGGGCTGCCGCTTCCGGATTGGTTGCTCGCACCTGCAGTGTTCGACCACCGTCGATCAGATTGCTCCTTCTCCCGCCACGCCTCCACGCGCCCGCGCTCCATCGCACGCTCGCTGTCGTTGCAAATCGCCATGTCAGATGTCGAGAACGACTTCGACTTGGTGAGCGACAACCAGTTCGCCACTCCTGTGTCACCTTGGCCGACCTCCCTGCAGTACCTTCGCGTCAAGTCGAGTCGCTGGGTAGGGCCCGGCGGCTGCATGCGCCGCCCATCCTTGCTGGAACAAGTTATAGCCCCGGAGGATCTGCTCTCCAGTTGATCAACTGTATCTCTATGATTCGCACGATCACGTTAAACGACGCTATTTCGAGCCGCTCTTATCAGCCAACCCCGGCTGTTTAGGAAATCACCGAACAGTTCGACGGTCAATATGTGACCCCGTCCAACTGTCTCGGCTGCGCTGTAACCCTGTTTCCCCATTTGAGATACACGCTGTCGATACTCCATTGAGCATCGCCTCCCGGCCGACGACTGCTACCGAAGGCATGGTTTACCGCGGAACAGCGAAGCCTTCAAGCTGAAGCTTTGTGACGACAAGACCTCTGGCCCATTGCCGGCTCTTATCGCTGTCAACACCGTGAGGCGACGATCGTGCTCCTTCCCGATGCGGTATCACGTCAATGCTCGTGTGCCACTTTGTTGCCGGTCCACAAGAATGAAGGCGGTTGTCCGTAGCTGCAGATCAGACCGTCGATAACATGAGCAGTCAGTTCGGTCTGACAACGGTTAACGACGGCATCCACAATCTCAAGAAGCGATAGCCCTTAGTCTTGTTGTGGCAGGCACGATTTGCTTGGCTGGCAATGCGGAGATCCATCCCAGTGCCTCGATGTGGTTCGATACCCTGATGAAACTAAAAGGTATAAACATGCACATCCCTCCCGCATGTAGCGTGTGTCGAGGATCGTCTTGAGCGTCCTGCACGGGAGGGCTACATTCCTCACTTCCTCAACATCACTGCCGCGTTCGAACCTTTCAGTTCCAACCATGGATAAGTTGCGAAGACCTTGGAAGTTTTCGCGTCGCGACACGGACGCCGTCCAGCTCGAAGGTGTTGGCTCCGCCTCCGGTGTTGAAACGATCGCGTATGATAAAGAAGTCCAATCTCAGGCCAAACAGGCCGACAGCGACACCAACAGCCAGGAAGTTAGAAACGCTGAGGCGGACTTAAAGAAATTCAGCGCCTTGCACGAGTTCGATCCAAATCTGCCATGTACGCAGTAGCTGGTCATTTTTTTTTTAAATACCGTGCATAGTTCTAATGCGACTGTAGCTGAAAAGCGCGATGCCATTCAAGGTGCTCTGGGTCACAAAGATGTCGAGGCCGAGCTCAACCTCGAGCATGAACTTGAAGAGAATTCCCCGTACCCGGAAGTCCGCGCCGCTGTGCGTGCGACGGACGAGGACGTCCCCTGCAATACTGTTCGCGCCTGGATCTTGGGCATGATCTTTGTCACAGTTGGGTCCGGTTGCAATATGTTATTCTCGCTTCGCAACCCAGCCATCCAGATTACGTCTATCGTCGCACAGCTGGTGTCCTATCCATTCGGCGTCGCCATGGCTAAGTTCTTGCCAAAGAAGAAGTTCCGAACGTTTGGTATCGAGTGGACCTTGAATCCTGGCCCTTTCAATATGAAAGAGCATACGCTTATCACCATCATGGCCAATGTATCCTTCGCGCAAGGCGCTGCATACTCGACTTATTCGTTGGAGTCTTTGATTGGATTCTACAAAGTTGACTACGGTTGGGGATTCGCCTTGCTTTTCACAATAACGACGCAAATGGTTGGTCTGGGCCTGGCGGGTATATTCCGACGATTCTTGGTTTACCCAGCATCTATGATATGGCCAGTCGTACTTCCTAACTGCGCTTTGTTCTACTCTCTTCATAGCAGGGAGAAACCAGACCCAGCGGAGACGAATGGGTGGTCCATTTCACGTTATAGGTACTTCATGTACGTGTTCATCGGTGCATTCATTTGGTACTGGTTCCCGGGCTTCATTTGGCAAGGACTTTCCGTCTTCGCGTTCGTCACGTGGATTCGACCGAATAACGTCATTATCAACCAGGTCTTTGGTGGCTTCACAGGCCTTTCAGTGATTCCACTCACTTTTGATTGGACCTACATTACAGCGTATATCCTCAGCCCTCTGATTCCACCATGGCATGCCATTGCAAATACCCTCATCGGCCTAGTATTCTTTGTGTGGGTCGCCGCCCCCGCCGTCCACTACACCAATACATGGTATGCCAAGTACCTGCCAATGTCCGACTCCACCAGTTACGACAACACAGGAAATACCTACAATGTCTCTCGGATCGTGACGCCTGAATACACGCTAGATGAGAAGAAATATGCGGAATACTCACCCCTCTTCTTATCCACGACTTTTGCCCTTACGTACGGCCTTAGCTTCGCTTCAATTATCAGTGTCATCGTTCATACGTACTTATACCATGGCAAAGAGATCTGGTACCGAATGAAGGCCGCACGCGATCAAGAGGACGATATTCACATGAAGTTGATGAAGAAGTACAAAGAAGTAAGTAAAGACGTTTCGGATCGCTTCGTGTCTATACGTTCTAACAAATTCCTTAGGCACCCGATTGGTGGTTCTTTGTCATATTCATTGTCATGCTGGCTTTGTCCTTTGTCACCGTGGTTCACTGGCCAACACACTTGACCTGGTGGGCGCTCATTATAGCCTTCATCATCTCATTTGTATGGATTGTGCCTCTGGGGATGGTCCAGGCCATCACAAATATTCAAATTGGACTGAATGTCTTCACTGAGTTCATTATTGGTTATATGCTTCCTGGTCGTCCGCTTGCCATGATGTCATTCAAGACATACGGCTATATCGCTATGTACCAGGGCTTGACTTACATCCAAGATCTAAAACTTGGACATTACATGAAAGTACCTCCACGGCCACTGTTCTTCGCTCAGTTCGTCGCGTCTTTGTGGAGTTGCGTGGTCCAAGTTGCGGTCTTGTACTGGGCTTTTGGCAACATTAAAGGCATTTGCGATGCCGAGCAGTCTGCCCGCTTTACCTGCCCCAACGGACGTGTGTTCTTCACTGCTTCCATCATTTGGGGCGTCATTGGTCCCAATCGGATGTTTTCAGGTTCCGGTATCTATAAAAACCTTCAGTATTTCTGGTTGATCGGTGCGCTCCTACCTGTTATTTTTTACTATGGCACCAAACGCTTCCCGAGAAGTCCGTTCCGATATCTTCATGCTCCGGTTATCTTTGGTGGGATAGGTTACATCCCTCCAGCAACTCCGCTCACTTACCTTTCCTGGGGAGTTGTGGGTTTCATATTCAACAAACTGATCAGGAACAGCAAGAGAGGTTGGTGGCTTACGTATAACTACGTTACCTCTGCCGCTTTGGATTCTGGATTGGCAGTTTCGACCATCATCATCTTCTTCGCGCTCCTCCTACCGCAAATTAACCCGCCGAGCTGGTGGGGCAACAATGTCGTCTCCTCTACGCTTGATGCGCAGGATGCTGCTATTCAGGTTGTCCTGCCAACAGGCAAGACATTTGGACCAACGCATTGGTGAGAATGTAGCGTGTGATGGAAGAATCTGACAAAAAAGGACTTAAAAATTAGTCATTTGATACTGCTCTTACCACGAGCTAAATTATGATGCGTGTAGCAAATTGATATTTCCTTTGAGCAGCATCGCTTCACTTGCTCAATTGCGTTTTGACTGCGATCAAAAGTCAAAATTGTCTACGTAGATATTTTCCTTTATTTTGAACTGGTCGCAGAAGAACAGAAAAATAAGAAGCTAGCTAGTTTTCTAGCGCGACGATGATGGTGTTGCTCTCGCCTTGCGTGCACTAATGCCTTGTGTCCTTGATGCCTGAATTTGGGGTGAATCAGCTGCATCCTGGGCACCATGCAAATCCGTCCTATGCGTGCATTTCGCCATCTTGCGTGCTTTCCCACTGAGCTTCAATATACGAGGCTCTGATCTTGCGAAATGGAATCTTTTGTCAATCGACTACAGGGACGTCCGGGGCCAAGCGGGCACGATTTAGTATCTTTGCCTCTCCACAGCATGCGGAATTCGGAGGAAACAACCCTGAACAATCGTTCTCTCCACGATGCTGAGGATGGAGACGACGATGGGGATGCTGACCCTCTCCTGCCCTCCGCAGCAGGCACTATCGAAAGAGTAAAGGCAGAGATAGAGCACGAACTTGGTTCCTCGGAAGGAGATACTGGATATGACCGTGAGTGACATTCTTCCGTTAATCTGCGACGCCTCTCACGAGCTTTCCGACTTACAACAAATTGCACTATTTCTCCAATCTCCTATTTCTTGGGGAGATTTCTTCCCCTCATAGGCCGTGAACGCAGGAGAATGTGTTTGCTTTTGCTCGCCGTCTGTTATTCATTCATTAAGTACGGAAATAGGCAAGTCGAAAATCATCAACAAGGCCATACAGGATATTGGCATGGGCAAATACCAGTGGCAGTTGTTTTCTTTGTGTGGAATGGGGTGGCTTGCCGACAAGTCCGTCACACTCGACGAATAGTTTGTGAATGTTCTCTAACAATCGTAGTCTTTGGATGCAAGGACTTGCTCTCGTGCTGCCGCAACTGACGCCAGAATTTGGCGTTTCTGTATCGCACATACGATACACGACCATGGTCACGTTCATTGGACTTTCCATTGGCAGCACTTTCTGGGGCATTGCATCAGACATCATTGGCCGAAAACCTGCGTTCAACATCACATTGTTGCTGTGCGGTTTGTTTGGAACCCTTGTAGCACTGGGCCCTACCTGGGCTATCACCGCTCTGCTGTTCGCATGTATGGGACTAGGAGTTGGCGGGAACCTTCCTGTGGACGGGGCACTATTTCTCGAGTTTTTACCGTTCGAGTCAAATAAGCTTCTAACTCTTCTCTCAGTCTGGTGGCCCGTCGGACAGCTAATCGCTTCAATTCGTATGTTCCTTCTCCGAGAGTTGTTCCCATTCTGATTAATGCACGTAGTCGCCTGGATGCTCATCCCGCGTTGGTCCTGCGATCCTGAGCTGATTCCTTGCTCGGGTTCATCTTCCGCGCCATGTTGCGCAAGCTCTGACAATAGAGGTTGGCGATTTTACATCGCGTCACTCGGTTTAACGACCCTGTTCATGTTTGTTTGTCGATTTTTCTTGTTCCGCCTCTATGAGTCACCAAAATATCTGCTCTCACGCGGGCGACAATCTGAAGCCGTTTCCGTGGTGCAGACCATTGCAAGGTACAATGGCACAAACACGTGGCTGACTGAGGACATACTTGTTGAGTTCGGCGATGACGTCGATGACGGTGCACCGAAACTGACGGTGATGGAAATTAACAAGCGAAACATGAGCAAATTCTCGCTTGATAAAGTGGGAGCACTATTTGCCGATCGCAGACTGGCAATCACGACTGTGCTGCTGTGGTTTATGTGGGCTGCCATTGGCATGGGATACCCGCTTTTCAACGCATTTCTCCCTCAATATTTAGAGCACGCTGGGGAAGATTCTGCCCCTGTCTCGGCTGATGTTGTAGGTTCTTGATCAAATTCTGTCCTGCATTGATGACAGCTGAATTTTTTACTCAGGCTTATCGAAACTTCTTTATCACGTCCATTGCTGCCGTTCCAGGTAGCATTATTGCCGCTTACACAGTGGATGTCAAGAGTCTCGGGCGTAAAGGGACAATGGCAATCTCTACACTGATAAGCGGCGTATTCCTCTATCTCTTCATAGTATCTGATGATCCCACTTACCAAATGATTTGTTCTGCTATAGAATCATTCTTCCAAGTAGGTTCATCAGGATTCTCTGGACTCGTCCAAGTCATTTTTTGTTTACCATCTTCCAGAACGTAATGTATGGGGTTTTGTATGCCTATACTCCTGAAGTTTTCCCCGCACCTTGCCGTGGCACAGGCACAGGAATAGCTTCGCTTTTGAATAGGATGGCAGGGATTACGGCGCCTATCATAGCTGCGCAAATGGGAGAGGTACATCCTTCAGCACCGATCCTCGCAGCAGGTGCTTGTTATCTTGCCGCCTCGGTGGCAATGATCTTGCTTCCGATTGAAACTCGAGGTATACAGAGCCTTTGATTCGTTAGGCATCTTCTGCTGGTCGATTATCGGAGATATCGTTCTGCAGAACGGCTCGGAGCCTACTGAAACATGCATGTCCATGCTGTTTCTAGCAATTACATGGTTAGAGTACCGAAGGATTATTTCAGAGATATTACTATTAAAGCTCTGGTATGATCAGCTGATCTACATAATATGGGACAATGATCTGATGTAGAGATAGATTGTAACCCAATAGCGATACCCAACCCTAACTTCCTTTGGAGACTTCGAGCCGTATCTCATGGGCGTCATGAAGCGTGGACTTTGATGGCATATTTGTGCTGGGGTCCAGCAAATTTGGCCCCCTTGCAGACAAACTCTATACAGCGCGTTCGAGTAAGATAGCGCTGTGCAGAGGGTGAATTCAGTGAATAAGAACGTAGAATTATTTCCGGTTGTAAGATTATTTGATCGAGAACTTTGTTGGACAGGGAGAGAGCCAATATCCTCAAGATCACTATTTATGTAGCGTAGCAGAAGAAGAAGAAGAAGAAGAAGAAGAAGAAGAAGAAGAAGAAGAAGTTGTATGAGTAGAATGCTTGCAAGTTTTCATGCGGAAGAAAGCGTAGACTTCCACTAACAACGTACTTGCAATTAAGACCGATACGGACTTCGGGAGTACGCGAAGCGACTCATTTGCCCGGCGAGGATACAATAACACGGCCGCTCTGGAGATATGTTAAATCGATGGAGCTCGGTAAAGCTTCGCTTTGCCATGCGTTCAACTTTAGCGATCTTCATATTGACAAGAATACTAATCCGTTGGTGTTGATCTGAGACAAGTAACGACGTTTGTTATCTTGATCTTTTCCCCTGCCACCGTATTCGTTGAGGGTGTGATTGAGATTGTACAGCTTGATCCAGGTGTCTGCGATTTATACGTCATGCTGGTCATCGAGATGGATCGCGGGAACCTTGTTGGCTTGGTATGCGTTCATATGTTTATCCAGTTTTGTGAGAACTTCAAAATAAATCAAGCGACTGATTGGAACATGAGCATCAATTTCGTAATTTTTTTCTTTTTTTATCTTTATAAAGAAAATTGACGAAAAGGCCGAAGGAAAAGACAAAGTGAGTCATTTTTAAACGACACCAAAAAAAAAAAACGTTCGTTATTTCTTTTTTAGGTTTTTGTTTTGGAGAAAACCTTTTTTAGATTGGAAATGGGTTTTTTGCCAAGACCGTGGCGGGGGATGTTAAGAAACGCGAACACCCCCAACTTCATGGTTGTCAACAAACCCTATCCCATCACATCTACTGTGCAGATCGTCCGTGACACTGTAAAACCCCAACTTCTTTATAACTATTACGGTCACTCGAAGGACTTGAGGCTAAAATCACTTGACGCGTTTCTCATCCTTCGACCACAATAGGACAAACATGGCGTCTACATCAGAGGATCAAAAGCAGCTATCCGCCGAGTCCAAGCAGAAGGAGTCCACATCGGACACGACCAAGCAAGGGACAGAGCAAAGTGAAAGCACGGAAGCCCCCCCTGTCAAGCGAGGACGAGGCCGACCTCGAAAGCCTGAGCATCTGCGGAAGACAAAGCCTTATGCGCCCACTGGTCGACCACGTGGCCGCCCAAGACTGCCGGAATCTATGAAGAAAACAAAGACCAAGTCATCTAGCGGAGCAGGTCGCGGTCGTCCCCTGGGTTCCACCAGTACCAAGGAGAAGAAAGTGAAGGCGACGACCACAACCGGTCGTGGTCGCGGACGCCCTCCAAAGCAGGCGGCCTTAGAAACCCCCAACTAATTCAACCTTTGTGCTCGGACGGAGAAGGGCTGAGGCTCTCCAACAGTATGACGAGCTAGATCAGCAACGGATTGGGAATTCCAGTCGACCATCAGGCCGAGGGTTCCGGGGATGTATACCATCATGGGTATCAACAGGGCGTTGGAGGCTTTACTGAACATGTCAACTGTATGGACTGCATCAATGATCTTTATTTCCATGTCGGATGGATCGCTTCTACTAGCCTGTTAGTCACGTGTCGTTAATGGAATACACTTAACCATGCTGCCATCTCAAATCTGCGGGAGCATCATCCTGCATCATTCCGCATCTGTTCTATGAGCTACGAATCGCACGGTGGAACTGCCTGGCCCACGATTCGTTCCACGTCTTGTCGCTTGGAAATTGCATGCCTGAGCAAACGGAATGTGCTTCTCATATGTCACGGGATTTGAGAATCTTCAAATATTAAAATTCCCCCTCAGGAGTGAAATTCTCCCGTTACTGTGTGTTTGATCGCCACTCGTTCGTCAACACTGCTGTACTTTTGCAATAACTTGCGTACGTCACTTTGTCAACTTTTGATCGAATGTGATAGTATTTAGCAGACTATACAGACATGGCATGAGAAGGCGACCCAGTTCATCTGCTCAATCGATAGAATCTTTCACAATGCCGACAGCATTCTAAGGACGGGCAAATACGTAGAGCGTCCGAATTTGGTGGTCAGAGTCTACCGTGTGTGAAGCGTCAGAAGCTGGTCTAGTCCCCGATTGGGCTTAGAAACCACAGCTCTCCCCTGCTGGTACAGTAGGCACTTCGCCATGGCAGATTGAAGCAAGGCAAGCTGAGACACGAGACATCAGCGAGGCGGTCCCTGTTCGGACGAACGTTTGCTCTAGAACCTAGGTTGTGGTTTTGCTGGCTAGATAGAAATCAATGCTGAACACAATCCGCCCCAGCGCAGACTGCGCCTAAGAGCGTGGTACTGACCAATCCTAGGGTTCATGTTTTCTTTCCTCTCTCCTTCGAAGACCGAGGCGTCGGGATCAAATGTCACGAAGAGATATCGAACATCACTACAGCGTCATCTAGATTGACAAGGGTTGGGGAAGGGAGATGATGGGTTTTTAAAGCCAGTCGGCAAAAGTCAGTAGAAGATGCCAACTGAGCCTTCAAGCCACGATCAAAGCAGCCTCGCCCTCAATGTCACAAAGACGGCAAATCGGTACGCTCTTTACCATCAGTGTTCCAATGGTTTTGGCTTGTTACGAAGCGAGCATGGTCGGGGCAGAATAACCAGCGGCTGCCCCGCCTACGCCGAAGACAAAATGGGCACTGGAACCCCCGTTCGGTTCGTCTTTGAGAGGCCCACGCATCGACGGATGCAGACTTGTTTTGAATCGAACTATCAATTTATGCAATATTAAATTTTATCTTCGCGGCCCCTTGGCCTATTTTCTAGGGTAGTGATTTGCATCTGCGCGGGGCTAGCGGCCTAGACACAGCACGCGTTGAGCTTGTCGTTAAGTCTGCGCCTGACAGGGCGCGTCATGTCGAACGTATGCTACAGGCCTTCGCATGGCCATTGTTAAGGCGAGTATATAATCATTGTGCAATGGACGGTATGGAACAGAACAACTTGAAGTCCGATCACATCGCATAGCTTCTAAGTCTACGACCATCAATGATGTCTACGGAACTCACTCAAACTTTTGAACATAACGGGTACAAGCTCAGATGGACGAGTCTTGGGCCTGAAAATGCTCAGCCCTTGGTCTTCATTCACGGAACGCCCTGGAATTCGCGATTATGGGCACCGATAGCACTCGCGGTTGTGCAGACACTCGAATACCGCGTCTATCTTTTTGACAATCCCGGGTACGGAGAATCACATGTGCGCACGGAGACAGCACGCGATGATCCGGAACATGTTTCTCTTGCAGATCAGGCTGCTGCTTTTGCGGCTATCGCAAAGGAATGCTGGAGGTTTGGAGAAGAAAAGAAACCAGTCGTGGTGGCGCATGATTTCGGCGGTATAATCTCCCTACGCGCAGCCTTGATACACGGGGTTCAGTACAAGGGGATTTTCCTCGCAGACCCCGTTGCGCTGCGACCAGTAGGTTCGCCGTTTTTTAAATTGGTCGGCAAGCATGCCGACGTCTTTAAAGCTGTTCCGCCTTCTGTCTTCGCTGGCCTTGTGCGATCCTACATTACCGAGGCGTCGTACAAACAAATGGCAGAATCTGTGCTGCAGGGATTGGTTGCACCTTGGATCCGTTCAGAAATGACGCGAGCCAACTTCGTCGCGCAAATTGCGCAGTGCGACCAGCAGCATATCGCGGACGTAGATGGACGCTACAAAGAGATCACTGCAATTACACCGGTCAAGATCCTTTGGGCAAAGGAGGATCGCTGGATCCGAGTGGAGACCGCGTACCAGCTCGCTGAAGCCATGGGCATACCGAAAAAAGAGGTATCGGTCATAGAGGGTGCCGGGCATCTGGTTCACCTTGATGCGCCAGAAAGGTTGACCGCCGAGATTGTCTGCTGGCTTATGGGACTGAAAAATCAATGTTAGAAAAGTGTCTACAAACGAATAGTTTCTGAATATGCTCTCCTTCCTTAGTATCAGATGTGGTGGTGAAGCATATCGAATGAGCTGCAATAAAGGATATGGATTGTTCAAACATTCCTCGCTAGAAAGTCTTCCATTTGTACGCATACAATCATGGTATCCCGCTAAATGTAACAAATCCGTTCAATTGATTTTAGGTGCAGCAACCATCAGATTCCATAGCATGATGTTGTAAATGTTTTTCTGCCACGTCGACTTCGTTTCATCGTCAATAGTAGGGGAAAGGACGTCTACATAACGGTGCAGACACAGCACTCGCACCATCCGCCGTCGCCAGTTGGGCATGCTACACAGCCCTGCTTGTGGCCCTTGATCATGCTCGACGTAGCGGAGCCGGTGGTGTTTGTTGTGGTAGAAGAGGTCGTTGAGCCAGGCATATTGTTTTGACTTGGGGAAGGGGATTGTATAGTGTTGCGAGGATATCTGTATACATGCTTTAGTACCATATTTCTATAGGGAGACTTGAGTTCAGGGCCATATCCTTACATACAGTCTGTGACGAAGCGAGGGTTTGAAAAATGATGTTCAGTCAGACTGAAGCTTGAACGTGGCGAGATTGTGAGAATCTTCAGAGGTCAATTTATGCTGCCTCTGGCCTTGAGACTTCAGCTTTGGCCAGGAATCGGCCAGGGAACTGATCATACGATGACGCAAAACATGTGGCTTGTCGCTGCTGTGCAAGCAGCGTCACACTTCAACTGCTCTGATTGGTTAGTCATGTTTCGATGCTTTTCTCACATCGCCCATCCCAACGGCTTTGTACAAGTGCATCTCCAGTCTCGGCAGCGTTCACAGTCTTCGATCGCCCTTTCTGGTCTTATGAGTCCTTTGGAACGTTGCTTTGAATTCTCACGCGCTTCGCTTGTCAGTCTACCAAGCAAAGATCGAGAACAGCAACCATAAACTGGAGGAATGGAATATAGACTGGGACTTGTTACCGAGGCAAAAATCATAACAGGATGAAGAGAATTTAAAGTCTCAACTGTAGATTTGATACAAAAAGGCACGTACTGCGTCTGGCCGGTGTCCAGACTTTCAATACCCGTCTACGGATGCACAGAGGTCGAGATGGAGCTCGACGTGTAATTTGGAATTATTCCTATACCATCAGATGAATACAATTTGGCACATAATAGGCGTAGCTAAGTGCGCTGAAGCCACTCAATGAAATTTCAGCCCTTTTGCGATTCGCATGACAATCGGTATGCTGTTATCAACGAAATGGTCACAAGGTCTTTGGCTTCGCAGTAGTGAAGGAGACACCACAATGTGAATAAAAACTCAAGAAATAAAATTAAATTAATAAAATTGTAGAAGCGAGCAGTTCCCTATAAGCCTTGAGTTACACTATTTTTATACTCAACCATCCATTGCGTAATGGATATGCGTTTCACGGTTACTTTAATGGATATGATTAAACCATAGAAGTTTTGACTTTTAACTTGGTTGACACCGCAGCCGATTGAGGCCCAATAGACTTGATATTTGATATGTTACGTAGGTTTCATCAGCCCAACGCCTTCTGGACCTCCTCCTTGTACTCGGTCCTCCAGCGCGAAAGAGGCAGCCTTCCCTCAATGATATCTCCAGTAGCCCAGGCCATGCGTTTACGATCGGTCTCCTCCGAGACGTCGTTGTCGGGACAAATGACGTAGAATTTACCCTCGCTCATCTTTTGGTAAAGGTAGTCGGCGACCTGGTCAGGCCACCACGCGCCCTCAGGCTTTTCTTTGCTCGTCCCTGGAGTGTTGCCGCTCTAAACATGAATTAGCATGCTGTTCGTAGCACATGAGCCCCAAAAACTAGACTTACAAGCCCAGTGTATGTCCATCCGGGGACCTGCGCGAACAGTCAGCTCCAATGTTCGCATCTTAAACGGCGGGCGGAGATGACAAAGCCAAAGATCTAGCGAGGGGTCATGCTCACCAAGAGATGTACACTCGTTCCTGTATCACGGAGGTCCCATGACAAATGCTCTGCCAGAGTCTTCACGGCGGACTTGGATGCATTGTAGGCAACATTCCCTGGAGGATTTGTAATACCCTGCTTTGAACCGGTAATTACAATGGCCACTGGCTTCTTCTCTGATGATATGCTAGGAACGAACGTGTTTAAGCCATTCACCTGAATCTTATGTTAGCCCATGCATTCTATGGATGTTGAAAGCATAGGGCAAAATCCTTATTCCCACCGGGAAGGATGTTTTGAAATCAACCCCGCATGGGAAAGACGATGACCCACCACGCCAAAGAAGTTGACATCAAAGATCTAGGTTCTCTGTTAGCCTGTCACAGGCAATTCAAACGAGTTCATCTGCTATCAAGAAGTACCTTACGGAAATACTCCGAGTCGCCGTAGGTGCCCTTCAAGCCAATGCCAGAATTCAGCATGAGAAAGTCTGGCGCCCCGCCAATTTTTGTTTTCAACTCGCTCCACGCCTCTGGACTCGTAACGTCCATTTCATAATAGTCTGCGTCTTCCAACTTCGTTTTTGCATGCTTGATGTACTCTGGGTTGCTGTCCACTATGCTCACTTTCATCTGGTGCTTGCGACAAAGCTGTGCAACGGCAAAGCCAATTCCGTTGGCTCCGCCTGACGACGGTCAGATGCAACCTCGAGGAAGAGGCGGAGTCACGATGACATACCGGTAATAAGTGCAGTTCTGCCAGACGCAAATACGGAAGCGGGAGACATTTTGAAATGTTGAGGAAACTAAATTTTAAGGTGCGCTCGTCAAAGACGAGATTTCTTATGTTTTGGCTTAACTCCGAGATGCTTCGGCACAGGAGTTAAGTGATGACGTCGATCAGTCTTACGTGAACTTCGACGATGAATCGCAATTTGCGAGCGTCTTCCAGCTTACAGTGGGCGTGAGATGGCAAAAGATGAAGATGATGCGAAAGGCAAAATCCAAGAAGGAGATGAAGCAGAGGAAATCGAACGAGAACAAGCAAAATGGCACATGAGTAACAGGCACACGATATGCAACGGCGTGGATTCGTCCCATTCTTCTAGGGAGAGGTATGTATTCACCTCTTGACGAGACGATATTCCTCCCTCCTGTTGTTTCTTTCACGATGGGAGTGTAACAAACGAATTCATACACACCATCTATTTGTTCGTGACAGGCAAACCCATCTCTTGAGCTCGGTCATAGCGAATGACCGTTTGGTATCAAAGCACTTTTGGAAGCACAGTCAGCCTCATCTTCCTCCTAACAAGACAGAGCTCTTCACGCTTGATTTAAGTAAAACCAGAAATTCTGTGAGACTTTTTGCCCGTGCCTTAAGGCTCAAGATCTAGACAGAGTGGTGGTACAGGCCAGCGGAACGACTCGTCCTTGTGTTCGTGCGCAAGCTCAGGAATCATGGATAGAGCTTCATTCGGGTTCTTGGAGAGAGATTGGAAGTCAATTTGCGCGGTCATTGCATGAAAAACGTGGCTCATATGACTTTGCGCCTAAATTAACCTGCGTACGAGCCATGAACTTGTACGGGCAGCGTCCGCCTCTGGTGCAAGAGGTGCCTCGACAGTTCTTTTCACAATCATTCACATTACTCCTTCAAGATGAAGGTTGGGTCCACGATGTCTTCACATAAGCATGGCGGCCAAATCCATGGCCACGATCCTGCTATATGCAGAGCATAACCGTTGAACACCCGCGAGGCGTGCACTGCAGATCGTTTAGGTGCGAACACTCGTTTCTTCGGACGCCTAGAGCAGATCCGCAGAAGTATCGGGTCAAGCTGCGCAATCACGCTGTATCCGTAGGTACCTACAAGTACATGTTGCCTCTGCGCGGGCGAATCGGAGGTCCTCGCAAGAGCGCATGGCAGTGTAGCACAGCAAGAGGCGCAACAATGGTGGCCATGATGAAGGACATCAAAACCCCGCAAACTGGGATCAATGGCCAACAATACCCACTTGATTGGCTTGCATGTCGTGCATGATGAAATGATTGGGATTGGCTGTCCCGACTTCTTCCTTCAGCGGAGAGAAAACGGCCGTCCCACCGGTGGAGGGGCAACCTCGTTCAGCTACATGTATACTGCTTGACCGCGGCGCGACCAACGTCCCGAATTCGTGACACTCTATGCGCGTCAATTGCTGCTGCTCATTGTGCAGAACAGATTCGACCCTTCTGCGACATACCTCCTCTGCTGTCCAATTACGCGGCGAACCACCGCGCAAAGCGTCATTGATCCTCTTTGCCTGTACCTGCATCGACTTCAGTGCGTGAACACCGAACAAACCCACTCGGCCCACGATCTACAATACACGACAGGCAAAGCCTACCATACAATTTCTCACACATCACCGCCGAATACGAGCTGCGAGCACTTGACGCGCTGGGTTGTGACTCACAGCGGTACCGTCCACTTTCGATCTTAATCACGCATTTGCCCCCGCTTCCAGGACGCGCACACACACAGACACACAACGCGAAAATTCATCAATACAGGGAGTGCAAGAGGCAACATTCATCGCAAGGTTCTTCTTGACCTTCGCGAACTTTTTTCCCTTCTATATTCTCCAACGTTGGAGTCGTTTCCAGCTTCGGCACAAGGACACCTTTAAACAGGCTTTGATCCCACGTACGGAGGTCATAGCGAGGTGTTGGACTGCCTAGAAGCAAGCGAGAGACTCCTCACCTAATTCTTATGAGCGGCTATCTCTGGAAGTTCTACCTTGAAGATGACGTCGAGAACTTTCGGCGTGTCCTGCTGGAATCTGGGTATACCACCCGTTCCGGTGGCGCAACACTCAAGGGTCATACCGGCGCGAAGGACACCATAGGCCTGGGTATAGGGAGCCCCGGAAGCTTCGGGACAAGTCCTTCGTTGGTCGTAAAGGGCAAGAAGGATGTTGACCCGGCGCTAGGACACGGCAGCTTGACGCTGACAAGGGCGGATGTCAACTATCGCGACCCTATGGGTCGGACACTTTTGCATCTTGCAGCGTCGTCGAAATCGCAAAATGCGTATGAATTCGCATCTGCACTCCTCGGACATCCCTTGACCGATATATATGTGCAAGACGCTGAAAATGCGTGGACGGCCTTGCACCGCGCCTTCTACGCCGGAAACCTGGCTATCGCACATAACATAATACTGCGCGATCGCCAGGATGCGCTTGGCCACGGCTCTGGGCAGATCCATCAGCTTGCGGGAGGCCTAATCAAGATCAAAGATATGGAAGGGAATGGTCCGTTCGATCTTTTCGAGATGACCCTGCAAGGCAAGATGACCAACACGATTCACCTGCGGCATCACCCAAGCGCAAACGATGACAGCGACGATGAATCGATGCCGGGGATGATCGCTGAGGACAAAGCCCGGGGTAGCCTCATCTCGTATACGAATCTGCAAGGCGATGAAATGTTCACCTTCGGCAGCAACCAGAATATCACTCTTGGTTTTGGTGACGAAGATGATCGTCACAATCCTGAGCGCATCAGCCTTCGACGTCCTGACCATCTATATTTTGAGGCATATCAAGAATACGTCAAGTCACTAAGCTCACACTGGGCAGGTGGCGACCTGTCGAAATCGAGTATCATACAGCCTGTCTTTGTCACTGATTTGCCTTCGGTAATCAGAAACAAACCCATTCGTATTCAAAATGTGCACATGTCGAAATTGCACTCGGCGGTCTTGACCGACGATCCAAAGTCAAATCTACATGTTTGCGGTCATGGCCAAGGTGGTCGTCTTGGATTGGGCGACGAACGAACTCGATTTCAATTTGTCTGTGTCGATGGCGGCGCAATCGCGAACAAGAAGATTGCAGCCGTTGCACTGGGACAAAATCATACTGTTGCTCTTTCCGACCAGGGAGAAGTCTTTACGTGGGGTAGCAATGACTGTGGGCAGCTGGGCTATGACCTACCAAAATCCCCTGGACGCGATGAAGAAGCTATTCAAACGTCGCCGAGACGTATATTTGGCCCTTTGAAGAAAGAGACAGTTATTGGGATTGCAGCATCTCGGATTCATTCTGTGGCCTACACGGAGACCGCTTTGTACACGTGGGGTAAAAATGAAGGCCAGCTAGGAATAGTGCATTCGGAATCTCGATCGACGAAGATACAGGCCGTACCGCGTGACGTTGCGGCATCTCGTTTCTCATCACCAATCGCATCTGTGTCTGCCATCGACCGTGCCACGACGGTACTTCTCGAGAGCCGAGAAGTGATCGTGTTCGCCCACTACATTTATATCAAGGTTGACTTTCATCTTTACGGCTTCGACAATTATTTCTTGAAGTCCAGCTTCATGACTACAAAGTATGACGCTACACCAAACCGCATTTGCAAGATCGTTTCCGCTGGTGACACGATATGTGCGCTTTCAACGTCTGGCCAGGTTTACACTGTGACGGTCAGCGAGCCACCAGGATTACAGAATAATGAAGCCTCGACTACCAATCCAAAACTTGGATCTAAGAATGCGCTCTCGACCCCAGTTCGTGTCTGGTCAAACAAGAAGGCCCATTTGTCAGCTCGAGATGTTGACATTGATCAGAGCGGCTCCATCATCATTGTAACCCAAGCTGGCAGTGTTTGGAGGCGGGTGAAGCGGGCAAAAATCAAGGACGCAACGGCCGTAGGATCTGGCGAAAATAAGCCCAAGGACTTCAAGTTCTCTCGCATACCTGGCCTCACACGTGTCACTGCTGTCAGAGCCTCTGGATTTGGCGCATATGCCGCAATTCGGGAAGATTGCCAACAAATGCGTAACGAGATTAAGATATCGCCATCCACGCTGCTAAATGATTTGTGGCCGCTTGTACCATTCAAACCATTTCGTACAGCTTACGAATCCTCTCCTAGCCTCCAGAAAAGGGATCTCATCGATTTAGTGCTCATATCCAAAGATCCAGATGCAGATATTCAATCAATACTTCATCCGCGCGACGCCCCAATCTTACCTTACGACTTGCTTCTGTGCTCGACGACATCTGAAATTGAGATTCCAATACATCAATTTATCATAACAGCAAGAAGTAAGATTATTCGAACAGCGCTAGAGGAGCTTAATCTCTTCGAACAATTCACCATTCCAGATGTCCTCGTCGTCAAGCGAGGCGAAGATGGGCTCACGCGGGTTATCTTTCAAGGGGCAGATGTCGTTACTTTGTTCAATCTTGCGCTATATTTCTACAGTGATTCGCTTGCTCCTGTTTGGACTCGTCCACCTCAACAGCAGATGGCTTTCCGTTACCGCCAGGTTCGCGCAGAGCTTCAAAGGATCGCAAACAAGCTTGAGATGAATTATCTCGAATCAGCTCTAAAGCGACTTATATTACCGGCATCGACACTTCACCGTGATATGGAGCTTGCTTTCGCCGATGCTTCGTTTTTCGAGAATGCAGACATTGTCGTAGACTTGGCAAACGGCGAGGAGGCATGGGTGCACGGTGCATTAATCTGTCAGAGATGTCCATTTTTCGAAGGTCTCTTTAGAGGGCGTACCGGCGGACAGTGGCTTTCCGAACGACGCGGAAAGCTACAAAAACCTGAGGATGCCATTCGCGTTGATCTTCGTAATATCTCGCAAGATGTGTTCCAAAAAGTGCTCCGTCATATTTATGCCGGTACAGGGGCAGAGCTCTTCGACGACGTTGTTGAGGATGGCCTGGATGAATTTCTTGATTCAGTACTGGATGTCATGTCGGCTGCAAATGAGCTTATGCTTGATCGACTTTCGGAGGTCTGTCAACAGGTCATCGGTCGCTATGGTGAGTTCTTCGAGAATTTTTATTTGCCAGAGTACTAATTATCTTAGTTACCACACGTAATGTCTGTCAGCTGCTCAACGCTATTGCGCCTTGCTCTGTAACATCGTTCAAGGATAAGGCGTTGGAGTACATCTGCTACAACCTCGAAGCCGTTTTGCAGCATGGGTAAGGCTTTTTCCAATTCCACCTTCTGAGAAGCCCTGTTGACAGAAGAGCCAGTCATCTTGAAGAACTTGACGAGGACTTATTCTACGACTTGGACGAGACGGCTACTCGTTTGCAAGTTGATTGTTCAATTATGTCCCGAACTGGGCAGCAAGAGGAGCATATTCGGCGGAAATATCCTGACCTGGAGAAGCGCATTGAACAAGAACGACGGGCGAAAATTGATACAATAGTGCTGTTCAACAAATATGGCGAAGTCGACCCTCGAGCACCGGCCTCGTTCAAAGCAGGAAGCTTCCATCGCGCAGATGAGATGCCAAAGTCTACTCCATCGCGAAGGAGATCTTCGAGCCACATGCCACAATCGCCAAGTCCCGGTGCGACTCCGGAATTAAAAGGCAAATCTTCGGTTAACGATTTGATGTTTGCTATGGATGATGACGACGAAGACCATAAAATGTCGTCTGGCTCATTCAAGGATAAGATAACTGCTGTGCTGCCACATCAACCCCTCGCAACATCAGCATCGAGTCCATGGGGCGAGACTTCAAAAAAACCTGTGCCGTTTAGTTTTTCACCCGATGCTGGTATGTCGACCTCGTCACGAGAACCTGGGAAGCCGTGGGGTGCAGCACCTCTGCCATCAGCGAGGCTTGACTTGAAGGAGATCATGCAGCAGGCTGCGAGCAGCCGAACATCAAACTTGTCGGCAGGTCTTGCTGCCGCAAAATCCAATGCTCCTCCCGCCCTTCCATCATGCTCATTTACCAATAAAATATCACAAAAGGAGCGTAAAAGGCAACAACAACAGCTTCAGCAACTTTCCAAGAGCGACTCGTTGAATGTTCAAAGCACTGGAAAGTCTACAGGAACTACGAGCTCTCCTTGGCAGACAGTGAACCAACGAACCAAGGCAGCATCGCGAACATCTTCGGGAAGTGCGATTACAGCTCAACCTATTCTCTCTGGTCCCAAAGCGCCTCAAATGACGATGCGTCAGACCATTGCGAATCCTAGCACTCCTGTAAAAGACAAGAATGTTTGGACCGGACAGTCAATCGCTTCACCTTCGAACATGCAAACGCCGTCTTCAACGCAGAATCCCCCCTCTTCACGCATAACGTCGACTCCAAAGAGACCATCAAACACTCCATCGGCAGACAGTCCTGGCTTTGCCATCTCAGACAGACCTGTCACTGTTCAGTCGGTACGCCATGTACCAAAACCTGAACGAACCGTAAGCTCTGAACAACGCAGCTTAGTCGACATATTGTCCGAGCAAGAGATACAAAAACAAGAGATTCGCGACTTTGGTTCGAAACGCAGCTTAACGGAGATCCAACAAGAACAGGAGTTCCAGGAGTGGTGGGACAAAGAAAGTGCCAGAGTGATGGAGCAGGAGGCGGCGGCGGCGGCAAACGCCGCAAAGGCCAAAAGCAAAGGCAGTAGTCGGGGTGGCCGAAGACGTGGTAGAGGCGGAGGTGCAGTTGGAGCTGGTGACGTAGCTGCAGGTGAGCGAAAAAAGATCGGCAACAGAGGTAGGGGAAGAGGCAAGGAGGGCGCAGGTGGTACAGAATCAGCGACGGACGCGACTCACTCCGCTAATCCAGCAAGACGGCCATAATATACGATGTAGACGCCACTTTTTATGATGAGCGTTATGCCATGGGAGACGACATGAGATAGTAATTACACTTTGCATTTGTACTGTAGAACTTGTACATATTTGGTCAGAGCAATCGACCTTGAAAAACTTAGACCCAGCGCTGCTGCTTGTAATTCGCAACCGAGAGGAAGGAATTGGACCGATACCAGTACAGATATACCGATGTTCAAAAAGGATTACCCTTCTCTGAGAGGCCTCCATGCCGAAAATTTGGGGTGGAGTAAGGTCGCCTAGATAGGCACAGCTCTTTGATGCGGACGAAGGACTTGCTTACGAGGTATGTCTTTCTCTGGGGTGGTGATGACGATGATGATGCTCAAGTCAAAATGGAGGATGAAACTCTATAGGGTTATATTACCATCGAGTTTCATTTTCGAACGTGTGACCATCCTAATCGTTAACCAGGCTACGAGAGTTCTTTGGCGAGTGAATGGACTGTACATCCTTGCGTAGATATAGACGTTGCCATACTCGGTCAAATGGACTGGGTCATTTAGGGCATCCAACTCTTGCAACATCCCAAATTTCGCTAACTCTTTGGACGGGCTTTGGGTAGGGCGAAGAACAGGGCTACGTGGAGGGTCCTGAGCCCTGGAGCTTTGGCACGACGACGTCGACGTTTATTCATCAACGTGGACGCCGGCGGCTTGAAACGCCCTTCTCTTCGAACGACAGGAGAACCAGATCTGCAGCATCCCCAAGCGGCCCCTCGAATCCAGACGGAAGATTGCATAATATCCCAAGCATGGATCCTGTTCCGAATCGGCTCCCGTCTGGGTCAGGACGCGGCGTTACGAAACCCGCCCTCGCCCGGCCAAGAAATTAGAAGCCAGAATGATGGGCCAAGGTGGCTAGGACGACGAAGAGAAGCGGCCGGACCCAGTTGAACGTGACCTTGCTCGCGTACCCCGGGGACACATCCTGATCGGCGCACGGGAGACGCAGCTCATGATGTGCACGGAAGCTTCCGCATCGACGTGTGGTGTTTCAGCTGGCATGCTGACGCGCAGAGGATTGGCGTGGCTGCGCACGAGGGCGGCGCTTCCTGGAGCAACAAAGGATGACCGAACATGACACGCGTGGGCGGGTGGTGAGTGTTCCTCGAAAGGCTGACGGAGCTGCACAGAGCGGAGGAGAGAGATAATGCGTGGAGACGGCGGGGGTGGACGGGCTGAAACGGGGGGCGAGCGAGGTGAAAGCTCTGGCCGTTCCCGTTGTCGTGCCGCGCTCGCCAGAGTCCCGTAGCGCGAACGATCAGCGGTAGCCCACAGCACGTTGCGGTTAGTAGCGCAAGCCACACGTGAGATAACGCAGGGTCTCGCGCTCGCTATCGACCGTCTCCACCACAGTTCGAACAGGCACCGCTGCTCTCACATCACCTTGCCTGCTCGCATCCTTTCTGCGCATCCTTCGTCGTTCTGCCAGCGCCGCTCGTACAACATCGATCTCCATCGTCTTCACTCTTTTTCCCCTCTCCCTCCTTCCGCTTGACTTCTTCGAGCTTTCTCGCTGAGTTGCGCAGGGCCGGCCAATCGCCGATCGCACCTCCACAAACAACCACTCCACGCGCCTGCTCGTCCTCCTCGTCCTCCTCCTCCTCCTCCTACTCGTCGGTCCTCCTTCCCTCTCACTTGCAGCATCGCTGTCCGAACGCGACGCTCGCTCTCACCTGGCCCTGACTTCTCCAACATCATCTCTCTAGCACACGCTCATTCAGCTCGCGACACAGAGGCCCGTCACCATGCCTGGAGTCCGTAAGTCTGCTGCTCCCGCCTCCGTTCCCATCAGGGTCCCCGATGGCGATGCACTGCAAGGTTGGTTGCAAGCAATCTATAATGAACAATGCCCCCAACCGCGTAGACGCATTGTCCGCTGCATACCTCATCTCGCCATTTTTCTTGCTTATCTACGGCCTTTGCGTACATAAGCATGCGCGCGACTCATCTGTTCCAATGCATTGATTTCTGCGCAGCGTGTGCCAGCAGAGAAGGTCGTTATACGGATGTTACTGCTGCTGTTGCACCTCCAGAACGGGAACAAATATCATGTCCTGCGAACTGCTTATCATCATGAAGCACCCTCTTCTCAATCGCTCCTTAAATCACCGCCGTGCCAAGAGCAATCCAGGACATGTCAAGTGATACCCATGACTAACAACAATTTGACTCATAGCTCCCGAAGCGATCAACCTCATGAAGAAGACTTTCAAGTCGATCTTCAAAAAGAAGGACAAGAAGAAGACAGAAGAGACACTCGCCGCAGCCCCTGCTGCTGAGCCAACCAAGACCGAAGAGACGAAGCCCACGGAGACGGCTCCCGCCCCTGCTGCTCCAGCTGCTGAGCCCGCTGCCGCTGCACCTGCTGCCGCTGCTGCGCCAGCCGAAGAAGCCAAGCCCGCTGAGCCAGCACCCGCTCCAGAAGCGTCGACGGCCGAAGAGGCAAAACCCGCTGCTGACGGTTTGTTACTCCTTTGGCTCACCCATGCGCTTCTTCAGCGCGTGAATTGCGATGCTGACGTTAGATTATTCTAGCAACACCCGCTCCAACAGCAACTGAAGAGGCTAAGCCAACCGAGCCGGCTCCGGCCCCTGCGACCGAGACACCTGCAGCTGCAGCAGCTCCGGCTCCAGTTCCAGCTGCTGATGAGACTCCTGCGGCGCCCGCGGAAGCCCCGAAGCCCGCCACTGAGGGTATGTCTGCAACATCTGGCCCCTTGGCCGACAACCCGGAGTTGGCTGCCCCCACCGAAACCAAGGCATAGACGCGATGGTTCTTCAAGTTTCCGCACGACCTCTGTTCTACACGCCCGAGCATGCAACACGAATAAAAAACTTATGTTGGGATGAGGTAAGTCGGAGGGGTCAACGAATCCCCCTCTCCGGCTCGCACCGCGTTGGCGAAAGGGGGATGATGCGTCTGCGGATCATGACTTGAAAGTGCTGAAGGACGATTCGATGCTTATTTGAAGTTTTCTTTTCTCTATTTGTGGCTTCCAATCTTCTCGCTTTCACACTACCCTTTTTGGTTTTTTGGCCGTGTCTGTGGTCGGGGGCGGTGGTGTGTCCCACCGAATACGCAAAACCAACAAACACGACCCCTTCCGTTTATCCACCTACACGAACCCACAAACATGCTCGCACCAGTACGCACGCGCATGTACACGCACAACATGCAAACCGACCACCCGGCATGCTAGATTCTTGCGCGTTTCAAACAGGGAAAAGGAAGGAGCAAACTCTCACATTCGTGCAATGTGTTGGCGTGGATCGAGCGCGAGGCGACTTTGACCGGGCGTATACTTAATATGGTCGTTACTTGCGTGCAGTGGCTTTATATATACCCCCCAATGGAGTGCGACTGTTAATTCTACAAACTTTGAACATAAAGCACGTCGTCTCTCTCTTGCTGTCTTTCCCTCGTTTTTTTTGGTCTCAGAAAGCTTCTGACCTGCACCAAAGAATGAGCCACTCGAATCGACGGATAGTGGAATACCACGTGGGTTCATGTCAATTAACCAGCGTTCCAGGTGCTGTCGGTGTGTGTTGGTCTTTTTCTCCCCACGCCAAACAAATGAAATGTGCTGCTGCCAGTCTCGAGTAGACTGACTCGGCTGACATGTGTGCTGCGTGCTATTTGCTTTTTACGACTCTAGTTGCTAAACGGGCTAAATATGCAGTAACTTTTTTTTTATCTTTACTTTTTCCTTTTCTCCATTCCCAAATGAGGCTCTCTGACAGGCAGATCAACCGATGGTCAGGTTCGGGGACGGGCATAGAAAAGGGTTCATACCCACCCAGGCAGAACATTACAACAGTAGAAACAGAACTCTAACTGGCTGTGGCAGTTGCAAAATGGAGAAAAGTACTAAAAAACACATGTGTAAACGCAACCCCAAGCTGATGAGATATCTGAAGGCGCAGAGAAATGCCTTCTTACAAGCAGATAAATTGTTTTTGAACGCCAGGCCATGGACCTTCCCTTCACGTCATTACACGGCCGTGTGACGCAAAAATGTCTCCTTTCCCATCTCCTATGACGACCGTCCTCTCGCAGCCGTTTGTTCAGCTGCAATTTACCCCCTCCTTGAGCCGCCCCTACTGCCCATGCCTGGCGACCCGGCTTCGCGGACGATATTGAGGATGATGTCTCTGGCCTCTTCGACCTCAGCTTTGCCGCCGGTGATCTCCACGGCTTCGCCGCCTCCATTTGCGCCCCTTGCTCGAGGCACCTGAATGTCGCAGCCAGTCTTCTTTTTGATGCTGTTGATCTGGCTACCTCCGGGACCAATGATGCGTCCGTAGCTCCGTGAGTCAGGCAGGATCAGGTAACCCGTCCACGAGGGTTGCGCGGCCTTTGCTATGGCAGCCTCAATTTGGGCTTTCGCCTTGGCGAGCGACTCTGGATTGGAGCCGCGCAGGATCCAGGGAATCGTTGCATCGCCGTCTGTGCCTTCGTACGTTGCAGTGTTATCCACGAGCTCCCAGCTGTGCGTGTCCGCAGCAGCCGATTCGTCGGTCAAGAGGGGCATATTACCGTTGACATTGCGTCCACGGGCGCCACTGCGATTTGATGGGCGAGGAGGCGGCTGCTGGCCAGCGTGGTCGACGGTAACACCGTAATCATCACGAAGACGGCGGAAGATGCGGCCGTTGTCCGTGATGGCATGGTGGAATTTGCGCGGAACATCCACAGTCTCGCCCTGCTGCTCCTTCGTCAGAGTTGCAATATGCACTTTGGCACTCTCAACATCAGCTGGGAGACCAGTAAGTTTGATCTTGGTCTCATCGCTGCCTTGACGAGGAATGTCAATGGAGACGTTAAACTTTGACTCCAAATTTCGGCGGGTCTCGCCACCGCGTCCGATGAGTAGTCGATGTTTGTCTGCTGGAACATCGATATGATCGCTGACTTGCTCATCTCGTTGCTTAGCATACGACTCGATTGTGCTAACAATCTTGTCTACCATGGCCTTGTTGCCTTCAACGCGAATGCTGTTGTCGGTGTCGCCTGGCTTCGGGAACCGCACGATGCGAGCAATCATGCGAGCGTCGTCGGGTCCCCCAGCATCCAAGACAATCTTGCGAATATTCGCACCTGCCCTCTGATCAGCACACGAGCTACAGATCTCCAGAACAATAATGCAGATAGAACTTACCACCGGCACCGATGAGGCCTTTGTGGTGCTTGCGATCCACGTCCACGTTTCTGGTCACGGTCTCGTCAAATTGTTTCACACGTTCCGTGAGGAGCTTCTTAGCCTCAGCAACGGACGCCTTTGTGCCCTTGATCTTGATTTCGACTCGTCCCTGAGCATCCGCAGCATCTCTTGCGTTCGGGATGTCAATCTGGCAACCAGTCTGGAGCCTAAGCTGATCCATCTCGCGACCTCCCGCGCCGATCAGGCTCGGGATCTGCGCCTGCTGAACGGATAATGTCTCAACATGGGAGTTGTCCATAACGTATTGAAGCAGGTTGAGCAGCTCCTCGCGAGCCTCATCTGCCCCTCTCTTGGGGCCCTTGATAATAACCTCATCCGCTGCCTGGTTGCGGAAGTTGCGCACCGAGCCTAGCTCGGATGCATTGTCATCGGATGATGCATTCCTCGGGAAGTTGATGCGCACGTTGTACCGATCTTGAAGGCGGTTAACTTGCGAGCCCTTGGGTCCAATGAGGTCACGGTGGTACTGCGGCTTGACCTTAATGATATGGGTAGTTTCGTCTTCGAGCTTTTTGAGCTGGTTCAGGATGTGCGATTTGCACGCCGCACACTTCTTCTCCGGGCCTGTGAGCTCGACTTTGCCATCCTTGACCTGTATGTCGACATCGAACTCCTCGCGCAGGCGATTGATATTTTCGCCGCGCTTGCCGATCAAATGGTTGGCAAACTTCTGTGGATAGTCGAACTGCATCTTGAAACCACGCTCGGCATCGTCCTTTATCTCTTGTTCCAAGAAGGCCAGGATCTTCGCGTTCAGGTCATCAACAGCTGAGGCAGGGCCGCGAATTGAGAAGCTGTTGGGAGCACGCTGATTTGCAGGCCTACCCGGCGGTCCGAAGATAAGTTGTACGGGGAACTGATCCTGCGGCAAGCTCTCCTGCTCACGGTCAACATAACGGCGGATCTTCTCGTGGAACTTGGGTGCAGCTTCAAGCTGTCTTGATTCAATCGCTTGATGTGCGGCAATCAGTGCTTGTAACTCATTCATGGCTTGCTGAATAGCCCGCTCGTGCTCCTTGGCATCGGCAGGTGAGCATTGCTGGCGTGGAATCACATATTCCGAGGGTGAACCTGGCTGCTCGTAGACTAGCAGCAGATCTGGTGACTCCATATGGCCGTCCGGGAAGACAATGTGTACGCCGTGTTCGCGTCGAATTCTGGGGGCGGCACGCTGCTGCAGAGCCTGATGAAAGAAAGGATCTACTTGCATAGGTCGGAAACGCGAAGGCGGGTGCGCGCTGACGAGGTTCATAATGTCTTGACGCGCCTTTGTCGCATTCTTGAAGTCCTTCGCGTAGATTTCCCATGCCGTCGGACCATCGTCAGATGCGGGTAGAACGATGCTGGCATCGTGCATGCGCTCAAGCTCCTCGAGGGCACGTTTCTGTTTTAGATAACGGGTCATGTTACGGGCGTGCTGATGTCCACCGCCACGAGCGTTGCCGTGTGGCTTGGCCACATCGACGTTCATGGACTGCATCTGAGAAGCAAGTTCCATGACTTTGTCTAAACCTGCCTGTAACTTGTCCGCAGGGCCGACGACGTAGAGCGTGTCGTCGTCAACGCCAGGTGGAGGCTTCACAAGCGCACAGCCAGTCTCAGCCAGGAAGTCGTGCGCGGATGTACCACGATCACCAACGATAAACTGGTGTCGTCCCTTGTCGATTGGTGTCTGATCCACGGTGAGCTGACGCCGCAATACGGAAACCAGTTCATCAATCTCCTGACGCGCCTGCTGGGCGTGGGTGCGGTCGCCAGTGATAGAAATCGGAAGCGAGGCCTGAGGCGTAAAAGGAGTTGGTTGTCCCTGGCGCGGTGCCTGAGGTGGTGCAGCATCACGCCAGGTGTGGTAGTGCGGAATATTGATCTTGATGTCGCGATTATTCTCCAGCTGCTCGATACGAGAATTGTTCGGACCGGCGATAAATGGGTAGAACTCGGCAGGAATGTCCTTGAGGCGCAAGCTGACATTGGAGGTGCGCTCGTCGACTATCTTCTCAATCATGGCTTTAGCAATGCCAGATGCGATGAAATCCCCCTCGACGGACACGTCAATGACAGCGTCCTCATCATCGGCAGGCAACTCGTCCTGCTTCGGCATCTGAACACGTGCTCCAGATCGTTTGCTTATATCCTGGATTGTTGCGCCCTGGCGGCCGATGATGTGCGAGCGCACAGATGCGGGAACTGGGACCTTGATTGTTTGCTATTGCAGATGATCATGGATCAACATCCGAACACAAAATTCAAGGCTAAATGCCGTGGAGGAAAACATACCTTTGAGCCAATCTGTTGCAGGACCTCCTTCATGGCCTGTCTGCGCGCATCCTCCGTGCCAACAACCTCGAATATCAAGCCACCGTTGTTGCCAGCCTTCATTGCCACCTGAGCCTTGGACCGACGGTTCACATCGCGGACAACCTCGGGGATGGGTTTCTTCAGCGACTGCCTAGGGAGCAAAAAGCCGGGTGGCACGGCGACACGCTCGACCTGACGACCAGGGATATTCACGCCATGTGCACCACCGGGCCGTGTGCCCGGAAGCGTGGGCGTCGCCAGCCCAGAAGCTGGGGTCGAGGCACGCGAGGTGCCATTACTTGTGCCATTCGTACCGTTAGCAGCTGGCTTCTTACCCCAGGCCGAAGCAGTGGTGGTTGCGGCCTTTGGTCCGCCGAGAGACGGGAACGCCTCCTCGGAGTTGACATCAAATGCAGGGGCCTTCGGCTTCGCAGACGCCCCAGCTGAGGCATCGTCGACCTTTTGCTTACCCTTGGCAACGTCAGATGTAGCAGACGGAGCCGGATGGGCCAGATCTTCCTCGTCGACAACGTCCTCGACCGTGGTTCTGTGGGCTTCGTCGGCAGTGTGCTTGGCAAGCAGCTTCTGGGCTGCAGATTCGGAGTCGGTTCCTGCGGCAGTAGGACCGGGGAGAGAGGATTCGGCGGCCATGGCGAGAGGACTTTAACCGAGAAAATGGACAGGTGAGCAGGTAACGGGAGTAATAATGAGCTGTGGACAAGAGGAAATGAGCAGGAGATGGTTTCGTTTGCTTGTCTCCCTGTATGTATTCTGGGAGACGGGGCTGGACGGCAAAGGCGATGACGATTTCAAGACCTAAGCGTCGAATGGATGGTTAGTGTCCAGCAAAAGACAGTTGGCCAGATGGAAAGAGGGACCGTAGACAAGGCTGCAGGCGGAGCATGCAAGACGAACACGGCGTACCTTTATCGATGAGGATGGGAATGCGTAGGAGCGGGTGTACGAAGAGGCGACCGTAGCTGTTCGGACCGGAGACGAGACGAGATGACCTAGATGCTGAAGACGAGCAGCGGAAGCGGATCAGTCCATTGCGTGCGGGCAACACACAAAACAGGCAAGAGACGTCTTATGAGGTGGAATTGGAGCGGTCAGCGGAGGCGACAGCGGACGGGAGGGGACGAAGGACGAGAGGGGATGCGCGGAGGATGGAGGTTGGGTCAGGAAAATGATAATATCTTGGTGGTGATGAGGAAGAATATGGGGGGGTGTGGATGCGTGAGGTTGCGGCCGGGTCGACGATTGCTTTGCCTGTGCTGGTGGCTTTTTTCCCAATGGTTGGTCCAGGGGGGAGTCCCCATAAAATTGCCGCGCCAAGATTTCCGCGGACCCTGGAGTGTGCGCTTTCGACGCCGCCGCTAGCGGGACGTTTGGATCATTCCAGAACCGCCAGGAACATGCGCCGAACATCAATGACAACGAACTCGTCGCTTCCGCCGTATTTGCCATCTTCTTAAGCTCGATGCTCGGAACCGGACACCGCCGAAGACACCGGTGCGCGGAGGAAGGAATCCCTGTCCGTGCGTGACCGCAGACGCACACCGGTAACGGCCTCCCTGCACGGCCTATGACAATCCCTGGTGTGTACGTCACCGCTCGACGTCGTCGCCGTCGGTAGTTTCAAACGTTCAACAGCCACTTCCTATACACTCCCGCTGCACCACCAGTGCTGCAGAGCAAGCCTATGTATCTGTCTTAAAGCCGATCAAAGTCACGACACCCTCGCTACGCAACCACGTCTACGTCTGCGAAGTAATTCAGCATGCTCACGTCCTTATCCGTCCTCTAACCACGACCTCCCCACTCCCAATCTCAACCCTCCAACCTTCCCGGACCAAGGCCCGCGACACTGCAGGGCCTAGCTTCGCAACGCCTCCCTCACTATGCCTCCCGACACCCGTCACAATCCTATACCCTTCCCCAATGGCTCTTCCTCCGCCCGGGATCTTCCTCTCTCCAAGTCCGTCCCACCACGCCTTGACCCTTTCGGTTGCAATCCGTGTCGCTTCCTTGACCGTGACGCCATGCAGATCGAGATGTGTCGCTGAAGACTGTGATGCGACGAGAGCGTCCGCGTCGAGGGCTTGCGCGCTATGCAACGCCGCGGAGTAATCCCGCCCAATCTGAGAGTAGTAGGCTGCGGCACCGCCCATTAGCGGGTTGGACTTGCCCTTGCGATAGTACCTTGACGCATTCTCGAAAGCCGCCGAACGCGCCGCGAGGAGGCTTTTGGTGTCCCCAACGGGAGTGGTTGCTGCAGAGGGAGCCGCGCTCTTTGGGCCTAGTGATGTCTCGTCGTCCAACTTAACAGGCACGTACTGCGGCATGAGCGCCTCGGGGGGCATTGTATCCTCCCCGTTCATCGTAAGCGCCTTTGCCAGCTCATGGGCGTACGCCGTGGACGGAGTCGTGAGTCGTATGAGAGCCAAGCAATGCTCAAAGGACAAAGCGGGAAAGTCCTGAGTCAGATCCACCGCGTACGCTTCCTGCTGTGCGTCTACCTTCTGGGCTGTTCCATCACGCATCTGTGCCTGCATCAACGCTGCGATAGTGCGCGCCTGCGAAGCTCCGCTCATGTGGTACAAAGATGCCACTGCTCGGATGGGCATCCTGACGCGTGTAGCGATGAAGGAGATCTCGTTGTTCGCGTGCTCCCACCTGTTTACCGCCGCAGGCGCGTGCGCTGGCGCAGACGCAGACCGCGCATGCTCATTTAGATCCTGAAACTTCCTGGCTTTGCTCTTCTTCGCGCGACCCCGACGCGGCGCCGGCATTTGGGCGGGAGATGAAAACGCGTCTACTCCCCGCATGGCAACGAGAGAACCGCTGCCATCCTCTTCCTCAAAGAAAACCTGATTCAACAGCACGTCCATGGCCCTGCCAAGGTCGTTTTCGCACTTGCCGAGCGTGAACTTTACGTCCACAGGCCGCAAGCTTGGAAACAGCTCGACGAGCAGAGCTAGCTTGGCGTCCTCACTTAGACTTGCGTACTCATCTAGTACTTGGCTTTGCGAGTCCGATGAATTGGATCCCGATCCAGAGGTAGCCTCAAGACTAAGTCCTGATACACCCGTCGCAATGCTCGCGGACTCGGGTTCCGACCGTGACGCGGCATGGCTGCTTTGGGAGATGCAATCGTTCCCACTGGTGCCGGAGGGGTCGAAGCCGGCAGCGTCGTCCGCAACAGCTGATGCGCGAAGCGTCTCCAGTTGCTCCCGCACAACTTGCACGTCCTCAGCTTTGCTCAGATCATAGTCCAGCACGATCGCTCGTATCAGTGCCGAGTCTAGTGGCACATACTCTTGCTATATCGCATGCATTAGTTTGCTGCACATCTCCGCAATCGTGTTATTCTGAAGGTACACTACCTCTAAATCTAGAATGACGCTCTCAACCATTCTGAATGCTGGACAACACGCGCTCTAGTTGTAATACGTAACTGCCAATTCTTCGAGATGGTAAGAACATGTTCAATATTTCTCTATACTGGGGTGGCATTGGTCAGCGCTGAAGAGTGGTGACGGTGGAGTCAGAGCGTGCAATTCGACATTATCGAATGGCAAAGAGTCACGCCCGGCAAAATGTCGGCTCCACAACACTGCCTTATCCAAACTGGGAAAACAACTACAACCTCGTCTGGTAACGGGCATCCAATTCGTGTCTAAAATGTTTGTGTTTTTCGTATATATCATAAGTACATCTGTGCATAATTTTTTTATTTGATTGATGCATTTCGTCATGACGGACCCGTTCAATCGGGATACTATTGGTTCTATAGCATAACCAATCTGTGAACACCTCCAACCATTCCGGTGCTGAGCTGGACGGCTTGGACAACCTTCTAAAAATGCCAATTTCTCTTCCTCTTTATCCCTAATTAATCAATTATTCATATTCTGTCTACAAGATCACTACCGTGGCGGCAACGACGCCCTCATCGCCGATCAGGCCCTTGATAGCCTCCGGACTCGGCGGTTCGTCGACCTTGAGAATCATCAATGCCTCATTGTCACCTTGGCCAGGAGCCCCAAACTCTAGTGGCGCCACGCTCATGAATTTGATGTTCACGCCCGCTTTTCCAAGCACCTGTCCCACGTGTCCTATCTTACCAGGACTATCGAAGTTCCTGCAAATCAACAGGTTTCCGTCGAGCACAAAGTCGGCGCGGAAGCGGCCCAGGCGTGAGATGTACGGCTGCCCGCCCGAAACGTGGCCCTGGATAACTTGCTCACGGAGCTGCTTGGGTGGATCTTCGGTTGACGCAGTGGCAGGCACGGAGGAGGATCTGCTAGGTCGTGCGCGGACAGTAACGATGGAGCTGAAACCCTCGTCGGAGGTTTGCTCGCGCGAGCGTTGCTCATTGATAAGGATACCGCGCTCCTTGGCGATGAGCTCGGCGTTGACGATGTTTACATTTGAGCTCTCGGGGCCGCTGATGGCCGCTGTCAAGCCTTTGACAAAGGCAGCGAAGAGAGGCTTCGTCGTGTTTAGATTCGCCAACGCTCCCTCGTATGTAAGATCGAAGGTTGAACGGAAGTCCTTCCCTTCCCCTCGCATCTGCGAACCATAATATTGGGTGTAAAGGCTGCCCATGCGCTCCACGAGCTCCACAAAAGGCGCCAAGGTTCGGTACTCTTCCGGTAGAATTAGAGGCGCATTGACTGCAGAGCGTGGTAACGCGCCTCCCAGGATCTGCACGACCTGCTCACAAACATCGATCGAAACATTCTCCTGAGCCTCTCTCGTCGAAGCCCCCAAATGTGGAGTTGCTACCACCTTTGGATGTGCGATCAATTTTGCAGCGGTCGAATCCTCAGCTGGGGGTTCTGATGTAAAGACATCCAGACCGGCACCAGCAATTTTCCCTGCATCAAGGGCCTCGAGCAAGGCACCTTCGTCAATGATACCACCTCGTGCAACGTTTAATATCCGTGCAGTTGGCTTCATCTTTCCCAGCTCAGCGCTGCTGATCATGCCCTTTGTAGAAGCAATCATCGGCGTGTGAATGGTCAGGAAGTCGGCTTCCGCAAAAAGCTCGTCCATCGAATCCTTGAGAGCGACCTGTGCCGCTGCGCAAAGCGCTGGGTTGGCGTAAGGATCGTAAGCGATGCAATTCATGCCAAAACCGTTAGCGATTCTGGCAACAGTCAAGCCAACTGTGTGTTCTTTAGATGCAATCTTGGCCTTGGTATGAGATACCTACCTTTGCCAGCTCCAACAATAGCAAGCGTCTTGCCCTTGAGCTCGATACCTGTAAACTTGCTCCGCTCCCATTTCCCGGCTTTCAGGCTCGAACAACCTTGGGCTACATTTCTCGCTACGGCCATCATCACTGAACTTGGGAGTTAGTCTTGCTATGGCACGGGTCTTTTAGCCTTCGTCTTTGTGGGCCCTTACAAGCAATGGTATGCTCAGCCGCAGCATTGATGTTTCCGCTGGGACTGTTCACCACAATGATACCAAGCTTCGTAGCTGCATTCACGTCGACATTGTCGACACCCACACCAGCTCTCGCAACAACCTTGAGCTTCTTCGCTGCCTTCAGCAGGTCTGCTGTGACCTTGGTCTCCGAACGCACAATGAGAGCTTCATAGTCGGGTATGATGTCGAGCAACTGCTCCGGTGTCAATCCTCGCTTTTCGTCGATCTCCAGCGTCTTCTGGAGAAGTGCAAGGCCGTCTGGAGACACCTTCTCCGGAATGAGGACCTTGGGCTTCGCGTGCACGCTGCCATTGGCCTCTGTAGGAATCGGCATGGTGATCACTCGAGCAAAGAAAAATTACCTGGAAAAGGAAGAGCTAGCAAGTTGGCAAGGAGCAGTGGACAGGAGGAGAAAGGAAAGAAGAGAAGGAAGGAAAGAGAAAGACGGTCAGGGCGAGGGAGACTTAGTCACACAACATCGAGCTCCATCATGCGGACCGTGGAGGACAAAGGTGAAATTTGGGGCCGTCATCGGAAGGAAGAGACGGTTGGGCTGTGCTTGTGGTCGCGCACGCAATTGTGCTGAAGTCATCTGTACAGCACAGGAAAAGAAAAGCCACTAGCTGCGAACTCCGGTATAGGACTCAATTGGTCCGGCGGTTGCGTGAAAGGGAAGATCGAGACTAAGACGAATGGATTTGCAAGTGTAATGTCTTTCCACACTTGCCCCGCCAAGGTTAGCGGCCTGACCCCACCATGTGTCGGGCCAGGGTGCGGCGTGGGGAACGGTCGCGGATACGTGCATGGAACTGCGCAGGGTCGAGGCCAGCGCGCTATAACGGGTGCGAAGCGGGAGAGGGACGACAATGAGAAAATAGATAGCCAATCATTCTGAAAGGAGCGCGTGGTGGTTTCTGTCCTTCAATTTTGTGGGGGTTTCGTTTTACATACATCCTAGAGCCGTTGGCGCCTGTTGTCTTTGCATGAGCGGCAGTTGGAGGTGTGTTGTCTTGTCGTGGAGAGGAGGAATCACCAGTCGGTTGTCTTCTTGATTCCCTCGTTCTGCACCACCTCAATCCAGTAACCGTCCGGATCTGTTTTCGCGTAAGTGACGTGCGCTCTCGGGGCTCTTTGGAAGACTGACCCAGGACAAAGGCGATGTTCTTCATACGACCGTCCGTAAGCCGCTTCTTCCAGTTCACCTTGAGATCCTCGAAGCGCTGGCATGCAGCCTGAAGATCATCTACAGACACACAGATATGACCGAAGCCTTGAGGCTGGTCATTGCCGTTATGGTACTTGAAGTCCTTGTCGTTCTCGGTGCCGTAGTTCCAAGTTAGCCTGTGCGAAGGTCAATGTCAAACACGTCTGCAATAAGTTTGAAGCATCATACTCGAGAAGACCTTCGTGATCAGCGCACGGATTCACGCCGTTGGGGGGGTTGGGATCCGCATCAGCTCCGTAGCCAAGGAAGTACAAATTGAACTTGGCTGCTGCGTTCTCGGATGTACGCTTGAGTTTCATCCCCATGACGTTTTGGTAAAAGTCGAGGGAGATTTTGGGGTCCTTAACCCGAATCATAGTGTGGTTCTGCAAATCATCAACACCTATTAACAGAAAGCCATACCCGCCATCCTACCATTCGATACACGCCCAGGTCGGTCGTTGTTTCGTTTTCGGTCTCTTGTACGTTCTTCTGGCCAATGATCTAAGTTGCATGTTAGGCTACAAGCATGTTCCATTTTACACCAAAGCAGGACTTACTTCAACCCAATAGCTATATGTTTTCGGTGAGCGAGGAACTGGTCAAGATCTGAAAAGCCGCACTTACCCATCCGGGTCCTTGACAAAAGCAATGTGCTGTCTCCGTTAGTCCAATGAAACAAAATCCGAACAGGTCGTAATCACCCTCATGCGACCATCCGAGAGTTTTTTCTGAAAAGCGCAGCCCATATCCTCCAGTCGCTTGCACGCGGCCTGGATGTTGTCGACGCTGATGGCGAGGTGGCCAAAGCCCTTGAATGGCTCGGCATTACCAGTGTTGACCGTGTAGTTCTCGTCGTTCTCGGTTCCTGTATGCTTGGTTAAGCGGGTAGCCTCAAGACGGTTCGCATTTCAAGGCCGTACCGTAGTTATGTGTCCTGCACACAACGTGGTTAGCGAGAAGCTCCGCAGCTCCAGGAATACGTAGATCACGCACAATTCCACGATACCCTCACGGTCGGTCCAATGCTTTCCCGAGGACACGGCTTTTGGGCCGTCGTAGGCAAGGAAGTAGAGATCAAACTTTGCGTCGGGATTCTTCAGAGTATTGAGCAGTGTCATGCCAAGGGCATTCTGATAGAAGTCCAAACTCCGCTTGGGGTCCTTGACCCGCAGCCTGAGGACGGATCAGCGGTTGGTTGCATCATTTCGCTGAGCGTGGTGCCAACATACATGGAGTGATTGAGCTTGTATCTGGTCGGATCAGTCGACATGGCGGCGAAGTTCCTGCTCTGCGCGAACTGGCGAGATGGGATGTGATTGTATGCGAAGCGTGAAACAGCTTTGGGCAAGCGTCGTCCAAGCATGCAGTCCAAGCACGAAGTGAGATGCACTCTGCACGACGACTTTTCTTCGGCGGAGGATCAGACCGTTCACTACAACAAGCTATGACGCGCATGAGCTAGCTCCGTACCCTCGAAGAGCCGATGCCGGAGACGTCCAATCAGAGCGGCACCGCTGTCCGGTACACGGTCTGTAAGCAAGCTGCACCGGTAAGACGCCGTCAAGCCTTATTTTCTGCTTGGGATGCTCATGACGCGAGGTCCATGGCCGCAGCCGGGCAGCGCCAGGAACCGACGCTTGGTGCAGTCACTGCAGCGGTGCCGGATGCAGTGGACATTGGACGAACTTTGAACGCCGGCTCAAGCCTCCCACGTGAGATCCTTGCTCAGTGAACGAACCGTGCGTATCACGCTGGCGAGCGTCTGCTGCAACCTCGCGACGACCCAGCGCGCGTTGACACTCCTCCTTCTGCTGTCGCTGTCGCTGTCGCTCTTCCGTTGTCGCTCTCGTCATCGCTGCAATCGCCATCATCGCCGCCATCCCAGATTCGCTCTGGGACGGCTGAATGCTCTGTCGCCGGCGATCCAGGCTCCACACTTGCACCATCGCCCGCCTCATGTCGACGACGGCGCGCTGGACGGGAGGGCAACGACTACGCCCTAGGTGAAGGCCAGCCAGGTAAGTGCTTGTGCGACTCGCTTGCCGTACATGTGTTTCTTCTTCGCTTTTCGGACTGCGTGCCTGCTGCTCCCTGTTCTTGACTTGATAGTCACTTCCCCTTCACTTGCGCGTAATCAAGACGACAGCATGCACATTTCACTCCTTGCCATCTGCACTCATGTCGTACATTTCCATCTTCCAATCTATCCATATTGCTTCATGTTTGGGCATCTGCATCTTCATACCATACAACCCATCCCAATCCGGCAATTAGCATTCCTACCTTCATTTCCAACTGGGCCCATTCGTTTGACATGCACGGCTCGAAAAGCGCCCGAACGGGCACGTTCGACTTGTTCGACGACGATATTCCAGAGAACATTCTTCCTTTGCGCAGCATCATCGACTGTATGCCCTTGGATAGATTGCTGACTCGAGCACAAAGATCTGGTAGTCCAAGCGCTCTACTTAACAATCGCTCCATCCACAGTCGGCACTTGCCGCCGTCTCCCGTCTTTCTTGATATTGAAAAGGCCGTCCAGCAGGTACTTCGCAAGATGCTCAACGCAAAGGAGCTGGCGCGGGTTCTGAACGCCAACCTGCACCCACAGTTCTTCTCGTCGTGGCTGTGCGTTCAACTTCTGTTTTTGTTTACGTGAGTGCTGACGAGAAGAGTAGTGTTATGTCACCAAACGCCACACTTCTAGCTTACTCGGGTAGCCCCAATATCCAGCAACTGCGCGACCAGGCTGCACTGCTCTCTCAGATATGGCGGGAGCAGAAGGCTAAACTCGGAGGTCAGTCTTCAACCAGTCTAACAGACCACTTCTCCAGCAGCGCGTCTACCGCGAGCACAATTGCCGAAGGCGCGTTGGAAACGCTTACCATAGAGAATGCAAAATCAAATATTATCATCCGGGCCGTGCAACCACGGCTTCTGCTGGTACTGATTGGTGGCTCGCCTCCGCGCCGCCCCTCAAATTTCTTCAAGCTCACAGCCGAAGCTCGCGGGGACCCACGATATCCACCCGAACTTGTGTCGCCTGATTCTGGCTCTGCAGGAAGCGCGCACGACTCGGTAAGAGGGGACTCGCCTCCTGCTGAAGTACTCACCCACGACCACGAGAGCTTTGTGGCCGACCCCCCTGCTCAGTCGCAGCACCGGGATCTGAGCGAACATGAGAAGATTGAGATTCTCGACTTGCAGCGAAGGAAGATCGATGCCGCGACAGAGTTCATACGCGGCGACTTTGAGTCGAAGAAGTTTGTCATGCCAGACGAGATCTCGATTCCTTAATCGACGAGGAAGGCACATTGTGTGCTTTTTACGACGAGCTTGAGCTCCATTTCTGCATTTTCTCTGCTCTTCGCGCGGGAGATAGGTCTGAGCGTTCTTTCAGAGCATGGAGTCAAGTAGCGGATTGATATACGCAGTATTTATTCGCAAAAGCATTCTTGTACGTTTATATGTGATAGCGTTTGATCGCAAGGCTTAGCAACGGATTGCAATCACTTGACATTCAGTCGTCACTCCCAAATGCCCGACCTTTTTATCCTCTTTTATTATTTTTTTTCTCCTTTCCTTTCCCACGCTGACGTGCATATCGCTCGCGCAAGAGGGGCGCCATCGTGCAAAACCATGGTGTTCTCACCTTTCCTCATCGGGCGCGGAGTATCTTCCGCTGAGATGTTGGTGGGGATTTGCCGCCTTGGGGGGACTTTCCCTAGCAATGAGGTCATCGTGAGCAAAGCATTCGACTCTTCCTACACTGAGACAAGCTAGCACCATGCGGAGACTGCGACAAATGGCATATTCCAGCCTGTCAACACACCCTTCCTGACACCCTCCTTCTCATAGCTGCGCACAAAAGAGACCTTCGCGATTTTCCAATCACAGCCTGTTCCTGAACCCCTCACCACCGGTGCCAATTGCACACACAGCTCGCCCTGCAAAGCCGCTGATCCGGAACCCGACGAGCGATTAGTTAAAAGTACGGCAGACTCTTGACCTTCTTGACGATGTCTCGCCTCATCCGCCCCCAACAACTCTTCACCATGCGTCGCACCGTCCCTTCGGGCACGCGAATCGCATCTGTCCGAAGAACCTACCACGCTTCCGCCCCGCAGGGCTATCCGTACAAGGACAATCAGGACAGGGACTCTCTAAGTCCGCGGAGCACGGAGTACAGCCAGTCCGAGTCGGACGACGCAGCGGCGGCGCAGGGGGAGGCGTTTGACCCACAAAAGACAAGTCCCGAGTCGCAGAAGAAGGCCGCGGGGAATCAGCAGCAGACGGTACGTTCACCAGCCTCCAGTTGTATTCTTTTCGACACATACGAGTCTGCGCGCGTGTCCGGGCTAACGTGACAGCGAAGGGTGGAAACCCGTTAGAGATGAGTCCCGCGAACCAAGAATCGAGCAAGGCGCGCGACCCACAGGAGGGAGGGCCGACGCGTGCACCGGGCGAAGGTGAGGGGAGCAGAGACCGCACGAGCACCCGGGCAAGCCCCAAGAAGTCTGGCGGTGGCCTATATGGCGGCTCATAATAGTATGCGAAGGAGAAGAGGATGGCCTAGGATCACGGATGAGAACCGCCATGTAAAAATAGGTGATCACGGGCTCGATTTTCGGGTTCAAGAAAGGGCCAAGACTCTGTTTATATTGCCAAGTCAACTGAGCAATGAAGCAAAGGGAAATGGAATACAGTCTACAACATAGTGTTTCCGCACACGTCCAAGGTGCACACCAGCAAGTTCTCAGCACGCACAAAAAGATGTCGTCCAACTTTTGAAGTCAGAAGAAAAGCTAATACACTTCCAACACATATCTGCCCTGGTCCTTCAACTCTTCGATGGCCCTTCGGCTGTCAATCTTCTTCGTGACGCCTCGGCTCCTCTCCTCGGTCTCGAAGGCCTCCTGCAACACCTCCGTAACATCGGGAACAGGCCAGGTCGGTCCGCACAGGTAGAAGCTTCCCTGCTCTTTGAAGTAAGCCTGTCTGACTTGCTCCATAGTCTGCCGCATGCGGTCCTGGATGTAGATCTTCTCAGGCTGATCTCGAGAGAAGGCGCAGCCCATGTGCGTGATGATCCCGGCATCGCGGTATGCCTCCCACTCTTCGCCGTACAAGTACTCTTCCTTCTGGTGACGCGAGCCCATGTACAGCATCACAGCACCGATCTCGTGGCCCTGTTGCTTCTGGAGTGCACGTTCCTGGACGAAGGCACGGAACGGCGCTAGGCCGGTGCCCAGGCCAGCCATGATGATGGGGGCCGTGGTCTTGGCCGGCAGCTTCATCACGGACGGCTTGACGGAGACGGTGACGGGGGCTCCAACGGGGAGGCTGTTCAGATACCTCGTCGCTTGGCCGAAGCGGTCACGGCCCTTAGGATCGACCCAGTTCACGGTCACGATGAGGAGCGACACGGAATTGGGCGTGACGCGTTGGGAAGATGCGATCGAGTACTCGCGTCGCTTCATGGGGCTGACGATGCGAACAAGGTCGTGGAAACTTGGATGCGCGGACGGATGTTCGAGCAGGATGTCAGCGAAGGTGATGGTGTCAACTTCGGCGCGACGCTTGAACTCAGTGGCACCCTCGGGCGTGCTGAGAGTGAGAAGGGCCTTCTTCTCCTTCTCATCCGTAGCAAACTCAGCAAGGGCCTCGTAGAATTTCTTCGGCGGCCGTCCAAAGATGTCCACGTTTTGGAGGAGCGCTTGGTATACGGTTCGGCTCTCGAGAACGTCTGGATCCTCGCGGCTGGGCACCTGCACAATCTCGTCCGCGTTGAGACCGTACCACTTGATAAACTCTTCGACCTCGGTCTTGTCATTCTCTGCGTGGATACCAAGAGCCTCGCCAATGGCGTATGTGACTCCTGAATCGCCAAGGTCAAATTCGATATGGAATATGTTCCGGTCGTAAGTGAGAGGCGTGAGACGACGACGTTCCTTAACATGCACCACTGCAGTTTTGACGCCCAGATCTGGTCGAAGCGCGGATCGTGTGCCGTAAGCTTCCTTGAAGAGCAGACCTTTTGCAACCGTGGTCCAATCTTCGAGCTCGTTTGGCGGGCTTGGATCGACGCGTTCAAACTTGGCAAAGCTGTTGACTTTGACCTCCGTCGGCAGAGATATCTTCTCAACCTCGGGCTCGATCGTAGCCCATGACTCTGGAACCTGGACAGGCTTGAAAACTGTTTCAATTTCAGCCGCGATAGCATTGATCGTCGCAAGATCACCGTTTATAGTGGCCAGCTTCTCAAGCACCTTTGTAGAGCCTAGATAGCCAGCGAGCTTCAAATAGACAAGCTGAATAAGCAATGACTCAAGGTCGGCGCTTTCAGAGACCTTGGCGGAAAGCGTGGCATCGATTACAAAGAGCTTGACGCCCTTCGCCACGATACCTTGTCGCAGACCGACAGGAAGTTTCTTCTCCAGATGCTCGTCCTTGAATCCGGGAAGCGAAACCACGAGTGCGCCACCATTTTTCATCGAGTTCAGAGGATCATATTCACCTAGCAATTTCTCGCCGCTGACAAACACTACATCTGCCGAGTCGATAGAGTAAGCTGCCTGGCTGGACTGGCGTGAAGTGCGAATGTCTGTCTTCACAACACCGCCCTGGATCAGGTTGTCGTGCGCAGCGCGGACAGAAACGTAGGAGCCTGAGAAAGACGACAGTAATTGACCGAGCGCAAGCGGCGCAAAAGCCGCGGGAGAGTCGCTCAACGCCCAGAAAGTAGACTGGTGAGTCGTGTCGTCAAATGTGGCGATGCTTGTATACTCGCCAAGACTCTTTGCGCCTACAATCTGTTGGAAGACCTTGAAGATGGCGGCAGGCGACCAGACCGTGGACTTTCCATACTTGATATCGGAGATCGCCGGCTGCTCGGACAAGAACGTAGAGAAGCTTAGGGCAGCAAGAACATCTTTGTAAAGCAAGGACGAGATGCTGGCGTCTGCAACAGCTAATTCGTCCTCAACTTGGCCGAGAACAGCAATAGACTTGACGCTCTTAGGTAAAGCCCTGACGAACTCATCCTCGACGAAAGGTCGATAGACGCGGACATTTACCACGCCAACCTTTGCACCATCTTTGACCAGCTTGGCAACCACTTGGCCCGAGATGGACGCCTCCAAGGTACCAAATACAACGAGCACGTGCTCCGCGGATGGATGGCCAACGTATTCGAATGGTGCGTACTGCGTGCCAAGCGCTGAATTGAACGCTTTCAGCACCTGTAACAGCTTGCCTTCGCTGTCTGAATGCTTAAGCTCTGTAGCGGAGATCGCCTTCTCTACGGCACCGTACTTGGCAGCCAAGGTCTTTTGATCCAGTGCGGCCGGGATCCGAAGGGTTTCGCGAGCAACGTTCACACCATCGAAAGTGTGGATGGTAGGAATAACTTTGGCAAGTAGTGTGGCTAACAAGGACATGTGCTGCACTTCGTGGGCAGACGTGCTGGTGATTAAGCCGAGGCTGAGTTCGTCGGCAATGCTCAGGCTGGTGAGGTAATCCGTGACGAGTCCATCGGCTGTGTAGTCCACTGCGGCAACGTGGGCCACAAAGGGGCTTGTGAGTTCGTGCAGCAGACTCAGTTGGTCGAGCGATGGGCGCAGGTAGTTCAAGCTGGCGCTCGAGGCCACGATGGCCTGTGGGATGTGCCTCTTCTTAAGGTCGAAGTCCTTAGAGAAAACATAGCCCAGAGCGATTAAGCCGGCACCGATTCGCGTCTCCATGGTCAGCACGCCGGGCACATAACCAAACGCATTGATCTCTCCATCCCCTTTCCAGCTCTTCAGCGAAAGGTCCAAGTCGAAGGTCTCTGGCGAGTAGGTGAAGATTTTGTCAGACAATGTGTAGGCCACCTGCTGGACGAGGGTTTGCGCCGTCACGTAGGACTGGCTATCAATCGAGGACAAGGACACATCTTGCCCGAAGGGGAGGCTAGAGGACTTGTGCGCGTACAAGGTGGACGGCTTGTCAATATCCATATGATCAGAAGCCATCACGGGCAAACTCGGCCTGCACAGAATCTGTCTTTGCAAGAGGCAGGACGGAGAATGCAAGAACGATTCGACACAAGCACAGCGATAGGGGTGTACGAAAAGAATGAAAAAGAAACGACAGCAACCAGACGGTTCCTATCGCCTGGTTTCACAGAGGCTGTAATCAGGATGGGAAAGAAAAATCTACGCGGAAAGGAACAATCGTCTGGGAAGGAGTGTCCCCCTTCTGAAGAAAAAGTTTAGCGGCCTCGGCGGCGACGGCACAGGCGAGACGGATGCCGAAGGCATGCTGAACAGCAGTAAAAGGCTCGGTTGGGACATCCTCTGATGCCGCTAACTGGGTGCAAGACAAGCCCGCCATGATTGCGACAGGCAATGCGTGCAAAAAGTCGGCTCCATCGTGGTCTAGCTTCGAGCACGCAATTCATTGCACCATCTCGCCCCAACGGGAAACAAGGGAAGGGTCCGGGCGGCGCGCGGGCTGTCCGTATCGAGCGCCCGGGGTGCGTTTAATGCGCGGACTTAATTCGGCCGCCAATGGCCCGCCAGAGGTCGTCAGGCACTTCGTCGTGCGCAACACGGCCAATATCATCCTACGTGTTAGCATATATGCCAAATGCTCCCTTCTGCTGCGTCAATATGCCTGCGCAATGTTTCTTCACATCCCTTTGGTGTGACTGATCAAAACAAAGGAAAAGGTGATGATCACTCCCTTCACCTGGTTCCCCTCCTCTTCGCTCCGCGTATCCCGGATGCACGCGTGTACATCCATGCGGTTTGAATTAACTTACATTCCACATCCTCGTTTCCAATGCAGAGGGCGGGTATGCGATTCTAGCTCCCGTCAAGGCGCCGTACAGGACTATCATCAAGCTGGCGTGCAGACTCATCACGTCGTTCAAGGACGAACGAGGAACAAACTAGGCTGTTCTCATTCCGTGCTACGCACATTGCGAGACAAAGGCTTGAGGTTCATTTTGTACGGTAAACGGAACGAATTGCTGCGAAAACCCGCAGCCTTTAACTTCTGGTCACGAAATGGAACACCAGGACGCTGCTAGGGGAGATCGAGATGTGGCCCTTGTGTTTTTTGGTTCAAACGGCGTGCATGATGATAAGATGTGGTCGCGAGGAGTCAAACCGATATTTCGCATGAAGGCAGCCTCCAATTGAAGCTCTTGGTGCGATATTTTGGAGGTTTGCAAGCCATGATTGCAGAGACGTCGAGGCCAAGACAACTAACTTCATTCTCAGCCAAACGATCACCACGTGGGGCTTGTGGCGCCCACTTCGCCCCTTTGCGTTATCGCTTTCTGGCCCTCCTGCTTCCTTGTTCCATTGAACATCATTGAGTCTTTCGTGCAAGCAAATTGTTGTTCATTGTTGTTCGGTACGGAAGACGTTCCGCCTTTTGTCTCAAGTTCGAACCGCCTTTCCTCCCGTTACCCGTCGTTCTGATCCACCAATCCCCGCTTGGCGTCACCGCTTCCCTGACCCTGGACAGACAGAATAACCTGTAGCCATGCCAGCCGACGAGCGCACTCCTCTGCTTGACGACCATGCTCGCAACTTCTGGGCTTTCGGTCAAGACCGCCCTGATGACTACCACGCCCAATTTTGCAAGCTTGTTGGAATACCGCCGTCCGATCTGCCGCCGGACGCTCCCGTCCCTTCCATCGGACCGAAAACGCTCTACGGCCGTGCTCTGAAGCTGAAGCGCGACCAGAGCAGGACATATGCTATTACGGCCGCCATCTCCAACACCCTTCTCCTTGCCCAGGTCGTTCTCGGCGCCGCCGTGACTGCCCTGGGTGCTTCAGAATCGTCGCACGTCCTGATCACGCTCTTCGGCGCCGCAAACACCATCATTGCCGGTGTTGTCGCGTACCTGAAGTCACGTGGACAGCCTATGCGGGCCCGCATGTATCGCGACGACCTCGAACGCGTCGTCGATGAGATCGAAAACTCAGAGATCATGTGGCTGGGCATCAGCAAACACATGCATGGCTATTCAGAGATTGACACCGACGACGAGGTCACCGTCCGCAGCGAGATCGCTCGCCTGACAAGGCTGTACGACCGCGCCGTCCGCACCAACAGCATGAACAATCCCGACATGTACATGGCCGGTCAGAGCCTGGACAACACGAATTTTGCGCTACGCAAAGGGCCCCTCCCGTCTGGCCCTGTGCTTCCCGCCATCGTGCCTCCAGTCCCCACGACGGGCGCGGGACCATCGGCCCCAGCACCGAGCGCTCCGGTCGCGCCGCTGCCCATCATTCCTGATCCGGACGAGAGTCCTGCCTCTGCGCCGCCAAAGCCCAAGGACGATCCCGCGAAGGACAAATCCAAGGACGAAGCAAAGACTGCTGACTCTGTTACGTCAAAGTCGAACGGCAAGGCCTCGGCTGAAGCAAAGATGGCTGATGAAGAGAACGTTTTGGTGTCTGACAAGGAACCTAACACAGGCCCTGAAGAAAACAACAAGTCGCAGTCATGAAACAGGAAAGGATGACCGTATTGTTCTTCGAATGTCGTGGGAGAAGCGGGAGGACAGGCTGTTGTTTGTGGGAAGCATTACTTGGCTGAGCGTTTTTCATTCTTGCTATCCTCTGCGAAAGCTATATACCCTTTGACGTTTTCTCTCCTTCATTCCAAAGTCGCGTAATACGAAAGCAACAGCTATTTTTTCCACCTCCGATTCGTGTTTTACATTTGGATTTCAAAGTCATGCTGTGTGTGAGCATGATACGCTGGTCCGCCGCACGATACGTCGGCAACCTCAAGAGCGTTTGTGTGTGTGTGTGTGTGTGTGTGTGTGTGTGTGCAATATCGAAGGCGTTGAGACATGACTGGCACCTATCTTAGAAAGAACAAATACAGTTGTTAACCTAGCATCTCTTTACGCGCTCATGTACCGCGGCTTCCAGACAAACAGACGACAACGAGGCGAAGAACGCTACTCCCCATCACTATGGCTTGAGTTTCTTGAACGCGTCCAATCATCGCTTCAGTGGCCTCCTTTCCCGCCCGCCTTCTTTGTATGCCAGATCTGTATTCCCTGCCAGCTCGATGATGCGATGCCAGTCATGAGTTCGTAACCTCTGCTTGTTCATGGTATTATGATAGCATGCGTCATTACGTTCCATCGAATGCTGTAAAGGCAAACAATAAGCTCTGGGCATACGGTTGACTATGCCAATCTGATGGGATCAATGCTCCCTGTGATGACTGGTGATGAATACCATGCGTTGATGCAGTCAATCTCACTGTCCTCGCAGAAGAGGACGGGCTGCTCCGGCGCCGCGGTCGCAGATCAATTCACTTCCAGGCTCGCCAACTTCGATTTGGACAGCCAGGACATTTGCCTTCTGCCAAGAATATTGAGCATACGCGTACGGGCTGTCCACACCTTTTTCCCGCCTCGACAGCCCTCGTGCATGGCTGCAATGTGAGCTTCTTGTGCTCGTGCTGCCGTTGGCAGAGCTCATACTGCTGCACGAGATATTGACACATTTTTGATCGCGCGTCAAACTGCGCGAGGCGAATTCCTGTGAAACTAGAGACGGAGATGTCAGCAGTGCAATCAACCACGGACCTGGGTGGCGAAGAAATGCAGACGAATTGGGGGGTGTCTTTGCTGGCCAAGGACGTTGATGTGACTGAGGAGCTTGGTATCGGCGAGAGATGTTTGTAAAGCCTTTGGAACAGTAGTCTTAGGCAGACGCCTGCCGAACTGAGCTCATGCTGCCTCCGTAGCACATGGCAACGCACCTGACGCTGCCATGTATGGACGAACATCGTGTGTATTCGAAATCTATCCACGCCCAGACCAATCTTCACTTGTGCCAACGAAGGTTCAGGCAAGTTCTTGCAGCACAACCGAGAAATGGCATGTTCTGTCAAGGGGCAGTGTGTGCCAGTTCTGGCCATATCAGTTGGAAACGGACGGTGCCAACAGGCAGGGTGTTGACTGCAAGCCTACATAACACAGCACGTAAAGGGTCATGGCCTTTGTTTGCAACCGTTTGACTGGGCCGGTCATGCACCTAGCATGCAGGTACACAAGGAGGATATGTTGGTCGACAGCCGCTAGCTGGACAGTGATCGCCTTTATCAAGATTCGGATGACTGGAGAATTGTGCGGGCAAACTGAAGTCTGGCGTCATATTCAGGAGCGAGCTCGCCATATGTTGCAAAGGGACTGTGCACCCAAAGATATTCCGAAAGATGAGCGATTATGAGGCTGCAGGATCCAATAAACGCAAGATACTACGAGCTCAGCCAGCTGAGAAGGATGTGCGAAGTATCGGTGAGGCTACATCAGAAGCACCAGACTATTGGCTGCACTGGTCCGACTGTCCTTTGGCTTTATCAACGCCGTGGGATGATGCTTCGCCGCGTCCTGAACTTCCTCCCCTCAGCTCAACATGCACATGCAATAATCTTTTCATCGCCCGCTTGAACCTTATGGACTGTGGAGGCTGGGCTGGTTTCAGGCGCGTTAACGCTGGTAAGTGACTTCATGAAGATTGCGTGCTTGACCCTGGGAGTCGACTCAAGTCGAGTCAAAAGTCTCCGATCTTCGGAACCAACGCCCGTCATCCTTCTGTCAAGTTTCCAATGCCATGAAGTCGACGGCGCTGCATACGGCGCGGCTAACAGACTTTTCAGATGGAACACTGAATGGGCATCTACGTCTGGGACCTTCTTTGTCTCGCTTCAACTCCGACGATTCTGCGGGCGAGCATCCAGCAGCGCCTGTGCTGGCCCACAAGTTCAAGCATAACAAGTCCATTCTAGCCCTTGCCGTTTCCAAGGACTCAATATTTGGCGGTACTGAAGAGGGAGAGATACTTGTGCGTGGTGTCATTCTATAGTCCTATGTGGGAAACTAAAGCCTGGCAGGTTTTCAATCTCGAGACCTACAAGCGCACGTTAGTCATAGATGGACATAGAGGCAGTGTCCTTGGACTCTGTCTGTCAGAGGATGGGAAGCTCCTATTTTCAAGCTCAAGTGACCACGTAGTCAATGTATGGTGCACTGAAAGCTTTGTGAGAGTATATTCGATATACTCGCACTATGACATCGGCGACATCTTTTGCGTTGCTTACTCCACGCGACTCGAGACGGTGTATATCGGAGCTCAAAACACTTCAATTCAAGTGAGTTATGGCATAAATAGCGGCGTTGCTTACACCCTGATCGCAAAATAGTGGTACGATCTTAAACAGCGAGATACAAGGCCAAAACCGCTCCCTACGTCCCATCCATGGCATAGACAGAGTAGGTTCTTTGACTCACCGGGCCCGGGAGGCGTTCGTACACCTAGGAAAGACGTCTCAGGCTCGGGGCCTGGAGACGCAAGAGGCGGTCAAGTACTTGAGATCGACCGACAAGATATCCGTCAATTTGCTCACAATGGCTACGTCTACTGCATGCTTCTGGCCAAAGGTCTGAAAGGCAACCCAAATCAGGAGGTCCTCATATCAGGCGGCGGAGATGGGACAATCAAAATATGGTCCCTGGCTGAGTCTGGTGGCGCAATAGAGGAACTTGACATTTTGGGAGACGGAAGAGAGGAAGGAGAGTCGGTACTCTCGATTGCTCTGGATGGCACTTTTCTTTTTGCGGGCAGGGCTGACGGCGAAGTAAACATTTGGGATCTCGAAACCAAGCAGCTTGTGAGGAATCTTAAGACCAGAACGGATGACGTGCTTGCCCTCTCCGTTGGTGGTGGGTTTATATTCTGTGCAGGAATGTCTGGCACTGTCGAGGTCTGAAGTGCTTTCTTATAGGGTTTCTTTTCAGTGCTGATATTTGTGCAGAAGTACAATGCTCAGTATGAGCGCGTTAGCGATTTCAAAGCCCACCAGGGTCGCGTGCTTGCGTCTATTTTCATACCACATAAGGAGCGGCCGCTCTTCATCACGGGGAGCAATGACCAGACTATTTCTCTATGGGACATATCTGATTGTATAAGTGGTGGTCGTTTTGTGCCAAAGACAAGCAACGGTAAGCATGAGCTATGGGTAATGTGTGCAATCACTCTAATGCATTGTAGAACGACTCGTGGATGCCTTACGACAGTTTGTGTCATACCGTACAGTTTCATCAGATATCCGATACCAGGCGGAATGTAGACGCGGTGCCTACTTTCTACGTGATCTATTGAAGTCTTTTGGAGCGACCACCACTTCTCTGCCGCTGCAAAATTCGTCCTGGAACCCCATAATTCTTGCGAAGTTTCATGGAAACCCAAAGACGGCATCGAAGCGGAAGCGAATCCTATTCTATGGCCACTACGATGTGATCCCTGCGGAGAATGAAAGCAACAGGTGGAACACCGATCCATTTACTCTCGAAGGTGTAAACGACCATGTATATGGTCGAGGTGTATCAGATAACAAGGGCCCAATCCTCGCTGCGATATATGCTGTTGCAGATTTAGTTGCAAACAAGGAGCTTGATTCCGACATCGTTTTCCTCATCGAAGGCGAGGAAGAGACTGGCTCACGAGGTTTTGAGCAAGCAATTCGAGCCAACAAAAAATTAATTGGCGACATTGATTGGATTCTGTTGGCAAACAGTTATTGGCTTGATGATCACAACCCGTGCCTTACCTACGGGCTTCGTGGAGTCATTCATGCAACGATAGAAGTGCAAAGTGGACATCCGGACCTGCATTCTGGTGTGGATGGAAGCTCGCTGCTTGATGAAAGTTTGAAAGACCTCGTTGCATTGCTCTCGAAGCTCACAGGAAAGCACGGAAGGGTTCTTATACCTGGGTTTTACGACCCAATTTTGCCAATCACGGATGATGAAGCGGTTTTATACGAGGATATCAAGAAAGCCCTAGTCACGAGCAATCCGTCACTGGCGTTCCAGCACAACCTGACCGAAGAGCTTCAGAAACGCTGGTGCGACGCGTCTCTCACTATACATCGTTTTTACACGTCCGGGCCAGACAATTCTACCATTATTCCTCGATTAGCAAAAGCCTCGATTTCACTTCGCCTAGTGCCTAATCAAACCGCTCAGGAGGTAGCACAGAGTCTAACATCCTTCTTACACGAGCAGTTCGAAACACTTGATAGCAAGAACGAACTCACGGTTAACATTGATCATATGGCAGAGCCTTGGCTCGGCGATTACAAAAACCAGATTTTCAAGACGCTAGAAGAGGCTGTGATGGAAGCTTGGTCCACGGATGCAGCAGGCAGTCCTTTCATACGCCGTCGCAGCAGCAACGTGCTTGCTACAATGTCTCCACTTGATATAATGTCAAGCTCAGCCCAAACACTTGGCACGGCACGGAAACCGGCACCAACAACATCTTCAACGCTCGCCAAAGGTAGCATGACCCCAGAGCCATCAGACTCCGAGCCGGAGCAGCAAGGCGCCGCCAAACAGGCTCGGAAGCAAAGCACTACTTCCTTTCCTGCAGCAAGACGACGGAAGCCCCTCTACATTCGCGAAGGTGGGTCCATCCCCGCGATTCGCTTTTTGGAGAAGGAATTCAACGCTCCGGCTGCACATCTACCTTGCGGACAGGCCAGCGACAATGCGCACCTTGATAATGAGAGACTTAGACTGGTCAATCTATACAAAAGTCGGGATATCTTTAGGAAAGTTTTCAGGGATCTGCCTCAGAAATAGGCCGAGGTTTGAGAAATTTGTTCCGGCGCATGGGTAATATTCATTAGCGTGGTGTTGGGGTGGGAAAAGCTTGCTCTGTACGAGTGAATCAAAGTAGTGTACATGAAAATTGACAAACAGCACATATCTACCGTTTTCGGACGACATTTTTCCGGCTTAGAAAGATCAGGTAATGCTTCCGACGTAGGAGACGCATGACAAGTGCACATGCAGCTTAAGCTCGTCTCGAGCACGCCTTACGCTTTGATTTTCTGGACCTTTCTGTCGGTAGTCTTTATCAAGCAATCCGAAGGTCCCAGATCAGTTTGTGACTTTCATTTCTCCCCAACGTCGTTGAAATGATGGCACAGCAGCTCGCGGGAAAGAATATTCTTGTCACTGGAGGAAGCAGCGGACTAGGCAGAGCATATGTTGAGGCTTTTCGCAATGCTGGGCAAGTCATTGTCTATTTTATTCAATTATTGATTTATATTTTGTGTGTACCAAGTCCAGGACTAACGCCAATCAAGATGTCAGGTGATATACGGAGATCTGATCGAAGCAAGCGACCTGCCCGGGTTTCTTCATTGCGACGTCTCGTCTTGGGAATCACAGTTGAAGTTCTTCGAAAGCGCGGTTGAAAAGCTTGGTCGCATCGACGCGGTCATTGCCAACGCTGGGATCGCCAACAAGGAAAACTTCAACGACTATGAAGACGGTACCTGCTCGTCCCAAGATTAGACTAGTCGCCAAATATTGATTGGACCTGCGCAGTTGAACTACAACCACCGACGAGGCCCAGGACGAGCATTGTAGATGTTAATTTGACCGGCGTGATTTTCTCGGCCAAGTTGTCTATGCATTATTTTGCGAGACAGTGGCGGGAACACGATTCCATACCAAATTTCAAGCCTATCTTCATAATCGGTGGTAGTCTTGCGGGATATTTGGACATGCCAATGAGCCCCATCTATTCGTCGACCAAGTTTGCGCTTCGTGGACTTCTATGCTCTTTGCGCAATGCCACTTCAAGGATCGGAGCGAGGGTGGCAATGATAGCTCCATGGCACGTTGAAACGCCACAGCTGGGTGTGCAAGCCGTGAGACTGAAGGAGCAGGGCATACCCGTTGCGCAGATGGCGGATGTCGTTGGGGCAGTACAGAGATTGATCCTCGAACCATCGAGCAACGGTATGTTGTGTCGAACATGAGACGCAACGGCGCTAACCGTCCTCGAGGAAAATGTTTTGCCGCGGTGCCTAGGACCGTGAAAGCACCCAATGGCTACTTTGACGTCGACGAGGCTGGCCAGGACGAGTTCTGGCGTGACTACAATGAAATGCTCATATCAGAGGATGAGAGACCGTTACCGCAACGAGGTTTTGCAAAGAATTAGACGTGTATATCACTCTTGGCGTGGATGCTTGGTATTTAGACTAGAAGGAAGCAAAGGTGGAGCTGTGAAGTCACGACGTACTTTTTGATGGATTGATAGAAGGTTCTGATACTGAATAAAAGCGCAAGCAAAATGTTCTACTGCTCGCGAATTCATGGACTAAGAGAAGTATCCGAGAACGATTCTCACATCAGCGGTTGCCCGTTCCGCTTTCTGTTGCCTACATGAATCCTAGGCATTCCGCATCTGGCTGACACATCTCCAACACAAGCGTCTCCAGTCGTCTCAGATTTCCGCTTCTCGCAGCTTCGTCCGAAGCCTGGTACAGACGGCCCATCTGGAACTGAGAGAACTCTACCGCGTTGATGTAATCCACCTTCGCCCCCTCCTGCGTCACACCACGGAAACCTCGCTGATACGTCTCGGTCACGTCAAAGGCCTTTGCCCACAGCTCGCCCTCCTTAAAAGGGACGAACCTCTCGTGCATCACGTTTGCCATCACAAATATCCAGTAGTGTTTGGTCGTCTCCTCGGTCTCTTGTGGGTTAATGTGAATAAGGAAGTAGAGAGATATGCCTTGTCCGCTGACGACCGCCTTGGCCCACTCTCTGAGGGCCGGCATGTCGATCTTGTCGAATGGAAGATGGTCCGGATTAAACTCTTCATCATGATATCGGAAGCTTTCAATGACAGGACCCTTGGAAGAAGTGAAAGAAGACATTTTGAAGTGGTGCAGTCTGATCAAGAAGCATTTTTGACTCCAGAAACAGGTCTAAAGTAGGTTAACATATAAATCATTCTGTTTACAAGTCAATGAATTGTTGTTGGAGGCATTCGTGAAAACAAAACCGATGGGAAACGAGCACATCTAAGCAGCCTTTGTCAAAGAAACCGTTGTCCGACGAATGCAAGATACAGTGATTCAGGTGGATATCGAAAGTGTGGATCCAGCATAAAGGGGGACAAACCAAAGCACGTCATCTATTTATGGCCAAAAACACTACTTACGACTAAAGCTGACTTTCTTTCTTACTTAGAAAGAACTTTCTGTTTCAAGAGAGGAAATTCAAAATGAAAGCTTGAGAAAGAGAACGGTGCTTCTCCTTTTCTCGGTGATTGACGTAACGCGTATGTTCATTCACGCCGTTGCATAGTCTAGCTGAGACAATTAAAAGGTGTGGGAGTGGCTCACTGCTCTCTTATAGAGAGTCCAAAACGTGATGTGGGCTCTCTTAGTTTCGTTACTTACATTCCAAAAGAAATCAGTGAATGTGAACAGGATCGAAAATACTCAGCCCTTGGCTAGAAGATACCCCATTCCAGGCAACAAAACTCTTCTTTTAGTTTCTGCAGCACCGCTCTTGGCCACGCCATAGCCCATTGCCAGTCTTGTGGTAGCAGGTTCGCGATGCCTTCGAGCTGTTGTTCAGCCACGCCCTGCCATACCCAATGTCCATTCAAGGCGTAACAAAGGGAAAAGTAGAGGGACAAAATGGCCAGAGCACGCGGTCGCTTCTCCTCGATAAGTACGATAATCTCTGACGGCTGAATAACGCCCAGGAGTCGAAAGATGTGGCGGACTGACTTTTTGCTGCGGATCGCCTGATGAACGTTGGCTACGTATGCTAGAAATCGGGTGTACGTAACTTTGACATCCCTTGGTCTCGGCTTCGTAAAAGAGCTGCAGTCCGGTGTAGCAAGATTTGACATTGGGGGGGAGTCTTTCGGTTCTGGATAGCTTTCAAAATCCAAGAGCCTTTGCGCGGCGTCGCAAATATGAACACCGTCCAACTCGCATAAAGTCTCGAAATCGGACCACTCGTTACAGTAAACTTCCCAGACCCCTTGTTCTTTCGGTCTTAGCTCTCTACAAACCGCAGCGATATGTCTATTGGCTTGAGCCTATGTTTCCGCCAGGTGTATTAGTCTCAGCCACCTTTTTTCGCACGAACGAAAGGGTCTGTACATGATGCCGCTCTTCCATGCGACGGAGAAACAGATAGATGCGATTTTGCACTGATAAAAGCCATCGACATTGTTTAGGCTCTAATGTACAGCTCCAGCTAATATCCATAAAAAGGAAATTCAACATACCATCCTCAACCACTGTGTCGGTAGTTCATAACTGCTGTTCGCTGCTCCTTTATCACCCGAGAGCTGTGATGTCGCTTGATACCAATGCAGCATCGTCGATAGAAGCACTGCATCTGCGGTTTCGACCGTAACGTGTTTCACTGCGTCCCTTTGCTGTCTCAGTGCCAAATCCAGATAGATCTCATGCACGAAATGAATAGGAACAGACGAATTGATTTCGGGAGCGTGATTAATAGCTTTGGAAGCCAGGCTCTGTTGGTCACCCGATGCGAAGAACCGCCTTGACTCCGAGGTGGATTTGGCAGCATACAATGCCGCGAATGCAAAAATGGCATTTTGTAAGAAGGGGTACCGGAAAGAGAGCTCAACAGCAGTGCACGCCCATATCTCACGATGGGAGAGGCTTCGAGTGGAGCCGAGCGTCCATGTAATGTGACTTTCGAAGTAGTGCAGCAGCTGAAGTTCAAGCTGCCGTCGACGTTCACCGACAAGACATGGCGTGAACAGGTCGTACTCGTCATCGTTGCGGCTGACAGGTCGCTTCACCAGACGGACTGCGTTCGCAGAGGCAGCAGGATCTTGATGACGCCATTCACAGGCTACATTGTGCCTGCTGCAATTCTTGCAAATGGGGCGACTCTCATCGCATTTGACTTTCCTCGCTTTGCATCGCACACAGCCCTTGCGACTCTTGGTATGGGCCAGCCGCGGAGGCATGACGGGTATTAGTAAGACGCAAAATCAGCACTGCACTGCGCTCGCACAGGACGAGGCCCAGGGTCTGGTATAGGGCTGAAATCTGGGGAATGATCGTATCGAGATGAGAAGAACGGCGGTCCATGTTTGTCATAGCGCGTACACATACTGGAGCGAAGTAAACACGTCACGGGTCGGAGATTTAATCCTGAATCAAGACAGCTAACTCGTCAGCTTGATGCCGGAGCAAACCTGATTTGGAACTGGGCGCAGGCTAGGTCCACGAACGAAACACGGTCTGCAAGATTCGAACAGGCTCTGGCTGCAGAAGAAAGCGTCGACGACGCGTCCAGCCGTCGTAGTGGGCTAGGGGGTGCTTTGATTTGGAAAATACTGCCCACGCCAGACCTTGACGATTGACGCTTACGGCAGGTTGGACATGCAGCAGATCGAGAAAAATGACGTTGGACAGGGTCTATGTGTGGCTCGTGCAGGATGCCGTGGCGCAACTCGGCTCGTCAGCCAATGAAAAGCCGCAAATGTCAAGCCACATCGGCGTCCAAGATCGAGCACGAGCCACAGCCATGACGTAGATGACATCGATCCTGGGCCAGAAAGGGGACAGTGGAGACAATCAAACCCACGCAAGTACTTAAGCGTCGAACCACTTCAACCTGTACACAACTTCTGTCCACAATCACCTCGATACCCCTCCTTTAAACGCTAACAATCTCTCTACGACTTGTCATTTATTGTTTTTGGTTGTCTAGGTCATTCACATCGCAATTATGTCTGCAACCGCGTCAGCCCCAGTAACTGGCGACCTGCCGACAAGGAGTGGTACCGTCATGACCAAGAGCTCCACTCTGAGCGACGAGGATGCGGTGCCGGCTGAGGACACCTCCGAGGTAAGCTCGCATTGAATATCCCAGTTCAAGCGCTTCCAGAATGTCACGCTGGAATCCTTGCGTCGCTCCCCGCTCTATGCCTGTAGTGTGAGTGCACAGGGCTGCGACGGCATGGAGCTATGGCATGAGAATCATATTTAATACGCTTCCAAACGTCGATCGATCCCAGCTAACACCATGCCGTTCAGGTGACCAAGCTCTTCTCAGAGCGTCTGCAAGCATGGAAGCATGCTTGCGGCTACCTTGAAGACTACATCAAGGCGACTGAGAAAATGCACCATTCTCATGGCAAAGAGTACGAAAAGGTGCTCAAGACTGTGTCGAATCCTTTGAAGGAGGGTCACCATTTCGATCAAAACCTTGGTGGCGTGGCGGGGATGTTTGAGAGCATTCGCTCTAACACTACTGGCATCGCGAATGCCAACTTCGAAACAGAGAAGGTGCTCAAGGGTACCGTTTTACCCATTTTCGAGCGTCTGCACGCCGAGATCAAGAACAAGACAAAGGAGCTGACAAAGGGCGCTGGAAAGGGTGCAAAGTCGGTGGATAAGGCACGTAACGTTACGCAAAAGCACATCGAACTGCTCGGACAGCAGGCCGCCGCTTTTGATTCCACGGGAGGCAAGGTTCACGCTCACGAGGACCCATATCTTCTGCACAGGGGCGTGAGGCACAGGCTCAACAAGCAAATCATTGAGGAGAACAACAACAGACAGGATATGATACAGGTGCAGAACAGTTTCGCGCAATTTGAGGCACATGTTCTACAAACCATCCAGCATGGAATGGGACAGTTCAACCAGGTTGTTGCAAAACAGATGGATCAGACCAAGATTATGGTGAGTCCATTCAGCCTTCTCATCGGATAAATCGCTAACGTTACTCATCAGTATGGGGACATGACCAGCACGGCGCAGCAAATCCCTGCCGACTTCGAGTGGAACGGTTTTGTCCACCGAAACAGCGATATCTTGATCGACCCACAAGCGCCACCCCGCTCCCTTGCTACGGTATCCTTCCCCAACCAGGATCATCCCTCGACCCAACCTCTTATAGCCGGTTCCCTTGAGCGCAAGAGCAAACTTACGCGAAGCTACAAGGCTGCGTACTACGTTGTTACTCCCTCGAAATATCTGCACGAGTTCGAGACAGATGACGATCTGGCTAAGGATCCAACTCCAGAAAACTCGCTCTACCTTCCAGATTGTGTAGTTGGTGCTCTTGATGGTGCCAAGTTCGCCATCAAGGGTAAGGACGTGTCTAAGGGCAAGCTGGGTGTCAACATATCCACCACGCATGAGTATCAGCTGAAGGCACACACCCCAGCCGATGCACAGACATGGTACAACATTATTAGGGCAGCTGCTGGCCAGGTAACCACAGAATTGCCTGATGCATCTGTGCCAACATCGCCGGTCTCACCCAACGTGCAAACATCCCAGGATGCAAGTTTGAATGCGGCGTTGGCCGAGCAGAAGCATCAGCAGTCAGCATTGACAACGGAAGGCATCGCAACTACGGACAACGTTGCTGGAACTACTCCGGCGACGGCTGCACCGGCCGGTGCAACCACCACAGCCCCTGCGGCTGGTACAGTTCCTGTGGCCACTACAGTACCCGCCGGTACCGCGGTTTCCACTAGCACCGCAGTTCCTGCTACAACGACCACAGTTCCTGCGACTACCAATGTCCCTACCACAACGGCTCCCACGACTGCTACAATGCCAGAAAAGATTTGAGAACAAGGCACTGCTTTAGTCATGTATCGATGAGTCGAGGCACGAATTTGGCCTTCACGATGAGAAACACGCGATGAAAATTATTCTATGCGTGATCGAACTTTATGATTATTTTCATTTCACCTTAATATGTTTACGACAGTAATTTAATGAACTTGAACTTGCCTGACTACGAGTCTAATTCTTCTCGTCTTTCAATCAATCAGACAAAATTGATAGGATTGCAACAAAACATTAGTCATGGAAATATATGTAGTTCACAAGATCGGCTTGGCTGGATGTCAAATTTGGAAAAGCGCGATCTAAATCTATCTGCTAGTTTGTTCCGAGGCCCGTATGAGTAGACCACTACTTGATAACCTTGTGCGCCCGAAAATATAGCCAACGTCGGCTTCAAGTTTAGAAAACACTTTGCACACGATGGGTTCTGTGCCTGAACAAGTATTGCCTGTAATCAGTTTACAGTCCGATACCCTGGCACGCGATCTTTACCAAGCATGCAAAGAAACGGGTTTCTTCTATCTAACCGATCACGGAATTAGCCCTGACATATTGAATAATGTACTATCATTAGCGCGTCGATTTTTCTTGGAGACTGCTGAGGATTCAAAATCCAAAATTCAGCGCAAGCCTGTGCATGAAGGCGGAGACGGAGCCCGCGGATATCAAGTGCTCAACGAGAACGTGACGAAAGGAAAGAGAGACTATCACGAAGCCGTTGACTTTTATCGAGAATGGGATCACTGCAATGATGAAGATGTCGACGGATCACGCGGTTACCAGTTCCTGCGAGGACCAAACCTGTGGCCGGAGCATCCGCCGGAACTTAAGCAGTTGTTGCAGGACTACATCGAGCAGTGTCAGAACGTTGGAACGCGGGTGGTCAAGGCCATGGGTGAGGCTCTCGGAGAAGGAGACGTGTTTGTACGGGCTACGCGGAAAAGCTTCTGGGTGTTTAGGATGATTGGGTATCCACCGCTCCAGGTAAGCGTTCGAAAGATATGCATACATGGTTATTAGAAAACGAGGGCCTTCAAGACAAGTCACTCCGTATCTGCTGACGACCTCTCTCTAGGGTGGGGATGCACACGAAGGGATCTCATGCGGCGAGCACACTGACTACGGCTGCGTAACGTTGCTGCTGGCAGACGACACGGTTGGAGCCCTGCAGGTGCAGGCCAAGGACGGGACCTGGATAAACGCCGACCCGATCCCAAACGCGTTCGTGGTCAACATCGGGGACATGATGGAGAGATGGACGAACGGCGAGTGGAAGTCGACGAACCACAGAGTCGTTCATCGGGGAAGCAACTATCGCGTCTCCGCCCCGTTCTTCTTCGAGCCGGACTTCGACGCAGAGGTTGCGCCGCTGCCGAAGTGCGTTGAACGCACCGGCGGGAAGGCACTGTATGGAAGCGTCGTGTACGGTGAGCATTTGACGGCAAAGGTAGTTTTCGAGGTGCCCTTGAGTCGCGTGAACCTTGTGGGGCTGACAGCGTTAGGCGTCGACAAATTTCTATTCCGGCGGCATCGAGGAATGATGCCTGCTCTTCCACGTTCTGCTAATCAAGTAGACGCTGCGAACGTATGGACGCGTTAGGGCCTCGTGTGTTGTTAGCTGCTAGTCTATTCGTCCAGCAGGGCTGATATCACATTCGATGTAGCAGGAGATAAAAATAACAGCCCAGATATTCAGGTACACTGCTTTCACTGCGCGATTTTCGAGTATACTCTCTCGACCAAAGATTTACCGATCTCACTCATCATCATACCATATTTTCAACAAAAATTGCTCGAATTTGGACCCTACTCCGAGAAAAGCCAGCATGCTGAGCTGTTTCGGAGTTGATTAATCTGAAATTTACTGTAGCGAATTCGTCTAGTCATCGATTTGCCCAGTTTCCACGTATCCAGCTCAGCACTTGCTTACATAGAAAAATTGGAACTATTCGCTTGGATGAAAGAATAAACGAGCGGGTGTTTCTAAAGTATTCTATGCTTATCGAACTGACGACACAAACAGGCCACTGCGCAGTTGGATTACAAGCCAAAACCCAAGAAATCGAGGATTCAGGACGTGCAACCACGACGCAGCAGGCTTACCATTTCCACGACTTGGCCAAGTCAGTGAACTCCTTTGGCGGAATCTTTTCACCACCAGGCTTCCCCGCCTCCGTGCACTCCCACCTGCCGAACCATTTCTGCAGAATCTCGTGGCCCTCCAACACATGTTTCCCATACATGTCTCTTGCATACTCCACGAGGCTTGCCAAGCATACATCAGCCAGGCTTATGCCCTTTGTGCCAGCAACCCAGTTTCCAGCATCGATAGCCTCGCGACAGTACGTCTCGATCCTGCCCAGGCACATGTGCATCCGCATCTTCGCCGCATCCGCCGCGCCTTTGTTCTGCTCGACTCCCAGGGCGGCGAAAAAGCCACTGGAAAGCATTGCCATGAAGCCGAAGGCCGCGCTCGCTTCTTCGGTCAGGTCCCTGATCTCGGTGACGCGGGCCCGATCCAGGGCCGTGCCTCCAGACATGTTCTTCTCGACGCCCTCGACCCCGTCCCTAGGGTGGACCTCCTCCAGATAGGCCATGATTGCCGCGCTCTGGCGTATGAAGTCCGTGTCATTCGGGCCGTATCGCATCATGGGAAGGCTGCCCTCGATTCCGTCAGGCGGATCGACCAGCTTGCCGTCGGTGCCGAAGTGAGCGTACCGAAACGTCACCTTGACGTCGGACGGCAGCGGCTTCAGCGTGAGATAGGCATGGATGCGGCGAGGGTAGAATAGGTAGCGATTGGTGTAGAATGTATACTGAATATCCTCTGCTCCGGAAGACGGCATTCTGGGCAAGTGCTGATCGAATGTGACCTGCGGTAGTCAAATAGTTGATTTTAATCGTCCGGAAGTACCTGCTTGATCTTCGTTGTATAGCTTATCACGTCGACCTTTCCGTCCTTCCCACCCCTTTTATAGGCATTATTCATTTTCATCATTCCAAGACCAGTCGGTTCTGAGTGTCTAGAGGGTAGTTTTCCGGGGACAATCCCTTTGTTGTCTGGAGACTTCGGCGACTTTTTTGCACTTTGATCAATAATGCACTGCCCAGGGGTGTTCACACAAAAGTGGCCGATAATGGCCGAGGAAAGGATCTGCTCGGAAAACCAGCATAAAATGCACGTTAGTGGAAAGGATGCATTTGCCCGGAGTGGCGTTTATCTGCCAATGTGTACATGCGTGTGCGAACTATTGGTACAAAGTGTAATACATGTAGTGGGGATGCGTTAGATCTGCGAGCCGGGATTCAGCTACCGCACGACCTGCTCTACACTACCAACCGTTTGCTTCAAACTCGCCGGTTTCATGGTCTGAGCCCCACGACTCTTAGCAATCTCCCTTACAAGCTTCATCGTCCTCGGAGAAATCCTCAGTCTGCTCATTAAAATTGTGACACCGGTTAACAATGCTAGTGCGCCAGCTTGGTGGCCTGCAGCCAGCCATGTCGGCACCATATAGATCAGCGTTGATATCCCAAGTGTGACCTGCATCACTGCCAGATGCAAAACACCCATTAATCCCTTCCTTACGTTTGCCAGTGCAGGGTCTCCTAAGATTGCAGGTCGCAATTTAGATGACAGTCTGGGAAGTGCCCAGAGACCGCATATGGAGGTGAACGTCACGATAGCAAGGATGCGATGGTCAAGCTGTACCAGCGATGGATTTTCAAGCGCATTTCGCCAAATGAGGTCGTTTCCTGATGGGTTGTGCGAGTAGAATGGATCGAACAACTCACTTTTCGGGGGGGTGAGACCAACACCCATCCAGGGGAACTCGTTGTAGATCAATCCTGCGTCTAGACCAGCGACGAGCGCACCGGACATCGCCGTTGTGAACGTGAGAGCGAAGAGGGCTACAGTCAAGACTTTGAAACGGCGAAGCGGAGGGGTATTTAGCTTTTGGAAAAGCGATTGCGCGGCAGCCGGGTCCTTGAGCATCTTGTGTTCGCGCAAGATGGAAAGGCCATTCCACAGCATCGTTAGATAGACAACAAACGCAGCCCCGAGATGTACCGTTAACCTGTATTGCGAGACACGTGGGTGTGCTCCTGGGGCGAAGAGGTCATCCTTTAGTCCACTTGCTACCATCCACCATCCAATGACGCCCTGGAAGCCAATCAAACCACATATGCCGACTAGCTTCCAAGCCATGTGTGAGGCTACTCTCCGGCGAGCAATAAAGTATACGGTTGGTATTAGAAATGTCACCCCAATGACACGACCCCAAAGGCGGTGCGCCCACTCCATGAAGTAGATTTGTTTGAACTCTTCAAGGGTCATGCGGGCATTCAATTGTTTGAATTCCGGGGAGGCGCGGTACTTGTCAAATTCCGAATGCCAGTCTGCGTCGTTGAGAGGAGGAAGCGACCCGGTGACCGGACGCCATTCCGTAATGCTCAGTCTTCACAGTTGTATCAGTCTCATGCTACACCACCGCGCAAGAGCCTCGTTTACGTACCCGGATTCAGTCAGCCTTGTTAGACCCCCCCATATGACGATTCCGAAGACACTCGCCGCGCTACCCAGCAGCCAGTATGCGACGCTCTTGCTGCTCGTCTGTGGAAACGACGATTTTTTTGCTACCGCCTCTAAGGGGCTCTTCACAGCTTGTGCCAAACTTGAAACATGCTGCGGGGCATGCGTCGACTGGTAATGGCATTGCAATATCCACGAGGTCCTCTTCGCCCTGCTCTTCAGTCCAGAAACCGCATCCAACGTCGGTTTCTTGTGGTGGATCTGGCGCGCCTGGCAAGTGAACAATTGCCGAGTCAGCCGTGGTGCGGCCGTCCTCAGCAGAGGAAACGAGCTGAATACGGTCACCATCGTCGATGTCGGATGGACTATGGGGAGCGACGAAAGGTGATACGATATCACCACGACTTTTTTGGGCTGCTTCGGCGGAACTTTGGGTGCAAGGGCCATCAGCTCATCATCCGTCAGTGGCCGCAGCTGCTCAAGCCGCTAACGACGCCCTGCATACTCACCACTGCGGAGGGCTTTGTTTGCCCCGCAAGCTCTCACTTGTTGCTGGTGATTGTCACTACGGATTCCTTTTCGGAAGACTGCACAATCCGGCTGTCGTTCCACATGCGTCGAGGTACGTCAGATTGATCATCTTTTGCTTGCCGCAGCATCATCGTCTCCGACCTAGACCGAGGATTCCTGTCTGCACACCTCCCATTGCCCAGTTCATCCAATGTGCACAACCTCTTTGTCGACCTGCTTGATCTCATGACAGGCTGTCTTGTGAGAGCCAGCCACTAATATCGAACTTAGTTCTGCTCGTTGTCTTACCATTGCTACTGGCATGCATGCCTGCAAGTGACCCCGGGTGATATGATACAAAAGACAAGAACGCTGCCGCCAAAATGAACATCAGAGACAGCGAGTCCAGCACTGATGACGAGCTGCCAGAGCCCGCCTACGGTAGCCTGAGGAGGAGCAATCCTGTACCGTCGACGAGCACGGAGGCTCCAGCGAGCGGTGGCGAGGTTCTGACTACACCTACGGCAGCGGCAAGCACAAGTGACACCTCGACGTTAAGAAGCAGCATTCCACCCGTCTCTTCGTACGCGAGCCCAGAATACTCTGTCTTCAGCACGCAAAGTGCCATTTCCAGACCTGCGTCGCCACCGTCACCCCTCCAATACTCGAACAGATCGAGCAGCGTACATGAGGATTCGCCAGACCCAATGGATGCGTCAAGATCGGCTACATCATCGAGAACTGCTTTGTCATTTAATACTGCCACGCCCGTTCTGGGCGATGTGGCGTTGACAGCAGTGGAGAAAGATGGAGATGATCCAACGTTGCCACTAGGAGAACGACTCCGGTATAATAGGCATGCTACGCCGACAGCGTTAACAAGGCTACTAGCATCAAGAATTCTGGACTCCTCAGAGCCATCGAGGGAAAGCTCATACATAGACGGGAACCCAAATCTGACGCGACAGATTTCGAGCTCTGGATCCTCCTCTCTTCATGAACATCTCTATCGGCGCGGACTGTTAGAAGGCAAACATTCAGACATCGCCATCATAGCTTTCGGGCATAAATATAATCTTCACAAACTGGTTCTCGATCGCGCACCTTTCTTCACGACTGCACTCTCAGAGCCTTGGCTTGAAAGCCAAAGCAGAGAGATTATATTGCACCCTGAAGACGTCGACCCGACAATAACTCGGAAGGCATTCGAACTTGCTCTCAAGAGCTTGTACGGATGCAGCATCCGTGACGAGGAAGATGCTGAGGCAATCGGTCTCTTCACGACTGGTTGTTGGCTTGATATGAGCGACCTCGTGTCATCAGCTAGCGAGTCCATCCTACGCCAAATGGGCCCAGAAACCCTGTCTCCACTGATTCGCCTTGTGACAAACAACTACTACGGCCGTGCAGGAGATCGCATCCTTTCGTCTGCAAAGGCAATGCTTTGTCGCGACGGCTGGGAGATGCCGTTAAAGTACTGGGATGACATTCCGGGGGAGATTGTACGTGATATTGTTGGCGGAGATGGATTTTACGTGTATGGAGAATGGGATCGTTGGGTCTTGGCAAAGAGATTGCTTGATCGGAGGTTAAGACAGAAGGCTGTGGAGTATGGGCTTGTGCCACCCGGATCGAGAGCTAGTCTCCTGCAGGCGCCAGAGATGCTCCGTCGCTCAGTAGGTCGGCAAGTCGGTGCTGGATATACTTGTAACGTATCCATGGAGAACACTGCGAGTGGCTCCGATGCCGCTACGCAGGATATTTGGACTGCGATTTATACGGATCCCGACATCGAGCCTCTGCTTGTGCTTCTGGATCACGGAATACATTACGTTCATCTAGACTTTGAGAGGCTGCAATACATTCGCCAGGCAAGGGACGTGTTTGGTTTGCCTGTGCTCCCCGAACATATCGTCAACGAAGCGCTGTGGATGCAGATGGAGCTTAGACAAAGAGTTCTCAACGCACGAGAAAGTGATTTGGAGCTAGGTCTTTCTCAGGCCGCTGAGACGACGGACCTGCCAACGAAGGCGCAAATTCAAACTCCTGGCGCAGCTACGTCATCATCCTCAACAACGACGACATCCGCCAAGGGTAAGCAAAAGATTGGTAACGTGGAGAGTGCTACAGAGAATGACACAATTGCGGGAGATGCAAATCAACCACGGAAGTTCTGGATCCCTAGCGCAGATTGCACCATTGTCATAGGCGGTAATGCGGAACCAGTCATCACAACAAGCTCTTCGAATCATTATTTTCAGCTCTCTTCAAGCTTACCTACCGGTGTCGATGTCTCTGATGTTCTTTGGGCTTCGAATTTTGCTGGACCATCGCCGTCGAGGACTAAAGAGCGTGGCTCGTCCGGTCAAGAACCTTGCGATCCCGTCAACCACCCGCGCCCGGTTGCTTACTCGAAGTTTCCGCCGTTCAGATTTGCGGTTGAATTTCCGAATCCGAGAGGATTGAAAGAGAAGAAGAGAGTATACTCAAGAACCGTATCCTATGCTGGCAGTAACTGGAATATGTGCGTCTCAGATGACGACAACGTTCGTAACGACGAAAAGTCTGCTAATGCCGTTCCTAGATATATTCAGAAAGTCCGCTCCCAAAAGAACCCGCAACTTGGAGTCTATCTTCATCGCGCCAAAGGGCGTGATACTGAGGATTATTCGTCCACCCGGCAATCAATCAGCAATTCCAGCACAGTCGACGAACGCATCGGTCTGCTCGAGCGCGAAGTGCTTCTTCGTAGCTCAGATGTACACCGAACGACAGGTAGCAGAAGCACACTCACAAGACACAGCGACCGGAGCTTTAGCGACGAGACAGACGATGGATCTATGGCTTCGTATCGCCGACGAGTGTTTGGCTCTGGAGAGGGAACGATTCTCGATACTAGTTGGACAGCGTTTGATTCTGATTCCGAAAGTGACGATTATTCCCCCTCCACTACCCTCGTCGACCACAACGGCAACAGTGCTTGTAGAAACGGCGGCAATTTCTTTGAAGAGCAAGCAGCCACCTCGAGTACGTCTTCGGCCGTTCCCAATTTGACGCACTTGACGCACTTCCCGCCTCCTACACAGTCAAATGCATCTCGTCAGCGCAGCGTCCTTGCAAAGGCCAGCCATTTCCAAGCAAAGCGCACGCCCACTGTACCTCCATATACGGACACACGACCCACAATCAAAACGTACTTTAAGATCTACTCACCTAGCAAGGGAGGGAGGTTGTTGAGCGTATACGAATCTGCGCCGGACAAGTTTGATTTCAGCCAGAGCTGGGGTTGGAAGAGCAGTACGCTTATGCTGGATGAGGGATTCTCGTCTAGATCAGGACCGGAAGGCATGGAGGCTCCCAGCTTGAACATCGCCCAGACGGACAACGCTGGTGAAACGACGTCGGCAAGTCAGCAAGGCGGCTTGGACAGGGATGCTGAAAGGGAAAGGGAACGGAGAAAGAGGAACGAGGGTGTCTTGCGATTTATGGTCGTTATTGGAAATCTCTAAGATGCAGATGATCATGCGGAACTTTCTTTGGCGTGCAATATATGATACCCCTTCATTTGTGACGAATGCAGATTCGGGGAAAAGTAACGAATCACCAAAGCTGTATGACTATCTTAGCCCGTCGTGTTCCAATCTGAATGTGTTGTCTTCTCTTGATAGTTGTGGAATGAATAGAGCCTGGCTAGCTTTACCAGCCTACAGAAACGCATTCTGGATTTTTACCAGCATCGTTTCTCATCACAAAAAGCTCGTGAAACCCTACCTCTCCAGGGCGTGCAAACATGATCGTCATAGTATTTGATCGTGATTTACGCGAGAGAGCCTTCTGGGTCCGCACTTGGACTGCTCGATGCGACAACACTATGCAGTGGGGCAAACGGTTGCGCGGGCGACCTTGGAACCAGGCCACACTGGAACCAAGAATGAAAATAGAAGCCATTTAATCCGTGAGTCGACGCCCGCGCAAGAACGGCACTCCACAACCAGGTCCTCGTCCCTCGTCGTCCGCCGACCAAACCGGCATTCACATCCCGGGGTGCGGCGCCGGACGTCGTTGTTGCACTGCTCTAAATATAGAAGGCAACGTTGTCCGGGCCGAACCGTCGGCGTGCGAATCTTTGGGAGTGTTTGAAAAAACTTGTTTTGGGGCACGACGACGGCTTAGTCGTCGTGGTTTAATGTTTGGGACAAACAATGAGCTTGTCGCGCTCAGGACTGCCATAGTTGGATTGGAGGGGGGGGGGGGGGGGGGGGGGGGGGGGTGGCGGAGGCCAGCTTTTCACGTGCTCCATTTATCCTCCCCATCAGTGAGCACGGCGTCGACAGGGACGTCGATTTTTCTTCAGTGTGCACAAAGTCTTGACTAGCGCTCTGCTCTCGGGACGAGGACGTGGTGGAGCGTTCTGGCTACTGTGAGCGAGGACCCACAGCGTGATCCCTGCTGCGTGCAAGCGAGGCTGGACAGTTGCTAGGCGAATACGTTGTGTAGGTGTTAGAAAAAATAGTAATAAGAAGGAGTTTTCGTCGCCCAAGAATGCGGCTGGGCACGTCGATGAGAGCACGACGAGCCATGGCGAGTGTGCAACCTAGAACATAGATGTTCGCAAGTCTTTGCCTTGGACGGGGTCGCAGAGGTGAAGAGAATCAAATGTTTCGACGTGGACCTTCAAGTCCATCGCTCTGGCGTACACAGACGGCTTTTTGGGGAGGGTAAGGAAGATTGTGCCTGCCGCTGTTGATGTGTTCTCGTAAGTGTTGAGTTGCATCATGCTAATTGTGGGACTTTGTCTGCAGGTACCTCATGCTTGATGGCATTTGCCGTGGGAGGTTCTCGGAAGCGCCGTGGGTTTGGCTTGAGTGTGTTCGAGAGCAAGCACGAGAGCGGTGAGGCAAATAATGGTCATGATGGGGCTCTGAAAAACGTCCCTGGGCACATTCTGATGTCTGTGACAATAGGAACATGTAATCTCGCTTTGGTTTGAATTGATGTCACGTGTAAGGAGGAGTCTTGATTCCACATTACGGAATTCTGAACAGAAAGTCTTCTCCCGGCGGCCGTCATCTAGCACCCATGCGCTCGTCATACGTCAATCGACAGACAATTGATGAGCTTGCTCTCATCTGACACATTGGCGAAGCCAAGATGCAGTGAAAAAAAAAAAAAAAATAAGGCATGGACACACCGAAGTGACCCAATGGTGGGTGATCGCTGATGCGTAAGCTTGGGTGCCAATTTTAGAGTTCTTACATCCGACTACTAGTTCGGCCAGGACAAAGAACCGTGGCCGCAGGACGGCTGGTGTCTTGTGCGAGGTTTCTTCTCGGACGGGATGATTAGGTATCGACGATACGAGGATCTCATGATCCGGAAATCGACAGCTGGTGGCCGTGACTTTGGCAAGTCCTGCTGTGCATATGAGACCTGGGCAGCTAGCTCTACTCCAGATGAGAGAGCAGGTTGAGCCGACGCAGCGGCTACAGAACGTGCTGAGTGCGGGTGCGTCCAACGGCCATCCCAGACAAGAGGTGACATCGTGCTGGGCTTGCGGGTCCTGCCAAAAGATGACAGCGCGGATCCTGGACCTGGGCAGAACGGCTTGCAGCACGACTGAACCACCGCACTGGCAGCGGTCTCGTCCCAGCGATCTTCTAGAACTAGAACAAGCATAGGGCAAAGACACTACCAGCCTGGGATCCCCGTGCATCTCGGCCTTGTCCGATCTTATCGAGCCGACGGAGCGGGCTTTGTGGAGGTTCTCGCCCAGCACAGAGAGCGCCGCTGCGACGCACAGCAGGACGGAGCTTGTGCAGGATTACGGGTCGTGGCCTCCGCCGCCTCTCGCGCGCAGCACGACCAGTGGATGTGATGGCGACGGCTATGGATGGGTTTCTGGCTTCCAAGATGCGGTCAATCCACCGCCCGTACCAGCCGGTTGTCCAGTAGCGCGCAGCCGCAACGCCATCGCCGCCCTATGCAAGCCCCCGCCTTGTGCTGCAACTCTTTCCTTCAGCTCGGATGATCGCGCTACAAATAGAACGGACTCCGCAGCGACATCTTTGTGTCTGCGCATGCGCTGGCTGACATATGTCGTCCTCATTTCCGACGGCGAATTCTTCAGAGTTTTCTCAGGCTGCTCGTTCTGTCTCTACCGCTGTTGCTGTAGTCCTTGATTTCTAATTCGCATTCCAATTGCTTCCCTCCATCTGCGTGCTTTGCCCTCGTCTTCACTCCACTCTCTTCAACCCCTCTCCTCCGCCCTCCACCCATTCAAGTCGGGCCGAATAGCGATAGAACTCTGTCCTTTGACCTTGAAATGTCTCGACGGGCCCCTCGAGGCGAAGGTCCATCGTCTGGCGAGGTACCTCGCTATGACGGCCCGACTATTCCCGCTAGCCGTGGGCAGTCGCCAACGCGCGATGAGACTTCGCGTGCTCCGTCCTTGGTGGAAGAACAGGCGCCGCAGGCGCAGCAGACGCGTGGACCGATCAAGCGTCGTTTCCCCAAGAAGCAGCATCCCCAGAAAACGGTGGACGACTTCTGGTCTGCCTTCACCTCGAAAACGCCCGGCAAGGCGTATTCGATCCTACCGGACAACTACTATGCGAAACACGCCGCGACGCATGCGCCCAAGGGCGTCAAGAACGCCCTCGCCAGCTACGACGAGGCAAAGGCGAATTGCGAGGCCAAGGTGGCCAAAATCGTCAAGGAATGCAGACGGACGAATCAGAAGTACACGGACCCGCACTTCAATATTGAGGCGGACTTCAGGAGATGGCACACGGAGAGACCGTTCGCAGACTGCCTGATGGGACTGCTTGACACAAAGACGGATCTGCGCCCGCAGAGCGTCAAGAGGGTTGAAGACATCTTTGAGAATCCACAGTTTTTCATCGAGGGTGCCACGGCCAACGACGTGCGGCAGGGAAAAGAAGGCGACTGTTGGTTCATGAGCGCGCTGTGTACGCTCAGCAACAAGGACAGCCTCATACAGTCCATCTGCGTCGCCCGCGACGAGCAGGTCGGTGTGTATGGCTTTGTATTCCATCGCGACGGCGAGTGGATTTCTGAAGTGATTGACGACAAGCTCTACCTGATCAAGGAGGACTTTAACGATGCAACGCTCGAAAGGAACAAGTGGCTCGAGCTGCAGAATCGCACCAGCCCGGAGGAAGAGTACAGAGCGGTGATGCAGACGGGGTCGCGGGCTCTGTACTTTGCGCAGTGCAGTGACCCCAATGAGACGTGGCTACCGCTGCTGGAGAAGGCATACGCGAAGGCGCACGGCGACTACTCTGCTCTCGAAAGCGGATTTGTCGGCGAGGCGATTGAGGACCTTACCGGCGGCGTCACCACTGAAATATTCTCGACGGACATCCTGGACAAGGATAAATTCTGGAGAGAGGAGCTCATGCAGGTGAACAAGACCTTCTTGTTCGGCTGCGGCCAGATGGGCGGCAAGCACGGAATGCGCAACGGCATCCTCGAGAAGCACGCCTACTCTATCCTTGAAGCGCGCGAAGTCAACGGTGAGCGGCTTCTGAAGCTCCGCAACCCGTGGGGCAACACGGAATGGAGGGGCGCGTGGAGCGACGGTAGTGCAGAATGGACCCCAGAGTGGATGCAGGCCCTCAACCACAAGTTCGGCGACGATGGCGTCTTCTGGATTAGCTACAAGGACCTTCTCCGCAACTATCAGCACATCGACAGAACTCGGCTGTTTAACAGCTCGTGGCAGGTCATCTCGTCATGGACGAGCGTCGAGGTCCCGTGGTCGGTCGACTACCTCGACACGCGCTTCGACTTCACACTTGCAAAGAAGGGTGAAGTTGTAATTGTGCTCCAACAGCTCGATGACCGCTATTTCCGTGGCTTGGAAGGCCAGTACGACTTTCACCTGCAATTCCGTCTGCACAAGGAAGACGAGGAGGAGTACATTGTCCGGTCGAACCCGGCATATTACATGAAACGCAGCGTCAGCACGGAATTGGAGCTCGAGGCTGGAAAGTACACGGTACTCATCAAGATCACGGCTAAGCGTTATCCGTCCGATCCAACCGTGGAGGAGGTCGTTGCCGCCACGTGCCAGACGCGACGTGAAAAGCTTCTCAACATCGGTCTCAGCTACGATCTCGCGCACGCAAAGGGCGACTTCCGCGAAATCGAGCATGCCAACAAAGAGCTTGAGCAGAAAGAAAGGCGGGCGAAGAGGCGCGAGACCGCCAAGAAGATGCACGCCGCTCGCGTTCTGCAGCACAAGAAGCAAAAGTTCCGCGCCATGAAGATGAACCTGAAGAAGGAGGCGAAAGCGATTGCCAAGATGCAGAGACAGGCTGACGAGCAGGCCAAGCAAGAAGCACTGGAGAAAGGCGTGGAGGGTATGAAGTTCACGTCCGAGCCAGAGTCCATCCCCGATGGCCTCGGAATCAATGCGGGGGCAGCTATGGGTAACGGTGCCGTACAACCAGTACGGAGACAGGACTCTTTTGACAACGCGCACGGTGGAACCCTGCCACCGTCGTTGATCACCAACCCAGCTCCGAACGGAGTCAGGCCAAGACGAGACACCAGACCGGCTTCTTTGTCGATCTCGTCGAGATCAGGTCCGCCCTCGCTCAACTCTACACCTCGTCGCGACACGCTCGAACCTCGTCCAGTCTCTTTACATGCCTCTAGCTACGGTACGCCGGGCATACAAGTGCACCGTCCTTCGAAGCCCGATGGCAAGCTCACGCTGAGCGACATCAGCGACGACGATCTCAGCTGGGACTCGGAACTGGATGAGCCCGACGACAGCGACTTGGACAATCTTGATCCGTGCCATGGCGGCGTCTACGGCCAAGGGCAGCCAGCCGCGAACCCACCCGCAGACGAAGAGGACTACGCCAAGGACCCATGGAACGCCGTGTGCGTCGTCGGTCTCCGCATCTACACCCGCGACTCCGGCGTCACGATCAACGTCGTCCGGACGGACAAGAAAAACCGCCCGATGGAACAAGCGGACTTCTTCAGGAGGGGACTCGATGTTGACGACGCGAGCAAGGACACGAGCAGGGAGCCCGTGAGCCCAATCAGCCCTTCGCGAGGAGCCCAAGGCATGATGAGTTTGGCGCAAGCGATGAGTGGAACGGCCGGCTCGGGTGGATCGAGTCCATTGGATGGGCCTGGCTGGAGGCCACCGCGGGTTCTCAGTCCGAGACTGAACGGGCTATGAAAGCTGGACGTGCGCTCTACGTTTTCGTCCTGCTGCACTGTTTTTTGTTTTCTTTTTTCTTTCTTTTTTTTTGACCGCCGCTTTTTCTGCGCATACCATGGTGTACAAAAGTGATACCCTTTTCGTGCAGTATTTTCTCTCTCCCTCCCTTCGTTTTCTGGTCGGCTCGAGGGGACACGGGAATCTCGATTGGGGGGTGTGCTCGGTAGTCGCTTGTATAATCTAAATCCAAGCTCTACGTACTCCTTTCTATTTTTACTGCACGCACTTCTCTTGCTCGTGCAGCGCGCTGAGCGGTTATGCTTGCCGCAGTGCAATTATTACTTTCATGCTTGCCCTTTCACAGTAATTAGCTTTCGATAGTCTTGAATCTGTCCGCCATTTTCCCCCGTAGTTAGTTGAGATGTGTGCAGGCAAGGTGTCGTTCCGCGCCATAAAAGAGTCTACATGTTGCCGCACCAACTTGGCATTGAAACTTTTTTTTTTCTTTTCCCGGCACCTCACTCTGGTTGGGACGGGCGGGTTTTCTCCCTCGACCTTCCACAGAGAGTCCGCCCGTTTAGGTTTTCCAGCAATAGAAAAGTGTCTTGTTTGATTTCGCATTTGCCGTGAACGGGCCTCAAGCACCGAGAAACCCCACACCCCGCGAAACGCTTCGGCTTAATTCCGCCCATTGAACCAGCCTAGCGAGATTGTCGAGTGTTGAACGGTGCAAGAGTCAAGACTCCGCTTTACTTGCTTAAATGGTGAGACGTCCTTGCTCTTGACGGCGTTGTTTTACGAAAGCCTCTCTACCTTCGGTAGTATTGTGACAAAATTTTTCCGGGTCCGTTGAAGTCGAATGCTTGAGCCGCATATCCGGTGTTTACATCTGGCTGTCTAGGCATTCTCTTTGTTCATACTTTGTTAAAGTTTTTCTTTCTCTTTTGCCTGGGCTGCTTTGATCACTTGCGTTCTCGTTCGTGCTACGTCCGAGCTCCGTCTCTGACTCTTCGGAGATAAGCAAGAGACCCTTCACAATGCCATTGATATCGACCGAACAGCTGTCCAGGCACAACAAGCCTGGCGATGCGTGGATCCTGATCGACACGACGGTATGGGACGTCACAGACTTCGCAGAGCAGCATCCCGGCGGGGCGGAAATCATCTACCAGTACATCGGCCATGTACGTGCCATGACGCGAGCTCGCTGCCTCTCGAATTGACGCGTAACAGGATGCCACGGACGCATACAACGAGGTCCACGGGCCGTCCCTGGTGAAGAAGTATCTTGATGCATCTAAAAACATAGGCCAAATCGACAGCAGCACCGTGACGGCCGAGTGGAAGAAGCGGCAAGCGTCAACGATGGAATCGGCACCCAAGGCGGACCCCAGTGAGAGGCCGCCGTTGGAGACGATTCTGAACATGCACGACTTTGAGAAAGTGGCGGAGAAGCATGTGAGCCCGAAGGCGTGGGCATTTCAGATGACGGCTGCGAACGATCATATCACAAAGGCTGCAAATGCCGACTACTGGCGTGAGTTGTGTTCCAGACGACACGTTCAATTCATGCCCCATTTGAAATCTGCTCCCGGACCTTGCAGAGTGATGCTTGAACTTCGTGACTAACAACAGTCGCTGCACTTGTAGGGCGAATCTACTTTAGACCAAGGATATTGACAGGCGGTGCGTACGACAACATGCAGAATCCTGACGAAAACATTGCGCTCACTAGAAGACAGTAAAAAATGTCGATGTCAGCTGTGAGGTCCTAGGGGAGAAATATTCGCTCCCGCTCTTCTCAGCACCTGCCGCACTCGCCCGTCTCAGCCATCCCGATGGCGAGCAGGCGATGGCGCGAGCACTTTCTGCAAAGGGCACGACGATCATCGCATGTAACAACGCCAGCTTTTCGTTCCAGGAGATCTGCTCAGTGCTGCCTCGCGACGACTACCCCGTCTTTTATCAGCTCTACGTGAACAAAGATCGTAGAGTGACTGAGCAGATTGTACGAGACGTGAGCAAATGGAAGGGACTGCAGGCCATCATCGTCACCGCCGACCTTCCTGTGGTAGGAAAGCGGGAGGATGACGAGAGACTCAAGATCGACAGCAATTACAAGCAGCCCAAGAGTTTTCAGAGCCAGAAGCTTTCAAAGGACAAAAAGGGATCCGGGTTGGCGCGAGCTACAGGCACGTTCATCGACGCCGATCTGAAATGGAATGACATTCGGTGGCTTCAGACACTGACACATGTGCCAATCTTTGTTAAGGGCATCCAGTGCGCAGCAGACGCGCGCAAGGCGCTTGAGATGGGCTGCAAGGGTATCTACATCACGAACCACGGAGGCCGCGCTGTGGATACCGCGCAGCCGAGTCTGTTAACATTGCTCGAAATTAATGCCAATTGCCCAGAGGTGGGAACAAGCCTTTGTAACGGCTGGGGCATAGAAGGCTGACACTGCCATCCAGGTGATGGAACAGATGGAGGTGTTCATTGATGGCGGCATTCGGTTGGTCTTTCGAAACAGAGTTTGCGGAAATGCAACGACTAACCAGGCAACAGTCGCGGAACAGATGTCTTGAAAGCGATTTGCTTGGGTGCAAGTGGCGTTTGCATGGGCCGCCCGTTTCTGTTCGCTGTGAGTCCTCTCCATTGGCCCCTCTCCATTCTGCAAAGTGCTAAAGCTCGATGATTCAAGGTTGGATACGGAGAGGAGGGTGTTGCACACGCCATTGATAGTACGTATGACCCACATCTAGGCAGTGATCCCGAACACAGTCTAACGGTCTACCTCAAAAGTAATCAAGGATGAGCTTGAGACGGCTATGCAGATGATTGGCATCACCAGCCTTGATCAAGCTCACCCGGGACTCCTGAATACAGGCCAGCTGGATCATATGGTAATCAGAGGCGAGTGAGTGAATCGATCAGTCTGCGCGCGATTCAATAGATCTGACGACTCCAAGCAAACATCCCTGGGCCCACAAGGTGGTTCGAAAATCGAAACTTTAGAATGTGCATCTTATTAGATGAGGTGCAGGTGTAGAATTAGAACAAGGAGACCAAAATTGACGCAGGGTTCCTCAATCAGCAGGCTGGGCAACCAGTGATGGCATGAGCTTGAGATCCTTGCATTGGCTGCAGTGGCGGCATGGCGGTAAACATAATCTCAAGAACAGCTTTTTCACCACTAGCCTCGAATTGATGGACGTCCGTACTACGGATACGTTGAGGAGCTGAGGATCCGAGATTGTGATAGAAGATAGAATGATGCCATAGAGAAGTACTTTAGGCCCTGTGCAAGCCTGGTGAGAAAACGCTCTCTGTCTCCTTGTACACCGGAAGTTCAACAGAGTCACCAATCGGAAGGCGAGCCTAATGGATCACGAAAGGTTCCAGAGAGTGCATGCTGGATACATGAATACCAGGCACGAAATGCGTGTCTTAGAAATACGCCTGATCAGTGCCTTGCGTATCTCTGCATTGATGGACATTAGCAGCATCACTGCTGCCTTGAGCCTGCATAAGAAAAGTGTAACGTTTTGTTCGGGTTTTCAAGTGACCGCTCGGTTCAGCACTGTTGTAGCGTGTTCGCGGCTGGCTGGAGGCCACACGTTTGGGACGACAGCCGTGAGCTTCATGTCAAGTCACCGTAAGACAGGTGTCCAACCAGTCGACGACGGATCGTTGCTGATCCACGTCCCAATCGGGGATTGCGGCGAGCTGGTGCTGGCGCTGAAGCCGCGACCACACCCCAGACTTTGCGCCGCAGCCAAGGCCGACGCGATTGCCATGGCTCAATTGGCGGAGCAAAACCACTCATGTAGACGCACAGAGCATAGTAAAGGCTGAAACAGTCAAAGAATGAATCAAACAATTCATGCACAGTTGCTCAACTAGGCAGTGTGCTTTTGCAGCCCCCTTTCTGCCTGGCAATGGAATGCTAGTGAGTTGCGCTCTCACGGCCACACCCGCGTTGGCATGGGGCGCACGAGTTCGCAGGCGCGATCGTCGTTTTAGCTCTACAGAGGTTCGCTGGCCGCTAATGCACGATGCTCCGCGCCGCTGGCAAGCTGTTATCTCAAGCGAGCAAGCGGAACAAAGCTGGTCGGCCTGTGAAAGGTTTTGTTGCTGACCTTTTCGTTGAGCCAGTCACGAGTACGAGCGATAAGCAATCAACGGTCAGAGGGTCTCCTTGACCGTCCGAATACGGCATGCTCACACGATGACTAGTGAGCAGGCCAGGGAGACGTGCGAGGCTATCTTGTGGCTTTGATAGGTGCGAGAAGTAAGGTGTGTAAGAAATGAAGAGCGATTCCGGAGTGCCCAAATTAAAGCAGGCCAGCCGTATTTTTTTCTTCCGCGGTGGACGCTGATGCCAGTTGTGCGCATTGACATGGATACAGGTAGAGAGGGGGCTTGTGACCGGTTGAGGCCGTTGGATCATCGGCGGACTGCTTTTCAATACCGCATTATTGACGTTATTGAACGGCTGCAGCCGGGCTGAGGAGACAGAAAGGAGGAGAGTGAGAGAGAGGAGAAGAGCAGTAGGATGAGGATGAGGGGCGGGGAGAGGAGGAGGAGGGCGGAAGAGAGGGCGACGGCAACACCGAGCAGCGGGCGGAAAGCGCAAGCAACAGCAAAGCAGGAGCAATAGCATTCGCAAAGAGGAAAGAGCAGCAGGATGAGTGGCGTCATGTGATGAAGAGCAGGTGGACGGCTGAGCAAGATGGGAAGTGGCGAGTGTGCGAATGTGGGAGTCTGCGGCTTTGCGCGAGCGTGGACGTGGAATCGTTGACGTAGATGAAGCGAAGGACGCCGGAGTGGTCGTGCAGGACTGAGCGGACGGACGTCGCAGTCGTTGGAGGAGCAGCAGCAGCAGCAGCAGCAGCAGCAGCAGCAGCAGCGGCGGCGGGAGGTGTGAGGAGCCTCTCACTGTCTTTTGGCGGGCGCGGTCCCCCAGTTTTCCGGCTCTAACCCCCTAAGCATGCGATCCAGCGTCACGAGGCGACGCGGGCGTGGGCCCATGGGTGAGACCGTGGCCGTCCGCCCGCTCATCTGACTGTGCGGGAGTGTATGCGCATGTGTATGTGTGGGTGTGCGTGTGTGCGTGTTTGAGAGCGTCGGCGAGTCGTCAGAGTGCGCGTGCGAGTGTGACTCCATTGCGTGCGTGCGCCCCGTCCAGCGCCGACGCCCAGCGAGGCAAATAGTGGGCCCCCGCGCTTGCACGGGCTTTCCCTACCGAAGCATCATCTTCGTCGTCTGTCTGGCTGCGTCGCTGAACTGCTGGTGCTGGTGCTGGCGCTGGTGCTGGTGCTGGTGCTGCTCCTCGACACGTCCTGGACCTCCCTCGCTGTCCCAGCACACCTTGCATCCCTCCCGGTGCTCTTCTCTTTCCCTTCTTCTTGCTGCCGTCGTCGTCTCTTCCTCAGCCTGCCACCCCCATCACATCCCGCCGCCTGCGTGCTGCTCCTCTGAGCCCGTCGTCAAGCATCGTTGGCCCAGAGAGCCTTGTTCCTGATTGTACGCCGTGCTATTCGCTAGCTTATCTCCACCTCGCCCCATCACTCTGCCCGTCCCCAAGACAAGCTGCGACAAGCTCCCACCTCAGTTCCTCATCCATCCACAGCCACCCGCCAGACTTCACCCGTCGTTCCACAAGCTCTGTCAATATGACTACTGCCTAGCCACTGACACGCCCTACCCCTCCGCATGGTGGCCTGGAGCAAAGAAGAAATTTGAGTCTCCTCTCGTGTCTCGAGCTCAACCGCTATCGAGTCATTCTCCGACTTGCCTGCAGTCTTGACGCTGTTCCATTGCATTCCTCTCCTGCTCTGCTCGCGCACCACTTTCCCCCTGTACAGCGTGCTGCTCAACTGTACCGTGATGGATTTTCTTGAAGCTCCCGATTTGCTGTCCTCGTAGCGAGCAACTCACCATCCTGCCTTGTCTCGCGTGCGCACTTCCTGTCTCATTCCCTCTCCACCATCCAAGCCACCTCCCGTACCTCATCCCCTCCTCGTACCCTCGGGAGCTGTGTGTCTACCTCCAGGCACGCACGGTTCGTTCCTGAAAGTGGCCTCCTGTGTCCTACCATGTACCCTCCCCCCAGACCGGCTGGCGCTAGAGCCTCGGCCTCATCAGCTACTTCTCCCAGAACGAACCCGCTCAGATCAAACAACGAGCGGGATAGCATGTCGGAACGACGAAGGATGCAGGATTCGCCTAGCGACAGCGGAAGTGGATTTGGGGAAGCGGAGAACTACACGCAGGACGAGATCAAGCAGCTACGGAATCTGAACGCCATCATCCAGGTATGTGGTCCATCTGTCTACCTCTCTCGTCTCTTTTCGAAGCTCAAACACACTAAAGAGCCGCATCTGTAGCAATTCTTCGTAAAGGGGGCGTTGACGCTGGTCAGCTCCAGGGTGTTTCTGACTCCGGCAAAGCTCAAAGACGGCGATGATATCAAGTACAACAAATGGGTAGGTTCCGTCCATGTTTCTCTCGCCTCCATGTTCACTCATCACGCTAATGTCAACGCATAGTTCAACCTGGTCCTTCCCGAGTCAGATACCCTCGCAGAATTCACAGCGCCGTGGAGGGCCACAGACGTGAGCGTGGAACGACCTCCGCCTATGATAATCGAGATATACCTAGACCTCACGCAGCTCACCCGAAGCCAGAAGCTGATCATTTTAGACGACAATGGCAAGCGATGGGACGTGGCCGACACCCTAAACCGCACACTAGCTCCAGGTGACCGTCCGACGAGCAAGACGGCGAATGCATCGCAGCTTGTGCTAGAGCGATGGAGAATAAGCCTGGATGGCTCGCCTCGAGATAGTGCCATGCAACCCGGCAGTCTGTCCGCTGTGTACAAGCGCGGTATTCCTTTGTTTAGATCACTCTTCACATATGGACGCACCATGCCTGCATTCAAATACTCGCGCCGCCTCCTGAAGCAACCTCCTAATCATCCTACCGTTAAATTGAACTATCGCATCCTAGACGGGGCCGTACCCAGCTCCAAGGTAGATACGTTGCACATACCACTGGCCCTTAGCGAGGACGACGTCGTCGAGCAATACTCATTTGAACATCTGCAATGCTCGGCAGGCACCCTGAACATATCCGTCACGTATAGAACGAACTGTGATTTTCGCGTAGATGATACGGAGTCGTTGATGAGCTCGCACTTTATGGCTTCGGACGATCACTACTTCAGACCTTCCTTAGCTGGCCGTAGGACTGAGGCCGCCGTCGTGCCAAGCTCGGTCCCCAATGCTCGACATGACTATAGTCCGGACTCGCAGCAGGAAGGGCAGGTGTATGGATCGTTGTCGACGTTCCACAGGTCTGGTGCTGCTGCGCCAGGTACCAGTCCACTGTCGGCCATGCGCGCGATACGTGACGATGCGACGCCGGACACGCCGCCTCTAAGAACTCAGCCTGATCATCGACGGTCGACTAGTTCGAGATCCTCGATGCGAGCAGAAGGCGCCTCTATCAACCCTAGGCGGCCGTCCGTCTCGTTCCAGCCGTTCAAAGCTGGCTCACTAGCTTCTTCACCGGGAATGAATCTTCCCACCTCGCCAGGGACATCCTTTCCCGGCCGACCTGGGCCGGCTTCCCTCACGCATACGAGAAACCGTCCGTCATTAACTACGCTCCCTCAGCAGGTGCTTCGGACGCCGCAGCTACCTAACGAGACTGCGATCGCATCGTCGACATCATCTTCGCCAAAGCCTGCTCCGATTGCCCGATACAGCAGCAGCTTTAGTCACAGAAGGAGTCGATTCTCCTCTACGGGTAGCAAAGGGGACGATGACCATAACAGCAGCGGCAAGCAGAGTGCGTCGTCTTCAGCGCAACGTGGTTCTGATGAGATCGTCAACGAATCCCAACGATCGGGCTCGGGCTCGATGGAACAGTCAGAAGATGACAAAAATCTGCAAGATTTCATCAAGCTGCTGGAGGCAAAGAAAGATCTGAAAAGCTTCTCGCGAACTGATTCCGCGTCGAAAGACGCCTCTATGCGGCGGACGACGGCGGCATTGTCAAAGTACAGAGGCATGAGAGAGTCGAACACGGCTTTGTCGGATTCACTGTCCTCGTCGCTACTCCTGCAACGGTCATCCACCTCATCCAGTCGCCAGCTTTCAAGCGTGCCGCCTATGGTTCACGGCACTTCTGCGTCGACGTCTTCGTCACCGGGAAAGCCCATTTCGCCTCATACGCCGCACACCCCCGCCATTCCGTCAAGACTGAGCGATAACCTGACCATTGATTACGGCGACACTGTGCGTAGAAGCCGGACCCGAAGACGGTCCCCAACGGAGGCCATGCGCGAGGAAAACTCAAGCGAAGGCACTGCGCGAGATAACACGGGGACTAACGCGATTGACATCCCGACCAGTCCACACGCCTGGCCGTACGTGCGGCGATCAAGCTCTGCCAGCGGGCGCACGCGCGAGCGGGGCCTAGAGGATGAGCCTGAATTGTACGGTATGCGGAGCGCGTCCCTGCCTGCAGAGGAACGTACGGAGCTGAGCATGAGCGAGCTGCTACGCGTCAACATGGAGGTTCAAAGCTCTTCGCCCACAGGCGAGGACTCTTCTCCCCAGCCCTCTAATGAAGGATATGCCGCGTATCCCTTTCCTCCACTGGACACGAGCCAACCAACGTCCCGCGAGGAGTCATCATCCAGACCCGGCAGTATTGTTGAACCCGTCCCGCAGGCATTCCGCCACCGCCTCTCGCGTGGCTATAGACGCGGCAGCCCCAGCTTCTCGAGTGAGAGGGGGAGCAGGTACAGCGCAGGCAGCAGGCTGAGCATGCAGACAGGAGAAGAGGATGACCTCATCTTCCAGCTTAGTGAGCTAGGCTCTGCTTCCCGACGGAGCGTTGAGGAGACACGTGGTGCAACCACGTCTGGAAGGGGTGATAGACGAGGAGCTTGGAACCAATGACCACGTGAGATGGCGCAGCTTTGTTTCCTCATGTGTGCTTTTTGCATACGGAGTGGCATATCTGATTTTGTTCCTGGCTTTGGTTTTCACCATTTCACACGCCGTAAAATTGCTTCATGGTTGTCACACGGTGCTATTTCGCCTTCATCATCTTTATCAACGTCATATCGATCATCCTTGCGGCATTTTTTATTCATCCTGGCTTTTGCTTGGTCGCGTTGGTTATTTCATCAAAGGTTCCCCCTTGAGGATCATCACCGGGAGTCGGCATCTGGATATGGGGACTCTGCAATTGGGAGAGGAGATACCATATATTATACGTGTCCACGTGGCGTCGGGGTAAACCTTTGTAACTTTTCCGCGGTCCTCTGGTTCGGCTGCCCTTTCTTGTATGAAAGCACAACACATTCATAACGTTATATATGTGTGGCTTGCCTGATTTAGGGATTCTTAATTTTGGGAAGGCGAGTAGATTGCTTTTTCTGACTTGCTTACTTGCTTAGCATGCGAACGCGCGTCACTTCCTCGCGCGCGCGTGTGGGGATAGGGAAATCATAGATGGATGGGAATGCTAGGATCGCAAGATTGCCTCGTGTAACTAAATTTGGGATTAGGGTAGGAAAGAATGAAACAGATTGAACAGCGGCACGCGCGGTGCAGGCCAGTTCCTTCGGTTCTTTGACACTCTTTTGCAAAGCTAACGCTTAGGCCGAGCCGGTGTAAGAGTTGTGCGTCACGATCTGTTATGGCTCGCTACGTACATGCCCTCCTGCTCTTTTAACATGACGAATCGACCTATTTGGAGCCTCGCTTTTTCCATTCTTTGTTTCTCCTCTGGCGATTCCACTCGCCCCTTCTTCGCCCTGGGGCGCCGCCTCCGGTCCACGCCCCATGCTGAGGCAGCTTGTCGTGGTTCGCCTCCAAAGCAGCCGGCGGCGGCGGCACCGCGCCGCTCGGTACGACCAGCATCGGGGCTCTCCTCTGCTCCTCGACGCCAGAAGGCGCCGCTACCGCCATCGCCTCGCTCTCGGGCACACCGTCGCCGACGCCAAGCACATCCGGCGCTCCTGCAACAGCGCCGCCGCCCTCGGCCGCAGAACGTCCCGCTTCGATCGAGGACGCCGTGCCTTCACTCGTCCCCTGCGTCTCGCTGTTCTTTAGGACCAGAACGTCAGCCACGGGAACCCGGGATCCGCCTACGCGCGCGCTCGGGGGCCCAAACGTCGGACGCAGGCCCCGCCTGGCCGCGTACGCCTGGCCGCGGCCGCCGCGCCCGCTCGCCGTCGGGAAGAAGACCTTACCCTGTGTCCCCACGCCGCGCCGGCGACTGCATCCCCGCGTCGCGCGTACGCCTCGGCGTGCCGAGCCGCGACCGCGAGCACGACGATCCACGCGCTTGTGCCCCGCATATCTTTTGGAACGCTGTCGTCTTCTGTCGGTGGAATTCGATCCCTCAGCAGGACGGATGAGAGAGAAAGGGGAAAAGGGGAAAGGGGAAAGGGGGGTTTGTTTTCTTTTGAACGGCGCCTGAGCTTGGTGCCGCTGCGGCGCCGTGACGGTCGGCTCAGGCCACGTCGCCGAATGTGTCTTCGTCGCCGCTGGTGTGGGCGGCGCCCTTTCGGAAGTGTATATTGTGGGGTCGAGCCATCGTTCGTCCGCGTCCTTGGGCGAGAGTTGTTGGGGAGGTTTGATTATGCTTTTCTTGGGGCTTGATTTCACGCAACTTGCGAGCGGGAGCACTTTCAAAAGGAGGGGGGGGAGGGGCGACGACGGGGGTAGGACGTTAATGGCATCAACTACAGCGTTGCGGTCGCCGCGGCAACGAATCCGAGCAGCGTGTCGAGGGCGCGGATTCCACTTAGCTACGCTGCTTCCCACGCGCGCGGAGATTGCTGTCTGGCGACTGATTGAAGCAGTCAACAATTAGAGGAATGAAGGATGTAAACGACAAAATCTCTCCCGCTTTTTTTCAACCTTTTTTTTTAAAAAAAGAGGAAAAAAAATGATTGGAGGGTTTTTGATTCCTTCGTTTTTGGAAAAAGAAAAAAAGACTAAAGGTAAAAGTGGCCCCCGCATACGTCTAAGACACGTCGATGTCGTCCCACATCTTCGCCAGATGCCGCTGCATCTCCAAGATCTTGGCGGCCATGACGCCCTTGAGAAAGAACGCTCTCTTCCTCTGTCCGTTGAGCGAGAGCCACGTGCGCGTCACGTCCTCGTACCACTCGCGCTGCGTCGTTTCGTTGGTGAAGAACTCCCGGCCGTCGGCCAGGAGCATGGGGCTCTCGTTCTTGATGTACTTCACCAGGTTCTCAAGGCGCTGCTTATACACGTCGAGGAGCGGCGAGAGGAACATGTCCTCCTGTTCGCCCGCGGGGTCGCGCGAGTCCGCGTCGGCCTTCTCGTCTCCGACGCCCCGCGGCGCCTTGGCTGCTTGAAGAAGGGAGGGCATCGAGGAGCCGGATTCGTCGCGCTTTGCCACGTCGGGTCGCACGCACGCAAACCCTTCTCTCTTGCATTGCTTCGTTGCCTCTTGGTCAGCGCTTCTGTCTGTTGGTCCGATTTTCTTTGCCTTTGCAATCTGCGTGGAAGGAGGAAGGGAGGGGTTGTGGATTGGTGGGAGTCGCACCTCGGCGTGGTCGCTCAGCGCCCTGCACACGCACTCTCTCTTCAGCTCCACGCTTGGGAGGCGCGAGATCCGCTGCAGATCCCCCATGCATGTGCCGATGAAGACGCTGCAGACGAGAGAGTATTGCGGCTCTGGAGTGGGCAAGGCGTGTATGACTTTTGAGAGGAGCGCAGCGGCTGTGTAGAGTACTCCTGTGACCTTCATGGCGACGGAGAGTAGTGCCAAAAAGCTGTCCGTGGGGGGGGAGAAATGATGTGTGCGGCGAAGAACGACGGCGTACCGAAGAGATCAAAATACAGATGTCTACATGACGTTAAGCGGTTGCCAGGGACGCTGACTACGTGCTTCAACGTAAAGAGCGGATTTTAAGTTGAGCCTTCCCAAGTCGTTCAAAGATGAACCAGACGGCCAGATTGCGTAAGGTTTGACTTTCTCTCGTGGAGCCAACCTTGAACCAGACATATCGAGTGGATGCATTTCGACAGGATGCGCAGGTTGGTCCTGAGAAAATTAAAAGACTGGGGAACAGCTTTGTGAGCGACGGCGGATGAGAATCGATGCTTGATGGCAGGGTATCTATCATGCTCTTTTGTACATATCCTACAGTCCCATTGTGGCCCCGGGCGCCACCCAGCAGTCTATTTGATCTTCTTGTTCTTCAACTTGATCGTTTCATCATCCACAAAGATGCCTTTCCCTTTGTACGGCTCTGGCACCCTCCACGCTCGAATGTGTGCTGCGAACTGCTTGACCACGTGCTTGTCTACGCCCTCAAGCAGAATTCTCGTCGGCTGCGGCGTGCTTGCCTTGACACCCTTGGGAATGCCCAGTTCGATTGGATGCGAGTAACCTAGTTTGAGATTGACAAATTGTTGGCCAGGATAGGCAGGCTCCTTGGTCTTAGCAGTCGGCTCGATGGTGGCACGGTAGCCGACACCAACAAGGCGGAGGATGGCGATGTGGCCCTCGGAGACGCCGGTGATGTGGTTGTTGAGGTCCGCTCGAAGCGTTCCTGCTCTCAACATTTAGATAGATGCGATGGAATCCGGTGTTACGCATGCACTCACCCCACATTGCGCGTTGGTGTCTGACGCTGGCGTCTTGCACGCTTAGAGACACGGGGCCCATGTCTCCATCTCTAGAGACCTTGAGATACGGCGGGATATCCATGAACGTCTCTCCTGTGCGGCGTTACGCTGTCAGCCCCATCATTCCTCTCCCACTGCGACAGGAAAGGGAAACACCAACCCAAGGGCCCTTTCACATGCACCTTCGCCATCGAGACATCCACTCTCGCGCCTGCCCTGTTCCTGCCTGTGCTGCGGGGCTCCAGAAGCGTGATCTCGACACCCGGCGGCACCGCAATGGGAGCCCTCCCGATCTTGCTGCCACACCGTCTCGACTCGCTGAACGGCCGGCGGTTGGGGGGTGCGGCGATGAACACCCGCGACAAGCTCGAGTCCAGGCCATTGGCGCGGTGAAGGCCCGCGAGTTGCCAGCGGCGTATCCGAGATATAGGCAGCATGGCAGGCGTGTGTAACCGACGGTTGTCCGGTGAGAGAGAGAGAAAAGTGACGGTCGAAGGCAAGAGCGATGGCGCGTTGACGTTGTACCGATGCGGTTAGCGCTCCACGGGACCAGGCGTGCTGCCCGTGTCGACTGTGTCGCATGTGGGTGCCGAGCTAAGCTAAGCCATGCAAAGGAATCGCTGTTATGCAGCGTACAAGAAGGAAAAAGGAAGTGATTATGGTGCAAACGGTAGCATAGATTAGATGATGGATTGGCTTGTTGTTGTTCGGTTTTAATCCTAAAGCAGCTTGTAGATAAGCTAATAAGTTATATCTGCTAAGTCATGCTCACGTGACTTGCGACAGACTGGCCGCACAGTGAAGACGCACGCGACATCACTTAGAGGCGTGAGAAGACAACGTCTCCCAGCACATCTTGCCGCGTTGCCCTGTTTGACGATCAGTACTATGCAACAAGCCTCCAGCTTCTAGGGGAAGCGGCAGCCCGCAGCTCGTTGGTCGGCTTCACCAGCTCTTCAGTTCAGACTTCAGTTGCTACTGACCTCTCGTGTCTGGTCCACTTCACTTCAACAGCCGCAACCATGAGCTCAGATCCGAAAGTGTAGTGTGACTATTAGCGTCTCATTGGTCTCGTGCCTAATCTGAAAAGATCACCCTGATCGAACATATAAGTCTGACGGCCTGATTCTACGATCTTGACTTCATCTTCAAACTCAACATCAGTGACGACCAATCGTCCCCTCCTTACCTCCGATCGTCAAGTGCCATTCTCGTACTTTCTGTCATTGCCACAGCCCATTCGTCTTGTTCTGTGTGCTAATGGTTCAAGTCAGTCGAGCAAAATGAAGTACATCGTCATCAATCTCTTGCTAGCGCTGCTGGCTTTCTGCCTCAACCAAGTCCTCTCTGGAACAATTGGATCCGGAGTCGACTTTTCCTCAGTCAAGAGTAGTGGTAAACCAAACTTGGTCATGGATCTGAAGAAAGGCAAGGCTACCGACACCGAGATTCACAAGGCTGCCATCGCCTTCCTCGAAGAGATCCAAGGCTCCTCATCCTGCCATCAACTCGCCGCCTACACCCTTATCCAGGTCTGTCAGTCCATCGAGGGAGCCTCCACCACTATAGATCCCTCTCTTTCCAACGCCAAAGAGGAGTACGCAGCCAAGATGGCGGTCTGCGAGCTCTCGGCCGCTCGTCCCAAGAATCAGGATGCAGTCCCGAAGCAGTGCATGGACTTAATCCCAACCAAGACTGCATGTGACACATCTTCTTCGTCTTCCACAAAGATATGCTACCATCCATTGTCTCGCGCAAGGATCACAGCCTGCATTACCGCCCTTCGAGCTCACCCTCAGTCGTGGACCTCGTACAGCAACGCCGCCCAAAATGTTGTCAATACGTGTCATGCATCCCGTGTGCACATGAACCAAGGTGAAATTTGAACGTGAATAGTATTTTTGACTCCAGATTACTGATGAAACCGCGTGTAGATGAGATCATCAGCAGGCTAACTGCTGTTCTGAAAGCCCAAGTAACAGCAGCACAAGACACCGCCGATCTCATCCGAAACAACGGTGATCAAGTTCTCGGCGAGTTCCAGCGCGTCGAGGAATCGGTCCAGCAAATTCGTGCAAGCGTCGACCGTCTGGGCGGTGAAGTTATGGCTCAGAGCTACAAAATTTTTGCCAACATGAACAATAATTTCCAGACGCTTTATGACAGCCTTCTAGCCAACCTGACTAGCGCGAATGATCTGGTACTTGCCGGCAATGCCAAAAAGCTGGCTGCTGCTGATGAATGGGCCATCGCATTTAACCAGTTTAATTCCAAAGTAATGCAAGATCTCGCCAGCAATGTCGACGAGGTCCGCACGAGCGTGAATCACATCGTAGCGAATGCACTTTCGGCTGTCGAATATGTTCACGAATCTACGATCCAGCTGAAAAATCAAACGAAGGAATTCAGCAAGCTTATTAACGATACTCACAACCAGGTCACAGATTTCGTCTCTGCCGTCTCGCCGTCGTTCGCCGTCATTAGATACATTCACGACATCATTCACTCAACATGGGTTGATCGACTGACATGGTATAGTTTAGTATTCAACGTAGTGATTCTCATTATCGTCGTCCCTAATCTGCTGTGGTACTCCGAATTCTCTGCGGCGGTGAAAATGCTGATTGCACTGATGATGGGTATATCTCTTCTTCTCTTGGATCTGAAGACCTGCTAAGCATTCTAACTAGATATCGCATTGTACTCGGTTTTTTGCTGGAGAGAGACACGACCTGGCTATAATTTCTTCCGCTGGCTTTTTACGTCTAAGATTTCCGGCCTCTCAGCAATCGCCGGGTTCATGATCGGTCTTCTGTTTGCCAAGCATATCATCAGAGCTTTCCACAGACTTCTCAATTCACTACTCCGCCAATGTTGTGCCCCTGCTCCAGCTCTGAGGGCAAACGACGTAGCAGTTACGATCCACAACGGCAGACGTACTACTCGTAAGACTAATCGTTCTTCTCCTATGACATCCAAGTCTCCCTTTTCGACTCGTGGCATTTCCGAGGCGCCTCCTGACAAGGCGGAATGGGTTTGAAACTCCTCCTAAGTTGTCCACTTTCGATCGAGTATTTGAATAGTTCACTAACTGTTCTTATAAAGAGCCACATGGATACATTCATTCTACACAGCAGGCAAATGAATAGCAGTATGCACGGAAAGATTGCCAGATGAGATATTTCCCTCGTTAGGAAGATTGAAATATTTGCTCGCAGAACAGAAATTGCAGCCTACATGGCAACGACTGTCTTCTTCTTCGGGTTAGTTCACACAACTCAAACTACGTAGGAACCAGCATATGAAATACAATTGGACTCTGGATTGACTTTGACTTCTCGTCTTTTGTGCGTATATTTCTTCGATATTTCCTAAGTCGTACCGATTCTTTTCTTTCCTGATGTTCAGAACTAGTGAGAAACAACATGCATCTTGTGAATGATATATCCGTTTCACCTCACATCCATAATACTTGAAACTTAGCGATCAATTCAGTGATTTAGGGACTCAAAGAATTTTTTTTGGTGGTCCAGCCTTCAAATCCGCATCAGGTTGTGATCAATGGCGTGGATGTCATTTGATAGCATTGCTTTGATGGTTTAAGCAATTGTCAAAAGGAGTGAAGTCTAGTCTCCGCGAACTATGTGCTGTTTCTATATTCTAAGTATGAATACACAAGTCCATGGCACATGAAGTCGGTTCAATATGTAATTTCAGTCTGACACGGCGCTTGGCACACTTTGTCCGCCTGTTTCACATAATTTGCATTAGGGAAGCCTAGCAAACAGGAATAAAAATGTGATGTTCATCATGTTCTGCTAGCTCTTGCTTTCACTAACTCGATTGCCGACGCCAGAGTCAACGCAAGTACTGCTCTGCGTGTATGTGATTTTGAGGAGCTGAAAAGTGCTTCAGCTGAGGATCTCAGCCTGCTGGGATGCGGAAAGGGTGTGCTTCTGTGTTGAACACCCACTCGTCGAGACTAACAACGTCGTCGTCACAAAAGACGAGGTAAAAATACTTCAGGGTCTCACTCATCCAAAAGCTCTCCATGCTATCATCATGTCTCACTTCATGCGGACCTACCATCACGTTTGAGATAGCGGCGTTGGCAAACTCCGTCGTCGTCGAGGCGTTGACGCTTTGGAACATGTCCCAAGCCACGTCCTGATACTTGGCGTCACCAGTGACACGGTACGCGTAGAAGACGCTTTCTATCGCCTCCGGACGAAGAATGTACTTCGGGTCGCCTATCGCGATGAAGGGGGATGCTTGGTTGGCATCGTACGGGCAAGGCGACAGGGACGGGCAGGGCTTCATCTCCACGATCTCGGGCATGATGCCCAGAGGCGCGTTCTTGTAAGCCCAGACGCAGCCGTCCGCGAGCTTTTTGCCGATCTCGACGTGGGTGGCGTTTTCAAAGAGGCGTCCGCCCAGAAGATACATGCCGCCCGCGAAGCAGGCGAGGTGCTGGAACTGCGCGTCTCTGCTGTGCGAGTCTGTGTGGTAGTTGGCAGACACGAGGATGTCCGCTTGGTCGGGCGTGCTTGGTCGGTACAGAAGATGGTCGCTGGCGACGTTCATCGCGCCTTGGTACAGCCTTTGGTATCGAGGCTCTCGACTTTTGAGGAGTTGCCATGTCTTTCCAAAATATTCGAATGCCGAGTCGGCCATGGCGCCGAACCCGAAGGAGGTGCCTTGTGTCAAGTCCTCCTCTCGCGTCGCTATAGCGGTTGGAAACATGCCGGGGAGCTGAGTTTTGTCTTGTTGGTCAACTAGCAGCCGAGTGATTCGCGTTGCTGCGTCGTAGTACCGCATATCACCTGTCAGCTGTGACAATCTGGTAAACTCGAGACTGGATGAAGCGAGTTCTGCAATAATTCCGTTTTCGGCAGCGAGCTGCTGTTGGTCGTATTCACGTATATTCCATCTTGTGACCGGCATTCGGTTAGGTGTGTCGTAGCTAGCATAGATCATATCCCCCATTTCGACAGCCTTCTGCAGAAGTCTTGCGTCCTTGCAATCGGTAAGATCATACGCCGCAAGAAAGCCGCCAAGATACCGGATTGTGGTCTCAAACATGTTGACCGTAGATAAGGTCGAGCTGTCTGGGCTGAAGCTTAGGTTGGCGGCGGCGTCGACGGCTTCTTCAAACTCATCCTTAAGGCCCATAATCCAGAGAGTATCTAAGCTATCAACCAGGGTAGCACCCCATCCGCCAAAAGTGTCTTTGAAACCGCCTGACACAGGGGCTAACTCATCGTGAGGGAGCGCTTTGGACTTGTATGAATTCCATGCCCGCAGAAAGACCTGCTTCACGGCCTCTCGCCTTTGGCTTTGTTCCAAGGCCTTTTGATGGGTGAAATACTTCCGGCCTGAAAACTGAACTTTGGGGAGAGCAGCCGCTTCGCTGGTCGGGAGAGAAAAGAATAATTGCACCGGGTTTTTGATCTCAACGTCGCGCCAACTAAAGCCGCTGCCCAAAGGGATATCGACTGGTGAGGGTGGTTTTCTTGGGCAGTTTGTCGAAGCTTGGTCCGGGAATGCAGATGCAAAATTGCCTGTGAATGGGGGAAGGGCGAGAGGCTTTAAAGTACTAACAATTATAACGCCGGTAGCAGTCACAGCAAGAAAAACAAGCCATCGTCTCACAAAAAGCATGTTAGATCCGATCAGCACGAGAAAAATTCGCAAGATCCCATTCGAGAAGGCATAAGAGAAGTTGCAGCGAAGGGCCTGAACTGAAAATTGATCTACTGAAAATACAATCATCGAGGACTAGTTCTAGGACCGAGCTTTTCAAGATAATTTTGTTCAGCTGCGCCTCAAGGAAGCAAAGTTTCAGTGATACGGCACGTCGCACACAAACAACAATCCTAACTGCCAATCATCCAGTTAAAGATGTTCCTCAATACCGTTGCCGACGGGCCAATCCTAACTCAAACGAGGCTAAGACAATACAAGCGGGCAGCCGTTGCAGCGCCAAGGAACTCCTATTCTGCACCTGTCCAAAAGAACGATCTTTATCAAGCTCGCCCTGAAGTCCCATACCGTATTCATATGCGGCGAAACTTCAGCGACCGTTTCGATAGCAAGATGCTTTGTGGTCTCTTGTTACTTTCCTCCCCCTATTACTAGGACAACATTTAGTTCGAACTATCTGTTGACCTGATGACGCCGAAGGCCGTTCGAAGAGATCCCAGGATTCGGAAAAGAGAATTCAACTGAGCTTGAATAGCTCGGATTGGTTAGAACGACAGATTCTGCGTAACATCTCCAACAACGAACCTGGATCGGAAAGCGGGTCTTCGTCCTCACAAGATTGCATCCTCACGTTTTTAACCTTGGAATAGAATACGCCACCAAGCCTGAAGGATTTGCCAAGAGACGGGAGAGCGGTGGAGATCACGCCCTAGAGTGTTGCATGGCTAGGAACATTTGACTTACCTGCTTCAGTTTACATCCTTTGAAGCCAGGGATGGAAGAAATAGGACCCGATCCGAGAAATGAAGGAGTTCGACGGGTGCGACGCCTCTGGCTCTATTCTAATTAGGACTTCGACGAAAATTCTTGCACTGGACTTATCGAATCGTGGCTGCGTGTTCATACAAACAGTTTATGACTTTGATACTCTCTCAGTCTCTCTTCATTCTTTAACAAGTCAGCACGGGGCTCTGTCGCAACTGCATTGGCAGAATCCCATTACAAATAATGACCACTTCTTGTTACGTGTACCTTCTTTTAAACGTATTTATCTTTCTTAACGAAGCCCAAGCCCTCTGTTACTTCCCGGACGGAGAGACAATCGCAAACCAAGATACACCATGCTACAATGACACATTCTCTTTCTGCTGCGGGCAAGGCTTTGCCTGTATGTCGAACAGACTATGCAAGCTGACGGAATATGTACTCGACGCAGGTCCTGGACAGTCGACGTTCGTTCGAGGCAGTTGCACGGATAAAAACTGGGGGGGAAGCTGTCCCAACTTCTGCGTCACGCCGAAGAATGGAGATACGCTAAGCGGAGCGATGGGACTAGCACAGTGTGTTGGAAACAGTGTAGATCAATACTACTGTCTAGATCGGGCTGTCGACACATTCACGTTCAGCGTACACAATCCCAGTCTCGCTTCATCTATGGTGTGCACAAGCTTCAGCAACCAGGTCTATTTCCAAGGTTTGTTATGGGATTTTTCTTTTAAAAGCCCAGAGCATTGTCTAAAATGAAAGTATTGTGCAGGAACACCAACTACTGTCACTATAATCGGCGTTGCTACAACGTCGACCCCGGCGACGACGGTCGCTACAACGACATCAACCACAAATTCCTTGAGTACCACTTCAACGCAGGTGACCGCACAGATAACCTCATCGATATCATCGCCTCTAGAGACCGGTCAATCGTCATCTGGACCAAGTTTAGGCGTCGCTGTGGGAGCAGGGGTTGGTGTCCCAATGGGCATAATTGCAATCAGCGTTGTCGCCTACATTTTGTGGAAACACCGGCGATCTAAAAAGCGCGAAATGCAACACGAAACGGCTCAATTGCAACCCCCTAATCCCGACCATCTTGAGCATCATTCGAAGTACGAAGTTGAAAAGCAGCAGCATGGCCTCGTCTCATTTTCACAGCCTGTCGAGATAGGCCGGCAGTCCCCACCACATGAGCTGTCTGCGCATGATCATGATAGCTGAATCTTTGAACACTGTCTCGGGTATCATAGACCCCATCACGGACGAGACCGGATTCAAGGATATGAATTGCCTTTCTAATTACATCCTTCGCTAGTATTTCATGATGTAATGAATTGCCCTGAGTCATTTCTCGTCGCCCATCTGAGTTGTCCGCATCCAGATGAGCAAATGTCCTATGACCTTACGTTGATTTTATACATCTTAAATAGAAACCAGAAATGCCTCTCTAGAACTTCTGCGTTTGCAAATTGTGTATGAACATAATGACATATAGCAAAAAACTCACTTAATTTTGTTAGAGGAAATGCTTTGTCTGAGCGGTCCCATTCTCGGTTCACGTGGAGTTGTGCTGAGTGGTTCAGTCGCGTTGATCTCCTTTCCAACAAAAACCACCGCTGGAGTGCTCTCGAATGGCGACTGTATCGTTGCTACTCAATAGCGCTCTCGACTTGGCTCCTCTTTCCGATACTCTGCCCCGTGATCCAGCACCTTCAGTATATTTTACGCAAGCCCTGGTTATTAAAAATAATCTACAAGCCTTGGAAAACCAAGAGGCGCAACTGACAACAGGTAATAGGTATTTGGTGCTGTCATATTTACTTGGTAATAATGTCTGTACATACGACCAATGCTACAACCCTGCGAGAAAGAGTGGATAGCTTTTTAGGGGATCCTTATTCAAATGCTATGTGATCTTGCCGCTTGATAGAGAATTAAAAGGAGATGGGATCGGACCTATCTCACTTATCACAGATACGATTGTGATCTGGACGAGAAAGTGTTGTCACGTGGTACTTTGATCTCGTGAAAACAAAAAAGGGGGTTTGGAAAGACTACAATTGACGCATTTCTTAGAAGTCTTTAGATGATGGCTGTGTTCCTTCAGGTAATTAAAGTTCAGATTTAGGCTGTCTTATGATTTCATTAAACTGAAAAAGTAGCTTTCAGTTCACAATATGGTCCCCACAACCAAAAAGAAAATGTGAGGCTTGGAAGACATGCAGACCAGGAGCAGAGACCTGCGACTCACTTGCGCCAAGGCTCCTCAGTATATAATATACGCAGTACGCAAAATCCCTTAGCTCGGCCTGACTCCTTAGTCAATAGTATCCTTATTTACCTTGAATACACTGTCCGCCCATCTTCTTAACACTCTTCCCTTCACACTTCCTTGCATGCGATCTCCGAGTGAAAGCGTACTTGTTGCATTGGCTGGCAGTGATCAAAGGGCCATATATTGGTTGCCCTATGATGATGAATACAGGAAAGACCGTGGGCGGCCTCCGTTTTAGTGACAAGGCCCTATTGGCACTAGCCTTTCTCTTATCATTTCTGAGACGAGTAAACCCCTTGATCGAGGATGCGCAAGCGCATGATTTGAGAATAAAATGGATTTTTGCCTTTGAACATGATGTATAGTCGAGCTTCGAGTGTGTGAAGAGGGGTCCGAAAGAAAACCTGCAGTGAAGACTACTGCTACTGTTTTCAGCCAGTAATAAGAACCCTTGAGTTTATAAAACTTCATGCATTTCGTCGTGGGAGTTTTCTTGGTCGGAAATGCCTCCTTGGTGGCCTCATGCCCGTTGTCAGGGATCGGTCCCCGCTGCTCTTCGAAGCTGCGTATAGACATTTGGGCGAAATGTTCTTTCCGAATCTGAGAATGATCGTCTGTAACATCCCTTCTTCAAGCCTTTTTTTTTCAGGGCATGTGGTGATTTTATTTGATCGTGGAATTCGTCATGTCTTCTATACCGTATCAAGGCGTCACGGTACTTTTAGTCTCGCCTTACTTTTTTCATTTTCTTGTCAAGGCAACAAGATGGTGCTCGGGGTTTCTTGGTGAAAATAAAAAAGGAAGTACATCTTAGCCCAGCGTCTTTCGCTTTTCAGCACTTTGCAAAATCTGCGGATTTTAAAAACCGTTTGAACTCACGACGCAGAGAATGAGCTCGCAAAGTCACATTCCTTTGATAAGAATTCAAGCACAGGCACTCAATCTTCAACCATGAAGCTCCTTTGCCCATTAATTCCTAAATTCAAGTCTCATCTAGCCCTTCTCTGGGGAAAAATCACACGGTGGGTGCAAATAGACGGACTGTTAATGCTAGCAAGTCTTGGTAGTGCTATCATATTGCTCGTGAACATAGTCGGAACGGTGGTTCTCAATACGAGAGCTCGAAATTCAAACATCTTCCATGGAAATTGCAGTAAAGCTAGTTATATTGATTCTGGACTTCATGCCATCATCAACGTGTTATCTACATTGCTCTTAGCAGCTTCTAATGTCTGCATGCAATATCTCGTGTCTCCCACAAGAAAACAAGTCGACGAAGCACATGAGCGCGGCCAATACCTAGACGTCGGTACTCAAAGCCTGCGCAACCTTTGGTTGGTTTGTTGGAGGCGCAGAGCTCTATGGATTGCCCTGGCGATTTCTTCTACACCATTGCAGTTTTTGTGCGTTCAAGTTCTCTCGCTCCCAGCACGTACTGACGCTAGAAATTAGGTGGAACTCGTCCTTAGCACAAACCTTTCCACTGAGTTCCCCTGCAGTTCTGGTAGTAACGCCTGACTTTCTCAACGGAGGAACCGTCGATCCAAAGGAAACCGTTCAAACCATTGATCAAAGGGTATCGATGCCGGTGACGGGAAGGCTCCAGGTTCCACCAAACAATTTAGTTAATTCCACACTCGGGGGAATTTGGGGAAATCCAATTATGCACTTCGGACCTGGGCATGTCGATGTCACTTCTAACAAGTACATACAAGCCCAGGTAGACTATCTGGTTGGCGAATACCCAATTCGTTTAGATCCAGTGCAATGCTTGAGCCGATATGTAACGACGACCTCGAACCGGTCCGATGTGCTTATGGTGTCATCGTACGATATCGTCACCGGCTCAGATACGCGGAGATTCTCGAACAACAGCTTATTGTTTGCCTACAATCCGTACGGCTTTGACGGTCCTGGAAACTATTGGGAGTGTGGCATCTCGAACTCATTCGATTGTCGCAAACCCAAGGAATGGAAAGCTAATCCGTCAATCGCGAAAGACTGGAACATTTTTGGGTACCGGTAAGTACTTTAACCACGGTTTAACACCTAAAGATCTTTTCAATAGTGACTTGACCTAGCATTGACTACTGTTTAACCAAGGAGATCGATCTAAACAATCTTTGCAGCATTCAGTTCCTGCTCCCGATAATGATAGGTGTGTGTTGTAATTAGATTGTATCAGGTTGATTGTTAAAACTCGGAACAGTTGTCTGCGTCACTAATGCGGCCAAGTGCATGTGCATTCTAAATGTTACTCTAATGTACTTTCGACAGGGAGAGAAGCCTCTGGTCACAATAGGCGATGCTATATGTTCATTTCTGCAAGATCCTGACCTGACGACAGCTCAAATGTGTTTGGTTACAAAGAGAGAGCTTAGCGAACTCCAAACTCGTCATCGCTCTTGCGATCTTTACGCTATAGTAAGGGGGCCTCAGTCAAGCACATGGGTGCGGCCACGTGTTTCCGAATATCACTTCTCGAGAAACAGATGGTGCCAAACGGCATCTCGCTGCACTTGGATTTTCGCATTACTTAGGTACGTCTTTTTTTTGCGTTTCTTTTATGTTTGCTGATGGCATCAGCTTTGCGGTACTCACCATACTCATGTCAACTCTGTTGTTCGTCTGTTTACAGAGAGTCCAATACAATAGCGGAGCCATGAACTCATTTCTGGATTATGGTTTTGGGTCGATTCGAGCGCAAATGCAAATGAGATTGGGCGACCTTTGGAAGGGTGCGTTATGCGATATGTTTGTTTTCTTCTATTAACCTGTCAAGCGTCTTATGCGCGAGCCACGGCTTGCTACATTCTCTTCTCTAACGTGCCACAATTCATAGCATCGATCATAGACTTTCAATCCAATGCTCTGTTAACGCAGATGCATGTCAACCAAGAGTGGCAAGGCTACGGCCGGAAAAGGAAGGCTTTGAGAACTTCAGCACCAGAGGGTATGCAGCGCGGTACTTATTTTCTTTCACTTCCATGGAGATATGCAGTGCCGCAGAAGACGTTCCTCGCGGTTCTCCATTGGACACTATCTCGAAGTCTTTTCCTGGTTCCCATTGAGACCTACCACAGTGACGGCACCTTTCAATTGAGGTATGGAACTCAAGGATTCAGCGTATGGCCGATGTTAAGTTGTGAGTTTCAGTTCAACTGATTTAGATTTGCTTAAAACCTCTTCTAACGATGTTAAGCACTTATTTTGTGCTTCCTTATGTTGGCCAGTCTTATCCTTCTTGGTTTTCGTCGCTACGATGGAGGCCTGCCATTGAATGCTACATGTAGTGCCGTAATCAGTGCTGCATGTCATCAGCCAAAGGGAGAAAGAGATGCACATCTGTCTCCGGTTCTGTGGGGGGCTCTGTCCGATAACGAAATCGTTCTCGACTCTGAGGTCGCTGAGCTTTTCCCAGGCATTCGGGACTATTGCGGTGAAGTAGGCAGGACCGAAGTTGAGCGGCAAAGCGTTTCAGTAAATTCTGAGACGCAATCCATATCCGCCAGCGAGATGAATGGGGAAGATATCGAGCTGGATACGGCTGACCCGCAGAGCAGTAATGAAACTAAGAGAAAACTAACTATAAGACATTGTTGCTTTAGCAGCGCCCAAAATGTCGGACGTCCAGTTGACGGGATGCTTTGCATGTGAGCAGAGAGTCTGATCATTTGCACCCAAAATTATATTGGGGCTCGCGAGATCTGCTCGTTAAACTCAACCAGGTCACAAAGCCACTTTTACCATGGACTTCGGGACCGGAATGTCTTCGAAAATTATACTGTCGCTTAATAGAGCCAATGTTCAAACTTTCACGACTGCATACAATCAACCAGTTTCTGGAATCCACCAAACGGAGGTTTGTCATAATCGCCAATACCATAGACTCCGTAAGTTAAACTCTGGCCGTTCAAACCTAAGAGATCAATCTGCCCTGTTACAAGAATGGCTAGCATTTTAGAGAGGGTGTTCATGACAATAGCCGCAGTGCGACAGTTGATGTACGACCATCACTACCTATGTCTCAAAGGTACTCAACTGAATTCGGTCTGTAACTGGACTGCCAATAAAATCGAGTCTAGACATGAAGTGAAAAGCAAGGCGTATTTCTTTAGTGTCATTTTGAGCGACAATATGATATTGCTATGAGAGATCCCTTAGCACTGTGGCAGATACTTACGAATGATAAATGACAAGATTGTATTTGAGAAAATCTTCGCAACTCCGACTGAAATATGGCCGCAAAGTGTTGGCACACCCAAAAGTTCGCCGCGATATGGTGTCACACAACTATATGGCACCCTATCTGTTGCCCCAGATTAGCTATCGAGCTTTCAAGCAGCCACCAGTCATCCTTGATGCGTTGCGCTGTGCCTTGTTCTTCGTGATTGCATGTCGTCCGAGTTGGCGTCACAAAACGTCTAATAACCCTGAACTCGAACTATGTTCACTCGCAATGTACGTAGGCGTCTTTGGCTGATGCACACCCACTCTCACACAATAAGCCTCTCAATTTGACTCTTGATGTCTTGTATCTGATTCTTGAGAGCGCTTGCTTCGTTGGACGTGATGCTTGCGGCAATGACTGCGCGACTGACACCCGTTGCTCGTCCTAGAGCAGCCTTGCTAGGCACAAATATGTACGGCACGTTCTTGTCTTCAGCAAGAAGAGGAAGATGCAATAGAATCGCAAGCGGGGAGGTGTCTAGAAAGCAGACGGCAGACGTTAGTGCGCAGTTGACGAAGCGTTGCTGGGGTAGCACTACCTGCTGCCAAGATGATAAATTCGGCGATACCACGGTTTAGCGTCTTCGTCACCTCATTGGCACCTTTTTTAAGCTGGTGATAATGGCTTGCTTGTTGGGTCAAGTCGAGGATCTTGGTCGCGAGCTGTTCGTCGGCCAGAGGCCAGGCTGGATACGTTGTCAGCAGGATCGGTTGAATTGTATTTCGGGAATACGCGCGTGATTGCACGTACCAGCATTCTGCGAGTCCGCCATTGTTTTGCGTGGATCGATCGTTGAGAGTGCTTAAGACACTTGAATTTCTTGAAAGAAAATTTCTGTCTACACACTTTGGGCTGGTATCAGTTATTCCTCATTCGGGGTTTCAGTGCACGGGCCAAGTTTCGCCGCAAAAGTTGGCTTCGGACGCCGTCTGGGAACAATTCGAAAGTCGTCCAAGTAACGCCCTCAGATCTCGTGCAATAAGAACGCTTTGTGATTTTCACCTTGACCGTAGTACAAAGTGCAGTACATGCTTGAGAAAAACAAGTCGTGCTATATGCCGAGTGCACCGATCTTTAAGGAGCCCTCATCCCCGCCCTGAGTTAGGCTGAAGGTCCTGTCCCGCCAAAAATTTGAGGCGTCACTATAGTGCGAGCGCCCCAATTTGCAGCTCCAACAATCACCGTCGTCGGACGCTCAAAACACCAATCCTTCTCTAATGCCCAGATGCTCGGTCTCTCACGCTGCCCGACATCATGGATCCTCCTCCCTCGTCGCCCCATCCTCTGTCTTCTCCTTCACACTCGTCCTCGCCCTATCCGGAACCTCGTCCACATGCGACACTCTTCCGTCTCGGTCTCCAACCCCTCATCGTGCATTTCCACTCCCTGGGAAATGGCTATATGGATCCAAGGACACTTGACCAGTTCGATACCAAGATTCTGAAACGTATTCTCAGCGACACGGCCAAGAAGGTCGCTGTGCGCGAGCAACTGGGCAGGGATCGCGCTGTGTGGACCGACCTACGCGAGCTGTTCTTTGCCGGATCACAGTGCCTAGGGAGCATGTGCTGCACAAGTGCACCGGTTGCGCATGGAATTTCGCAAGGAGGAGCCGAGGAGGGAGATGACGGAGGGGCAGAGAGACTGGAAGATGTGGCCAGCAGTATCTTGATTGTGAAGAACTATGGTGTTCTTGTCAAGGATGTGGCAAGAATCATCACCCTCGTGGCCATTGCTCGGAATATCCTTACGATCGGTCCTTCTGCGCAAGACCTTGCCGCTGACGTCAAGGTCGAAGAAGCCATATTCGCCCTTTTAACTCTGTGTGTAAGAGTTACAGGGAGAGGCTTCGACAGCGGAGGCACGAAAGACGAGGAGAGAAAGTGGCAAGCCGTGGTAAATGATTTCAAGAGATTGCTAGCCTCATGTCTGCAGTTTCTAAACAATTTAATCGCGCAGAACGAAAGGAGGAAACTACTACTTTGGATTCAGCTGTTTGACAGCCCTCCTGAGAGTGATGGCACGGGGCCTGCCGTCGATAGAAGACTGATCGAGGGGCTTCGCGATGATCCAATTGTCAATGGATATTCCTTGGGGATCCCCAGCAACGGTATTGGAAAAGACGGCGTTCCCCACGTCATTCGTCGTTTCAAAGATGGACTTCTTGCGCACATGAATCGTCTAGAAGACCGACGAGTCGCTAGTGGACGACCTACACCTATCCAGCCGGTGCTAGACAAAGAACATCTTAGCTCATCGCCATTTTTGTTATATATCGGCAAAGTTGGCATGGATATCAAGAAGGAGCTTCAGGATGCCGGAAAGCCTGCTGGAGCTACAGAGATCGCAGCAGAATGCAAGAGAAGGTGGCAAGCTATGAGCAAGGAGGAGCAAAAGAGCTGGCACGACTATTACGCAAAACTGTTGGACAGTTATAGGGAAGAAGCAGAACCTGATACTGGTAGCTCCACCGGCGGTCGCTCTACCGAAGAAGCAGGAAAGAATCAAGCGCTGAGAGATAGCGTGGTTAGTTTGGCGCAGAGCGTGGAGCAGATCCAAAGTGACATAAGGAATCTGAGCATTGCTGCTTCTCAACGCGCACAAGGACGAGATTTGAGCCAGGAACATATCGTCGAAGAAACCAATTCGGCTTCGCTTATGATCGGCGACAGCGTCCAGCTAAGCCTCCCACACTCATCAAGTCCAGATGCAGCACCTGCGACTGAGAGTGACTATAGTGTCACTTACTCAGCACACTATGGCGCGACGATTTTGCAACAAGGCAAGGAAGACCTTCTTCGAAGACTTGAACCAGATCACATACGACTGTCACGTTCACAACGCGCGAGAACGCGATCGCCTCCTCCAACCCTTTCCTCTCAAGCTGATGTCGACGGTAACCACGGTTCGGACAGCCAAAATGTCCCTGAACCACCAGACGCGCCTCTTACTCTTGCTTCAGATGATGAAAGAGACGGCCTAAGTGAGGATGAAGATAGTGAGTATGACGACCCCGTGCCTGGCGATGATGGCCGAGGTCTACTTACAGACGTGCCTCTTATTCTTGGGCCAACGGAGATCGAGGTTCTCCCCATGATTATCCAATCCGGCATCGTACCTCCTGGTCCCTCGCAGCCAGGATACGGCTCTACACCTGAGGAAAATGCTGCTCTCCGTTCTATGCACACATTGCGCTGCCATCTTCTCCTGGCACAGGATAACGGGCGCAATCTCCTTCGCGAGCTGCTCATTTTCGTGGCAGCCTGGGACCTGAGAGAAGAAGAACTATACTTCCAGCTCATGACCCAGATTATTGAGGCTGTGCTAATAAATGGGCTCCTGCCGTTCAGTTATCATGCGTTTAGAGAGAGCAAAGATGTCATATCGCCTGCGCAGGCAGTCATCATGAAATTACTTACTCATATTTTTCGGCGAAGGCAGGCTGAGACGGCTAAGAAGGGTTTGGCTATTTTCCCGCGCAACACGTCATCTCCGGAGCAGAAAGATGGGGAGAATGCATCTCCATCACCGGCGTCGGAATCAGCTGCAGAAAAGAGAGAGCAAAGCTACCCGCATCGGGTGGATGTCCACATGGTGTCTTTTCTCTTAACCGAATTTCGACGGCATATCATTCCACAGACATGTGCTCTCATCTTTTTGCAGGGCCAGATTCGGGCTGGCTTAGTATCTCCAGAGGAATTTCCACTCAATTTGTGGGACATGGAGCGAATGTACGAGGGTATATACCAGTATCTGGAATTTTTCGCCATACTGACGGAACACGAACGATGGAAGGAAATGATGGCTGATTGGGAAATCACGTCCGAGCTTATAACTCTTCTAGAAGAGCTTGAAGCCGCAATTCCAAGGGCGACGGCGAGGAACATGGAGAGCAGGAGAGGACGAGCAAATATGGAGCAAGCTCCTTTGGCTGCGACGGATGGACAGCCTCGAGTTGCTGTAGAGCGTCCATACGATCCTCATAGTGAGATTCAACCACAGGAATTTCCTACGTCCGAGCAACACATCCAAGGAACGAACGGCCCGCCGCCCCCACCACCACCACCCCTTGAAGATGAACCTTCAGATTTCGAATGGCGCAATCTGAAGAAATTGGCAGTGCTCGTACTGTCGTCCCTAGTGTGGAAGTCTCGCAAGGTGCAAGAGCAGCTTGGCGCTGCAGGGCCTCTTGCTGGCAGTAGCAGCGTCAGTAGCCAGAGCCATAGGCTGAAGGGAAGAGGAATTCGAGCTTTACTCAATTGCTGCAAAGTCGATGACTACAATCCTTATATACGAGAACATGCTATAATGGCATTGCGATTCGCTCTTGAGGGCAATGAAGAAAACCAGGACATCGTGAGAGGGTTGGAGAGGATGGCTGATGACGAAGGTTCTTCAACGCTAAGTTCTGGAGGTACAGCCACGTTGTCACAGCGGCCTCGGAAACAAGACATCTCACCTCCTGGTCAAAGCGGTCCTTCTGGTTCTTCGACGAGCACTAGCTCTATCCCTGGAAACGCCCCTGACCGAACAACTATTACGACGGCAAGCGGCATGAAAGTCGAAGTGCCAAAAGAAGTGCTGGACCTGAATGGCTATGAGACATTTGTGGATTCAAGAGGGCAGGTGCAGCTGAAAAAGAGAGATCACAGCCAGAGAAGGGGCAAGGCGACTGCATCGGCCAATGCAGAATTTGGAGAAGACGACTTTATGTAGAAGATAAAATAGCCACCTGATGGAAAGGGCGTATAACAACAGTCCAGTGGCACGCTCCAAGCTCATATAATAGTTGTTCTCAACACTTTCTGCCATCTAACAGAACTTCATGACCGGCGAGTAGTCCGGGCCTGTTCTTTCCCAACGCGTTTGTCTTTTCCAGCCCCAGCACCTTTCCTTTGGCACGCGAATGGTCCCCTTTACATGTTCTTATGCTGTTCCAGCCCAGATCGTGTGAGAAGCAATGATGCTACATCAATTTTGTGATCACCCGCCTTGCCAAAGATTCCGAAGATGCATCTTCAAGGACGCCAAGTTGAGAACATAGGCATCCATCTCGGCTGCATCGCTAATGCCCATCGAGTGGTTCGCACAGCTCCAAGGTTGCACCCTAAGTTAGGTGCTGAAATTTCGTCTCTCTGAATCGAACATCAAGTCGTCATTCAGCCATTAGCTGTAGCTTTTAACTTTAATCCAGCTGTTCCCTTACCACGATCTTGGAAAAGCCATTTTAGCAAGCGGTAATCAATCATGCGCTAGCAATCATCTCCTCGCTCCATCACTCAGCACAAAGCCTTACACGGCTCCTTTCGTCTTTGAAAGAGCTCCGCGGCTTTTTTGAATCAAGACATGCCACGACTTCACACGCAGATTCAGACAAAGTGCAAAGCGGCTTTTACGAGCGGGGCTGACGTTATACAGTCCATTCTAAAACTTGGCGGTCGATGTGAGGCCAAGGAATCTATTTTCGTTATGCAGCCTGAAGGCTCGGCGCATCTTTGTTTACCAAAACCCATGCCAGACTGTAGGAATGCTCAATTGGCGTGCCACAATGGAAATAGCTACGATTAGCTCCTAGCTCTTCAGTTCGGCGTGATGAAATCGTAGTGAAATTCGCAAAACAAATGAACGACCGAGATATTGTATTCCTACATGGCGGTTGCCACTAAAGTCACCATGGCTGATGTAGAACTATCGCATGTCGTGATTGAAAAGCAGTCTGAAAATGCGCACGCTCGCTGCTTGCAATGACCTGAACCATCAGTCTGTCTGACCAGCCTACTGGTGACTGATAATATAATATGTTCTGGAATCACTGCCACTTCACAGCAAAGGAACGTGGAAGCTGGCGCTACGAGTGTGATATCATGTTGATAATCGTTTAAGCCAGCTTCGGCGCCGAAAGCCCGAACGTGTGGCCGAAAGCTCAGGATATCCTTTAGCTGACGGGGACCTGCGAAAGGCCACTGGCGTGTCTATCCTCAATAGAGTTTCGTAAAGCCCAAACTTTGTGTTACCATGGGATGATTATCCTTTTTGCAGCGGCTCTCCTTCGCCTTGTCCCCAACTGCGCACGGCAGTTGTCGACGTGGAGTTGCGCGGGACCCCAGCATTGCCCAAAAGTAAATCTCACAACGCTGTTCAGGACGCCTCACGAAGCGATAATCCGAGACCGAGTTTGGTGTGCACCCAAGCTTCTTGGCCGACTTGTGATCGAATATCGAACTTGTCACGGGCTCGATTACCTGCTCAGCTGGGTTAGCCCCGTTGCCGTGGTCGGCTTCGCAACGGACTTTGAGGACAGACGCAGAATTTACATCTTGCACTTCCTGTCATATTCTCTACATACTGGAGTAATCGCTGCCTGTCAATTTGACATTTTCGTATCTCCGTTCGCGCCCAACGAGGTCATCGGATTGCTATGGATCCAGAATTCCACAAGAGCAAACCGGATGGTAGCTGAGAATGACCTTTTGGAATAAGCTTCCTGCGCCCAGAACGTCTCAATGATGTACAAGAGCGTGAGATATTATTAGCACACGTGCCACAGTTCGTCACCTGTGATAACCCAAAGGGTGCGCCGATACATGGAGATTCAAGCTTGCTGAGCAGGGCTGGCGGCTCGGTGCGACGTCTATCTCAAGCCTGTTCATCGGCCCCAGAACTCCGGCCTGAGTAGAATGAACATAATGTCGGTTTCTTCATTCCTCTTCTGTACAGATTTTTGTCCTAGTCTTGTGCTCTTTCATGCCTTTCATTCTATGCACCATTTTCACCTGCTGGTCCATCTGGCTTTTGACGAGTGCCAAAAACAATGGCAAGCCAAAGACAAGGCCAAACGGCAGCCGTTAGTACAACGAAGACACACCTCAATTGTTTGATATCCTAACAACCTGCCAGGGAATTCTTGACCAGCAGGTAGGGCCGCCGTACTTACCTGCTGTGTGGCTTTATGGAGCAACTCCTACCATAGTCCCGGATGTAATCGTATGTTCACTGTTCTTGCTCGCATATCTGGCCGCCGCCATCATCCACAAGGTTGTATTCCTCAAGAACAAATTCAAAGGACAGAAGTTCGTCATGTCTGCCATGGCATTTGGTGTGTCGTTTCAAAAAAACACCTCTTGAGTGCTTTTGAGAACTGATGAGGATCAGGCTTCTGCTTCGTGAGGCTCATCACATTCTCTACTCGTATAGCGTGGGGCGTTCTACCTGCTAATGCTAGCCTTGCCCTTGTGAGCAACATTTTCCTAAACGCTGGAATCCCAATCCTTTACATTATCAATCTGGTGTTCGTTCATCGAATTACAAGAGCCCAACACCCACGATTCGGATGGCATCGCTCCCTCTCGATTCTGGGAAGGGTCACCATTGCTTTGATAATATTGACATTAGTCTTGCTTATCTACTCGGGCATTCAAGCCTCAATGACTCGCGACGATACAATCCAACAGAAGCTCCGTATCATTCAGCTTTACGGTGCAACCTTCAACACCGCAATCGCTGTTGTGCCTCTCTTGATGCTCTTCATTGGTGTCATTATTCCCAAGCGGGTGAGAACGGAGAAGTTTGGTGTTGGACGTTTTCGCGTCAAGGTAGCAGTGCTGTTAGTTTCTTCGTCATTACTAACAATTCGAACGGCCTACGCCACGACTATTGCATACTTCGCTCCAGTTCCGCTTTCAGAGCCTATGCCATGGTACTATTCGAAAGCCGTATTCTATCCCCTGCAGCTGGTTACAGAGCTCATAGTGGTGTATGTTTTCATCTTTGTCCGTATCAACAAGATATTTTACACGCCAGATGGGCTTCCACGTGGCTCATATATCGACTTAACAAAGAGTGTGGGCCAGCTCGCAAATAAACCACTCCCGTATGCAGAGCGCAATTTTGAAACAGCCACAACGCTTCGTCCCTACGGAGAAGAGGAGCTGCTACAGAACCAGGACGCCCTGGCAGAAACTCTGCACTACTCTAGCACTTCTCTCCTGCTAGATAACCAAAGTGGAAAATGGAAGCTCGATCGTTCAAGTGCAGCTGATCTCTATTCACCGGCCTTACACCACGAGAGTGAAGATCCGAGCAGAAGAATGAGCAGTGCCAGCAACTATTATTATGCACCTATGAGCGACGAATCAGGCCAGCCGCGTGGCTATCGTTTACCCACCACGTGGAGCAAAGCGCGGTACTATGGAGGAAAGGAGCAAAGAGATGGCGGGAAGACGGGCAGCGCTGACAATGATGATAGCAACATCGAGCTGGAAATGAACAGGGAGCACGACTCTATGTACAAAGCCAGGCTTCCCAAGAACATTGGTCATAAAATACCGTCTTCTGCGGGAAGTCAGATGCGTCAAATCCACACCAACCGAAGTATACCCGCAGAGCTGGAAAGACTAAGTCAAGTAAGCATGGGAAGCACGTTCCAGGAGCGTGTTGACCAAGTCATGAGGGACTGCTGCCGGGCACCACAAACCGGTGTCAATGAGGCTCGTCCTCGTCGACCACGAACGCTATCTCATCCACGAAGGCCCTCTAGACTACGATTTTCGTCTTCGCCGATATCTCCCATACCATCTATCACGCATCCGAAGCCGCCACCCGCAGTCAGCCAACCGCAAGGATCGCCGAGCTTTGAAGGCGTGAGGTTTCATAGAGTTTGAGCTTATTCACCACGGATTTGGGCATCCACAAGTTACCATTAGAGCGGCGTTTGGAATGATGAGGTTCGCACCGAACCTGACGAGGGAAAGCATGACAGCATGGAGGAAGATTACATTCAACCCGTGAGCATATACTTGCGGTAACTTTGTCCCTCATCCCTAACCTTCCGTATCCTCACAAAGTTATCTTGAAAGAGCTGGAAGCCGAGTGCTCTGACCGCTGTGAGACCCTTGGGGTCGGCCGACGAAATGTTCTTGTTGCATTTACCGGTCCTTCATTCGGTTCAGACCAATTACAAAAGCTTGAAGAGAGCATCCCCTGTCTGACGAACCACGTACTGTATGTATTGAATAGATCGAAATTGGGAAGCGTCTCGAAGCCACGTTTTTGCATTGCATCAGATCAAGTGGGAGTTTTCGTACGAATCTTTGACATGCCTCTTTTCGATAGCATATCTAAGAATAGCTTTTGGGGATTGCACTTGTTCACCTCAACGTTCATGGTATATACCTACATTTCCATTTGCATTTTATACATAAAGACTTTCCAATTCGCAGAAACGCTCCATGCAGTGCACCAAAACAGATTGTGCCAGAAGTAGATTTGGCAAAGCCAGCAGTTACTATGATTCATCCAAGTTATGCAAGGTCAACTATGATACAAGTATGCTCAGTCATCAAACGTGCTCGTAGCCAAGGGAAAACGAAAATGATAATGAAAGTGTGTCGATACAAGGATGATCGCGGGTCCGTATGAGAAAAATGATTTCCATCCCAAGAAATTTTGTTGTGTACTGGCCGGGGTATCCAAAATGTGAGTCCTGTATCTCCCTCCACGTAAACCCTTATGTCAAGTAAATCAAATATGCTTGGTGTATGCGTCCAGATAAGAATTCGTGACGTCATGAGCAAGGCTGTGGACAGCTTTGCTGAGGGCTTGTTTGCTTTAAAAGACAGTGTTTTATGCTCAATATCCAATCGTTTACATATTAAACCTTTGCGCCGGCTCTGCCTTCTATGTATGGCAGAGCATTCAGCCAGATTTGGAAAGGTTGGTCAGGTCCTTCCTGGTATGCTACGAGAAGCGTGCTTCGACTACCATTCATGCCGCCTTTTCGCAGGCATTCGAGGCTGGCTTTGCTCATCTGACTGAGCGTATCATGACTTCTCATCCCTGGTTGGGTTGACGAGAGCGTTGGGGTACTTATAGCGGAAGGCAATGACGCATTGCTGCGTTTAGATAGAGGGCTGAGCAGACGTGATATTCGTGACTTCATGGAGGATGACGGCGTGGCAGCCGATCCAGGCTGAACCAAATCCCCTGGGGTTAATGGCAAAGGCTTGGAGGAGATTGTGCTGTTCGTAGCACGCTTTTGGTTCTGAATGCGCGGCAGAGGGCCAATTTCTTCTGGTACTTCATCTAGCTCGATGATTCGCTTCTCCTCTGGCGTGATTGCACGAAGCGTGCTGCCGTCCGACGAAAATCCACTACCTCCAGAGCGCTTGCGACCAATCGCCGCCATGTCTGGCTTTTCGGGCAGCGGCGGCGGTTGTTCTTTCTTCGTGCTAAATATCGATTTCCGAGATTTAATTGATTCGTTTCTCGATCGTGATGTAGTTGGACGCTCGACGATCGTGCTCAGTTGCCTGGCATGCTCAGTTCGAATACCTGAAATTCGCTTGTTCGACACCGGACGATGCAGGTTTCCCTTCTTGATACCCTTCGCTCTCACGGGTTCGCTCATGGCACGGGTCGGAGGAGAAGCGTATGGAGGACTGTCCGAACGATTGGAAACCGTGTTGATGCTTGGCATGCTATGAGAGGTCGAAAGTTGAGGATTCGGTCCTTGAGAACGCGACCTCGATTCGTTAGATGCCGATACAGACGTCGCTTCCCATGGAGGTGATAGAGAGGGCAAATCTGTCATGCTCTTGCTCGTGCCATTAGTGCTAAGTGTAGGACTTCCAGCACTTGGGAGTCCTATTGCTCTCCTGATGTCCGCGATAGTGTTGGCGTCGAAGCCCGCGAGGCGACCCTCCGTGTAGGCACGTGCCTCTAGAATAGACATCGTTTGCGTTGCATTCACGATATCTTGCCACGCACGACCAATCGCGTCTTCCGTGGATAACGGAATTGGCGGAGATGAGTGACGATTCGGAAGATTAAAGCTTTGTTCTCTCGAGTTTAGCGTTGAGAGCACAGGCGAAGCCTGTGGCATAGGTCCTGGGTTTTGAACAGATTGGACACTGCTAATGGAATTGGTTCGACTTCTGCCGTCATGCGAGGATGCTCGAGATGCAGTACTGTTACGTCGCGGAGGCCGAGTATAGATTTCGTTGTATGTACTCCCTTCCATGCTTCCACCGTACGTGAGAAGCATGCGACCGTTTGAGGCGCTATATCGACGACTGCCGTTACGGCGCCAGTCATTCGCTTGGTCTTTCGGCGACGAACCTCGATAACAAATGACCGACGTATCTTGCGAAAGAATTGGGGCCGACTGCCGTCGTCGAGCATGCTCCTCGCGCTTCGCTCGTCTTGCCACATGCTCAAAATACTTGCGAAGAACAGTCTCAAATTCGAGCTTCTCGACGTGATTCTCCAATGGCTTCTGGCTTTTATTATCATGGCCCGGTTTATCGGCTTTCTCGTATACAGTGTGACGTTTCTGTGATAGACGTAGGATCATGTCAAGCTCGGGATCTGGAATGGCATTCTCTTTTTGCATATCAAGGGTGGTCATGCTATTGAGGGTTGTCAAGATTAGCCCGTGTCAAAATACACAACCGTATGAGAAGCAGCATTGGGGTCATGTTGAGTAGAAGTAGCGACAAAACATAGTTGCAGCAAACTTACTATACTGCGTTAGCCAGCGCCAAAGAAAGAATTCGCTGATGGTCCCAGAACTCTTCCTGTAATTCACGGACTTGTTTACGTTTCGAAGTTGCCTTGCTGCCGCCAATGAAGCAGCCAGCGTCTGTGGACATATCAAGGAAACTCATGAAGCGAGTTAGGGCGTGACATGAGGCAATGAATCTCTCTAGGTTGTTCCGTAGGGAGAACGCATCTTGGGCCAGTGTAGAGTACGGGTACTGGGCGTAAGACTTGTGAATCGTCTCTAGATTGGTAATGGCCCAGTGGCATGCCACGATCGAGTCGGAGAAGGGCTCAAGGTAGTCCGAATGCTCCTGGAGTTGCTCCAAAGTGGTGTAAGTGTCCTTGAAAAGCGAGTCGATCGCACTCGCGATGGACGGCTCATCCATCTTTGCTGGACTAGAGCATGATAGTCGACGAAGATTGCACGAGGGCGATATACAAGGATATGAACGAAGTCGTGAAGGAAACGCCAGGGATAACACAAGATATCTCAGCTTAGGGTAAGTCTGAAATCGACAGCCACATTTAGGAATGCACGTTCCTGGGCTTGTTGGCGAGCGAAAGAGGACCTTGAGGTCGGGAGTTCTGCAGCCATGACAGCCACCGCGGACGAGCTTAGACGAGGCGTCACGCAAGTTTTATTGACTATGACGCCGATCTGATGCCGATTTATGTAGTTTAGCGGTCCACGGCGGGTCCGTCCTGTCAAATTCCCACGTGGTAAGGTGATTTTCATACTTGACGTTCGCCACAGAGCCTGTGTTTTACAAGATTGCAGCGAGCCCACGGCAATTCGACGTGATGATTTCCTTCGATGGTGTGGCCATGTAATTTGCGGGGACCAGTCCATGCGCGTCTTAGTCTTAAAACGACGAGGCGAGCAGACAAAAATGGCTCGACACGGAAGACTGGGCTTGCAGAAGAGAGCGCCTCCACCAACCACACAGACTTTGTGCGCCAATGATCTTGAGCCACAAACAGTTTCTTTCCGGGGTGATGACGACGTGTCTTTAACCGCACGGCACAGCATAGCGCGGCGGGAAGGAGAACAGACTGCATATCATCTGTGCCTCTTAGCTTGTGTTTCTGCACAACAAATTGTGGTTTATATCATCACGATACCGCCTGAGCAGGGTCGAATTGTCTGCCCCTCGGCGGACGGTAGCCCTTTGTCGCTCAGCCCAGATCGAGTTTGACCAAGTGGTGCCCAGGCCATTCAAATCTCATCTCTCCTAATCACGAACGTCAGAGAATAATTTCCGACGCTCGATCGTCAGTTCCTTCTTTCACTCTCCACTAGCCGAGCCAGGTCTGGCCCTGCCACCGTATTTCTATTGCACTTCGGCTGTCGAATCATGTCCAGTGTGAAATACGCAAAGTATCCAACGCAGCAATACCCAGCTGAAGAATTCGTCGAATCGTGTGGCGCGGTTCCATTCGACCTGTCGAAGCGACAGGTATACCTCGTCCATTATATCGCCAAAAATGAATGGCTTCTGGCCAAAGGCCGACGAGACTGCGGAGAAAGCCGCAAAGACGCCGCTCTTCGTGAGGTGCAAGAAGAGACTGGCCTGCGATGTCGCCTGCTTCCAGTGCGGATGGCAACGCGTGCGCCAGCGCCCGGACTGAGTGCCAATGCGAAAGACGAGGCTCGAGTCTATGACGGTATCGTTGAGCCATTCATGTACACCTTGCGCACTCTTCCCGCCGGAGAAGGCGTGAAATTGATATTCTGGTACATTGCTGCCGTGGACGACGACAACCCACGTGGCAATGACGGTGAAGCAAACTACAAGGTCACTGCTTTTGACTACGACGAAGCTTTGAACACGCTGACATACGAGAACGACCGTGCTATTGTACGTCGCGCCATTGAGCTGGTCGAACAAACACCGAGTGTCACACATTCGAGATAGCGCCTCCTGCGTTGACTCAGTAAATGAGTCCGTCTCCGCTTCGATCGAAACCACCGTCACAGTAGTCTTGATCATGATTTCGCTGTTTCATAGACACACTATGCAATAAAGGATTACACCATAATGTTACTTCTGTTTCTGACCCCGTAAACCGATCTCGTTCAACTCTGGCCTGAACAGTCACGTGATCTTGATTCGCTTCAAATGGATGTTTGAGCTACCCACTTATGCAGCTTATCTCTTCTGTAGTGTAAAGCGTGCTCTTTGACTACGATGCGAGCCTCTTCTTCTTTTTTTCTAAGTGCTCATTCGAATCCTACAGATCCAAAGCTACAAGCAAGGAAAATCTTTCAGGTATCTCATAGAGAGATATCAAATCGATGTTTGATAGTGGCGAGGAAGGCCAGATATTTGGTTTGACAAAGGTAATGCCGATAATTGAAGCATTCGTCGTTTTCATCTCTGAAGGATCAAGTTCCAAACAGCAAAGACGAAGCAGAATCTTGATGCAGAAAGTCTCGTCGCGTCTTCATGTATCGTTGGAACGAAAGAAATGTAACTACATACGGCCATCTTCCCCGTTCGCTTTCAGTCATGGCGATCATTTTCATCTGAAGAGAGGTGCACTAATTCGATTCGTGATAATGCAGTATGATGTTTTAAAAGAGTGACTGAAAAGCTGGCCAACCCACGCTTGAACAGAAACGCATTGGGTTGTGCAAAGATGCGATCACGCAATGTCTAGGTCATATGAATCTCGGTCAGACGACTGTATCATGCCCTCATCTTGAACTTGGCCCCGTTCATCGTTTTCGTTATTTTGTTCACGTGCGTCCTTCATGTCATCTATTCCTCAATGGATTTGACTGCGGCTTAAGCCTTGAGTGCTTGTGCCACCAGCTCTGCCACAGCCAACATCTTCTCTTCTTGCAAGCGTCTACCTACAACTTGCAAACTCGTATGGGCGCCGTCGTAAATCTCCGGGTCATCTAATTGGCTTGGTCAATTCATCAAGCTATTGTTGCTTTACTAATGAGAAACTCACAGCTTTCGAAGCATATCCTGTCCTCTTCATTTTTTGGGGTATATGATTCGTCTCGTACATCAACGGTTTTGTCCACGTTCAAAACAGGAAAAACCACACTTGTATAATCAAGCAGATTTACCCAGAGGGAATAGCCGTAGTAAGCATACATCTTTGGACGTGCCGCTGGAAATGGGGCGAGAGGCGAGATAACTGCATCAACTGGACGACCGGTGCTTGTCTGCATCACCGTAGAATTCCAGTAGTCCATGTGACTCTTCTTCAACTGGCGATGCCGAACGTTATTTGCAGCAATCATGCTGCCGGTGAACTGTTCCCTTGGCTCACTGGAAAATGCAGCCGCCAACTGCTCCGCCATGGGTTCTCCACTGAGCCTAAATGCCTCGATGAGATCAAGCCCACCGTCGTAGAACCAGGTTTTGAATATGCAGTCGATAATATCTTTGTGAGAAGGTGGTGTCCAGGCGATAACCTCATGGCCTGCCTTCTTCAGAGCGGCCACGGTGGTGTCGATGGCTCTTCTGACGGGTGGCGTGATGCCAACAATGCCATCTTCATAAAAAACGCCGAAACATAACTTTTCCTCCAGCTTCAATTGCTCTGGACGCCACGGTATCTCATGTACTAGCGGATCCTGGAGCCATGGTTTTGTGGAGAGTATAGATTCTACTATGAGCTTTAAGCCGCCGACAGAAGTACCAAGCGGTCCGACTACGGAGAGAACGGAATTCTGACCATCCATACTGTTCGCCATTCCCTCGTATGGCAGTCGTCCAGTCGATGGTCTCAAACCATACAGCCCATTAAAACCGGCAGGAATTCGGATGCTGCCTCCAATATCCGTACCTAGTCCAACGGGGCTACCACGAGCACCGATCAGAGCACCTTCTCCGCCTGAACTGCCCCCGGCCGAAAGAAAGCGGTTCTTAGGATTCATGGTGTATCCGATGATGTTGTTAACCGTCTCACCGCACATCAATGTGTGCGGGACAGCAGTCTTCACGTACAGTATCGCGCCTAGCGACCGAAGCTCCTGGACCATGACGCTCTCGTACGTCTTATACCTTGAATCGTTGGGCCTTCCTTCGAAAGTCCCTATCCACCCAACATATCCCATGGAGGTTTCGACATCCTTAACGTGAAATTGATCCTTTAGACTGACACAGAGTCCGTGAAGAGGACCCAATGTCTTTCCCTGAGCGTACATGGCATCGAGTGCTTCCGCGTCCTTGATTGCGGCATCAAAGAAGATCTCATGGAGGCAATTTGTCAGCTGATGCGCAAGCGCCGCTCGATGGCAGAACGCTTTCGTGATCTCGACCGCGCTCCAGGTGCCTGATTTAGCTTTCCCAACTATCCCTACGGCATCAGTGTTTGTGATTTCCACTTCCTTCGGCGACAGAAACTGCTCGATGTAACCGCCCGTCACGTCTTTCACCTGCTCCACAGTCGGAATAGACTGAAGCTTCCATTCAGCAGGTATGGCTTTGAGTATGCTCTCACGCTTTTCCTCAGCGACGGTTTTCCAGTCTTTAGCCATGACTGCCTAGTGTTCAGATCTTCAAGCACGATAAAACCAAACTTCTGAAAGTATGAAGAGTTGATCCAAAGTGATAACAAACCGATACGAAGCTGCGGTTATCTCTCATCATTGACAGGCATGTTCATTGGCCAAAGCCAGGGGCATGAGGCGGTCGGACGATTTCCGCACCTGTACTGAGATTCCCATCACAGGTGCAAGGATGCTGACTCTACCCTACCTATCGATGACGATATAATGCCAGAAAGGCAACATATCGGTTCGAAGAGAATTGGCATTCACGAGGCTTATTCTTATTTACGATAAATTTCGTCCTGAAAGCCCACGCTTATTGAATTCACTCAACGATACGCACCCGTACGTGGAAGTTGCGTAATGCACCGTGCCGAGTTGCCGAGATATCTCCGATGTCGCCGAATATGTATTGATGGAGATTTGTAAGACGGTCCTGCGTTACGATTGTAAGCCACGAAAGAGAACAAATGAATGCAAAACGCTCAGCATGGCAATCTAGGGTCTAGAGGATCTTTTGACGAACCACTCATTTGGTGAAGAATGCGGATGTTGTATTATTGCCGTCCTAACCCCGCCGTCGCGCTATCGGAACGCAGCATCTGGCCTAGTCAGGCATGGCCAAAAAGCTGGGTCGGTCGATGACTTCAGAAAATTTGCATAGAATATTCGACAGGGTCATCTATTTCAGTTCTTCTTTTTACAGATGTTTTAATTTATTTAGATCTTTTTGACCCTAGAAGATGAAACAAGACAAATAAGAATATCCTCAATGTTGTCATTGCCTGCCGGCTATTTATCTCATCAGCTAGACTCATACAGGCTTTCGCGGAAAGATTAATTCACGCATTCTAGACTCCTAAGTAGACAAGCAGAGGGAAACGAAGAGGATACAATGGCGGTAGTGTCCGAGAAAGACGTAGAAAAAGGTGAAGCTGGAGTCGTTGATCAGTCCTGTGCTACTCCAAGCTTTGAACCCATTCAGACTCGCGACCATCCTTTGTTATCAAAGGCTCAGACCCGGCAATCTGCTCGGTCCCAAAGATCGCATGGAGGTGAAGACGGCTACAGCTGTCGCAGAGACAGCGAAGAGATCCAGATTGCAGACGTGAGCGGGGACGACAAACAATTCGAGGTGAAGTGGGATGGTGACAACGACCCCATGAATCCTAGGTCACGAAGTAAATTCCGAAAATGGATTGTGGTTCTCATCATGGCCGGATCGGCGCTTTGTGTGTATGTGAATCAGGACTCACCTCGTAGTTGCAGGACGCTGAACTGAATGCAGAACGTGCGCGTCGGCTTTGTACACGCTCACGTACGGGCAGCTAACCAAGGAATTCCATGTGTCACGACTGGTTGCAACTCTTGGTCTATCGTTATTCGTCGCCGGTCTGGGTACAGGCCCGATGGTAAGTAGCGTGACGAGATGCCACTGAATACCGAGACGCTAATCTAGACGAATAGTTTTTAGGTCCGCTTAGTGAGGTATGGTTGTATTTGGTTTCTTATCGCATAGTATATCCCGGCTTTCCCAGTGTTCGTCGAGTCGTCAGAAGGTTGATCTTCCATCCTGTATGAGCAAGGGATAGCTAGCTTGACGAGTGTGGAGAGGGCTTTTAGCTCTAAGAAGAGCACTACATCTCCATTACGAAACACCCCTTACTATTGACGCAGCTGACTTCTTGATCTCAGTTTTACGGACGCAGGCCCATTTTCATATGGTCATACCTCCTTTACGTCATCTGGCTGATCCCCAGCGCTGTGGCGAAGAACATTGAGACCATGCTCATCGCTCGATTCTTCGACGGTTTGGCCGGTAGTGCATTCCTGTCAGTTGCGGGCGGAACTGTCGGTGATCTGTTCGCAAAAAACGAATTGAGTCTGCCTATGATGGTCTACACAGCATCTCCTTTCATCGGGTAAGTTTGTTTATTTCAGAATTCACCGCTGCCGATCGTCTTGATCTTGTCCTCTAGACTGGGTCTTCTCCCGAAAAAGAATATGGACTTTCCCATCTTATGGATGTGGCATCTGCAGTCAGAATGCAATCAGTTTTTGGCTGGGTGCGAAGTATGGAGTATGCAATGCAGCTTCCCGTCTTGCTTGGCAAAGCGCAGATCTGTGCGTTCCTAGTTGGAAGGATGGATGTTCTGCCGTCTAGCGCACAACACATTATCGCGGATCTTTCAAGGGTGAAGATATCGTGGACTCATTGGGAAAAGAAATTGCTACGTCCAGTTGCTTGAATTTTCGTCTCAGACTCTCCAAAGAGTCGAGAATGAAACGGCTCCTAAACGTCACCCACCAGTCCGCACGAAAATGTGCACATATTGAATCACCCGTCTCACTCCTGCATGACAAGAAAACCAGCCAATGAAGCTCTTCGTTCTTCGATTATCGATTTAAATGAGACTTCTCAAGCTAATTCGACGGCGCAGACCAGAAGTTGGCCCATTACTAGGTGGCTTCATTAATCAGTATGCCAACTGGCGTTGGTCCTTCTACGTGCTGATCATCTGGGCTGGCATACAGTGGCTACTAATTCTGACCTTGGTGCCTGAGACTTACCATCCCGTGCTGCTTCGGCGCAAGGCAATCAAACTCCGCGCTTCCACAGGTGAGCCACGGTATCGCGCACCAATCGAGATGCTTGACCGCAGCATTGCCATGACCGTGGCGACAAGCTGCTACCGTCCCTTCCAGCTGTTGTTCTTGGAACCAATGTGCTTTCTGATTTGCCTTCTAAGTGCGCTTCTGTTGGGAATCCTGTACTTGTTCTTCGGAGCGTTTCCACTCGTATTCCAGCACAACCACGGCTTTCAACTCTGGCAGCTGGGGCTGTGCTTTTTGGGACTATTCATAGGAATGATGACTGGGATCGCGACGGATGTGTTTTGGAAGAGAAATTATGCCAGGCTAGTGCGCAACTACTCCCAAGAGACGGGAGTCGAGAACAACTCGGAGCCGGAGTTCAGACTGCCATCCACAATTGTGGGCGCATGGGTTGTCCCGGCTGCTTTGTTTGGTAAGCACTTTGTTCATCTTTGCCCCCTTTCTTGGTCGTCCTTCGAAGAAGATGCACCCTGGGTGTTATCTTCGCGATAACGGTGACAAAAAAAAAAGATTGTTGCGATCACTAACACAACAGAAGGCTTCGCGTGGACTACTTATCCCTCTGTAAGTAGAACGTAGCACATATTACTATGGGCAATGGTTAACTTCTGCTCATTTTAGGTGCACTGGATAGGTACGTGGCAAATCGGGGAATCACGGTCGTATCAAAGCTGACGCAGTTTTCCAGTACCGATAGTTTTCTCAGGTATATTTGGAATGGGGTAAGTAAGGCATTGTAAACAGGAAGATAGCTGCTAACATACCTCATAGGGTCATATTTGTGTACAGCGGTGCCTTTACATTCCTGGTGGACTGCTACCCTGTGTACGCCGCGTCGGCATTGGCCGCAAACTCTTTCGCACGAAGCTATTTCGCGGCTGCATTCCCCCTCTTCGGTGTGCAGATGTACAATAGTAAGTTATTCCAGACCAGCTACCTCTAGACGTCGATATGCACTTCGAGACAAAAATGCTCTGTTGCTAACCAAATGGCATGTAGAACTTGGCTACCAGTGGGCCACTAGTCTTTTGGCATTCTTAGCGTTAGCGCTTGCACCGTAAGTTTCGATTTCCTTATTTTTGTCCCATCTTTAACTGCTTGCCCTTACCCGTCTCTTAAATACCCGAAAGATGCTTGCATGCCAGCAGATATATTTTGATGGCTAACGTTGGTATCACATTAGATTCCCATACTTGTTCTTCAAGTATGGGAAAAGACTCAGACGTCACAGTCGGTTTGCGATCACTGCGCTCTGAATGTGCTTCTGGTGTTGTATCATATTGCGCCTTGCTGCATCAGATTCAAGTCAGTGGGAGCGGTTTTGCATTGTGTTCATTTTGAGTCTTTTTTTTCTGCACTCAAGCAGAATTGGCTGTTACCAAGCATTGACGAAATGTTGGAATGTACTCGGAATATTGTACTTGCGCTGTACATGAGATAGAAAGTGAAGTCACGTGTGGTGCATCTTGATTGATATCTAAGAGCTGCCGAGCCGGGAACCGAGTCGCGGAAGGAATGTTCATTCACATGAGAGCCATCAGGGGAAGGACCGCTTCTTACCTCGTGCGCAATAAGGACATACCACATGGAGACTCTCATCCAATTCCAAGGATGTCATTTAGCAAACAATTACACAAACCCAAATATAGATACCGCAAGTGCGGCCCAAGTTGGGTGAAACCATATTTGGCGCCCAGGTTACACCGCCTCGCTTTCATAGAAACCACTTTACGCAGTGCAAGAGTTACCTCGATGCCGGGTCAATTTCACTTCTCCTTATGTGCGTGCGTGTGTGCGTGCGTGTGCCCGCTTGTGTTCAATGCGCTTTGCGAGGAAAAGAGTGGAAATACTCCGTTGTCTCCTTTCCGCCGGATTCGCACGCTCCTGGGCTGGCATGACGTAGCACGCACATGTGGATGCTCTAAAAGTGAAAGAAGAATTTGGACCTTGGTTATTCCAGCGAGAGAATGCGGACGTAAAGCACTCTCTCCTCTCTATACCACGCTTGCGGCTAGCAAGAATCGCACAACCGTGTGCATGTCGAAGTGAAACGAGGACTCCACACTTGGAGACGAGAATTTTGTGGAGAGGCGGAGAGAATCCGACAGAGCGGCCTGATGACTTCTTAGTTTTAGTTGATCCACTAAGACCAACACTAGCACTGTGCCTAGCATTCAACTGGTTCCTCTTCCACACGATCTGGGAAAATGGACATCAGGAAGAGCGTTTGGGGCTGGACTCTCTCCCATTGTGGGGACAGCGAATCGATCACCTGCAGCGGAGGAGTTTGTGAGCCTGCAGGGATTTCGAAAGCCGCGTTGATGGGTTTCTTCTCCCGGACCGAGGCCACCACCGACAGACAAAGTCCCAGGGTAAGCTCGGCCTGGCGGGGCGGACGCGCATGAAGCCATTAGGTATGAGTTAGCCAGCCAACCAGCCCAAGCCCACAGAGAGCGCCAGACAAATAATGCGCAAGGTCGGTGGCTCAGGAAACAAAGGAGGTTTTTTTAACCTTTTCATTACGTTGCTTCTGCTGTGCTCGTTATTTTTCCACCAGACAATTCGCGAAGGCCCATAAGTGACCAGGGAATTAATAAACGCGCGTGCATTTGCAGGTCCAGCGCATCGGCCTAACTGAGCAAGGCGCTGGTGCTAGGACAAAAGGCAAGGCGGGACCGCAAAATTCGGGCTTCCCAGCGCCCAGTCAGAACAATTCGCACACGACACCATTCACTCGCTTTTCTTCCTGCAGTCTCAGCGCCGTGGTTCGGATTGACCTAGCGAGGCCAGTCGCACGCTCTGCCTCGTCAGAAGCAGACGGGCTTTTGCAAAGGCTGCTCGGGGTGCTGTTGCAAAGAATCCAGCGACGGCGGGCGCTGTCAAGTGCGGAAGCAGATATCCCGCAACTCCTGCCACCGCACTCACGCTCACTGGGGCGCGCGCGATCGTACGGACAAACAGCGGGTGCGGAAGGAGGATCGGAGGACCGGGCGGTCGCAAAAGAGCGAGTAGAGAAGACGAACCGCGCAGGGCAACACGCTTGAAAGGCGAGAAGAGGCGGGCAAGACAGAGGACAGCAGTCCAAGAGCGTTGAGAGCGCGAAGCCGAAAGCTCAGAGGGCGCGGCGAGAGAAGTGACAAGTGGACGGATTGTACGGGGCGCGTCGTGTCAAGGTCGGCCATGACGATGAGCACGCCAACCGTCGCACTGCATAACAAAGATTCCAACCACTATCGAGAGGGGAAAGAGCGGCCAGCACTCACCACGACCACTGTTGCGACTTCCGCTGATTGAGCTATTGCGTCGGTGACGCCTTGTTTGATTGCGCTTCGCGGCTTCCCTGTCCTGCAGCGACTGATTCTGGTTACCGGGCTGCTCTTGCTGTCCGTTGCGCCCACTGCTGGGTTGACGCACGCACGGAAGGCACGACGGCGGCAACAGCGGGCTGGCTGCGCCTGCGTCTGCATTTGCGGGAGAACGACGACATCAGGAGCCGGACAAGCTTGCGCGGCCGCTGTAGAGAGACAAACAGGACGTCCGCGCCCACAGAAGCAGCGAGTACACCACATATCGCACCGTCACCGCGCGGCCAGACGACGCAAGCTTCGCTTTTCTTTGATCTTCGATTTCTGAAGACGGTCCCGCTTGGCGCTGGTGGCACCGCAGCTCTAGGCCCTCGCGCATGAGCTGCCTGCCTGTTGCCAGCTCCAGTCGACTCTATCCACACCTTGGGGTGCTCTACGTTACACGACCTTTGGGTGCTTGCGTGACCCGCGCCGCCGGGCTCGAGTGGAATCACAGCCAACGGCAACCTGCAGCTTGGTATATGCGCTCGTGTGCTCGCCCGCTGCGTTTCTAGGAATCCTTAGCGCACATCTCTTGCATCTAACCACGACCACCAACACCGTGTCAGAAAGCTAATTCGTACCACGCGTGCCTCTGCGTGAGCGGGACGGCCCAAGATCAGACAAAACCATACTGTTGGGAACACTTGTGCTGTCTGATCCTTGTCCGTCCAGGAAAGCCTGTAGATAGCTGAACGCCTCCTCACTGGTGTGCGTGCCATTGTTCACGGTTACCATTTCGAGTGGCTGCCTGTCTCAGCGTGCGCCAGCGTAGGCGGTCAGTCAAGGCTTTGCCGTTTGGAGTGGAATAAGAAATAATCTCTGTGCCCAGAGCAAGAGCGAAAAGAGGAGAGTGAGGGGGCACTTGCCTGCTCGTTAGAATACGAAGGTGGAAAAATAAAAGTGCAATACGCAGGAACGAGAGGCGACCAACAGCCGTACACGTTCACCCTTTTTTTTCGCACTACCTCAGAACGAACAAGGGCGCAGATCACCCTGGAAAGGCTCATACATATCATGGCTGCCTCGGACGCGGAAGATGCTGCATCGCCTGACCCGGACTTTGGTGACCAGGACGAGTTGTCTGAAGTCATGGCCGAGTCTGTTTCGGCTTTGCAATCCTCCACTGCTGTTGCTGTTGACAGGACCGAAAGCAACTCGGGTTCATCTGATCAGCACACCCCTACCAACGGCACCTCAGGCGTGAATAAGCTGAATCCAAAAGACCCGTCGCGTCCGCGACGTAAGAAGGCTCGACGAGCCTGTTTCGCCTGCCAGAGAGCTCATCTCACATGTGGTAAGTTGTGTCTTCCTTGACTTTGCTACGTCTTGTCACCAAATTCCAATCTACTGGTTGACCCATGGTCGCTGACTGTGCCTCTTCCTCTTTGTTTAGGTGACGAGCGACCATGCCAACGGTGCATCAAGCGGGGTCTTCAGGACCAGTGTCATGATGGTGTGCGCAAAAAGGCCAAGTACTTGTCTGACACACCGGCCGAGCTCCTGAACCCGCCAGGGATGGGGGGATATCATCCGTACATCAACGGTACCAAGACCGCCTCTTCGAACAATGATGCTTCAGGCGTACCAATGACAGGATCGAATGAAACAGGTCACTACGCAACTCAACAACAGCCGCAGACACCAACATTGGAGGTGTACGGTCAGACTTCGAATCAGACGCAGATGCCGCCGCCTTTATCCACTACAGGTAGCTTTGGCGCTCAGCAAAGCCCTTTGTCTCCACAGCAGTTTACCCAGCATGGGCAACAACACATGAACACGACAATGGCGCAAGCCAGCCAAGGCATGACCCAGTTCAACGGTCTGCATTTTGACCCGAGCGATCCAGCTTTGTTCAACTTTGACATTGCAAGCCTGAATTTTGGCAACCAGTATGGAGCTTTGGAATTTGGCATGCTCAACCATATGTCTTCGGGAGCAAATGGCGACAACCAAGACATGATCAATTCCATGCACATGCAAGGTTTCAATCAAAACTACTCGGATCCGGCTTTGACATTTAGCCAAGATGCATTCGTCAATGCTGACTGGAATAATAGTCACCCACGTGCCAGCAGCACGAGTGGGCTGTTATCAACACCTAATAACACTCCAATCGTATCGAGTATTGATAGACACGATAGTCTTACGCAGTTTCCAAAGGCGTATGCCATAGGTGCGGGTCCACCCAGCATGGCAAGTGCAAGCCCAGCAGCTTCGAGTGGGGTGCCAGATGCGCCTGTGGAGCAACCACAATCACCGGCACTTTTTTTGAACACATCACAAGCGCCTTCATCTCCGATTATCCAACGACAAGCATCCTCAAAGCAACAGCCCGTGCAACCGCCCACGTCAGGTGAGACATATAACCAGACCCACCAGGCAACTGCGCCAGCCACGACCACTAGAAAGCGGCCTTACGACGCAGACATCATATACGAAACAGTGAATAAGCCATACCCTTATACTTCAGGATTCCATCGCCTCTTTAACTACATAACACGAAACTTCAGCTCTGAGAAGCGAATCCGTGTTGCTAAAGCGGTCGCTGCCATCCGCCCTTCTCTCATTACATTCTCACAAGGGCTTACAGAGCAGGACCTTATTTTTATGGAGCGTAGCGTTCAAAGGAAGCTTTTTGAATTTCACGACTTTCTGCAGGCCACAGGAACTCCTACCATCATGGCTCGCCGAGACGGAGCTATTGTGTCTGCCAGCAAAGAGTTTAGTATTCTGACTGGTTGGTCAAAATCAGTACTTCTTGGCAAGGAACCCAATCTTAATATAAACTCTGGCGGCGCCTCTGGTGCATCGACGGCGCCTGGTTCCGCCGCTCGTACTCGCCTATCGAGTGCGGAGCGAGACACCGCAGAACGGCCGACCACGACACAATCGGGAAACAGCGCACTGGCCGCAATGAACACCAATAACACGCTACCTGTGCTTCTGGCTGAGATCCTTGATCAGGATACGGTGGTCCAATTCTACGAGGACTTCGCCAGGTTGGCGTTCAGCTCCGCCGGCGGATCAGTTCTTCGAAGGGGACGCCTGCTCAAGTATAGAGTTAAATCGGACCAAATGCCTGAGCAGCATTCTGGGAACGGGCAAGACGATTCGGCCATGAAAAAAAGGAAGAGAAGCCAAAGTATCAAGCATGAGGACGGACAAACACATATCAAGGGCGAGGCAGGCATTACGAAACTGGGCGAGCGAGAGGGAGCCGTAGATGTGATGTATTGCTGGACATGCCGGAGAGATGTTTTTGAAGTACCGACGCTTATTGTCATGAATGTAGGTCCTTGCCGTATTCTTATGGCATCCAGCCTTCGACTTTTCGACAAACTCGGCTAACGATGCATTCCAGTTTCTACCTATCATATAACTCCGATGGATTTCCTATCAAAGGATACGATGGATTGCACATCGTCGACGATTTCATTCGATATTATTGTTTTTTTGCAGTAATGTAAATACTTCAAATGCAACATAACAAGGTAAAAAGCAGGGAGACGTTGTACGAGGTATGGGCGGCTGGCATGCCTGAAGGCGTATGGAGGAATTGGGGTCTTAAGAGAGCCGGAAAATTAAAAATTTGCAACATGATTGAAATCCTTTCTTTTCAAGAATAGTGTCTTTGTGACATTGGTAGTTGCCTTGCCACGCCAAATTTTGGCTTTTCGTATAATCTCCTCCTTCCTATTGGACGGCGCATAACATTTTTTGTGTTCAGCAAAGTTTTGTAACGTGTCATTCTCTGACAACTAGCTCATCAGGTAGACGCGGTCCTTCATATCTTGCTCTCGCATATCCAATCCAATTCGCTGTGGCGAAAATGGCCATAGCTCCTAGAACAACACTTGCATAATTCATGTTGCCAGCGGTGACTGGCATTACTGTTGGAAAACAAAAGAATACGAGCACTAGGAATGCAAACGCGACCGTCACCGCATTTGCCGTCCATCCAAAAAGGTTACCGAGTCGAAAGAAGCGGTCAGCTGGCAGATACTTACTCGCTCGGCGTTGGTACATGAGCAACGCGGCAGGGAATGCGTAACTGAGCTGCTGAAGGATCAGTCCTGTGCCAATCATGGCGTTGAAAGCGGTCGTGGAGCCGAGATAGACACAGCCGATGGCAAAGACGACAGCTGAGTTGGCGAGCAGCGCCCACATGGGCACACCAAGGCGAGGATGGATCTTGCAAAGATATATGGCACCGACGAGGCCATTGTCGCGCGCTAGGGAGTAGCAGAGACGTGAGGCGGTTTGAAGACACCCTATCAGAGCAAAGAAGCCGCAACTGATGAGGATGACGAGGAAAAAGGTCGCGATGCCGCGCGAGCGGGTCGCTTGAATCCAGAGCTCGTAGATCGGAACCCTGTCAGTTTTCTTAGCCAACGGAACCTTTCGCTGCCCTTTCTTCTAGGAAAAAGTCATGATTGCGCGAAATGTGAAGTGGCAACTATGTTTGGCCTTTCTGGGACACAAGGAAGTTTTCGGACGTACCCAGTGGGCGTGTTCAGAACAGCCTCAAAGTCTTGCATTGAGTAGACCATGCCGACGACAAAGGCAAAGCTGGTCACGAAGCCAATGATTATGGTGGACATCAAAGCCTGTGGGACCGCTCGAGCGGCGTTCTTGCACTCTTCAGCGAGATGAATTGCACCGTCCACGCCGGAGTAGATGTAGTTTGCATTCACAAGGCCCGTTAAGAAAACGACACCGTCTGACGACCAGCCGGAGTTGTTCTGGAATGTTGCCCAGACAAACTCGCTCGACTGCTTAGTAGGAGATCGCACAAGGCAGGTGATGAAGATGACAAAGAACCCGACGAGTCCGATGACAACTGCACAGTATCAGGTTTAATTCCATTCAAGTACTTGATAGAACATGCGACTCACAGCCGACATCATGGATCCAAGCGGCACGCTTCAACAAAAAAATGTTGTAGAGTGTGAAAGAAACGTTGAGCGCTTGGAACATGAGGAATATGTGCCATCGCTCAACGACGTATGATGGGTCATACGAGATCACTATCGCTGCAATGAGCTGCGGAGGGATTATGGCGACGCCGGCCGATGTAGCAATCCAGCCGAAGAGGTTTGCCGACCCGCACCAGTAGCTCTGGACTTTGTCAGCCCAACTCATGGATTGAGACGAAGAATTCCACCACTCTATGTGAGACGTACCAGACTTCGACTCCAGGCTTTGGGAGCAAGTATGTTGGTCCAATGGTACTGTCCGCCTGCAGTGGGCCAAACACTTGACATTTCCGCCAGGCTGAGCGCACTGCATCCCACGGTGACAAAGATGACAATCACGCCGTAGAGGAGAGTCACCGAGCCGCCAGACATGATTGACAAAGCAAGGGTGGCCGATATTCCAGCCCATGAAACGCAAATGTTCCAACCAGCGGCTATGATGGCGAGGAGCCCGATATCTCGAACAGCTTCTCCACGGAGACCGAGACTGGCCAAGTTGACGTCCTCGACGCCGCCGGTTGCCTGTGTAAGGGCTGTGATACTGTCAGTTCTGCGAACGGCATATTGTTGACTTAAGAAAACGTGCTTTTCTCAAGGTCATATGCTTCTTTCTTCTCCTTTGAAACAGCTTCTTGAGGATAATCCATGGTTACTTCTTGGCTGCTTAAATGCATTGTGACGATAGAAATCAAGAGAGCAGAAAGTCTGAACTTGAGCAGCCTCAAGCATCTTACTGGATAATATACAGATATGCTATAAGATGCGGGGCTCTCGTGGCGCCGCATCTGACTGATCTGAAGCCTACTTTGTGCTCGGCTTCATCCTGAACGTTTCTTCCTTCGCCTTCCCAATGTGGTCACAACCGTATCTCTGCACATAAGTCTTATCTTCGACCCCTCTCCCCTCAATCTAGAGTTTCGTGGAATAGATGCGAGGGATAGAGGCAGGAAATCACAAACAGTTTAGGAAGTCAAAGCGTTGTGTATGTTGGTTCAGTTCTCAACTTTCCTTCCTCTTTCGGTAAAAGTCTTGGGCCCGCGGAATACAGAGCGCGCTAGCGGATCAGATGCCATCTTGCTATCCGAGAACTTTCATTACGTTGCCCTGAGCTCGAATATGTAAACACGGCTGTGATTGGATAAAATGAATAATGCATTTGATCCTAGCGTGTTGTTTTACAGCAGGCGAAAAAAACAGAAGGTTGATTGAGAGCAAGGCTGACATGAGATCGAACGAGACTGGAGTCCTCGGCCTCCTGGACTGTGAGCGGTGTCTATAAGACATTCTGAGTTCTTAGAGCGGGGGAACATCACTTTGGATTGATCTCGATTCGGCAAATCTTCTAGCACGTTTAGTCTTCAGCCATGTTGACGAAAGAAGGGTTCCAATGGACGGAAAAAGAGGGCCTCGTGGCTGGAATTCCTTGTCTCGGAGCAATCCAACCAGCAAGCAATGTTCGAAGTGATCGAACCCTCTACGATGTCATCGTAATCGGTGCCGGGTACGCTGGTCTCACCGCAGCTAGGGATCTGAGCACAACCGGTCATGAAGTTTTGCTTCTAGAAGCTCGTGATCGCATTGGTGGCAGAACGTGGTCAAGCAATCTGGGAGGCTATCCTTTCGAAATGGGCGGTACATGGGTTCACTGGTTCCAGCCGTTTGTATATCGCGAGATAGCTCGCTATGGGATGGCAAAGGACTTGGAGAGCTCTCATGACTTCGAAAAGGGCCTGAATTGTCATGAAGTCATCACGCCCGGTTGTCGCAAAGCAATGAGTCACGATCAGGAGGCAAGTTTAAGACTCCTCATGCGTCCACGTTTCTGAAATCCAAACTCGATGCTAAAAAAGAAATCTAGCATGCATCCTGAATGCTAACAGGTGGCAGGTCGCGATTATGGAGTCGGCGCTCAAAAAGTTCGTAAATGTCGACGGCGACTATGGAAGAAAACTTGTCCCTTTTCCTCATGATCCACATTACAATCCTGAGGTCTTTAAATTTGATCAAATGTCTTTTGCCGATCGATTCAAAGAAATCGAGGAAGAGCTGACACCTCTGGAGAGAGCGAACTTTGAAGGATTCCTCAGCATCACTTCCGGAGGAACGATGGAGGAAAGTAGTTTTTTTGAATTTATTAGGTGGTGGGCCCTGAACAATTACGACATCCGTAATTTTTTTGAACTGTGTTTGACATTTAAGTGCGTATATAAGAGTAGATTTGGCAACGCGAAAGCTGACCTGCCGCTCAAGGTTTCGATCTGGACAATCCGCATTCGCCCGAAAATTCTTCGATGAAGCGTCTTCAACAGGAAGGATGTCGTGGCAGTTCAACACGCCCGTTGCTGCGATTGAGAACACAAGGACTTCGGTAACCGTTACCACGCGAGCCGGGCAGCAATATCGAGCGCGGAGAGCTGTGTGCACAGTTCCACTCAACGTCCTGCACAAAATAAACTTCTCGCCTGCTCTTTCTTCAGCGAAATTAAAGGCTTCGAAGACTGGTCACTGCAACAAGGTGTCCAAAGTCCACGTCGAATGCAAAAATCCTGAGCTGAGATCATTCTCGGCAACGGCTTTTCCACACAATAAGCTGACATACACATTTGGAGATGGGACTACCCCTGCAGGTAACACACATCTAGTTGCCTTTGGTAGCTCGTTGCCAGGTGTTCAGTTGAATCCAGAGGAAAAAATCGAAGATACAATTGAAGCGTTTCAAGAATTTGCTCCAATGGACGTAAAACGACTGGTGTTCCACAATTGGACTAAGGATGAATTCGCTGATGGGGCTTGGGAATTCCTGAAGCCGGACATGATCAAGTACCTTGATGCCCTCAGAGAACGACAAGGCAACACGATATTTGCGAGCGCGGATTGGGCTTTGGGCTGGAGAGGTTTCATCGACGGAGCAATTGAAGACGGTACCAGAGCGGCTATGGAAATTAAGACAGAATTAGCCGATAGACTGGTAAAGCTATAGTTGTTTCCATGTGATATACTGATACGTATGGAGTCAATAGAACTTTGCAGTGTACAACTTGGGCCTTATTCTCAGACATTCTGATTCGGATCGAGCTTTGGGAGACCAAAAATGCCAATTCGAATCGTTCCATTTACTGTTAAATTGACGCTTCGTAATGTCACTTGAGTATCTATTAGTTTAGTGCGAGCGTAATGCTGAAAAAAAGAACACAATTTTTGTGTTGATGTAGTTAACATCACGTGATTCAGAATTGCGTCTATTTTTGTCAATGAAAATATCTCTTGAATTCATACTTGATTGAAGAACAAACACTGCATCCAATATTAAAACAGAGCCCCCTTCGAAATCAAGTCCGTCGTGCTTGAATAGATATAAATCCATTCCCTTGAATACACGCGCGGCGCGAATTCCGCATGAGGTGTTTGACACCAAAGACCGTTCTGCTCATACCATCCAAGCTTGCAATACACCGACAAAACATGACTTTGGTGGCTATTTGTTGCTAGGCATGGCTTCTCTTTAAAGCAAAGCGCCGGTGTCTTCTCGTTACACCCGAGACGAGCCGACCAGAATGCACTGAGAAGAGATGTCCGGTCTTGATTATGGCAACCCGGAAAGCTTCAAAAGGTAAATAATCAAAGCTGTGCCTCAGACTCGTTGTGATGAATCAGCCGCTCGTGAATGAACAAGGGCTGATTACGAATCAGGATGCTACAACTGCATGAAAAGACGGATCGTGTGTGACAAGAGAGAACCAAACTGTGCAAAATGTCAGAAAAAAGGTCTCCAATGCCCAGGGATGGGAATACGATATCGATTCAATGAAGGACTGGCTGCTCGTGGGAAGTTGAAAGGTAAAACGTTCAACTTGCAGTCTCCGGATATACCGACAGAAACCACAACGTCAAGAACCGCCGTGCCACTGCACCTCAAATGGGTGGCTTGTGGAGGTGACAATGTGACTGAAAAGCAATCAAATTCGCAAGTACGCTGCGATGATTCTACGGGCCAGGAAAACTCTTTGGATGAAGTCTCCAGCTCCGGAACTGCGGAACTGTCTGGAACAGAGGGCTATTCCAATTGCAATGCCTCGGCGGGGGACGTGTTTCAATTCCTACCACTGGTTCCGTGCGTTGAACAATTGGATGCCAAGACACGATTTCTTTTCAATCATTGTTCGTTAGTCGATCTTGACTTTTGTTTCATACTCGCTGATTTTGACAGTTGCTGATTACGTCTCTCCCGTGATGATCTTAACGGATGGTATCACAAATGGCTATCGTTACCAAATTCTCCCGCTAGCAGTTGAAGATGCGATGGTTCAGAGAGCTGTATGCGTTGCAGCAGCTTTTCATCTCTCAATTGAACAACCACAACTGCGACTACCCGCGGAGGCCGGACGAGCGGCGATCATATCCAAATTGAAAACAAAAGCTTTGATCGGAGAGGTCGTTTCGCTCAGCACGTGGGCCACGCTTATTCTGGTGTTCGTTGGAGAGCTTATCGTTGGAAGCAACGATATCTTGACTGCTCACAAGATGCTAACAAGTTTTATGAAACTACGCGGCAGTACAGCTGACGGTTCGGGCCTTGCTTCGTTCTGTCAGCAACAAACGGATATCATCAATTTCTTCACAATGCCGGCAATTAGTGAGACGGATGGTGTGGAGCAGCTCCTGGCTACTTCCTCCCCTGAAACTGGGGATCTTGAATGGCCACAACCACCGATTTTTTCTCGGAAGTCTTACAGTGAAGCGTACCGACAGTCTTCTGCGATCTATCTGCTCCGTGCGCAGTCAGAATTTATCAACCTGGACGACCCCATCGCCATAAAGCTTGTGGCTCGACTGAAAGACTTACTCATTGACGTGGACCCCTCTTCTCCTGGCGCCCATACGCTGGTGTGGCCATATTGGGTCGCTGCGTGCGAGGCTCTCCTCGAAGAACATAGGTTGTTCTTCTATCAACGATTGCTGCACATCTGGGAAACTACTCGATATAGAAATGTGAAAATCGCAATCGATGCTCTCGAGAGTATATGGGAACGAAGAGGCGAAGTCAGATGGACAGCCATGCTCCCAGACATTGCGATGGTGATCATGTGAATAGCTGGGGTTGGAGGAGGATTTTTCATGACTACCGATCGACTGTTGAAGTTTGCGTTTTCAAAGTTCCTCTCATTCTTGATTTAAATCAGGACGGTTCATACTCGCTAAGAAGCAAATACCATATTTGACATGTACAGCACAGCGACACGTGACGGCTGACGCCTTTTCAATACCAAAACATGATGTGCTATTTGATGAAGTCCAAATTCAGCCTTGTGATCAACCAATAGGATATACTGTACTTCTGTCTCGGTAGCCTGACGGCCAGTTCAACCGTGAAAACTAGAACCGTAGCAGATTCGGACGAACAACAACTGATCGAGCGAAATGTTCAAACCCTTCGAAACTGCATGTCTCAATCATTTGTATCTAAACATTCCTTCGGCTTAGAAGCCGGAGGAGGAAGGGCCAGGACAATGTGTTAAAATCACGTGCTCGAACCTAGATATTCAAATGGACACGGAGTGTTTCTCAGGTTGCAACTTGATGCAAACTCTGCCATAGCGATGTCCTAATTTGTTTTTCTTTCCTAGGCGAACTGTAGCGAGGAAAAGTGATGAATGAGCTCCGAAACCTCATGAGGTCAAAATCCAGCATCAGGACGCCGACTTGATGTAATCTAGTCATCAAATGAATCCGTCGGTACCAAAGAAAGGGTTAAAGCCCCGGAACTATGCTGTGATATCCCACGATAGCAGCCACATCTCCACCCGAATCTAAAGATCGCAGTGACTTGTCATAATTGTCTTGTAAGTGATCTACTTGTATATTCCAAGCATGCACGCTTGCGCCATCTTCGCAAGGATTGCCGCGCATAGTTCTTGATTGAGCTCTTCTAAGCCGCATTGAGCCACGGCAAGTCCCGTCAAAACGAGAAGAGCTAGCAAGTGGACAAGCTGCACTTGATCGATTCGTATCGGAGCAGTCTCCGACGTTCTCGAACAAGCAGTATGTTCAGGACGAGCCAGACCGCTGAAATACAGCTGTGGTGGCGAACCTTGATTTCAATGCTCGCCGACCAGCAAACCCCGACGCGTGGAGGCGGCACCGGTACTTTGGCCAATCGATTTTGGTAGTCATCTAACAAACCTGGTCGTCACCATGGTGCGGGGCAAGCTCTGGACATTTTGAATTGGCTGTGTCGTCACTCTTTTGTGGAAGCGAAGGATCAAGGAGGCCACATCGAGTGACGGGAGTGAATCTCTTACTTCGACTCAACAACTCCTTTGCACGTTGGCACGCAGAATCTAATCGTGTTATGCCTCGTCGCTTCCATGAGCCCAAGGCTTCACTAAGAAACCTCATGCCTGCCGAGCATCGTGAACCACAACAGGCACTACGGCAGCCTAAAAAACACTGCCGAAAGGTGGTTCACACCGCATGTGAAAATTGCCGCGCCCACAAAGCAAAGGTTTGTACGGGATGGAAGCGTGCATGAGACAAACTCCGAGCTGACTCAATTTCCCCTCACAGTGTAGCGGTGTACAGCCTTGTGTTCGATGTACAAAAAATAGAAGCGAATGCGTGTTCAGAGGACGCACGCATGAACGTATTCGTGAGGATTTGCAGCATCACAAACTTTCACTCGGAAACATTTTCGACGTCTTGAGGTTGCCTGTCCCAGCTGGAGGGGGTGTCGACCTCAGGCAGATTGCTTGCGAAAGTAGAGATGTGCAAGAATTTGTACATAAGACGTCGAATCTCTCCAACCAGGTCCAAAACGGGGCCAATGTATTCAGAATACCGGAGGAAAAGTAAGTCACATCCCTGGTTGTACGATGCGAAGAACGCACAGTGATCTGATTCCAGCGACAGCCAGCCGCACAAGCTGCAAACGAATGTATTCGTAGACACAATAGCATCGCCCGTGTCGTCATTTCCAGACGCTATAATCGCCTTGGGCTCGGGACCAGATCCACCAATGCATCCAAGACCTCAGTATCATAACCATGGCCACCATACGGACGAAGTCCCAACATCGCACCAGGGATTTGTGAACATATACTCACACCGGAACACGCTGCAGAGTATGCCACCCTTGGTCAATTGCATGTCCAGTCACACATCTTCAGATTTCTCCCTTCTACTATCCCAGTATCAGACATACATCTGACCCAGGCTTGCCAGAGAGCATGTGGGTGACAAAGATGGTGCTGTCATCGGATGCGGCTGGCTTTTCTTGTCTCGTTCATAAATATATCGAAGAAACTCCACATTCAAGCCTAAACCCCAGGCTTTGTGGTGAACGTGCGTCAGATTGACTGTAGTATGATTACCGGAGTCATCTTTATTTAGCGTCTAGAGCGGGAAGGGGGACGAGATTTCTCACCATCAGCACTGTTGCAAAAGACGGAAAAGAGGGACGGAGGATACAGTGCTTCTCTTTTATTGTCGGACGAGTGACGATAGCTTCTTTCTTTCTATTTGCATGCTCCTGCAATCCGTGATTTTTAAAGCCCTCTTGTCAGGATTTCGCAGCGAGTCAATTTACTTGACTGCCTGCTCAGCGAACGGAGAAGAACAGATCGGATACATGCATACCCATAGATTCCGTGCCTCGTCACAACATTATGGTCATCAATTGGCGGTGGCGTGATACTTTAACCTGGAGCCCCGGGTGTAGGGACGACGGAATAACTCTCGTCCTGTTGTCTTCAAATGTGTTCGTCTCCCTGAGGCCCTTTTTGGACAGAAAATGGGGAAATATATTATGGCCAGCATTTTGCGAATCAACTGCCACGCCGAGCGTAAAGACGGAACGCTGCAAGATTGCTCGCAGCTTCGTTATCGCTCCCGATATTAATGAGAGTTACGCAAACCAAAAATTCTACAGGTTGTGATACTGAAAGCCCGGCTTTATAACATACTTCTCAAAAACCCTGACCACTAAGTGGTTGGTAATTTTTGGTAAGTTTTTCTCAGCCATCTGACATTGGAATGTCAGAAAGACAAACTAGGACAAATATCTTCGGATAATTGCGCTATCGAAGCTGTGTCAAAATATTTTACGACGCGCCGATGAATATAAAAGAGCAGTAGCAGGATGGCGGCTCAGACGACACTACGAAGGACACGTTATGCCCAACGTATTATGTGCAAACGCTTTATATCAGTATGTGTGGAAACAAAGAAGAAAGAGCCCCTTTATCAAGAATCATGATTATCAAAGAGTGGATTCAAGCCCTTCGTTCACACAGCAATGGTAACTGTGGGATACGATGGTATATTCTATGAACGAAAAATCCGCTTGAATCCGAACGTCGTTATGCCTTTGTCGATTGGCCAATAAGGGGAGGAGTTGGGGCTTTGCGCATTCCTTCACCACCTTCGCCCATAAACCTCATGTTCTACCCTTGTTGATTTTTTCTCTGCTTTTCTTGGCCCCGAATTTCTCTCTCCCAACATCTTCGTCCTCTCCAGACCAGGAACCGCTCGCGATTCACCGGCATAATGCGGGTGCCCGGCCCCATGATCTTCCGCGTCTCGTCTGAACAACGCCAAAAGATCTTTCATGCCCAGCTTGCTTAGCGTATTGCCGCCTTCAATGGCTGCTTCAGCTAATTTTCTCTTTTCCTCTTGCAGGGCCAGGATCCGTTCTTCGACACTATTCTCGATTGTAAGTCTGTATACCACCACATCGACGGTTTGATTCAGTCGATGCACACGGTCAATAGCTTGCTCTTCAACAAATGGGTTCCAGAATGGTTCTAGAAGTACGACACGCGATGCAGCAGTGAGGTTAAGGCCTAAGGATCCACATTTAAGTGAGCAAAGCAGGACGCGGCAGTATTTATCGTTACGAAGTGCACTGAGGGATGCTTCTCTCAGATCATTGCGCATGGACCCGTCATAACGAGTAAAATTGTAACCGGAGGATTTAAGGAAAGGCTCCACAATGTCGAGCATGGAGGTAAACTGGCTGAAGACTATAACTTTGTGGTCTGGTGTTTCCTCCTCGAGAATCTTGAGCAAGTGTACAATCTTGGTGGACTTCGGTATATTCTTCTCGGACGGATTTTTGCGATGCTTTGTTGTTAGAGAGGCATTGACGTCTCTATTGATTTCTGATTCAGATGCGGATTCATCTGAGACGAACAAGGGATTCTTGTGGATCTTCTGGCATCGATCGTTCCGTGTCTCGGAATCGGTGTCCGTTTCGGAGTCGTCACTGTTGAGCCACTCTCCGCCTCCCTCGATATTTTCATCATCACTCCCACCACATCTACCCAGATTGGATAGATACCTGCGCTGTTCTTTAGGAACGAGCCATTCTCCCGATCCCTCATCTTCGTCGTCACTGTCCATAATAATTCGGCGATTTGCCTTCGGTTTTGGATGATACTTCGGGTTTCTTGTTGAAGCCAAGTTCTTGGCATAGTGACCAGATCTCTCATAGTCTTCCTGGAAGGTCGATAAATCGGCCTCGCACTCTGCACAATGAGAACTCCCTTTCTCGATCTGATCTTTGCTCAGCTGTACCTGACAGACGTCGCAATTCTTCGTCTCGACCGTAAGCCCCCCGAGCAGGTCAGCAATGGCATCCATCACATCGAGATCTGCCTTTTTGCTCCTCCTGGGCGTCATGCTGCAATTCGTCGCTTTTGAGACAGCTGCGGAAAGTGCATCATTATCCTGCTTAACGCTTCTACCCACCAGATGTGGATGATTGCACGCTTGCCTCAGTCTTAAAAGAAGGACTAAAGCGCCGATATAATCAGCCTTTTCTCCTCCCAACATCTCGTCAAGACGATTTTGCGCACGATCCGCGAGACGGTCGTAAAATTTACGTTCCCGATCATTGAATGCCGCGGTGACGAGCTCGACTTTACGATTCACAATCCTGAAGCCAGATTTCTTCTCCTCTCCAGCTTGTACTTTACCACCTGGATTTAGGGCGCCTTCTTTCTTGAGAATGTCTTTTGTGCGACGCTTCATGCAACTCTTGAGAAAGACTTGCAGTCTTCTCATCGCGATACCGCCTCTTCCATTTTTCATTGGTCCCGTGATCTGCTCTTTCCAAGGTCCTGTATCACAATATGGCTTGATACGCAGGAATCGAATGAGAGACTGTAACTCATCAAGATTATTTTGCATCGGCGTACCGGTAAGACACCATCTGTAGTGAGAACGTAGGGCGTAGCAAGCTTGTGTCATTTTCGCGGACTTGTTTTTGATACTGTGGGCTTCGTCAAGCATGACACGGTACCAATGCACGCCAAAGCAACCTGTTTTAATACCGTTCTCGTCATCTGAACTAGACGCATGTTCAGAAGCGAGAATCTGGTATGTGGTGATGACCACGTCATATTTCTTCAGATCATCTGCACGCTTTGTACGGTTAGGCCCGTGATGTACCAGGACTCGCAGAGGACGCGTTGCGTCAACCTTTGTCTTGATCTCTGACTCCCACTGCTTGATCAGAGCCAAGGGTGCGACAACCAACGTCGACTTCGCACAGACGGCAGGGATCGGATTCTTCTTGTCCTTCTCGCGTTCTTCCTTCGAGGGCAATGGGTTGGCAAGGATGAGGGCAATGGCTTGGATCGTTTTCCCTAGACCCATATCGTCGGCTAGAATGCCACCTCGTGGAATAACGCCGCGTATTTTCTTCCGCGATATCTCGCGGTCGCGCATCCATGCTACACCTTCGACTTGGTGGGGCAGCAGTTTAACCTCGAGACCGTCAAGAGTGCCATCTTCCTCGTCCTCGCTTTCATCATCCGCGCCATTCTGATCAACAGATCTAACATCTTTCTCATCTTTTACCCCAAGGGACTCCAGCTTCTGTGACAACGCCTTCAGAGCATCTCCATTGTTTTCTACCGGGGGTCCTTTTTTCTTTGCTTTCCGATCCTTTAGTCTAGGCTTATCATCTTCATCGTCGAATGCCCCCTCGAGAAGCGCTTTGATCTCCTCGTTCGCCTTTTGAGAGTCAACCCAGCGATATGGGTCGGGTGCACCAAACTCTTGATTACGCAAAACTGCATCCGGATCGAACTTATCGTCGTCTTCGTCATCTTCTCCCTTTGTGAGGTCTATGCGGGTCACGAAGTGGGAATTAGGGTTGATCGTGTTGAAAAAAGGAGCCGGTGTGGCGTATGTCGTCTTTGGTTGGTATCCCTGGGGAAAGGATATCGGCTGAGGTTTAGGAAGCGGCATGGTGTAGTCGTCGTAAGTCATAAATGGTTTGCCAGCTATTACTGATGCTCCGGTCTGATGGAGTGCAGGAGCAGCTGAGCCACTGCCCTGCTTTGAGAAGGCGGGAGCTGATCTGAACCCATCCTCTTGACTCCTTACATTGCTGGACGCAGCGAATCCGCTGGTCGAGGACGTAATTCTCGGTTGCATGCTCACACCAGATATTTGTCTATGATGTTCCGGTCGTGGACGTCCCGGCTTTGGCATGTTAAACAGTTTGTTTTCCGCCTGTTTGATATTCTTCCTCAAAGGATTACGAAGCGGACTAGCCTCGCCAAACCGAGGCGACGAGCTCATGGTTAAGTCGACTACTGCCCGTTCTTTTGGCCATTGGCCTTCATGGTTGGTTTCGTAGCCTGACATGTTGCGCAGTGGATTTCGTGGTGACGCGAGCGAACGGCTGGGTGTGCGTGTGTGAAGTTGGTGAGATTGTGGAAAAAAAATAAACGCTCGAGGCAAACGAACCGTGTCGCGTCTACAGTCTGAGAATGCGAGCTCGTGATCTCACAACGATATTCTCATCTGAAATCGCATCTGCTCAACTGGAAGTAAGGGTCCGCAGCGTGATCACGCCGCAACAGACTAAGGGTGATGATTGTTGCACGTCGTCCGCGCTAGTCGCGCTTCATGTGCGTTGTTGCAGAGGGCAACCAAGGACTGCGACGATGACGTCATCGAGTCTTTCGCTTAGGTTTAGCATAGCAAACTTGACGCAGAGCACAATGCCCGTACTGCAAAAACGCACCTGGCAGAAGAACGAGCCAGGGCAAGGGAGAACATCGAAAAGGAGAATGAGTTCTCTTTGCTTCTCTCCTTAGTTTGCTACCGCAGTTTTTGATATTTCACATTGCCATCAACACAGCCTGGCCCGTGTCAGCTCAACGGCGAGAAGAAGCACGCTCAGTAAGATGGGCGTAGTCAGGAGAATAAGCGCTATAAACCTTCGCGCATATATCAGAAAACGTGGCGCGAGTTGTTCTACTCTTTTCCATAGGGGACGGACCACCCGACAACTTATCTGTTATGTATATCAGGCTCTGAGCTTGTGACTTGACGGCTTGGAAGCTCTAATCGTCGTTTACTGTATCCTCGAACACAATCTGCATCGCCATCCTCGGTTCTTTTGGCTCCATATTATCGACTGGCCTTGAGCAATCTGAAAGGCGGCCATGCCTCCTTTCGTTCTTCGTCGCGGTCAGCCGGGATTCCTTGATCGATAGAACCGAATTGCAACTATAGCCTCGCATAGATCTATCCGACTCTTTTTCTCCAGGGCGACAAACTTGCATTTGGAACAGCATAGCCACTTGCCGATAAGGTTTTCTTTTTTTTCACTGTTGGAGGAGCAATTCATAACGAATTTCGTGTCAAGCGACGCATAAGCTTTCCGACCAAGAAGATGAACGCACCATTCGATTCACGCAGTTTCCTCGGGTTTGCCATGCTCTTGGAATCCATCACAGTAACCAACGCCTTAACGTGATTAAATTATCGTCATTCATGAATTGAGATCTTTGGCTGCAGGATAAACGCCTAGATTGCCTATGTTCATTGTCGCAGAACATTGGCAGGGATGAAACACAGCGTGCGGCATCTAACTTGGCATCACGCCCAGCATTTCTAAATCTCGACTCCGACGCAAGCGACACTTATTTTTTCTCTCTTTCGAATCTTGTCCTTCCTATTCTTTCTAGCTGCGCTTATGTGTGTCTTCTAGGTCATGGCCGGGACATGGCGAACTCTAGGCGCTTCAAGATCGTTGCAGTCTCGATAGTCCTAATCATAATCTTCGCGATCACCTTGGACGCAGCACTTCGGCTTCACGCGCCACCGCACAACATCCTGAAGGTGTCGCATGCGCAGAATGGAGGCCCGAACCTTCAAGCCGCGAAGGCCGGAGCGGAACCCCAGCAAAGCGGAACCGGGCAGATGGGCAGCCCGTCAAACGCGTCGGTGCAAGCATCAAGCGCGGCGACGCATGCTCCAACACATACGACGGGCCTCGAACAAGGTCTGATCGGCTCGCCGTCGAACACGACAGCCGCAAACGCAACGGCCACAGCACAGGTGTCGGTCTCGATGCCGTCGTCAAGCAGGAGACCGGAGTCCGACTTGTCCATCATCCTAGAAGCGTACGCCGGTTCGGCGGGACCCAAACGCTGTCGCGGCCAGGTGCTGAAGAAGCTCATCATTCCGCACCCGGTCTCGCAGTGGCGATCGGGCGTGTGTGTCAATCTTTCGGATCAGGCCCAGTGCGGCATTTTCTACGCGGGCAAGGAGGATAACTGCGAGGCGCGACTGTTCAACATCGAAGGATGTGAGGACACCACGGACACGTATGTCAATACCGTCGTGTTCATGCCGGAGGTTAGAGCAGTGGGAAGCTTGTGGAGGAGCATGTTTATAAGATGTGGCATCGACGTGCCAGAGGTCGGTCAACTGGATCCAAGCATCCTGGGCGCAGCATTGAAGTTGCCATCCGCTCCAAACACGACGTGATGCTGTTGGCCAAGCATATCGTTGATGGAATATGATCTAATTCAAAATTTCACGTTGAGAATTTCTTGTTTGTTTCTTTTGATTGCACGACAATGTATATTCGCTCCATCTGTATGAAACGATTCAATGCAGCGAGGAACTCAGCTACACAAATTAAGTACAGGCAGGGCGCAGCACCGACACAACTACGCATTTCATATCACTTCTAGGCGAAATCCATCTTTCTAGGAGCCATGTCGGACTGGATTTTGTCCACAGAAATCCAAGTGCATTTGCTTGATACGGTCGCTGGCCTGCTCGAGACGTCGCTTTCGTTCTTTGAGTAAAGACCGGCGTTCCTCACGCTCGACATCGTCGGCAACAAGACGATTGGCGTTTTTATATCCTGGAAGTAAGTTTTAGCTGGAGCTAAAGTGAGGAGCGCGATCAAACTTACCATCCTCGCCAAACACTTGCAAAGCTGTCATGAGATCGTGGTACAATTCTTCCCGAAACTTGATGAGCAGCTCGGCTTCGACGGCTTGTACTACCTGATCTACAAATCGCATTGCGGATATCTGATAGTATGCGCGAATTCTTGCCATGACTCCGACCTCACGGCTGTATGGATCCGCATCAAGGACTTCGGTAGCTTGCTTCCTGGTCTTGTCGTCCCAATTCTTATTGACTTCTTTGCCATATTTCTTCTCAAGCTCCCTGGCATACTCCATGTACCGCTTTTTGAGACGAGCTGCTTCAAGTATCGCTTGTTCTTCTTTGACATAGCGCGACATCAACTTCTCATCCCGTGTAATGGGCTTAACCCTTTCGATCTTAAGTGCACGAAAGACATATTGTGTCATGGACTCCATGTGACGATTGAGAAAATTCCGGTACGCTTCTTGCATCTCTTCAAAGAGCTTGGTCGCGCGCCACTGATAAACCTTGTCTTGTAAGCTCTTCGCTAAAGAATTCTGCATGGCTGATTTCAGATTGTTTAACAGAACTTTCAGTGGATCTTTCCAGTTCTCAAGGGTCAAAAGGATCATATGATCTACCGCCTTAAGCTCGACCACTGAAGGCAATCCAGAGGTGCTGAACGAGTCTAACGTGGTGCGCAGTTCTGCCAGAGTGAATGATTTTCGTAGAGCTAATTGAGTGCACGTTAGCAGAACGTACAGATTCAGCGATGATATGTCCAGAATAATCCGATACTCCACTCATAATTCTGACACTTACTGGAACCTGTACCTAAGAAATCAAGGGTGCACTCACGATCACGGGCGATTGGAATTACCGAGCAGATACTGTCTGGGTCAATGTCAGAGGAGCTCGTCTATTGATGAGCTTGCTGTCAGTACTTGCCTTCTCTTTTGGAAGATCTAGCCGTCATCTTTGGTGTGCCATTTGCGTCCTTGCGTTTCTTGGTTGGTGTGACGATTTCCTCATCATCAGAAGACAGGTCAATGATCTGCGTGTTGCGCTTCACTAGCTTCGAGGGAGTGTAGTTGATCTTGCATGGAGTTGGAGCAGGAGAAGACCTTCCGTCATCGGCTTCGTATTCTGGAGATGCGACAAGTAAGGTTGGACGTTGACCGTTGATTATGGACTCATGAAATTCATTTTTGATCTTCTTCCAGGACTCGGTAAGGATATTAGGCTCTGTTCCATCAATCATAGAGCGTACGGCTTGGGTGAAGTCGATGACAGCTTGACTAACCACCTGCAGAGCGTTCTGTGGAGGCTCAGGTAGCTCAGCAAGTTGATCCTCCACTTCAGCGTGCTTGCAAACCACCTGGTCTTCTAATTTGGGCATGACTTCAAGAATGAGATGTGCCAACTTGTCTGATAGGTTCCTCTGCAGATTGCGCGTGCCGAGACGGTCTTTTACATCGATGTCTCCGAATCGCGCAGTCCAAAAGACCGAATTGAAGAAATTTTGCTCAGAAACCCGAGCTTCGCCGTGGCTTATGCCGTCGTTCAAGTCTGCTTGACTCGGCTGTTTTACCACAAAGTAGCCGTGTCCTTTGCGAAAATTCTGGCCTTGAAGGACAGATTTCCACACATCCACCCTGTCATCGGATTGAAGACGATCTGGCTTTGTCAACACACCAATAGTGCGATGATTGGCGCCGACCTTGTCCACTAAAGCCGAGGCCATTGAATTGTCAATATCAATCTCCATAGGAACGGCGAGCAAAATGATTGTGTTTTCTTGTGACATGTATATCTCTCCGAGCTTACTGATCAGTTGCACAGTTTCTTGACCGCCGTCTGGTGACTGGGAGATGATACCTTGGCTTTGGTTAGTCTCCGCTGTCAAAATAAATCGAACACCCTTACCTGGAAGATCATAAAACGACAGATCTGGTAGACCAGGCGCGAAAATCTCAAGGGAGATTATGTTTGGACTGAACGGGAATTTCAGCGCTTCCTTGCTAACATTTCGACAGTTGAGATAACGACGATAATCTTCCTGGGGGTTCAATGTGGCCACTTGAGCTCGTCGAATAACGTTCTCAAGGTCTTGCTTGTCGTAAACAGTCTTGAAATGGTGAACTGTTTGACCCATTTCGGTCCAGGGGAAAAGAGGAGAGTTCGGGTCTCCAGTTGGTGAGTACTTCTGCACTAGTGAGACATCGCATCGCCACTGGGAGGTGGGCTCATCGCGCAAGTTGATGTGCAACACGCATCGAGTACAGGTACCTGAATCCTACGAATTATGAGCGAGAGAGGCGCTACGTCTTTGGAAAGGGGGTCTTACCCGAGGCACGCTGATTTCTGATATCGCTTCGATAAGGGAACTTTTCCCCGCGCTTTGGTCACCGACCACGACAATCTTTGGCAATGGCATGCTTGCTGCGGCATCAATGCCATGACGCTCAAGGTCTCGAATTGCGTGTAATAAGACTTTAACACCGCTGCCAATGAGCTCAATGGAGGCGTCCGGAGTAGGCAGGCCAAAGCCTGGTGTTGTTGCTACTGAAGATCTTGGCATCGAAGTCGTCGAGTCACAGACGGCAAGATCATTTCCTGTGCGCTATCAGCGTGAGTGTTGACGAGCTCATTGTTTCATACCTTTTAGGTTTCCACCCGTGTGAATGTTGAAATTGAGTTCTGGCTGGACGATGATATCGCCCGGAATAGTGTCACCACTTGAGTGTGGCATTGCGAGAAGTCTCCCATTCATTGCGGGCTGCTGTTTTGTGTGCGCAGCGTAAGTGAGGTTGGAAAGTCGTGCGCTAGATCGGCATGCGGCCCTGCGTGGCGGTGGAGTTTTGCGAGCGTTGAGCTGGCGCATATTGTTTATGTTTAGCAAACGAACCAATTTTGCAGTAGGAGGTTTTTCGATGTTGTTGAATGATGCAGGAGCCGTTAGGAAGGCTCGTGATATAAGATGAAAGGTTGGAGCTGAGGGCGAGGGAATATAAAAGTCACGACAGCAAAAAGGAAACAGTACTAACCAGCAGCACAACAACGTAACATGAGATAGAATAAGGCTTTACTGACGGAAAAGTGAAGTCTCATTCGGGAGATTTATACCCTCTTCTTCAGCCCTCTCTAGGTATCTCGTATTTCCCTTGGAACAGCAATGCCTGTGCGTGAATCATCTTCCACGTCTAGAGCCGTGGTGAGGTTCACTTTCATTTTTCGGATGCCACGATTCCTAAGTGCAAAGTGAATTCCACTTCTCTTCAGGATTACGATTTTCTACGACCATGGAAAAGACCGGTCAAACCTTCTCCTCGTTGGGACATGGCTTGCAGACGTATCTCCCGTCTTCGTCAAGGCTTCACGGCGACAACGTCGACTTGATATGAGAACAGGCATACAAAGGAAACGGCGTGAGCGTGAAGTGACGGACAAAAGCTGTGCGTCACTGTGAATCAGCCAAGCGAAATCTTATGCGTCGTTCCGGGATCTATCACGACGAGAGGAGACATGTGTTCGTCTCCTTGGACGAAGTTCCACACTTCGAGGAGTCCTAGATGGTCTTGGAGGCATGTAGTCGTCTCACGAAGAGTCGAGTTCCTCAAGCCAGGCGTCGTCGTTCCTCGAGGGGATCATGTCAGCGTCCAACATTGGTCCGGTGCAGAGTAGCAGGCAATGCCGTACAGCAAGTTCGTCTTCGTCCACAACCGCACGTAGGCTCTCGTCAAGACCTCGACCTTGGAGCATTCTGCCTCTTGTGATTGGTGCGATGCCTGGAATCGACGCGAGAGGGCTCGCCAGCCCAATGTGACGTATCTACTGTGGCACGTTCCTGAATGGCGACGGGAGAGCCGCGCTTGTTCCAGGCACGAAGAAGCGGTCAAGAGCTGGTCCAATTGCTGCAACACGACGGAAGGCCACTTGGCGTCGCCAGCAGCGGGCGCGGTGGCGAGGCGTGAGGTTCAGCCAAATGCAATCACTGAATGCGCCGCTGCTCGGCCAGGTGGAGGCGCAGGCGGCGGTTCTCTCGGCGAACAGTGCGGCTCCCTTGTGATCGTCTGCAGGCGGCCGGACCCTGAAGCCGCTAAGCTGCTGCAGCTCGTCTCTCCACACGGCCACCACCAAAAAGTTCGAGGACAGCTTGCGTGTACGTTGCGCATCAACTACTTCTTGCCTACAGTCGTGCCTGCAGCTGTTGCCATCCTTTGCGGAAGACGCCGATCGAACACTGCAATCTCTGCAACCCCGTGCAAGTCATGGCAACTCTTGACATTCCAATCCGCTCCAAGCGCAGCAGCGGGCCCAAGTCCACCAAGGCCATCATCTTGGTATGCTGGCTCTACTCCTTGCCGTTGAGTGATCAGGCGAACTGATAGATCCAGGTCGGGGGGCCTTCCCGCGGAACTCGCTTTCGACCGCTGTCTCTTGATCAGCCCAAGGTAATACACCTCGTTCCACCAAGATCACACACGTCCATTCCCTCGTCCGACACTTGCTTACCACCCACGGGGACAGCCGCTCTTCGAAGTTGCCGGCCATCCAATCATAGAACACTGCTTCTCCGCCATAGCCAAAGTTCCCGAGATCAAGGAGGTCTTCATAGTCGGCTACTACGATGAGTCTACGTTCCGCGACTTCATCAAGGACATGGCTCGTGCCTTCCCCCACATCACCACGAAATACCTGCGTGAATATGAGGCTCTCGGCACGGCCGGTGGCATCTACCATTTCCGAGACGCTATCATGAAGGGTAACCCCGACAGAATCTTTGTGCTGAATGCAGACGTGTGCTGCTCGTTTCCACTGGGACAGATGCTGCAGCTCTTTGAGGAGAAGAACGCAGATGCCGTCATCTTGGGTACTAGGGTTAGCAAGGAAGCCGCGAGCAACTTTGGATGCGTGGTGTCCGATGCCCACTCGAAGCGTGTTCTGCACTACGTCGAGAAGCCAGAGTCGCACATCAGCAACCTGATCAACTGCGGCGTCTACCTCTTTGATACCAATTGCATCTTCCCAGCCATCAGAAGCGCAATCAAGAGACGCACCGAACGACCCCGGTTAGTTAGCTACCCGAGCAGCGAGAACCTCGACGCAAGCTTCGTAGCGGACATGGACGAGACGGAGAAGAGTGAGGTCATTCGACTTGAGCAAGACGTGTTGTCCGATCTGGCAGACAGCTACCAGTTCTTTGTGCTCGAGACAAAGGACTTCTGGAGGCAGATAAAGACGGCAGGCTCGGCCATCCCGGCCAACGCCCTCTATCTCACAAAAGCGTTCCAGGCGCAATCTGAGGAGCTAGCCAAGCCCTCAGCCGTCATCCTACCCCCGGTATTCATCCACCCTACCGCACAGGTTGACCCAACCGCGAAACTCGGTCCAAACGTTTCAGTCGGCCCACGTGCTGTTATCGGGCCCGGCGCGCGAGTGAAGGAGGCGATTGTCCTTGAAGATGCGGAAATCAAGCATGACGCATGTGTGCTCTACAGTATCATCGGCAGAGGTAGTAAGGTTGGTGCCTGGGCTCGCGTCGAGGGCACACCTACACCAGTCACAAGCCATCAGACCACGATTTTGAAAGGAGGCGTGAAGGTGCAGAGCATCACTATTCTGGGTACTGAATGCGGCGTCGGCGATGAAGTTCGAGTGCAGAACTGTGTTTGCCTTCCCTATAAGGAGTTGAAGCGGGTATGTCGCCTTCTAATGGAGTCTCAAATTGATTTTAATGAGCATGCAGGATGTCGCGAACGAAGTTATTATGTAATTCCTTGGGCGGCGCGATGCGGGTTGTCCGCTGATGCGAATCTCCTGCCTGCTATAGACGGCATTGTCATAGAGCAGGCGTTTCGAAAGCATTTTTTGAAAACGTTCGTCATCGACTGTTACCGGCATGGGAAATCTTTTAAGGCTTCAAATGAGCATTGAAAGCGGTCAATTAAAACCAAATAGGAAAATATCTAATCTAGTTTTGCCATAAAACAACTCCATAATAGGTCTTAGCTTTGCGTAATCTGGGCAGGACAGTTCACGATCTAGGTAAGCTACTGACCGTATCATAATAAGTTTTGAACCCGTCTGAAATGGAGATTCGTGTAGCATGAAGTTAAAAAGTGAGCTTGAATATCCCAGCGTATTGTTTGACGTAGCTAGATGCCCCATATTATGAAGCTTAGGATACGAAAAAATCTAGCCTCAGCTTATTTCTCGATAGAGAGCAATGATCATGTGCTCAGCGTTGGGTCGCGCATTTCTCATGTATCCCAGAAAGTAATTGATTTAGTATAGCATCAGATATACTTCGCCCTAACAAAGTCAAGAAGTCGACTTTGATGTCAAAAACATCCGACCACTAGTTCCTCCTGTTATCAGTACGGCCAAGCAGATATCTGCTAATTGTGCATGATAATCGAGTCCTCATGGTAGCCAAGCGGTCCGCCTCCGATATCGTGCAAAATGCCAAGTCGAGTTCCAAAGCAAGAGATGTAAAAATAACTTTTGATTTGCCTTATACAATCATGGCCTTTCAAAATCTGAACGTGTAGTTCTTTTTTTTCGACTCAGCATGATTCTACACGCTGAACGACTAAGTCTTAGCCTCACGATATGGAACAGACAGCAGGCGATCGGAACCTGAAAAGCAAAGACGAAGTCGACGGGACATCCCCGGAGCTAACGGACGACGAACCAGAACATCCTTTCAACTGGAAGTCAAGCAAAAAATGGATCATCACCGCGACAACATGCTTCGTCTGTTTTGCTGTCGGCATCAACGCAACGGGCATCGCGAGTGCGCCCACTCCGATCAACCACCGATTTGGGATCTCAGATGAACGCTTTCCAAACTCATTCTGGCCCGTGGCATCGTGGACGGTTGGCGCCGCGGTGGTCCCCATGATCGCGCTTCCTCTCATGGAGGAATACAGCACGAGGATCGGCTACCTGCTCTCGTACTCGGTCTTCTTCGTCTTCGTGATCCCTCAGGCGGTGGCCGAGGACTTCGCGACGCTCGTCGCCTGTCGCTTCTTCGGCGGCGGAGCGGCCGGCATCCTGCAGAACGGCATGGACGGCTTGATCGCGGACATCTGGCCCGGCGCGGTTCAGCGCAGCTTGCCCGTCACCGTCTACGTCACCGGCCTTCTGGCCGGCGTCAGCTTCGGGCCCGTCTACGGCGGCCTCGTCGTCCGGACCCTCTACTGGCGATGGATCTTCTACATCCAGCTCGTCGTTTACGGCGTTTTACTGGTCCTCGTCTTCTGCGTCATGCGCGAGACTCGCTGGCCTGTCATACGGGCGAAGCGGCAAAAGGAAGAGAATGCTCTTCGCCACGACCGGGGGGCGGACGTCGCGGCGCGACACATGTCGCCCGCGAAATTTCTGTACAACACAGTTATCCTGCCGGCGTACTTGCTCTGCACGGAGCCTGTGGTGTTCTTCTTCACTCTGCTCTCTGCTCTTTCTTATGGCGTCGTCTTCATCTGCACGCAGAGCGTGACCCAAGTCTTTGTCAAAAACTACGCCTTTGAAGAGTATCAGACTGGCCTGGTTCAAATCTCCGTCGTCATTGGCGAGATCCTGGGCTTTTTTGCATGTCTCGTGCAGAACTACTGGTATGCGCAGGCGACGAAAGCCAACCCCGTGATGTCGGAGGCAGATCTCTCCGAAGTTCGTCTTCGTCTGAGCATCCCGGCAAGCTTTCTTGGATTGACCGGTGGCCTTTTCTTCTACGGCTGGACCAGCTTCGCGAGCTTGCCGTGGATCCTACCGGCAATTGGTTTAGCTTTTATTGGATTCGGCGTCACCGTTGTCATGCAAGCGATTATGATGTACGTAACAGATGCATACGCAAAGTACGCAGCAAGCGCTAGCGCGGCTGTATGCTTTGGCGAAAACATGTTTGCTGCTTTTCTTCCTCTCGCATCGCAGAGCATGTATACAAATCTCGGGTTTCGATGGGCAAGCTCGGTTCTTGGCTTCATCGCGCTGGTACTCAGCTTCGCGCCAATAGTGTTGGTCTGGAAAGGTAAAGACATACGGGCGCGCAGTCCATTCATGAGTAAGGCTACGTATTAGAATAATAGAGTGGCTTGTGCTTATAATAACTATTTGTCCTAACGGTTTTCGCGGCAGTTTACAAATATTCTTATATCATCCATGTTCATTGTTTTAGAAGTGCGGATAACTGCTGTTTTGTTGGATCATTCCAGACTAATCTCATCAACTCCTGGAATTATGATGCTGGCGACACATAACTGTCACAAAGAATTTGCTATGTTTATTTTCGGTTCTATGTCCCTTTTGATAGCACCCAGGTCTATTCATCTTCCTTATCTTCGTTGCGATAGGCACTTTACCTAACTTAGACAAGCCTGCTTATGTGATATCGGGATGTAAATAAAGATATATGATGTACGATATATACTGGGAGATGCAAAGCACTTTACAACCCTATTCAGCAACTCCTTTCTCCTTTTCTTTGTTCCGGTGGGCGCCTCTCGACTCCAGCAGTTTCAGATTCAGCTACAATGAGGTCTGCCCAAGAGGTCATCGAACAACTTAACCTTATACCCCATCCTGAAAAGGGCTGGTACATCGAGACGTTCAGAGACCGAGTCCAGGTGAATGGGCGATCTTGTAGCACAGCCATATACTACCTTCTGGAGGGAGGAGTTGTTTCCCATTGGCACCGCGTCGTGGACGCTGTCGAGATCTGGCATTACTACGCTGGTGCCCCCCTACAACTCTCCTTATCCTGGAACGACGGCACCCCAGTCCGGAAAAAGAAGCTGGGCGCGAACGTGTTCGCGGGTGAGGAACCTCACATCATCGTGGAGAAGGGGGAATGGCAAAGGGCCGAGAGCCTTGGTGAATGGACTCTGGTGGGCTGCACTGTCGCGCCAGGGTTCGTACCGGAAACATTTGAGATGGCGAAGCCTGGCTGGGAGCCAAGGCAGGACGGTCTTCAAGGATAAGCCTCTTACGTTGCGAACTTGTCTGAGTTTTGTATGTAGAATATGTGATGGCGTCTTCGCCCAATGGGATGCTACGAGCTCCGCCAGAGAAGGGGTCACGATATTAGTTACTGAAGAATTATCAGCGCCCTGCGCAAAATTTCCTACAACTGTTCCTAAACAGATAGAATTTCAGTCAAACGTACGCTTCTGCGCTATGGATCTAGTAGAGAATCTCAAAGAAGAATGTATTCATCATCGTCCTCGTCACGTGAGACACTGAATCAACCGTACATTCAAATTAGCTGCCGTTTCGAGAATGGTGTATTGCAAGGAACAGCAACACATACCTGACTGTAAAGTCTTGACTTGCCACAGAAGGAATCGAGGCCGTTCATGAATGGATAGCACTTTGATTACTTTGCTGGGCCAAAGGTAACCTTATAGCAGCCAAGTGTCCTGGCAGAGCAATCGCAAAAGGAAGCCAGCGCCTATTGGCCCGATAGCGGCGTCTCTCAATCCGCTACGGCCCTTATATCAAGCACGCGAGCCGCACATCTTGCCCGCCTCATCACCACGACACTCTTTTATTTGCTTATTCGCTCTCTTACGTTGTGCAGGATGGCTCCGCTGCTCGCCAAAGCCTTACTTTTTCCCTCAACGGCTCTCGCGGGGCTTTTGAACTTCCAGCAGGCGACAGCCCCGCTGAGCCACCCAATTGTAAACTCGGAGTCACTCCAGGCTTGCATCGACCCCAAGGCCTTGCAAAGGAGAGCAGAAGCACTTTTTGAGATCGCAAAGTCCAGCATCGATGAATACAATCGTCCAACCAGGGTGATTGGCAGCGCGGGTTTGTCTTCCCTCTTATCTCAACCCTCGGTCACATCTCCGTCCCTTGTAAACATCGTTAAGAGAAAGGGTCAATCCTCATTTCAACTTTTGATCGCGTAAACTTCGCATGCAAGTGCGGAGAGGCTTGGCTTTAGTTTCCGCTCTGACGTGCTCTTAGGCCACCAAAGAACTCTTGACTATATCTATTCGGAGCTTGCAAATATGGGAGACTATTTCACCCTTTCCAACCAGACTTTCCAGGCTTTTACGGGCCATGTTACAGAGTCCCGGTTGATCATCGGAGATAGTGTCCTCACGAATGCTACAGCGTTCAGCCTGACTCCCCCCACTCCTGAAAATGAACCAGTTGACGGCAAGCTTGTTTTGATTGCCGATGAAGGCTGCGACAGCTCGAATTATCCTTCCAGCGTGGCCAAGAACATTGCACTAATTCAACGTGGTACGTGCCCTTTCAGCACGAAGTCCGAGCTGGCGGGCAAGGCTGGCGCTGTTGCTGCGGTTATCTACAACAACCAGCACGGTTCTTTGTCCGGTACTCTCGGTACCCCGTTGCCGGACCACGTGCCAACATTTGGTATCTCAAAGGAAGAAGCTGCTCCGTTCATTGAGATCTTGAAAAATAAGAACATGACCCTGCTCGCCACAGCATATATTGATGGCGAGGTGCGCACCATCGACACGTACAACATCGTCGCGCAGACCACTCAGGGTGATGCCAACAACTGTGTTATGCTCGGCGCCCATAGCGATTCTGTTGCGGAAGGTCCCGGGATCAATGATGACGGGAGCGGCACGCTCACTCTCCTCGAAGTTGCTCAACAGCTAACCAAGTTCACGGTCAAGAACTGTGTCCGCTTTGCATGGTGGGCTGGTGAGGAGGAGGGGCTGCTTGGCTCAGACTACTATGCCGATCATCTATCGCCGGAAGAAAATCAGAAAGTTAGGCTTTTCATGGACTACGACATGCTTGCCAGCCCCAATTTTGCGTACCAAGTCTACAACGCTACCAACGAAGCAAATCCCGAGGGCTCAGAGCAGCTTCGTGATATGTACACTGCCTGGTACAAGAAACACAACATTCCGTACACGCTCATCGAGTTTGACGGCCGATCTGACTACGACGGATTCATCCGCAACGGAATCCCAGCCGGTGGGATTGCCACCGGCGCCGAGGGCGTGAAAACCAAGGAGGAACAACAGCTTTTCGGCGGAAAAGCTGGCGATTGGTATGACCCGTGCTACCACCAACTCTGCGACGACGTTGGAAATGTCAACATGACTGCTTGGGAGGTCAACACGAAGCTCGTCGCCCACAGTGTCGCTACTTATGCATTGAGCTTCGATGGGTTTCCTGCAAGAAATCCGCCGACTGTCAGCGATAGTGTCTTCCGCACCAAGCCTGCTACAAACAAGGGCTCAAGTGGAACAAGCTTGCTTTACCATGGGCCAAAGCTTGTCATGTAAGATGATGATTGTGTGAAAGATTCAATTGTAATTTAGGACTGTTGATATCTTGGTCATAGACTATAAACATAGAAGGTCATCTGAATGCAGTAGTAACGGCTTTGTGGTATCTCTAATCTTGTGCGACAGAATATAAAAAAAAAAAAAAAAAAAAAAAAAGGCGGTGACAACCCCTGTAGTTTTCGTCCAGCGTTTCAGGCGATGTGATACAAATGAGAAAGTTCAAATCCAAGAACCAAGCCACGAGATCTCCATGTCTCTTCGAGCAGCCAGGCCTGTTTTGACTATTTTCAGGCCTGGGTATTATGCGTCTCTCGCTGCGTGACGCTCACCCTATGGTCCACAGCCGATACACTGACGATGTGCACAAGTCAGCCTTAACGAGTTCGCGACTATTAATAAAACAACGGCACACCGTAAATATCGCTCAGAACCTCGTCCAGCGTCCTCTCGCCCTTCTTCGTTTCCCAGTACTGAACGGCAGCAGGGGAATACTCGACGGCGTTGTGGTAACTGAAAGAAGAAGAAAGATCAGTCTTGCGTACCTTTCCACAACGAGATGCTGCGGTGCGTGTAAGACGGGGAATCTTATAAGACTTAGAAGATATAAGGGTGATAGTATGTGTTGGTAGGAATTCCGGGGATAGCGGGGCCAGCGTACGCCATCGATGCGAGCATGCCGGAGCCGACACGCTTTAGCCAGGACTTTACTTTGAACCGCTTGGACTTGGTCGACGATGTGGTTGATTTGTTCGTCTTTGAGATGCTAGAGGTCGATGTTGATGCGGTTTGCGAGGTAGTCGCCCGAGCGACGGCTGGCCGTGCAGACGGTGTTGTTACCGGGACGTCCGTGATAGAAGAATCGACGCTGCTCCTTCTGGAGTCGACTTTGTCGTCCATATCGAACCCTTTAGTTTCGGACACCATACTGACAGTGTAAATGTTTGCGGTCGCTGGACAGGCGACGGGAGATTTGGGGAGATTGGTAGATTTATATGGACAAGGAAGATCGTGATAGGTTGGTGCACTCCAGGGGAGCAATGCTGACAGCGCTAAACACAGAATGCGTTTGCAAGTCTTGTCTCAGAACGACTGCCAATTGAAAAGAAAGGATTATTTGATTTCCGCCCTCGATCGTTGGAATCTTATGTTACTGTGCAAGCCCCCAAAGGCCAGGGTCCCGTGGGAAAATCTGGTAGTACGAAAGGGCACAGACTATGATAAGGCAAAAAGTGGAACAAAGAAGCAAAGGGAGGGGAATGTGAGTCTGAAATACACAGAAAACCAATTCATACATAACATTCTTGTCGCGGAGTGGACAAGAGAATGTCATCGGAAAGTTGGTGCTTCGACAGTGGCCGTGTCGGTCCGCGGTTTGAGTTGGATGACCAGCCCTTGTGTCGGATGCGAATCTGCTAAGAATAGTGAGCTGGCAAAGCGACTCGAAAGCGGCTGCATCGATGTGCAGTTTGCTCAGCAAATCACAGTCACAGACAGAGAGCTAAAAGGCACAAAAGCGGGCATCAGCACCATGCAGAACTGCCACACACTTTCCAATGCACAGCTGCAGGCCTGAGATGTCGTTCGTCGTTCTCCGCCGTGAAGATGGGTTTCCCTCCGTTGCGAGTATCCGCATAATCAAAGTTCTCTTTGGGGATGGCAGTGCAGAACAGTTCGCCCCTTTTCGAGGCATTCCTTGGAGACGGGATGCATTCTTCCGGCGCTGGAGACGTTGTCAGTTGCCTCAAACGGCATGCTTATCGTGCAATACGGTTGAATAATAAAACCAAAATGAGCCTAATTGCTGACTGTGTTCACCTGCTTGGAGGCCTACCAGCCATGCACACGTCGATAGGCGATTCTTTGCTAAGCGCAACCGCAAGCGAGGCACCGGTTGGGACGAGGCTATTGCCGATAGCTTCACGAAATCCTCATCGCTTGAACCGAGAGACATTGTTGATGTATCCAAGGCCATCCTCGGTCGGAAAGGACGGCGACGAACGTGCGCTGCTGAGCCGGAAGGATTTGGGACCGGAGCTGCCCTTGCGATGCGTGCGACCGAGGATACGCTTTGCATCTGCTGGAAGGGAATGCTTTTGTGTGCCAAAGCAAAGTATTCGAACGCGACGCCAACTTAAGCTCGATGATCGCCCATTTTTAAGAACCAGCGCAAGCGGCCATGGCAATCGACAACCTCCAGTGTCAGACGGCTGAGTTACAGCCAAGTCACGTGATTATTCACGTCCGTCAATTCGTTACGTCAGCATTTCGCGGGCTTGCCTAAGTTAACTTACAAGTTCACTCCAGTCGGCCTGAGTTTACTCCAGTTAACTGAGGCAAACTCAAGTTAAGGATGAGTTAGCGTATGTTAAACGCGCACGGGCGGAAATAACGGAGGCGGGTTCCAATCGCGGCTGAGCAATCGATATCCCCAACCTTGGGATTTCTCTTCCTTCTGATTTCCACTGTGCCACCAAACATCGCGTTTCCTGGCCTTATCTCGTCTTGCATTGCTGTACAAGCCAATTGTAGGTCCCATCTGCTTGTTGTCATAAGCAATTCCCCATCTGCCCGTAGCCTGTCTAATGCAGAGGTGCGATCTAGTAGCAGCTCAAGCGCGAAGCTGGGCTGCTGCCGAACTCGTCCCTTTGCCAGCATAGCATCTGTTACCTATATTGCCATGGTGGCCTGCATCTCCCCTCCTGTGAGGTCAAATTGCACGTTCGATTGAGTCTTTCGCGATCCATAATTCGCTTTTTTGTCAGCATTTGGGCGATTACTGTACTGGCATTGGCATGTCTAACAATTTAGGTCCTCTGACCTCCACCTGCGAAAGAAGAGACAGCAACAAGTCGCATACACATCCTAGAGACGGCCCAAGCGTCGTCGACCGACCAGTCTGCAGACGAAGTCTACGAGCTGCCGAGTGATACAAGGTTTCCTAGCTCAATACGTTCGCATTCCACAAGAGACATGGATAGGGACCGATATGAACCGTCGCAATACAGCGAGAGAGGCTTTGCAGCGCGTGATGGATATGTCCGAGACGCTCGAAGCGACGCTTATGAACGATCTCAGTATGGCCCCTACGACCGAGACGATTATGTCGCTACTCGATCGAACTATGGTGGAGCTAGCACCGGATATGATCGGCGACGTAGCTATGATGACCATGACATGGACGAGTACTACGAGAAAACCAGAGTGACGAGGTATTCTCGAGACGGCGGTGAGCCCGGACTGGCGGCGTATGAGGATCGCGATAGACAACGCGCACGGTCCCAAGATTACAGACGACAGGAAGACCGCCGTGAGGAACGTCCTAGATCTCGAGGGCGTCGGGATAGTGAGAGCGGAAGCGAGAATGAGCGCGAAGGGGAGAACACACCCATGAAGAAATGGGCCGCGACGCTTGCTGGAGCTGCGGTGGGTGGTCTTGCTGCAAAGCGGCTCCAGAAAGACAAGGATAACAATTGGGTTCCAACTGCCCTCGGAGCCGTGGTTGGCGGCCTGCTCGGCCGAGAAGTTGAGAAGAAGGTGTACGAACACAAAGAGCGACGGAAGGAGCGAGAACATGAGTACGAGTGACGGCACTATATACATTTTGACGATTATACGATAAGGACGAGAGGTACTTGATGAATGTAACGAGAAAAAAGACGATGAGCCTCTTGAGTGTATGAACTGACCTTGACCAAACAATCAAATTCTAATTTGCGCATGATGAACTCGGGCAACAATGAAACGTCGAACACGCGTAGAGGCATGGACGAGCATCGCGAAGGCAAAAATTGCAGACGACATGTTCTCCGTGATGTTACAAGAGGATCTTGACTGTGCGGATTGAACCCCCACCTCCTTTAAGCCACCGTTTTCTATCCAATTCCCGTCTTCAACTTGATTCTTCGCTCTGCTCTCGTGTGGATGACATGAAACTTAAAGGAATCTGCACTGGATCGAACGGGCCACCTTCATTATTTACACTCAACTTCTACTCCAGCTCGACATTAGCGACATCGCGAGTTCAGTGAACACGCGCGGCTTACAACCCCCGCTGCTCTGTGACGTTGGTCTACTTCGTCTTCGAGCGAACTTGTTCCGTTTTTCTTCCGTCTAGAAGCACGCGACGCATACGAGATGTCTTGAGCCACTCCGGCAAAAACGTCTTGGAAGAAGTGAGACAGACCATAAGGATTCTAACCTGGCCTACAAAAGATTGTGTCGGAACGAAGTTCTCTCGATGCCGGTGCAATCCAGCTTTCCTATGCTACAGTGGTATATGCACAACAAGCTCGAGAGCTAAAAAATCTCCACAGCTCTTCCAGAAGCACGAAGCCAGCCTGAAGTAATCGATGTACGCTGTCTTTTTGCCACTCTTCAGCGTTTCAGCTGTACAAACTTCTATTACCCCCAGAAAAGTGCGATCGCTCAGCGCCCCTATTTGTTCGACAAGGGCACCGATATAAATTTTTCAAGTCTCGTTCAAAGATTCCAAAGCGCTCTCTATGTGGAATTTGAAAAGAGAGCACTGCCGGACCGAAATTCTGCGAGGGCCAGTCGGCCACAGCCTCGATACGAAACCTTGAAGCACGTCAGGCAATCGTCGAATTCTGAGCGTTCAAGTCGCGCAGAGAGTTGGGCGCAACAAGTTCGACGCTCGTCGCAAGTTGAGACTAGAAAATAATTATCAACATTGAGCATTCGTTCACGTTGACAGTATTTTATGTGAAGCAGATCCAAGGCCGGCCGTCGTTCTACCATCGTCCTGACGTGAATCTGAAAAGTGGAGCCCTAGTGTGTTACCGGCTACATCAAGTTTATCATCGATAAAGGCTATGTTCGCGTCATCTCACTTTGGCCAAAAAGGAATAGACCATCGATAAGTTCAGGGCGTTGCACAATATAACTTGTAGAATTGAGTCACATGAGCGCAAGAGGAGCGTCGCAACTTATAGCCGATCTATTTGTTTTTCTTCTCGCGCACAAGGATTAGCGGACCGAAGAAGCGCCTCGTCGTACCCAGCTCCCCTGGTCATGAGTAAACAAGCCCGGCTGTATTAGTATCCGACTAGGTCTTCTAGATTTGGCAATTGGGCGTGCTCACTTTGCTTCTTTGGCCCCTCACGTTCGTAAAAAATGGCAATGGCTCCGATGTTGCACGTTCTCAAGGCCTCTGAGTCGGCCCGATCAGCGTTTCTATGCATTTTGTCTTAGGCAGCTTGACCATGTTTTTCTTGAAGAGAATTCACGGCAGAGTGACAAGTTTGGAAGTGTGGCCGATATTTTTTTTTTCATGGCTCGATGCTCTTCATATGCTACGATCTGGGGTATCACATTTTGTTGACTCTCTACAAAGGTTCATTCGCCCCTCGGCGGAAAGAATCCTAGTCTTGAAACCAGCTCTTGTCTTTCTTCCCGGCCATTTCGATATCTCCAGAGGCGCTCGAGCGACTTTCGAACGGCTTGAACTTATCTTGGCTTATTCTAGGCCAGTTCCAGCTGTGTCGTACGTCGACCTCTTTGGTAGTCGAGATATCGAGCCTTATGGAATCCGGCTGTGTGCTGCTTGCCCGAGCCACTGCGGCTGGCTTTTGTAGAACAGGTTGCTGCACCTCAGTCTCTCGTACGCTCTTTCTTCGGTGAAGTCTACTGCGTCTTTTCACGGGTCCAGTGATAATGACCGTGTAACCGTACCCATCACACGGTAGACCCTCCAAGTCGAAATATTGGGGTCTGGGAGCGATCCAACCTGGTTGGAAGTCGTAGTCCATCTCGGTGCGTCTGCTCGCGTATGTGGAAAATGACGGCCGTTTACCCCGTATGGTGGGCAATTGTGATGGCAGTCCTTTGGCTTTTCGAAATAGATACGAGAAAAGCGGTCGTAATGGGGCGGCGCATGCGCAAGTCTAGAAAACCCTTTTTTAGAAGCTGTGTAGAAGAAAGGCATTTGGATCACTTACAATGCTCAAATCGATCTCAACCTGGCTAGCCATCCAGTGAGGATCCCTAGATTGGGTACGTCAGATCGAGCATACGAATGGTCTAGCCAAGAGCCTAGGTCTCAAAGTACGCGTCTCACAAAAGTGTCTCAACTCGCTCTATACGCTGTGCATAAGGAGTAAAGCGAAATTTAAATGAATTTACTTACGCCATCCATGAGAGATCTAGAGTAGGACTGCTCACCGACTTCCAGAGAAAATAAGTACGGAAGCAGCCCGCAAAGCCTACCAAGAAGCCTAGTGACAACAGCATGATGACTGTCCACCGTTGCTTTGGGTCGACATGAAGCTTGTAAACTGCGATGATTGGCATCGAGGCGAGAATAAACTCTGAAACTGTGTTGATGATCGCGCATGCCTTCATCACGCTTGGGTCATCGTCACAGTGCTGGCCGGGCATGTTCACTAAGCTCCAGTAAGCCTTGATCGGCCAACATGCAAAAATTCCGGTGAAAATGTAAACGAAGACCAGAGCGACTTGAACTGCTGTGAATATGTGTAGAATGCGTCGAAACAGCGGTGGTCCAACACCTATTCGGCTGAGTAAACGCATGTAAAGAAAGCATATTGACAATCGGGCGGCCGACGTTGCAAGTCCCCAGCAAATCCGTGCAAAGTACAAAACTTTCAAGGACACTTTGTGTTGTTAGCATCTCGGTATCCCAATTTGTTGACGACGTTGGGCTGATTGCGATCCACGTACTGGGCAAAAGGTTCGGTCTGATGTCCCAAGCATGTCTGTCCCAGCCATAGTTTCGATGACCGAGAATGGAGCAAGCCGCAACACCCAACGACGCAATCTAGAGCCATGTCAGCCAGGTACAGTGGTGCCCGAGAGGAGTACTATACCCAGGCGAACAGGATCAGGCCGTCATCAGGTCCGAAATATCGACGGATCCATATCCGTGAATACATTCGGGCGCTCAGCGAAATGGTCGATATGGAGAGGAATACTCCCGTCACGACATACAAGGCATCTCCTCTGGTCTTCGGATCAACGAAGTTTCCAGGCGGCCAGTGGCTTATGATCGTGAGAGCGTCCGACCGGAACATATTCCCTCGGGGGCCTCGAGGACGATGGCGACCTCGAACGTTGGATACAGCAAGCTTTTTGAGGCTTCTGCGAAACCCATTCAATCACATACTACAATCGCTGTCTGCATATGCGCGTTGATCAAAGGAAGTCCGAGGGTGGCTGAAAAACACAACGACCTTATCCAGTATAGTTGCCGGTGTTGATTCGCAGATAATGAAACAAAAGATCGAAGCCGGCAGGGAGAACGACTTGGACACAAAAATTGCACGTTCGAGAGCGAATGCTGAAGTCCAAGTAGAAAGCTTCACTCAGCGACTCACGAGTCGTGTGCGTACATTCTTACACTCCCGTGCAAAGCCTTTAGCGAAGGTCCGCGACAGGCAAGGCATGTACTCCATGTAAACGTGGGTGGCATCTTGTCAGGACTTGGTACACGGGATCAAAACTTGAAGTGGCGTTCAATGAGGGTTGCAGCAAACCTGGTGGCGATTCTGCTAGGTGCTGCTCGCCTCCGTTTGTGATTGCCGCGCTTCCACCACTCCATGAGCCGTGCTGTGCGATCTTGACAGGGAGACACGGAGGCAGTCTGGACAGATTCTTTGGCAGACCCCGGTGCTGTCATGCGCGATGAGTTTCACCATCGCTGTACGGCCAAGTAAGGGACGGCCATCCTACGGAAGTGGTTGGCCTTCTCATGGCCTGGATTCTACGGCTTTTGCCTCCACATTCGCACCGACTTCCAGCAGCTCCAACAGCTCCGGCGGCCAGCGGCCAGCAGCTACTCCAGTCGGGTGTACAGCCGGCTACCGTGCCTGCTGGAGGTCTGGTCGAGGACAGCCTCAGCGTCTTGCGGAGGTTGCAATGCCTCGTCCAAGGAATCCAATTCATTCACGGCATGCAGAAGTGATATATGGCTCTGATCTAAACACCTTCTGCATCGCGCAATTCGCAGCAGAGAAACACTAGAGCGCACCGCAATGCGGAGAAGCCAGCCTTTCAGAATGACGGAGAACATACCTATTCGAGGGGCAAGTTGCATCATCCTGTTCCCGATGGCGCGGAAACGATAAATCCACGCCAACCATATTCCTTCTCATTTTCGATGAAGGCTGTTTGCCATGCCTACAGAGAGCCCAGGGAGATCTGTGTTCTCATTTTCCGTCGCGGCGATGGCGACTATCTGTGCTGTGCTGCGGAATAGTTCTTTGTTTGATGAGCGGCGCAGTGACTGTCTACTGGCGCAAGGCCCTTTATGAAACATAATGGTTCATTTGCAGCGTCCTCCTGCCCATGAAGATTAACGTTTTGAGCTTCTTCGACAAGGTGTTTCTAATGCATTGAAAATTACCAGCGCGTGACTCGTCAGAGCTGATTGCTCGGCGTGACTTCGCAGTGCAGCCATCCTTACAAAGTCCAGTATAGCTGTGGGAATCATCCGAAAGGAACATCCTGATGTTGTGACCAATCTTCCTCTACCCAAATGAATGCTTGTGCAGATACTGAACACCGTCGATCCTCTCGGCGCTTGCGGTTTTTTGAAAGTCTCATCTAATATGAGTAGACTCTAATAGCAGAAACTGCCGCTCGCTGTGGGGGTCCGATGTTAACTGAATCGAGACTCTTCAGTCCATGCTTCACCAGACATCCGGTCAAGGCGAATCCCGTTAAAATGCAGGTGCTTCATATCGTTATGCCAATCATGTGTGCCTTTGTACTGAATACAGCTTGTCCACGTTTGTCCATCATTGATCCTTGGAGCGTACCATGTTTTTTTGCATTCCAACAAAAGGATGCGACTTGGCCTTGGGTTGACTCAAACTTTAATTATCAGAGAACCCAGATATACGAATTACAAATTTGTTAAACTGGGAGCTCCATGGAATTCTGTCTGCTGGCGCGGTGAGAGACCCCGTCTCCTGCTCGCCATGTACCCTTTGCCTCCTGCTAACATATCTGCAGCCAACCAGTTCCGGAACAAAGCGTGGAACCAACACCTTTAATGCTATTCTGTTGTTGGTTCTTCCATATGAAGATGAATCTTGACGCCATAGCAATGTAAACACCACGTGCTTTTGGGCGCACAATATGGAAGGAATGACCAGAATTCGGACAGACAATGCATTCAGTATTCTGGGAGCACGTCCCTAGGCCTTACTTATATGATTGCTTACGGCAAATTTACTCGCTGCTGAAAGAGCAGTTATATCTCACCCAGAGCGCTGTCGAGGAAATGAAATGTCTTATTCTTGTCGGAGCAGTCTATATAGCCTGTTTCATTCCTTCCCGGCATCGACGGTCGTCGTGGTATCATCGCCTCAACCTGTGCACTTTTCCCAACCTCATACAGTCATTTACAAATTCTCATTCGAGAAACGTTCTAATTCATGCACCCTTGCTCTGCAAATACTTGACCAGATCAAGAACTTTGGATCTTGTCTCGTCATCCAGTTGATCTTCAGGTGGACTAAGCACTTTCTCGATTACAGGCTTGACTTCGGACGTGAGACTCTGGATGGTTGCATCACCAGCTTGATCTTTGCCCTCTGTTAGTGTTGTGCTTCTGGCTAGATACGATGCCGATTCAGGGGTTACTTACAGAGCTGAACGATAGCATCGAATGCAGGACCGTTCTCCTCGTAGTCTTCCTTTACAGGGAGAATTTTCAATAGCGCTGGCAGAACTTCAGGTAGAGGCACAGCGTCAGGGTGTCTCTTGATCATCCTTGCTACACAGCCGGCAGCGTTATCAAGAACACGAGTCGATGCAGTTGCACCGGGAGCTAGGACTGGCTCCAATTTGGACAGAATAGAGTTATATGCGCCTTTAATCTTGTCCACGTCGTCGGATTTCTCAGCGAGCACGCCAATTGCATACATAGCATTCGCTTTCGTATCGGGATCCTCGTCGCTCAAGCGCTTCATCAGCACCGTAAGAAGCTTGTCCGTGTATGGAGTGACAGCGGAGCCCATGTTGCCAATCACCTCAGCAATACACCCGACTGCTGAGCAGCGCTCACCTGCTTCCTGGCTTGAAACGTACTTCAAGATGTGCTTCGAAAAGACTTGCCATAGCTCGCCAAAGCTTCCGCCTAGTGCTGCAGCAAGTCCAACGACGCAGTCAAGGGCAGTGTCAATGACCAACCAGTCGTATTCGCTCGACTCTTCAAGAAGAGCGTCGTCAATATCGTCGCCTTCTTCACCGAGATCTTGTTGGCAAGGGTGCTTCTTGGTCAAGACGGCAATCAACTCCTGCGAAATGCGGTCTACGAAGGTTTGACCATTGTCTACGGTCATGAGAATCGATGGACCAGTGAGTTTGAGAGTGGCACCGACAGAGCGGTGTATATCAGTGACGGTGCCCCTAGAGCACATTTCATCAGCAAGTACTCCCGATGTCGTTATTTAATAACAATGTTTGAGGGTTGAATCAGAAACAGATTCGCTTTCTCAGCAATGGCAACTTTTTTGCCTCTGAGTGAGCTGGGTATAACGAAGGGTGGTCATCATATTGATTAGAATCCAAAGAAGATTGTGTACTCACCGATCCATCTCTTCCTCCCATAAGTCGAGAGTGTTCTTCATAATCTCTGCACCCAGTTTGAAGAGCTGTGCTGGGGGTTGCACTTTTAGAGGAATGCCAGGTTGCCACTTTTCCATTCCCTGACCTTCGGCAAGACCCCACACACAGGCATAAGCTCTGAAGAGCGTTCCAACAGCGCTTTTCCGAATGCCCTCATATGAGTGCTCAATGAGTGGAAGAATAATTTCAACGGTTTTCTCGAGATACGGCACAAATTGTGCGCGAGTATGGGTGAGAATGTCACCAAGAACCTCGATGGCAATCTCCTTCTCCATAGCAATGGCCGTGGCAGGGTTGGTTATATCTTCGAAATCATCATCATCGTCCCCAAGTTCGATGATCTCGTCGTCATCTGATTCTTCGGCCTCTGTAACTTTAAATGTCTTGCCTCCAATCTTGATTTCCTTGCCTGCAATCGCAGCTGCCTCAGCTCCCAATGAAATCTCAGCTTCGGCCTCTTCTTGCTCGAGGCAGTGGTGCAGACCCTTGACAACACCGTCGAGATACTGTGAGAAATTTTCCTCATATATCTTCGCAATCGTGCTCCACAAGATATAGCTAGTCTCCCGAAGTCGTGGGTGATCAAGGTGCAGGGCCTCTTCAGAAGCTTGCATAAGGGGATTGACATACTGCTGAAATGGCTCAGCCCCAACAGCGGATGCAATCTTCCCCATGGTGTCACAAACTGCACCGCGGAGTTCGAGATCGTCCTGTGAGTCTTTGAGCGGGACGTAAGGGCCAAGAGCTTGCATGGTGTTTGCGAAGTATGGCATGAATCCTGATTCGGCTGCGGCAGCAATAGAACCAACTGCCGTTATAGCAGCAATCTTGGTCTTGTAGTCCTCAATCTCGAAGAACTTGCTAAAGCGTGGCACAAGCTCGTTAACGTAGGACGCAGCTTCGTTCCTGTCAAGGCCTTCGATAAGCGAGTCGACGGCATTGCACGTTCCGCGAATGATACCGAGATGTTCCTCACGATCCTCGGCAGAAGTAGTGGGGATGGATTGAACGGCAAGATCGAAATTCTTTATCATGGCTGGGATCAGTTTGGTATGCTCCTTCGCAACATCCTCTGCCAAATCGTCTGAAAGACGAGCAACACCTTGCAGAGCAGCAGCACGCACTCGAACATTGGGGTCTTCAAGCAGTCGAAGAACCATTGGCAGGATCTCGTGGAGCTGAGTCGCAATGAAATCTGGTGCGCCCTCAACGCACATGCCAAGAGCCAATATACCAGCACGACGATTGTCTGGGTTCGCATCAGTCACATAGGGGCCAATAGCCTTGAGCAGTGGCACAACTACTTGGCTTGGAGGCAGACTTGAGGCAAGGATGTCGAGCAGGCTCAAAGCCGAACGCGCTGGAGTTATTTCCTCGTCATCGCTGCTTAGATCGCCAAGCTCGGGAACGATGGAAAGGGCTTTGGTGGTGAGTTCTTCTCCCAGGCGCAAAGACTGGAGCTTGAGCTTGCGGTAGCGAGCACATTGCATAAGGAAGGCCAGTGCCTGGGATCGAAAATCGTCGTCTATGCCTTTTTCGACGGAAATTTGCATCATAAACTTGACCAAGTCGCCAAAATGCTTGTTGAGAAGAGCTGCATCGCAGCCAAGCAGTGTTTGGAATACTTCGAATGCTTGCATGACTTCTGCTTCCTCACCAGCGTCGATTGTAGCCTTCAGAACAGTGACCATATCTGGAAGAAGGGCCTGAAACGCGGCAAGCAAAGTAGCATCCTCTTCGGTGTCGATGAGCATAGCAACTCGACTGATTGTGAGCATCGTGTTGATCCTGACTTCCGAGCTCTGAGGATCCTTGATAGTCTTGCTGAACACCTCAAACAAGCGGGGGAGTGCCTCCATGAAGAAATCGCCAAGAGACTCGATCAAGGTAAAGATGATATACATGGCAACCTCCCGATGCCTGGCGTCGCTACTCTCAGCCCCCTGGAGGAGCGTTCGAGGTAGATCAGCCCATTCTTCCGCTTCGAAGTCAACTTTTGCAATAGCGGTCACAACTCGTGCTGCGGAGTGCCTGACCAGCTTTTGATCTTCGTGGAAGCAAGCCTCGAGGAGCTTCTTGCGTAGCTCCTCCTTAGCCTCAACTTTGGTCCATTGCTTTGCAACAAGTTTACGGGCCTCAACGGCGGCTAGTTGACGCAACTGAACCTCTGGGTGTGATGAGATCAGCTGTATGAGGGCGTTGATGGTCTGAGGAGACGTGTAATAGCTTTCACACGTCAGTGAGGAAAATACACACAGCTCGCACAGAACAAATCACTTACGTCTTGTTAAGTTCCGCAGTCGCAGCCTTGATACGCTCGGTATCAGCTATGCAATGTCAGACAGGTTTTAAAGGTTACTTCAGCGTACATACGTGAGAGCAAGCTCTGCAAAAGCGACACGAAATGCTCCTCGCTCATTTTTGCTTGCGTGAAAAAAAGCGATCCCACTTCCAAAACATTTTTCTACTTTTTAGCGGGTCCAATACCCATGTCCGCATCGCCACTTCAGGGACTTGTGGCTTGAGATCACGTGAATCGACAAGGTGGTTAACCAAGCCTGTCGGCCCTGAGCCAACGGAGAGCATCATTCATCCCAGATATAGGGTTAGTTTCAATCCTTAATGACTATTTATCTCTTATATTAAGCTCTAGGCTTCTAGAGAAGATGGGGTGATCATTGAGAAACCGAGTATTTTTCTCGATCAAACACATGATAATGCCTGGATGGGACTTATTTTTCTCGCAAACTGGCGGGCTCACGTCGTCACGACTCATCAGTTCTTCAATAATTTCCCTGGATATATGTGAAGTTAACCTGCGAAGGGTTCTGTTCGTATGCATCGCACTGATGTACCAAGATCATCCCCGCCTCAACTGGACACCAAATGCCGAGATAGGCAGTTGAAAATACGAAAGAACATTTGACCAGCATGTAAACGTCCTCGATGAGTTTTGAGCCACAGACTGTCTGAGCGATATTCTTGAATGCACTCATATCCTTTCATAAAATCGAAATTGAAAATTCTGGTCGAAATTCTAGTGGCCAATTGCTTGTTATCTGCGCACATTAACATGAGCAAAAGTTGCAGATCGCTGAAAAGCTCTTACTCGTCACCCTTCCCCAACATGCTGCACCGAGTGGGATCGTAGGAAATCTCAAGATCCGCCGAGAATTGGGAAACCGCTACTAATTAGCAATTCATTCATTGATTGCAGATATCGTAACCTAAGTCCTTATTGAGATCTACAGCTCATCGTTTTGACAACGATGGGTCTTGTAGTATGCCATCAATACACCAAAATACGTGAAAATAAAAAGGCCTATGACTATATCTAAATCACCCAGCTGGCCGACATGCTTCTAATCCTTACAATTTCAGGGACATTCTGGCTGTCATAAAGTTAAGGCGATTCATTCTGGTTTCTCTCATTTGGACTGACTAACTGCACGCAATTTTAGCTTGTTATGAGCGCCCCTAAACAGGCTATGCTCACACCGACATAACTTTATTTATGGACGGTTGTATTACATCAGTCCCGAGACTATTTGCTTAGTGATACACTGATCCACAGCGTCTTAGTCATATCGGCCTTTCATTGATCCAAAACTTCCGAGCCACTTTAGAGATTAGTCAGGACTGCTCAAGGCGTGGGAATGCGTTGTTCAACTACCACGTCCCTTGGCGAGGCGATTTCATCATTCTTTACATCTTATAGGCCAGAGCAGAGAATTAGCGCTTATAATTGGAATTAGGGCAGTCACATCGTAGTAACATCATGAGTAGCAGTCTGCCTATATAAAGCGCGCGAGAAGCAGTCGTTTTGACGAAACCATCCTAACCATAGATCCTCGTCTCCTGCTACAACGGTTTATGAAACAGAATCAGACCGCAATCATGTCGATTCAAATACCAACGAGTCCTTCTGCACCAAAGATACCTGACGAGAAAGAAATCGAGACCAGACTTTTCATCAACGGCGAAGTATTGATGCTATATCCAGGTCATTAAAATTGACTAATTCATGTCGAAGTTCGTCCCGTCATCTGATAACAAGAAGTTTGATGTCTACTCCCCCTATGACCACAACCGTGTAGCCTCAGTCTACGAAGCCACAGTTGAAGACACGAACAAAGCCGTCGCCGCTGCCAAAGCCGCGTTCCCAACATGGTCTACCCTCGAGCCCAAGGAGCGCGGCATCTACCTCAAGAAGCTATCCGAGCTCATCCTGGCCAATGTACAGGATCTTTCTGTCTTGGATTCTAGTGTTATGGGACGTCCTATCTCCAGCTTCTTTGACCCATACTTGGCCGCTGAGCAATTCGCGCACTACGCTGAAGCTGGCTGGGAAGCTAAGGGAACAACTTCATTGAACACAAAAGGTTTTCTTAATATGACCCTGCGGCAGCCAATCGGTGTCGTTGCCGCCATTATCCCTTGGAACGTACCGCTCGTTCTTCTTGCGCATAAGCTTGCTCCATCGCTCGCAGCTGGGTGCACAGTTGTGCTTAAATCAAGCGAGAAAGCTCCGTTGTCTTCCCTCAAGTTCGCCCACCTCGTTAAGGAGGCCGGCTTCCCTAAAGGTACGGTCAATATCATATCGGGATACGGTAAGCCAGCTGGTTCTACCCTGGCTTTACATCCAGATGTGCGCCTTATCAACTTTACAGGAAGCAGTGCAACAGGCAAACTAATCACCGAGATGGCTGCAAAGTCAAACCTTAAGCGCGTGGTTCTCGAGCTTGGTGGGAAATCACCTACCATTGTTTTTGACGATGCGGACATTGAAAAGGCTGCTATTGAGACGGCCTTTAGTATCCGTTTTGTTTCAGGCCAGGCATGCATCGCAAATTCACGAATTTACGTTCAGGAAGGCGTAGCTCCCAAGTTCAAGAAGGCGTTTGCTTCAGCGTTTGCTCAGTTCAAAGCAGGAGACCCTTTGGATCCTTCGACAACACACGGACCTCAGGCAGATAAGATCCAATTCGAGCGCGTGAAGGAGTATTTGAAGCTTGCTAGGGAAGGACAGGGCAAGATAGAGATGGGTGGGGATATCTTGAAACTGGAAGGCGGAAATGGCTTTTTCATTTCACCTACTGTAGGCTTCTTTTTCCATCTGCTTCAACCGTCAGAAAATAGCTTACATTTTCATGTTTAGATCATTACCGATCAGCCCGAAGATGCTCGCGGCATGAAAGAGGAGATTTTTGGTCCTGTAGTGGGCATTAATACCTTTAAAACAGAGCGCGAGGCCATAGCAAAGGCTGTCGACAGCGAGTACGGTCTATACAGTGCAGTCTATAGCAAGAACATCGACCGTGCTCTAAGGGTTGCTAAGGCGATGGAGGCTGGTACAGTGGGCGTGAATTGCACTAGCCCTTCAATTGCAAATGATATGCCCTTCGGTGGGTACAAGGGTTCAGGTGTGGGCAGAGAAGGCTTTGGATACAGCATTGACAATTATCTTGAGACAAAGTCTGTATTGATCAAGCTGGAGGAGGCAAATGAATAGACGTAGTCCTCGGAGCGGGTGACATGCTAAGTAAACGCCTTATGGATCTGATATCTGGAAAACAAGCACCAGCGACCGCAAAAATATCTCCTTGTGTGAGGTGATAGTAAAAGAATGAAGAGACTCAAGAGCTCTGTTCGGCAATCCTGGGGTATAATTTCGTGCCGCCGCAAATCAAGCGCACGTTAGAAACAAAAGTCTATAAGACGATTGAATTTGTTTTTCAGTCAAAAACCACCTTTTTCCCCTTGAACTCGCCGATGCCCATACTCCGCTCTTTCATCAGCTTCTTGGCCTGCCAGCTAGGATGCAGCGCCCCAACATCATCTCTATGTCTCTCTTTATTCTCCTTTCTCTCTTTCACTGGCGTGGCATCTCCGACAGCATTTCCGGCCCTTTTCCCGTGGCCGAATTTCCGATTCTTTCTTTTGGCATCGTCCGCACTCACAGCACCACGCTGCAAATCCCACCCTTCGTCCCTTTTGTCTCTCTTCTTCTTAGGCTTGTTGAGATGTCTTGCTTTGTCCTTATACTTTTTCTCCCATATAGCTTGTCGAGCACGTTGCCCGCGCCGATTCTTGCGTGGTGCGATGTGTTCCTCGATATCTGTGGCTTCCGAGTCGGAGTCTGACGCAGATATGTAACCAGTTGTCATGGATAGGGAGGGTAGAAAGGTGGACGTGGTAGGTTTACGCCCTACTGGATTGACATTAAATTCAGACTCAGATCCGGAATCTGAGGGTGAAGCGAGAGCGCCATGGTTAGCCATTCCTTCTTCGTCTTCTGCATCCTCATCCTCTTCTATATTGTCGTCGTCATCACTAGCCTCTTCAGAAGAAACCGATATATTTTCATTGAGTGTATTTGTGGCCTCTAGCAATGTTGAATCTTCACGTCTAGCTTTCTCCGCTGGTCCGCTGCTCTTTTGGAGACCTAAAATCTGCCGGATGCTCGTCATGATAGTATCCAGTACGAGAACAACGCCCTTCTGCTTGAACAGCCGTGCCATCACGTCAGCGGTTGCCTTATCAACCCTATTGCCACCAGCGGGCAGCTTCACATCTTCTGGCAGAAGGCCAGTCTTTGCGATACTCGGCGTCTTAACAAGGTCCTTGTACAATCTCTTTCTCGCGATCTCGTTCATGTCGAGCGCTTTGAGAGACGCGATCTCAACCTGCGTCACCCTGTTGTCGCAATTTTTCTGCCGCTTATGCCTTACTCGGTCATGTTCGCGTCTTCCAAGCTTCTGGCGCTCGAATCTGCGTGCTTGCTCAAGCGCTGCGGTGAGCTCTTGTATACCGCGTGCGATACGTTTTGAAAGGCGAAGAGTTTTATCGGCATTGTCATCTTCGTCTTCGGATAGAGCCTCGTCGTATTCATTTCTTTTACGTTTCGCCATGCTATGTTGCTGTTGTTGTAGCAAAAATTCTTGAGCCTTACAGTTGATTTAAGAAATTATAAATTACGGCAACAGTCAAGTGACTCAGCCACGAAACAAAACGCAAAGATTCAGCCTTAACCTACAGTTCTATAATAGCCAATATCCTTTAGTTGACTTCGCGATCAACGCTAGAATCACTGTTTTGTATCAAACTACTTGAAATTAAAAAAAAAAAAAAAAAAGAATGAGCCCTGTAATTATGACTAGTACGATTGCCTGCGAAGGATCACCTTCGATACTCCTTCGGTTAATTTTTATTGACATCAGGATATAATGTCGTCATTGTACTGTCTTCTACTTGAATTAAGTCCTGGCATAATACACTCGATATACGCCTGTTGTTCAAGAAGTTGATGCTAACTACCGCTGAACATCTTGCTGTAATCGGAAAAATTTAGACCATGTTAAGCATGCAACTCGTTCAGGTGGTGCTAACTCCCATGACAATATCCTGGAGCATTACACTAGTTCTAATACTCCGGTTGAAATGAACGTCTGCTCAGTCATCACCATCATAGTCCCATACAGCTGTTCTTGCTAAGAATCTGATTCAAAGTCATTTCGCTCGCAAACTGCTGTATACACAAGGTCACCCTTATTTCTATCGTGTACAATAAGATATGGCTATCTGATGGGTTCTTGATTAATTATTGAGCAGGAATGTTCAGGCATATGGCTCATTTGGGAGCCCTAAGTCAAGGTAAAAAGTCTCAGTGTCTTAATGATGCAAGTAACACAAAATGCTGTGAATGAGGATCAACATCACTACGAAGTGACGTCCGCCTTCTGGTTCAGCTCAACGGATTTCGAAAGTATGCTGTCATGTAAACCCGTAGCGATTAACTTGACGCTTGCTCTGAAGCTTTGGAAGATACTCTCTTTTCGCCATGCAGCTAAATACGTGCCAGGAAGCACACAATAGCAAGAAAAAAAAAAGATTGCTGCACAATGCGCCGCGGGATTTTCGGGAAGCCCAGGGGACAGTGCCTCTTTGAATTCATCCTTAGGAGTACGTAACGGCGGATGGTGCAAGCGGCAGATCGACAAGCAGTAGTTCTATCAACACGTCATTAAGAAGGTTATGGAAACGAGTCGCTTGCGCTCGAACCCGAGAACGGTCAAGGCCGGGATTTGGCTCACGGATCTATGTAAACTTGATGTTCCTTGTATAGAACTAACGTCAGATATCTTTCCCGATTGCCAAATCAATCTGAGTCCTACGCTGTCGACTACCGCTATTCTGGAAATTTCTTCCAAGAAGGTTCTACGAGACTCCGCACCGACAATGCATGAAACAAGGACTGCCTCGGGCAAAGTTTTGGCTCCCGCTTTAGCGGGATTTGTAGCTTAGAAATCGCAGTGGGACCCCGAAGAATCTCCAACCAAGCAGACCCAGCATGTTTCCTTGTTATCTTCCGAGTCTGGTTCAACTGTTTCACTCGTAGCCGAGATCTCGTACGGTCAATGACATGGGCGTTGAGGAAACTGGCTAACCAAAGCATTGCTCCGCTGACTAACATTCCCTCTAACGCCATCACAGATGCGTGGAGAGAGGATGTCATTGCTGTATATAACCTGGATTTATGAGACTATTTAAGTACCTTCTTCGCGTCCCAATTCTCTTCACTCAACATTTTTTTTTGGTTGTCTCTCAGTAGTTCTCCCAATCCCATTGACACATAACTACAAAACATGTCCTCACTTATCTCAACTGAAATGCAATTTGTAAACAAAGCAGCTCCAAATGTATGACGATACTATCCCTTCAGAAAAATCAAATGCTAAGCTTTATAGGTACCGTACTTTACGCCTGCTCAAGATCCACCAGCCGGCACGGCGTTAGATCCGCAGCCTGATGGCAAACCAGTTCCAAAACTCTTTAAGCCCCTGCAACTTCGAGGCATGAAGTTGCAGAATCGAATAATGCTTTCCCCGTTGTGTCAGTACTCCGCAGAGGATGGCCACGCAACAATGTGGCACAAGACTCACCTTGGAGGTATCATCCAACGCGGACCCGGTCTGACCACTGTTGAGGCAACTGCCGTCCTTCCTGAGGGTCGCATTACACCAGAAGACTTGGGTTTGTGGAAGGACAGCCAAACGGGGCCATTGAAGGAGATTGTCGACTTTGCTCATTCTCAAGGCCAGAAGATTATGATCCAGCTTGCCCATGCTGGGCGGAAAGCTTCGACTGTAGCTCCTTGGCTGAGTGCTGGTGCCACTGCTACTGAGGCGGTATGTTTTATTCTCACGATTTTCATCACAGAACATTGCTAATGTAGACAGCTCAACGGCTGGCCCAACAATGTCTACGCACCTAGTGCCATTGCTTTCAACGAACATTTTCCACAACCCAAGGCGATGACCAAGGCAGATATTGAAACTTTCAAGACTGCGTATGTTGCTGCTGTCAAGCGAGCCATTGCAGTAGGCTTTGACGCTATTGAGATACATTCCGCTCATGGATACTTGCTGCACGAGTTTTTATCCCCTATTTCAAACCGTCGCACTGATGAGTACGGCGGTTCCTTCGAGAATCGCACCCGTCTTCTCCTAGAGCTTGTTGATCTCGTGAGGGGAACGATGCCAAAGGACATGCCACTCTTTGTGCGTATTAGTGCCACGGACTGGCTCGAGGAGGCTGTTCCAGATCAAGAGAGCTGGAAGGTTGAGGACTCCGTGCGTCTTGCAACGATCCTGGCTGAGAAGGGAGTCGATCTCCTCGACGTATCGTCCGGAGGGATGGACCCTCGCCAGCGGATTCGTGCAGGGCCGGGCTACCAAGTGCCGTTCGCGAAGGCGATCAAAGCAGCCGTAGGTGATAAGATGGCTGTCGGCACTGTGGGCGCGATCACGGAAGGCAAGCAAGCAAATGGATATCTTGAGGAGGGCTTAGACCTCATCATCGTCGGACGTGGTTTCCAGAAGAACCCTGGTATTGTTTGGCAATTCGCTGATGATCTAGACATCCAAGTGAACTGGGCTAATCAGATCCGCTGGGGTTTTGGTGGCCGGGGCAAGAAATAGAGCACGAACGCTTCATCACAATGCCTGTGAATATGCGTTTAGAGATACCCGTGTAGAACGTGTAATAGATAGATGTTGGTGAAATCTGTCGTTCTTCGTCATTTTGTGCCAGCGAGTTTGCAGAATTCCGATCGGCAAATATTAGGAATCGCTGACTGCCTACCAGAAAGCCTGAGTCAAGACGAACAGACCTGGTTACCCTCTCAAAAGTATCGTACATACTACACATTATTTTGCCGCCGGATCGAGAGTACGAGCATTAACAGGACCACACGATCTCGAACGTAATCATCAGCTTCTTCATTGGGAGCAGCAACGGCAGCTTGTGAAAAGTTTTTTAAATGATTTTCCACAAGACCTCTCTTCAAACCATTTCCATTATCACATTCTCATTTTACGTAAGATATCCGATCACCATCAAGGCATTGTATGCTCGATTTGATCATCAAGTTTTAGAATGTGAGCTATGATCGCGGCAGAAGGCTGACGCATTATGTGGCCTGTCATGCCGTGGTTCTTGAATGGTTTTACGATTCAAAAAGCCCTTTCTTTGTTTGATATTCTCGGTTTTTGTGGGACAACATATTTCTCGACGCCTCAGCATCGCGGTATCGGGAGCACAAGACAGCTGGACTTCTGATTGAGACGCGCACGTGATCGTATAACGGCGCCTTCATCAAAGAATTGAGAGGCACTGTACGGGAGAACGTATTGCAATGACGACTATAATTTGTGTAGGTGCATGTTATTTAGATACGATTCTAACGTGAGCGACATGTGACCTTTTAGAATCTTGCTTCATTAGTGGCTGATGTTTCCGCAGAGTTCCTTTGTTTCCTGAAGAAGATTCGAAGCTAAGGGCGACGTCGCTGGTTAAACGTCGAGGAGGCAATTGTCCTAACACTCTTGAGGTTCTGTCCCAGCTGATCTCGATCAAAAGTGCAACATGCAACACCAAGCTTGTTTTCCTGGGCACGTTGCCTTCTTCAAGTAGCCAAGCCTCAAAGACGATCGTTGACAGCTTGCCTGGCGTGGACCTAAGCCACTGTATCTACCGTGAGGAATGTTTCGAGGCGGCGAGTAGCTACATAATTAAGAGCCAGACTACGGACTCGCGCACGATTGTCAACTACAACGAGCTGCCTGAAATGACGGTTGACGAGTTCGTTCGCGTAGCGAGAGAAGCTGGTGTGCCTGAAGCCGGAGGCGAGGGGGTTTGGTGGCATTTCGAGGTGCGCTGATAGAAATCTCATGATACCCGGATTGAGTTTGGACTGAAAGCATTTAGGGTCGTATTCCAGATATTACACTTGCATGCATAGAACACCTGCGCAGTGCATTTCCCAAAGCCAAAATCAGTGTGGAAGTAGAAAAGCCTGGCCGTCCGGGTCTGGAAGAACTTGCTGCTCAAGCCGATGTCGTGTTCTTTTCAAAATCATGGGCAGAAGGGCAAGGTTACACCCATCCACGTCCTTTTCTTCATGACCAGGCTCGTAGGCTGGCTGATCGTAGTCCTGTTATGTTTTGCACATGGGGGGCCGCTGGTGCGGCAGCCTATTCCGAGCGTGAGATATTCTTGGAAAAACCAAATTCTGTCGTTGTCGTGGTCGACCCTGTTGGGGCTGGAGATACGTTTATTGCTGGGATTCTCTTTTGCCTGGCCTGTCATCCGGAGAAGGATATCAGACAAGCGTTGCAGTTAGGCATCAGTGTTGCAGAGGAAAAAATTCGCAGAGAAGGTTTCCAAGGCCTCGCAGACGTGATGAGAAATCACCTGGAGGACTAGGACCATTGATTCAGCACCTGAGGATAAGGAACGGAGCTTGAAAATATACGTCTACGATCACCAAATGGTTTAAACATGTCAAGCACGTCATTTTAGGACCCATTCAACAATGATGCACCTTTCATTCACTGTCGCGAACGTCATCAACCATAATGTACATTTTCTCCAGGAAATCCTCATGTCGAGAAACGTTACGCTAAACAAGAACCGAATCTTCTACAAAACGCCTCACATGTTGTCCTTTCTTCCACATTTCCTTCCTAGATGTTCTCGTTAGTAATATTCAGGTAAACCCTCTGACGCGTAATCCGGTATCGTTTGATTGCAATTCCAACTCCGGTCATACACGGTTTTGGGTAAAATCCCTGCCTGGGATCCGAGTTCCCAACTCCACTGCACTGCACTCTCCGTCTTCCATGTCCAGTAGAACCAACCCCAGCCCATCTCAAAGCTGTCCATCTGGGCGATGGCAAACTTCATCAGCCAATCTTTGTACACGTCAGAGTAACTCGATGGGTCTGCGTTGGCACCGTCGCAGCTGCAGACGGGGTTGTTGTTCGTTGGACATTGAGGAGTGAGTACTTGCGTGCTCTCGTTCCCCGTGTTTAAGGTCCCTGTCCAGCGGGAGCCAACGCCAACATTATTTAAGTACTGCGTGCAGTCTGTGTCTGCTTGAGACCATTCCCCGCACAAGGTCGGTCCAAACCCCGTTGCTTTGTTCATCGAGCGCAGAGTCTGAGCAGTCCAGCCTTTGCAAGCGAAGTTGAGCTTATCAGAGTGGTCAAGCGAGATCTGCTCGTTGTTGAAGATAACGTACTGGTGCACATCAAGCACAAGATTATCGTAATTCTGCATGCGCCCTTGCCAATTATCTAAACCCAGGAAACCATCTCCAAAGACGATAATCCCGTCAAAGCCATTCTTACGAATGGTGCTGATGGCAGATTCGGACCAGGCGACGACCGAGTCCGTGTTAAGGGCTACCATACGAGGTTCATTTACGAGTCCATACATAGTCACAAGATTCTTGTAACGAGGTTGTGAAAAAAATTGAGAGAGCTGGTTGTGCACGTCAATAGTTCGTTGACCGTTCAATGCACCGTCCGTGCCGTTCAGCCAACGAATAATACCTTGACGACCAGAATGATTCCAGCCGTTCTGACTTCCAGGGGCTCCGTGAAGGTCCAAGTTGACACGGAGACCATTCTGCCGCGCGTATTCGATGCCGCGGAGCAGATAGCGCCAGGATATTTGTGGAACGTAAGGGTCGCCGTCGTACGTTGTGACGGCCCAATAACTGAAAGGGATGCGCACGTGGTCGAAACCGGCGGCTCGGATGTCGATGAAGGTTTGCTTATTAATGAAGGAGGAGTAGTGTGGTTCAATTATCGAAGCAGCTTTGCTACCGAGATTGGAAGTGAGCGTCCATTCATCGATGACGCCGTCACGGCTGGAGAACTTGTCGAAAAAAGAGGGCGTTATAAATGGTTCCAGAGAGAGCCAGCCACCAACATTTACTCCACGGATCGGCATGGTACCATATTCAAACGTCTCGTTTAATCTTGGAACGTTGGGATTGGATTGCACGCTGTCGTCCCATGTCATGTTCAGTCCTATGATCGGCAGCCCACCCACTGTGGCGTCTGTGTACGTGCAGTTGAAGTCTTCCGTGTCGTACCAAGACCACGGGTCGTAGTATGTACCCTTTTTGTCGGCCGGTACGCTGTCAGGGTTCAAGCCGTCCAGGTTGCTATTGGCAGGCTTTGAGGAGGTTGCTGATGAAGTCAAGCTTGAGCTTGAGCTACTCGACTTCTTCTTGGACATGACCACTGCGACTGGAATGATGATAATCAAGACAACGATCAGAACAGATACATATATGCCTGCAATCCGTTAGAAAGCTATCTGAGACGGAGGAAAAAAAAGAACGCAACGTACAAATTCTCTTGTTTCTCTTCTTTTTCCACAGAGTGGTGCTGGTGTAATCGCTCGCTTGGCTGCTGCCCTCGAGCTTTTCTTTACGATACTCATACACCTCTTCGCTCCGCTGATCTTCGAGATACGGTCCGCTGATAACACGCGATTTCTTCTTCGGCGAATGTGCTTGTTCAAAGTACCTTGCCCGTGGACTGTCCTCGTTCTGGAGTTCATCGTAGCCACCGCCGAGCCACCATTTCGTTTTGCGTGGAGTACGAACGGCCGGCGAGCTGGCGTGATCGTTTTCATCCTCATTCCCAAGATTCGACTCTTGATGTCGGCGCTCTCGCTCTTCCTCTCTGCGCAACTGCCGCTGCCTTTCTCGGTGTGCTACTCGTTGTCTTTCTCGGGCTTCAGCTTCCGCCTCCTCCTGGGCCAGTTCCAGCTGTCTCTGTCTCTCCTTTTCAGCGCGACGCAGCTGTCTCTTCTCTTCGCGTCTCCTCTCACGCTCCTCTGCTTTTATTCGATCTCGCTCGGCTTCGTCATCTCGGTCTCGCTGCAAGGCCTCTAGACGGTTGCGCTCCTCTCGTTCAGCGTGACGGGCAGCGCGCCGCCGCTCTCGCTCTGCTTCTCGCTCTTCCCTTCGCCTCTCTTTTTCTAGTTTTCTTTCCTTTGCGCGCACTTCCTCGAGATAGTCTGCATCGTATCCCCGCGGGTTATAGCCTCGCTTCGCATTTGCGGAATTGAGCTGCGCGAGACTCCCAGTACTCAATTGCTGCCCACTACTGCTCCCGCCCCTGCTCTCTCTCCTATGCCTAGGTGTGCTGCTACTCCCGTAATCTTGAGAACTTCTGTCACGGCTGCGTGGAAGAAGCTCGCCCTGGCTGTCTGTCGCTCGGTGACCTCGTCTTCGCCGGTACTGATCTGGCTCTCTCCTTCGTTCTCGATCGCTTTCTGGGTCTCGAGACGGACGACGGCGTCTCCTCTCACGATCAGAATCTTCGTGCGGCATTGGCTGTGCAACAGTTGGGTTATGCTAGAGAAAGTCGGAGCACCGTCGTAATGTTTGGGTAGGTGTAAAGCCTCTTCCTGATTAGGAAAGGAGGACCACGCGCCACATGGCAACGCAAACAAGGCCGAGGGCGCCCAAGACCACGTCAAGAAATCTCGCAAAGTCGTCGACGCATCACCGTTCCCCACTCTCAACTTCCCACCGTATTATTCTGTTTGGGCGTGTCTCGCCGAGAGCGCACCTTGCCAAGGTTATTTTCCACTGGACGTAACTCCGATGCAGCCGAATCCTGCGTCAACTGGTGTAAGATCCGGAGATTGGATCGATATTGATGTCGCCAAGCTAGGCAAGATCAGACCTCCATTTTGCACGCTGCATCGAGTCAGACAGCGCAAAGAAACTGTGGCCATTTTCTTGAAATCTGTATTAGTTCCTCAGCGAGCTTTAATGTTGCTTTCGCCATTCATTCCTTATGTCGACGTTTGATGGTGTGATTGGAATTGATCACATCATGTAGCAATCGATAACCCGAAAGACAAATTCATCAATCACGATTGTGTAAAATCACCATCAGATCATGACAAGATAGAACATGATCTGTTTATCAATCATGCGGCTTCCTAACAGACTTGTTCGTCAGAGTCCTTTTGACGAAGCTCTCAAGTTCGCCTAAAACATAGGGTTGATGATGTGCGAGCGAGTAGGATTTGAAGGCGATACAAGGAACTATACTTGAAAACTTGCGGGAATGCCCTAGGGGGATCAATTCGTCATTCAATTACACGATTGACACGATATCTCTATTCCGCGTGGTGCATTATCATTCTAGGTTCGTGTAAGATACATGTGCTCGTGAAATGATCCCGTAACACCACTCCACAAACGACGCAACTTGCGTGACAGCCTTTCAAAGCATCCATTCCCTATGCCATGCAATATGTGATTGAATAATCTCATTCTGTGCGGCTTGATTTCGCTTAGCTACAAGCGCAAGAACGGCGAAGATAATGAATTGAACCCCGAAATAAAATGCTTTCCATATTTCACTTCAGATAAATACTCATCCCGACGTCTACCAGAAATGATTGCTTCCTTCTTTTCCTGCCTTTCTTTGACCTTTGGAATTTTACGAGAGATGGAAGGCTCCCTGTCCTTCTTTTATGGCTATTGCCAATTTGGCCCTCATGACATCTAAACTTGAATAATCCGGAAGCTTGAGATAGTTGACGCACGTCATAACGCTGGGCAAGTAATCGTCGCTCGTGAAGGGAGCTTCGCTGGGCTTGCAGACAACGGTGAACATGGGTGTGAGAGCTTTGAAGCCTGAGTTGATCAAGGTTAGCAATCCATCTCGTTCATCAAGCGGGCAGAATTATGCACATACCACCAATGGGCAGCTTTGGGCTACCCGTCACAAATTGCAAGAAGTCCCTTCGCTCCGTCAAATTGAACTCGCTCATAATCTGCAACAAGTTCCTGACGCTCTTGCTGTCCAAGTTGTAGCCGTGGTCCGCTTTGATAGAGTCCATAAGCGTTTCCAGGGACCAGTCCTCATCTGTTCGACCGAACAGCATGACCAATTCATCGGGTGTGAAAGCATACAACGCCGCGTAAGGGAAGACCTGGGAAAATCCTGCGCGAAACGCGTCAACTTGGCGACGCACACCCGAACCAAGGGTAAAGTCAAGAACAGCGTCAATATACTGTCCGACGTTGTCAATGGTGACAGGGATATTCGAACCATCAGGTACGAGTTCTATGGACGAATAACCAGGAAGTGTGAAGTCCAGTGCCATGTCTTCTACATGCACGCCGCTTATTTCAATGTTCTGAATAGCCTCCACCTTCCTTGCGGGCGTCAATCCTCCATTCTCGTCAATTGCTTTCTTCGCGCTTGCAAACTTCTTGAGCAACTTGAGAGAGTTCGCAAGATCACTGTCAACGGAGTTAATGGCGCCGAGAGACGGTGATACAGCCTCTGGCGTATCTCCGATTCGGAAGAATGTCGGATTGAAGTTAAGATCGATGATACGCGAGTCCAGCATAGATCGTGCGACAAATTTGCCAAGACTTGTAAACAAATGAATGATGCGCTTCCCGTTCTCTGTCTCTGCCATCTCCTCGCTCATGGGTGCGGGGAAGAGTCCACGTTTGCCGAAAGCATACTCGCTGTCCTCCTGTGACTCGTTCTCACGCCAAAGTTTAAGTTTTTTCTTCGCAAACTCCTTAGATACTGTAGAATAGAACTCGAGTGTGGGTCCAAGGCCTGTGCCCACTTCCTCGAAATATTCAACCTCCAAAATGCTCGGTGATGAACCATAGAGGTCCATAACCTTCATTGCCGACTCGAGCATCTTCTGGCGTGAGATGCGTATTTTTTGGCGTTGGGTGCGACCAAGGAACGTTGTACGGTCATCACGATGGCGATCGTGCCTCGAGTCCCCGTTCTGCTGGTTGGTCTGCCAGCGGCTCATAGAACGTGAGTAGCCAAATGAAGTAGACTGCAGGAACAGATGGCGTGTCTCGAAGGGGAAAAGGAATGGATACAAGCGAGCCAGATCCTCACTCCAAGACGGCAGACAGTTGCTCGCAACTATAAGTGGCTCTTCAAGTTGACGATTCATCTTTGCCGTTAGCTTCGTATTCACAAACTGAGATGAGGGCTCAGAGACCAAATTAAGTCCCTCCCTATGATCTGCTAGAATATCATCAATGTTCGAATTGAAACCGTGTAACAAGCTCAACAAGCGCAGAATAGCCAAGCTTGTCGGGTTCTCTTCAAGAGAATTGGGGATTCCGTTGCTACCTGGTGACGATTCTGGTGATGACGAAAGCGTGCTTGCAATATATGGACCAGGAACACGCTTGTACACAACTGTATGTACATCATGCCAGATGTTGCGTGCAGAGACATCCCCAGGACGACGCTGGTTGAAGTGCACAGCGCGATACACTGTTGTATCCAGCGAAACAGGCTGGCCGTTGACCTCAAATTCTAGATGCCAGTCTGTGGGAGGTTGCTGCAAAGCCGAAGAATACGATGATGGTCGTGACGGCGTTGTTTCCTCTTGCTTTGCCGCACGTCTGCGCGAAGCCGTACGATCGACCAGTCTTGCACCAGAAGCAGATCGACTTGGTGTTTGCTGAGAGCTTAATGGAGTAGCTATGCGCGTGCCATCTTCCCGGTGTGCTGTGACTTTTCCCGTAGATGCAACCTCCATATTGACGGCCGGGGCTTCTTCATCCTCGCTCGACTCGTGCTGAAGACGATTGACCATCGCATCCAGAATGCCGTCGTCATCCATATCGTCCTCGTCGGTCAGCTGGGTCTCATCAGCACATTCAAGGGAAGGATCCTCCTGTACTGGAGGCGGTGCTCCGCGTCGATGGGTAGATGCCGGTGGTGTTTGAGCAATCCTGCGCGTACTACGTCGCGGGGAAGGGGCGGCAGGTGTTACACTTGACTCCGCGGAAACGGGAGGCTGCTGCGCAACGTCGCTAGATTTCTTCTGGCCTCGCTTAGAAGATGGTCGGTTGCTCAAGTCGCTAGCCGTTTGCACGCTCGGTGCCCCCAAGGGGCTTCTTGCACCAGCACTGTCTAGCGCACCGCGACGGTTAGCAAGTGCAGCCGCATATGCAGCGATGGAATTTGGAAGCATGTCGCGGTCACGGAAAGCCCGTCGAGGATTCTCCCCAAGCATGATGCGAGGACGAAGGTAGTCATCCAATGCCTTCAGAGTTGCGATAGCCTGAATTGACACCGTTAACAATCTAAGAGGCTCTGGAACAACGGTTCCATCGTCCGCCTTCAGACGGATTTTCAGGGTTTTCGCAAGTAGAGCTGCAGCACTTCCACGACTATTATCGTAGTTCGACGGTCCTACGGTAATGACCTCGAAGTGCTCCGCCCTACTCAAGAGCTCTTGAAGCTTGTTCACAAACGAGCTGAATGGAGTGGCAGGTGATGCAGAATTCGCAGTCTTCTCCTTTGTCTGCGTACCTTGCCCCATGAAAGCTTCCAAAAATGCCGTGCGCGCATCTGCAGCTCGGGGGTTTGTATCAGCGAAGACGTCAAGCATCATCTCAACCAGATTCGAGCTAAGCAACTCATAACTGGTAACCCCTTCAGGTGCATCACAGTCGAAATAGGCCGCAAGGCGACGGAAGAGCATAACGCCATCCTGCCCCGTGTTCTCCAAGTACGTCGATCTAATCTCCTCGGTGAGGCCCTTGAGGTGATCGCGAATACTTTCAGCTTTGGAGCGTGGGAGCGCTTGATTGCTACTTTCATGCGCTTCCATAAACTTCTTTGCTCGCATTATTATGATATCTTCCGGTGAGTGTACAGGTCGAAGGTGATTTGGGGGTGGATCATCAGATGAAGTCTCCGAGCTTGAGGAAGATTCGAGGTGCTCGCGATGTTCATCATCATCATCATCATCATCATCATCCTCTTCGTCAGAATGCTCATCTTCGTGATCCTCATGGATATCCTGATCTATATCTTGCATATCGACATCGACATCGTCTACTGAGCTGTTGGTATTCGTGTGGGTTAGTTCAGTTGAGCTCGGCTTCTTCTCCTTTGACAGTTCCGCTGGAGTCTTTAATGGACGATCTGCCAATTTTGCGATCTCGGAGATGACGCCTTCGCGGTAGAAGAGGTATCTATAAATGCCCTCCAACCGTTTGAGTAACAGCTCGGCCGCCTGCAAAGCGAACGTGACCAATGTAGGATGATCTTGCTGCGTGAGGATGGAGGCTAAGAACGATGAGTAGCTCACGTCGCGCAAGGCGGCCTCAAGGATATCGATATCGACATTTGAAAGCATCTTCAGCTGTGCTGTAAGCACTTTTTGTCGCACGCTTAGATTGACTGTGCTCGAGTAAGCGTCCGTTAGTGTCGGCAGCAATATGATCGTAAAGCGTTTTAGCTCTTTCCTGCATTCCTTGAATAGTTTCAGCCGCTTGTCATTCGTTGCCTTTTTGGCAAGTGAGCTCATTGGGAGGTACTCGTGGCCCACAAAGCCCGCATCAAAGATAGAGTCATGATACAATAGACCCTCGCTCTGCACATTCGGTAACAATTCGCATATGACGTTCAGTGTTTCGAAGATTTGGTCGCGTGGACGGTGAATGAGTGCCTGCATGATGACCACGCTGTCAATTTTGGCTCCGACCTCGTCACCATTACCTGCCGGGGGCGAGACGCCGGTTAAAATTTGATACAGTGTATCAACCACATTCAGCTTTAACAGATCAACCGAACGCTTTGGGCTTGCTCGCGCGGTGTTTGCAAGTACGGAAAGAAATTGGGTGTGAATGTTTGAGCTGATGAGATTAGTTGTGCCAGGGAGAAGTAGTCGCAGAATGGCTTTGAGCATATCTTCGCTGACCAGCTCCTCCAGTTTTGAGTCATCGTATCGGAAGCTCTGCACAATGCGTGACACACACAAGCAGCCCTGTTCAAGTACCTTCTGATCTGCGCTGTTCAAAACGTTCAGCAAAATTGGCATTACATCTCGAACAACTGGAAAAGAGTCATTGGGAATGTTGCGACAGCAATTTGCAGCGGTAGTGACAGCCGTGCGCTGGGTGCCTGTGGGGAAGAAATCGAGATACGTCAGGATAGCTGTCAAACCTCCTTCACGAACAATCGATGTCGGAAATTCAACGGAGATCTTCTCAAGAGTGGATATTGCTTGTTCGGCAAGATCGATGTAGTCAATCTCAAGAAGCTTTTGACACAGGACAGGTACTGCACCACCATACACGACATTCGCAGTTGCCGAAGGAAGTGCTTCCATGAGATTGGCAAGGCATCGACAAGCGAGTAGCATGATGTCCGGGTTTGGCCCAAACACCTCATCCGGCTGCATCAACGTGACGAGCTCCTTCACATATGCGTCTGGTGAGAAGTGGCCAGCCAGATTGTCCTCCGTTGAGACGAGTAGCAGCTCGGACAGTTCGGTCAGAGCCATCAGCTGTTCTGTCGGATCCTTTTGCCGCAGCCTATCCAGAAGCCCTCGAAGACGCTGAGAAACACCTGAGAGCATGCCGCTCAGTGCGCGAATAGACCCTGGAAGGCCGCCGTGCCTCCGGTGAAAGCCATACTCAAATGGGTCACGGTCGTTATCGTCCTCCTCATCGTACGGGTCTCGTAGACCTTCAGCATTGCTGTCGTCACTCATGCTTCCCTGTCGATCGTTGGTCGTAGACTGATGGCGTCTATACCCGCTTACATCTCCCGCCGTGACGGGTGGCTCTGGCGGGGGAGGTTGAGCGTCCGCCTTCTTCGGTCTCCTGGATGAACGTGACGCGGCTCTTACCGAGGATGTAGCTCCTGGTGTATCTTTGACGTCTTTCTTCTGTCGCGACGCTTTCCGTTTCGAGGATGTCGCAGTCACTGGAACTTGAGGCTGGTTGTTGTCCGATGACTCCTCGTGAGGTCCTGTCGAGGGTCCGGCATTTGACATATTAGCAGCAGCTCTGCCACGCCTCCGTAACTTCGGAGGAGATGCTGCGACCGGCGGCGGCGCCGCAAGTGTATCTTGCAATGCCTCTTCGACCTTGACCCTCTTCCTGCGCGACCGCTTGTTCGAAACTTGTGTCGCTTCAAGCGCCGCGGGTTCTTCTCTCTCTGCCTCTTCGTGCTCGGGACTCAGCTCTCGAGCCGCAGCCGCCTTCCTCTTTCTGCTGGTTGTAGTCGACGTGGTCGCTGTGTACCCGGGATCCGCTGCGGCTGCTTCTGCGGATGACGATGACAATGACGATGGTAGCTGTTGCGTACTGTTCGGGTGTTGCGAAATGGAGGACTGAGAGGTTCCTGCTGAAAGCCTCGCAGCGGAGCGAGTGACTCTGGAAGACATGAGAACGTGTTTCCCTTTTTGATCTTCGTCGCTAACCCGGCGTCGATGCGACTGAAGGATGGGCTCGCATCGGGCGGGGCGTGCAATCGACGGATGTGGACAGGACGACCAAGGAGCGAGGTTGAAAGGGAAGGAAAAATAGTTCTGCCTATGGGAGGCAGAAGATGTGGCTAAGGATGATGCGGAGTGCTGTGTAGGGGCACGCTTGGACAGGAAGGAGCATCGGGAATTGAGGTTGCTGGTTGATGGGCGGCAGGTGCGAGGCGAAGGGTCGTAGTGGCTGCAGAGGGTGCCCGCGTTTTCTGGCGGGACGGGGCAGGTGCAAGTGAAAGGGCAAGTGAAAGGCAGGTACGACGGGACCCGTGGCGGAAGTGGTCGCCACCTCCAGGCTTGGACGTCGGTGGTGACTTCCTCGTTGGCAGTCGGGAGAGATGAGAGATTCCACTTACGCTTTTCTCTGGCCGGTTGAGACCTTGCCTGCGCTGTCCATTCCACTGGCGTTCAAGCCTCCATCGGGTGCAAAGGCTCAGCCTAACAACATGAGACTCCCTCCTTGGTCGCTTGTATCTGTTGCCTTGTCGGAAACGTGTGCGTGTCGTCGAGTGCCGCCGAGCGGAGGTTGGACTGTGGAGGGCGTGACGGGAGGCCTCAGATGTGAGGTCACGCAATTAGCTTCGACCGTCTGACTGTGAGCGGCGGTCCGCCTTCAGCTTATCCGTTTGGCTCGACGTTGCGCGCCCGTGGACTCTTGTGCTCGATACCAGAGGCGACGAATCTATCAAGGCCGAGAGCCGTGCTGTCAGATCGTCTGGCAGGTGTTGGAGATACGGGAGGCAAGAATCTGGAGACCGCCTCGAGTCAAACGTGGTTGATGGTCCAACAATCGCTCGTACCGCCCGCGAGTTGCCTCTGTCGCAGTGCCTCAACACGGCACCCCTGTCAAGCCACAGTTCAAGTACCAGTGCGAAGCGGGCGCGCCTTCATCACCTCAGCATGCCGTCTCCAACGCGTCCTACGCATCAACGTGTCGCGGCACTAGAGTCGCTTTCATCTTAACATCGAGTTGGCTTGGTCAGTTGCTCGTGCTGGAGTCCTGCGCCTCGTCCGTATTGACCCGATCGCGATCTCTCCCTCATCCGAAGCGCAGACGGGACTCAACAACGTTTTACTAGATCCGACCTAACGAAGATCGATAGAGGCAGGTCCCATGGATGCCGCCTTCGCTTCTCGCATACTATCAAGACGACTGATCCCTAGGAAAGTAGGCTTCTCTGTAATACCTTCATGCCTCCAACTCGTTGTGTGCATGTCTCCGAACATTAGAGAGGATGGAGCCGCAATCCACAAAGGCATATTATCACACCTTAGACATTCCAAGAACATCACATGCGCTGCCTCATGATAGGTTTAAACAGCGGGCTATATATTAGATCTTGTGCGTCGCTTGAGATCTGAGAAGCGTCTCTACAGCATTTTCAGCCAAGTTGAGATGAACCCATTGTTCTACTTGACAAATGCATCCGTGTTTCGTCTACAAGCTGTTCATCCCGTTGCTCCTAGTACAAACCGAGCTTCCCATGAATTTGTGTGCATGCCCAAAGGCTCTGGAGAGTTGGCCTTTGGAGGGAAGCAGTTCAATTCCACGCAAGCAACTCTTGTCAGTGCGACTACATAGAATCGCGTGGCGTGATCAGATGCATTACTATTTCAACTTCAGCTCAGATTGCCAGGAGCGACGCAATTGAAAGGCGACGGAGCACATGTGAGTGGTCGTGTGAGTGTTGCTCTCATCATTCTCTCGACATCGTGACCCCATGAGAGAGTCTCGTTTGATGACGGCACGTGACCGAAACCCCACATGAATCTGGAACCGTCCGGTCTTGCAACGGACTGAAGTTCTAGCTCCATGCATGCTTATCTCTTGAACGCACCCAATCACAAAGCCCGAGGTCTCCCGCGAAACACCATTTTCAGCCTTTCGTTCACCTAACGGGCACGCCATGGATGTTTGCCATTGCGCAGCCTACTTGACCACAAGTCCAGATCGCGCGGGATGGATTGATTGCTCATGCAGGTGGGACGGTTTCTACGGCTAGGGTAGAAGATGAAAGATCGCTCATAAATGCCAAGTGCTAGCTGAACTCTTTCCCCCGCCCCTTTCTTCTCGTTTTCTCGAAAACAATAGTTTTATGGTGAGATGCTCCTTGCTGCACGGTGAAGCTGTGACGGCAATCAATGGCGTGCTAGCATTACGCTTTCCCTTCTTCCACCATCGTATCCAGAGTAGTCGTAGCAGCAGAAGTTCGTTCACCGCAGCGATATTATGCCCCAGTCTCTCGTGCACGAGTTTCTCGAGCAGCGTGCTTCGGGCACCAAGCTCGGCGCCGCCCTCAAAGCAGCCGCATTCCAAGCCAAGCCTCCAGACATTGAGCTTGGCCAAGTGGAAGACTCGAAGCCCAAGTTCAAGCTTTGGAAAGTGCACATGCGTGGGCTCGCGGATGACGACCCCGTCGATTGGTGGTTCGCGTCGACGGGGATACCGATTCTGGCGGCGACCTTGGGCCCGCTAGCCAATGTGCTGAGTATCGGCGCCCTTGTCACGTATTGGAGGATCGATCTGGCCGACGAGGCGAACCCGGGCCGGCTGCTGTCGCCTCTTCAAGGAGTTTATATCAAGGATCCTACGTGGTGCTACGCGGTCAATCTCACCTCTCTGGTGCTAGGCTTTATAGGGAACTTGTTCCTACTGCTGAACTTCACACAGCAGCTGCGATACCTGATCGCATTACCCTTGACGGTTGTGATGTGGTTCATTGCCTGTGGCATGCTTATCGGCGACCTTTCGGCCATGAAGGTATACGCCCCCCCAGAACCACCGTATGAACAGTTCTCCGGTGGCTTTTGGTACGGGGTGGCAGCAGCTTGCATGTATTTACTTCTGGCAACGCTCCTGCTGGTTAATATGGTAGGCTATATTCGTGGGCATTACCCACAGCATTTCCACCTTACTGAAGAGCAGAGGACCCTTATTGTGCAGACTATGATGTTCTTTCTGTGGCTTGCCGGAGGTGCTGGCGTCTATTCGAGACTGGAGAAGTGGCATTACATTGATGCAGTGGGTTCATGTTTCGGTACAGACCACATCTGAATGCTGACAAGAGGGCTCAGCTCTACTACTGCGACGTGACAATTCTTACCGTCGGGTTCGGTGATCTTTATCCACTGACGAATGCTGGACGGGCGATCCTTATACCTTACTCCGTTGGCGGTATCATCACTCTCGGTCTCGTCATTCAGGCCATCTACAAATCCGTTCAAGAGCTCGGAGAGAAAAACATCATACGCCACCATTTCGAGCAGCAACGCGAGCGCGCAAAGGACCGGACCGTCAGATCGAGCCTGGAGATGCAGAGGCGCGAAATCGAGATCGAACTTGCCAATGAACGCGCTATGGCAAAACAAGCAGCCCGACCAAGCGCGCGAAGTACGGGCACGGCCAAACATTACAAATCTGTTCTGGAACGACAAAATAGCATGTCCAGCTTCAAAGCAGGTGGAACGCCCAGTCTAGCATTGAGTCGGCAATCCTCGATGCTGAAGAAGAGCAAGCGCATTGTTCTTCTCAAGGAAGAGAAGGAGCGCTTCGAAGCCATGCGTAATATCCAGCGCAAGGCGAAGACCTGGAGGCTGTGGTATCGGCTCGTCGTGAGCTTGACTGTCTTTGGTTCACTATGGTGCATAGGGGCTGTATTTTTCTGGGTGGCTGAGAAGGGGTTGACTGGTCAAACCTATTGGGAAACCATATATTTCTGCTGGGTTGCATTGCTATCCATTGGATACGGCGATTTTGCACCAAAAACAGGTAGCGGAAGGTGCTTCTTCATCATATGGAGCTTGCTGGCTGTTCCTACCATGACTGTGCTCGCAGGAGACTTGTCTTCCACAGTGGTGGAAGCTTTTAATCACGGATCAAATAGGCTGGCGGATCTTACGGTCATGCCGCAGAATGGGCTATGGAGAACGGTAATAAATAAACGGTCACCTCTCCTTCTTTTTGCGCCAAAATGGTTAAGACCGGCTACGGAGGCTGATCGCAGCCAGACCAAACAAGAGTCCAAAGATTCGAATATGAATGGTGATGGAACAACTCAAGACCCTGGGCGTCTTTACCGCACGAGCACCACACAGTCTGAAAAGGATGAGGAGTATGCCGCCGGTACGAGGAAGGCTGAAATTGTCGACCTAGTAGATCAGCAGGAGCGCGATGCATTTAGTCATCCTGACGCTACGGCGCTCGCCCGGCAACTCGCTCTCGCTATCCGTCGTACAGCGCACGATTTGATGATGGAAAAACCCCGAAAATACACGTACGAGGAATGGGTCGAGTTCACACGCCTTATCCGGTTTAGTGCAGTAGGAGGTCCTGCAGAAGGACTTCGAGAAGAGGAAGAGGGCATGATTGAGTGGGACTGGATCGGTGCAGATTCTCCCATGATGAACGAGACATCGGAGAGTCAATTCGTTCTGGAGCGGCTCATCGAAAGTTTGGTTCGGTATCTGAAACGCAACCGGCCAACAAAGGAGTTCTCCGAGACTTTGAAGGAGAGAGGGGAAGAGGCATTGAAGCTAAAAGGAGGCTCAGCACCAGATGAGGACGATGACAGCGTGATATTACCGAGGAGTAGTGCGAATAGCGTAGATACAAGAAGCGTTAGGAGCTGGACAGGCAGTGCATTGTCTATTGGTGGCGGACAAGGTGCTACGTCGATAGGTGCCTTGCAGCCACTCCACGAACATGAGGACGAGCATATACATGCTGGCCCACACCGAACGACTCGTTACCGAGAGGTCACGAAGGAAGAAGTTAACTAAGCGATCGCACTAATCGTGAGAGAAGAGCAAAGTATCGCATAACGAATGTCATATCGGATGGATCTCTCTGGACGGGTATCAAAGATCATCCCGCTCATGCTCATGTGTATATGAACTTTGAGGAAACTCTTTTTTATGGGGCTACAAACGCCTCGCCATGTGAATCTTATCTTGTACTACATCCGATTACTCTTTAAAATTTGAATTGTACGACCCATGAAATTTTCAGAAAATCTCTCCACCGTTGACGTGGAAAGGCTGGAGTCTGGAGGCGTTACGAAAGATACAGCTTATCAACATCCTGATTTCCCAGACAAGGGATTGCCAATGATGACATACGCGGTGAAGCAGATCCATAATACGAAAAAAAAGCTGAAGGAGACTGCTGCTTGGAACTCGACAGTCAACAAATCAAAGGCCCAATAATAATTTACAGCTTCAGTGTGGCACCCCTTATCGAATCTCTTAAAACCTCAGTGTCAGAAGACTTAACCGATTCGCCAATTAGCATAAAACTTAAAAGAATATTCTAGAGTTAACATCATTCAAGGAGGACAAGAAGCCCGCCACGAAATGGCCTCTTATCACATCAAGGTCCTTGTCAGGAGTGATTAGTGCTGAAGATGACGATCTCAGCACCAAGCAACATAAAGGCGTGCCATACATGTGATTGCTTTAGTTCTCTTTCTCTATTCCGAGCGAGTTTCATACTTTGCAAGGTCGAAACTGAGCACTGCGCAGGGATGTCCAACTTTTATCCTTCCTAAATGCGTAGTGGCGCATTTGTGGCGCGTTATGCGAGTACGAGATGCCGTCACGTAAAGCGTCAATCAAACCGCTCTTAGGCTGCCAAGCTCACTCTGGACATCAATCGGAACGACCATGGAAGCCGAAGTCTACACGCCGCTTCCCCCGCAGCCTGAATTCGGCCGCCAGATAGCGTACTCTAGGTTGCTTCTCCTGTACCCTGGCGAAGGAGGGGACTCCTTGTGCTGCAGCCTTCAAGTTGTCGATATTGAAAACGCACCATGGGAATTCGAGGCCCTGTCCTATGTCTGGGGGACGGAGAAGAGCGAGGTTACTCTTCTCTGCAGCAATGACAACCATGAGATTCTCGGTGAATTGGAGATCACGAAGAACCTTGAGCGCGCATTGAGGAGCCTTCGATTACCAACCCTGCCCAGGAGACTTTGGATCGATGCAGTATGCATCAATCAGAAGGACCTTGCAGAGCGCGCCCGACAAGTCGGATACATGCGGTCCGTATACAAACATGCCGCTAGAGTTGTCGTTTGGCTTGGCGAAAAGAGCCAAATGGTTCGCAGAGCTTTTTCCTTGGCTCAAGAACTGGCCCCCGTGGTAGCAGAAATCTTTGCCTCAGACCCGTCCAGACCGGCCGAACAGCAGTGGAGTTTCGCCCGTTCTATTCTTCTGGACGCTTTCAATTCTCGCGCCGACGATGCCACGGCCCTAAGCGACTTGCTGAAGAGAGACTACTTCGAGCGTGTTTGGTGTATTCAGGAGGTCACCGCTGCGCGAAATTGTGTCTGCAAGTGTGAAGACCTTGAGATGCAGTTCAACTGCTTGCTGCTCCTCGTCCCGATCGTCATCGAGTGGCGTGGACTTGATTTTGAACAGTCTGGTCTGCAGATTTGGCAACTTGTTTTTCGAAGAAAATTTGAGGACGAGGGGAGCAGAGCGAGACTCAATCCGGAGGGGTCGCTTGGCCCTCTTTTGCTAGTGTTAATGATTGTGCGGAATTTGAGAGCAACAAACCCACGGGACCGTATCTTTGCTCTCTTGGGCTGCACGGACGAAGGATTGGAGCCTGTTTTGGGTATTGCAAATACCTTTGCCGGAAATCAACGCTCTGCCATGACCTCCTTGCTTCAGAGGGGCGCTATATGGCTGGCGGATCAACTTAATTCTCTCGGTCCAGGTTTAGACGTTATGCGTCATCCAGCACTGAAGCCAAATTACGAAAGGAGTGTTGCTAGTATATACCGTGACTTTGCTCGATATTGTATTCGTCGATCACCTCGCGTGCTGGACGTTCTCTCTCATGTCCAACACTACGACGAGCCCGGGCTAGATGAGTTTCCCAGCTGGATTGCGAAGTTCTACGAGCCACGTCTGGCATCCTTTCTGCCCTTGGATATGTACATGGCCGGGATTCCTACCACAGGCCATTATCGCTATTTCGCAGAGGTGCATGACAATCCTTTGTGGTCAGACAGTGCACAATCCTCCCAAGTGTCTGAGCCGGACGTACTGCAGGCGGATGGTTTTCGGGTAGATATAGTGGAAAAAGTCTCCCCGGTGGTCACGAAGGACTTGTTTACTGATAATATGCTAGCTGAAATCTGGAGTGGGCTATTCGACACTTCTCTCTTCCCAAGGCAAGCGCTTCCATATGAAAGGTCAAACGAGCTTCTGGACGTTGCGTTCTTTATGACTCTCATGGCTGGAGGAGCAGTGAATGGCCTCGATGCGCGCAATGACGGCGTCGAAATGTCATCACAAAGATCAGAAGCCATGCAGCAGATCATTAAAGTGGCCAAAAGCGACTTATATCTATGGCTGACGACGCAACCTAATATTGACATCTCTACATATCAAGATCTCGTCGATGAGTCATTCGGTGCAAATATAGCCAAGCAGGGTCGTTTCGAAAAATCAGCTCTCGTGTACTCGGTGAATCGAAGAGTCTACTGGACCAGATCAGGCATTCTGGGGCTCGGACCCAAAGTCATGAAAGCAGGGGACCATGTCGTGGCATTGCTCGGGGGCAAGTGCCCATACATACTACGAGAACATACGGGTGAGTGGCACTTCATTGGCGAAACTTATGTCCGTCATGACGCATTGATGATGGGGGACGAGGTGACCGAAGTAAGATCATCTCGCGGGAAAAGTCGTATTGAAACTTTTCGGCTGAAGTAGTTCGGTGATGATACTCATGACGTTTCGCCATAATGAACCGACTTTTTTAAGTCTTGTCAAACTTGGTATTACATTCGCTGACCTGGAGTTTGGCGCTCAATTGAGAAAAGGAAGTCTATTCAGGATTTTCATTAGACCTCAACAACGGGTTTGATGAAAGTGACCCTGTGTAATGTCCCAAGCCCACGACTGGAAATCATTGACTTGAGACACACACAGTCGCACCTCAGGCGAAATCAAGGCTGCTACTTGGATGACTTAATGCTCAGAGAACATTTCGTTTTGTATTGTGCCTCCAAATTTGACCGGACAGTGCAAACAAATCAGAATACTAGTCTTAAATTTTCTATGCTTTGACTTGCGACCCAGGTTTGGAGAGACAGATGTCTTTTAACTCACTACCTCTTTGGGTTTCTGGGAACGGTTATGCCGTTTATCCCATCTTCATGCATCCCAAGATCATATTCATCGGGATATCTCTCAATGATATCTTTCAAGGCCTCCAACTGTTCTATTTGCTCAGGTAACAACTCCTCGTACGTGTCTGTCATCATATGCCTGATTGCAGGCAACTTCTCCCGCTCCGCCTTGTTGAAAGCTTTCATTACCTCCTTCTTCGTCTCTTCCTGCAGAGATTTCTCACGTTCTTCATCCCACATGCCGCGGTTTTCCATCCACTTCCGCAATCGTGTGATGGGATTGTCGCGTCGTTTCCAGGATTCAATCTCGCGGGATTCTCTGTATTTAGTGCTGTCATCTGAAGTACTGTGGTGCGAAACACGATAGGACATTGCTTCGATGAGTATAGGCTTCATATCACCCTCCAGAGCCATCTCGCGCGCTTTTTGGGTCACCTCCCGCACGGCGAATATGTCATTGCCGTCGACGCGGATCGTGTGGATGCCATAACCGACGCCTCGCGAGGCGATGCCATCCCCGCGATACTGCTCTAGGGAAGGTGTGGAGATAGCATATCCATTGTTACGACAGATGAAAATAGTAGGGCAATTACGTGTGGCGGCTATGTTGAGTGCGGCATGAAAGTCGCCCTCGCTAGCAGCGCCCTCACCGAAGTATGTTACAGCGACTCTCTTAGGGACTTCAGACGGATTCTGAAGGTGCTGCATTTTCAGGGCATATCCGGCTCCCGCTGCATGCGGCAGCTGGGTAGTAAGTGTGCTGGATATGGTGTGGATGTTCAGCTCTCGGCTCCCGTAATGAACTGGCATGTTGCGGCCCAGGCCGTTGTCCAGTCGATTAGCGAACAGTTGGTTCATGAAGTTATCCAAGGTGAAACCCCTGTACAGAAAGACTCCCGCTTCTCTATATTGCGGGAATATTACGTCTTCGGGCTTGAGGGCACTTGCAGACCCTACTGCTATGCCCTCCTCGCCCACATTCATCATGTAGAAGGACAAGCGGCCCTGGCGCTGCGCCTGATACATGATGGGGTCCATAACCGCAATCGTGACCATGTCCTTGTACATTTTCAACACGAGCTCGTCTGTGACATCTAGTGGTGGTCGTGATTTGTCGATAAGGTTTCCGGACTGATCCATGACTCTGTACGTAGGCATAGCTTCTTGTTCGGAAGGATTGTGAAATTTGAGAGTCGAGGTGAACTTGCTGTTCACTGCGCCAGGAAAATGAATGCTACGTACTGCCGTCAGCGACTACATCTTCATGTCGCTCGCAGCCAGTTTGGAAACGTACTGGTCGCTACCTGGCTGTTGGCTGACTGAATTCCATCTTCGCCCTCCCTGTTGTCGCACCAGACCTACCCAACGAGCACACTTGTGCGGCCGAGGATTGCATGTTGAACATATGGAATATAACCGCTGCGTACAGCGTCGTAAAGACATGATTTGGCACAAATACAGCAAGCTCGGTGTGCGCGCAATGGCTGCTTAAAGATGTGCGGATTGCTGACCCCGACGGATACTCGCGGCTGAACGCGGCTCGTGGGCCGATCCCCAGATTTCGCTGTGGCTTGCGCCTCCAGACTTTCGCTACTCGTCCGTGCGACAGCAACGAATCAGCCCAGACATGAATAAACAAACGTGCTCACGAACTTGCTCATGCATGTTCTCAAGAGGCATTTATACTGCAATTCTGGGCTACAAATGCCTCTTCGCATCTCGCTCGCATCTCGCGCATGCAAAGGTCCCCCTCTCGCTCCATGCAGGTAACTTTGACAAGACGTCTCTTTGGACCTGGAGAGAGAACGCCTCTGCAAGAGATTTCAAGGCAATTTGTTCTGGGAGCCTTCGGCTTTGTTTCGTCTTTCTGTAATGTCAATGGCTAGTGCTCTTTGGCGAAACTGAGGGATATGACGGAATTATCACAGACATAATGGAAACACCATTTGCATGTACGTGCAATCCATACCGTTATTTAAATCGTCGTGAAGTGTGATGCCCGTTTATCGTTTTAGCCTTCTGATCAACAAGATCACGATTTGAACAAGCACGGCGAGCCTGATGACGAAGAAAGCGACGATCAAAAGGTCCAAAGGATGTCATATCATCGCTCCCCAGTTGTTAGCAGTCTCCCAAAGTGTTTCCATCTTGACAATCTTGTTATTCCATGATTCCTCTACTCGCGTAGAAACAAAAATTGATCTAACTTTTCAGTTGAACGGGATCATCGAATCGGCTTCTACTTACTCCAAGCAAAGCCTGTGTTCATAGCACCTGTTGCGCAATATCTAAGGCTTGCTCCCCTAGAGCCAGACTTGTTTCGCAGATAGATGAAAGAGGCTCGTCTAAGGGAATAGGCCACACACCGAGCTCACATAAAGAAAACTTTGTTTTTGATCAGATCGGTCCAATACGTGCGAATCTTTTTAATCAGATATGATCTGATTATCTTGCGGCACACGGCTATTCTGAATGGGATGTATAGAATGTGAAGCCCTCGGCCAAGTAATAGAAATAATAACGTCACGATGACGCCTTGCGTCTGGGGACGTAGAGTTTGGGCTAGCAATCATGAGACGTAGCTAGAGCAAACGTCTACGACTTTGATCGCGTGCTCAGAAAGAAAGTCAGCGAGCCTCCCGTGAACCCTCAAGCAACGCGATTGGCTGAAATCAGAGCGCAGAGTATACGAAGAGTGGCAAATCTCTCCTTCGTTTAACAACGTACGGTCCAGACGCAGTGGGATGAACAGAGTGAAGTGGGCCTGCTGACTGGGCTTCAAAACACATAATTGATACATGGCATCAATTTTCTACCTGGGCATATCTCAATAACGTCCGGTTGTACGGGATCAATCCAACAATCATTGAAACGAGCTCGCATTTCAACCCGGATTTACAATCTATTTGCGAAAATGGAATCAAGTACGGCCCGGCCTCAAGAAAGCAAGACTGGGCGAGAACAGCCTTCACAATATCTTGAAGGCTCGGACTCTTCTGCCAGAAGAGATACGAATGACAAGTTGCAAGAGCAGACCACGATTCATTCTCGACGCTCCCAGTTATCTCCTCGGCCACAGCGTACGGTTAATGGTGATCACCCGCTAACAAGCCGCCTGGAGACCGAATTACAATCATCACGAGCATATCGACGTGCATCAGCAGTGGGCCACGACGAAATCTCGACCTCATCACAGCGGAACAGACAACGGAGAAAGTCTCACGTCGATGTCTCAGATCCGAACTTCTGCAACCCGCAAGATGGCGACGATCCTCGCATCGCAATGCTGAGGGAGTTTGCGAAGTCCAAGTTGTATGTCGACAACGATTTTTGGGGCAGGGAGACGTGCGTGCTGGATGAGGAAGAAGTGCGAGAGCCACCGAAGCTAGTCAGATGGTTGAAGGGAAAGGTGTCTTCCCATCATTTCAAAGGGACAGAAATGAGGGGAGAGGCCGGCGAATGTGGTAACTTCCAACGGCGAACTTCAGAGAGCGGAGATATTCAAGAGAAATAAACTAGACCGAGAGGGATCGCTGCTTAAGTGCTTCATCATTGCGAACTAATTTCGACATTTCGGTTCGGAATAACGCCTCTGGCCTACAACGCATTTTTTTTTAACGAAGTATGCGCGCATTGAGCAAGTTCAAAGTCCATTTCGTCACCACTTTTTTCACTTACAGAATCGGGCCGTGCCGCTTTGAAACACCTGCAACAGAGCTTACGAGTCAAAGGATGTGAATGTCAACCCTTGAAACGAGCTATTCGTAAAGCTGCTTCCACGTGATCTGAAATGTGCTCCGCTATATATGTTATGAAAGTTTCAAAGCTCAGAATAGTATCAGAAGAGAAAATAGACACTGCTTTGTGGAGAACACAAGTTGCTTCTTGACGAGCACGCAGTTTGACGCAATTTGATGTTAGGTGTAACCTGTGCTTCTGTTGTTGAAAACATCTGCTTCTCCTGTATTTATGAGTGACATGAGAACTACCTGCAACCTGGGACGTGCCAAAATGTTCAAACGAATCAATTTACGACGTCTCGGAGGAAGTTAGATTAGACCGTCCGTACGCCACCTCGTTTGCGCGAGATATCTGCCTCCTTGTGCTAGGCAACGTATCTCTGCGGTTCCAAACGACCAGTTCATGCCGATAGTGGAGTCTTCAGCATTCAGCAGGCACAAATGAACATCGGCGGTCGCCAAGTGTTTGCCAAGGGCAGACGAACACTTCTTTGGCATCTGACCAATGCCTTTTGCACGTGGTTCACTGATTGACCAGCGATGTCGTTCTTTGCAACTTTTTTGTCGGAGATGCTACTTAGCAGAAAGTTGAAAGAGTCCGTCTCTTGGGCGAGAATATGTAGCCGGACACTTCGAGCGCACGTTTCCGAACCATGCTCTTAAAGCTCCTCAATCGTGTCAGTGAATTTCATGATAACGATTGCGCAATACACGTCTGATTTCTCATGGAGATCTTCGATTTTTTCTGCATCTTGTTACGATACTTGAAGTAGAATCGTAGACGTTTCCACCGCGGGAGACCGTACTTCCGATAACCTCGTCGTTCATCTGGTATCAAGCTGTTGAAAACAAACACACAAAAGCATTACTGCATCACCGAAAACCTTAAGCCACCTCGAAACATTCTCACAGCATCCAACTGTCGAGCCTTATTACACAATCTAAGCGGTAGGCTTGACCTCTTCTGTGGCCAAGCCCTCAGTGCTGCTTGTGGGCTCAAGACCCATCTTGCTAACGTCATAGCCATGACTGGCTAGATAGACGCGGAACTTCTCGTCCTCGTAGTCGATAGTGTCCTGGCCAACGTCTGGAAGACCAAAGTACGCGAGAATGGCAGCGACAATGGCGAGCGAGGAAGCAACCCAGAATGGCAATTGACCAGCCTTGATCAGGTCGCTGTGTGACGGATTTGGACCATTGGCGCCATAGCGGTCTTGCATGGCGGTAAGAGCATAACCACCGGAGAAGGCACCAATCTTGCCCATGGCAGCGGCGATACCGTAGTACTGACCACTAGATAAGGCATGTTAGCGAATGAGTAAGGCTTGGGCAGTGCTGCAAGCTTACCGAATGCAGGTCGCGCTGGTCTTGGAAGCGAGAAGACCGATGTTGTTGCCAGGACCAAGCTCGCCGAAAGCGAGGAAGATGCCGTAGACAATGACGAATGCGGCGACATACTTCGGCTTGTCCAAGTACTCGTAGCATCCAGCCATGATGTAGCCGATGATAGCCTGACAGGTAACACCAATGATCAGGATTCTCTTCGGGTTGAGAGACGGGATATCGCTGAGGAGTGCACCGCCAATAGTGCCGGGGACATAGAAGAAGTTGAGGAGCACGTTCCAGCCGAGACTCTTCCACAGGGCCGTGTCGTTACCAAGGAGATTGGCCAAGATTGAGGACGAGTAGATACCGAAGCTGTAGGCTGAAAAATCGTAGATGAACCAGATGATGGAGACAACGATGAGACGCAATCCATAGTAGCGAAGGACAAGGAGCCAGGGAGTATGGGTTTTGGCCATGGATTCCCGCTTGTATGCCTCAGGTTCCTGCAGCTTTACACGCAAGTATATCAGGGACAGTGGTGGAAGCACGCCAATTCCCAGGCAGATGCGCCATGCAGCACGAAGGTGATCTTCACCAGTAGCAAGCACGACAATCATGGCTACGAGAGCTGCGATGACGAAGGCAATATCGATCATACTGTTGGTGAACAGGATGAACCACTTGTTCCTAGTGCCAGATTTCAGCTCGCCAGTGCCTTCTGCGCAACCGACGGAGCCCGCAGGGTACTCGCCACCAATACCGATGCCCAGGAAGAAACGATAGGCGACCAGCGCTGCAAGCATACCGTTGATACTACCGCCAGCGCCGTACGAAGCCGTGGCTAGAATGGCAAATAAGATGAGAATGCACGTGGAGATCACGAGCGACCATTTGCGCGAAAACTTGTCACTGGTGTAACCGAAAACCAGCATGCCCAGGACGGTGCCAGCGAAAGTGATGGAGCCTACGTTCGCAGTTGCATGAGATGATGCGTACTCATGGGGATACAGCTTCTTCAACATGGTGTTGACAGGGCCGATGATCTTCACAACGTGAGCATGAACACTTCTTGCGTATCAAGAGAGACGACATACAGCATTGAGGTAGCCATCGGAAAAGAGACCGGCGCCGCATGCAATGACTGGCCAAAGCCTCGCCCAGAAGGTCTTGTTGGACTGCTCGACTGGAATGTGATGGCTCGAAACCGAAACCTGGCGCTCACCAAGCTCGCCTTTCTCGCGCTCGGCTTCAGACGACATTGTGTTCTGCAAAGTCAACCGATGGGGAATTGTATATCGCAGAAAAAAAAAAAAAAAGACGAAGCAGGAGACGATGAAGGGAGATGAAGAGAATCACAAGCGATTGCAACTCCACACGCAGAGGGGGGACGATCAGCTCCGCTCGAAGGGTCTATAATATAGATAGCAACGATTCACAAGCTGCCGCGCTGAGTCGATGGACACGGTTCGGACTGTGGGATCTGGACATGATCTGAGGGAGGGATGGTGTAGCCTTTTAAGCCTTTCAATTGATCACGTACCCCGGCACGCGCGGGGTGTTCAAGGCGAGGGCGTCAATTCCCTGGACTGTTTGAGCAAGTCGAACCTGATCAAAGCGCGACACCCGAACCAGTGCCACGAGAAAGACAGCTCTGCGCAATCGAAAAGGAAGAGAGAGGCGGGCACGCCGTCAGTGGACCACGCTAAACAGGTCAAGTTATCCAACCATAATGTTGCAGATATGCGACTTCACAGACTAGGATCGGCGCGTGAGATCCTGGATCGGCTTAGCGTGCAACCTCGTTGCATGGCGCCAGCGGCTTGAAGAGACTTGCCTCTTCTCCGGGTTTCTTCTCCAGTCTGCATGAAGGCTGTTGGCCAGAGTCGTGGAGCGCATATTCTGCTACAAGCCACAGCGTCTTGAGCAGAAAGCAGATGTGGGCACTCCCTCTTGGCTTCACATGTGCTGCCCGAGCAGTCGAGTCCCAAACCTTCGCATAGGATTTCAAGCTTGCCGGGCGAATTCAGCCCATGTTATCATCGGACGCCACAAAGCTTGGGGATAGCGCCGTTGCATGGCAGGAAAAAAAGCGGGTCGAAGCTGGGTCGCGTGTGCAATCCGTGCATACGGATATGATGCAAAAGACGTACACCTCCTGCCATCGTTCTACGACTTTCCCTTAGCGGAGCCGTCGTCCTCATGCGGCTCTTCGTTGCTTCTGCGCTTCCCTACCGCTTGTTCGGCCTGCCAGAAGCGAGTTCGGTACACGCTGTTGATCCCAGCCTGGAAATGATAACCTGCGTGCAGCAATCCTGGTTCCGATCACTATGAACCGAAGTTGGAATCAAATGATCTTCTCGGCCCTCTGCGCGTCGTCAGAGATTAAGGGTAGCGTAGATCTAGGACGGTCGAATAACAATTGGGCGCTGCAGCACGCGGGTCTATCGCTCCGCCTTTTCGCTCTGAATCCTTATGTCCCACGTCGGTAACGCGGTCCTTCGCATTTCCACCGTCCAGCTACCGGATCAGATTCGGGACTTTTACGCGATCCTACGAAGGGCTGGATGGCACGAGGAAATTTTTTTTTTCTTCAACGACCAAGAATAGCTAAGGCACTTGCGCGTTGCCTCGAAGCTTCGATGGGAAGCTTCGCACTTCTATGCTCGCCTTCGCCATACGGACGCCAAGATCCAAACACGTGCTCACCAGGCCACCACCGGCCGCAAAACGAAAGTGGAGCCATTCCACTGCAAGGCTGACCCACACGCTCCCACGCCGGAACAACGGGTTCGTTCTTTGTGGAACATCTGGTAATGATCGAATGCATTCAAAGGATGTTTGGACATTTCGATCTCAGCCGGATTCTGCACATCTCAAGCTTTCTTCGAACGCCCAGCTCATTACAAAACACGAACAGCAAGTCATATCGTGCAATCGGTTCTCTTGGAGAGTCCTGCAGAGTTTGCATGCTGGACTAGAATTTCCTAATGTGTTCAGCAAAGTGCTATGACTCGCCTAGTCCCTGATTTGGGTTGCAATATATTCCTGTAGTATACACTGCCCGAGCGTGGTCTGATATCTATCCACTGAATTCATGGTCCTAGGCACGTGGTAACAATGGCCTTTTTCTTGTTGTGGGCCCTGCAAACGACTACGATTTTTTTTTTTTTTTACAGAACTAGTTCTTGAGGTTGCACCGGACATAATTTGTTGTCTTTCTCTTAGTGCTCACACCATCTGCGCGAGTGGGACTACACAGTAGACGGCAGAGATCAGGCCTTATTTTTTCGGCTCTACCGACAGCCTGAACTATTACCATAACGTATTAGACTCCAGTCCCTTGTTCTTGTGATGGGCTGTTAACGAGATTGAAATGCAGGTACAGCGCCTAGCTAAATGTATGGGCCATGCTTTACTGCTTCTAGCAAGAGCTGGTTGGATTAAACGTAGACAGATTCCACGCAAAATGTTCTGTTGGCTCCAGGGCCATTGCTGAGTGGAATAGGGCTGGAGGAACAAGAACTTTGGCTCCATGTCGCTCGTCTGGCATGCATGCAAACACTTGGTTCTGAGTAGAAACATTTCGCCCAATCGATTGAAGAAGTGCTCTCAGGATGTGGAAGATATTTCTGCCCTTCAATCACGTGTAACGGCCGAACGGCTTAGGCTTCCATATTTGCTCGTGAATGTAGACTTCCCCAAGCCGTTCGCCGTTGCTTAGCTTAGTCAATTTAGTGGTTTGAAATTACAGACAACCCAGCGACGAAGGCTTCAACATCGTGTTTCGGACTCACAAGCCCTTCTTCACGGTATCGCAGCTGATTTGGTGAGCAAGCGAGCGACGCGAGAAGTACATATATGCTGCCTGGAGATCGTGGTTGCTCTTCGCGTCATTTGTCCATTTAGCAGATAAATTGGAAAGTGCTGCAGTAGATCTCGATAGCCAGCGACGAGGATTGTTGGCCTTGCTTGGGTATGGACGCGCAGATTTAAAATGGTTGAAACACACGTAGCAGAACTACCCCAACATCGAATTCTCACACTTCATTCGAGCTTTTGACTATAGTGAAAACCACTTAAGGCACTACTGACCTTTTTGGTCTCCCCGACCGAAATGTTAATATGCTTCATCAGCGCCTATAGCATCGAGAGAAGGATTACGTTGCTCAGCTCGTGGAATGAGCCCACGGGCTTACAATGGCATTCATGTGTGTACCTAGGTCCTACGAAATAGCCTCGCATTGCAGATACCTAATTTGCTCCTGACACGCAGGCACGAGCTTCGGCTCCGACCGATAGCTTTTCCACATGTTCCAGGAGACTTGTAGAAAACGAAGAACAACTTGCGTTTTGAACAGAGTGAAACCTTAGTTCATGGCCAACCAATCTGGACGCTGCTACGACGGACAACAAGCATATGCGTGGCGGTCCAAATCATTGCTGCCAAATGGGCTGGAAGGGTGCTGACATACGTCGTGAGGGCTATGCTTCGGAAAATTGAAATGCACCTGGCTTCATTCCTCCCGACTGCGTTGCTTTAGCAGCATCGACGAGCAAGCTTCGGGATCGTTTCGAATGTGTGGGTGTGGGTATGTGTGTGTGTGTGTGTGTGTCATGTCTGCGCGCTCGGCTACATCCCATTCTCAAACGAATTAAGCGGACCTACACCCCCTGGGGACAGCAACGTTCGCACCCCAGATATTACGCGCCCCGCGTTACCCCACATGACTCGCACCGAGAACTGGGCGAGTGGTGTTGGCATAAAAAATACATGTTTTATAGCCATTTCTTACGGCTCAGAGACGCAATTTCGATTGGCTGGTTTTCCGGAGCTGTGCAATCTGAACTCGGCCCAGACTGCGGTCATCATGAACAGCGAATAAGTCGACTCGCTGAACGTGCGTCGACTGGTGAGGTGTTTGCAAGAGTTGCTGAAACACATGATATTCGATCCCATCGCGATATATCAGCTGATAAGACCAAATCCTTCGATTATGCTTCTATGCTACTCTGAAACGGGACAGCCGATTTCCTCGGTACGTCATTTACGGTAGCGTCGTAGTGCACGTGTGTGGCCAACTCGCATGCTCCCTGAGTCTGCGCAACAGGCACAATTGCTGTTCCTAGCCATGCTAAGCCAAGCGTCAGCCAACGAGAAGGACGGCGTAGTCGGGTTCAAGCCCGAATTGATGCCCTGATGCATACATCTCCAAGGCCACGAAACGCTGGACACCGTTATGGTGAATAAAGCCGACTCCTGAAGGCAACCATCTCGGTTGAAAGCAAAATTTCGAAGCTTAACATCTGACAGCTTGGTTCCAGGAGTATAAGAAGACTGGTGTCACAGACGGTGGGAACGAAGAAGCCATACTGCACACGAATTCAAACCACAGTCTAGTCACACACGACAGCAACTCACTTCTAGCACATTCGAACATACCGGCCGCCACCCAACATGTCCATTGCCAAGGTCGAGAAGCTTATCGATGATCTCGAGCGCAAGGCCACCAAGGCCACGAAGATTGTCGCCAAGGGCGATAAGTTGACGTACGGCGATGCCATCAAGCTCGGTCGCAAGTCCAATTCGATGATCTCGACCGTCAAAAAGGGTATCAAAGAGTATGATGTATGTCCGGGGCTTCCATTTTTTCGAGTCTTCTAAACGGAGATGCACGGCTCTGGCTAGATGTTGATCATGTCCTCAGGGCGCCATCCCAACCGATGCCGAGAGCGAACGCATCCTGAAGAAGATGCAGCATCTTACGACCTTGGTCGAGGAGCAAGTCGACGCCCTCATCGGCATAAAGCCCCGCCTTGAGCACCTAAAGGTTGGTGGCCTGGTCAAACGTAATCTTAAGAAGATGGGCGAAGTGAGCGAGGAGCTGGAGAAGATCATGATGGAGAAAGCACCCGAATCACTCAAGGTAAGAAAGCGACTCCACGACGGAGCAACCTCGTCCCAGTGGAGAGACGGCTGCTAACGCTCAGGCAGCCCGAGGCGGAGAAGCTCGCTGCGCGGAGAAAGGTTGCGTTCGACAAAGGGAACAACGCGTTTGCTGGCCTTACAGGTGGTGAGGACAACGCCGAGGCTGAGGGTGAAGATGATTCGGACTAGAGCGCAAACAGCGCAAGCATGGACCCATCTCGGTCGTGAAAAAAAAAACCTTGTTCGTACGAGTAGACAAGATACAAGACGCGTCAAGAAAACATGCAGACACTCGTTTCAGTCATGCAATTGACCACGGCCCTGTGAAAGTGAAGTCAGCGTGCGCATCCACATTTCTAGCGTTTTTGCCAGACTCGATCGTCTCCCTTGGCTGGAAACGCCGTACAGCGATTACCAGCAGAAGTAAGAGAGCGTGCTGTTTCAACGTCGCCGCCTGCCGTTGTGTGTGGTTGTCTGGCGTCGTCGGAGCCACGCTGACCGAGAATCTCGCTCGGCCGCCACGGAAGCCCTATGCACGTTCGGCTGCGCCGCAAGAACAATGTGCAGCGGCAACAGCAGAGGAAAAAGGCGGGTCTGACTCTGCCGAACGCGAACTTCTCCGGCCAGCGCCCTCGTTGGAGTTCTCCTCTTGGTGTTGTCGCTTATGATTGGCTGCAGGCGCGAGCCTCGGGAGTCGGTTACACGCCCGTCACTGAGCAAGGTGCGCTCGCCATCACGAGGATGCTGACAAGGCGACCTCGTCCGCTTTCCCAGACTCCAAACGTCCTTTTTTGAGAAGTAAATTCGTCTTCGTTTCTTCCTCGAGTCTTGCCGCTTCTGCGTGTTCAATTCAAGATGACTGCCGACGCATTGGTTTATCACCCCACGTATGCGCATCTGCTGAAGTACTTCGCGACAACGGGTAAGCATCTCCACTTCGCCAGCATAGCTTCGTTCTGGCCGACATCACAACCCGAACTGTCACCAAGACTATGGCGCTGACTTGTCTTGCTACCAGTCGGTCGCGACAAGCTTCTCCGAACCGTCCAGTATTTCTCTCGCTTCTATGCCTGGTACCTCTACCGAACAAACAACCCGCAGTCGGGAATCACGCCGTGGGAGACAGCCAAGAAGCAGATTGGCATCGCTCGAAAGTTCCTGCGTCTGGGCAAGTTCCTCGAGCACTTTAAGTCAGCGGCAGTGGCAGCAGACAAGAAGGACATAGATCCGATTCTGAAATTCTGCGCTGTCGGAAGACAATTAGGCTATGCTGGATACCTTTCACTAGACAACCTGTGCGTGGTACGTGATGGCTTTACTTTTCTAAACCCGCAATCAATAGGGGGAGGGGTTTATGTTACATCGTTGTCGTACGCTGGCAAACTTCTCTCCCTCTCGGCAGGAGAGGCTTGCTGCCTTTGACAGTTCGAAAGTGTAGTATCTTGATCAGGAGTTAACGAGATGTCCGCAGCTCGACGCGTCAGGCATTAGGAAATGGGACAAGGCCAAGCAGATCTCCAGGCAAGCAGCACGCTTCTGGTTCTCTGGCCTCTTCTTCAACATCGTCGCTGGTTTGTACACGCTGTTCCAGCTCAAGCAGCGAGCGGCAGCGCTCGACAAGACGCAGGCTGAGAAGGCCGTTGAGAGCAAGAAGATTGAAAAGTAAGTTGCAGAAACCCCCTCTTGCGAATCGAGAGCATGTTGTTAACCGAAATTTTTTCTTAGGGAGTGGAACGCAACTACGCTACAGCTTACCTCCGATCTGGCGGATATCTGCGTGCCGGCAACGACTCTTGGCTGGACGAACTTTGATGACGGATTCGTCGGCCTCGCTGGTACCCTCAGCTCGCTGCTCGGCGTGTACTCGGCTTGGAAGAAGACGGCATAAGCCACGCGATGCACGCGTGGGGTCTACCGTGGGAAGCAACTGGCATGTCGGTAGTCAAATGAGCGTAAAACTAGGGTCCTTGAGGTGAGCGGAAAGAAATCAGAGGTTAGCCGCATAGCCCACGAGGCGGAGACCATGTTTGCGAGGCTTTGAAAATGTATACCATTCCAACGATCCAGAGTTTTCGCCGACGCAGTCAGCAGCTGTTAGAAAGCATATCACAGTTCGTTAATTTGATATGATTCTCCTTCTTTCATAAGCCGTATGAACAAGAAAGCGCGCGAAGAGCTTCGCTGAACGCTTCTCCGACAACGTTGCGAAACGATTCGAACGGAAACCGGTAGCACGTATGAATATACAAAAATGTCTGAGCACAAGAGTCTCAATCGGGCTCTTTTCATTTATTCCCTAGACGAGAACTTGGTATATGGAAGCAAGTGCCAACGAATGCGTGCAATCCAGCACAGCCGACTCGAGTTTTCTCTTCCCATACTTCATGTATGATGGATGGAGTACGAGGATGGGCTTGAGTATCTTTTGGCCTCAAATAACGTCTTTGCTGTCATCCGTCATCCAAAACTTTGATGATATTTGGTATTCGTTCGGTTGTTTATAGAAGCGATCTAGCCTTCTCCATTGCATCAATCGCATCTTTCCTCACAAGTTGTACAATATCGGCAGCGCTCTCGACCTTGTCAACGAAGCCGACACCAGTGCCGGCCCACACAGCTGCCCGTGCTTCGCCTTTAAGCGCGCTGAAGCCCTTAGTTTCCGTCCCTTCAGCTTCCTTGTGTAACTTGCGGAGCTCGTCAATGCTCATCCCTGCGCTCCAATCCTGGTAGCTGTCCACGGCGATGCTGCGCCCATCATACTCGACGGGCCATATATTTGGGCCACGCAGCTCGTCAAAGACCTTGGACTTCACAGTTGACTGACCGCCGTCTTTCGCCTTGAGCACGGCATCGCGATATCCGGGAGCCGGAAGGACGATCTCCTCGGACGCTAAGAATCGAGTCCCCATCACGGCACCAGAGGATCCTAGTGCGAGAGCAGCTGCTACACTTCGGCCATCCGCGATGCCGCCAGAGGCAACGACTTTGATGCTCGATAGTCCGGCAGCATCGAGCGCGGACAAAGTTTCTGGCACCAAGCTGATCACTCCAGCACCTTTTTCATATCCGTGGCCTCCGGCATCTGTTCCTTGCATTACCAGCACATCCGGCTTGCATGCCTTTGCGATCGCCAGTGCTGTTGTCACGAGTCCATTTTGTATCCATACTTTTGACTCGGGACTAGCCTTTCTCATTCGCTCAGTCCAAGTTTTGTAGTCACCAGTCGATTTTGCCGCGAAGAGCCAAACGGCAGCTGGCCGATAATCTTCAACAATCTTCGCTGCAGCCTCAAGGTCTGCGATGAATACGAGGAATCCCACTCCGATTGGTAACGTTCCTTTGGCCGTGCTCAAGTTCAGGTGCTCTTTGGCGAGCGCAAGTTCTTTCTCCAATTGCGGCATGTTGTTTGTCGATCCAATGAAGCCTAGACCGCCTGCTCGAGACACTGTGCAGGCCAGTTTGTGAAAGGCAAATCCTCCCATTGGGGGGCAAACTACCAGAGGCTTCTTGACCCACGGGTAATCTTGGATGAGCGACATTATATTTTGACTTCAAAGGCAACGGTATCTCGAAAGCAAGAAATATCAAATCCGCGCAAGACTATGGAGACAGTCTGACGTTGTTTGTATACAAATTTCGGGAGTGAAGATGGGAAATTTCTCAGTTTATATGGAGGGTGCTATCATAGAGCACAACTTCACTAAGGTCATACGCGGCTGAGGAAGTGCTCAGCTTACGTTACTCCCCGATTAGAACTAGGTGCTGCCTGTTTAGGCCGAACAATGGACGGATTTGGCAAATGCTCGTTAAGTTCGAGCATCATGAATGGAAAGCCGGGCACAACCCATATGATGAGAGTAAGCAAAGGCCGATGAGTGCCTTCTTAGCACCCTGTTTCTATGATAGCAAACTGGCATATGACTCCGAACGCCGGGAAGCTACAAAAGTGTAAGAAAGTTGCTTCAACAGTGTGGGGAATGACCTAAACCAAACTAAACAAGTGAAAGAAAGAATACGGTGCGTTCGTGGAAACACATGGTCGGCCTTCTCTTCTCGACATTGTGCAGGAGACTTGGCCTAGCTCAAGTTGAGCTCCAGACAATTTCCTCGGAATTCAGTTCTGTAACTAAGCGTGCTATCAAGACTTCAAAAGAAAAAGTACCAAGTGTCAATGATTGAAATTTTTCTCACCAAATTTTCTAGGCCACTGCTGCGACCCAGGTACAACTAAGTTAAACTGAGGAGGACGGTGTAACAGTCCCCATGAGAACCACGCAAATCTCCCAAGAGCAAACAACGAAGCAAGATATCGAGTGTAAAAACTGTGTATTTTCAACTAGGAGAATGAACATGGGCCGTTTATTACAGTACAGGCCTAAATCTCTATAATTCCATGCCGATAACGCTCCCCACTAGTTTCCGTGTGGCAGTTCTCATAGAATCATAATCTCTGTCTAAAATTTCAAGTTTTTTCCTCTTGGATATCCACTTCTCACAAGTCGACCAATTTTCTGTGCGAATCGATCGATCGTTACAGAAAATCTCGATGTCATCGACATATGCGCGCTTGTCGGTCTCTTGGCAATCCTCAGCTACAAATTCGATTAACTTATCTTGTAACTCATAGCTGAGATCGATGTTGGACTTCAGATAGCCGGCATCTCCGATGATCATTGAAGGTTCACCAGCACCAGCTTCTGCATGAGCTTGGTCGGGCTTAACGTAACCTTCCGAAATTCCTTGATCAGCCCTTTTCAGCGCGTCGTGAAAAGTGCCGAATGCATAGACCATGTCAACTCCGTGGTGAGCAATTCCTTTCATAGAGCCTGAGAAGGGATTGCCAACTTCGAAATGGTAGTACTGAATTCCTGCGCGCTTGGCGTCCTGACTACGGAGCAGAGCTTGTTTCCCACGGTGAGCCTTGAAGAATTCTCTTGTACGATATATCTTGTGCATCATCGTGGCATCAGATATAAACTGGGAGAAAGCTTCAAAGTGTTCTTCATCAGAAGACGTAGGCGAAATACTGTATGCTTGAAAACCTCCTCAGCCGCCGCTTCCGAGGGATAACTCGAGATAAAGTGAGAGAGGAATGTGGTGTAATCCCAGTTGGCCATCAGGGCAAAGCCTCTAAACTCGTCGGCTGTTGCGCTCATCAGGACTTGGATCCTTTCTTCAGAAGGCTTAGTTTCATAGCCCAATCTGTCCTGCCCAAGATGTACGGAAACGCCACAGCCCAAGTTACTTGTTCTAACGGTCAATTCGTCAAAGACTAGCTGAAAGAGCACCCATCCGAGGTCTGAAACGCTGTTGAGCAGATCCTTAGCAGGTATTCTCCTAAGCATGTCCACTCGAGCAACTGGGTCATCAGCTTAGACTGACCACAATTGGCGGAGTTTTGCCCAGCGTTTGTCGGCTTTACCATCGATGTCGATTCAAGACCCCCAACCGGCCCAGACATCAAACCAACTTTCCGAAATAGCGGTCTTTGCGCTCCTAACTCCACCTGGAGAAGGTGAAGATGACATGAAATTCCCCCGGCGGGCCGCGGATTAGCCCATGATTGTAATCTTGGTGTCATCTCCTCCAAAAGCAGCAATGTTATTCTTTACCCGGACTAGAGCAAGTTTTTGATCGTAGAGACCAAAGTTCACGCCCTTAAGAGAGAGTCGCCGCTTTGGGCCTTGATTATGTTAGATGAAGCATAGAAGCCAAAAATGCCCAAACGGTAGTTAATGTTTACGGCAATAATAGGAGTTTTGTCGGAGAGAGAACGGAGGACAAGCCGTGAAGGATCTGTTTGCTGAGATTAGCAGATATATCATTGAAGTTAGCTCGCAATATCAGATTACGTGCCGGACACTGGATCCGTGCCTGAGCCACCAATAAAGCCACCACCGTGAATCCAAATAAGCACAGGCAATCGAGTTGTCTGAGCATCGATATTGTGCTCTGCGAGTGCCTCCTTACTTGGACGTACGATGAAAAGATTCAAGCACTCGAACTCGTCCTGACGAGCGTCCGGGTAAGGCAAGTATGATTGAAACGCTCGCGTGTCGCTTTTACCAGGCGTAGGACACCGTGGACTGGGGAGTAATCAGAACCCGTTGTGTCATGAGCCAAGTCCGTGTCCTCGCGAACATTTGCGTGCAAGATGAAGGCCTACCCGTGCTGCGTAGCGTCAAAAACATCACGCGGTAAACAATGTCTCAGGCGCGAGTGCTCCCATCTTCCCGGCACTTGAGCAAATGGTATGTCACGAAACTCCTCGATATAATCCGAGATGACCGATCGCTTGCCGACAACAGCTTGGATGTTTCTCAGAAAAAGAGGACGCCATTCCAATTGTTCTTCTTCACGGCTGGCCAGGTAGCTTTCTCGAATTCTTACCAATGCTTGATCTCGTTAGGAATAAATATGAGCCAGCAGAAGTGCCCTTTCATCTTATTGCACCATCTCTGCCAGGCTATACTCTTAGTTCAGGGCCACTCTCAGGACCAAGCATGGGTGGGTGAAGATCCAGCACGGATAATCAACAATGCCCTCAAAATGCTCGGCTTTGATCAGTATGTTGTACAGGGAGGAGATGTGGGATGCCTCATCGCTTCCCTTCTAGGTACGACATATGATTCCGTTATTGGAGCCCATCGTAAGTTTAAAAATAGTTTATAAAGCCGAGACAACACTAAAAGGCCCAGTCAATTTGCTACCTAGTCTGGATCAAGTTGAAGTCAATGATCCGAATCTTACGGAAATGGAGAGAAAGGCAGTTCAGCGAAGCAAGGAGCGCTTTCAAACGCCGACAGTGGGAGCTGCTATTATGAATAGCACCTAACCTGCTACTATTGGAGCCGTAATGTCGTCAAATCCTCTCGCTCTGTTAGCTTGGTAAAGCTCACATTCTTCCGGCTCTCTTTTGGCATAGCTAATTGTTTCAAGGATTGGGGAAAAGTTTTTAGAGTGGCCAGAGAACCATGTCAGCGTTGACGAGGTATTGACTGGCGTGACCCTGTATTGGTTCACCGACAGCTTTCCACGCTGCAGCTATACTTATCGTGACACCTTTCTCGTGAAGCCTCCCTTCTCTCAGCCATTTAATGACAAGCCTTTCGGCTATTCATGGTTCATGCATGAACTTGCGCCAAGGCCTAAGAAAGTTGTGGAAAAGAAGGGCCGTCTGGTTTTCTATCGGCAGCACGAGAACGTAAGTAATAACCCTCAACTACTCAGGTCAACGACATCCCACTTAATGTTGATAAGGGTGGACACTTCGTGGCCCTTGAGCGACCTGTAGAATTCCTACAGGATATCGAGGATTTCATGGACGTGGTTTTGAAGGAGCATTAATTCTATTGCCGGATCAAGACCCGCTAGGGTAGTCGCGGCATGTGAAAGAAATAACAGACTGATGGAGGGTTGGATAGCATGTTGAATAGCCTACGGCATTCGTTCACTTGCAACAAAAGTCTGTGTGCATATCAACGTGCTGAAAATGAATTCTTGCGCTCTTTCGCACCAAAGCTTTGATACACAGTTCAAGTAAGAGAATCAAATCGTTGACTAGGATCATCTTCAAAATAGCCCCAGTCACCTTTGATAAAGCCTTTGAGCTCAGCAAAAAATTCCTCAACCTGATTGAGAGCAGGTGAGTACGTTGGCAGATATACCTATTTCACACCAGCAATTGCACACATCTGCGCAATCTTCTCAGCACGACGGAACGACGCATATTACATCATAAGAACGGACTTGAGCTTCAACCGTGGTCCGCAGTGCTGAAGAAGCTCAGCAGTGAAGTCCTTAAACATCACCGTTTCAATCGAGTCACGGAAAACATGTGAAGGGACCACAACATCTTGAGCATACACTGGCAGCATCTGGCAACGCTGGTCGCGATGTAACCGGGATACTTGCACCGGAGCCTTGCCAAGTGGTGGCCATTGTGTTCATCAAAAACCCACGCGTTACCACATCCAGATTCGTCAACGTACATCGAGGGAGACAAATGATAATTCGATTAATCATGCATTCAAAATCTTCCTTCAACCGGAATTTTGCTGTCTTCCACTCTGCCGAGACACGTTCTAAAAGTAAACGTGGGCAACGAGAGCCCTTCGAATGCTCAAGGTGGTTGTCTGCGTCTCGAAATTTGTCTCACAGAAAGACAACCATCTCGTCTGAGTAGTGGGATGGAATCTTGACAAAGTGATCACGTAGTGCTTCCAGCATCTGGAGAGTGATAGCGCCCCGCCAACCGACCAGATTTCCGCAAAGATTTTGTGAATGTTTTCGATCGTGTAATCGCTTCAACCAACGTGCTCGGCCATTTCAGAATTTAGCAACCGGTGATGTATCATACCACGAGAACCATAGCTTCCAAAGATACAGTCTCGGTGCCGTATTGCTCTGAGAAAAACTTCATATAGTGAGTGATAGGTGTTGACGCAAAAATCTGGAGCATATCTCAGGATGAGTATTTCATGTCTTCTAATACGTGTCGAAATGCTGGCTAGCCGAGCTCGGCAGCGCTTCTGACAGCAGTTGTGCAGCGTTCACGACTGCGGTAAGAAAGCAGTGAGCAGATGTCAGAAATAAAGTATTGTAATAGATATGTATTTTATCGTCCTTGGCTTCATATAATGTAAAACAGTACATGCTCGCAGTTCTACCATCATTCCCTTCCCTCTCATTCTCTTACTCCAAGTCAATCTCTTATATCCCACACTTGCTCGCACCATGCCATCGTGTCGTCCAAGATCTCACTGCGACTCCCCCTTTGTCTCTTCGGCAATCTGCGCCTGCGCCATCGGCCTATACTCCTCCACATCCCAGTTTCTTTCCTGCGGTTGCGTCAAGTGGCGACTGAGTTGGATCTGTATTCACCCATCCTATTGGAGTAGGAATTGCATAACTTGTGCTTCCGTTTAGTGTCTACCGGCCCTTACTTTCTGACCTTCAGTTTCATTATGGGGAGAAACACTTTCCGCCTTTCTGTCCCTTCTCTGGTGCCCGTCAGGAACTGAGGTCTATGGCAAGCAAGCCTAGGATGTCGACCATGACATATTCTTATCTGTAGAACCCCAACCCAAATAAAGCTTCTGCCTTTCTTTGCTAGACACCTTCATGCGAATGTTTCGTCGTTATGCGTCTTGTAAAACATGGAACAACTCCAAAACTGGAGGACGCGACAGTCTTAGTGGCTGTTCAGCAAGTGTCACGAAAGTTGAGCCGCGAAAAGCAGGTCCAGGCACCCACCCGAAGACGTCAAAACAGACTTGAATATTTCCGAGGGTCGCGATCGTCATTTGATATATAGTGGCAATGTCGACTATTTCTTCAAAGCCTTCATCTAGTCGAAGGTAAATGGATTTTCAGATACACTGGGACCGAAAGCCGCCTTCTTTCCGGATCATTTTGCTGTAGACGGACACTCGTGCTTTGTTTAAACCGGCAAAGACGATTGGAGAGGAGAGGAGTCCCAGAACTACCCGCGGGCGTCATAGTGGATTATGCATCTGTCTGTTGGCGGCTGGTTTCAATCACGCAAGGAACAAATTAGGTACATGAGGCATGAAGACTTTGCAGCAAGCTTAGAATTGGGTAAAGGCTGCTTCCTGATGCCCCGAGCACATAGCAATCATTTTATGTCACGAGGGGTTCTGCCGAATTCGAAATCAGATTCCCTCGCATGTACTCACAGATTATTGTTTCAGCCTTCACTAAAGACATTAATCCATGCCAGGTTGAGCGGCAGATCTCCCAGCGGCTAGAAGTAGTTCAACTACAAACCAGGCCTCTTTTACAGCTCTTATCGGCACTTCCGATTTTGAGGGGTTGGCAAGGGGGAACTACAAGGTTTTCGGGTAGCTGCGTTCCGATTCGTCATCCCGCACGGCGACGCGTCGCAAAGGCTGCCAAGCAGTAATTCCCCATTCGTCTGTGCCTTCATTATTCCCCAGGTTTTGGGAGTCTAGCTTTAGAAAATCAAGGCTGATCTGCTATAAATCTCTTTACATCCCGTTGATCTTGGTCTCACATCTCTTTCCTTCTTATTCTCTCATATTGGATTACCAATCTCGCGATCCAATCCCAAGGGCAGCCTTGACAACACCCGTGGCCACAAATGGATCCAGAGAAGGTCGCTCCAACCGCGGAGCACATTGACGCTACTGTAGTCGAGTTCCCGTCCCTCTTACGGCCAGTAATGCTGAGAAGAGAATAGCAAAGCGTGGAGTCTCTGTCCGACGAACATCGCGAGTATCTAATTCGGAGGCATGGCACGGCTGAATTAAGTCCACTGCCTGATATGAATGATGCAAACCCGTACAATTGGCGGCTTTCAAAAGTATATGCGTTCCCTTGGATTCCGTAGATCGCTCAGCTAACTTCAGCGAAGAAACTTATCAATTTACTTCTTGTTGCCTTCCATGGCTTGATGTCGACTTTCACGGCGGCATCAATACAGTCTGCCTTTCACAACATTGCAGTTGACCTTGGAGTCAGCATACAACGCGCCAGCTATCTCACTTCCCTTGTTATAGCAATTCTTGGTGGCGCTCCAGTTTTTTGGAAACCACTTTCTGATCGTTACGGTCGACGCCCAATCTTCTTAATCTCGCTTGTCGGGAGTCTGATTGGCAACGTCGCCTGTGCAAAATGTCACTCATACGCAACAATGGGATTGTGTCGAGCGATTACCGCGTTCTTTATCTGTCCCGCTGGTGCGCTAGGCAGCGCAGTCGTCTCAGAGTGTTTCTTCAAACATCAAAGAGCGAGATATATGGGCATGTGGACTGTGATGATCAGCCTTGGTGTGCCAACAGCGCCTCTGATATTTGGATTTGTTGCAACCCGAGTTGGATATAGATGGATCTATTGGGTGCTAGCCATCGTAAGGATCTCGAGAAAAGTCATTCTTTTGACTAAGGACACTAAGATGTTGAGCAGACGAACGGTGTGCAATTCCTCCTCTATCTCATCTTTGGCCACGAAACGCGCTACGTACCCGGTCGGACGCCTACTTCGCTTTTCAAATTTAAACGAATCGACACGACTCCTCTGACTCTTTGGGACTTCATCAAACCGTTCACATTTGTATATCGGATGCGGGTCATGATACCTGCATTTTCGTACTCTATGGTCTTCTTGCTCGCAGGAGTGTTCATCACCATCGAAATTCCCCAGCTCTTTGTTGAACAGTTCGGCTTCAACGCAGAGCAGATTGGCCTGCAGAATATTGCCATAATCATCGGCACTCTTATTGGGGAACAAATTGGAGGTTCTGCATCTGATCAATGGATGGCTCAGCGGCGTAAGAAGGTTCACAATGTCAAACCGGAATATCGACTTTGGCTTAGCTACCCCGGTTACGTCCTTGCTACGGTTGGTATTATTGTATTCCTGGTGCAACTGAACAATGCCGGCCAGCATTGGAATGTGACTCCTCTCGTTGGTGCAGGCATAGCCGCAGCTGGCATGCAAATTGTGACCACGGTGCTTGTGACGTACGCGGTTGACTGCTATCCCAAGCAATCTTCATCCGTGGGAACTTTCATAACTTTCGTTAGGCAGACCTGGGGATTTATTGGTCCATTCTGTAAGTTGCTGATTCTTTTTTGCTGCTGATGATACTAATTTTGGACAGGGTTTCCGCCAATGCTTCGTACTGTTGGACTCGATGGTAGTTGCGGAATCACTACAGCGCTGATTATTGTCGGAAGCGTAATTCCAACCATCGCGATTCAATGGAGTGGTCGCAAGCGCGTAATTAAGGAGTAGATCAGACGAGAATTGCCAGCAAGACCTTCATGCCCTCTGATTGTCACTAGCAGATTACCCAAAATTGAAGATATTTAATCCAAAGTCGGCATTCATGAAATCCATTCCATTTGCATGAGGCATTGAAAAATAATCAGCTGTGGATTGTGAGACCAGCTGCGCGTAATATTCATCGAATCCCAGCTCAGTTGGTGCACTCGACGTCTTCACATTAGATTGCAGATTAGAATGCTCCGCATGTTGTTCCGTAGTCGACGCTGTAAGCTGTTAGCGGATAAAGGTGAGGTTTAATAACGGGATGAGATTACTCAGAGAATCAAAAACATGAAGAAATTTGTGAAGTGCGTGCCGACCTCTTAAGCTCATTAAGCTTTGCTGGCCAACAGCACCAAGCACTTCAAGGCCAAATTCAAGTGTCTTTCGAACCATGGAGGTGTCGATGGATGTGATGTGAGCTGAGAAGGAAACCCGGTAAAGTATGAGCATTGTCCCGAAAAGGTGCAAAGACGCTGTAAAAGCTACGCTCACAGGTCAGGACTAGCATTCTCCGCCAACGCGGTCGCTTAAACGTACCATTGAAATTGCAGATCCACCATGCTGCATTGGATAACATGAACTTTGGCGCATGATTCACTAGATGTGACACAACTTTGAGCAGTTCGCTGGCCGCTTCTATGTCTTGCTCCAACATTTGTACCAGAGCTCCGAGAAGTGGATTCGACTTCGGTGTGAGCTTCGCTTCTGCTTCCCATGTTTGCAAACAATTCAGTAGGAATGGGCCATTAATCAACATGGTGACTGCATGTAATTGGATCATCAGGAGTATCCGAAACCTGTTCGAATTGCAAAGCTGTGAAGACCAAGTTTGGACTTCGTTGGACGAAGGAAGATCGAAGTGTAACGCACAATTTGAACGCCACGTCTCGAGTTCACAAATTAGTTTCAGTCGGCTCACTGCAAGTTCTTTTGCATCGGTTGACGACTTCATGGAGATGTTATAGTCGTAAATCTTTACAAGAGCTTCGTATCGAAAAGCTTGTAGCGAACTTGGAGGACGTATTAGTAGCAGTAAGCCGTAGCACATTGAAGACAGCTTACGTTAAAAAGTTGAAGTACAACAAGCCTTCGTGATGATGTTTAGAGAAGGATGGCATTTGCTCCATAGCCAAGGCTTCGTGTGTTGGGGCCATAACTTGGACGTGTTCTGCTGGTATTAAACACGGGCGACCAAAGCTGGTGCTGAGAAGCCTATCCTGATTGATGACGCCAAACCAGAGCCTTTTACGTAGCTCTCGCATCTGCGCCCCATGTACTTCGTATGAGCTGGGCGCATGCAGGCCTTGTTGGATAGCTGTTTTGACTGCTAGTGCATGATATGTCCAGCTTATTGTTGAGCGTTGGGTGTTCTGCTGGAAGCTGCAAAGTAGCAGCAAAGCTTGAACTATAATCAGACACTAATGTTAGTATTTCTGAAGCATTACGGCAAGTAAGTGACACAAGTGGTCAACCAGTTGATCTTTACGCTAGTGTGCTAGCAGTCGAAATGAAAAATCTGGGCGACGTTCTACTACTTACTAAGTTCTAAACTGGCTCCATGAAGAGTATACGCCTCCAACAACACTACTGCTCTATCGTAGAAGTCTTCAGCATTAGTAGGATTTACAGTTAGCGATGCATGTGCGCAGATGATATTCAGTAGAGCGCGACCCGATCTCGTCGTTCGCCATACCGCATCTTTCGTCAGCGGAAGAAAGGCGCTCTTCTCCACAAATGGCAGCACAGCACCGGTCGTAATAAAAAAATGATTCAACAATTCTACCAGTTCCTGTTCTTGCGGGACCACAAACGGCTCAACGATTCTGTGCGCATCCCGACGCCTCCGTGTCTGCTCTGGTGAAGGGCTAGGCGAACGAAACGAAGAATTTGAATGATACTGGCCGGGATTGCGACTTACGTGCTGCTGAGACTGGACCATAAGTGGTATTTGGTACGCAAAGGCCGCGGAAAGCGTACGCACAAAGGCATGGTTGGATGCGGCGCCGAAGTAGCCGATATTTCGCTCCGGGAGCTCGTTAAAGACTTGAGTCGCTAACTCGTCCACAGTTGCTTCATCCTCGACTGGCAAACGCTCAACGTGCTCCTCTGTGGCCGATGGAGCAGGGGTATCGATCGCATGGGAACCAGTCGTTGCACGAGAGTTAAGTCTTGCCTCCAATTCTTTAACTTTGCGACTTAACTCCTCGTACGTTCTTCGACACCAAATCTTGTAAGCAAATAGACATCTTCAAGATCCCGGACAGGCGTCCTTACGGTCTCTTTTCTGCAGTCTTCCCGGACTCTGGGGGTGTGATTTGCTCAAACATGCATTGCAGAGAAAGGCGGGAGCATGCTGAGCAAACTGGCCTCACACCGTCACACTATTACAACTTTAGCCTTCAAAATGTGTAGGTTACGAGTTCACGTTAATTACGCGAGATTTCCGCTGCCGACACGCGTTGCAAGCAACGTCAACTCTCCTGCGCTTCGGTAGACGCGCAGATGCCGAAGCGAGTCCTGCATTAAGCCCTTCTGGAGGGGTGTGTTCTTCCATCAAATAAAAATCCAGATACTATAGACTGTAGGATGAGAGGGATCCTGAAATATTTCCTGAATTTTTTTCATAGCATGAGGTTTTGGAAGCACGACTTCCACCTAGCGCTCTGCATGCGGAGGTACGGAAGATTCACGACTCAACTTCGGGGCAAGGGCACTTTGAGTCACATGACGCAATGTCTCACTGGAATCTTGCGACGAGGGCGACAACGCATACGATTGGAAAGCTGTCCGCAATGGCAGTTTTAAAGACAGTAACAATTGAAGTTCTTAAGGCTAGTTAAAGACGAGTGTATTAAAATGTTTAAAATGCTACACAGCGAGCAAAAAAAAAAAAAAAAAAAAAAAAAAAAAAAAAAAAAAAAAAAAACCAGCGAAACGTCTAACATAGGTTAATTGAACAAGGATATATCAGGATATATCAGGCATTCCCGCACAACTCGTTCAGTCCATTCTGCACCATTGTATGCTTGTCCACTCGCTTGGGATGCTCTCTGTCCATTCTATCCACCTTCTAAAGAAATCTCCCACACAACCAATTTGTCTCCAAATATTTCCCGCATGCAGAAATACATTACGGAAACGTCTGTACAGTCAACAACCTGGCGCTTGAAGGCCTTGCCTGTCTTGCTATCAATGAGAAAATCATACTCCGGCCCCAATAAATGGCATCCAGTAGCATTGTCTGTACAGTGTGCTTCTTGAATAATCACCTCGCTGCTCTTATGCGGCTCGGCAAGCGTGAGCCTTTTCTCGTTGAGAACAGACATCAACACGTACGCGTCCCACGAGATTATCACGGAGGCCCAGGTTGTGTTGTGCACGGATAGAGTTTGAGTAAGGGCCGCAGCTAGTGTACCCAAAATTTGATATTTCAATAAGTAGGCTCATGTTTCCGATTTGATATAGGTTCGATGCTTATATGTGCTTTCTCAGCGGAATCGATGTGTGAACTGGATGACGCAGCCGCCATGTAAGGCAATGTGGGACTGTTAGAGATATGGGCTGGCTGCAAGAAATCCCATGATCAGAAACGACGTATCTACGTTTGCATGTTTAGCTGCCGGACACGGTCTGGCTCATGGGTGAGCGTTTTTGTTTTACAAACTCAGCCAAATAAAACTGAAGTGGTCTGCAACCTCTATGCATCATAGACCTTATCTCTCCAATATTCTGAGGACGAAAGTTTAATATTCAGGCGACTGAAAGCAATTGTGGTAAACCAGGAAAAGTCCTATTAGCGCGATCGTATTGAGCTACCTTGCTGCTGTCAACGACTCTCAGCCTACGTACCAAATCAAACGTGGAACACGAGGACACTCCAATCATAACTATCCACAATCCACAAATCTTCGAAATATTCAAACCTCCTCTCCGTTTTTGATCGATAAGCGCGGTTAAGGACGCATACGCTGAAGGTGGCAAGCAATAGGGGTATCTGAAAGGCAATTTGGCCAAACACACTTTGGGGAAATATGGCGGTAACGACAAGTTTATGTAAGAGATTTGCTGATATTTGGGCAGCCAGGAGGTCGATTACGAAGTAATCTTCGAAAACGGTGTGAAAGGAGGCGCTGGACAAGTTCAGGCAGTCTTGGTATGCCATTCAGACACCGTATCGTGGATGCGTTCATTTTCTGTGCCCCACTGGTTGTCAAGTTCCTCAAGTGCCTTCAGCTGGCTTTGCATCATCTCCAACTAAAAGAAGATCAATCAGCATAAGTCCAATGATCCGAATACATGACATGAGGAGGGCAATACAAAGGACGACCCGTCCAAACAAGCCGTCTCATGCAGCGCGTCCATGAAACAGACAAACACTACAGCAGAACATTTGCTAGGGAGGGAGGCTCACACTGCCTTCAACAGGACTGGAGACGGACGCACCACTACCTTCGGCTGGTTCGGGGGCATGTTTGCTTTGCTTCAGGCCAGGGCTCGACTTCGCGGGCGCACCCTCAAGAATTTTCATGGACTCCTCAAGTTTAACAAGACGAGCTTTGAGCTCCTGGTTCTCGGACTGAAGTTCGGCGTTCTTGATAACCTGTTCACTGAGATGTTCTTCGGCTTCCTTGGCCACCTTAAGCTCATTGTCTTTGGCCTTAAGTTCCTCCGCGATCTTTGCAAGTTCAGCCTTCGACTGCGCCAGCGACACCGCAGACTCCTTCGCAGCAGCTTCTGCGGCAGAAAGCTTAGCTTCGAGTTCTGCTTTGTCAATTTTACCTGATTCGAGTTCATCTTTAAGCTCTTTTACGAAAGACTCCATACTCTGAGCCTTCTCCTCTGTTTGGGCCAGCTTAGCTTCAAGAACGCGGAGATTGTCCATGTGAGATGCTACAACCGATTCGAGCTCCTTCGCGCTCTTTGACTCACTTTCACTCAGAGCTGTCTTGTACTTTTCCTCGAGCTTGCTGAGCGCATCTGCATGAGCAGCTGACATTGATTCTATCTGTTCTTTCAACAGAGCATTGGTCTGCTGAATGGCATCCATATCATCGGAACTGGACTTGAGCTTGGCAATCTCAGCCGCATGAGTCTCTTGCAGAATGCTGAGTTCTTTTGAATGCGCCTCCTTTATTGCTGTGTGCTCATGTTGAAGAGCCTCAAGATCTGACTTCAGCTGCGAAATAGTTGCCTCGAGCTTCGACGTGTTTTCGGATCCTGCAGCTAGCGCCTCGGCGTGTTTGGCCTCAAAATCAGCAATGACGGATTGCGTACTAGCAGCAGCCTCCTCGAGAGCTGCAGCATGCTTAGTTTCGAGTTCCTTGATTGCTGCAGCATGTTGAGCTTGCAATTCAGACGTATCTCCAGCAGCAGCCAATGCCGCGGCGTGTTTATCCTCAAGCTCCTTGATTGCTGTGCTATGTGCGGCCTCTAGTTCAGAAATTCGGGACGCAAATGAAGTCTTTGACTCTTCTAACGCGGCTTGCAGGCTGGAAACCTCCTTGGAGCTGGAGCTTCTGGCTTCTTCTAGTGCATTCGCATGCTTGATTTCGAGCTCTTTGATGGCAGCCTACGCATGTCAGCTTGTGCCCTTTGCCTGCTTTTGGATTGTAGTGGCAGAGAACGAGAATTGGGCCAGCACGAGAAGGTCTTGGTTGACAACATGACCTCAGGTTATAAACGGTGCAATTAACGAAAAAGACATACCTCATGACTTGCCTGTAGGTCCGAAAGCTCCTTGGCTCTTGCAGCCCTTTCGTCATTCAGAGCTGCGGCATGTTGAGCTTGCAACTCAGACGTGTCGCTTGCAGCTTGAAGTGCAGCTGCATGCTTGGCTTCTAATTCGGCAAGGACAGCTGAGTGCTTGCTCTCGAGCTCCGAGATGGTCTTCGCATGTTGAGCGGCAACTTCAGCATGTGCAGCTTTTAGGTCCTCAAGTTCTTTTGCGGCTGTGGCGCTTGCATCTGCGTGCTTGGATTCGAGCTCTTGTAAGGCAGCCTTAAAAAACGTCAGTTTTTAGCCTGTACTTTAAATTTCGCAATTGGGTGACAAATGTCACAACTTTGATCTCCTCCAACCTTCATTGCACATTCGGAGGGTTCATCACTTACTTCATGTTGAGCCTGGAGACTGGCACTTCCAGCAGCCTTCGCTTCTTCCAAAGCAATGGTATGAGCAGCCTTCAGATCTTCCATTTCCTTGGCTGACTCATTTGCAGATTTTGTGTATAACGCCTTCGCCGACTCCAGCTCAGCTGTAAGGGCAGCAATTTGCTCTTGCAAGGTCGAAATTTCAGAAGATCCAGCAGCCTTAGATGCTTCGAGAGCTGAAGTATGGTTGGACTTAAGATCTTCCAGTTCCTTGTCATGCTTTGATTGCAAGTCCGAAATAGTCGAATTGTGAGCTGCTTTTGCGGATTCCAGTTCTTCAGTCAAGATTTTGATCTTGTCCTGAAGAGCAGCTATTTCTGAAGAGCCAACAGACTTGGCTTGTTCCAGTGCTACGGCGTGAGCCTGTTCGAGTTCACCAATACGAGCAATAGCATCTGCATGGAGTTGCTTGGCCTCTGCTAGCTCTTCCTGTAGTGCAGATATCTGACTTCCAAAGGCGGTTTCGTTTTGGCTGGCAGCTGCTACTTGAGCCTGGAGTTCATCAATCTTGGAGGCGCTGTCACCAGATGCCTGTCTAGCAGCTGCCAATTCTGTTTGAAGGGCCTCAAGTTGGGATGATGACGCTTGCTTAGCAGCGGCCAATTCCTCCTGAAGTGATGCGAGGGATGAACTGGCATCAGCATGAGACTGCTTGGTAGCTACAAGCTCAGACTGAAGAGCTTCAATCTGTGAAGCAAGTCCTTTTTCGCCATCTTTTGCGGTCGCGAGCTGCGCTTGGAGCTCTGCGATCGTGTTGTTGAGCCCTTCGGCTTGCTCCGAGGATGCATTTCTTGCCGTACCCAACTCAGATTGAAGATCGTCAACAGTCTTCTGTAGGGCAGCCAATTCATCCGCAGACTTTGCAGAACCAGACTCTAAAGATGCAGTTGCATCTGCCAGTTGCGACTTTAGCGCCTCGACATCGGCTGTCGCCTTGTCAAGGCTGGCCTGCAATTCTTCAACTTTGGAGGCCTCCTCTTTTGCAGCAGCAAGTTGACTCTCAAGTTCTGCCGCCTTTTGCTCTAGCTCCTGAATCTGAACTTTCAACGACTCAGCTTCGGCAACACTCGCAGATGCGTCGGCGGGAGGAGCAGGCTTAGAAATCGACGCTCGTTTAGTTGCGCTTGTCGCGGAGCTAGGCGTTGCTCGTGCTGTAGCAGAAGCTGGCTTTGCAGGCGGTGCCATGGAAGATCTAGTTGCTGATGCTGCCGAAGGTCGAGTAGTGGTCCTTGCAGCTGAGGCTGTTGCCGCAGGAGCCACGGTCGAAGAGCGAGCTTTCGTTGGGCTTGTCACGCTGCTCTTTGATGCCGCAAGTGAAGTACGAGGCTTCGAACCATCCGTCGAGGACGTCGATGCAGTACTCATACGCTTATTCAACCCATTGGCACTTGTGGTTGTGGTGGACGGGCGAGCTGCCGATGATGTGGTCGTCGGCCGGGTCGGGGGCTTGCTCAAACTACTCTTCACAGCTGTGGACGGAGACGTCTTGCTCGCCGTCGCTGAGCTAGCCGTAGCACGAGCCGCGCTGGTTGTTGTAGGCTTCTTGACGGGCGGCGCGGAGGTGCGTGAGCCCGGCTTTGCGTTTTCCATGGCCTTTACCCGGGACGCTACTGAGGACGTCTTCGCGGCCTTCGGCGATGCTTTCTCTGCGTCCGTCGACAGTCCCTCGTGGTCGGTCACGGGAGCTTCGGAGCCCGATAGCACGTCGGCTGCCGATGCTGGGGCGGCATCAGATACTACCTCTGGCTCGGAGACATCGGCCATTCTGCGCAGTGCTGTCGCAATGGGAAAAGAGATCGGGAAATAGACTGAATCAACAAAGACCTGAAGAAGACCAAGGCAAGCAGCTGGATGGACTTCCCGACGAGCTGTTTAAGGTGGGAGAGCGTTTGATGTACACGTCAAAAAAAGCTGCGCTGTCGGACGCGCCTGCTTCCTTGACCGTACTCGATGCAGGGTGCGCTCGCTCCGCATAGGGCGGCCAGCTCTCACCCAGTTCGGAAATGCGGGTCGCCCTTGCTTTTTCTGCGATTCCGCCGACGAGCCAATGGAAGGCGCCAACGACGCTGGCATCATCTCCACATTACTCGGGCACTGCATGAGACGGGATGTGTGACGGTGTGCAGGCATTTTTGCATGAGAAGGTGAACGTGGGCGTTCGCTGTTCGAGAGCATATCTTGTTGCCACCGCGTTGCTCTAACGTGCGGGAACGGTTCTCCACGACCTGACATCCCAGGGAACCCTTGGCTGCTCGGTGCGGAACTGTTGTACCTGCATTCGATGGAGGGTCCACATTTCCACTGTATGCCGTGCTTTTAACTACAGTAGACTACATACGCTTCCCACGTCTCATTATGAGTTCACGCAGCAACGCCCCGAACCGCCTCATAACGCAAGTGGCCGATGAATGAGCCTGCGTAGCAAAGCTACCCGAATCAAGCAGACCAACCTGTGGGCGTGATCTGCTGTTCCCCCCGTCCAGTCATAACAGTCTTTGCTCTGTGAAGGCTCCGATATTCGAGGGCCTTTCTCGGTGTGGCCATGAGCAAAAAAAAAGAAAAAGAAAAGGGCTCAACCGCGATTCGAACGCGGGGCCTCTCGCAACTCTGTGGGACGTACCCAAAGCGAGAATCATACCACTCTGACTGCTGTTAGCCGAGAAGATAATCCGGGATGCGAACTTTACATACAGACCATTGAGCCGTTTGATTCTTCGTGTGATCATTAGCAGGCTATTTCTCCAATTCACACATCAATTTGTGCACCGCGCGTCTCCATGTACGCTTCTTACAGTCACAGCACCAGGTCTATGCAGGCGTTGATATTCAATTTGCGGCTCTGACTCCAGCTCCACTCTGCTGATTACTGTTGCTCAATCCGGAGAGAGGCTCTAGCATGGTGGTATATGCTGCAGCGCCGTGGGTCTTCGAGATGCCAGTGCCCCTGGGTTGGGTTAGCAGAGAATCATGCCGCTTCTTTATTCATAATGCTCAGTCCAAGTTTGGAAACCCACGTCTGTTGTTCTTTTGTGAGTGGCAACAGACAGACTCATCTCGCCAGCCAAATTTGCTTACCGCGTTTATTACCAATGTCTCCGGTCATGGCGCTAAAGTGATGCTTAGCAACTTAGATAACCCAGTCAAAGGTTTGCGTACGCGAGGAGGGTCTGGGGTAGTTGTGTGTGGAGGACACATCAAGCACTCTCGTCGTTGAAAATCCGCGCTGAGGCTTTTTCAGAAGATAATCAATGATTAGAAAATCGGCCTTCGCACAATTCACTCCTGACTTCGGCCTTCCAAACGCATGGCGTCGTCGGACGTAACAACTTCTACCTATTTGCGATTGAGAAATGGAGCAGAAGGACGAAATGTGGTGAGAGTCATGGATGAGGTATGTTTGTTTTGACTACAATCATTCGACTGTTCTTAGTAACTATCAGTTTTCATCTTTTATAGCTCATGATCTGGTCTGAAGCAGGTGGAAAGGTTCTTGGGGGGTCCGAAGACATCACCAAGATGACTTCTATACATCGTCATGATTTCGGTAGGTGAAAAAAAAGCTTAGAAGATAGGGAACAGAATATGAGCCAGCAAAGCTGAGGGTGAAGTCCGTTCCTCAGTAACAAGATTTAGATAGAATTATACATATTATCACGATTATAAGGATTTTCCATGCGTCACATGACTTAGGGTCTGCTGCAGGATCGACCCTTCATTGGAAGATGACTCAAGCAACCAGTCATAGTTCATCGCATGAGTAAGGTCCGGATAGCAGTCGATACAGAGCACGACTGTAAATTATACATTCTCCTATTCGCAACCGTTTAGTTAAGAATTCCCATCCGTTCATTGTTGATGAATAACTTTCAATAGTGATCTCAAAGCGTTAATAGTGTTCGCAACCGGTTGATATCTAAGGGTCTGATACTCCTAACACAGCAAGAGTCAGTCAAATAGGACACCATGCCTTTTTTGATCCGAGTTTAACTCAGCACATACAGAAATGAAGATCCTGTCTTTTGAATTCAAGAACTTGATTAATATTGACTCAAAGCCGTTCCGACTACAGCGTGTCTCATCATTCAGCTGGATTGAAGAAGTGAAAAACTCTGGCGGAATAGGCGAGAGAATGCTAGATTTGCAGTCAAAAGAGTCAAGTTTCGGTGTTGGAACTCTTAAGATCCATGCTTCTCGTACCGTGCATATGAACATTAGGAATAGAGGAAGGTGCATAGATATCTCATTTTTTTTTTCAAGGTAATTCGTAGAAGCTAACCTGACATACTGGTATGATGAATCTCTAAAACTTCGCTTCGAAGCCGTACTCCTTCAACTTTGCGGCCACTCTCTCCTTTTGTTTGGCAACGGCTTCAATGATGGGCCCATTTCGCTTGTTCTCATTTCTGCCCAACTGCTGCAAATGAACCTCATCTGGCCCATCTGCAATTCTGATTGTGCGCATATGTGCCCACATGCTTGCTAGCGGAGTATCTTGACTCACGCCGGCCGCACCATGTGCTTGGACGGCCCGGTCGATGACCTGCAGAGCTATGGCCGGGACCATGACCTTGGCAGCAGCAATCTCGCGCTGGGCTCCCTTAGCGTCTGTCTCGTCAATCTTAATGGCTGCATTGAGCACGATAAGCCGCGCAGCATCGATCTCCATACGTGATCGAGCAATCCACTCCATAATGACACCGTGCTGGCTGAGTTGCTTGCCGAAAGTCTTGCGAGCCGGATCATTGACACGAGCGATCATGAGTTCGAGAGCTTTCTCAGCCTATGGTGCACAGTTAGCGTTCTTCGGCGAAAATTGGTGTTCAGGTGCATAGCGTACCGATCCAAGAGACCTCATCGCGTGATGGATACGACCAGGTCCAAGACGACCCTGAATGATTTCAAAGCCTCTACCCTCACCAAGCACGAGAGCAGAAAGTGGCACGCGGACATTAGTGAATGTGATTTCGGCGTGGCCATGGGGAGCATCGTCATAACCATAGACAGACAGCATCCGCTCAATCTTAATTCCTGGCGTTCCAGCGGGAACAAGCAGAACAGACTGTTGCTTATGCGTGTCTGGATTATTAGGATCCGTCTTTCCGAGCACCACGTAGATCTTGCACCGTGGATCACCCGCGCCACTAGACCACCATTTCTTGAACGACTTAGCTAAAATTGTACACCCGAGCATCATCATCTACTCACAGAGCCATTGAGAACATACTCGTTGCCATCCCGTTTGATGCTCAACTCTATGTTTCGAGCATCCGACGAAGCAACTTTGCGTTCCGTCATGAGGAAAGCAGAACGAATCTTTCCGTCTAGGAGTGGTTGAAGCCACTCCTTTTTTTGTTGCGCGTTTCCATACTTCGCAATAACCTCCATGTTACCGGTGTCCGGCGCGGCACAGTTGACAGCCTAAATGCGAGCTATCAGCACAGTAATACTGGAGACACGCTAGATCGCACCTCCGATGCAAGGCTTGATTTTCCAAGAATGCCAGCAATCAGTCCGTATTCTAGATTGGTCAGGTCGAACCCTTCAGCATAAGCATGCTTGCTAAGGAACATGTTCCAAAGCCCGAGCTTTTTAGCTTTCTCCTTGAGATCATCAATGATAGGTGGATAGAAGTTCCACCTGTCTTTGGCTGCCGCCAACTGGGCTCTAGCAACGGCATCTCCTGGTATACCTTTTACAGAAGTTAAATAGGTTCATGATTCCTTCTCAGTGCTGGAACACCAACATTCTTCTTCAACAAATTTTTCCACCTTTCAAGGCGGTGAGCTATTATCTCATGTGGATTGGAGCATAGACTCACAATATCGAGCAATTTCCTGGCCTGGGGACCAACCTTGTGGGCGATCAGAGGAGGAATCGTCGCAGACATTGTAGAGGCCTGAATATCAATAATGATTTTAATTCAAGATGCAAAGTGTAGACCAGAATGTTGAAAAGAACGAGAACTTTGAATGTCTTTTAACAAGACGTGTTACCGAGCTGTCTGCGAGGATATGTTGCTACTATGCACCCCAGAGTCTGGGGTAAGCCTCGGATCTGGCAACCCCGCCTTGGAACGAATCCAAGGACCGATCCATTTCGTATTTCAATGCCCGATACTGCTTCTGAAGCTTTAGGACTATACCAAGAAAGCTCCAATTAGGTGTGGAATAGCAGCTCGTGCTTCGCGATTATTAATTGAAGAACAATAACTGCAGCGAATATGAAGTGGTGCAGCCCTGGTGCCGCGGCTTCGCCCAGAGGAGACGTGCCAATAATTACCAGGATATAAGATCTCGTGCAAGTCCTTCGTATCATAATCGACGAGTTACAGCCATTGATACGGTCCTATGCAATAACGCCGAATATATGAATGTAGGTTAGGAAGGCTATACGTCTTGCTCGAGCGAGAGACAAGAGGGGAAGTATCCCCGAACCTTTTCCGCACTAACAAAGTCGACGTCCTCGCCCACCTTAGTTCTCCTCTACACAATGCCTTACGACAGATGTCATATTTCGGACCAAAGTGTCTCGATCACATTCTATTCGACGGCGCGAAAATTCTGCTACCAGACCCGATTCCTGCGTACAAGTAGTTTCAATGCGCCTTTTGGCCATTTGCCGCAGCATCGGTCCGGTCCGATTGTGTTTAGTGTCGATCGCTCCATCAGCCCTACAAATGTCGTGATGACGCCGATAGAATCAAAAAGCGCAATTTTTCCTTTGCAGGCCTGCAATCATCCTCACTGATGAGCTCTGCGGCGGAAGAGGCGCGGGACGCGCATGCGGACACTGATGACGTCTCGAAGAGAATCCCATACTACAGACGCAATGTGCGCAATTATATGACATCGATACCGATCTTGCTCTGCTGCTTCTGCTCCGGTCTCGTCGATTCCGCTGTCTTCAACGCATGGGGTGTGTTTGCTACCATGCAGACCGGTACTTGGCAATTTTCCGTCCGTTCTTTGTGAGTTCGGCTCTGATTGCAGCAACGTAGGAAATACCATCATCCTCGCTCTCGGCGCATCCCACCAGCCAGAGGGCCACCCGCGAGCCTGGCTCCAAGCCCTCCTCGCCGTATCCTTCTTCTTCTTCGGCGCCCTCTTCCACGCACGCTACACCCGAGCCACCGGCTCCCCACTACGCCATTTGACGCTCGCTTCAAGCTTTCTTATCCAATGTGCGCTTATAACGACTGCTGCTGCCCTTGTACAGTCCGGTGTCGTACCTGGCATACCAGCCAAGGAAAATGGTAGCAACAACCGTGGTGAGAGCGAGCCTTGGATCACGCTGATACCGATCCCAATGTTGAGTTTCCAAGCGGGCATGCAAAGCGTAACAGCGCGACAATTAGGCTTTAACGAGATACCCACGACAGTGCTCACGTCGTGCTTTTGCGATCTTGGAAATGACCCGAAGCTGTTTGCGGGCATCACGGAGAATTGGCAGCGTAACAGACGGATCGGGAGTGTAATTTCGATTTTGTTGGGAGGTATTATTGGCGGTTGGTTAAGCCGGACTAGCAATGGCATGCCAACTAGCATCTGGCTTGCTGCAGCGGTGAAAGGCTCTATTTCCGTTGCCTGGCTTCTATGGCAGGATGAGAAGCCTCAAGAGAGTGAAAAATGAAGGAGAAGCAAATTGCTTAGTTTTCGTATAGAGTAGATAATCTTAGACGTTAAGACATTGTTACAATACTCAAAAGGCTCATGCACAAGCAGTCAGTTTTGCTGCACGATGTTCATGACAAGATATACGCTCATTCGATTGGGTTCGTCCCTCTATTATGATGCAAGTATCTGATCGGCGATAAGTCCGAAGATGATGAAGATGTTTTCCCAATCATGAACCTGGCCCTACATGATCTCCCAGAATATGTCCAAAGGACTTCAAACCTTATAAAAGCAAAACGCATGGTAGAAGCTCGCTGCTTCCATTTCTTCCTTCTCCACAAGTAGTTGATCATTTCTGCTCTTCACACCCATCCGCTCCGCTAGCTCAGCAAACTCCCTATCTTGCTTCTCTTCCTCGAATACCTCCCTGAACTCCTTGCGATACTGGAGCTCGAGATTGAAGTCCTCGGCAAGGCCACGGAAAGACTCCCAAGGAACCACATATTCGGGTACAGTATCGACAGCTTCAGCGAGGAAGAAGAAGTACTTCCAACCAAATGGCGGACGGAAGACGCCATCAACAGGGGTGCGACTGGGGAATTGAACCCGATAGATGGAGTTGCTCCATTCAAGTGGTTTTTCAGGTAGCTTGTCATCCTTTTTAGAGACTTCATCTTTCGCATGGGCAGTGCCATTAGCTTCTAGCGGAGAGCCATTTTGTGCGGACGCTTCGTCCTTCGCTGCCTCTATAGGCTTTTCGGGATCCCACTCATTGTCACTATCGGCAAATGTAGGCCTATCATCATCGCTGTCCACAAATGTTGGTCTGTCATCCTCTTCATCACCTGCTTGATCTGGCTTCCGGCTCGCAGTAATAGAAGAAGCAGTTCCATTGGCCTTATGATATTCTTGTACCTTCGCAGAGATCACATCAGAGTTGGGAATCACCCCGATGAACTTTCCACCTTTCTTCAAGCTCCCTGCCACATTCCTGAGCATTATTTTGGCCTTTTCTTCGCTCTCGAAGGCGTAGTGCATGCAAAACATCATGCTTACAACATCGAAGCCTCCACCGCCCCATCTAGGGTCCAAACTCTTGTCGAAGCCGACCTCTCGCACTATGTTGACGTCTTGCAGCGACTCTCCAAAGCAGTCCTTCACTTGAAACTCGGCATGGAACAACCTGCCACGCGACTTTTGCCTCATCTCCCTATATCTGCCTGCAGCTTGTTGAATCGACACCTCGGCGGGATCCAAGCCCACGTACAGCTCGGGATGCTGATGTCTCCACTTCTGTAAGTCCCCGCCTTTGCCACATCCAATGTCCAAAATCTTGAAGCCTGGCTTCTGAGGTGAAAATTTCTTGATCAGCACGCTCTTTACCCAGTTATTATAAGACCGCAGGCCTTTGATGCTTGAATCCGTCCGCCGCCATTCTCGTCCATACTGAGGTACCGCGTTGTACGATTGCTTGACAAAATCCGAAACAGATGCTGAAGGGGCTAAGGGATCCTGTTGCGCTCGCTCGCGCTGCAATTCCTTTCTTTGCGCATCTTCAATCTGCGTCCGGCTGATACGCGCTGCGCCGGTAGGACGCTTTCGTTTTCGTGGAGGTGACGGAGGAGGAGGTGTCGGCTCTCGTAATAGGTCTGCTTTCTTTGCTGTATCATTGCGTTGTTGATCGTGCGTACGCTTCATACCCCGGTGCTGCTCAGGAGACTTTGATTTGGTTTCTACGTCTGCCATAGTGCGAGAATAGAGGCATAGACTAGAGAGCTCTGGTAGATAGAATGTACTTCTCTTTGGCAGCTTTTCACTCAGTTTGTGCTGCTCAATGATGTTTTTGAATAGCCACGAGATAGGGACAATTCAGGTGAGGTGTCGGAGGACGCAGCCTGACGGCGCTAACACGTGACCAGGCTGTAAGGCTTCGGTTAACTTGGCTTTTAGGACGACGGTCTATTCAAGGGTCAATAACGACTCCACCACCGCGTTCGAACGATCGTAGATATTAGGCGATACTTGTCCCGTGTAACACGGTTGAGAGAATCACGTGTAATGATTTCACGCTGCTTACACTTTAGATATCTATAGAAACCCAAATCAAGGCGTACCCTTTAGCACTGACGTCTGCGGTCATCATCGTATTCATGCACACTTTCGAGACGGTTAAAAGAGCTATGTGGAGACTTTTGCAATGGCTTCAATAGCAAGATGGCTTATTCTCGAGAAAGTGATCTTACGATCGACTTGAGCTTGATTGGTCGCCAGGTAGCAGACTCTCGGGTAGGGTACGGAGGCGCAAGAAGCGTCTGTCGATACCAGCGCGCCTTTTCCGACCGTCCTCATTTTTCTGAGTCTTGGAGTCACAGCATCGAGAAAGATTGAGACAATTTTTACTTTAACGCACAGCGCTCAGGGTCGGCCTGCAGGAAACTTGCTCATCTTCTTCTTGGCACCTCGCTTGTTCGAGAAGCCAAGCTCGCAGACCTGGTGGCTCCCGTTCATGGTTCCATACACACGGTTTCTGAGAGCAATGTAGTCCACTAATGTAAGACATATGACTCGCTTGTTTAATTCTTCATTTCATTTTTTTCGCGTTCTAGATCTCGGCCTGGACTCTTGGGTGAGCATTTTTATCTTTGTTTGCCGGAGAGCAAACGCCCACAGAGATAAAAGGGTTAACAATCGTCATTGTTAAGCTCTTGAGATAATCCAGTCCTGCGCAGAGTTTTTATTACTTCAAAATTCGTAGAATTCGAGTTGTTAGACGATGATGACGAAGACCTTTGGCGCCTTGCTTATCTTTTCAGCAATCCAACATGCCTATTCTATGACATCTCAAGGCCGCACGGGTCATGGACTCATTGGCTACGGAATCGACATGTATAAACCGCCATGTGCACATGCATGTCGTGACACCATATCCGGAAGCCAATTGGCTTGTTCTATGGTCATGAGCTCTCATGACCATATGTTTATGAAGCGAATGGACATGAGCGGCGAAGTAATGACAGAACCTGAATGCTACGCTACCGATGATGTCTACTTGCAAACACTAGCGTATTGCATATCAACACATTGCATTGGAATACCACAGTGGCAACTCGAGAAGTACTGGGCTACCTACGCCGTGGGTAGGGATGAGGGCCAGCCGATTCCCAAAGAGACGTACCAGCAGGCCCTCGCAAAGATTTCGGACGCTCCGACGGAAGTATTGGTCAGCGGAGAGCCGTTGAACAAAACTAGCCTGGTGGACGAAGAAGAATACCTCGCAAACTACAACGGCGATGCGAGCTTTGAAAACGCCGAAATCCATCACGAGCGATACGGGTACGATTCGACGTCAAGTTTAAAAAATCCAGAGTAATTTGCTAATCCGAGAGATTCAGAATCGTCCTTCTCGTCACAGGAGGTGCAATTCCAATCGCAACCTCGCTTCTACGTTTTGTACCCTTTCCCTCTGCCTGGACGTCAATGTTCAATGCCTACTTCATTACACCGCCCACCTTTGGCTCCAAGCACAACGTCCCTATTTTTAACATATTCCACATGCCAACACGTGGGCAAGCCCTCTTCATCCTCTACCTGATCATCATCAACTTCGTGCTCAGCTTTGTCAGCTTGGACACCACGACTCCAAACGCCTGGTATGCGACCGTCCACGAGCAGTGGAGCGGCTACCTCGGCCTCAGAGTTGGGGTTCTGAGCTTTGCGAACCTACCTTTGTTGATACTGTACGCAGGGAGGAACAACGTTCTGCTGTGGGTAACGAACTGGAGCCACAGCACGTTTTTGCTGCTGCACCGCTGGGTCGCGTGGATTTGCACGCTGCAAGCCGTCGTGCACTCCATCATGTAGGTGGCAGCCTTCCATTCGCAACGCGTTTTATGCGCACCGCTCACGCACACAAACACATAGGTACCTCAAATCGTACGTCGAGAGCGGAGACTTCGCGACCGAGGTAAAACTTGCATATTGGATCTGGGGAAGCGTCGCGACGCTGAGCTTCTCATTGATGATTCCCTGCTCGGCGTACCCGATCCGAAAGGCCGTGTACGAAGTGTTCCTCCTGTGGCACAACTTGCTCGCCGTTTTCGTCGTCGTCGGATGTTACTACCACATCATCTGCCGCTTCCAACGACAGTGGGGGTACGAGACGTGGATCTACGTCGCTATAGCTGTGTGGGGCTTTGAGCGTGCAATGAGGCTAGCCCGGCTGGCGCGGAACGGGGTCAGGACGGCTAAGGTCACCGTCATCGACGACGATTACGTACGGGTCGACATCGAAGGTGTCAGTGACTCGGGCCACGCGTATCTTTATTTCCCGACCCTGACATGGCGTCTGTGGGAGAACCACCCGTTCTCCGTCGCGTCGACCGTGCTGGGTTCTCAGGCGCTCGAAGGCGCAAGGAAGCGCGAGGAGACGGCCGACGTGGAGAAGTCCGGTGCCGTGAGTGTCGTCAAGGAAAGCGGCAGCTCGACGCGCAGCGCGGTCGCGCCTGCCAAAGTCGGCCTCACGTTCCTGCTCAGGCTGCGCGATGGCCTGACGGCCAAGATCCGCAACCACGCGTCGCTCCCCGTCTTGGTCGAGTCGGGCTACGGGTCGCACGAGAGTCTGGCCTCGCATCCATTCCTTCTGTGCGTCGCCGGCGGCGTTGGCATCACTGCCTGCGTCCCGTATTTGCGGGCGCACCCGGGCCGCACAAGGCTCCTGTGGGGCGTGAGGACCCCCGGCATCGTCGAGGACATGGCCGTGGCGCTCGCGAATATAGACAAGGAGGTTTACATTGGCAAGCGCATGAACATCTCTGAGGTGCTTGAGCGAGAACTTTGCCCCGTCGAGGACGCCGCTGTGGTCGTCAGCGGGCCCAACGGTATGGCCGATGAGGTGAGGGTCGCCGTCGCCAAGCTTGGTAGACGGGGTTTTAAGATCAAACTTGTGGAGGAGGCATTTAGCTGGTAAACCATTTTCTCAGGTTGCTGGGCTGAGCTGCCCGTCGCCCTGGCGAACTCTTTTGACTTTTGCGAACATGTCGAGAACACAAAGATGCAGTAATTACGTGCTCCATTTCACATGGCGCGCGTACAGGCGGCTATGTGACGTCCAAAGGGGTACGTGCGTGCGTAAGCGGCTAGCATGGCCGGGTAACTCTTCGTCTCGTCTCAGCCGAGTACGAAAAGCATCGTCCTGACAAAACACCATGGAAGATGATAATTACACACACATTTACAATCACTGATCAGTGATAAATGCTCAGGGGTAGCGCAAGCTGATTATTGCTTATAATCTCCCCACCCCCACCCCCATTCTCTACTTTTTTTTTTCTAGAAACGTAAAGTTGAAGCAAAAGACCGTGGAACTTCCACAATGTCTGATGACCACACGTCAAAGACCGGGGGAGTTGGCCAGAGTCTCCGACATCGGGTTACCCTGGTAGACAGCCCATCTGTTATCAGTCTCCTCACTCCACCCTTCAACTCCGCTTCACTTAGCAAGCACCCGCTCTACCAACACCGCGACGTGCCGGTGGGAGTGTGGTTCAAATTTTTTCAATTTTTTCCCCCCCAATTTGCACAATAAAAAAAAAGGATGCCGTCAGGTTCTCGAACTGAGCAAGCGAGAGCTTCGACGCGGTGTCGCCGTTGAGAAGGAACGGAAAAAGAAAACAAGAGGAAACGAAGAGAAACGGAAGGGACAGAAAGGGGAGTTTACCAGCTAAGAGCCCGGTGCCGGACATGGAGAAGACGGTGATGATGATGACGACGACGACGACGACGAAGGTTGGGTCCGAGGAGAAGATACGGCCGAGGATCATCGTGCACGGCGGGGCGGGCAACGTCACGCGGGCGAATTTACCGAGGGCGTCGTACGAGGCGTACAAGAGGGCGTTGCTGAGCGTGCTGGCAGAGGCGCAGGCGCTGCTGGGGCGGCCGGAGGCGACAGCGCTGGAGGTGGCCGTGCACGCGGTGGCGCGGCTGGAGGACGACGCGCTGTTCAACTGCGGCAAGGGGGCCGTGTTCACGCGAGCAGGCACGAACGAGCTGGAGGCGAGCGTGATGGTGTCGCGGGGCAGCCGGCGGCGGGGCGTCGGGTGCACGCTGCTGAAGCACGTCAAGAACCCGGTCAAGTTGGCGAGGGAGATGCTGGTCCGGGGCGAGAGAGACGACGGCGGCGGATGTGCGCACGCGCAGCTGAGCGGGCGCGAGCTGGAAAGGCTGGCGGCGGAGTGGGGCCTGGAGATGGTCGGGCAAGACTACTTCTTCACGCAGCGGCGGTGGGACGAGCACGTCAGGGGCTTAGAAAGGGAGCGGGGCAAGGCGGAGGACGGACGAGGCGCCGTCGCGGCGGAGACGGCAGCGGCGGCGGGGCCTGCGACGAACGGCGAGAGGGTCCGCGACGGCGATCCGTCCTGGGACGGCCACGAGTATCTGCCTCAAGGCACGGTGGGAGCGGTCGTGCTAGATCGCTTCGGGACCGTCTGCGCCGCCACCTCGACGGGAGGCTTGACCAACAAGTTACCCGGCCGGATCGGGGATACTCCGACGCTGGGCGCGGGCTTCTGGGCCGAGGAATGGATGGAGCCCAGCCGGCGAGCGGACCAAGCCGCAGGCTGCAGACCATCCTCGTCTTCGTCGCCGCTAGACCTGCTGTCGCGGGGAGACGTGGTCGGCCTGCTCGGCGCCTGCCTGCCCAGCCTCTCGACCGGCCCGCCCCACGTTGCTCAGAAGTCGCCGCGCGACAAGGACGACATTCGTCACGCCGTAGGCTTGAGCGGAACGGGCAACGGCGACTCGTTCCTGCGAGTGAACGCCGCCCGGACGGCGGCGGCGATGACGCGCTTCGCGCCCAGCGTGTCGCTTGCTCAAGCCGTCGACGCGGTGGCCGGGCCAGGTGGCGAGCTGGAAAAGTCCGCCGGCGACCGCTTTGGCAAGACGGGCGAAGGCGAGGGCGGCATGATCGGCATCGAGCTGGTCGGGTCTCACGGCCGGGTGGTGCAGAATCACAACTGCGGCGGCATGTTTCGTGCGTGGGTCGACGATGACGGGCGGCACCGGTTCATGGTGTTCAAGGGGGAGGAGGAGTATTGATGGCGAACAGGGTATCTAACAGAGCAAAATCGAGGTATTTTTTTTTCTTTAAATCCCTCTCCAAGGTAGACCCCAACCAGGGCTTCCAAGAAACGAACTTCCCTTTTTTTTTATGTCTCGTACAAGGCTCCCTTCGTTCAGGGGAAGCGGGAGCTTCGTTTGTGCACGTCCCGTAAAGCTTGGACAGTGTTTGTAGCGAGAATTGCCTCCGTGATCACCTGGGCCGGCGGTGCTGGAAAGAAACGATCAACGAGCAAAGAAAAGTCCACAGGCACGAATGAGCACGGGCGAATCATGACGCATGCAGATCCTCATGCGGTCCCTTGCACGCATTGCTGCGCAGCACAGGGCGACGGTGTTCAGTTTCCATTTTCTTCATGGCAGCTTACGCAGAGATGAGCCGGTCTCACGTCTTGACATCTGAAAATTGTTGAGACACGGCAACTTTGGCCGGGTGCAGACAGAAGAGGTCGAGGGCACGATGGACGTTTGTTCGAGTCGGACAGGTCGTGTGGCGCATGATTCTCACCGAGGTGACGTTCCGTCTTCATCGAAAAAGAAAAAAGAAAAGAAAAGAAAAAAAGGAAAAAAAAAAGGATTCGACACTTATGACGGGCGGACGGTATCCGTGCAGAAAGAAGGCCAAGGGCAAAAAACAAACAGAACACACACACACACACAAAAGCCGGTGGATAAATGCTTTGGCCGTCTTAACTTGCTTCGTTTCTTCGCGACAGAGACTCCCGAGTCTAGCCGAAAACGTCCGTCCAGGCATGAAAACAGCATGAGGCTGAGGCGTCGGACACGTTACGATTCTCCCCGATCGCATGCTCTGGCGGAGAGTAGAGGCGTCTGCCCGGGCGGCAATGCATGCACTGTTCTGATGTTTCATGTCTGCAGCCGGCGATAGAGGCCCGGCCGTGGACTCTTCCCGAACATGCCCAGGCGTGTGGTGCAGGTCGTTGCGGGCAGCGCAGGAGGGTGGAAGACGTTACGCGGAACACGAACAGGTCAGCATCGCGATGGGCATCTCGACCTTGGACCAGCGCCCGAAAAAGGGCGATTGCATGTTTGGCGCCCGAGGTGGATCTGCGGGTAAGAAAAGTGCAGGGCACGGTGACGTTGTTCCCTCTGATCCGAAACAAATAAGCGGCCGCACAGTTATCTCTCTTGCTTTGCAAGAGGCGAGCGAGCTTCGTGTGAGCGATGCGTGAATTAATAAGTGTTTTTTTTTTCTTTCTCCCTTCTGTTCTTCCCGGCTCGTTTTCCCGACAAGGCCGCGCATCCACCTCGGGTCGGCCGGGTTCAGCGCGTGGAGTTGTACGAGCTGAGGCACAGTGTTTTGTCGCTACAACGGGGAGGGGCAATCATTGCGGGGTGGGGACACCACAGTTGGGCACCAAGCGAGGGGCCGGCGTGAAGAGACGAACGAAGACGCGGGTGGAAAAGAAACGAAAAGAAGAGAAGAGAAGAGAAGAGAGGAGATCGAGTAGAAGCAGCGTGAGCGTGTGGGCGTAGAGACAGCGGAGGATGGATTTGGATAGACGACGTGCCCGATTCCTGCGACGTCTCCATACGGCCTGGCATTCTTGGACAAGCGATGAGGATGTCATGGACCCAGCACGGCGGGTCCTTGAAGGAACCGCAGATAACGTACTGGGTGCACCAGCAAGTAGGCGGTCCCCCCTTGGCCAGGGGCCCTGTCCTGGGCCTGGTCCCGGGCTGAGCTGGCCTGGCCGTCGCTGACTGTCGCGCGAACCCGTCTCTGTGAGTGTCGCGTGTGAAAAGCGAGGCCTCGACTGTGTCTACCGCTGGGCCTTCACTTGGACTGCGGCTCGGGCTCGCCGCTGCCGCCGCTGCTGCTGTTGCGCTGCTTCTGGCACGACAGTACGTGCCGGGACCGCGTGCGCAGGCGGCGTCCAGCCAGCCTGCCTGTACTTTTGCGGGGTGCGGCCGCCCAGCCAGTTCGCCGCAGCACGCTCTGTGCCTCGTCCCAAGGCACAGTTCCACGCCAAAGGAGCACACTACGATCGAGACTGTTCGCGGGCATGCAGCCAACAGCATGTTCTGGCAGATCGGCCCCCGGCGTATCGTCGTCACCCTCAGCCCAGCAGTGCCTCGTTCATTTGCACGTTTATTTATTTTTTTTTTTCCTTTTTTCCCTTTCGCACGGCCCGTCGTCGGCTGTCTTCTGAGTCTTGCGTGCATTCTTGTCGACCAGCCAGCCGGGCATCTCATTGTTCCAGGCCGTCGCCTTGCTTCCGCGGCCGCCTAGATCTGTGGCCGGCCGCTCGCAAACCCCCCCGATCGCTTGCGCCAGGACGTGCTGCCATTCGTGCTCCTCCTCGCCTTGCGGACCATCCTGATCCGCCCCATGAAGTGCGCTGCGCCTGGTCATATCCACGGTTTCTCCCGACCTGTGACTCTGGCTTTGCCTTTAACGAAGACTTTTCGGAGTCTCCATCGCGGGTCCCGGGTTCGGCTGTTGGCTGCTCTTCCGCTTGCGGCCAATCAGCGCCGTCTGCGTCAATCTGGGGTCGCTGAAACTGGGTACCACCACGAGGAACGGCTTGCCTGCTACGCAACACGCTTCCGAACGCTCGACACATGGCAGAGGGTATTAAAACCAGACACCCCGCCGTGCCCTTCGACCTCATCTCGTCCGTTTGCTGAATCTTCTCCCCTTCAGCAGATACTCGTCCCCCACTGTCGTCTCTGTTGCTTGTCCTTCCTGACGCCGTCCGTTCAAACCATGGTCTCCGCAGTAAACAAGACCACGCTGTATCCAGCGGGTCTGCAGTACGTTGCCACATGATCTCTGTCCCCCATCAGCTTCCCTATGTCTCTGTCCTGCACGTCGAGAGTGCGAGAGAGACGGAGGCAGAGAGAAGCAGAGCAAGGAGACGAGTCAATTGCCAAATGATGTGCGGGTTGTCTAACGTGGAAACCAGGCCTCAAAGAGAACACACTGAGATCGAGGAGGAGCTGCACGAGCGTGCCCACATCGACTACGACCGTGTCGAAATCGTGAGTTCATCTTTGACCCTATCCTGCGGCCTTGTGGAACCGCTGGAAGCATCTCCGACCTTCTAACCGTCGCGTCTTTTCCGCTCCGCAGGTTGCAAACCCCGCAGTCGCCGCGCTGTACGAAGATGCCCTAGTGTACGAGACGGGCTCGGCGATCACGTCGTCAGGCGCGCTCTCAGCCTACTCGGGCGCGAAGACCGGCCGCTCGCCTTCAGACAAGCGCATCGTGCAAGAACCCACGTCGGAAGCCGACATCTGGTGGGGCCCCGTCAACAAGCCCATGAGCCCTGAGGTGAGTCCCCGACGACGGTGTCGTCGTATGCTGTGCGCTTTCTTTCCTGCCTGTGGGCGCTGTCGGCATCTCTTCTTCCATCCGGGCGGCGGGCCCTTGCTTGTGCAGACGTCACCAGGCCACGGGCTCCAGACCGGCCCAGGACGAGACCATCGTTGTGGTTTGTGACTCCTTGCAGAGGCGCTGCACCCCGCATTTCGCCCGCTCCAGCCGGGGACTCTCTCGGCAACCGCCTTCACGTGCCTGTCCGATCGCCCACCGTCGGTTAAACCCGGAGTTTCACTTCGAGTGACGCCTTTGTTTTCTTGCGCTTTGCGCTTTTGGCAGCAAACAAAAAAAAATGCCGCGAGCTGAAGCTGACGTCGATGCGCGTCTAGGTCTGGAAGATCAACCGCGAACGTGCCATTGATTACCTAAACACGCGGAACCGAATCTACGTCGTCGACGGTTTCGCAGGCTGGGACGAGCGATACAGAATCAGAGTCCGCGTCGTCTGTGCTCGTGCCTACCATGCCCTCTTCATGAGGAACATGCTCATCCGGCCCACGCCGGAGGAGCTGGAGCATTTCCACCCCGACTACGTCATCTACAATGCTGGCGGCTTCCCTGCCAACAGATTCACCTCTGGCATGACATCGTCCACGTCCGTTGCCATCAACTTCGCCGAGAAGGAGATGGTCATTCTCGGCACCGAATACGCCGGTGAGATGAAGAAGGGCATCTTCACCGTGCTGTTCTACGAGATGCCCGTCAAGCACAACGTCCTCACCCTGCACTCGTCTGCAAACCAGGGCAAAGACGGCGACGTCACCGTCTTCTTTGGCCTGTCAGGAACTGGCAAGACCACCCTTTCCGCAGACCCCAAGCGTGCCCTCATCGGCGATGACGAGCACTGCTGGAGCGACAAGGGCATCTTCAACATCGAGGGCGGCTGTTATGCCAAGACGATCGGTCTGTCCGCCGAGAAGGAACCGGACATCTTCAATGCAATTCGCTTCGGATCCATCCTCGAGAATGTCGTCTTCGACCCCATCACCCGTGTCGTCGACTACGATGACGCCACGCTCACGGAGAACACCCGCTGCGCCTACCCGATCGAATACATCGAGAACACCAAGATCCCTTGCATCAGCGACAACCACCCCTCGAACATCATCCTTCTCACGTGCGATGCCCGCGGTGTGCTGCCGCCAATCTCCAAGCTCAACACGGAGCAGACCATGTTCCACTTCATCTCAGGCTACACCTCCAAGATGGCCGGTACCGAGCAAGGTGTAACCGAGCCTCAGGCCACCTTCTCATCTTGCTTCGCTCAACCATTCTTGGCTCTGCACCCCATGCGCTACGCCAAGATGCTGGCGGAGAAGATTGCTGAGCACAACGCAAACGCGTGGCTGCTCAACACCGGCTGGGTTGGCGCGGGCGCCACCACCGGCGGCAAACGCTGTCCGCTCAAGTACACGCGGGCCATCCTCGACGCCATCCACTCCGGCGAACTCGCGAAGGCCGAGTACGAAACCTACGAGACGTTCAACTTGCAGGTGCCCAAGTCGTGCCCCGGCGTACCGGACGAGCTGCTCAACCCGGCCAAGTCGTGGACGGGCACTGCCGACTTCCAAGAGGAGGTCAAGAAGCTCGGTGGCCTGTTCATCGAGAACTTCAAGAAGTACGCCGATCAGGCAACTCCGGAGGTCATTGCTGCCGGTCCTCAAATATAGGGAGCGCCTTTTTACGGTGTTCCCGTGTACGTGTGAGCGAGTTGTGCGAGTATGAGGCTGGCTTCTTTAGCGATCATGGTGTCCCATCATCATATAACGGCTTGCGCTGGCGTTTGACGGGCGAAACAAGCAGTGCATTACATTTCACCTGCCTCTTTGATATCCAGATTGTCGCCTGTGGCCAAAAAAAATTTAAATAAACGGTACGTTACAGCAGCGAGACTATTGGCGTCGCGACGACCCGCACGCGGAAGCTCGTGCTGTATACACACACATACACACACACATGTTTGGGGCTAGGGACGTGAGCATTTTTGCTGATACAAGGGATGCGCGTGAGCGCCGGAATTTGGAAGCTATGTCTACGAACACATACATAAGTCGGATTTGAAGATTTGACAAAATCTTAATCAGGTTTCAAGATGCCAGTTCATTTTCGTTCTTCCTTTCTCTCTCCCTTTTTCTCTCTTCCCCTTCTATTTTCTGTCTTCTAGTTCACTCCTCGAAACCTGTGCGTTACGCCAAATGGACGAGTTCAATTCGTGACGTGTCGGAGCACACCGTGACGCATTTCCTACATTTTCTACGGAGAGAGCAGAACGACGCTTGTTGTATTTGACCTTGACGAGGCACTGTATGACGAGGAGGAGAGTAGGGGGGAAAAAAAGCGCTTAAGAGCCTGGGCGTGATCTAGAGTATCAACGCGTTCTTTTGGATGCATGACAATACGCATAGAATGATCCGTTGGCGCGTGCGTTGTGATCAACGCAATAGAATAGAACCGCCTTAGCGCCGGCCAAATTGGCCGCCTCGCTACAGGGAGTCTCAGTCAGCATTCGTGAATCTTCAAACGCCGTAGTGCGGTGTGATGCGTACGTCGCTTACAAATCACACACGTTCACGGTCTTCTCCTGTGGACAGTATTTTAGGGTGACCATGAAGCAGTCTCAGCTTCCCAGCTGGCCAAAATGGCCGAACGAGCTGCGACGCAGTCGGGAGACGTCTTGCAGTACTGCACGCTGTGCAGCAAGCCCTTCACGAACAGTATGCACAGGGTATTCCTCGTCCCGAGCTGTTGCACGTCCGCTGATCGCAAAGCTGGTAGATTCTGCGTACAAGCGCCATGCGGCGTACTGCCGCCGCGCCCAAGGTCGGCTGAGGAGGCGGCACAAAGCGTGCCGCGCTTGCGGCAACGCCAAAGCGAAGTGTACCTTTGCGACGCCTTGCGCTCGATGCGCGGCGAGAAACATCGAGTGCGTCTACGACGTGAAGAAGTCGCATGATGGAGACTCGACGCTGCATGGAGCTTTTGTGTCACGCCTCAGCCCGTCACGGCCAACTTCGACTCTGACCCCACTCACCGATGCCTTCTCCGCTGCGGCTACAACATCGTCCTCATCGTCACCATCCTGGTTCGTTTCGGATCCGCTTCCGGTCGCTTTGCCTGGAGAGCTGCAAGAGCAGCAGCTCGTCTCTGCGGCTTCGGGCGTCTACTTGGCGCTGTCGCAGGGGCTGCCTCATGTTCAAAGCTACGCCCTCGGTGATCCTCTGATTGAAATGCTTCTGAGCACCCGCAACAACATAGGGACGTTGACCAGGTACCAACCCCGAAATGCGGTTGCCGATCGAAGCGCCCGGCTTATCTTGCAGAACCTTCGAACTTTCCCTCAAAAGATGCTGCGGTCGGACGACTTGCCGTTCTTCGTACACCCGTGGCGGCATCGGAACGCCTTGCCGGAGCCGCTGGCGGTCTGCGAAAGGATCTGTCAGATGTTCTGGAGCAGGACGCCGGAGATCCACGGCTTCATATGGAGGTGCATCAGGGCGGAGCAGCTCCGGTTTCTTGAGACGCACATGTCGACGGGTGACCTGCTTGCCGCGTGCCAAACGCAGATTGTGTACGTCATGATGTTCGTCATCGAAGAGGACCTTCGCCGGCGCGAGTGGGTGCAGGAGCTGCTCGTCCTGTCCGGAGCCGTGTGCGAACGGCTCATCGCGCTTTGTCAGGAGGATGGCGGCCACTTCAGCTACGACGAACACACGCATCCCAGCACGAGCTGGGACGACTGGGTGTTCGCCGAGTCGCGGCGAAGAACCGCCTGCGTGTGGTTCATGATGAGCCTGGTCTTCAGCCTGCAAACCGGAGTGCGCTGCGCCACGCTGGAGGACTTTCGGCTGCTTCCGCTTCCCGCCGCGAAGCTGCAGTGGGAAGCGAGCGATGCGCTGTCGTGGCAGCAGCGCCTGGCACTCGTCGACTTTGACAATCTCATCACCGTTGGCGATCTCATCGACCTTCGTTCCAAGGCTGACGAGCCCGTCGTCGCGCAGCAGTTAGACTCTTGGAACGCAAAGTCTGGCCAATTTGGCACCCTACTGAACCTCGCCATCGACATGCTCTGATGTGATGAAAAAAAAAAAATTTTTTTGTTTGTTTTCATTTCGTCCTATTCTACTCGCGAACTGTACATCTCCTCCAGAATCACCAAGGTACGACTCCATCCCTGTCAGAGAACGTCGCCGTCGGCCCGTCCGGTCCCACAGTCGCCATCTCAACGATGCGTTTTGCCCCAACCTCGGGCGCGTGGCCCGCCTTCACCGCCGGATGCAAGTTGGTCGACACCAAGCCGGGACAGACGACGTTGACCTTTGCCCCGTGGGGCTCGAGGATGCGGGCCCAGTTGATCGCGAGCATCTGCAGGGCGGCCTTGCTGGCGTCGTACGCCTGCACGTTGAGGTGGTAGTACGGCGTCGTCGGATCCTTTGCGAGCGCGAACGAGCCCATCCTGGACGAGACGCAGACGACGCGCGGAAGGCTGGACTTGCGGAGCAGTGGGAACAGGCCCTCGGTCAGCGCGGCGGTGCCGACGACGTTGGTGGCGAACGTCTGCGCGAACAGGTCGAACACGCCCTCGTACTTGTCCGTCATGTCAAACAGGATGGCCGCGTTGTTGACGAGGACGTCCAGACGTCCGAACGTCGTCTCCACGTGCTTGATCGCCGCGGCGATGGACTCCTCGGACATGAGGTCCAGCTGCACGGACGAGGCCGAGTGGCCCTGCGCCTTGAGCGACTCCGCAACGCGTTTGCCGGCATCAAGACTGCGAGAGCCGATGATGACGTGGTGGCCGTGGTCCCGAGCGAGGGCCGTCGCCGTCGCGAGGCCGATGCCTTGGTTCGCACCGGAGACCAAAGTGATCGTCTTCTGCTCTGGCTGTGTCATTTCTGGTAGTTCGGATAGACGACCGATTCTTGGGAAGCAACTTTGTGGCGTGGCTTTTTTGTTCCGACGGCCGCAGCAGCTCGTGGGTTCTCGTGCTTTTTTATAGTCCCTGTGCCCAGCTTTGTCTTGGTGCTCCAGCGAGACTAAAACCCCGTGTCTCCGTTTCAAGGGTAGGCGGTAGACGCAGAGGAGCGTCTGTCTCGCCGTCAGCGCGTACGGAAGGAGATTATCTGTAGAGCTTTGCCGAACCAATTTTCCTCCTTTGCCTTGTCAGCCAAGGGACGGCGCGTCGGCCAATTTCGCCGCGGACGAGTATTGTGACCGAGACTTGATTACTGCACATCATGACCTGCCACGCTAGTGAGAAACTGGCCAGGCGGCCATGTTCTTCATTGTGATGATGTAGTTAAGCGTAGACTAAAATATTATACAAGCGCCATGCCACGCTATCGCAGGAGCTGAGATTTGTCGCATAGTCGAACAAACCAATTATCGGTCCAAGGCCTGAGCTTTGCACATGTCCCAGTACACGCCTTTCTTTTCAAGCAGCTTGTCATGGCTTCCCATTTCCACAATCCTCCCGCGGTTGATCACAACAATCATGTCCGCGTACTTGATCGTGCTAAGCCTGTGCGCGATCGCTACCGTCGTTCTTCCTTCTCGAGCGCTGTCCAGAGCTTCCTGCACGACTCTCTCACTTTCGGTGTCGAGAGCGGACGTCGCTTCGTCAAGTAGCAACAGCTTTGGTCTGCGAACAAGTGCTCTGGCAATTGCTATACGTTGCTTTTGACCCCCAGAAAGCTGCGTGCCTTTTGCGCCAACCTCGGTGTTGAGTGCTTGAGGAAGAGACATTATGAAGTCGTAAATGTTCGCTACACGGCACGCAGCTTCTATTTCTTCATCAGTCACGCGCATCTCCACCTCGTTCTCGTCCGACGCGGCCTTTTCGTTTTCTTGTTTAGGTTTTATCAGCCCCAAGGAGATATTCTCTTTGATTGTCCCTGAGTAGAGCACCGGCTCCTGCGAGACAAGTCCGATGGATGCACGATATTTATGTGGATCCAGGTCAGGCAATAGTGATTCTTTGTCGGACGATGGAGAGCGGATGGTAATGGTTCCTGATGTTGGATCGTAGAAGCGCTCCAGGAGAGAAATGATTGTGGATTTTCCAGAACCTGAAGCACCTACAAAGGCGGTAAACTTTGCAGAAGGTATCTTGAGGCAGTCAGCATGCATCAAATGAGGATTATGCATTGCGAGATCTTACCTCAACATCTAGGTCTCGAATCACTTGAACATGAGGACGTAACGGATAAGCAAAGCAGAGGTCATTTGCTTCTATCGCCAATGGCTCCGTATCTTCGTCATCTGCCGGGCCGGGCTTGGATGGATCTTCTTTGATACTAGGTCGAAGTGATCGGATCCAAAACACGTAATTCGCGGCAGTCTTTGCTTTGGTAAGGCCTGTAGAAAAAGTCAGTGCGACGGACCGGAGTATAGAATGTGGCTTGTACTTGTGGTGTAGCCGAAAAACTGAGCAGCGGCTTCTCCCGCAAAGATTACGGAGATAAATATGATGAAGAATTGGGTTGTCGAATATTCTCCATACGACATAAGACGGCCTCCGTACCTGTTCGCATTGTCAGCCAACGCCCTAAGCATAGATCAAACAAAGCCTACCAAAACCCTAAACCCATGACTAACAAGGACATGCTCTGTGATAGACTGTACCAAAACATCGTCCACAACAAGGCACGCACACTTTTTAACTCAATATGCCGCAGCATATCTTGATATTGTTGTAGCACGTGCCGCTCGAGTGTGAAGCTTGCGACTGTCCTGATCTCGCCTACAGCCTCTCCCGCAAGTCCTGCCGATTCGCTGAAACGAACGCCTGTATCTTCGTCAAGCTTTAATTCAAGACGGATGCGCAGGTAGCCAGCGAAGACCAGCGGCGGAAGACCACCAAAAACAACCACAAGACCGAGCTTCCACCCGACAATAATGGCTAGAATACTCGAAGACAATATATTAACAATGATTACTACGATCAAGAATATGTTGAATCCAAGTAGCTCCTGCAAGTTGCTCGGGTAGTCGTTAAGCTTGCTCGCCAAGGCTCCGGTGCTATTCTCAGGCCGGTCGAAGAATTCCATGTCCTGCGCCAAGAAGTCTTTGAACAACCTCAGACGAAAATTATATGTCGACCACTGTACAATCTGTGATTCAGTGTGCATCCCTAAGTTTGATTCTGGTTGACTCGAGTCTTACCTGCGAAATATAATTCGAGATCCATCCAATCACAAAGTAACACAAGAAGTTCGCCAGCGCTATGACAAAAAACATAAGTGAAAACAAGTCACCACGATTGACTGATTGGGCAGGTGGAAGCTGAAACGCTTGGAAGATGCGAGCGAACACAATACCCTGAGCAGGGAACGTTAAACCTGCTCTTGATTAGTCACCTGATCAGCAAAGCAGACGCGCGTGGAACCGTACCAGCAAGTGTACATCCGACGAGGACAACACCAAGCCACAGCCATAATTTTCGCTGGTCCATGACCGCCACCCAAATGGCTTGAGATAGACTGAAATGGAAGCCGACGTGGCCGTCCGTGATCCGATCGTCATCACCACGGGCATTGCTTGTCTGCGTTTCTTTCCTAGAGAGCGTCGAATACAAGACGGACATATCTCCCTTTCTTACGTTTTCCTCTCGTTCTTCTGCTTCTTCACGCTGGCCAAGATCTTGAGCTCTGACCAGCTGTGAATATCGACCTTGTCGACCCATGAGCTCAACGTGCGTCCCTACGTACGTTAACAACGTTGCTCAGCCTTCTGTGTTAATGTGATGGGAATATCATCTGTTCAATACGAATGGACCCGAAGCTCCCTCATTTCTCAATGTGTAACCAGATAAGGATGCCCTTACCTTGTTCAATCACTCGCCCTTCATTGAGAACAACAATATTGTCCGCAGTCTTAATGGTTGATAGACGATGTGCAATTACGATAACAGTGCGGTTCGCAGCCACTCGGTTGAGAGCTTCCTGCACAATCTTCTCACTTTTGGTGTCTAGACCACTGGTTGCTTCGTCAAGAAGCAGGATAGAGGGCTGCGAAATGATGGCCCGAGCTATTGCCAAACGCTGCTTCTGGCCACCACTTAGATTCGCAGCACGCTCTCCCAGCAGCGTGTCATATCCGTTCGGAAGCTGTTCTATGAATTCATGTGCATATGCATCCTGACAAGCTTGAATCACAAGCTTCATCTTTTCTTCCCTTGACAAATCTGCTTGCGATGTTCCCTCAAGCCCATGGGCAACATTCTCGAACACACTCCCGCGAAAGAGAACAGGTTCTTGGCCTACGAGGCGAATCGAAGTGCGTAGCCATCGAAGATTCAAATTTGAGAGCGACTGACCGTCCAGCATTATGAGGCCCGAAGCTGGCTCATACCTATTCAACGTTATTATCTTTCTCCCAAAGTCACACGTGCGGAACAATGCCTAAAGGGGGCGAGATTTGCCAAGCAGGAAAAGTAATTGCTGAGCAGCGTTGATGAAAAGTAGGTCAAAAATCGCTCACCATCTCTCAAGCAGTCCAATGATCGTGCTTTTCCCGCATCCGCTTGGACCAACTAGAGCCGTAGTCTTGTTCGGTTGTATTTTGAGACTCATGCCCTTGAGCACCTCAACATCTGGGCGTGCCGGATATGCGAAGCGCACGTCGCGAATCTCAATTTCGCCGCGGCAAACCTGAGGCTTCTCTCCATCCTCGGAAAATGGATCCAACTCAGACTCCCTGTTGATGATGTCGAAGAGAGGGATGCTGGCTCCGACCGCTTTGGACAAGAAGAGAAACTGCGGTCCGATCTGAGTTAAGGCTGTGGCAGCCAGCACGACTGCAAATATTACCCTGGTAACGAGATTGGTCAGTGAGTGATAAGAGTATACAGAGTAGAAGTAGGGTCGGTGCTGAGTACGAATGGCAAGCTCTGAACTCTTGAGTTTACCAACCGTCGCTACAAAGCGTCTCCGCGTCCTTGACAATTCAAGGACCTGGTTGCTCTACTTACGTCACGATGTCGCCCGGTGCCTGAATCTCACCGCTCGCGTACCTCCTGATACCCTGCCAAAAGGCCAGCGCGTAGCCGGAAAAGATGCAAAAGTACTCCGTCGAAAACAGGACGCCGTAGTTCGGCGACTTCTTGTAGCCTTCTTTCTTCGCAAGGGCCAGGAGCCGCTCGAACTTGGCTTCGAATACGGGCATCGCCCAGAAGCTTTTGACCGTTTTCATCGTGCCGAAAACCTCTTCAGCCAGCATCGTGGCTTTCGCGTACATCGGGAGAATACGGGCTTCCTGCTTGCTGTCGATGCCGATGCACACGCTGACGATGATGACGATGGCTGGGACGACACCACATGTGATCAAGGTGAGCTTCCAATTGACCGCGAAAGCCACGGCAAAAGCTGTGATGAACGTTGAAGTGGCCTGTATGACAAGACCGAGCTTTTCATTGATCCCATTGTTCACAAGATTGCTGTTGGTCGTCACGAGAACCGTGGTGCTGGAAGTCTTGCTGACGTCGAAGTACGAAATCGGCTGTCGCAGCGCTGCTTGCAAGGTTCGTATTCGAAGGGCTTTCGTGATGCGGATAGCAGAGAGCGAGAAGCAGAAAGTCCAAATGTAGTTGAGCACAAAGCGACCGACGAAACTATTGCGAACGATCAGCCTCGCATTGTCCTGCTCCTAGCCAGAGAGATGTGCCAAGCTGCCAGATCGCGGACCTCGCGGCCCTGGGAAAAGGCAGCAGAGCCAGAGCCGGCTTTGACTCGGAAGCAAAGACACCAACGTACAGGTATACGAAGTACAAGGTCCAGTGGTTAAGCTCCTTGCGGAACTCTGCAGGGCTTGCGTTTCCAACAGCGAAGTTGTTGAAGGTCGTGACGAACTTTCCAAAGATCTATCATCCCGCCATCAGCACGTGGTATGGCTCCGGAGGTTTCAAATTGCGGTTTCTGACTGACCAAATCCATGAGCGGCAACGGCACGCCCGAGCCGGCGGCAGCCACGCACGCGATCGCGATCAGCGTCCATGATTTCTTGTCGGCGAACGTGAAGATGCGCTGCAGGAAAACTCGTCAGCCAACATCGCCGCGATCCGCCGTCGTAGACGTACGGCATAGTTGCCAAAGAAACCACCTTGGCCCTCTGCGGTCGAGTCCACGTCCGGCTCCGCGTTAGCGCCAGCACTGGTCTTTTCGGCGTCCGCAGCCATCTCGTTGATGCTGAACAGAACCGGAGCACTTTCGTCTCTGAAATCGAGGAGCCTATCTTCATTTGGGAATGGCCATATATACGACCACGACTACATGATCCTTTTACATTTCCAACAGCTGCGATGTCCAGAAGCGGGAATGCAGCTTCGTCGTATTCCCAAGTCTTGACGTCTTGGAAAAGACGTTTAGAGCTTCCCTGGCGCGGCAGCCAAGACAGTCGAATCGCGTCACAGTCTGGGGAGCAGCGAAATAGTCTCAGCACCCGTGGCTGAAAGCCGCGGACACCACGGTCTCCGACAGGGATCTTTCCATAACAGCGACGAGAAGTGCCTGTGAAACTGCCAGAACTGTCCCTTCTCCGATCGAATGGGCCGAAGAAAGGCTGTGCCAAATGCCTTCGACTGCGTCCATCATGCTAAGACCACCAAGCGAGCCACGCACGGCTCCAGTCCGAGTGCCAGCATGTATCCGATCACCGCAGAATCTTTGGGGGACACCGTCCACACAGGAAAGGGGGGGGGACATTCGTCCGTCCCCTTGGCTTTTTTGTCTCCCCCTGATCAGACCTGGAGAATAGCCGAGAAGGCGAAGAAAAAAAAAACCCCCATCTCAGTGGTTGCGGGCAAGGATCTGCGCAACACAACCCGAAACTGTTCGCGAGTTTGCGGCCTTCCCGAGATGACGAACGGAACTGTGCACGGGTTTATTCTCCACGTGCAAACCAGGTTCGTAGCGTGAGATCCTCGAAGGGGGGATTATTGGTCTTTCCCATGGCTGCGCAAGACGCTAGCCTAGAGGTTTGCTCGTGTAACGATCACTTTTTCATTTCTCGAGCGTTTCGACACCTATTTCTTGTCCAACCACAACCCCCTTTTCCACCCGCTGGAACGGCAAAGGGCTCAACACCACTCACACAGCGCTTCTCTGCACAAAATTTTATCCTCTTTGCGTAGCCGCTAACTTGAGCAAGGATGTACCCTTAATTTTTTTTTTTTTTTATTTTTTTGTGAAGGTAGTTCGTTCGTACATTCTGCATTCAGCCGTCATCGATCAAACACACAAAAGATCGGGTGCTGCTCTTTACGTAAACTGAACAAATACGCGCTTGCTTGCACACAAGGTGACCCTCCATTTCAGACTATGTCGAGACGAGTGGACGTTTTGCGGTCTTTCATGATAGCGAACCGAGTGGGTAGATTGGAAAGACGCCAGAAGAGTCAAGAGAAAAAATCATCATGGAAATGTACCCCACTCATTCTACGCGTAACGACCAGTCTTACCATTTCTGAAGTTGTGCCAATTCTTCCATGCAGTACATCTACCATTCTGGTCGGGGTTCAGGCCACTACGGTAAAAGATCGACGATCATGCTAGCAAGTTCAATTTTTCAGTTATTCGCTTCTTATATCATACACATATGCACCTTTCCTTTGCTCATGGGTATAATCGTATAACCGCGTTATCTCTATGCTGGTTGCTTCATGCTGTAATAATGCTTTTGCGATCATGATCCAGCTCTCAAAGATGCGCACTAAATCTCAGGACTCTGCCCCTACTGCTCTATTATAATGAATATACACATGTTATTATAAAATCCTAATTGCATCACCCAGCTGCTGGTGCGGGTGGAGCAGCGGCGGACCCCGTAGTCGCTGGTCCTTGCAGGCCCTCCATCGAATGCGTTGTAGCATGATGAAATTCTGCCTGCCATGATTCTGGGCCGGGGGGGATTCGTCTCATTGTCTCCGGGTCCGGTAGCTGCGGTATCGAATACGATGATGTATGCGTCGTGTTCGTCGGTGGTACAGACCCTGCTGCATGTTCTGATGTATGCTGTGGCTGTGGCTGTGGCGGACGCTGTGGCTGTTGCGATTGCGATTGCGTCTGAGGTTGAGGTTGCAGTTGCATGGGCGGCTGTGGTTGCTGGTGCGCTGAGGAAACTGAAGGATGTGGCCACTTGTAGTTCTGATCCATGTGCGTTTGGGTAAGAGGATAGATTCCAGGCAGGCGTTTGTCGTTTACTACATGTAGATGTGGATGTTGAGGCGGTGGCGGTGGCGGATTTGGTTGTGTGTATTGATGCTGATGCTGATGATGGTGATGATTATGTTTGTGCGGCACGCTACTCAAATCCTGTGTTGTAGGTTGCGGGGGTAGTGGAGGCAAGCTAGGCGGTTTCGAAGTGTACGGGTGCGCGTCCGGAGCGATGCCGTCGTCCATATCCTCGTCCTCGCCTTCGGCGTCGACGTCCAATGCCGTCGAGTCCATTGAGCTTGTCCGCGTAGGCCCCGTCGCAGACATAGCACTTGTGATGCTTGCCGAGCGAGACGCAGCCGTGGAATCCACGCCATTGGCCGACAGGTTCGCACCTGTGTTGGCGATACGTGGATTCTGCGACGAGGTCGAAAAGTTGCGCTGAGCGCTCAGTCCAGTGCTTGCGCGCCGTTCGTCGCGCACCACATTCTTCCAGCGATCGAGCAATCGCTCATAGTCCCATTCACGTACATTGATACCCTGCTTACATAGATCACGAAGGACGTCGTCTGGTATGCTTAAGGGGCTAGGCGGTACAGATATTGACGGCTGCCGATCCGAAAAGCTAGGAGTGTAAGGAGAGGAACCCGTCATGTACGCTCGTTCGAGCCTTTTCGTCAGGAACTCGGCCTCCCGCATCAGCGTCTTGATGGTGTTGCGCGCCTCTTTCAGATCATTCTCAATCCGCACATAGCTTCGTATAATTTCTCGGTGCCATATTTCTGTCCGCTTATGTTCAGGCAGACTCTTCCACAGCTGGAACTCGTGGTTGATGTGCCTGTGCAACTTGTCCAAATTGAGATTGCTCTGGGACGCTTCATCGGACGCAGACGATGACAGGCTCGAACGTCGTCTCAGAATCTGACCCCGCTCTTCGACTATTCTTGAAAGTGCATCCCGCTGCTGATCCCAAGGTATGCTGGAGGACCATGAATCGCTCGTGCTAATAGAGAGGGAGGAATCGAGGGGGGGCGTGGGGGAGAGCAGACGAAGACACAGGCTCGGGAAGCTCTGTTGGAAAAAGTCGAAGTCGTCAAAGAGATGGCGGCCCGTGGCAGAGGCTCTGTTTATCACGGTTAGTCGCCCGGCTACAAAGGCATAGCAATTGACATAATCTTTGCTAACACATACTCGGCGTTGCGGATCGTGTCCAAAATCTCCTTGAGGGCTAGCTGTGCAGCCTTGCCGGTGTCCAGCTCCTCCGTAAGCTTCTGCCTCTGGTCCAGCTCGGCCTTCAATTGCTCCCTCCTCGAGTCTCGCCTGTCAGCGGACGGTTTAGGCTCAATGCGCGGAGGTAGATCGTTGATAACGCCGGTGGCTTCCCAGCTCAGCTTGTTGATCATCCATCGGGGCTTCCCCAGCGCATTCGGGGCCGCTGGCCCACCTGTCGCTCTGTCGTCGGCGACACCGTACAAGGAGTACCGCGCGGACGCGGACTCTGCGGGCGTGGACGATGTGTCTCTCTTGACGCCGCTTGCAACGCGAGATTGCCGACGGGTGATATTGCCGCGCATCTTGCGAATCTCTTCGACATCATGAATGCCATCCGGCGGCTTCGGATTCTTGCTTTTGATGTACAAGTCCAGATGGCGACCCAGACTGGACGAGGTGAACGCCTGGTGACAGAATGGGCAATTGCGGTCCTTTGCTACTTTGGTAACCGCGGTCTCAGCGCCGGAGGGCGGAGTTCCCGCCATTATGCTTTCATTCGAGGAACGTCCAGAGAAAAAAAAAAAATAAAGCAGACGGGGCAGTCAAGATAAAGATGGGGTCGAGCAGACTTCCCACTTGCTTCCTTCGTCAATTCAGCAGACGAATGGCAAATATTGCGATGGCGAGGATACGCTCGCGGGAGCGCAGCGATATGAATGGATGGTCGGAGAGAACAAAGTGGAAGAATGTCCCCAGGTCGTGCCCCTCGCGCACGCCGACACGCACACGAAGCGGGTCAAGATACAGACGATTAGATGGACGTTCCAAAAAAGTCCTTCCCAGTCTAGCACGACGAACAAGATCCTGTCCTTATAGAAGCTTCATATGACCTGGTGCATGTTCGTCTTGTCCAGCTCGGTGCTTCCTATTGGCCGAAGCTAGGTCGAGGTCCAGATCGTCGCTCGCAGGATCGTTAGAGTTATAGTGAGCGAGGCAGCGCAACGGGATTTTAGACGCCAGCTTGCAAACACAATTGGCCAGAGGCACGGGGAAGCGGGCGAGGCGTGGAGGCTATAGCACCGCTCCTTAACGACGACTGTGGCCCAGCCTGTCTGTAATTGTGTCTTTGGGTCTGCGAGGCGGTTTGTTCGTGTTTTCGATGCGTTTGCATGTGTGGCTGTCTCTGTCGCGGCTTTGGTCTCCCACGCACATAGACACGGTCTGTCTCTTTCTCTCTCGCACGCACACACACACTCTCTCTCCTCTTTCTTCTGCTTCTCGATCGCGTGCTCCAAGGTCACCCAATGGTCAGGATGGGTTGAGTGGGAAAGGGAGGAAACGATGGCGAATGCAGCGTTCAAATCGCTCAGGGCGGCCCCAAACAAAAAAGAATTTATGAGCGAACGTATGTGAAAAGGACAAAGGCAAGGCTCGATTCTTTTGTCATCGGCACGGGTACGGGCCAGACAAGAATCAAAAAATGACTTCCCCATCGCCCCTTGAATAAAATGCCACAATTTCCAAGGTTGCCGGGGCCGCACGGTGGAGACGGCGCGCGACTACAATCTTCATTCCGCGCAAAAGCCACCTTTCCTTAGCTTGCGACTGCACGTCGTGGATGATCTCTTCGGCTCTGCAGCACGCGGCCATGTTAGCCGCTCGTGTAACTGCGCCGCTGCTGCTGCTGCTGCTGCTGCCACCACCAGCACCACGACTGGGCCCGTTCTTGTTTGTGGCCGAGCTCAATGTTCTTATCCGCGCTTTGGTCAACTGTTCTCCTAAGCTCGCCCACAAGGCTGAGCGATTGCGCAAACGGCATTGGCTCATCCGCGCCGGCGGGAAAGAAGCCTCTGCTTGGAGCGTTGCCCAATCATGTCGACGAGACCGTGATTTGCTCCCGCAGCCTGGTATGTTCGCCTTCCAGTCATTCTGCTGATGCTGATGCTGACGCCCGATGCTGTTGGTTTTGCCAGCGCTGCGTTGCTGCTATGCATGTTGCAGCCGCTGCTGATGAACCTTGGTCCGGCAGCGCACATCACACTACTGCACGCCATGACAGAGACCTAAACAGCCTACCCTCCAGGGCGCCCTTTTCGGTTTCGACGATTAGCAGCAAACTAACCGCGCAGAGAACGAAACGGGTCCCGCACAATAATAAAACCTTGATCTCGTGGGGTCTGCACATGCAACACGCGACAGGTTTCGGCGTTTGGAACTCGCACTCGGGGCCGTGGACGCAAGTACACACGCACACGCTCGCAGCACTAGGACAGCGTACACACAAGAACACTGACCGATACACTGCGTGCAGTCCCTCCACGACGGTTTGGGTCGAGAAAGCACGGCACACCTGTGTGGACAGGTTTTGCGCATCGTTTGCAAGGCCCCAGGCCAAGAAAGGGAAGACGCGGCCGGGAGCAACAACGGGCACAGTGCAAAACGGCCGGCGCGCAGCAGCAAGTTCCGACACGCAAATAAGAATAATAGACCTTGCCGGACGCTCCTGATCGGCGGTGCTGCTCTCACGTACCCACCAGCCGGCGGTGCTGCATCTCCTGCAGAGCATAGGGGGCAGAACCGCACGCGCGGAGGCATCACGCATGCGTCTCTGCTGGGGCAGAGTCAAGCAAGGAGCGGCCCGCGCACCGATTCAACGTTCCAAGGTTCCAAGCTTACCAAACTTACCAAACTAGCTTCGTAATGATGCACGATGAGAATCCTCCACCATCAGAACTCGCGTTGCCTCTGCAGGCGTTTATTGTTCTGCTTCTGAACCTACTCTGGCTCCTTGCTCCTGCTCCTGCTTCCTGCTCCTGCTGATGCTGCAACCATCCCACTCTCGCCGTCTTCGTCCCACCTCTCGTCTTTCAATCTGAGCTCGCCTAAGGCGCAATCCGAGGCTTGCAGCACAGAACGTTCCATGCGTTGCTGATCTTCGTCTACACGACTCGCTTCTGACCTTGCCTTTCTCTCCGCCTCCTTTCCATGCCTCCGCTGCTACACGCTGTGGCTCATTGCTCCGCCGACGCCTCAGCGATGCCTCTTCTGTGGTCTCCCACGCCAACCCATAATCTCGGACACGGGGAAAAGGATCGAAGAGCACAGACTCGCGTCCTTTTCCAGCGGGAAGCTCTGACGTCGTTGTTATTACTCCCCCCATGCTGACCTGCAGTCGATCAGGCTTCGGGTGCTGCTCGATTCTTGCACAACGCAAGAACAAAAGCGCAAAACTCCAAAACGCTAACTTAAGGGTAGTAAGGCCATTCCACGTGACAGTCAACTCCTTTCTTTTCTTCTTCTTCTTCCTGTCGTTCATTTCGTCTACCACGACGGCCTGACTCATCCAGCCAACAAAGGAAATTAAAAGTAGAATAAATGAAACACTTAAAACTGAAACTCGAAGGAATGGATGAGCACATGTACCATAGCGTGCCGTGGTAATAATAGGAACGCCTTACGCCTTTTGCGCTTTGGCGGTCAACCTCGCGGCCGCCCGCTCACATATTTCCTCGTATTGCGACATGCCGCCCTCAAGCACTTTCAACTGGCCTTTGACCATTCGGTACACGATCCCCTTCTTGAATGGCCCATCATGATTTCCAGCGCCATCCTCTTCGTCCGAATCAGTGTCTGCGGCTCCGGCACCGTCGTCCTCCGCGCCGGTAACACCGGGCCTCGTTCTGAGCCGCGCCGGATTCTGACCCTCGACCACGCATCTGCAGAAGAAGCGGTCGTGCGTCACGACGAGTAAGGCGCCACGATAGCTGCGCAGCGCTATGATTAGTCCCAGGATCGTGTCTGCGTCGAGGTGCGTGCTAGAAATTTTCCAGGACTGGTCAGCAACTGTGTTCTGTTCCGTGTTTCAGACAGATTGTCACAAGAAGAAATCACGTATTCGGCAATGATGGTGTCTTCTTTCCCTGGAACGAAGTTACTCCCGTGCTGTGCATGCATGGCCTCGTGGAAGAGAGTTAAGCCGACGTGCATGCCACCGAGATGCAATCCTGTCCACCGTTCACCCTCGGAAGGCAATCACGTAAGAGGTATTGGTGGATGTGGCAGCTTCACCAAGCCAAAGAGCCATCCTTTTGGCGCCAATGTCGCCGTCGCTGAACACGACCACCGCTTCTACGAGCCATGATCAAGCTGGGCCACAGCACGCAGGGAGCAAGCATCCGCATGCACATCGGGGCAGACGAACGAAACAGGAAAGAGCGTCGAGAGACAGATTCAGAGAAAAAAAGAAAGTGCGAACTCACGTAACCTCGTCCAGCACCAGCAGGTGCGGTGCATTCCACACGACCTTGGCCAGCGCCAGCCGCACCTTCTGGCCGCCGCTCAGCGCGAAGATGGGCACGTCGCTCGCCACCGCTCCCTGCAGGCCGAGGCTTCCCAGGACACCGCGCGCTTCCTTCTCCGGGAGCTCCGCGCCCGCGTGGTCCATCAGGTGCCTCAGCGCCGTGATCTCACGGTGCGCCGCCCCGTATGCCTCAAGCTCTTCGACTACCTGCTGCGAGAACCGACCAAAGCGAGCGCGCGGATGCCGCGTCACGTTGCCCTTTGTAGGCGTCAGGCCTGCGCCCATCTGTTCGCCGCCAGAAGCCGAGAGCGAGGAAGTGTATGGCGCGCCGTCACTGCCTCCGCCCACAACGATCGACACCAGTGTCGTTTTGCCGGAGCCGTTGAGCCCGCAGAGCCCAACACGCTCGCCGGGATGGATCGTCAGCGTGATGTCCCTCAGAATTTCCGGCCCTCGTTTGTTCCGACTTCCTCCCGCATCCGCCGTGACGGGATAGCTAAAGGAGACATTCTCAAGGCTGACCAAAGCGCCTGGGAAGCGTAGGTCCGTAGGCTCGCTGGGCAGCTTGATCCTGACGGGCGGGTCGAAGTCCGGGACCTCGATGTCCGCGCGTCTCGTCAGGGAGTAGCCCACCAAGTCGCGGTTGAGCTTGAAGCGACCGCCTCTGGCATTGACCTGGAGGCCCATGCGGTCGTCGATCTTCTTTTGTCGAGACACCGCCTGCTTGAGCTTCTTGTCATCACCGGCTTTGCGAGCCTGTTGCTGCATGTTTGCGATGCTCTGCTGCATGTGAGCCTTCTGTTTGTCCTGTGCCTCCTTCATGTCTGTGAGCCACTTAGCCTTTTTGATGCGCTCGCTTTCGTAAAGCGATAGGTTGCCACTAAACACTTCAATCGTCTGATTGCGAAGTACGAGCAGCTCATCTGCGATCGCGTCGGCAAAGTCGCGGTCATGAGTAATACACACCACGGTCGTATCTTCGATACTGCGAATATAATCCTGTAGCCATATTATGGAAGGTAGGTCCAAGAAATTAGTCGGCTCATCTAACAACAAAACGTCCGCTTTCTGGGCAAGGGCACACGCGAGGTCACAACGTGTTCGCCATCCTCCCGAGAGCTTGTCCATAGAATCATCAATCTGCTCTGGGGAAAATCCAAGCCCGAGCAGTATTGTTCGAGCTCTGGACGAGGCAGCATCAGCGTTTATCTGGCAGCGCACTTAGTTCCTTGAAAGAGCACGGCAATACCATAGTGATGCGTACCAGCTCGAGACTTGACTGCACCTCTGACAGCATGTCCACCGCAGCCTTTGTCTCCTCGCTAATCACAGCTGCATCCAAAAGTGATAGATCCTCACACAGTCTCTTCTTCGATTGTTCGAATTCCTCCTCCATCTTCACCTGTTCCTCCCTAGCCTTCTTTCCCCTCGCCCCGCTTCTCCGTGTGGCAATCATTTTCATTTCATCCAGTTTTTTCCCCAATCTTTGGTGACTAATCGTACGATACGCTCTGACCGCGGCAAGTGGATCGTTCTGACTTTCAATTCCCGAAGCTAGCACCTCCTCCTCTTTTACCAATTTTTCACGCTCCTGGTCGCTGCGTAAAACATGTTCCAGCACAGTTTCTCCACCAACGATATTCAACCCACCGAATCCTTCCTCCAGTCCTATCTCTCGTGTCTGACCCAAAAGAAGCACCTTTGTCGACCATGGAATCCCCGGGATACGTCCTTCGGCGATGGCCTTGAAGATAGTAGTCTTACCAGTTCCATTGCGACCAACGAACACATAATGGGCGCGCTCTTTGAAACGCAGCTCAGCGCGTGTTAGAATCTCCTTTTGCCCCAGTGAGATGCTCAGATCTTTCACCCAGATCTCTTTTGAAGAAGGCGCATCGACAGCGTCGAGTGCGTAACGGGATTGCTGGGCCGATATTTGCAGACCGTCTGCGGGAGTGGTCTTTCTCGGCATGATATGGCAGATTGCAAGACGAAAGTCCTCTTTTCTTGCCAAGCTTGGATAGCACAATTTGTAGATTCAAATTCGAAGTTGGCTCAAATGTATCCGATCAGATCAACCTTGAAAGCAGAGGAAACTACCAAGTCGTGTTGGCTCTCAGCCCTTCGTGGCTCCTCGTTATGTAGGCCGGGTAACGAGAGAGCACACACAACGGATTTCCAAAGTCCCTCAATTCACCAGGCTCTGACTCAAAAAAAGAGGCAAAAGTATAAATACGAGATTCCATGCAGGGCACTAAGGCATAATTATGCTTGGTACAGTCGCGATCGGCACGTTCTAGAGAGGCGTGATCACGGTGTCCCGATGCGGGAACCAATGCCGACAAAGCGCGACATTTGCCGCAGAGCCCACAAGAAAGTTGTCACAGACCTTGAGATGAGATTTTGTTGAAGACGAGTGACAAATCGTGAAATTGCCAAAACATTGCATTTTGAATGGAGCAGCTGGTCCTTCGCAGAATTTTGTATCTGCGATCGGTGATGTAATCTCTTCTACAGGACAGTTTATTCTTTGTAGGGCAAGGAATACACGCGCCTTCATGCAGAAATTTCTAGTATTCTATCATTGTCATTGTGTCAAGCTTCGATCTGTTCCGCTTTGACCAGCACGGCCATGACGCTTCCCTGGCCTAGGCGGAAGAGACGATGGCCAACCACTTCGAGCATCGCACGCACTGCTCCAGAGTGACTCGTTATGCTAATGAACTGTCCTTTGTCGCGATTGAATATCTCATCCAGCACGATTCGCTGTCTTGCTTGCGTATCCTCATCCATCTCTCGAGGCTCTGGCTTCCACAACGCATCGACTTCCGAGAAGCCTGGCTCGAACACAAACGGATCCGGCCGCGCAAACGTTGCAATGAACGACCTAAGCTCCGTCATGCTGCTGCGTCTGTCGCACGCATGGCGACCGAGTGTCTCGCGTAGGAGCTGGGTCTTGTCAGTTAGAGGAACGTCTCCGTGCCAATTCATAGAGTCTACTTGCTTCTTTGACCACGGGCTTGAACGGCCTGTCGGAGGGTAGTTGGAGGTTCCCAAACGTGCCGTGGCACGTCTGTAAGCATCTCGACAATGGGCTTGTGTAGTAGCTGTCTGGCGCCGGCAAGCCTTTCGTCATCTGTTCCTTCCAGAAATTCGCAGCTGTGGATGCTTGCTTCAGTCCAGTCTCTGTTAGACGTGCGTCGACCCAGCTTCCTTCGGCGTCCCCTTCCTGCCTAGCCCAGTACCTCTCGAATCGAAATCAGTTCACGAAGCTTCCCTTTTGATCTTCGAAGCGTACTCACATTCCACTCGTCTCGTCCGTACTTTCGCTCGGCCACATTGTGCCATCCTTCGCCGTGTCGTCCAAGAAAGAGCACTTTGTACAAAGTACCAGGCGGGGCGTTGGAATTTAAACGTTTCACCTCTTCCGTGAAATCCGTCCAGCTAGCAAATCTCAAGCCCAGGTTCTCCTTGACCTGATGTCGTATTAGCAGCCGCAGAGAATGGTCATTGGGATCACTGTGCATAATCAAAACTTTTGCCGTCTACGCCCGGTTCCGAAGGGCTAAAAATGCCAGCCACTGTCGAGTATCTGTATCGCGGGGCTGGTGACGGAATATCCGAAACTTGAGCCATCTTCATCTTCATCGTCATGGAAAGATTTTGGCAATGGTCATTCTCTTAGGTTTTTTGAGAAAAGTCAAACGCATCTGCGCTGAGCCTAACTCATTCACGTGAGCCCAGCCACAACTGCTGGCACGGGCGGTGCAGACGCTACTGTGGTGTTGAACGGGCTGTGCAGCGACTTGACCGGTGTGCAAACAAACAAGGCTGAGATCAAAAGATCTGCTCGAAGAAACCCCATTGAGATCTATTCAATGGAAAATGAGAGAGACCTACATTCTCCTATCTGTTTATTCTGATCAAGTTTAAGAAACTCTAATTGTCTACATCAGACCGCACAGTTTGCTCAGGTGTGAAGTGCCAGGGACTGGCTGGAGCGTTGGACCGCCATAAAACGATTAAGCAATAGTATATCTGCCCTCTGGACCAAAATTCTATCTCCGAAGGGAGACACCATACCTTTTCTGGGATCAGTTTACGCAGAAGCGCTGTGGACTTAAGCTCAATGCCTCCTGCATTTGTTCATTCGAATAAACTCAAAGAGTATGTTGGTCCGCCAGCGGACCCTGTTCCGGAAGATTATGTCGAGTATCTTGAAATAGGAGCATTTTTAGAAAAAAAAGAGAGCTATTGCAAAGCCGTAAACCTATCTGACGAGGACTTGGATGAATGGCTCCGTCCAACGGTGAAGGACATGATCCATAGCGATTTATTTCTAACTGACTACGCGGCAGAGCACTCTTCCGTTTGAGAAGTTCGTCTTGGGACAAGCTCCTCGAAAAGTTCTGCGACTTGTGTAAGTGCTACAAGCGCTTGACAGAAAGCGAACGTTGATATTGTCTAGCATATGCTCCTTGCCTTGCAGAAAATTCCCCCACCAGCCGTTCACAAAGGACGAGTTTTACCAAATGCGGGACGTATATAACCTCAAGGAAGACTTCTTCCAGACAGGCGAGCTCTGTGGGCCAAATCTTTGGTTTGAGACTGTCGTTTCCGATGGTTGTCATGGTAAGCCCGAAGCACACGTTTCTCTAGCATACGTTGATTGGTCAGGCTATGTGGTTCAAGTAGACAAGTTTAACACGGCCAAAGCAGCATTCAAAATGTCCTTGTGCTATGATCCCGCATCTCGAATCACGTGTGCAGTAGTACGTGTACTCGTCAACCTAGAATTGGATCAACTTCGTTCGCGGCTAGAAGCTCTTAAGCATTACATGTGGCTACCCGTAATGCTACCACTTATTATAGCGGAGACACGAGTCGTTTCCACGCCTGAGAAGCTCAATGAGGACAAGGACGGGATAACACTTCTCGAGAAGGATGCCGGAGTGTACAAGAACACTTATTTCAAAGACACTCTTAATCCAGAGACGGTGGCGCCGTCCGAGGCACGAGAATTCGATCTCATCATAAACGGAATCATACCAATAAAGTCGCGGTGCGATTACCTTCTTATCAAAACGAAAATGTGTCTCGAGTTCTTGGACTTTCTGGATAACGTCAGCAAGTCGTACAAAGCCGATCATGTTCTAAAAAATAGGTTTGGAGACTTTGAGCAGAGATGTCAGGCGGTTTGCTCTTCGAAGATTGCTTACCAGCAAGTCTTCGCGACCAACGTTCAGACTCGGTGTCGGTATGTGCTCGACAGAGCGGCGAGCCTTACAAGCCAAGTTCGTTGATCCTCAACGGAAAGGGGTTGAAGAGCCAGCTAACGGTGTCTAGTGCTACACGATGATGGGACAAAAAGACAATTACCTTAACTTACGCACCGCCAATGTTAGCCTTAAGATTGCGGAAATGAGCCGTGAAGACAATCTCCAGATGAAGAAGATAGCGGAATCTACCGCTCGGGACAGCACCGACATGCGTAGTATCGCCATGCTCACCATGATCTACCTCCCGCCAACCTTCACCGCAACGTTCTTTAGTACTTCGTTCTTCGATTTCTCGCCCCGGAACGAAAAGCTCGTGTCCTGGTGGTATTGGGTTTACTGGGTCGTCACATGTGCACTTGTAATATGCACGCTTGGTTTGTGGTACGTCCAAGTGAAATGGGGTCTTATGTTTTGGAAACGCAAGGCAAATGGAAAGGCTGCCGAAGACACCGAGAAGCATGCGATTGTTCCAAAGTCGCCCTAGGCAACGAGCAAAGATATTGTAGTTTCTGGTTCGCTTCAATCACTCGCTTCATCCGTACTCTCCGAGGCGAAAAGTGTTTCTAAAGTTAGCACAAGCATCAACGATCACTTTGTGAAAAGTCCAACGCGAGAACGGTCAAAGGAGCACACGAGGCTTGTAAGGGCGTGAAGATCAGGTTACTATTTCTATTCACGGGGGCATTCCACTGCCCCTTTCATATCTGTCGTGATTCATGTATTCATATCTACATTAGTCTCAAAGCTAGCATCGGTATCCATATATCGTCACTAGCGGACCCATCCAACGCCGATCCTACTCTTTACTCGAGCTCATCCTTCTGAAAGGGGCGGTAAGCGCATCGACGATGGAGCCACGACGCGATGAACCAGAGGACAGGATGCTATCTCGACGTCGCACTGCGTACGTATGAGGACCAGTTCGCAACTAATGTGGTTTTTTTTTGGCGATGGGATACGTACCATCCGGTCCTGACGTCGCCAACTCCTGCAAGGCAGCAGCTTGTTCCGACTTTCTCCCTGAGTAAAGAGGAGGTCAGCTGTAGGCTGAGATGACCAGGCCACTCAAACATACTCATGTTGCCAGCACCTCCTCGAGCGTACGAAGTGTGTCTCTCAATTGGTTCCATTGCGGACGATAACTTCCGTCTTTTGTTTCTTTTCTAGGGCTGGTTGGCGGGCTTGTACTTCTTCGAATTGGTATTTCTCTCAGAGATGAGAATGCCCACTTCGCCCCTGGCCAGGACAGACGATCCATTGCTTATATGCACACACTCTTTTTTTCTCCTAACGAGAACGCCTCAGGACCTCCATCACCCTCCTAACCAAACAAAATGCCTTATTCTTGGAAGTTCCAGACCACCCAGCCTCTAAGCACGCGTCCGCTTATCGCTCCCATGGCGATCTTGCAGCTTGGGAGTGAGGTCACGTACCAAAACTGAAGAAAAGTTCCCCAATTCGTTAAGCAGCAAGGACAGGGTCGTTGATAAGGATCCAACGCGACCAATTGAAAGGTCGGGTCACGCCGTACGCAAGGCTCTGGATCCGCGCCAAAAGCCTGCCCATCTCCACGGGGAACGGCTACAAAAATGACGCAAGGGTTAACCACGCGATCTGCGGCCCCGCAAAGCTTGGAAAGCTTAGCTTCGATGACCTCCTCTCACACCAAGATTTCCCTCGAAAACAAAAGACCACCTCGCGTGGCAACGTTCTCAATTTTGGGGGTAAAACCTTCGGCATGACTGTGCAGAGATAAAACTCCCCTTATTTCCGTTCTGCACTGCAGGACGAGCGACTCGTGCCCCCCCCCCCCCCCCCCCCCGGGCGGGGGGCGGGATCCGCCGCCAGGGACCTTTTTGTTTTTCCTTTGGGAACGCGGACCTTGTATTTGGCGTTACCCGGCGGTCGGTCCTGTGCGTGCTCCCTCTGAACGGGTTGACGTTAGCACACCTACGTGAAAGGAAGAGGGAGGTGGTGTGGGGGGTTTCTGTGATGATCTTCCCATGCAAAGATCAGTGCCCTGAGCCTATTTTGGGCGACTGGATCAATTCAGGCTGTAGGACCACGGCTCCTCCAATCCCCCACTGGTCCACATCGCTTGATCTGACCTGGAGTCAGCGGCCTCGCGAAACGCACGATGCCGGATCGACGTGGTGCGCGTGTGGTAAGTAATGGAGGACAACCATTGAGAGATTCCGGACCGGAACACAGTCCCCTCCATATTGTAGAGAAGCAGTAAGGAGCCCGGCAAGGGATGAAGTAGAACGAAGGCTGAAAGGTAAAAATAAGAGGAATCGTCTCGGGAAAAGGCAAAACGGTTTGCAAGCGTTTGGAGGGGAAATAACGAAGGAAGAATGAAATAAGGGCAGAAAACAAAGATGAGTTTTTTAAAAGAAAAAAAAGCTTAAGTCTCGTTTCTAACATTGGCGGTCGACGATGGCATGCATTCAAGGATCGTGACCATAGCGAGACGACGGCACCTGCGTCGGCTCCGTCAAAAATACGTAGGACGATGCGTTTCGCGCACGATGGAGATGAGCGGAAGAAGGGAGATCGAGTCTTGGGGAAGCAGCACCGACAAAGAATAAAGAGAAAGAGAAAATGTAAAAACAAGAAAACAAAAGAAATTAAGTTGACGTTGGGACGTACAGCATCCCGTTCATGGCAGAAGGCCAAGTTTCGTGGGGTATACAGCACTTTCGTGCTCAAAAGACTACGTGTCTACCCTGGCATTTCTGGGAGGGTAGTTAAGCTGGGGTCAGTCGATGAGGTTCTGCCGTTGTGTAAAGCATGCCACAGAATCCCTTTCTGACACGGTTCGGCGCACTCCAAATAACATCGTACAATACCACCTGTAGATTGAACCCATCATTCCACGTACAACAAAAGACGCCAACACCGATTTTCAACCCCTTTCAACGATAGTAACTCTCATCACCTCCGCCTCCTGCCGCAGCAGGTCGCCCTGCTGTCGCTGCGCTGGGATTGTACGGCGTATACTGTGCTCCAAAGGGCTGATACACGGGGCTGCTCCCTTCCATCCTTTGTTGGCTCGGCAAAGTGGAAAGGCCACCCGGTCGTCCTATCGCGGGATATCCACCCTCTGTGCCCGAGGTGGTGGCCTGCTGTAGTGGTGCACCACCGTACGGATCCGAGGGCGCCTTTCCAGGTTGCTGCACCGGATACGGGTCATATTGATGTTTTTGGGCTTCGTGCATGGAGTTGACAGGGGAATCGAAAGATCCGGAGGCTAGTTCTTGAGGTATGCCGATTTGACCTGGTTGTGAGCCAAATGCTATAGTTTGTCTGCGGGCATCACCAAGGCCTGTGGTTGTCCGCGCCGGTCCGCTTGGGTGAGTGTATAGGTCGTCTGTGCTCTGGGCTGCGGCAGATGTGGTTCGTGGCGGTGGCGCTTGACCCAGCGAGGTACTTGAGCTCTGACCGGGAGGTACAAAGTAGAAAGGCTGGGGCCCATTTTGTGGCGGATACGAGGGTTCTGCTTGTTGCTGAGGTGGTGGAGACGAGTAGCGAGGGTCCGATGGCGGCGTTGCAATTTGTTGCTGGTACGCTGTTGCATACTGGTTCGCTTGGGAGGGAGGAGCGCCGTAACCTGATTGAGGGCCGGTGCTGTAGCCACCGTAAGAGGGTCGGCCGTAGGTTTGAGGTACAGGATGTGACATGGATGCCTCGAGGAGAGTTTCGTAGTCGCGCCGAGCTTTGATGAAGCGCTCGTTGAGTTGTGTCATGTCGTCTAGACTGCGGTTAGCAGCGATTCCATGTGCGGACTAGATTGGGGAATAGCTCAAACCTTTCTTTTGCGAATACTTTCCAATCAGTTCAATGAGCTTCGGTCGTATACTCAGGGTCTTGTGATATAATTCCGTCACCTCCTCATTGTCGCGCACATCGCCCCTGTCATTAACGCTCAGCAGCGCAAGCAGCTTCTCCACATTGCCGATTTGGTTGAACACCTCGCTCTCCATCTGCGCTTCTCTTTCTAGCTCTTCTCTCGTCGGATCTTGTAGCTTCTCCACGTAATTTAGAGGGAATATTCCTGTTGCGCCTTTGAGGGAACCCTTCCACCAGTCCTTGTACACGGACTCTATGACGGCGATGATATCGCCCTTGCGAAAGGCTAGCTCTCCTGGCTCTGACGGGGTGAAGTCATAGAGCGCACGGACCCGTGAAACTGTGGCAGCCGTCGTGCCTTGTTGTGCAGGAGTGGGTTCTTCAGCAGGTGTTTGCGAGCCGATGCCTTGCGCCGGAGAGGCACTGGAAGTTGCTGCGGCCTTGCTGTCCTTCATGGAGAGTGCAAGCGCCATCTGCAACTCCTCTTCTTCTCGTCTTCTGTCCGCCTCCGACAGCTGAGTCTTCTGCGGTTTTGATGGTGGGTGTAGGTTAGGATCTACAGTTCCCTGGTTAGCCTCGTCCATCGCCACGTTCGCGGCTCAAAGAGGAAGGGGACGGGGGAACAGTCAAACACACTTTGAGTCTTCAGCCTCATGTAAGCCTGCTCCATGATTCCCAAATCTGGCTCATGTTTGAACATTTCCGTCCACTCTGCCATCCTTTCAAGAATCTTCGCCTTGACCTGCTGATGCGTATTCCGATCGCCGGCTAGTCTTAGCAAGGCCTCGGTAAAACTCCGCGACGCAAGCTCCTTGTGCATCTTCATGCCACAGTTCTGGCTCAGAGCGTTGGCAAGCTCGAGGGTGTATAGCTGCACGTTGGCGTTGCGGTGTGCCAGACGTTTGATCATTGCTGCGACGGCGTCCTTGGATCCGGAGTCAGCCTCGCTGACCTTATCGACGACGGCCATGATGAGCTCCCAGTTTTCGGAGGTGAGGTTCTCGTCCGTCGCTTTGACTGCGCATCGTTGTTCAGTCAGCTTGGATGGGGTCTAGAGAAGGGAGACTAGCGGAGGATCCGGTATGTGGCCAGGATTCAACTCACCGACGACATCGTCGAAAGCGTTCTGCTGTGTGCGGAACATGGCTTTTTTCAGGATGAGGAAGAGAGGGGCGACCACTACGCTCTATGTGCCTGTGCTTGCTTGTCGTTTGTTGGGACTAGAGAGGAGGATGCGCGGGTGGGCAGTGCGGTTTAGGCGGCGGCGATGTGGAGGCGGACAAAGCTTCTTGGAGTATCAAGTATGAGGTCAGTTTTGGCTGGGCACGAACTAAGTGAACTTACTAAGTCAACCGCACTCGACGACAACCAACACGCAATGCACAGCGCAGCATGCGCCACACTCTAACCCCAGTGGCCGCGTGGCTTGGCCCTTGCGCTCCGTCCTCTTGGGCTCTGATCTCCATCGCTCAACTATGAACTGCCTGATCGCACGTAGTGATTGCCAGCGTCAAGCTCTACAATTGCAGGAGGCTCTCGCGAAAGGCTTCAGCCTAATTGAACGTCAGGAGCCGCGTGTATCGTTGCACCGTGGGCGGCTAAACAATCTTTTTGGTCGTGTGACTTCTCCGTCTCTTCACTGAAGCCTGAAATCGCTTGTCATTTTTGCCTCCAATCACCACTGAACGCCGATGTCTCTCAGCCAGTGATCTTAATCCATGGCTCTGTGCTTGTTGAGCTGCTAGTTTGTGTGGCCTCGGGTCGCTGCAGGATGGATGAATAAGGTCAACGCAGCTATAACTCTCTCCGCAACAGCCATACAAGTCGACAAAGGTCGACTATGTTTCTTCATACGCCGGACACCCGTTTGCACGCTGGACATCAGAGAGTCAATCACAGACGGTTTCTGCTGGTCAGGTCGTGCGCAACGACATGAACAAGCAATGCACACGGGTGAGCTACGACAACACGAAGCCACGTCTTCTTGGTTGACGAGATGTTCGACTCGAACTCGGTGCGAGATGCTCAACGTTGAAGGCTAGCCGAGATCGCGAGCTAGGTCGAAGCCATATGAACTTTCAGAACGACCTCTGATGGAAATAGACGACGACCAGTAGCACTCACCTCCACGGTACCCTTGCTACTAGCCTCTTGAGAACTTCAAGTTGTGATGCCAGATATGGCACCTTCACATTGTCTTCATTAGTATACGCTATATAAGCTGATGGCACCGTATGGTTTTCCCACCGCCAAAGCTATACTGTATTACGAGCCCACGTCATGGGAGCTCCGGTAGCATAGTGATTGTCTCCTTCACAGGCGCCAAAATCTCTCGTGCGCGCAACATATTCGCTGGAAGATAAAGCGAACGTAGATCCAGGCGAATGTCGGACGCAGTCACACAACAAGGCGGCAAAGGGTGTATGAGAGCGAAGTTTTCCTGGGTTTGGCACTTGTTCATTCTTTTACATTCGGGATATGCCCGCGAAATGGATTGCAAGGCTACATCAGCCACAATAAATGTGAAGCAAAATAAGAAGAGATCTTCTAGCACAGCGAGCTAATCCCATCCGCTTTCAACTCGGCAACCTTTATATGAGGAAGAAGAATAAAACTAACATTTCTTTCTTGCTTTTTTGCGTTTCCCATTTCCCCAACAAAACCGACCACATTTTGCAGTACAATGGAAAAAGTGTAAAGAGCGTCCTTGCCCACCATATGCACAAAAATTAAGGTATCAGGAGTAAGCCGAGTCGTATACATTTCCGCATATGTTCGTGACCTGTTCGTGACCTCTTTGCTCCTCTCTTTATGGCCTTTCTGTCTCTAGCAGAGAAACGAAGAGGCACAAGCAGGAATTGGTGACAAAGCCTTCTGCGCGCACAGGTGTGGTAGCCGCGAAGAAAATTCCGTGAAGTGAACAAAATGTAATCATGCCGCGCCACTAAAAGGAAAAATCGCTTTGCACGATCCGATATCCCTCTATCGGTAGAGACCGTTGTGAACATTTGATGCGTCATGCGTGAGCCGTGTGGAGCGTATATGTGTAAAATATAAGGGATGGGTATGTCATATGCTGTGAATACCCCATATTTTAAGAAGGGAAAAAAAGTACGAAGACTAGTTTTCGTCTCGAGGTTTAGATATCGCTGTACGTGAATCACACCCATGTTGAAAAGCAACTACTCCATCTTTACGTTCCACTGTTAGAGATTTCCCACAGATTAGAAAAGAGAGCAGTGCAGTGTTGGAGCAAAAATCGTCAAATATGTTAGTTGACTGGAGTCTTTTGGTGCCATGCGTAAAGTGATGACACAGATGGACGCCAATACAGATCTGCGTGACGTTCGCGCGTAGACAGGGACACCTGTTCTTATAGAAGAACAGACATGTTGTGCCTCGGAAAGTCGTCACGAAGAAGACAAGGGAAACTCCTGGCTCCTTCGTGAGTTTGAACTAACATACGGCTCTCGCTGCGCTTGAGAATGGCCCAGAAGCCCGATGATCATGCATTAGTAGTACGACAGAATATGTCGCAGAAGGCAAAGGGAGGATGAAGATGGCGATGCTGATGGCCAAGGCAGGCATCCCTCGCCGCACCACAGAGCATGGGGAGAGGAGAGAGGAGAGAAGAGTGTAGTATCTTGCAAGCGCCCGTCGATCATGGACCCTGCTGAGCGTGCTTCTTTCGCCGCTCCTCAGCTCTGGCCTTTCGCGCTGCAATAACCAGCGGGCTTAGCGTCGAGAGATGATCCGCCTTTTGAATAAACTCATGCTACACATTGATCAGTCACATCTCTCAGGAGAAACTGACAAAAGAGCAAGCAGATAAAGGCCAAGTTGTATTGTACGAATAGAGGGCAATTTTTTTTTTAAAAAAAAAAAAAAAAGGAACAAAACATACCGACAACAAATCACTAGCGTTCGCCCGCTTCTCCGGGTCTACCTTGAGGGCAAAGTTTAAGAAGTCATGGAAGCACTCTGACAGGTTTTCCGGATCTTTGATCGTCGGCGTTCCGTTTGTTGCAATCAGGAATAGTGCACGGAGCGGAGACTCATTCAGATACGGAGGTTCTCCCTCGATCATCTCGATGGCCATAATGCCTAGTGACCAGATGTCGATCTTACGTCCGTACTGCTTACGCGTCACGACCTCAGGTGCCATCCAATACGGCGTGCCAACCATGGTGGTGCGTTTGGTATGTGCCTGATCAATTTGTGCGCAAAAGCCGAAATCAGCTGCGAATGGGGAAAGTAAGGTTAGTCTTGGTTTCTCTAGGAAAGGTATCTTTGTTCTCGGAACAGACGGGGATCAAAAGCGGGCTAGGTTGACGTCGAGGAAAAGGTGGGGAGGTCTTGCCAGTACAAAGAAGAGGAAAACTTACTAAGTTTGATGTTGCCTTCCATTGAGAGAAGCACATTGTCGGACTTGATGTCACGATGGATAACACCTTTGGAGTGTAGGTGCTGCAGCCCCTGTAGTGTCTCTCTGCACACAGCGGCAATCTGCCCCTCGGTCATCATGTTGTACGTGACCACATCCGTGAGGCTGCCTCCTTCCATGTACTCCATGACGACCCACAGGTCGCCCTGCACTAGGTAGCTGTCCATAAAGTTGACAATGTTCTTGTGACGACTTTCTCGCATGACCAGGATCTCGTTCACTATAAGGTCCTTCTTTGGCTGCTGTTCCAAATTCATCTGCTTGATGGCCACGCACCGGTTGGTGGCACGCTCGATTGCCGTGTATACACCGCCAGAAGCGCCCTGGCCAATCTTGTTAAACGAGCAGTACAGCTCCTTCGGGTTGGCAGGCGTGCAAATCTCGCGCAGACGCGCTACAATGTCGATGCCCGAGCTCTGACGCACGCGCGGGCGAGCCCGGGGCACGGGGGCATCTGCCTTGGGCGGGACGGGCGTAGGGGCGGGCGCGGCCTGTACGGGCGGTGCTGGTGTGTACTTTGCAACTTCGCCAGTTGGCGGCGTGATTTGGCGTTGCATGGGAGCGCGTGTGCTCTGGCTGCGTTGTAACACACCTTGCTGGCCAACCTTGACGGCCTGTTGCGCAGCCAGCACGGACTGGGCTTGCTGGTACTGGTACAGCTGGGCGGGATTTTGGCTCGGCTGGTGGTACGCAGGTTGGCCTGCATTCGATCTGCTCCGGCTGAGACCGGGCTGCTGAACTTGTTGCGAGTCGGAAATAGTGGTGGCGGCATGCTGCAGCTGCTGAGACGCGGCAGCGTCACCGGGCGAGTACGGCGAGGCTGGAACGGATGGGGCAGTTCGCGTGGGAATGATGGGCGACGTGACTGCACCTCCTGGTGGTCTCGGTGCCGGACGGTGGGGTATCAAGGTAGGTGTCATCGTCGCAGGCGAGATTTGACTACCGCCACTGCTGCCACCAGCCGGGGTGCTTCGCGGGATCGGAGGGGGTGCTCGAGGATTTTCAAAGCTATCCGGCGTGTTGACAGGGAATCGTGGGCTCGCGGGTGGACTGAGGGGTTGGAAGGAAGTGCCGACGGGTGGACTGAGAGGACTGGCAGTGGGGAAGGTCGAGGGGAGATGCGGAGGTGACTCCCTCGCCTGGGCCTTTGCATTATCGAACTTATGCCAAACGCCTTCGTCTGAACTCCGTTCACTCTGTTTGGTGTAGAAGCCGACAACCTTCTCGATGGCGTCCGGATTGCGTTTCTGCTCCTCTTCGGATATACCGTGCTGCTGCAAAAGTCGTTGCCATTCTGGCGGTAGGCCCTATATTCTCACATGTTAGCGGTTTGCACTAGGATCCCGCAAGTGATATGATGGGGAAGAAAATGCTCTCGGCGGAATCAGACCTCGTTTCAGGCAGCTGCCAAGCCCCTCACAGGGCCTCGCAGTCGTGCGAGAGGACTTGAAAACGAAAGGAAAGGGAAGGGAGGAAAAATTTAAATGAAAGTGGGGTGGTCAAACGTACGGTCAGCGTGCCTGTATTTTGGTCGAAGCTAACGTGAGTAAGATGTGTGGGATTGACCGGGCTGGAGATGGTTGGCCTGCGGGGCGAGCCTTTGACGCCGTTGAGGAAGCTTGCAAACATGCTCTTTTTCTTGCCCCCGACGTCCGGACGGGCCTCGTCCGAGTATCTCTGACTAGGCGACTTTGTGCCAGTACTGCTGGTTTCTGAACGAGGTGGGGTGATACGGTCCATGGTGCGCTCTCCAGCGAGCGCGACGTGGCTCTGGCTCGTGCGGAGCTTGGGCGCGCCGAGCAACCGCTCGTCGAGTGTACGAGCGTGTTGCAAGTTTGGGACGGCGGTGAAGGGCAACTGAGGTGTCTGTGGAGAGGACGAAGAAGAGGGTGAGGAGGGTGGTAGTGACGTCTGCTGGCTGGTGGTGGATGTTGTGGAAGTGGAGCCAACTGCCGGTACAGTGGTGAGGGAACGCGAAGAGTGCAGCGAAGCAGATGAAACAGGTTGGTAGCGCGCAGCAGCGTGGTGCGCGGTGTTGTCGAGTTGGCTAATAAGAGCTTCGGCGTCAAAGGCCGGGCCAATGAGTTGAGTCGACGACGACTGCGAGAGCGCGGTGGGCGCGTGTGCGAGATGCGAAGGTTTGAGCGAGGGCGGCTCGCCTGGTGTCAGAGGGTAGCCAAGCAAGTCGCGAGTCGGCGATTGTGACGGTGTAGCCGCGGCGTTGGCACGGTCGGACGCCTGGGACGAGAGCTTTGAGTCTCGCGGAGTAGAGGCGGAGTGGGAGGTGGTGCCGAGGGTGGTAGCGGAGGAGGAAGAGTGCTGCTGCTTGGGAAGCTTTGTGAGCTTCTGGCGGCGTCTCTCGTGAGTAGCAGAGTCGGAGTCCATCCAGGCGAGACGAGGCGAGGCAACGGACGGAAAGAAGGGCGCGGGCAGCGACTGGAGCAGTCGAAATTTAGTGGGTAACCACGCCTGGTGCAGCCAGCCAGCTAGGCGGGGGGGGCCGAGCGGGCAGCAGTGGATGCGTGGGCTGGCAGGCCTTGGAACACGGCAGAGGGCTTAGCGTCGGCACGCCACTGCAGGCTGGCGCTCTCTCGACTTTCCGCTTGGGTTCACTCTCGCGCGCGCCTGCCTGCCTGCGCGCTGCTAGCTGCAGGCGAACAAAGACGAGATCCGAGAAACGTGCAGGAGAGCGGGCACGTGGAAATGGACTTGTGTACGAAGGTCGGATGTGTTTACGCGCGTTTGAATGAAGAGGTGAGGAAGAGATCAAAAGGACGGAAAGTCCAGGCCAAGGCGAGGCGCCGTGCTCGAGGATCAGGGAAGCAATGAACGGGCAAAAGAAGAATAAACAATCACGGGTGACGGATGTGACGGGCGTAGGCAGCGAGGGCGAGGACGACGGCGTTTCAAGGAGGATTCATGCTGAGGAAGGAAGAGACGAACGGCGGAAACGAAAGAAGGAACAATCCAAGAGAGAACCACGACGGCCAACATCACGTACAAGGCAGCTTGGGACAGCAACCGAGCGCACTCTGTCCAGCGCAGCATAATACTCCCACTTAACGCCCGTTACACGCAAGACGGCCGGGCCTTGCTTGCGCTGTCGAGGCTGTGGAGCGGACGAGCAGGGACAAGGGTACGGGCCTGACTTCGCCAGCGCAATGCAGCACTGTTCGGCGCACGCTTCCAACGACCTCCACCACTCTTGCTGCTCCTGCTGTCCTGTCCAGTGTTGATTGAACGGAGCACGTTACGCTCCAGGCCGCTCTTGGCCTGCGACGGACGGGGGAGGGCCCGCAGGGACGGCCAGAGCGTGCAACGCGACATGCATCCCGTCCATCGAGGATGCACCAGCCAAGTTCACACTGCAACGCTGCAAACCATGCGGCCGGCTCATCCAACCCACGCGCTTCGCCAGCGATCCACCGTCCGGCTGGGTTGGACAGCAAAACAAAAGAAAAAGAAAAGGAAACGGCAGCGCAGAGAGGTTGGACCGAGCCTAGTCCTCATAAACAGGCGACCAACAATCTCGTCCTCGTCCACATCCACATCCATATCTGGCTCCACTTTCGCTTCTGTTTTTCTGCAGAAAGCATGATATGTACGACGGCATTGTACCGTCCCGTTCCCAAATTAAGGCGAGAGGCTGCCTTATCTTACATGCTGCTGGTGCTGTCCATCTGCTCCGGGCATCGACGACGGCGACGACGGTAGCAACAACAACAACAACAACAACAACAACAACAGAGCTGCTAACTTACCACAGCCATTCTTCTCTTCTTCGTCGTCGTCCACGTAACACGTCGAGCACCACCAACGTTGCCACCACCGCCACAAGCGTTGCCATATCAGATACTCCACCCTCCTTGTCCGTCTCACGACGCCCGCTCACAATCCGCTAGCCAACCACATCCCATCCGTGCATTATTTCCGCCGTGTACATCATCTTCTCACTGCCGTCGATCCCTCCCGCCCTTTGTACGCGTTCTCATGCGAGCACGCCGCAGCGACAGCTAGTCGGCTGCTTTACTCATTCGAGGCCTCACTCACGACTACGCTCACGTCGTCTTCATCCTCTCATGATTCCCAGAGCTGGCTTGCGTGACCGTTGCTGCCGTGTGGAGCCCCACTACTCTGGCCCCGGTCGACTCGGCCGTGTTCTCTACATAGGCCTTCTCGTCATCCAAGCCAGCTGTTCCTCTGCCCTAAACTATGCGCGCTTCCTGGCCTCGCGTTAATTGTGCCGCACTTGCAAAAAACGACTGTGCTTGTACCAAGTCAGCCTGGTCGAGCGTGCGGCCCGCCCACCTGCTGCCAGCATAGCGGCACCAGCGCGCCCTTTTGCAACGTGCCACTTACCACTCACGTGCCGACCGCAGCCAGACCACGCCCTGACGTACTCTGCTTCTCTCATTCACTTCTACTGCACACAAAATTCCCGTGTCAGGTCCATCGTCCATCCTGCTCCTAACTCTAATCCTCCCTTTCAAGCTGACCGCCTCACGACTCAGCCCATTGGTTTGTATCGTCATTCCATTTTCTGGAACGTCCTGCTCTGTCTGCCGCCCTTCCACACCTTTGTTTCAGACCGTCTACATGCGCAATCTCGGAAATGGACCAGGACCAACCCAGCTCCCACTGGCTCGACGAATCCTCGGCGACTCGCATGGCCATGAAATCATTTTAAACCCCCATGGAAACAATCCACAACGCGCGCACACGCTCACAAAATAAAGTTAAAAATGATATTGGCCAACTTTAAGCTCTCCATCATCTGATGCGTCCCCGTAGGCACGGAGCCCCTTCTCCTTGAAAGAAGATTGCAGCTATCAAACTGTTCATTTCCTCGTCTCAACTCTCGCGTTCGTACAGACCCTCCCAATAATCTCCAGTAATTTCTTTAACTTCCAATGCTTGGCCACCTTGTCATTTTCTGTGTGGTGCTGTGCACCCGAATCGAAGGTCTGTTACGTTGGGATCGGACGAAGGACCTGTTGGTTGCTCTTGCAACCGTCCGTTGCGTCCACCAGGATGAGCGTACCTTCCTCTCGTACCGCCGAGCCGCGACATGGTCGCTCACATGGCAGGCTCGATGCACACGGGTCCGCATCGTCAGCGCCAACAGGATCGGGCAGGTCCATTGCACAGTGTCGCACGCAACCCGTCACGGATCGCTCTTTCCCCTTCCACGCACGCGCCGCGTACCTCGAAGCTCCTCGTGACGTTCACCACACGGCAAGCCGTCGTCGCCGCCAACGGCGGCGTCATGTTTGAGACTCTTTTTTGTTCTCTTTGTTTTCGGTTCACATCTCCCGTTGCCATCCTCTCGGGCAAGGGAAGGATTTTGCCCTTGGCAGCGTAGACCGAATCCTGTGACTTTTTGACAGCCTCTGTTCATCCAGGAAAGACAAGCAAATCTTCGTCAACCAGATGGTCGGCATCCGCACATGCTCGGCTCTGACGTTGCTCTGCCGTTGCTATGCGCGTAGACACGGTGGGCCCAAGCAGCGTTCCAACGCACTATGTCGGCCAGCAACCCCGACTGGAATGAGATGCTCGCCTTTTTGGCGTGGTGACCACTAAACGCCGTGAAACCACATCTGCATCCTGGACATACGCGCGCGTCAGTATTTCACGCCCTCGGTCTAGCTTTCTTCCGTTATGTTTCCCATCAGCCTCTTTCCTACTTGTAATCCGACGCTGGTCCATCGTAGGTTTGTGCTGTGTTTCAAGATCCGTTTCAAGCGAATCATTTCTCGATCTGACAGCAACTCGTTCTGGTCCTATTGCCTCCAAAGCAAACCAATGTACTACCTACAGCATCCCGCTTTTCGTGATACAAACTGCATCAAGAGCCAAGACTTGCGCGCTATTCTCCAATCATTGTTCTATTCGATGAGCATGGTCACGCACCTGCTTACGACCGTTGAGCAGAGTACAGTCTTGTGCTCGATCGGATCGCACTGCCCGTCGACGAGGAGATAGTTCCCATAGCTTGCGCATCCTCATTTGGGTCAAGGAGGGAAAAAGCTTAAATCATGTGCAGCGTGTGTTTGGTCACTTCGTCCCACGCATACGACACCAGTCGGGACCCTGCTTGCTCATCGCTCCAAAAGTACGAGGCTTTGTGTTGTCTACTACCTAATCCACCTGTTGCTGAACCATTCACGTGTGTGCAAGGGACACAACGGAAGATCGTGGTAAGAAACCGGAGAAGATGAAAAGCTTGTTTCCGGAACCTCGGTGCGCAACAGATGTGGAATACTGAACCCTGGCTGGGTTCTCTCATTGTCATCCATGCTCATGGAGACCCTCAGGTTCGGATTCATGCCACAAAAGCAAAGATAGGTGCCCACAGGCAGAAAAGAGATAGAGATGCTCGATAGATGAAATCGAAGCACGAAGAATCAAATCGCTAATCCGCATTCGCGTGCACACACATGCCTTTGAAAAATTGGAAAGCTTTCTGTGATGTATCAAAACTGATCCTCAGGCCTTGCACTTACAGGCTGAACCTTTCACGGCCTCTACTGGACCGCAAGAGCAGCAGGCCAGTGAGACTGGTCTCATGAAAGGCTGCTTTATGTTCTTTCTATCATGATCCTTTAGGAGATTCTTTTGAAGGATATACGTATTCGAGACGGTCTCCACCTCAGCGTCTTGTGGCCTTCCATGCACTAGTGTGAGGAAAAAGCGGATCTAAACCTGCTGCTCGAGGTCCAGTTCAAAGGATTCTCCATCTTGGTAGTTTGGGGAGACTCAGACGCTACTTTCTTGACCTGCACTGCGTTTGCTGCGTGGCCCATTCGCTGTAGGCGAGAATTCCCATCAGCTATTCCTGGTCCAGCTTATCCTGCTACCGCTTGTACTTGTTGATACACATATCAAAGATTTGACACGGGCCTGGAATTCGCTGCTACGGTTCATAGGCCGCACCACATATTTTGGATGGAAGTGTTAAATGCACCCATTGCTTCTACTTTCCTTCGATATCCATCTCAAAACCTTTGGAGTGCAATCCGCAGACCCCACCACGCATGCAGCCTTGAGTTGAGTGTTCATCTAGATCTGCTCATTATTCAACTGTCTCAACCGATATGACCACTGAGTAAAATGCAGAAGACCATTGCAACGGGTTGCCTCCCATCGTGCGGCTGTTCGTTATCCATTACGCCGTTTTCCTTTCAAGAGCAGCTTATAAATGGCGTCCAGGTGTCAGAGCTAAGGCACGTAACGCGTTCACTCCTTGATCTCGCAGACGTCAGAAACACGGGAAGCTACGACCGACGCCTCTTGCGTGTTGATAGTGCACCTTCATCATGTCCTGTCCTCGTCCTCGGTCGATAGTAACGGTCGGTGATTAGGTGGGGCATTAGGCTGCGGAGATACCAGATACTGACGTTCCAGCTTACCCCTTGGACG